CGTGCTGTGTCAGATGAGGGGGCGAGTGCTGACTGCGCTGTGGGTTGTAGGGAGACGCAGTACGTGAGCTGGATGGGGTGGGGGATGTACCTCGGCTTCGATCGTGATATGGGCCTCAGCTTGTGGGACATCAAGTTCCGGGGTGAGCGCCTCATCTACGAGGTGCGGCCTCTCTTGGTCTGGGTCCTGCTCTGTGCTGATGACGGCTGGGTATTAGCTCGCGCCTCAGGAGGCGATCGCGCAGTATGCAGGCAACGACCCGATGCAGAGCACCACAGCGTGGCTCGATAGGTTCTTCGGTATGGTGAGTACATCTCGTGTCTGGTCGTGTCGCGGATAGCTAAGTGGACACGCAGGGCGGTTCTGTGCGCGACATGCTCCCTGGCTACGACTGCCCGCACGAGGCAGTCTTCCTTCCCGCGACGACCAACACCTTCGCGGGCTCTATCACACGCGAGCGGTGAGCATCTTAGTTTGGAAGCATCACAGTCGCAACGCTCACTCGGCGAATCGTGCTGCACAGGGCGATCTGCATATTCGAGCACGACTCTGGCCGCCCGATCACACGCCACATGGGCTACGCGGAGGGGGAGTTCGGCGCCGTGCGCGGGTACAACCTCGTCGTACGCTCCATCGCGACCGTCGGCAACTACGACTACTGTAAGTTCCCACGTAACGTCGACAGTGTAGGACGTTGACAAATGCTTGCGGACAGTGTTTGACTACATCTTCCACATCGATGGCACGATCGAGGTCCGCCTGTCTGCATCGGGCTACTTGCAAGGTGGCTTCTGGGAGCCCAGTCAGGAGGGCTATGGTACCGCGATCCGGGACACAACCAGTGCGTCTCACTGCATCGATATCAATGCCGCGCCTCTGAGCTGTTAACCTTCGCAGTGGGCTCGCTGCACGACCACGTGATCAACTACAAGGTGGATCTGGACGTCGCGGGCGAGAAGAACTCGCTGCTGTTCACGCACACGCACCAGGAGGAAGTCGAGCAGCCGTGGTTCGAGGACGACTGGGGCAGCACAGTCCTCCAGCAGAAGATCACGCGGACGTTCATCGAGAGCGAGGACGACGCGCTGCTCAAGTTCCCGTACAACTTCCAGGGCGGGTACTCGCTCGTGAACCGCGATGAGACGAACAGGTGGGGCATCCCGCGTGGCAATGTAGTCAACCCTGTGCACGATGTGCGTTTGCATTGCGCGTGTCCTAACATTGCCGGGCCGGCTGGCTGTGGCGCAGACGGTCGTCGGCTCATGGTCGTGTTGCGTAACGCTGAATGGATACGTAGGGCGGCTCTGTGCGATGCGCGGCCTCGTACTCGCAGGCGCGCACTGTGTCGTGTCGCCGCTAGAGTGATCAGCTGCGTCTCGCCGTCGTCACGTCCTGATGGAACGAGCGTGTCGGTCGCTGGTTGGTTGACCAGCGGCCTATGGTGCTCGTGACAGCTGTTTGACGTGGGCGATATGTTGACGCAGACTCGACACGGGCTTATGCAGACACACCGCGGGTCACCATTCAACTTGAAGCCCCTTCGACGCGCGTGCAAGCGGACCTTCTTCCCAGTCTGTAGGTGGAACTGGCGCAACGCTGGGCACTGTCGCGTTGTGCAGACGCGGACGAAGGCCTCTCACTCGCTCATGTGCCTCGACAACCAGCCGCCACAACGGGCGCTGTGTGGTTACTCGGCCAGTCGCACTCGGACGCGGCTGCGAACGTGTGCACGCTCGCGTGGTGGGACGTGATGCCTGCGTGATGCCGTCTGCGCGCGCTCTGCCTCTGTGACCGCCAAACTGCATGAACGTATCTGTCCTGGGCCCTGGCTATGTGTCCTGTGCTTGGTAGTCAGTCGTTGTTCACGCGATGGACCGCCAGTTCCACTGTACGCACCGGACCGGACACAGTGAGGGCTGTCAAATCGAATGGATTTGCGAGTTGAGCGATGAGCGGTGAGTGCGGTTCGACGGTGATTGGGCTGTGAATCTGACACCGTTAGGACATGGTCAAGGCCACCGGATGTGCACTCGAGCTACGTGCGCGACGGACACTGGACAGGAGGAGCCGTGGAAGCGGACGTTCGGGGACGCCTCTGGACCGTCAAGAGCGATGTCAGAAACAGTCAAATGGGCGTTGCGGCACTCACTACTGAGTGGCGGCTGCGCCGGCATACGATGATCTTGACGGGGTGTGTGTACCGGGCCGACGTCGAACGGATGGGAAGCAGTTGCGCACGAGATGGGCCATAGCGAGAGTACAACACGACACCGAACATCGTGATGTGCGCGCGGCCCGGGTGCTTTCGTATGTGCGGCACGTCAATAGAGGTGAATAGGGCTGCGTCGTTTTGCTGCACCTCCGCAATCTCGCATTGCAGTGACTTATGAGGGAGGCTGGATAGGGTGTCAGCGAGGGATGGCGGTTGTGAGTTACAGCGCTCAAAGTAGTAGCGCGAGGCAAGTCTGCGCTCATATCCAATGTGGGCATGACAGAGTAACCTGATGTCGGCGACCAACAAGCCGCCGCGCTCTAATAGTCATCAGGACGACCAGAACAGCGTCGGGGTACTTGTCAGGGCGGAAACGGTGTCGCGGTCAGTACGGGAAGTGAGCCTCCACAAGATTACACTCACCGCAAGGCCTGCTGTTCATCAGGAACGGCAAGATCGACTCGGAAGTCACCGTGGGGATGGCTCGTGCGTACCACGAAGGGGATAAACAGCCGGTCAGCCCTTGTCCGTGTCTGTGAAAGACATGCTCACCGACAAATAGCCTCGGCGCAAATCCGACATGGACGAGCAGCATAGTGCGGCGGCGAGCTATCGTTGTATGGTCAGTAGTGTGACTATGTATGTTCGTGGAGAGTCTGATGTGACTAACATTGGAACGCTGCGGCACCTCCAGAACATCATGGTCATCTGGCAGTTCTTGGTGAGTCGTGATCAAGTTGTTGTTTGAAAATCACACATACCGATATATGGCGGGCCCATTGACGGACCTCGATGAACGCAGAGTCGCAGACATAGCAAAGACAACTTACCGGCGGAGTCGGGATACTACATCACTACGAAGAGCAAGCGGCTAGACGTGTACATGTTCATGTGGACCGATCAGCAGTGGAGCTTCATGAAGACTGCGGCACCTCCAGAACATCATGATCAACCACGCTGCCGAATAGATAAGTGAGCCCTTGTCAGTAACGACGTTAGATGACGCACCGCGGGGTCTGTGAACTGAAGATGGGTCATCGAGGATGGCGTGGGGGAAGCTGACTGGCGGTGACTCGGACTGTTGTGCTCGGGGAAAGAGGCTGGGTCGTACGCACGCAATGCGAAGTGCCGCATTATATAATGTTACGGGGGATTTCTGTCGGTGGTTGCTGTCCGGCGATTCGATTCCGTGCATCTGATGTGCTGTATTTCAGCACCGGCTTGGGGCACCCTCGTTGTCGACCCAGTGCCTGGCGACTGGACATGTACTGAGGGTTACGTTGCGGACATGGCGCGGTCTGACATTGGGCGGCGAGAAGGATCATGGAGCCATGGAGACTGTGAAGCGAGACTGAATATCGCGGGGCGGTGAGTGTTGCGATCGGTTCCCCGGCTCGTTGATTGGGCTTCGCGCCTTGGACTTATGTTGGAACTTGGTAGTGGCCGGATGTTTCTGCTTGCATCGAGAACGAGGTGTAGTCAGTCAATTGCAGTGGCAATAGACCTGCGCCATGTGCCAGGAGCACGGATGGGTCCAAGGTCGAGGAACCTCCATAGTCCTGAAGCTGAGGGAGGAAACAGGTTGTCCTGCCATCGGCTGGAGACATCTTCGGCGAGGTCCTGACTACCTGGTAGGCTTCTAGTAGCAAGCTGCGCATAGCATTGCTCGTCGGAACACATCTGCGCTTCACGACGGTGTGTGATGGACTGTCGCGGGATGATTTTTTTCTGGCGTGCGGGTCTGCTCCCCGCGGGTTACCAACAAACATAAGCGCAATGAAACACCCGTACACATTAACGGCATTTCAAGGAAGTAGGTACGGCAAGTGCCATTTAGGTCAGTCGACTATACTTGAGCACGATAACACATTGTTGATGATATTACAGTGTCGGAAAACGAGCTTTCCGACATCAAGCATATGATAGAAGCCACACTACTGGATAGCGAATGGATAGTGTCATGAAATCAGCGCCGGTCAGCGGGAGTACTGCAAGACACGAAGCATGGGTTGATTCACACGTATTCTATCACATTTTTGTCACTTCTAATTGCGCTGTTGCTAGCCAGTAACACCCGTCGCGTACAGACCATGCCTTTGGGTGCGCGGGCAGCGCCGGGCACCTCCTCAAGTATAGTATCTAGATCTGCGTGACCGGGGCACTACTGGGGCGCGATGTTCAGCAGCGCGAGTGGTTTAGTCTGGGAACTTTGTTTGCACAAGACAGGTCCAGCAATATGCTTGGGACCCCGGGCATGCATTGTCTAGCATTGCTTGCAATGCCAGAATGTCTCTCGTACGGTTTGCGTACAATTGGTGCGGGCCCATCCGGGAAACCGATATCGGCAACCTTGAACATTGCCGCAGCGAGTATCTCACAGTGGGAGCAGCAATCCCGTAGTCATGGAGAATAATTAGACGGATGTCCGCTGCTCACGGACTAACCAACGTAGTATGTAATTGGTTCGGCGCTGTAGTAGAGTGCTGCAACATTCCAGGACAAGCTCTGTGTATGGCCGACCGCTAAGTTGAATCTGTTTTGTGAGCTCTGCTGAATACTATGCCATACTGTGTAAAGTAAGTCTGCCCTCGCTAAGGTAGATGTACCCAGTCTTGGATGTAGCCGAAGCTAGACTCTGTATGCCCATTTCCAACCGTATTTAATGTGCAGCCTTGACTCGATGATTCCGCAGCTTCGGACCTACCGTTGTGGCTAATCTCTGGTACGTCCAACTTGATTGAGATCCATACTATACTGAAGTTCTGCTGGCAGCAGAGTCATGCCCGGAAAACAATCAAAGACATCGCCGACGGTGCTACAGTTCGTTCCAGCAACCACCTACGCATTCAAATTCGAGTTCCCAGTCCCAGTCGCACCTCCGATGGACATGCAGGATACACAGACTGACAGGACTGTCCGTGATGCACTCAAGCATGAGCTGCGCGACAAGCTGACCAAGGCCCTTCGTACGTACCATCAGAGATGAATCTGTAGTATGTGCCACCACTGACCCTTTACATCACAGGGAAACTCACGGGTGTTCAGACGGCTTCCATGAAGTGGACAGCAGCAGGCTTCCTCAAGCACGTTGTCAAGGCACACGAGGTCATGCTTGAAGGATGGGGTGAGGATGTCCCATTCGAGAACCTCAGCAACCTCCCGAATGCAGTCGAGCGTATCCGAGATCTGCTTGATCGCTTCGAGAAAGGCGAGCTGCGGTTCATCAAGGTCAGCTATGCAACGGTCCGCACGCTCACACCCGAGACCGCTTCGCCTGGCAAGTACGTACCACCACGGAAACGAGTGATCCGGAAGGACTACAAATGTCACCGGGTTGTGAGGCGGCGGCCTGGGCGCATGCTGTCGGGGCCAAAGTCGGATGAGTTTGTGTATGACTCGGATGACATTGAGGAGTTTGAAGATACTGCGCACCTCGGTGATGGTCACGATGAGATACAGTAGATCTAGCCCGTGCGAAGAATAGATGTGTTGCCTGTGTGTCATCCTCATTTGGAGAGTACTACCATATTTGGCCACTGCCGTCCTGATTGCAAGGCTTATGCTCTGGGAATGAGTACCATCATTGTACGTACCACACAGAACACTTGGACAATGGAAGATACCTAGTCTTCATCCCAGCAATGCACACAGTAGCTGCTCAACTCGCAGATAACAAGTCGGTCCAGGATGTGCACCATGGAGCATACTTACAGCTCAATTAGGCCCAACACACATTTACTACGGCATCTCACACGCCAGTCAAACACAAACAGAGAAGGGTGAGCCAAGACAGAGACCCGCACCTCCTCATGTTGATCGGCGAGAGGCCGTGCGATCGCCGCGATACGCGACACGAAGGACTCGACGGTCGTACCATGACGACCCGAAGTTACATAGCGCGGTACGCGCTTGCTGCAGTCAGTACATTTGCAGTATGTACTACGTATTGAGCCGGACTCCCTCACCGCAACATTCCGCTCTCACAGTAAGTACCCACACTACAATGTTGCCTCTGAATCGTACACTGACAGTCCCAAAGAGCACAGGCGACGTGAAGGCTTGTGCATACCGAATGCCCGCAACATCGTCGAGGTCGCGACGCCTGCACCAATATCGCGAGTAGGATGTCCGTTGAACGACTTCGCCATACTGCAGGCCAACGCGAGGCCTACGCATGAAAGCTCGCGACACGCAGGTGAGCTCCGGCGGCTGGGAGCAAAGGTGTGTTTGCGATGTCATACTCGAGAGTCCGCACCGCGGGACACTAACGGCGAATGCGCAGAGAGCGAGCCGTCTTACTGATCAGTCCTCGCGCCCAGCGCGGCGTGTCGCCGTCCAGCAGACCGCCCGGAGCCCATGAGCACGGACAGCTCTGCGGCCTGCCGGACGAGCGTTGTAGAGCCGCGGCGCAAAGCCTTGTGCGTACCCGGTGACAAGCCATTGTCGACGACGCGACGCTTGTGCCGCGAGCAGGATCGCCGACACGTCTTCGACGCGTTAAGGCGAGCGCAACGGAACCTGAACCGGACACCTGACGATGAGATGAGGCCGCTGAGAAGCCAAAGTACGTTGATGACGTCCCACTCGAGAGTCACCATTGCGGACCACTAACGACGGATACGCAGGAGAGGCGAGCCGACGCGCTCGACTGGGCACAGTTCTCTGAAAAGCACCCATGCAGTCCGCCAGCAAACCGTCCATGAGCGGCAGCATGCGCTGTTCAACACGGGTTCGGCTGCTGCGCGACCCAAGCGGAGCCCACCGGACGAGCGACGTAGAGCCGAGTCGCGATCCGGTTTAGGCACGGACGGAGGTGCGCACCATCGTTCTCGTCACTGCCCAACGCAACTCATCGCTGCCCGACAGAGCCGTGCATGCCCGGGAGCAGGCTCACTGTCCAGTTGACAGTGCACGGGCTGCGCTTCTGGAGCTTCGCCGAGACACACGCATCCGACGCGCGCGCCCGCGTCGACGCTACATCGTCGGACGAGCGGCGTGGGAGATGCCGCTGTCCTGTCTCGCGGTGAGGTGGTCTCTGCTCAATTGTGCTCCCGATCGCGGTAGCTGGCACAGCACAGTACGGCGTGTCGCGTGTGCACCGCACCGACGTAAACTCACCTCCGCTCGCAGAGACATCTATCGCGCGAGAGACGTGTTGTATCGCCCGCGTCCAGGCGATGTTCTCTCGCGCCCAGCACCGCCGTGCGCAAGACGCGGATGGCTCGCCCGCCGTCGCACCTACCTCTGGGCCCACAGCGTCCACAAGCCCCTCAAGTCGACGGTTGTGCGTCGCCGCCGCCCGGCTCGTCGTGCCGCCTGCCGAGGCACATCGGTCGCTGTCCAGCACGTCGTGCTCAGCACCCATCAGTCTCGGTGAGCTCGCGGTGCCAGCCACGAACGGCTCTGCCCGTTCTCTGCCACGAAGCGTTGCCCCGCACGATCGACGATGTACAAGGCACCGCTTCCCGGGGTATGCGTTTCGTCGACGCCAGCGGACCCGCGTCGCAGCGGACCGTCGCCGGGTCGTACGTCGGGCGATGGTTGGGCTGTAGAGGCACGCGTGGTGAGGACGCGCGTCGTGCATAGTGGGCCGCGATTGAAGAAGGCGGAATGATGGATGTCCGGCGAGCGCGGGTGGTGACCGCCTGGGAAGGACACTGTCGACCGCAGCGCGCTCGGGTGCTGGCGGCTCGCGACAGGGCACATATGAGGTGAGCATCTTGTGTGTTGGCGAAAGCGGGTTTCAAACTCACCGGTTGACCCACCGAGGCGCCAAGACACAAGAAACCGACGTCGCGCTGTGCGGCGTTTTCCTCCTCGGCATTGCTGTCCGAGTCCGCGCACAGTTTCGACAGCAGCCGGTGCACAGTTCTGGCACACTTGCACGATGCTGTCCAATTGCTATGACCCGTGTGTCCCTCGACACAATGAGCTGCTGCTATCGTGCGGTCACTGCATCCCTCACCAGAAGGTCGATGGGCCGCAGAGAGCGCTCGGACAGCAGCGTGCGGGGGGAGGACGGTGTGCGGGGGCTCGCACTGGCGAGAATGGGAAGTGAGCTGACCTTTCGAGCAGTCTACGCGCCCCGCGGGGATTTGCGGCGTTGGAAGAGGGAGTGAAAACGATGGTGTGAGCGGCGAGCGTATAAGACGGCGGGGATGGGATGAGCGCAGCAGAGTGGTCTAGCGGGTGGTGTCAGAGCGAGCGAACGCAGACACGAGCGCCAATGTGCGCACCAGAATGCAGCGACTGGGTGTCGTCCATAGGCCCGCAGACAGAGCACTTACTCTCGAGCTCGCGCTGGACTTTGGGCACGCCCGAACCAGTGCGCGCGCGGGAAACGAGAGGAGGACTGAGGAAGAGGAGGAGACGCGTCCGTCGACGCGCGACGCGCTGCCTCAGACACGTGACGCGGTGTTGGGCCAGGCCGCCGTCGACGGCTCCCAGCTGCCATCCGTCCTTGCTCTCATGCCACGGGAAAGTTCTGAAGTCAAACAAGAATCTTGCCCTCCTGAAGCGACTCCCAGCAATGAATCGTCCCGTTTCTCCGACTGAACTGCCTCACGAATTCGACCTTGCCATACAGTATTGCCCCCGGGTCGCTTGCTTGCCTGAGCCCTACGCTCTTCTTGTTTTGGTACTCGCGACATAATCAACGCCAAAGCTCTAAAGACGGGAGACAACTACAGGTGTGGATGCCGGTGTATCTAGGCGCCCGCTATGCTAATGAGAGGGCCTGCTACTCGAGTCATGCCTATTCACCCGCAGATAGCCTCAATCTGATCATTCGGCATTGCGGAAGGGCGTCCATCGCATTCCCAGCCATACAAGTATCTTCCGTCCGCCGCGCGGCCGCCCTGCATTCCTCCCTCGAGCCCCGCGTCCCTCCCTCGTGTTCGCGATGTCTAGCGCGGGTTACCAGCCGCTCAAGACTGACGATCAGGCCTACGACCACCCGCAAGGCCCTCCCGCGGGTCGTGGGAGCCCACGCTCCCGCCGGATTGCCATCTCGGTATGCTTCGTCGTTTGCGCAGCGGCCCTCTCCCTCCTCTACGCCTTCCCGCCCTACTTTGGCCCAGACACGCTCACTACCTCGTCCTCGTCCCCTGGAGCGCTCCTCGACCATGAAGGGCCTCTGAAGCAATGCGCGGCAAGCGGCCCGCCCCCCGCCTCGCCCCCAGCACCTGTCAACCCTTGGGCCTCTCTCACCGTCCCAGAGACGACCGCGCTCACGGACTGGCTCAATGTCCCGGAGCGCGCACTCAACCTCACCCCGGGCACGTCCGCACACATCTCGGACAACTATATCTACCACATCGGCGCATGGCGCCCCGCCAAGGCCGACGCGCTCGCGTACCTCGCCGACCCGCAGGACACCGCGCCGCCCGACCGTTATGCGCGGGTGACGATCCACCACGGCGCCGCGGCGGAGCCGACAGTGCAGGACTACTTGGTGGGCCCGCTGCCTGTGAGCGGCGCGACAGGCATACGCCCTCTAACAGAGGTGTATCACCGCCCGGAGATCCCATACAACGCGCGAGGGTACACGACCCTCGCTGAGCTGCAGCCGATTCTCATCGACGTCATGCCCAAGATGGCGGAGGCAACCCAGGTGTGTGTGGCCGCGCTCGCCGTCTGTGTGTGCCTGCTAATTGGATGCGGGTGTAGGAACTGTTCGGAGGCGTCGCGCTGGGGCTCGCGAACGACACCCTCGTTGGAGGCGCGGTGGGCCCGCTGAGCTTCGACGGGTCCTTCCGGAGAGGTTGGATCAACTGGCGGAGGAACGTCGCAGGGCCGTACCTCCACCCGGTCGGGTTCTTCCTCTACGTCGACATGACCGGGACGGATTCCAATGAGTGGAAGCTGCTCAAGGTGTGTCAATACCCATGACGAACACGACAGCATGGCTCAGACTGTGTGCGGCAGATCGTGTACAACCACCAGGTGTTCGAGGGCGTGGATGACTTCATGGGCGCGTTCCGGAACGGCACGCTGAGGCGCCTCCCCGCGCGCCCGGACAACCACGACATCGACTGGACGACGCGCAAGCGCCCCGACGGCCCCCGCCGCGACCTCGACCACCTCCCCGGCCCGCGCTCGGTGTCGTTTGCGGGCCTGCGCTTCCGCGTGGACAGGTGCGTGCTGTGTCAGATGAGGGGGCGAGTGCTGACTGCGCTGTGGGTTGTAGGGAGACGCAGTACGTGAGCTGGATGGGGTGGGGGATGTACCTCGGCTTCGATCGTGATATGGGCCTCAGCTTGTGGGACATCAAGTTCCGGGGTGAGCGCCTCATCTACGAGGTGCGGCCTCTCTTGGTCTGGGTCCTGCTCTGTGCTGATGACGGCTGGGTATTAGCTCGCGCCTCAGGAGGCGATCGCGCAGTATGCAGGCAACGACCCGATGCAGAGCACCACAGCGTGGCTCGATAGGTTCTTCGGTATGGTGAGTACATCTCGTGTCTGGTCGTGTCGCGGATAGCTAAGTGGACACGCAGGGCGGTTCTGTGCGCGACATGCTCCCTGGCTACGACTGCCCGCACGAGGCAGTCTTCCTTCCCGCGACGACCAACACCTTCGCGGGCTCTATCACACGCGAGCGGTGAGCATCTTAGTTTGGAAGCATCACAGTCGCAACGCTCACTCGGCGAATCGTGCTGCACAGGGCGATCTGCATATTCGAGCACGACTCTGGCCGCCCGATCACACGCCACATGGGCTACGCGGAGGGGGAGTTCGGCGCCGTGCGCGGGTACAACCTCGTCGTACGCTCCATCGCGACCGTCGGCAACTACGACTACTGTAAGTTCCCACGTAACGTCGACAGTGTAGGACGTTGACAAATGCTTGCGGACAGTGTTTGACTACATCTTCCACATCGATGGCACGATCGAGGTCCGCCTGTCTGCATCGGGCTACTTGCAAGGTGGCTTCTGGGAGCCCAGTCAGGAGGGCTATGGTACCGCGATCCGGGACACAACCAGTGCGTCTCACTGCATCGATATCCATGCCACGCCTCTGAGCTGTTAACCTTCGCAGTGGGCTCGCTGCACGACCACGTGATCAACTACAAGGTGGATCTGGACGTCGCGGGCGAGAAGAACTCGCTGCTGTTCACGCACACGCACCAGGAGGAAGTCGAGCAGCCGTGGTTCGAGGACGACTGGGGCAGCACAGTCCTCCAGCAGAAGATCACGCGGACGTTCATCGAGAGCGAGGACGACGCGCTGCTCAAGTTCCCGTACAACTTCCAGGGCGGGTACTCGCTCGTGAACCGCGATGAGACGAACAGGTGGGGCATCCCGCGTGGATATGCAATTCACCCTGGGTACAACCCTGTGCACAATGTGCGTTTGCTTTGCTCGTATGTCCTGGCACTGACAGGCTGACGCGCCGTGGCCCAGACGGTTGTCGGCTCGAAGCGCCTGCTAGACAACGCGAACTGGGCGCGGTACAACCTTGCGGTGAGCAAGCGCAAAGAGACGGAGCCGACGAGCAGCAGCATGTGGAACCAGAACCTGCCCGGTGCGCCGATGGTGAACTTCCACAAATTCTTTGACGGCGAGAACATCACGCAAGAGGACCTCGTCGCGTGGGTGAATGTCGGCACGCACCACCTCCCGCAGGCGGAGGACTCGCCGAACACGCGTACGAACCTCGCTGCGTCTAGGTGCGTCGTCCCACTTTCATGACTACGCGAGCGGTCGTATTGACGGCCCTTGCAGCTTCTTCATCACGCCGCTGAATTACTTTGACTTTGACGTGTCGATGGAGAGTCTGAATGCGATCCTGCTCTCTCCGCCGAAGAACTCGGGCGATGCGTGGGGCTACGACGACAACGGTGTGAAGGACTCGAACTGCGTGCCGGGCCCGGTGCCGCCGTTCGAGTACAAGGGCGTGAACGCGTTCTCTCTCGACGGGAAGCTCGCACCGCCGGAGAGCGCGGACGAGATGCGCAAGGGCGCGGAGATGTACCACCGCATCAAGCTCGAGTTGTAGACTGGTAGGTGCTATAAGTTGCATAGACCACAAACGAATGTATGTACTTGTTAGTCGGAAACAACCTGATTCTCGAGGCTGGAAGTCCTGGCGAGTATCAAGCTTTGTGAGGGTCCTTTGTTTGCCGTGTCGATGAACCGCATCATAGCAATTGTGCTCGGTGATGCCCCGGGCATCGTCTCTGCCTATACGATGGACAGGTTCGTGACCATCGTACCGTCTCCTTCACACTGATGTGCCCATGCTCACTATCCAACTCTATGACCACCGCAATACTTTCATGTAGGGCTCTGATCATCCAAGACTGATCCAAGGGCACATATCGCGTACGCGCCTTCAACCTTCTGCGAGTCCTGTATACATTCGCCGTGACCGTCCCCGCACAGCAAAGGCAACCTATCCATGACACCATCCCCGCAACGCACGATGCATGCGCAGACTGCTTTTGCCATCTTCCATCGACGTCCACAGATGTTACGCACCTCACGAAGATGTAGTTACGAACTGCAAAACAATAAAAGAAATGCCAAGAGGGCGGATCGAACGCCCGACCTTCAGAAGTTTGCCTGCATAAGCAATCTATGCTCGAAGCTTCAGTCTGCTGCTCTCCCAGCTGAGCTATCTCGGCACATAGACAGGGAGCGTTGATTTAATTTATATAGAGCCAAGGAGTCTACGCGGCCAGCGGTACCTGCACCGCCTGCGCGTACGCTTGCAATCGCACTAACTTGGCACTGACTTTGACGGAGTTGATATTGAGTTGATACGTATGAGATCCCGAAAACGTGTCTCATTGCAAGCTTAAGCACCGAACCCATTCGTTTTCCACTCATCAGCCGGTTATCCTTGGGTTATCCCATCTCTGACGATGAGCCCTCCGTATCCGATACCAAACTCGACTCTTATACCCCAGCTACATCTGCAGAAGCATCCAGAAGGCGGTGAGTAACACTGGCTAATGCAAGCGGCCTCTTGCCGCGTGCGCAACTCGTCTCTCAACTCGAATTTCCTAGGCTACTTTGTTGAGACGGACCGTCAGTCTGAGACGGTACCCTCCCCTTTTGCCGGTAAGCATGGATGTATGACTACAAGCAATAAGATCCACTTTGATCGTTGGTTTCGTTCGCGATTGTCGTAGGAGGTGCTCCTCGCTCGTTGGCCACTAGTATCTACTATCTGCTCGCGCCCGACGAGAAGAGTGGAGTCTTTCACATGAACACGTCCGCGGTATGTATCTCTCGTCTATCTGTACTCTGAAGGTGTACAGGTCGATGCTACGCTGACTCGGCTGTGTCATCAGACTATGCACGTCCTCCACCAGGGCCGCGCAGAATACGTCCTCATAACGCCGCCCTCAACGCCAGGCAGCCCTCCGAAAGTAGAGAAGAAGGTCCGTACGCTCCATCGCGCTTCGACGCCCATCATCGTCTCTGCGCATCATCGCCTCTGATCGCTGCCACGCTCAGATAATGGGCCCGAATATCCAAGCGGGCGAAGTCCTACAATTGCTCGTCCCGTCCGGGATATGGAAGATGTCACGCCTCCTCCCGGACGACCTCGCCGCTGCCGCTGACGCCGCGAAAAGGGACCACGTAGGCTGCCTCATCACGGAGGTCGTGTTTCCTGGCTTCGCATGGGAGGACCATGCGTTCTTGACGAAGGCAGAGCTCGAGAAGCTGTACGGAGGCTTGGATGATGCCAAGGAGTGGCTCGCGTACGTGAAGAGCGGATGATTGGCTGAGGTTAGCCTGCGATCTTCATCTTCTGTGAGCGTAATGTGCACAATTCCAGATCTGAACACTTCATTCGCATGTTGATCACATATACTGCACAAGCATGTATCCCAGCGTTGAATAAACGTAGGATCATCAGAAGATCAGGTTTAACCGCCTATTGCTGGATGTCCTTTGACTTCACAGAAACCATCAGACATGGCGTGCAATGGAAGCGATTTAATTGCTCACAGGCCTCACTGCCGGTTGGCTACATGGAATGCAGTGCGGGCAGTTTCATGTACAGATCTACACCTCGCGCATCGCAATCTAATGACTCTTCATGCTACCAGAACCCATACGCGTATAGCTTTCTCATCTGTTGCGTAAGTGGTCCCTGTTTCTGTTTGTTACGCTAGTACTTACGCACAGGGACTCGGGAAACCATTGCATTCGATGTCCTTGACCGGTACAGGTCCGCGAAGGCCTTCTCGGCGTACTGGACTGCCGTGATGGCATTGCGTTCGGAGGTTCACCATCAGCTCTGTGGTCTGGCTATGCTTTATGGTGACATTCAAAACTTTAGGGTTCTGCCACCAGCCTGCCCTTGAGGCCTGAATTGTGACTATCCCCGCGGATTGTCCCAGGCCTAGTAGCCTTCTCGCCGGCCCGTAGTACGTGCAGACTTCTCACCGGCTCGATCACGGGCATGGTTTGTGCATGGTCCGCGCACAGTCCGTACGCCAAAGTAGTGGTGGAGCACAGCAGGCGGCGTCGTCATCTCCATGCTCGCAGGATATGGTCTAGTATGGTCAAACATTCAAGTTACCGATGCAATACATTGGCGCATACAGAATTGGTACTCATGGACAGACGAAGTGTATCTCCGTCTTCCAGTCAACACGAGATCCGGAAGCTGGCAGTCTTCCGTGCATCATTATCAAGAAACCTAGTTTCTGAATGGGAGGCTGATGACGCCTAGCCCACACTCGCACGACTATAGCGGTTGTGGCTGTCGGTATGGCGGTTGTCAAGCCTGTGGCCCACGCGCTGATGTTTACTTGGGGAGCATTTAACAATGGCGTTGCGCTGGAGCGGTCTCGTACGTGCCTTGCGTGCCTTGCGCGAAGATTTGGTGTCACTGCTCTCTGGTGGGTCTGTTTCCAGGGGATTGTGTCGATGAACAGGGTTACTGAGGCCTGCTTTCAGTAGACAGCGCCATGTCAGGTCTTGATGTACCCCGTCATTCGCTTGATCCTCTCCCCAAGGTGCGTGGCGAGTGAGCTGGGATAAGCTACCTCTGGACTTTTATGATTGAACATCTAATAGGGTCTGCCCGCACGACGATCCCCATGGTCGCCGTCGCCTTCTCACATTCCTGGTGTTCAAAGGCCTCACGGCAGAAACCAGTGGTCCAAAGTATCACACTCACTTCCTACATCAGTTCCTTCTGACGGTATATGCATTTTTCCCCATAGATGCCAGACGATGACGACCGACCTTCCAACGTGAGTAGCCTTGGTTCGCCCTAAATTGTTCTCAAAAGAGTCTGATTGCATTCTCCAGTCCGATATAAGGCACGATGTCTGGCTTCTTTACAACGAGCAAGCCTCAAGATGGCGCAAGGAGTTCGTTGAAGACTGGAACAAGAAGATGGACGCCCTACTCCTCTTTGTGCGTACACGCGACTACTCAAATCAGTCATTGTAATATACTGAATGTGGCTGAACAGGCGACTCTTTTCTCCGCCGTCATAACCGCGTTTGTAGTCCTGTCATATTCAAGTCTTCGCCCCGACCTCCTTCAGCAAATCGCCGCCTCATTGAACGCAAGTCAAACCGTCCAGTCGGTTCAAGCCTCAACAGAACCCGTCCCAGACAGCAGCACCACCTTCATCCCAGAGGCCTACGCCATTCGCGTCAACACCTTCTGGTTCGCAAGCCTTGTAATTAGCGTCTCCGTCGCCTTTCTCACCATCCTCGCCAAGCAATGGATGACGAACTTCGACGGCGACCTCCACCCCTCGGTTGAGGGCCGTGGCCGGCAACTTCAGTATCGCTACGACAACGCGCGCGCGTGGAGCCTCACTTCTTCGCTGAAGTGTCTCCCTATCCTACTGCACGTGTCGCTAATGTTGTTCTACGCCGGCTTGATCGACTTCCTCTGGGAAACCAACTCCACCGTCGCCCTTGTGGCAACGGTCCTCATCGGGTTGACTGTCGCGATCTACATCGCTGCCTACTACGTGCTCTCGCACCTGTCGTGGACGGTTAATTTCCTCCGGCGGTCGATCTACATCTTACTGAAGATCACAAACCTGCTACTCAAATTCTACCGCGGCTTCCTGCGCGTGCTCTCCTGGTGCGGCGTCGAAATTCCGCTTTGGCTCGTGTACCCCGCACGGGGGCAGCGCATGGAGTACATCATGTACGGGTACGCCGCGCCCCTCGTCGACTCGCATTCGCGCGAGATCAACTACATCTTCTCCAACCCGGACCTCATGGATTCGCGCGTCCTCTCGCGCATGGTCGCCTCCTTCCAGGCTGGCCTGTCCGACCACGATGCCGAGTTGCTCGTGCACACAATCGTGCGCTTCCCGCTCCTGACCACGTACCGCGACCTCTTTATCGACGCCGGCACCGTGCGCTTTTTGACCCAGTGGCTGCGTTGGCACGAGGAATTCGAGTACGCTGAGTTTACCCAACCCATGCAGAGGGAGTTTGCGCTCGTCGAGCGTGCCCTCGCGCGGCTCCTGACGGAGGTCATCGAGCCAGAGGACGACTCGCGGGCGACTCTTTCCCTGTGGGGCCCGCCACGGACGTACAAGCTACCGCAGGAGACGATGTCGCACAACGCTGACCTAGCGCTGCGGACACTCAAGCTCTCTCACCTCGATGAAAGTGGGGAGGGTGAAAACCCCGGTAACATCATCCTGTTCGCACACAGACTCAGGCTGCAGCTCGTCGCATCCCCTCTCGATTGGTCTGTGGGACCCCTCAAAGCCTCCGTGAAGGGGTTCTATGGCCGTCTGTCGGCTTACCAGACGCTGACCCACTCAGAGCTAAGGAGCGAGGACATGATGTCGCTCGTCAACACTGCGATCTACGTCGCCACGCGTGTTATTGACCCGCAGCAGTGGATCAAGCCGACGGACGTTGTCGCCGAGCGCATCGAGCACAAACATGGCGCCCTCGACGCACTTGCCGCGCTCGTCTTAAACAACCCCGGGCTCGACTTCGCGTTAGTGAGGCAGATCTGTTGGGCCCTCTGCGTGCTCTCCATCCCCGAGCGCAGGCTCATCCCGAAGTTCAACGACTTCCATTTGTTAATCACCCAGGTGCGCTCCACTCACAAGCTGCTGGACCCGCTCCAGCGGAATGTCCTGGCTCCCGCAAAGCAGGACGCTGTCATGCTCCATGCGGTGCTTGCTGTCTTTGAGGAGCTTCTCTATTCGACCTCTGCCGCCCGCCTCACATCCGCCCCTACCTCTGACTCGGACGCCCTCGATGATCCCGAGAATGCCGACCGCACCCAACTCCTCACGGCACTCATCGCGCGGTATCTTACCTTCCTGCAAGACCTTCGAGACGAGCTCGAACAATCTTGGACCTTTCCCACCGAGCAGAGTCCCACCGGGAGTTGGCAGCATGGTTCGTTCTCCCTGCACGACTCACTGCGTCTCCTCCAGCGCATCGTTCGCATTTCTGGATTCCTTGGCTACTACTGCCTTACCGGCCTGGGTACCCTGAAGATTGACCGGGAGCAGATTACTCGCACGACGCTCGAGATCCTGCAGTTCATGTGCACCTACGACCCCGCAGATAATGGCTCTGAAGACCAGATTGCAGTGCACCGCGTTGTGTATGGTGCTGCCTGCCGGTTCACAGTCCTCAATTGTGACGTGGAGACGCCGATCGTACCGCCTGCGAACGAATTTATCTTCGACAACTACTCCGCGAGTGTTGCCGCGGAGCAGATGGTGGCAGCACTTCGACTCGTCGCGTCTGCAGAATCCGAGCCGCCGGAGTCGGTCAATAATGTGCTCGCTATGGTGGCGGACCTGCGGTACATCTCGAGCCACCCGAGGTTTCGCGCGGAAATCCTGGCGTACTTGAGAAGTCCGAAGTCAGATATGCCGGAGCTACTCGACTTGCTGGTCGAGAAACACTGTGGCACTGAGGCTCGCGAGGCGATCGACACGCTCAATGGGACTGGGGTGTTGGAGAGACCGCGAATCGCGCCTCCGAGACGGATGCCCCGCGCGAGGAGATCAACACGCCCGAGGATGGATACTACCAAAGCGGGTATCAGGTTGAAGGCACGAGAATGATCATGTGCTTATAGATGGATTGTACCGGGCTCCAAGCGTACGAAGAGGAATGAGCTCGAGCACGCTTGCTGATGACGCCTAATAGATTTTGAGCCTCGGACGATGCCAAGGAGTCGGTCGAGTGCGGTAAGAGCGGGTGATTGGCTGAGGGTAGCCTGCGATCTTGGTCGTCTATGGGCATAATGTTCACGTTCTTAGTTGTGCAATGCCACGATTGTGCTTGTGCAGTATGACCGGGGTTTGTCTTGTACGCGAGAGACACAATACACGTCGCCGTTGGGGGTGTCGCGGAAATCTGGTTCGTGATCAAAGACAGATCAAAGACAGGAGTTGTAACTAAATAACTAACCAGTGAAACAATGTGGTCGATACGGACAATGCGGGTGGGCATAACGGAGGCGAGCGTCAGCACGATGCGGCCGATGTTATCAGCGTGGGCTTGCCGACAAGGGCTATAGATGCAGCTCACCTCGATAGATCAATTGTGTCCCTCATTCTGCTGTCGGATGTCGCGTGCGGAGGGCATGCGAATGCGTGACTAGGTGGTCGGACGGTGGTCCTCCTCGTCTTCCCATTTCCACTTGTAATTGATTGTGCAAATGCGAGCTGCTGGAACATCCGGTTCGGGTCTGTAGCTCCTTCACTACGGCCGCACAGATGTTGTCTCTATTCTGTGAGTGACTCGGGTAACGCAAGTGTTGTCTGACCGCGCAGGTAGTAAAGCGGATCCTCCAAGGGAATAAGTACTGACTCGAGAGGTGTTCAGGAGGAAAGGACAAGAAGATATTGCACGTGAGCGGTGTCAAGCTGAGTGCGTGGCCATTCGCTGAGGTCTGTTTGCCAGGGTGTATGTAGAGACGACGCGGCAGAAGCTGGCAGAAGAGAACCGGACGAGTCCGAGACGCGCGGTCGCGCCGTGGTCGCGCCGGTCAAACGCGTCTGTGGCTGAACTACGTGTTTCATATGTAGGCGCGCGACGACTCTCTCGTTGCGCCTTGGTTGCGCCTCCTCCAGCGACACCGCCGCCCTTGAGCTTTCGTCGAGCTTCGGTCCCTTCCTTTTTTCAGTTGCATCTCTGAGCTTTAGAGCAGAATTCTCGTTCTCATTCCGTCAATAATCTAAGTAATGGCCAATTCACTTGTCGACCCCCACACCTTGGTATCGCCCGCCTACCTCATGTTTCGGTCGGCGGGCTTTACAGAAGAAAGAGCGATAGCAGTGCTCACCCGGACAGCAGACAAGGAGCGAGATGAGCAAGCACGGCAGGCACGCGTCGTCGCAGAGGCACAGGCAGAGCGAGACCAGGAGCTAGACGTCGAGGAAGTGGCCAATCAGGGCAGGGAAAGAGAGAAACAGGAGGCAGAGTTTCGTAGGGATGAACGAAAGAAGAATCCATACAAGTACGTTTCTATTCCGGATCGCCCAACCCCTGGAAGCGGCCTAGTCCTAGCCTCGCCATACGCCATCCGCCGCCTCGAAGAGGGCGAGTACGTGGAGCTATACTACTACACCAATGCAGGACTTCTTGCAGCAACCGCAGCCGTTACACAGGTCGGCGACGCGCTGGCCATGAAGACCGCCAATGAAGACGGCACCACATCCTGGGTACCCGCTACAGTCACCCCGGACAGCGAACTCACCTGGGAGCAGTTTCAAGAGGCAGTTCCGCGATTCATCGTGGCCATGAAAGAGGCGAGATGGGCGGAGCAGCGGGTCATCATGCTGTCGAAGTTCTGGGAAAAGCTACAGGTACACAGGTTCGGCCGCCAGTGGTGCCCCAATCCAATCGACATCCGCGCGCTCATAACGTATCAAGCGGAGCAGCGACAGAGGTGGCACTTGGCCATTCACGCGCCCCAGGGAGCATGGAACATCTCTAACCTGTCGCAAGAGATCCTGCGTGAAACACACGACCGCGCGTACAGGGAGGACCGCGCTGTGAAGGACGCAGAGTCCGACGTAAGTAGGATATATTGTATCCAAGTCACACCAATGCTGACCAGGCCTCATGACAACCTCAATGGGCTTCATATACCTTGGTCGCGACCATTAACGGATTACATACCGTTCACCGCACCATACACCTGGCAATCGCCGCACCATGTACCTCCCAACACGATTTGTTGACACCACGGGATTCGTCTTCGTCTACTTCACCCTCTGCCCGGGCCCCACCCGACAACGCACCACGCGTTTTGCTGGCTCGCTACTCACAGGCCCTCGTGAGTGCCTTCCATCAGAGTAACACTAGTTGCTCAGGGAGATCGGCGCAGAGGAACAGATCTAGCTCCAGCGGCGGCGCCGCAGTGCGTACCAAGACCGCTAGGAATGCGGCCGGCGCACCGTACCCCAACCAAAAGGGAAGCCGCCGCAGGCGGTTCGGTCCTTAGATAGGCTACTTGTATGATCGAAGGTGCGTCGACTTCCGAACGGGAGTAAAGGCTGGGCCGCAACGCGTCGTCCCAGCTTCTTTGCCTCGGTATCGCAGCTCACTCGTAACTCCCAGATCCCGGAGGGCCGACTCGGGTCGGGCAGCCCAGAGGGCTGCGCATTGCACTCGCAACTTCTCGGTGCTCGCTTCTACCGAGTTCACCTTTCTCGATCTGGGCGGCGATCCTTTGATTGACGTCCACATGTACTGTAGTACACCGTCTAACCGGCCTCTATTTTAACGCAGTACCTAGAAGGTTGTCTGGCTGACAGGCTGACCGGTCGGGCTCCAACGCCTCTGGCTGAGCCAAAGCTACAGCAAGTTCGGCCGCATCTGGTACTAGTACTCAGTGCACCACTGCTACCCCCAGTTGCTATTAGTACCATCTACGCGATAGTGTGTTGCCGTCCGCCGTAAGCAGCTGTTCTTGTTTTCCACAGTCATTGGCTCATGCATTTACTATCGATTTGCCGTCCGGATGGTTATCATGATTATTCGGCGCCGTCGACGTCTGACGCTGGCAGCAACTCGGCTCTACACACAACTTCGGGTCGTTGCCAAGCTCACAATTGCCTGTATGACAATAGCTACCAGAGAACGTTTTTCCGATTTGTATTGTAAGAGAACAATTGCGTCGCTTTTCTGGGACTTGGGTAATCCACCGTCGACGAACGCACACTTAGGGCCAACTTGAACAATACGAAGCGTGGAGTCTTGTTACATGGTGCGCGTGGATCTATCCACTTGTCACTTGACTCAATCACTTTTGTCCAGAGTGACTGTGACTTGAGGTGATATAAAAGCCAAGGGTGAGCTCTGTGTAGCTCATCGGTCCCCGTCCCATATCTGCATTTTCAAACTTCACACTCTGAGCAATATGTCCCAGCAGTCCATACTATCTAACGGTGCCACCAAACGTCCAGATACCATGTGCGTACAGAAATCCTGTTCTTACCTTGCGAAGCACCAATGTGCCACGATCTCCGATTACAGCTGTCTCACTCACAAAGACGTCATCCCTCTTCGCTACGACATATACCTCAAATTCTACGCGCCTGTCGACTTCCTGGCTAGAAAGTTGGCTACGACATCTGTATACGGATCTGTTTCCATCGCGGAACCTCTTCGACGCATCGCTTCCTTGCAAAGACGCGCCTTGAATGCCTCATGCGCCAGTAGGCGAATGGAGCTCCCGCACAGTCTTTGTGTCGGTCGGGGATGCGCTACGCGCCCTACCGCATGCTCCGAATTGCGGTCGCCGAGACCCAGCTGGGCACGCTCCCGCCGAATGCACGTGTAACTATTCACAGCGCGTTCGAGGAGCGACACAAGATGCTCCCCACGCGCGCCCATGGGCGGAGAAGAAGTGCGTGAAGCACGTCGACTTCCTCATGGACCTGTGCCACTTCGCGGGTCTGTCCATCGTTATGAGCAACACGTTGCTCAACTGCCAAGGGCCTGGGAGACGTCGAAGATCTGTAGCTCGCCATGGCCTGATGCGGCACGGCAATCTCTCAAGGCATCTTTCCTGGGGGTCACTTGCTACGATCTGGACACACCCAGCATTCCGCAGTGTCCGAGCCATGATAGCGAATGCATGAGCCTCTTATATGCTCGCCAAGGGTGGTGTGCGGTCGCGACAACCGCACACCAAGAGGTCATGGGCATCACGCTTTAGTGTGAGGAGAACGGTCGCATATGGGCTTGAAGTACGCCGAGGCAATGTGTCTGTAGGCAGTTGAAGCACGTCGCCGACTTGCCGCACATATTCTCCCTGGGCGTAATAGCGATTGGCCGTGGAAACATGTCGCAGACGAGACAGCGAGTACTCCCGCTCTGCATCAAGCATCAATGCGCAAAGCCCATGGAATTCGAGCCAGTACTGCACCTCACTATCCCGTACCCACAAGGGGCCCTTTCTCGTTCTCCAACGCCCAAATCTCGGCGGACGGCCGCGTTCTTCCAGCATCGAAAGTCGGCGAACCACGTGTCAAGTGGGATGTAAACCATGGCGTATGAGAAGCCCGCACCCACGCCATACGGAGCGGAGGCATATGTTTGATGCATAACGAGCCCACCGCGTATCCGGTTGACTACCGTCGCGATTTCCTGTGCCACGACATAGTCGCTGAGCGTGCACCATCGCATTTCGAACCGTGTTCGTGAAGCCGACTTCGAGAGCTTGGTTCACCCTGTCGATTGTAGTCTGACCATTTCCGAGTTTCCACGTTCCTAACGCGATGCTCGCAATCTCTGTTCCTGGAGTGGTTTGTGTCAACCTCAATGAATCACATCATACGCTGTAATTTACACACCATCATTGAGCTTGATCGCATCCCAAGGCGTGCCGGCAACGACAATCGTCTCAGAGGGCTGACGAGGGAACCTGAGTTGCTCATTCCATCATTGGGCATACCCAAGCTTTGCTAGTGTCGTTCACAGCCATGAGACTACAGGTACGGTTTCGCCACGATTTTCCCAACTCGCAAGTTCGTGACATTATCGTGGAAGGTCGGCAACGAATGCATCACCTACAGGCTCCCTTCTTGAAACGCCTCGCTGCGCATGTATTCGTCGATCCTCTGACCCTCTCCTGCATCGATTTCCACCAGTTCGGCTGTAGCTTGTCCATCCTCTAAGCCTGCCTCCGAGTTGCCGCTCGTAGCGCGCCACCACCGCGTCTGCCCAACAAAAGCCGGCTCATCAAGGCCATTCCAGTCCTGTACCATGTAACCGGGCGACACGGAAACGTAGCGGAGGGACGGTACCGCCTTCAATACGAGGTTGGGAATGGCGTCCCGCAGCTCTTTCCATTCGCTGCCCACCATCCAGTCGTCCCAGTCGTCGTCTTCGCGAGATTGCCATTCTTGCTCGGTAATGGTGTCGTCGATGAACTCGACGAGCCTGATGCGTATGCAGAGAATGCCGCAGTTGGAGAACATCGGGAGGTACTCATCCTGTGGCAAACATACAACATACATGAAACGTGTAGCAGAACAAGAGCGGAGCTGTGTATTAGGACAGACGTACCAGCCAATCCTGCGCGAGATCGGTGTGGTCGTGAAACAGCACATCCAGATAGCGTAGTCTCGAGCCAGGATGCTTCGCGACGCTTGCGAGCGACTCCCAGAAGTATGGAATTGAGAGCACGCGCGGATATGATGCACGGAATATGGTGTCGATCGTCTCGCTCAAATCAGACCGGTCGTTGTTGACGGATACGTCGAAGACACGCAGGCGTGTCGTGACTTCAGGTACCAGGGTGTCGATGGTGCTGTACGGGTTGTGTACATCGTCGGGGTAGAAGGGTCCACCATCGTTTACGGCCGAAATGTACAGTGATGCTAGATTCGGACAGAGCGCCACGACGGGCATAGGGTCCATGTTTTTAAGACGTAGGGTCTTTGCGTTGGGCCATAAGGAAGCAGACTTCGGAAGCGGTGACGGCGATAGCGGCTGATATCGATCGTGATCAGATTGCACGAATGTGAATTCGTGAAGGATGATGGTCGACGCCCTCTGCAGGACGTTCAGCTCTGAAAGCATGGTGCGATCTATCAGCGTGTGCGGCTCGGTATCCGTCGATAGTGCTTGGAAGCGCAATACATCGGGCTTGGAGGCCAGCCTCTTGCAGAGGTCTAGGCCTTTCCCACCGACACTCCGAAGGTCGAGTTCGCGCAGGTCATGGAGAGCCGCGATTGCATCGCCTAGTACATGGCCATTCCGGGTGGCCAGATGTTGCTCAAGAGACGGAACTACGAGTGCTTGCAGGTTTCGCGCCCGTTTAAGGACGTCGGCAAGTGGTGTGTAGCCGTCGGGCAGCTCGTGCGGGGGGAGACTCGAAAGATTAATGGTGAGCCTCCGTAGACATTGCAGGCGGTACCCATCGTCCTCCTCGAGCATAAACTTGTGAAACTCGATGCTTGCGAATGGCGCTGCAATCTGTAGTGAAGAAAGAACGCGCCGTCTGGCAGCTGTGCCTACGGCACGGGACGTCAACGCCAGCTGTGCGGCGGCATGATGTGGAAGCCATGAGACGATGATCCAGAGGACGTCGTCGTCCAGGGATAAAAGATCGGTACGCGATGTCATCCTCCTAGTGGATTCCACGCTGCGATGAATGGACCGGGACGTCACTTGAGACAGTTCTGAGTATGAGTGAAAACGTACCTGACTCTGAGCCCGCCCTAATCTCCAAGAGTTTGCGAAAAAAAATGTCACTGCAACGCGTGATATATGTTCAGCGTCACTACGAAAATGTAGGTGAAGTGTAGTCAGTTCCAATCTACGTGACAAAAGAAAAGACCGATACTTACTCGACCTGCTGAGGCGAACGCTGATAAGTATGTAGTACGCGGCGCGCGCCGTTGTACTTAAGTAGGTCGTACACACCTCACGTGCCGCAGCTACATGTGGCGTTCGCTTGTGTCATACAGTACCTGCATCCTTTGTAGCCCGCCATCGCCACGAAGTAGGAGAACATATAATTTGACTCGTCCAAGCGGCTCCCTTGACCTTCACGGACTACATCCTGATCAGACTTCGATTCAAGACTTGCCCCACATGCAGGCAGCTCATGCCCCCAGCTTCCGCCACATCTCGCCACACATCGTTGAAGTGAACCCGCGTCGCATCAGCCAGTTCCACGACTCGCGAGAGATGGTCCTCGCGATGTATGGCGCGATAGTCGGTGCGTAGATTGTATACGTCGCTGAAGGCGACCGCAACTCACACTCCGGCCCACGGTCAGCGCATGAGGGCTACTACGTCGCGGGGATCTTGCACAGGAACGTGTGCGAGGCGAATATCTGGATATTTGAGAGGCAGACGGAGGAGGGAAAGCGGCATGTCGCTGGCGCGCTGCTCGATGTTGATCGCTGCGACAGCTACAAGAGTTTCAGGCAGGCTGAGCGGCAACCTCCGAGGAGCAACGCGGAAGAGGAGGTCGACTAAGCCGTGTGGTAGCCCTGGGCAAAGACGAGTGAAGTAAGTGACGGACTAATCTCGCGTGCTGTGCTTCATTGTTCCACCTGCAGTGTGTAATCGATGTTCAACGAGTGTGATTGTATTGTGATGTATTGTGAAGTTGCCAATGGCCTCGAGCGTCAGGGCGTCAGGCTCGCGCGTGTCCGCGACCATATCGACCTGAGTGAACTTATGTCATATGGGTGTTGTTGACCTCTCACGTTATTTAGTTCGTGGCCCTCGAAATGATCATGGCAACATACTACTGGACCTACTCAAGCCAACTGAAGTGCTAACAAATGTGCGTATACCTGCATCATGACTCGGACCCGTTTCATCGCGTTCTCCGCGTTCCAGATACTCGCTTTTTATGTTGCCCTTCTATTGTCTTGCAGGACCGACACAATAACGTCAGGATGACAGGCTTCGCAGTGTTGGGCGCAATTGTAGCGCACACAGACGACGACAACGCGGGAGCGAACGGTATAAAAGGGCTTCTGGGGACGGTACGTTCTCACTCAATCAACCGCTTGGGTAACAACACTGAACCATCTGGAGGCTTCCTATCCTGTGGGATATACTGTTCCTGACTCACTGACAAAACAGGGAATACGTGACTTACGAGAACTAGCATTGCGAGCAGAGCAAAATCAATGAAACATGCCACCGCAAATCGTATTAATTCTACGGCACTCGCATGCCGACCCTGGCAAGATATTCATCAATTCGGGAGCTGGCCACGGGGGTGGGGAGAACGGTCGCATAAGCATGGGTACCATCTTCCGGTTGATATTGGCCTTAGGTGAATAACATCTTACGCCGCTGGGCGAACATCGGCGTACTGCAGAGCTCACAGTGGTCTTGTTTCCTCCAAAAGCAGCTGGTTTCGTCCTCGGCATTTTGGTCGCGCCATCGCGGGCATACACTCTCCGCACGCATCCCTCAAACACAGCGCCGCGGTGCGACGCACATCGCCTCTGTCCCGCCTGTACGCACCCGGGACAACGTCCACAGGTAACCCTCGGAGTTCATCCCGTCTCCGCCACCCTACGTCGCCGCCCCATCCTATCTCGCGCCTACGATACGAACTATGTTTGGCCTGTACAGCTCATCCCCACTATGGCGCATGCCCCAAATGTTATGTCCTTTCGATACATCTGCAGCTGTATCTACTGAGTAGAAGTAAGTCGACTCATATAGTCCCTTACTTGATATCTAGCTGACCCACGATTCGCTATCATTTGACCGGCCAATATTAGGTTGTCCGATGCGAACAGTCGCTCTCATCGAACGCCTCACCTCGTTCGCAGAGATATCTCTCATAGCCTGCGGTGCGTCCCAGTCTCGTTCAGTACGATGAATCTCGCTCACTTCCATCTCTCTAGTAGCAACTCGAGCCAATCGTTCGCATCATTCGATGCGTTGGCCCTCTTATTCCGTCGAGCTACCGCTGGCGAGAACTGGATGGGAGGCGCATTACACTGCGGGTGCGAGGTTGGGGTCGAGATTAGAAGTTGACGCTGAGGCAGACTCTGAACGAGAGTCGGAAGCTGGTGGCGAGTATCTTGTCGCATTCCGTTCCAGTGGGTCACCCGTCAGTGTCAAATGACCGCAACTGATAGCCCTCGTTGCCAGTGAGGTATCTCCGCGCCATCAGCGTGGACTGTCAATGTCATGCTAGGAAGCTAGTGAGTGTACCTCTTGTGAGTCATGATGCTTGCTGACTGTGTCAAGCGTTCGCGCGGACTTAGCTCAACGACGTTCACGGCCACGCGGAATCAACGATGCAGTCACCTCCCTACTCTGTATCGTTGATCGGCGATCTTCACGAGTGCGCCGGGTGACGATCCTCCCGCCCACGCATCAGCGACGAGCCACCCCATGCTCGCACGAGCGAATGGTGCCCCAATTCCTCGTGTCAATGGGATGCGACCATGTCACACCACGGGATAGGATGGAGGGAGAGCCTTATGTCCCCCCGGCTCCGACGGCTTCACCGTACTCTACTACACAAAGCTGGACAGGTTGTGTGCACCGTCGGCTCGAGTCGTCGACTAATCCTCGATGGGCATCTACGTGGTGGACCAGAAGACGTCGAGCGACATGAGACAAGGACGCGATCCTTGCACGGATGGCCCAGCAACAGCCGTAACTCTCGCACTCGGAGATACTCACCTTCTTCCGCTCGCGCACGGCATCGTCGGTCGAGCTCGCGTGCGGTAGGCTCGCGAAGCGGTGAAGCTGCCGGTGAACCTCTCGAAACCTACGGCAACCTCGGTCTCGACGACCGACCGACATAGCCTCCCTCAGGCTCCCCTCTCTATTTCGTTCACCTGTTACTGCATTACTCTACCTGACCTACCATACTATACATCCGACTCTACCGACATGCCAGAGAGAAAGCACAAGGTGCCTGCGACGGTCACTGTAGGAGCCGGGAAGGGTATCGTGTTGCCGGGGCCGCACCTGAGGGCGGCAGGTTGCCAGTATAAACAGCCCCGTGCACCGTGCTCATGCCTCGCTCTGAGCCCGACCGCTCGTCCAGCCCGACAGCCGTATCGAACGTATGTCGTCTCCCGGGCGGGAGTCCCCCTTCCGTTGTACGTGACCACACCCCAAACATCGCTCTGATTATCACACTCGACGCCACACTGTCGTCTACACGCGTCCCACATCCCTACTCATCTCTCCCTTACTGTACATACACTCGCTCTAGCCTCGGCGACGAGCACATGCTAAGATTGATTATGATAGCACGGACCCGCATTCACTACGTACGCTAGAGCTTTGTCTACATAGGGCTCGGCCCTCGCGGACAATAAAGGGATTCAAAAAAAAAAAAAAAAAAAACCTCTCGAAAGAGGCGCTCGGGATCAGTATCCCGCGGTGCAATCGCCGGAGTCGACGAGGAAGTGCGATGGGTTCTCCCGTCAAGGCAAGTTGGCAAGATTCCGTGTTGTTAGAGTGTGGCTTTGGACATGGACGCACTGACAGGTGTGTGCGTGAAGAGGGGTCGTACCCTTTGCGACCGGGATCCCATCCTCGCCATATCTGCGACCTGCGACCTCATCGACACGGCGAGTTACGTTTGGAGGCGCAGTCGGAACCCCCGCTGTGTAAGTCGTCCAACGAAGCCCTGCATGCACGAAGAGTCCGCGTCGACCTCTGGGCATGGCGCAGGAATCTCTGCGAATGGACAAGTTCATCCTCAGCTATGTAGCTGACCGGAGCGTCAGCCCCAAGGGCCTGCATGAACGTCGTTGACGGCGTGGTTGTGCCGCCAAGCCGACCTTCGACCAACTGCCGCCAGTACCGACTGCAATACCCCCACCGAGCCTAGGCGTGAGGAGTAGCATGCTCAAACATCATCAAAAAGAGTTTCAGTGACGGCATTGGTGAGACTTTGCGCACGGTTCCATAGTATTTTTGGAGACCGACGCTGATCCTTCGTGTGCTACAGCGGTCGTCCGGATGGACGGAAGTGAGAGCTCCTCATCATGGACAACGTCGATCTCCTTCGGCCACGTATCGTCTGATAGCGATCACAACTTACAGACAATCATACCCCTCCTGCGGTGCCCACGAAAGTCTCACTAATCTTAGCTATCGCAATTGCAATGTCGCCAATCCTCTGGCATGGCGCTGATACTGTCTGTGCACACTCAACAGGAGTTCCTCACCGTGTCTTCATGGATACCTCGCTGGGTGAGTGGTTGCATATTATCGTAGATCAATGTCTGACCTTGGCTGCCAACATCTGATCTCGACTAGCCAACTTCCTCAGTACCTAGTGACCAACATCGACCATGAACATAACGACATACTAGTACTAGTATGCGTCAAAACGAGTCGCATAACCCTCCTCCACTCAGACCAGTAAAGCAGTCCTACAGTCATCAGATATCCCGCGGGCGAAATATTGGTGGGACCACAGTCCTCCTGCGAACATAGCAGGACGGTTACGTCGAGCTGTGCGGTCCGTCAACGAGTGAGCACAGCGGACAGGCACCCATACTTTGTTGTAAAGCACGGATGCCTGTCCGCTGTACTCACCCCCGCACGGCATAATCTTGCCGGTACATCATCATCTGCGTTACATGTCATGACGCGCAACTTCTTCTAGACAGGCCGCCCTATGTAGATTTGTTCGGTCGAACGTTGGTTCTCTACGATGTCTGTCTTACCTGTGCTCAAGCGCGGGACGGACGCCTCGGCCCGGGGATCCCGAGTGTTGACGGGCAGTGAGAGCACTGGTATATAGGCGGTTGCTTCTCGCCACAGTGGGACCGGAGGTCGTTAGGCGAAGGTATACAACACAGCGCCGGGCATCCCGCCGGTGCTAGATCGACGACCAGTGTCACGCCCATATATCCTCGGATGATGCGCCGAATTTAGGGCACGAGGACTCAGAAAAATGGGACATGGCCTAAGATCGACGCACCGCAAAGCCTGTGCTACCAGGACTTACAGTGAGTTCGGCTTTTCTCGGTATAGAACGTGTATCTGAGTCTAACAATGGAGGTCACATTGTCTAGAGCACAAGTGACAGTAGTTATCGCGTCGAGGATGCTAGACGATTGCAATGATCACTACGTGCCTTTGCCACTGCCAGTCCGACATATTCAGATGCTGCGCATCGCCCAACGGCGCGCATCCCAGCGCTCATGGACTCAGACTTGCCAAAACGGGCGTGCAGTAAGTACTTCCAACAGCACGCTCACACAGGCACTGCCACACGGCGTAGTTGTCAGCGCTCGGCTATGCTACTGACATGCCATCCGCAGGCTATAGTGGCACTGACAGCAGCGCCATCAGTTCAATGACGCATCCCCGCCCATGGGCGACGATCTCGCTGGCATATAGTCGGGTGTCAGCTCGCATGGTGAGTGTTTATCAACCCTCCTTGCCTACGTCTGCTTGCTGAGGTCAGTTTTACGCGATGAGCGGCCTCGTTCTGCAAGAGAAGCCAGGTGTTGCGCCGCAGGTTACGTGAGTCGCTGGGATCGCCGACTTGACGACATCAGGTTACTGACGATTGTCATCACCGAGATCAGACTATACGCCAACTACTGCCTCGTGGCTGCCCTCAGTAGGTCTCGACTGTGCCTCCACATCGAAGCAACTACTGAACTGCACGCGACAGCTGTATGTTTGTATGACCATTGCCTCGTCATCGAGCAAGAGATCGAGTTCGTATGGCGCCGACGCAACTCGCCCGCGTCTGTATTCTACGTGCTCCTGCGCGTGGTGACGCTCTGCAACTTCGGCCTACTCATGGTCAAGGACTTCACGAGCATGGATTGCCATGTACGTCCCTCAGTGTTTCGCGTCGCGCGAAAGCTCATGACATACCTCCGCAGAGGTACGCAATCGTCCGACATGCCTTTCACTTTTGTTAGGTACTCATCATCCTTGTAGTGCGCGCCCGGTAGTCCTCGCCCTCAGCATCGTCGTTATTCTCTACGTCACGATACTAGCAGGTGCGTTGGGTATCCAATAGTCGGTATGCAGGTTGCTGAATGGTCCACAAGGAATATCCGCATTACGAGTATATGCGATCAGTGGCCGGGACTGGCGCCTCCCAGTTCTCATCCTCCTACTGCTGCTCCTTCGAGTTTCTTTTCTCGTAGTAAGTGCCCCGCTCAGCGATGTGTCAACCGATCTATTCAACAAGTGCTGCGCTGTCGTACATCGTACAGTTCAACTACGTCTCCCTGACGTCCATCCCTGTGCCTCTGCCCTTAGGCTGTATTCTTACAGACTTAACATCTGCACTGAAACCGTGAGTCTCGCTGTCTTTCGCGTGATACGTAGCTCATTTTCCCTTCAGATGTTTGTACCATTCACTTGCTAGATGGTCCCCGCCCACTCACTTCGAGATTTATTACAGACCTTACCGTGTCATTAGTCGCCTCGATCGCCGCAGATAGCGTGGTGATTTTCGAGACCTGGCGTCAAACCTATCGTGTCTATCGTATGACCCGCCGCGACCACATACAAGCCCCGCTCACGGCTCTGCTCATGCGCGATGGTTTGTCTTCCTGCATTGACCAATCCCGATCCTCGCGCTGACCTGTATGCTGGCAGGGACGATCTATTTCGGGTAAGGCTGACTTCGATGGTAACGTAGCTCAGCAGCTGAATGCCGGTGTGTGCAGGGTGGTCATCATCATCGATTGCTTAGACCTCATCTTCGGATGCTTCACGGCGCATGTAAGCGACTTCACACTCTCTCAACCTCGAGGGCTCGAGCCGAACCGGTCATTCGCAGAATTTCGATGGGTTCTATTATATCGGCACTGCGTTCGTCCTCCTCCTCACTATGTCGATGGCTCCGTACTCACAGCCCCCTATACAGACTCATATGTATAGTGCTATCGCGTTTCGTCCTCAACCTGCGAGAGGCAAGCCTCGGCGAGCCCGCCAGAACCACAAGCTCTATCCTGCCGACACTGTCATCGGACATCCGCTTCCCGTCGGGACTGGACGCATTCGGGTCTATGCTGTCCGATATCCTGGATGACGATGTCTCTCTGGACGAAGATTGGTTCATGGATGACGATGAAGACTAGCGAGGACGTTGCTCTCGCAACCCTCCGGGGCAAGTACAGGAGATCGCCGTGGGCAAGGCGTTTCCGCGCATATAGTACCCGTGCCCGAGCCAGATAACCCCGTCCACGGCTGCACGGCCTGCTGTCATTTCTTGGAACCGCGCCGCTGTATAGCGTGGATACGGTCACGTAGATGGCACACTGGCAGTGCAGCAGATGCTTTTTGATTGCTGGAGGAACCTAGGTCGGTCTACAGAAGCGGACAAATTCACCATTGTACTCATCGAAACAAGAGATACCCAACATCCACGCACATACCACAGTCACACCGCCAGTACTATGATATATTGCGTCGGAGAAAGCATACACGGACGATGGTAGTAGTAGTACGTACTACGGGTACGGGAATGCATCTATACTCTTCTATGTAGTACAGTAGATTTGTAGACGGCAGTGGAGTATTGATCGCAAAGACTCCCGTGAAGCGCAGTGCATTTCTTACCTCATGTTCAATAGAAAGTGTATACCGCAAAGTCCATTAGCAGCTCTGCGGCCTGTCGCGGAACTGTGAGGGATTGACTATGAGGCCGGCAGGCGCTAGTCCGGGCATACGAGTAACGACCGCGAGAGCCTCAGCCACAGACGCGTTGTGCCCTCATCTCCTGCGACTCTTTAGGGCCCCATACCTCTCATGCCCTGCTATCTCTGCCGGAAAGCAATCTCCAGTGAACGATAGGACCCCGATTTATTGGTGGGGAGGCCTGATCCCGCCGCCCGAGATTTTGGCATTTTTGTCCGGACGTAGACGTCCAAATTTGTCCGGATTAAATCAGGCCTCAGGGAGGATTGTCCGCTGCTGTCCGGACTGTACATCAGGCCTTGGTACGAGCGAATCGGTGTCCGGATTGCAAGATCAGGCCTCGTCAGCCATGTAACTCATGGTAAATAGAAATGGTCGGGCAAGTGAGCACCAACGGTGCACGGATGGGGTGGCTACTGGTCGATGATCATGCCAGCAGTCGTATTCGTCGCGCACAACGTGCTATGGCTGCTCGGCATTCGACGTCAGGGAAGTCATGATGCCGACCTTGCGCATGCAGCGGACGTGTAGGTCAGCTTCAGGTTGTGCCGCGACAGGTTGCGACGCTACATGGACGGTTGAGGTGTCCGGACAGGATCAGGCCTCGCGGGGCTGGAGGAACCATGTCCGGATACTTTTTTTTTTTTTTTTTTTTGGAGGGCTCTTATGGATACCAGCAGTTGACAATTGGTCATCCCCGGAATCCAGCCAGCCAGCGGGTTCCCCCGCTTCTTGCGTCCAGGGTAGAAAATGCTTTTACGCACGGCTATCTTAGCCAGTGTGGGACTCTATCAGCCTTCACCATGAGCGTCACGTTGGAAGGATGTAATACCCACTAAAACCCATTTACAGTTCGTCCAGTCATCAGGTAATGCGTATTCGTCTGACAACGTTCCTCTCCAGGTACCTGTGACCATCTTCTTGTCTAGGGCTTGTCGGCCGAACCTTCGGTGCGTCATTGTCTTATCAAGATGTAGTCGCTTGTTCATCATCGAGGTCCATCTCGCTGATATCTCTCTCTCCGTGTGGGTCCATTCTGGTATGTCTGCGTGGCCAATCACTCTCTCGCATCGAAGGCACCAGATTAGGTATGCCGATTCCGATATCAGTATCCTCCAAAACCGTTCGGCTGTCGGTCGGCGTTTCATCTTGGGTGTGTACCATCTGCGTAGGCCAACACCCATTATCTCATCGTAGCTTGGTCTTGTCCACTCCGCTTGCTTTTTCCTCCAGATTGATCCAGCTAGGTCCCAGACAACGTCGCGGCCAGGGGCCTGACATAGTGTCATGATGTGTTCCATCGTTTCCGGATTTCCGCAGTGCGTACATGTTGCTCGCTCCTCGTAGTTTGGGATGTTCTCCCAAAACGCACCACACCTATGTGCGTTGTGTATGCACTTCCAGAGGAAGTCGGCTACAGGTTTGCGTATTTCTCTGGCTCGGAGACTGGTCCACACCTCCTCTTCGGTGACTCCGTGCTCGCCACTGTCATTCGTGCCGCTGATTATGCTTTCTAGGTTTCGTTGCGTAGACTTTCGACGTGTTTTGTAGGTCAGGCGTATCATTCTGTATGCTAGCTGTTGGGACAGTCCCGATATCTTCACTCCAGATAGGTTGAAGCTGCGGTTTGTAGCTGGTATTACTACTTTCAGTCTGTTTAATACCGTTAATTCCTTTGCTACAGTTCGTGCTTTGTCAATGAATGACCATTCCTCGTCGCCGTCTGCTTTGCGGAAAGTTGTAGCCGCGCATCGTTGTCTTAGTATGTTTACCAGTGCTTTCCAGGCTAGACGGTTGCTTATGCCTCTCCAGTCCATGCTTTCCCACTTCTCAAGGTCGCGTGTAAGCACTATGCTGAGGATATCCGTTTCACAAATAAATCTCAGGGGTACGTCCTTGTGTGTTAGTTGTGCAGCATGGATTGCAGCTGCTATCTCTCCACTCGTATAATTATCATTTACAAGGTCCGTCTCTAGACCAACAAGGTCGTTGTGTATCGTTTCTAGTCGCATGATCAATACTCCATTCCCGTCAGGTCGTCCATACTTCCTACATCCTTCAGCAGGTTCTGGCCTTGGATTCGCTAGTATGTATGCGGTTCTTCTTTCTGACTCTACTACTATCCCCCTGCGAGCGCGTATCGCTGGAGGGTTGTCAATGTTATCCTCGTCGACGAAGACTCTGAACGCTTCCGCTATTCCACCTCGCTCTGTTACTGATGGGTCGAACGTTACGTATTCACCGTTCTTATCCAGGGCCTTTGTATTGGCCTCCTTCCGGCTCTTTGTGAGTGTCAGTCTATCATTCGGGGATGGGTCTGATGGATTCCATTTCAGCCCGATATCGCCCAACAGACGGCCGGCTGCTATCCTACATCTTATTGGGTCTTTGCATCCCAGAGACCTGTCTGCCGTGCATTGGTCGCACTGGCATACAGTCCTAGTTCCAGTTCCTTCCGCCTCTATAGGTGCGTCGTGTCTCGCAGCTTGGGCGATATCGGCTACCGTAGTTACGTTGTGTACTTTACGCAGGCACTTACTTAGTATCGTGTTGTCCAGCCGGCGTAGCTGTTTTGTTGCGCTGATATGGTACCACATAGGTAGTTGTTCTTTCAGGCTTTTTTCAAGTTTGATTGCAGCGAAGTTAGCTTTGTGCTTCTTTGCAGTCTTCAACATGGACTTGATGTAGTGCGGTAGTGGGGACTTCGCATCCATTCGCGGCTTCCAATTCTGGATGAACATGTTGAGTTGAGTTGATCTTTCTATAGCTCCGGCTGTCTTACTGACGTTCATCGCTATGATCACGTCCATTATGTACGCCCACAGAGGTCGGTTATCGTCCAATTGTAAGTACCGTTTTAACCACATTAGCTCAATCGCTTCATTGCGACTCTTGAGATCTAGTATGTCCTGTCCGCCTTCCATTGCTTTCGAGCATAGCGTGTCCATACTGATTGGCGGAATCTTTCCCTTTCCCCATACAAAGCTTCGTATCATTCTGGTGAGAGTTAGTCTTATAGCTTCCGGCATCCCTTGGACCGCTGTTAGGTACTGAGTCATGCCGCCCGGACCCATCTGTATGATGTGCCTTTTGCCTGTCATAGTCGGGTTACAATGGCTCCATCGTTTCAGGAACCTCTCTACTTTTTCAACTGTCGGGCTCCATATTGCAGCATTGTTAGTCTTGTTACCTATCCATGCTCCCAGTATTCTAACCGCTTCTCCATCACGGGCGATGTGTATGTATGTAGGGATCTCAGTGTCGTCGTCATCATCGTCGGGGTTGATCCGTCTGGACTGGATTACTGCAGACCGGTACGGTTCGCTGCCTATGGGTATGACTTCCGTTTTGCCCATGTTGAATCGGGCTCCTGACGCTAAACACCATTTGTTCAGGATCGACCATAGGTCGGACCATTTGTCCGATTGGGAGAGGAAAGCAGAGGTGTCGTCCGCAAACAGCGAGGTTATCAGCCGCTCCGCATACCCGGGTATGTTAAATCCTCGAAGGCTGGAGCTACGTAGGGCACATGCTAACGGCTCTATTGCTATGTCGAACAATAGGCATGACAACGGGTCACCTTGTCTGACGCCGCGTGTGACTCTGAATGGTTTGCTGGACTCGCCGTTGATCATTACTACTGTATTCGCGTCTTTGTACAGGTTCTTAATGCGCTGTATGAAGGATTTAGGTATGCCCGTCTTCTCTAATGTGGCCCATAGGTACTCATGTTTAATCTTATCATACGCCTTTTCTTGATCTAGGGCTATTATCACGCCGTTGTCCTCGGTCGCCTCCGCGTAGTCAACCATGGTTCTACACGTCTGGGTCTGGTCGGTTATTTTGCGTCCTGGGATGAATCCAGCCTGATTAGGGTGTACTATTGTCTTAACTACCGAGCCTAGGCGGGAAGCTAGGACCTTGGTATAGAGCTTATAGTCCGAGTTGAGTACTGTTATAGGCCTATAATTACTGATATCCCGCCTATCCTTTTTCTTGTAAATAGGGCACATCCAGCCATCGGCGAATCCTGATTGGGGATCGATTCCAAACTTCTCCATGTCTCGGAAGAGGAGTAGAAGTAGGTCTATGCTGTTGAAATCTGTGTTATTGTGATCTGACGTGTCCTCGCCGCTGCGTAGCGCTTTCCAGAATTCGTAGGGTATGCCGTCCGGTCCACTGGCTTTCCCAGTATTGGATTTCTTCAGGGCAGTCTCTATTTCAATTTTGCTTATTGATGCCTTCAGGCTCTCCATCTCATGTTCGTATAGGGTTGAGTTTAGCTCGTTGGTGGCTTCTAGGATGCGCTCCGTCGTGGAGGTCTCATTCTCAGGTTGTACATCTTCTCGCTGCAGCTTGTCATGATAGTTCCGTGCTAATTCAGCCATCTTGTCTGATCTGTTTACTGTTTCCTGGGAGTTTGGGAGCCTCAGAGAGTATATGATATCTCTCGGTTTCTTTTCTCTGTTGATATTCGACCAGTATTTGCTGATAGACTCTGCGTTTAGCGCGTACCGGGCTGTCGTCGTTTCTCGAATATGTTGGTAACGCTTGCGTTCCAGGCATATTGTCCGGTCGAGCAGGGCCTCTACTTCGGTGAGAAGCTTATGATCTTCTGTGTAGTTTGGAAGGCTTTGTATTCTATTGACTTCCCTTGTTAGCTTCTTAATGGCAGCATCAAGCTTTGGGGCCTTTGTCTTCATCATGGTACGCGCCGAAGATATCAGGTCAGTTTTGAACTTCTTATATATCGTTTGAGGGTTAGTCACTTCGGTCCTATAGCCGTGTTCTATGCAGTGCTTAGCCTTCGTAAGAGCATCGTTACCTAGTTCTCGTGCTGTCTTCAGGAAGTTGATGTCGTCCATTAAGTGAAGAGGTATCGTCCATCTTCCTTTACCGACGTATGGTGATCGCTCTGTACTTATCTTAGCAAGTACCAGTCTGTGGTCTGTTGGTACACACGTCGTCTTTATTTGCCATACGTGGGACGAGTTCAGGATATCATCAGTTACGTATATACGGTCTATCCGTGATCTGGACGCGGATGCACGCTGTGGGTATGAATAATCCCTTTGGTTGGGTTCTGATAGTCTCCACCCATCTCTAAGTTGAAGGCTCGTCAGTAGTTCGCGGAGAGCCGTTATTGTGTCTGTATTGTCTTCACGAGGGGGCATTCGATCAATGGCGTCTTCTGTAATATTGAAGTCTCCAAGTATGACGTCTGGCCTCGTTCCTCTGCGGTTCTCGTAGTATTCTGCTATAGATATCCAGAAATCTCTGTTTTCCTTTGCATTATTGGGTGCGTACACGTTGAGAACGGTTATCATCTGTTCATTGTGCCATCTAGTCGTTATTGATAGGGCTCTCCCTGGGATGACCTGTTTAATCGTGATATGGGACGTATCTACAAGTTCTCTATTCAATACAAAGGCCGTCCCTTTGTTGGTCGTTCCATTCTCAACGTGCATACGTCTTCCGTATAGTCTCTGTATAGTGTCTACTGTTTCTGCGTCCAGGTGTGACTCCTGTAGGGCTATTATCCCAATTCGCTCTTCACGAAGGAGTTGGTTCAGGGAGTTCCATTTGTTGTTTGAATTCCCCGACAAGCGGCCTCTCCCATTCATGTTCAGCGAGGCAATTGTCATTGTTGCCTTCGTCTTACGTCCTTTACGTCGTATCGTGTCGGGGTTAGCATCTGCTAAGCCGTTGCTGGGCATATGTGAGCTACCCTCCGCGCCCAGCCTGCTACTCGCTCCACGGAGGGTCGCCCTGCTCTCCGTTCCTTCCGGGGGGTCACTGGGGCTTCTACGGGCAGGGGGCGTGTCAGCTCCTATCCGCCCGGAAGAGTGTGTACCGTGTGCCAGAATTTCGTCCGTGTTTGTGTGATGTGTTTCGTATTGCGCCGTTGCTAATCGAGCTTGCCGCTACAACGATCCACGGCAAGTGGGAACCGCTCCTGGGTTTCGCAGGGGACATGCTAGTCCTTGTTTGCACAAGGACGTCGCTTCAGCCTCTCGGCGGGGCAAGTCTAATAGTGCCCCTTTTTTGGGGGTTGTGATCGCGGGCGTACACACGACGGCTTTCCTGTCCCGCTAGGCGGTCAGTAAATGTGGGCGCGTCGATAGATGTGCAGTCCTCGATCTTTAGTCAGTCAGTTGCGTGCAGAAGATTTTGCATTTTAAGGTCGTAGATGTTACATCAAGCTGTTTGGTCATGTATCAATGGATGCGTCGTAACGTACGGAGTGGCCTCGACTCGGAGCGTCTGCGTATGTATGCTGAGTTACTGGGCGAGGTCATGGTCAAGGTACGCGAGAGCATCTACATACGTCCTACATGCCGCGTCCTCTAGCTCCTCGTCCTCGTCCAGTGCCACGCCCGCGGCCGCCTCTTCCTCCTCCGCGGGTAGTGTTCGCTGCCTGCTGAGGTAGCAGGTGCTGCGGAGGGTGGTGCCAGCCAGGCGTGTATCGAACCGGGCAGCGTATCGACGTGTGGCCCAAGGAGTGGCAGAAGCCGCAGTAGATACGGCCTGCGAAGGGGACAGGGTGTCCAGTGGCGGGGGACCCAAAGCCGTGTTTGCTGATCACGGCGCAGAATCGCAGCCAGTCTTGCCAGTCAGAGGTGGGCGGGGCGATGTGAATGAATGCTACTGGCTCAGAGAGGTGAGCGGTGACGTTGACAGTTATCACGTCGACGTCAACGGAGTCCAGGATCGCGCCGAAGGCGTCGTCCCTCGTTGAACGACGCCACTGGCCGCCGCGCTCGATGTCTGCAAGGAGGATCTCGATGATTACCTTCCTGATGTCTGATTCCAGTAGCTCGCGGCGGACTATAGCGTCGTACTCTTCTTTCGAGTGGGCTCCGAAGCGATATACGAAGCGAAATGCTGCGCACAGGGTAGGGATGTCGTGCGTCCATCGGTCGAAGTTGAGGGAGATCTTCTGGGAGTCCAGCCATGCTGCACGGATGAGCGCGGCGCACCACTTCTCAGTCAGGCCGAGGATTAGGTACCACACCGGCTCCTTGTTCCGAGGCTTGGGAGTGTTGTCATCGTCGGTCGGCTTCTTCACCGAGTGCGAAGGGATGATGACGATGCCGAGGATCTGTGAGAGGCGTAGGAGGATCGCCATGATCTCGTCAATACGCTCGTTAACGCCAGGTCCTTCCGTGCCGAGTTCAGCGACCTGCACCACTACGTACGGCTGTCCTTTGATTAGCTCCTCCCAGGCTTTCACCTGCTTCGGGTCCATGTTCTTCTTCTTCCAGTCGGGATGGTCGCCCTGGACTCTCCTGAATGAGCCTGCGGGGGGCACGACGACGTCGGGGTCGCGCATGATGATGTCGTACGGGTCGGGGGATGGCGTCCTGGCAGACTCGGGTTGGGCGCGGCGTGTCGTGGCTCTCGCGACTGTTACGTCAACGTTTGTTTTCCTTTATTTTGCGCTTGACCGTTGTACTACCTTAGCATGGGCCCAACCCCATGACGCTACGCTTCTAGTCTTCGGACTCCTTCGCTGTTCGCTCCGGTCCAACCCGGGGCAGTTCACGTGATCTCTGACTCAGTATGACTCGTCGTGACTCGTCTCTTACTCATACCTGACTCATCGTTTATGACTCGGTCCCTGACTCGTCATGACTCACTCCCCCGCGCTCCTATTGGCTAGGTAGTTGTGACTCGTCCAGGACCTGCCCTGAACTCCCCATGTATATAAGACCAGTGTACAGTAGCGGTCGAACCTCAGTTCGACCTGGTTATCTATTGAAGCTTCACCAGCTCCTTGGATATCAGAAACTCCCCGCTCGACCTGCTAGACGGACTTAGCAGCGTCTCAGACCATCCTCCCCATCCAAGGACGATTAGAACCTAAGGTCCCTACGTTTAGGGTTAGGTTGAGAGCTAGTGCTCTAGGTGTCACGCTTCGCGTAACATAAGGTCGAACTGATCTTTACGCTCCGCCTGCTCAGGCGCAGAGCCCACACATCTTCACACACGCTTCCGGAGTGCCCCTCCGTCTAGGGGACTCCCCATCCACCACGGACTACCGAGTTGAGATCGAACCCGTTACCTACGGGCTCCCAACCCTACCGAACCTCTGGTGGAACGACGACCTTCGCCTCTTCGAGTATCAGAACGACACCGGTGAGCACAGACCTGTGCTTGTGCAAGAACCAGAACGAGAAGGAGAGAAGCGCATTTGGGCCTTCTTCCACGACACTGTTCCCCTCGAAGAGCAACAGAAACAGACCCGCGCCTACCTAGACACCAAAGGAAAGGCTGCCGAACGGATCAGGAAGATCCAAGACGAACGACCGAAGCCGGCGACTCCAGCGGCTATCCGACGAGAACTCTCGAAGCACGAAGCTACTTCCCCTGCAGTAGGAACTAGCCCCCTGGTACACGTTGTACCCGAAGTAGGCACATCCAGCCTTACCCAGTACTCCTCGAACCTCGCTACAGGTGTCGAGAAGAAGCCTCTCGAACCGGAACTCGAGACGCAGTCGAACGAACCCGAACCCGAACCCGAATCCGAACCCGAATCAGACGACGCAATGTCTACCACCCGCACGAACACGGCTACTAAGCTTGAGGTCCCCGCACCTGACAAGTTCAAGGGACAAGCTACCGATGCGAAACCGTTTATCCGACGTCTCGAGATGTACTACAGCGCAACTGGCAATGCCGATGCCAACGATCAACGGAAGATCGCTTACGCTCTTCTCCTCATCGACGACAACAGTGATGCTTTCTACTGGAAGAAGCTGCACATGGACGGAGAAGCTGATGCCCAAGAAGAGGGCAAGCATGCGTTTGAGTCCTGGAAAGACTTCAAGGAAGCCTTCTTGAAGGCGTTCCCCGTTTATGCCGAAGGAGACAGAGACTCGATAATGCTTACGACTCTAAAGCAAGGGAAGACTCCCACTCCTGCCTTCATTCCCAAATTCCGATCCATCGCGTCCAGAACCGACCTCTCTGATAAGACCCTCTCCGGGTTCTTCAAGAGGGCAATCCGCCGTGATCTCCTTGACAAGGCAATGAATATGGAACCACCCACGACCCTGCAAGGGTGGTTTGACCTTGTCCTCCGACTCGACTCCCGCCAGATCTACAATACCAATTACTACGAGGGAGGGAACAGCGGAGGTAACAACCACCGCTCCTCCTACCCCTCTGGACGAGGCAGCGGACGACTGGACGAACCTATGGAGATCGACGCTATGGATCAGAGGGAACGGCAACGTCACCAGGAACTGGGCCTCTGCTTCGGATGCCACAAACCCGGACATCTCCTCCGGAACTGTCCCGAGAAGAGACAGAACCCGAAGTTCACCCAGCGCAACCGAACTTCCCCACGCCGTGTGTCCGCCTCCTCTGCCCACGTGCGAGAAGTCACTCCCGCCTATGTACGAGAAGTCTTCCAGGAACTCCCGCTCGAAGAACGCGCCCCGCTCTTTGAGCAAATGTCGAAGGATTTTTGAGTGGGTCTGAGTCATCGATGCGCCCAGACCCCACCTATGCACTCCACATATCCCATGTAGTAACAGGAATCACGCAATTCAAAGCCCTTTACTTTCCTCTCATGGTGATCGGAGTGCATCAAGACATCGAAACGGAAGCTCTCATCGACAGTGGCGCAATGGCCACGTACATCCACCCTCGTCTTGTCATCAAACTACGCCTACCCTCGGTACCCCTTGTCCGACCCATCCCGGTCTTCAACGTAGACGATACTCCCAACAAGAAGGGAACCATATCGCACGCCGTCGCCCTTCGCTATCGATGGAAGGGAACAACCAAGCTTGTTAAGGCGTACGTTGCCGAGATCGGAAGACAGGATCTCATTCTAGGCCATGAATGGCTCCAGAAGGAGAACCCCATCATCGACTGGAAGACAGGCGAGCTCGAGTTTGAAGACCAGACGTACTGGGCCAAACGCGAGCAGAACGAACAGCTTAGCAAGGCGGAAATCCTACGAACTATCAAAGTGGAGCTACCTCCCGCTCCCGTCTATCGGATCCGCCGACAAGTTGAGGAACCACCCGATCGGGCCTGCAGCCCCGAAGAACCCCGTGAACCAACCCCACCTCGACGAGTGACCGTCGAGGATGTTCCCGAGGAAGAACACGAGCGAGCTGTTGATGCTCCTCAGAAGGAAGTTGTAGCGGAGACTTCTCTCTTGGACGAGCCAATTGAGGAACTCCCCAACTTCCCCCCTATGAACCCACACCCTGAACCGCTCGAGAGCGAGGAAGATTATGAAGCACGACTCCGGTCCATGACCGAAGATCTGGACCCTGACGAATTCCTGGCATCGTATGCCCCTGGTGCAAACTACTTGGCAACACTCGCTTTCGTTGAAACACCATTGACGCAGGAACACGAAGACACCCCAGAGCCCCTGCCGTCCAGGCATGCTATCAATCGGATGATACGAACCGGCACCGGCGCACTAATCCCCACGGCATTTTCGATCGGACGAACCACCACGGCCACTGAGCTAGCGCTCTCTGAGTGGGTCGGAAAGAAGCAGAAGACGGTTGAGGAAATCGTCCCTCCCTATCTGCATGACTTCCTCCCGGTATTCGATAAAGTAACGGCATCTCGACTCCCAGAGCACACCGAGTACGACCACGAGATCAACCTGAAACCGGGGTTTTCGGAGATGAAGACCCAGGTCTACCCTCTCAGTCATGCTCAACGCGAGGAACTTGACAAGTTCTTGAAAGAGAACGAGTCGAAAGGTTACATACGACCCTCCAACTCTCCGATCGCCAGTCCTTTCTTCTTTGTTGGAAAGAAAGATGGAACATGGAGACCCTGTCAGGACTACCGAAAGCTTAACGAGAATACGGTCAAAGACCGCTACCCCCTCCCCCTGATCTCAGACCTCATGGACAAGTTTAAAGGCGCAAAGATCTTCACCAAGATGGATCTGCGCGCCGGCTATAACAATGTCCGAATCAAGGAGGGCGATGAGTGGAAGGCAGCTTTCGCGGTTCCCGGATCCAACCAGGGTCCGCCACGACTATACGAACCCACGGTCATGTTTTTCGGTCTATGCAACTCGCCCTCGACGTTCCAACGGATGATGAACTCCATCTTCGAAGATATGCTAGCTGAAGGCTGGCTAGTCATCTACATGGACGACATCCTGATCTACTCCGCGGACACCACAACACACCACGAACGGACTCGACGAGTCCTCCAGCGCCTCAAGGACCACGACCTCTATCTCAAACCCGAGAAATGCCACTTCGACGTCACTGAAGTGGAATTCCTGGGAATGATAATCCGACCGGACACCATTGCCATGGACCCCGTGAAAGTGAGCGGAATCGCTGACTGGCCCGTACCCGAATCAGTCAAGCAAGTCCGCTCCTTTGTCGGATTTGCGAATTTCTACCGACGGTTCATCCTCCACTTTTCTGAGCGTGCACGACCCCTAGTGGACCTCACAAAGAAGGACGTACGATGGCATTGGGACGAGGAGCAACAACTCGCCTTTGAGGATCTGAAGCACGAGTTTACGCGTGCTCCCACCTTGGTCATGCCAGATGAAACCAGGCCATTTGCTCTCGAATGCGACGCCTCGAAGTTTGCTACCGGCGGTGTCCTGCTACAGAGTGATGCAAACGGAGACTTGCACCCCTGTGGCTTCATCTCCCAGTCCTTGAACCCCGCCGAACGGAACTACGAGATCTACGACCGCGAACTCCTCAGCATCATACGCGGTCTGGAGACCTGGAAACACTATTTCCTAGGTAGCCCGCACAAGCTCCAAATCCGCTCGGACCACCGTAACTTGACCTACTGGCGCACCGCGCAGAAGCTCAATCGACGACAAGCACGATGGTCGCTGTTCCTCAGCGAATTCGACTATGAACTGGCACACGTCCCTGGAACGCAAATGACCATCGCCGACCTTCTATCCCGACGCAGTGACCATGATACCGGGGCTGATGACAACGACGACATCGTGATGTTAGCCCCCCAGCTCTTCGTGCGAGCCATCAACGCGGACCTCCTCGATCGCCTACGAGACTGCCATGAAAAGGAACCCATGGTAAAGGAGGCCTTCGATGCTCTCCTTGGCAAAGGACCTGCACCTGCGAAGACCTCGCTTACGGATTGGCAGACGGACGGAGACCTGGTATGGTATCAATCACGAGTGTATGTTCCTCCGGATGCGGGACTCCGACGGAACGTGGTACGCTTGTACCACGAGCTCCCCTCCGCAGGACATCCGGGCATCCACAAGACGACCACCCTCGTGCAACGCGACTTCTGGTGGCCTGGAATGGGACAATTCATCGCACGATACGTCAAGGGATGTGGAATCTGTCAGCAGATGAAACCGAACACGCATCCCACAGTGACTCCTCTCATCCCAATCCCGCCACAACACCCCGCCACACCGTTCTCATGCCAAACAATGGACTTCATCACCGCACTCCCCGAGACTCCCCGCGGACATAATGCTATTTATGTCGTGGTGGACCACGACTCTACGAAGGGGGTAATTTTCATCCCATGCACGGACCAGGTGGACGCCGAAACAACCGCCAAGATGAACCACGACCACGTGTACCGACGCTTCGGACTTGCACGCAAGTTCATCTCCGATCGTGGCCCTCAGTTCGCATCCAAGGTCATGGGAGAACTCTGCCGCCTGACCGGAATTGAACGCGCACTGTCCACGGCGTACCACCCCCAGACTGATGGCCAGACGGAACGAGCCAACCAGGAACTCGAGATATTCCTCCGAATCTTCTGCGCGAACAATCCTGAAACATGGGACGAGATGCTCCCTGACGCCGAGTTTGCGCACAACTCCCGACCTCATTCCGCCATCAAGATGTCGCCATTCTACGCAATGATGGGATATGAACCCCGAGGAATCCCCCACATCACCGAAGTTGCTGACTCCCCAACCACGGAAGAACGACTCAAGCGGCTGCAGAAAGCCCGAGAAGAAGCCGCTTTTGCACTAGAAGCTGCGCAACGAGTCATCGAGAAGAGAATCAAGGACCGCACGCCTGCCTTCAAGAAAGATCAGCAGGTATGGCTCGACACGCGGCACCTCCGCCTCCCCTACGCCACGAGGAAACTAGCTCCTAAGAAGGAAGGTCCTTTCAAGATCACCGAGGTCATGGGAAGAGCGACGTATCGCCTCCAACTGCCTCCGCAATGGCGAATCCACCCTGTATTCCACGCCGGTCTCCTATCCCCGTACAATGAGACCGAGGAACACGGCCCGACCTATACAGAACCTCCCCCGGATGAAGTAGACGGAGAAAACTCCTGGGAATTCGAAGCTATCCTTGGTCACAAGGGAACGGCAAGCCGACGCCGATACCTCGTGAAGTGGAAAGGGTACCCTCCCAGTGAGAACTCGTGGGAACCCGAAGACGTCTTCCTGGGCACAGGGGAAGAAACCCTTGATGAGTACAAGCGCGCGCACCATCTCCGACTCCTCTACGAGTATAAAGAGAAGAGCCGTCTTGGAGTGGTGAGACTCGGACCCCAAGACGACAACGCTTGCGACTGCTGAGTTGAGCTCTATGCCCTCCACCGCTGCCTACGACGACCTCTCCCTCCAGGCTTACTACGACGCGTGGACCATCAACCAGCTCCCCTATCTCGGCCTGAACCGCAAGCAACGTCTCCCACTCGACCCCCGTTACCACAAGTGCCACCGATGCCACTTCCTAGTCAGGACCGAAGGCCACGAAGGCCGGTGCAAACCTACATCTCGGCCTCCACCGAGGCCGGCCTCTTCGACCAGACAACCCCCGCAGCACCAGCCTCCCTCTTCGACTCCCTCCTTCGCTGCCGCCCACTCCCGGGAGGCCACCTCAATTGGCCCCTCGCCTCACAGGTGCTCTCGGCGCCGAACGCCTTCGTCGCCGCACTCGAGCGTAACGGTTCACTCTCCAACGACCCCAGTGTCGCTCTCGATGCACTGGACTCCCTCGCCGACCTCTACGACGCCGCAGCAGACGTCTGGGTCCAGCAGGACCTCATGGAGGACGCCGTCCACCTCTATGCCGAGAGGAGGAATGCATCGGCGCGGAGGTTGATGCGCAGGTTCAAGGATCTCGAGGACCACCCTGCGATGAAGTCCGTCGCCAGGTCGCTTGTCCCTGTCAACGACATCCAGTACACACGCGACTTCGTGGTCTCCCCTACCTTCACTGACATCAATGCCCGAGACTTCGCCCGTATCGTAACCAACTACTCCCCCTGCACCGTTTGTCATGGAACCAACATCTCCTACCACCGCACCGTCGACTGCCCCCACTACCGTTGCCCCCGCTGCAATCGTCGTCAGCCGGGACACGTCGAGTCCCTCTGCTCGGCCAACGAAGCCGAGGCCCCCACCTTCCCGCCGGACCTCCGCTCTCTGACCGACCTCCTGAGAGGAGGAGTGTTCACACAACCGGTGGCAGCCATGTGGACGATGTGCGCGGACAGACTCTACGCCGGAAACCGATCCCTCATCGCATCCCGACCAACGGACTTCCTTCCCCCGTACCTCCGAGCAAAACGAATCACCCTCGAGAACGCGCATCAGTGGTACGTCGTCCTCCACGGCCGTGTCAATGGCGCCTTTGCCGACCCGGCAAGGGCCCATGACATGACCTCGCACATATCCACCGCCCTCGTCCGTGTCTACGAGAGTCGCCTCGAAGCTCGTAACGCCCTCACCGAGCTCCACTACGAGGAGGAACCCTACATCGACCAGACTCAGCTCTATGGGGCCCGCCCTCCACCTAGTGAACGCCGGGAGAATAACGAGAGTCGGCGCCCTGATACCCCGCATCCACACCCTGTCCTGGGGACGGTACCTACCTCTCCCGTCTCTACTCGATCGAACCTCGAGACCCCGAACCCCTCGGAGGTTGACGAGAACGAGCCTCCCAACGATGCCGACCCACTCCCGCTCCCCGTCTACGAACCGGTCGAAGGAATGGACCGCATTCCTCTCCGCCAACTGACCACTTCGCCCACGTCATCCTTCCAACCTTCGCCGGAGTCCACGGTATTGGACCTCGTCTCTACCGACTCGGGGATTGCGGTTGCTCAACTGCGCAGGCATCGTGATGGGAGTACGACATTCTTGCCCCCGCCTGATCAAGCTTAGAAAAGTCGACGAGGACGTCGACTCTAGGAAGGGGCTTATGTTACGTCAACGTTTGTTTTCCTTTATTTTGCGCTTGACCGTTGTACTACCTTAGCATGGGCCCAACCCCATGACGCTACGCTTCTAGTCTTCGGACTCCTTCGCTGTTCGCTCCGGTCCAACCCGGGGCAGTTCACGTGATCTCTGACTCAGTATGACTCGTCGTGACTCGTCTCTTACTCATACCTGACTCATCGTTTATGACTCGGTCCCTGACTCGTCATGACTCACTCCCCCGCGCTCCTATTGGCTAGGTAGTTGTGACTCGTCCAGGACCTGCCCTGAACTCCCCATGTATATAAGACCAGTGTACAGTAGCGGTCGAACCTCAGTTCGACCTGGTTATCTATTGAAGCTTCACCAGCTCCTTGGATATCAGAAACTCCCCGCTCGACCTGCTAGACGGACTTAGCAGCGTCTCAGACCATCCTCCCCATCCAAGGACGATTAGAACCTAAGGTCCCTACGTTTAGGGTTAGGTTGAGAGCTAGTGCTCTAGGTGTCACGCTTCGCGTAACAGCGACTGAGTAACGGCCACGGCCGCGCTGTCGACGAGGAGGGGTCGGGCTGCGGTCGTCATCGGATGAGAAGAAGGATACTCCGCTGCGGGGAGGTACGTCCTCGTCACTGGAGACGTGAATGCTACGTGACGGCTGCGGCGTCGGAGACCTCTCGTCGCGTCGACCTCGGCTCGCCCTGGTCGACACGCGCGACGGAGCCGCTGGTGTCACAGTCCGGACGCGTTGGCCACGCGTCTGGACTGGAGTCGTTGGTGGGATAGACGACGAGACGCGGGCCTGGCTTAGAGGGAACGGGGGGTTGTCATCTGCCATCGGTCATGTTCGTCAGTTAGTTGTCTCGCCTTGGCCTCCTAACGTATAGGCTTACCAGACATAGCAGGGGAGGGCTTCCTCGCGGACCTGCGATCACTCCGTCTCGAGTAGGAGGAGCTCGGAGCAGCTGCATCGGGCGTAAGGTGTCCGAAGTGGTTGTTACGAAGAGAGGTCTGGCTAGGAGGGTCTCCGTGGTTAAGGAGGAGGTTCGGCTGGCCGAACTGCTCGGCGCGGAGGTCGGCCGTGACGTCGACGTCCATGTCGCTGCTGTCGCCGGGAGCGTTGCCGTTGCCATAGTTCATAGTGGTAGCAAAGAAGGATGGAGAGGGGGGGCTCTGGCCGAAGATCGGCAGCGAGTTTGAGGGGAACGAGGACCTTGGCGGGGCGTCCTGGTGCTTGTCAGTCGAGCGGTCGTCGTCGCCATAGTCAGCGGCGACGCGGCGGCGCTTCCTGGGCTCGCGCTCCTTCGGGGAGGAGGGCAGCTCTGGAGAGTCGGCCTCGCGGCTGGTCGTCGCGGCGGGCGCAGAGTCCGTTATCTTGGCCTTCCCTTTGTTCTTCTTAGCTTTGTTCTTCTTCACCTTCTTCGACGTCTTGACGGTCACCCATTCGTGATCGCCGTTGTCTTCGGGTTCCGCGACGCTCTCTGGTTTTGGAGGTTAGTGCTATACGCAACGATAGGATCGCAGTACATACGGGTGAACGGCGCAGCGTCCGGAGTCTCCGTTGGCAACGGGGTAGGAGGAGGCGTGGCCGGGGCTTTGCCTCTGGGAGCAGTTCTGCACTTCTTGTTAGGGGGAGCTTCACTAAGAAGGGCGCAAGCGATACTTACACTTCGCTGCGAGCACTGCTCGTAGACCTCGGGGACGGAGGGCGAGCAGCCATTTGCGCATAGGTGGGCGAGTGCGGCATGGCGTCGTTCGAAGTTCTGCCACTAGGGGCTGGGCTCGCCGTCGGTCCTTTCGGGCTAGACGGACGAGACGCGGGGTTGACGTTGGGGATAGACTGAGACATTGTAGCAGAGATGTTGCCGGAAGCAGAGGTACGGAGTTAGCTGGTTGCTCACTAGGTGCGGTTGCTTGTTGGGCGCGGATGTCGTGTCTCGGATGTCTCCTTTTAAGAGAGGGTCGCGTTCGTCCTCGTCGTTCTATTGCCGCGAATAGTTCGCTGTCAGCTGGCTGCTCCTCGGGGGCTCCAGTGTCGTAAATCCTTGTCGCTGACAGGTAGATCAGTATGGAGGTCTCCTTCGTGCTCCCGGGTTTTGACAGCGCGGCGTAGGTTGGGAGGCCATCACTCACCATTCTGGTATAGCCATGTCCAGATAATGCGCTGGTACGGTGCTGCCGCGCGGTTGGTGGACAAGGTTATGTCGCGACGATGTCGGGCGGGAGGGTCGCCGCTATTCACGTTCCCGCAGTACTTAATATTTGTAACCCGCTGTCGCGGTTTTAAGGGTCTATGTTGGTTCTTCCTGGTGCTGGTTGGCTGGGAGCGTTATTGCTGTTCCCCGTTCACGTACGTGGTGTCGTTAGTAGCGTTCTTTCGTGGCACTAATTGATCATACCCGCGCAGGCACCGTGGCGCATCGCGCCCAACTTGGCGCTCTGTTTGTTCGGTGGGGGCGCGTGGTGTGACGGTGTCGGGAGCGTTGTGTTGTCCTCGCTGCTCGGTATATTACTTTAGGATGGGCTTTTGTTATGGTGCGTCGAGGAGGGGTGACACGTTGCGGGTAGGGAGTGGGATGTGTAGGGGCCAGTTGTCAGTGTTCCTTGTGGCGCCTAACAATCGGTTCCGTTCCCTTTTTGGGAGTGTTGCGGCCTCATGTGCTCCGTAGACCTAATGGGGATATCCGATGGATCGGGGCTCCCGGTATCAGCGGGCACTTCCTGAGCGTCTCGGCTGTGTCTATTGCGGGCAAGAGCGAGGCTGAGGCAGCCGGTTGGGTGTATTACATAGAGCGACGTGTAGAGTGGCGATGGGCCAGTTCATTCCGAGCCTGGAGTCATAGCATAGTCACATGTTTTCATAGTGTCGGTTATCCTTATCTCCTCTAGTCCTCTCCATCCTGCCCGTCATAGTTCATATCCTCCAGCTCCGAACGCAGTTTGGCGAGGAGGCAGATCTCCTTTCCCGCAGTGAGATCGAATTCGTACGGATTAACGTCCGGATCCGCGAAGGGCGGGGTGTCCTTAAAGATCTCGTGAGGTTCGGGGGTAGGCGAAAGCATGTGAAATTGTGTCGCATGGATATGGATCTTGTAGCCGCTGAGGCCGGCCCAGGGCACCGGGACCCGGATCTGCGTTCCTTCACGTGCCCCGGCGAGGCGGAACGTGACCCAGTGCCGGGCTAGGCATGTGATTGTCGATATCCTGCCCGATCCGATCACGTGGTCCAGAGATCGGAGGGTCAAGACGTGGCCGCGGGCCAAGGGTCGCTCTGGTTGCCTGTCCACAACCCAGGTCTCCGTGTGGAGGTCAACGTTGACCTCTGGCTCTCTCCGCACGTAGACCTCCACGCTCACTGCGTAGCTTGGAGGCTTTGGAGCACGGGTACGTAGGAGGTCTTTTCGTATGTCCTTGATTAATCGTCAGATCGTTATCGTAGGTGGTATCATACCTTCAAGGGGAGCAGTCCCTCTCAGCGTGGACACGTCTGGTGCCTTCTTGTTGGCGGAGAAGGTGAGAAACATAGTTCAAGTGATGCGCGTCTTTATTTATCCGGTTACGTTTGTTTTTTATGCTCCAGAGTCTGCTACAACGTGACTTGACGTGTGGGCGTTTATGTAGTTTTTTATGAGGTTATGTGGTGCATATGGTGGAACGTAGTCATAGGAATCATGGGCATGGTGTAGGGCACCGTGCGTTGAAAAATGCCTGCTGTGTCTCGAGTCTTATATGCTCTGCCCGGGAGTATCATCTTCCATCCTGCGGCCTTGCTTCGGGCTCGGCGCTCGGCTTGGACGGCCACCAGATATTCACGTGACTTGGGCGCCGGGGCGGCAAGCTTGCCTTCGCCATCGTGTGGCCGGGTCGTCCGGCTATCGATCCGGTGGTCAGTCACGGGACGCTTGTCCCGCGTCTCAGCGGTATCCAATCGGTCTTATGGGAATCAACCCAGTGACTTGGCAGCGGGTGCATCGCCTCCGTTGTCATGCTAGCCGTCGTGGTTGTCACGCTCGACGCCGTCTAAGAGCATATCGTCGTAGGCTTCGGGTCTCAGATGGGTGGCATTGGTTAGGCAGGGCACTGAGTCTGGGTCATCCCCGTCGCCACGTAGTGTACATTGTGGAGTCGGTACTCCGGGCCAGCAAGAGCAGCTGTTGTGGAATCGTTCCAGCCCGTGTTTTCCAGCCTGATGTCCGCTGGAGAACATTATAGCGCAATTCGTTTCGTCTCCGATGAGACTACTTACCCCCCGGACCACGAGAAGGTCTGCGCAGGACTCGTCAACGACGACGAGCCCTCCCGGGGGCATGTCCGGATACTGGCTCAGGCCTCGCGGGGCTGGAGGAACCATGTCCGGATACTGGCTCAGGCATCCGCCCTCATGAACGTCGATTTTGTCCGGATTGCATCAGGCATACCCCCCTCAAAGTGGCCTGTTTCTGTCCGGATTGGGATCAGGCCTCTCCCCCAATTAATAGGGGTCCTTGAACGATGGACTCGAATCTGTCCTTATATCAAAGCGATGAACAAACGCCACCTGCACACGCGCCAGAATCGCCGTTCCGTTGACCTACCACCAGGTCGCTGCTCTCGTCACGCTTGCCAATGCTCTCAGCCCCTACGCATGTGCCAGGGACTGTCTCATCGAGTACTTCGGATCATGACGACTCCAGTCAGGCCGTACTGCTGCGCACAGTCTGAGCAGCGATAGTGATCTGTCTCAGCATCCAGAGCCCTCGCGTCGTTTGGTCAACTCGACGTATCGCCCCGCATCTCGACAGCTCCTGTATACGCGATGGGCTGCGAGTGGGTCTAGGAGGGAGGAGAGTGTGGCAGTCATAGTCTAGGTAAGTCGTATCTTTGCTGATGAGCTGACTGCTCCATCGCTCAGAGTCATCGCGTCCTCCACAGCGCTGCGACCTCAGAGGTTCCTCCGGCGTGCTGGCCTAGACCATCCATACCAGCAATCTTCTGCTGTAGACGACTGACCACCGCTGGGATCTATACACCAGAGATTGCCTGGTCTCGTAGGGACGCCGCGACTCCCGCGGCACGTCACGGTGTTGGGGCGATCCTACTCCCTGTCCCGCTGCGGGCACCTCCCACAAACTCTTGACTAGAGGTTTCATTTCTTCTGTATTTATACGCGGTACGTGACTATGCTAAATGTGCCTTTGTCCACTGCTCGTGCTGACGCATATATACATGTGTAGTCGCTGGGGCATCACCGGTTCACCGCTCGCCGTTATCCCTCCGTCAGTGGCACGGAGCCTACGTTCTTGTCTGATCCTGTCTGGGAATAGACAATTGTCACTGTCATGTTTCACGTTAAGGTTTTATCGTCATTGGGCGTCGGATGCCGCACAAAAAGCGGCAGTTCACAAACACATCTGCGGAGGCTTGTATTGCTAGGAACCACCAGACCTGAGGCAACCGCGCGGAGTTGAATGGGTCGTTATTGTCTTTCAATTCAGGTGAGTCTATTGTTCTTCTCACCGCCCGCTCGACACGACCTGATATAAAGAGGCCTAGTTGCAGTGTGACGAATCAGAACCTACACTCCTATTCGCCAGACAAGCTAGTACCTCTTCAATGATGTCCCATAGATACTGTTCCGTAAGCCTTGTACCATTGCGAACGAACGCTTCATCTGACAACGCTCACTCTACCGCGCATGTAGAGCTCACGTCATTTTTTCCATCCACACCAGGTGAATCCTCGTAACTACGACACATACCTCAAATGTACATTCCTAGAGAAGCACTCTATCTGGTAAACGGCCACACAACTCCACTGGTGCTCTGACGCCGATGAAGCGACAGTCGTCCGCCTAGCGCAGAAATATGCGCGACGTCGCACGTAGCTGTCCTGCACAACGCGTCTTTTCGGCCGTCGCTGTGGACCCGTGCTCCGAGGCCGGACAGACGCAAAGGCAATCCGCGCACGTTGTGACAGATCGGTCGAGCAATACGGTCCTGTATGCTGTGCCGGCTACTGCCCCTGGGTGCGCTATTCCGACAGCGACTCTGAACACCGGTGTTAAGAGCGGCGTGCAGATCAAGACTCATGATCATCCAAACGATGGGTTTCTTGCCTGGACGTGCCAGTGAGACGCCCAGGTATCGCGGTCGCGGAAAGGTCGTTGGTGGCAGGTCCGTTCTATCTATGCCGCGATTCCTGTACGGTCCCATGCTTACGCTATTCCACCTAACTGCCAGTGTTCCGAAGACGAACGACGGTCGCACGGGAATGGCGGGGACTATGCCTGACGCATCTGCATGTTTTCTTGCGATCGCCATGACTCCACTAGTCGCTTTGCACGCGTTCGACTTCACGCATCCACTGCCTCGGCGAAATGGTGAAGGTGCCAACTCGGACGGGACTGCATCCGTTTCCCCTCACGACCGCGAGCCCAGGGTGACCTAGCTGTCCCTGGTGCAGAGCGAGTCCGCGGCGTCAGCATCGTACCCTTGGGGGAGTGTCGGACATCGCTCACCGCCCCGCTCTACGCGAGCGTCCGCGGCGTCCTCATTGCGATACATGACGGCCCGTCACCGTCGCCGAGCAGCAGCGCGCCGCTGGCCGTCCTAAAGACATGCGGAGGTTAGATTTCTTAGCGGGCCGCACCGTGTTCCAGGGGCTTGGGTTGAAGGGCATGGACGGTAAGATACCGAGACTGGACGTCGCAACTGCTCCATCCTTGTCCGTCAATGTTCCAGCGGTTCCGGCGCCTCATCGTAGCATCGCGATAGTGGACCTCAAGAGCCGACCTCCGCGAATCCCGTCGTCCGCGCATCGCGCTTCTTCACTAGGCTTGCAGCGGAGCCGCTGGAGCTTGCTTGAACAATCATCGACGGAATCCTATGTGCCACCACACCGCTTCATATTCCGCCAAGAAACGTGCGGTTCACCCCTTCACTCGCGCTCTTGTACTCGCAATATCGACCACGTAGCTCGTCCTTCGCAAAGACGTGCATGAAGATCATTGGTAGTAAGCTCCGCCGTCGGCTGTCCTCCATCCATCCATCGACCGAGCAGAAGAGAAAGGCCCTTCTAATTGGAATCAAGTATGATACCTCTGGCTCGCCGGTGAGCCAGGAGTTCGGACAGTTGGACGAACCCCACAAGGACGTCACTTCTGTACGGGATCTGCTTATAGGTACGTGTCGTCGAATGCGACTTTCAGCTCGATGACCAGAGCTTCGTACTCACATTTCTACATACATAGATGTGTATGAGTACCCGCCGGAGAACATTGTGGTGCTGATCGACGGGGAGGGGCGTGATCGAAAGGTGCAGCCCACCAGGGTCAACATGGTGCGTGTTCGCTTCCTATCACATTATCCTCCCGTGCTCAAATGAACCCAACTAGACGAGGGAGATTCAACGACTCGTCCAGGACGTGAACCCTGGAGACCACCTGGTGTTCCTCTGTAAGTACACCTCATCCCTCGCACCCAATTACCTCGAATAACCTCGCCTGTCCATCAGTTGCCGGGCATTTGACTCAGCTCACCTGCTCGGTGCGCATAGAGGATGATGACATGGACGAAGGTACGTCATCATCCGTTCACCCAGGATCTGCGCTGATCTGACCTTCATTACAGCCATCGTGCACATGGATCGCGGCCTAAGCTTATGTTAGACAACGTGAGTCTTAATCCCGCTCTATCACGCCTTCTACTCCAAGCTGATCTTGCTGACATGCGCGTCCACCCACACAGTAACGAAACACCTCATTGACCCACTAAAGCCCGGCGTCCAGCTGATTGTGACCGGACTCGAGCGTCCAGAGCTTCCCTCACCAGGCCCTCGACTGTCGTTGCTATCCTGACGCCGGAGCTACTGTTGGAGGCTACCAGCATGTCCGACGATGACGACGGGGAGAAGGAGAAGGAAAGGACACTTCGGCCATCAAGCTTCGATACACCGTCAGTGAGGCCGACCTGTCTGACTGGTTCGAAACGCGATACGAGACGAACAACAGCCCTGGGGAGCGGCTTCTTATTCCGCACCTTGATATCCAACACAGTCACTGACAGTTACAGCAGCACAGCAACTTCAATATACGTGAAAGTGCACGGCACGGATCGATGCGTTGCAAGATATCGTACGCACCGACAAGGTCGCCCAAGGCGAATAACGGCTATTCCGGCTACGATCCCCTACGTGATTTCTACCTCTACAGCAAGGAAAGGTCTTTCTACCGGAACGGAATCAGAACCGACAGTTCATGAGGTGGATTCAGCCGTGGTAGAAGGCCCGTGCCGGCAGGTGCTACCCAAGATGCTGGCCCGTCTGTAGGCATCAACCGCTATGACGCATTCAACTCTGCATTCCCTGGTCCTGCCGTTGCTACTACCAAGGACCGTGGATAGAGGTCTAGCTGGTCTAATCCCCAATATCGGAGGTGGCAGTACCAAATCGAGGGAGCTGACCCATCCTCGAGACCCGCCCGCGCTGCGGTCAGCGACAACACACGCCTTGTATTACAGATCATCCATGCACAAGACACGAAGCCATCCAACACGAATGCGGTTCATGGCAGCGCTGCCACGGATGTCCCGCGAAGACAATTACCGCTTCCTCAGCAACGTCGACTGCCTACTCCAGTTACTCTCTAAGACGCCGATATTGTTCTGGACTCAGAACACATGGACATGGATGCAGCACGCTCCGAGCCTAGACGTAACATTGCTTCACCCTCCAATGACACGCATGTCTGTGCTGTCTGTGCTCGCACGACAGCACATCGTATGGTCTCGCATGATGCCCTTTGATGTGCTGTCGTGTTAGTTCAGGGTCGTGCGTTTGTTGGAAAATGATCTTCGTACTCGGTACTATACAGAAGCACGACTTCCGGAGTACTAGGCGCTGCCCAGTTCGACGATGGCATTGGAAGGACGATAGAGTACGGCCCAGTTTGGCACTACGGTCTTCTCATCTACGTCCCATCAGGCATTCCTAGGCTAGTCACTGAGTATAATACAGTGACTTCTATGTGTACATATGTAGAATCAGTGTTAGAGTGGAACATCCCCGCTGGACGTACATTCTTATTGTTGGCGTCGCGAAACTGAAGACGGCTGCCTAAGTCTAGACTACGCGTTCAACGTTCAACGTTCGCGTTCAGCCACAGACAGACGCATCTGTCGCGAGCGCCTCCCACTCCTCCCGAACCTTGAACTGGGTCTCACCTTCAACGTCTTGACGCCCCATTCCTCGCATATCCGCATATGTCGTGCATACACAAAATACACGTTGATCTACTGCGTAGCTCTTCAAGTTGCGCCCGGTTGATTTGGTCGTCCAACCTCAGTGTCTGCATTGCACCCAGATCACAGCCTGACTCGACGCCCGAGCACCCTCAGAATAGAGGGCACGACGCACCAGCTCCCTCGCGCTCTAGCAAGGACTATGGAGGGTTCATGAAAGCGCAGACTCGGAACACACCGATCTGCAAAAATATCCCGTTCGCTGGCTCCTCGTCGTGTGCTGTGCGTGTCGCGCCACTGAATGTGAGTCATTAACAAACGCCACGAAAATGCGCTGGACCAAGACAATAAGCTTCTCATGTTGCTTTCAGGCCTGATACAGACCGGGCACGACAATCGCCGGTGTATGTAGGGCCATGTTGGCGCCTGCTAGCCCCATGTCTGGGTCTACAGGGATAGTGCGCAAATTGCTAGGGGTACGTCATCTAATTTGTTCTACAACAACAATAGGCGTTGATTCTCTTTTGTTACGTGCACCGTAGCGACAGAACTCAAACATCTTCTGGAAACATCAGGTGCACACGGACCCACACAACTATCGGATATAAAAGAGCTCCCTGGAGAGATAAGCTGGCTCACAACCCACGTACAACTCGCATCATTGACCTCCACGTCTGACGCATCTTCCAGCAGCCGTTCTTCACACATCAAACATCGCGCCTATCGTTCCGCGGACACACCAGGTCGATGAACCAAATCTCCGCCACTACGCGCCCCGGTGCTATGGCATATATCCCAAACCTTGCCTGTCACGAATTACCCAGTCCCTTCAACGGTGGCCCATCATCCTGCGCCACAAGGAGACATAAGCAAGGCGCGCAAATCAGGACACGTGAGTCAACCCCTTCTCGCCTCGAAATGTACACCTCAAATCCTGTCAGACTCTTGTCGCGAATATTTCCAAGCAGCATCGGAAGGAGCATCCCGACGACGAGGAAATATCAGAGTGCCAATAGCGTCACCCTACGGGGGGTCGTTACCGCAAGGTGGTCGGGACTTTCGGAGGACTCATCAAGCACGTGAAGCGAGTCCATCAACTGCCCCACCTGTGAAGCACTATTCTCCGGGTTGCTGTGGTACGTTCACCTCTATCCGCTCTAAGGCTGTCGTCATTCACGTCGAACTGGTAGACTTGTGGAGCGAAGAACGGAGGTGCGCTACTCGTGCGAACTCGCCTCCGTATGGCTCTCAGTGCACCTGCTAAGAGGCAACCTCGCACCCAATCCCATATCACATCACGGGAAAGCCGATCTCTCCACGAGAGATTTGCTCTATGGATCTCTCCGTGAGGGGTCTCATTGTGTGGAGGCAAGGCATGGTGTTGCAGTGAGGGCGGGACAATCTTCTGTTCCAATCTTTCCGGTGTTCTTGGCGGCCACGGGAGACACACGAGTTGGTCGAAATCGCGGTCTACGCTGTCGCTGCGCGGTGTGCGGCGGCCAGATCGGGGTCATGACTCCACATCCTGACCCCTATTCGAACCTCAACAGGGTCCTTACAGAGGACTCGGAGCAATGGCCTTGCGACGACTTCAACGATACTCTGGTGGGCGACAATCAACATGGTGACGCTGGGATCCCAAGGTATACCTCTTTGAGTGCAGTGTCCTTTGCAATGCTGATTTGATCGTTGGACAGAGATTCCCTTGACAGCCGTACGGACGGTCTTCCTGTGGTGACAGGTCACGGTGTCGAGGGGCGAGACTATCGCCCCAGCAATTTTTCGACTCTTCTCGGCGCACTCGGTAGCCAGGACATTGACATTGGCTATTATCATGTCAATGTGAGTACGCCGATCGGAGCTTTGGCCACCCCGACGCCAGACATGCTTGGCTCCGGGGCAGACAGTGGGATGAAGCTGGAGTCACCCTCTAGCATCACAGCCGCTGAGGGTGGCATCGATGGTCAATACGCGTTTGGAGTCGCGTCGAGGTACGAGTTTCTGCGTTGTTTCGTCCCGCTGACAACGCATCTCATTGTACGTAGCTTGAAGAACCTCCACCCCACTATAATCGCCTCCCGGCGCAACCAGATTCGCTTCCACGCCCACAGAGGCGCAAAATGCACACTATCAGGAAGAAATCTATTCACAACAGGAGATAACCTTGTGAGCCTGCTCATCGATTATTAATCAATGACATTGTCTGACCATATGCAAGTGTATTTACTCTTGGATATAAAGGTCTTGACGCGATATAGGGCACTGCTGCAGCAGGGTAAGATAATCCGTATGTATTGCCATGGCTCCTGTAACTCACCTATGTGCTCATGTTCAGCGATGTGGACCCCGCAAGTAAGATGTCGATAGCGTTCGATGCCCAGTAGACGCCACATGCACCCATCAGTTCGGCCACAGGACTCTGAAAGAGGTGAAAGCTCACCTCGACCAGAGGCATGGCGGTGTCTTCCATAGTACGGCGGCGAGTCGAAAGTGGCAAGATTTGCTGTAGTTTCGAACCACCCTTTCACGAATACCTTAAACGGAACCCGTTTTAGGTGTTCATGAGAGGCTGGTCCGAAACTACTAGTGGTAAATATGCTGTCCGTGGTGAGTCGATTAGGTTGGAGTATGACGAGTGGCGCCGCTTTCGCTGCCGGCTGTCGAAACATCGCCACCACATGTCTCAACTAATTCCTGGTGCCGTGCGGGTTCTCCGTGTCAAGTAGCTCGCTCGCCACCCTCCCAAGCCTCACGAGGGGATTAACCATTGGTATCTACGTACACGCCATATTACTCCCATACGCCCAGCTATAGAACCGCACCACGAGGTACAATTTTGTATCATAGCACATCCCCGCAATGCTACTCGACCCTCGTAGCCACGCTACGTGGCACTTTCGAGTTGTGTACTGTCCACGCCACTATCCACCCTCGCTACGTGCGAGGGGAAATATCATAGCGGATACAGATGAGCTCATGATGGTCGCGAGGTTGCTGATAGTATACGCTACGTAGTATACTATACTTATCGTACGCGTGGTGCCGCACGCCGGTGGACGGGCGGCATCCTCCAGTGACGGTCAGCCACAGACGCGTTCTGGACGCGCGTCCGTCCGTCACACTCTGCGACTAACTTAGCTGGTGTTTGATGTTCCAATTGACTCCGTTTCTGTCAAAAATTGGAAGAAATCTTCGGTGATTTGCATTTCTGGCCTTGTATCACATCTCGGGTATGAACGACACCTGCATACGCGGAACACGACCAGCATCGCTATTCGATTAACGACCGGGTCGCTCCTCTACTTCGCGCCTGAAGGGCCAACTACGCCTACAGGAATTTCAGCAACCTCTTCGAAGACAGATATGTGATTGCTCTGCTTTACTTGCTCAGTCGAGTTGTGCACTATCCGATAGACAGACTCGACAGCTCGCAAGAGCTAGAACCCTCGTGATGTCTATGATACACCGCCGCGGCGTTGGAACGGTTTAACGACTAGACGTACCTGGTTTGCGTCTCGACAGCTTCTGCATGCAAAATGGGCTACGAGGGCGTCGCGGGGCAGAGAGCGTCTGTCAATCAAGTGAGTTGCATAGAAAACCAGCATAGACAAGCTCACGAATATACGTTCGTCTGCATCGCGTCGATCGTCATCTCCGCCATGCTTTCCCGCAACATTCGTATCCGCTATCCTTGCGCAATATGTTTCCTACCATCTCAATCATTCAAGGCCCCAGAAGACATTCAGTACCGTGACTACTCACCGCACCAGGTCGATCCCACCTGGGTCGCTGCTCCCACCGTCTCTTCAAATGCTGAGGGTTTTGACTTCTTCGACTCGTCGACGTAGTCCACGCACGGTGCTGCGGTCAAGACTCAAGATTCAGTGCGGCGCCACGGACGACGACGTAGATCGGTTTTGAGCATTTGTTCAGACGGAGATAAGCCTTGCGTGGGTCCTGTTGAGCTTTACAAGGCTGTCGAGCGGTACGTCGCGTGCTGGATATGCCCTTAATGACCTGAGTGCTGATGGTACGCATATATACATGTGCAATCACTGCCATGTCGCCGTATCTCCCTCAAAACACCCAATGATCGATCGTTCTGACCGTAAGTCCTGTTTGAACTCAGACAATAGTCTGCATCCTGGTAATGACCCGATGTTCCCAATAGAGATGTGATACACAAACCGTTGACGACCGTTGACAATAGAATCGGTGTCGAGGCTTGTGTATGTCACGCACGGCCCAGGTTGTGATATGCCCTTGACTTACCACTATGTTCAACTCCTGAGGTTCTGCTTAGTGGCTGCTGTACACTAGGTACTCCCTTGCCGTGATAACTCGGTACGGGATACATGAAGCCGCGGAACGCACCGATCTGCAAGTGGGCTTCAACAGTTTCTGCTCCTACGGCTCGCGTGCTTCTTGCGCGTCACGTCCGATGTAAGCCTATAAAGAACGCGCCGCGAATGTGCTGCCACCAGACAATAAGCTAATATGTTTGCATGCTGCTTTCCAGAGCTATCGCCAGTTGCGCATGGCAATTGGCCGGGCTCATGGGGCCATGTTAGCTCCTGCTAGCCTGACGCCTCGTTCCGAACCCCATATCAGGTCAATAAGGTAATGCGAGGAGCGTATGGGGTGCATCATCACGTTTGAGAAGCGAGACAATAGCTGTCGAATTCTCTTTTGTCACGTACGGCGTCCTCATGGAGTTCAGACAACTGCTGCGAACACCGGACATATATAGCCGCACACAAGGCAAGTGGTATTTAAGGCCCCCCGAGAACGATGATCTCACTCACAGCCTGCATTCAAACCGCTTCGTTCACTTCCACAGCCCAAGCACCAACGCTTTACTTGGTTCAAATCGGTTATACGGCGTTTCGTGTGCACGCAAGGCTGATGATGCAGCTCGCCTACGGTAAACATGCCGTCGCTACGACATATATCTCAAACCTTTCCTACACCAGGTCCCTATCACATCGGAGCCAAGCCGTCACGTCTGCCGTGCTCGAGATGGACGACTCTTGAGACAGCTCGCTCGGATCACTGCTAGCTGAAACCGCGATGATAATGGACAGCATGGTCGTCTTCATCTCCCTGAACGTATGTGACTTGGGTTCGGTACGTGACTATGTCAGTGCTATCTAGACAGGTCTTTGACGTACAGCAGCATGAGTCTTGCGCAATCGAGCCAACCAAGAACGAAGACGGCGTGTCGTCGAGGGCTGCCTGCCATTGAACCCCATCACGCAGCTTTCTTCCGGCTACGACTCTGGCTATGCCAGCAATCGTATCCATTATTGCCCTCGCTCTTGGACTGGTTCTCGGTCTAGGGTTGAGACACAATGACTCCGGAACCGGGTGGGGTGGAGTTGTTCTGTCACGAACGTGAGTCCGTGATGGATTTCACTACGCTGGCGCCCCCTACTCTGGACTGATCCCGCTGGCAGACCCGTTACCTAGTGGCTGCAAACAGCTCTTCGCCCTCCGACTCGTCAAAGTGCCGTGAAGGTCTACAACGCATGGGGATGCAGCTTTGTCTCCAGGTGGTGTGCACGTAACTGCGGCGGCTCAGCAGTGGTCTTGGCCGACAGCAAGACCGTAAATGCTCTCCTCTCCAACAACACAAACACCAGATGACAGCGGAAAGGAAATCCGATGCTGCGTGACGTTAGGTACGCCCGTGACGACACCAGATGCGACCTGTTAGTCCCCTTTCATTCCCCAGAGCCACCTTGTTATGTCGACTGACCCCGCCTATGATTTATGCAGTCACACGTGCTAGCCCCGCGTCGAAGCTGGGATTGCCATACAAGGGTCGCGCGGAGCCTTGTTTTGACAGCGTCCCGTTGAGTCACCACAAAATGGGGTGGGATCGTCTAAGTACGGACAACGTGAGTCTGCACCACAACCTCCTATGTTGCAACATCTCCGTTCCGAGATGACGAGTCTGACGAGCTCGTCGTCTAGTGGCTGCGAAACCAGGCACTCGACAACAGACTTGTCGACACTGCGACTACCGCAAGTCATGGAGGATGTAATCATAATCCTCAGGCCTATGGTCTTGGCCAGTAAGACTATGATCCCCTCCAACGACCGAGACACCAGACTACGGCAGCAGAGGATCGGTGCTAGGCACGAGCTCGTGGCTTCCAGTGATTCAAGCATGGGGTTGTCTGTTACTGCTCGGTAAGGCCTCAACACCTTGACGTCCACATATTGTTCGCTAAACGATATGCGACTCACGTAGATATGAACGACAGTAACCGACTTGGGATCCATGATGATCCCGACATCCCCGCCTACAGCACATCAATCGATGTGACGGAGCTGGTGCGCGAGTCGCCTGGCGAAGTGTTACACGTCGTGGGATTCCTCAGCCATGCGCAAAGCTCGCAGGAACGGCAGTGAGTCTTAACTATCGTGCGTGAAACGGCTCAACGAACCCAATGATCCCTACAGCTCGCCAATAAAGGCCCCCTCCCATCCTTCGATCACACCTTTCTCGAGCACCCTACCTTTCGTTGGTCTGCCCGTTTTACCCGGTGCATGCCGGAGGTTTCGCGCATGGCAACGCGGTTTCGCTGCGCGGCCTCGCGTCGTGAACTGTTCGGAGGGCGTGTTGTGCGATGGGAACCCCGCAGGATTGGTTCTCTACTGGTATTAGCGATCTTGGTCAACCCAAAGACCCGCCCACGCGCCCTCAACCTCCACTTGAACCATAAGAAAGCTATGGATGAGGACGCACCGACAGAAGCAGCCATCGCCCTCCGGATCCAGAGCCCCACCCGAGCCCCTCGGCGTCAGTTCGTTTCCTGTGAAGTACACCAATCTCGGCTGCTACATGCCAAGTCTATATAGGCGTGAGGTGGGGGCCCACGCACTCCAAGCGAAGATGTCTAAGGGCGACAAGTTAGTCATGTCGATTACACAACAGACACGCACGGTTCAGCTGTGGCAACGGGCTATATGCGCAGAGTGGGCTGTCGCGCAGGGACTATAACCTCGTCTCGGCATGACCGGAGTCCGCCGTCTTCGATGGCTCCCTCGAAACGACATGGAGCAATAAGACCTTACACAAATATGGGTACAGATTCAGCACCAAAACAAACAGAGGTGCTCACCTCGCTCGCGCAACGGTATACCGTACCACAGGGCATCGTGCACTCGTGTTTGCCCTGGGCCTCATAAGAGCAACAATCATCGCGACCTGTCGTTGGCGCAGATGCTGTAGAACGTGCATAGTAACAGGGGGACGTTACCAAACCGTTCAGCGATTCGATCAAGTGCGTGGCTGGAAAGCAATATCATGCGCGTGAGAAGCGAATTATGGTAGCTCATGGTATACTGTCCGTACCATGATGCTCGTATGGTGTGATCCTGGACGCACGCAAAGACAACCCATACGATTGCACGGGCGTAGTAGTTGGTGTTCGGTCTGAGCGTTCGGTAGCTCAGCCTTGCGCGTTCAGGCAAGCCGTTGCGCAGGGGCGGATTTGGAACCGCGGAGCCATCATGCATGGTGTCTGCGTGATACAGTTGTGCTTAAGCCGCGTCCGGTCGTAGTATCCCGCAGAGACGGCTTGCAAGCCGGCGGTTTGGCTGTATGGCTCTCCGAGTCGAGGCTAGATCCTGGACATGTAGTATACGAGACAAGATAGAGTCGGGAATCCATCGCGAGTGTATGCAGCATTGGCAATGATAAAACAATATGAAACGCAGGAGAATTGGTGCACCAGGTCCCAAGCCTGGCCCGAGGAGGCGAGTGATGAGCAAACGGCGGTGACCTGCGTAGCGTACGTTCGGCAACAGCCGGGCTTCAGCCACAGACGCGTCGGTGCCCATGCACGACGGTCAGACCAGCACGGCGGCGACCATGGCGGACTGCCCGTCGCTTCCGAATGTTGAACCCACAGCGTCGCCTGCAATCACGAAATCCGCGCATCTACTGGGCTTTCATCCCTCCATGGCTCGTCGCATACCGCAGGGACGAGGACCGCACCAAACGACTCGGAAGGGCTGGCACTCGCGTCCGATTTCGCAAAATCGAGTCCATCTTGCCATCGGCGCATATTTGAACGGAATCTAAACCAACTGGAGACTAGTCTTGTGCTTTCCTTGCCTATACCGGTAACGCGAATGAGTGAGTACCCTCCTCGTTCCGTATGTCATATGACTGACCGTGCACTGGCAGCAAAGTACCTGCGTCATGACGCCGCGCAAGAATTCGACGTGCTGACCGGCTCGGAGAACCGTCGGAGTGTGGATTTGCCAATGCGCCGGGCATATCCCTCAACCCCCCGTTTGGCTTGATCACCCATGAGCGCCGCCAGTTTGCGAAGAGTCTCCGAGCCGGTTTGTATTCCAATGATCTTGCATTCCAGCTGGTGGGGACATGTTGACCAAGGAAACCTAGTGGGGAACGGACGGACGTACGCCACGTCCACGTCAGCGGCGGTATGAGTGCGACTGAGGCATGTTCTTCCGTCGTCTTTCTCTTCTTCTTTTCGTTTAATGACGAAGTCGCTCCCTGGTGAGTCATTCAGGTCCTGTTACGATTGATGGGCGTGTGCGTCTTGTAAGTATGGCTAATGCGTGTCTCGCAGGCGTTCGTGCAGGCACATCGCTCCTAGTCAGCTTGTTCGACATCAAATGCGATGATGATCGTGTACACAAACAAGAACGTGCACCTGGTGCGTTCATCTCTCTTTCTTAGTTTCAAAAGAAATATCTCATCTGTGGACAGTAGTGTACGCTGCGTATCGCCATCAGCGCAGGCGCGCGGCTCGTGCGTGTCCCAAATATTCATACACGTAACGAATGTGTGTCTTATCTGTCGGTGAGCCTATTGTCTTCGCAGCTCTTATTGTCCTGCGACAAGCTAAAAGACGGCCGTCCGAAGGGACGACTACCCAGCATCCTTCTCCACGAAATAACAGTCCTCACAGTGAGGATAACTTTCCAATGATCATCCTCATGTATCGAAGGCATACCTCCGTGAGCCTCCCTCTCATCTCTGCAGCTCTCCGAATGCGGCTCTCCGAGCTCCGTCTAACATACTCTTGACACTGCAGAACGTTAGACATCGCCTTCGCGCAATGCAAGTGTCCCCTTGGCGCTACGACACATGCCTCAAACGCCACTTCCAACGATTTGGACGCCCAACATCGGAAACATACCTCACCCTCAAACCGTGCATCGATCATGCCGTACAACCCTCACGGGGTCGCAGGCCAAACATAGCCATCCTCGTGACCCCCATGGGCAATGCCCATCACCCTCCTCGTTCGTCGCGCAGACGGCTCATGCCGTCGCTTGTTACTGCGACACCCAGATACTGCCACGGCGGCATAGTCCCACTGCCCACAATCTCAGTGAGCGACTCCACGCGCGACATTTGTATGTCACGTCCGCTGAAGGGTGCGCGACCGGCACCCGTCGCGGTCGCACGTCTCCTTTCGCGAGTCTGCGAGGAAGGAAAGACTCCTTTGGAATGGGATATGTTGTCGTATGCATTGCTCCCACGACCGTGTCTTCAGGATGGCGAGTGGGATGTCCATCGGCCTCAACAATCCCGCTACCTCGTTGAACGGCACATCCCTCGTCATCTCCATGCTCGGAGCACATTACCCCTATACATTCACCACCGTCAACCGCATGCTTCGAACTCCCGTCATGGGCAGCAAATGCGGCCGCAGCGGAGCCTGGGCAACAAGTGACAACGAGACGTGGAACGCAAATGGCGTTTTTCATCGGTATTCGACGCCTTGTTATTGTGTTGTAAGAACGAGTGATGGGCCCGTTCTTCTAGTCCATGGAACTGCCGGAACTATCATGGAGGAGAGCTCGTGGAAATGGGTATGTCGTTCGCCCGTTCTTCGAAGCGCGAGTTGACATTTGCTTTGCAGGCAGGCGGTGGCTTGACGGCGTACGGTCTGCGGTGCCATCATGTTACGGACATGGCTGCGTGTCCTCAGCATGACAGGAAGATGACATTGTCCAAGTGTCAGGGACCAGTTCATACATGGCAAGGGCATGCTACAGAGGCACTCCTACAGTGTGAGTCTTCAACGCACAGAGAAGTGTTTCAAGTGCGAGCTTGACGCAGGCTTCCGCCCTTATAGGCAGTAAGACTACAAGCAATTACGTCCAGTGACACAACACCAGACTACGGCAGCAGAGGATTGGTGCTGTGTACGAGCTCGTGGATTCGAAGCATGCACAACCGGTGACAGATACTGCTAGGTAAGGCCCCAGCACCTATGTCTGCATATTGTTTGATACACGGGATGCGACTCACGCAGATCTCGACCACAGCGCGTGTGATCAAGTTGCGACTCATGATGATCCCGGCTGCTCCTTCTCCTACACCACAGCAATCAATGTGACGGAGTGAGTACATGAGTCCCTGGCCCAGTCATGCACATCGCGGGATTCCTTCCTTGTATGCGAGCTCGCAGGAGCGGCAGTGGGTCATATGTTTTGTGTATGAGTGGCTCAACGAGCTCATCAATCCCCGCAGATCCTCACCTAGGGCTCCTGCGATGTCCTTCAATCCCAGCTTCCCGAATACCGCAGCTTTCGTCGGTCCACCCGTATTTCCCTGTGCATGCCGGGGCTATCACACATGTCGGCAAGTTTTTGATGTGTGACCTTGCGTTGCACACCGTTTGGAGGACAATGCATGCGGTGGAGAGACCCCGTGAAATTGGTTCCCTCCTGACGCTAGCGAAGTTCATCGTCCCATAGGCCCCTTCACGTGTGTTCAACCTCTATCTCAACCATGACAAAGCCATGGATGAGGACACACTGACAGCACTAGTCATCGCCCTCCGGATCCAGAGCCCCACCCACCCACTTCCCCATCAGCACCAAACATCGCCTTCAAAAGTTATTACTAGACCATGTCCTCGCGGTTCGTCCAGAGGACATATCCGTGATCGACTCTCGGAACCCAGCCGTTGTTCGTTGTCCTCTATGCGTCCACGGTCGCCCAGAGGATTATCACTCATTGATCTGTGCCAAGGCCAAAACAATGTCTCGTCAGCATGCTGACTTGCCTTAGGGAGGGTTTCCCACCGGAAGAGCACAAATTTCAACGCAACAGGGCTGTGACTAAATCTATGTTTGCATGTGTCCTGACTCACCGCTATGGCTGCTCAACTCCCTATATCCGGGGATATCAGTCAAGCTTGGTGGTTTTAAGAAGCAGCTACATTTGTGTGCTGACCTCAAGCAACAGTTTGTCATTGTGCTCAATGTTGTCCTATACTATGATAGCACATTTTCTTGAGTCAATATTCCATCTTGGCTGGTTCGATCCAGCTAATCCAGCAAATGTTACACTTCACTACCAAGCATGGGTACAGTAATGAGAGACATGACAACTTGAACAGTACCAGAATCAGTTCTATGAAATGTCAACTTAGTGGCTGCTCAAACATACTCAGCACCATGAACATAAGTATTTCCTTGTCCATCTCCTCCATCTGTGAACTCTTCATCTACCATCTCCTCATTGTCATCCTCATGGAAAACAATAGATCCACCAAGAGAGTGTGGGCCTGAGAAATGGAGCTCAGACATGGATGCTGAAGTTGTACCCTCTGCAGGATTGGCTGCACTGCGAAGGTTCAGGAGGAAACGGGACATGATTACTGCTGTGAGGCTACAATTCATCAAAGATTGGGGACATGACATTGCAACTTAATCATACCTGCCAGGAAAAGCTGTAAACACAGCAAGCACCTGGCATTATAGTCATTAACAGTGTAGACCATGAATAACAAATATTGTGAACCTCTGTATATGTGCTTGTAGCTACCAAGACATCCACAACTAGTTGGACCCTGAAGATTTGGTAAATTGAGTGTTGTAGGGATGGATTATTATGCTCAGCCTCACCCAAAGTATATGGTTCCTAGAACAATACCATGGGTCAGACTGTGAAAATACACATTTTTGCTCATGACATACCATCACGGAGGAGCAAAGTTGTTATTTTGGCATCCTGACCAGCAGCATGAAGTAGCTTCATGGTGGTGAATGTGTACTGCCAAGTTGTGAACAATACTATTCCTTGTGCTATCACCACACAAATTGCTGCAGCAAGATACACTTGGGAAGAATGTCAGTCACAGAAGCCTCATGTTAAACATTGATAACTGACACCTGTGTAAGGACATCAAGTTATGTCAATTAGATTATTTGTCTTTCAGTGGGAAATGTGTGCCTACTCATCAAGAGTTGACTCATGGCTTTCAACCAACAAACAACCCGTTTGTGGGTTACTGACTGCATATGTACTCCAAATTACAGCCTATAGGTCAAAATTGTAATAGCATGCAGCACATCATAATGTATATATCCTCACTATGCCTTGAGCAACTTCAGGGGTAAACAGCACCAAAATGACTGTGGGAATCAGCCAATGCTTCCCATTGATTGCATAGACGCGCAATGCTGCAATAACTGGGAAAACTGTTGTGTCAGTATATGAATGGGAACTAGCACAAGGAGCATCACCTGCTGTGACTATGTCAAATATGATAACACTCCCAAGATAGCTATAATACAAGGCAGAGTCACTTCAGTGCAGCAGTGTCAGTGAGTTTGTCTTTCTGGTGCTGTCCTGACAAACCTCTGTGTCATATTCCATATCATCAAATCAAATTTCAGCTCCACAAACATTTGCAGGACACACCTTGCAGTTCAAAGGGGATTGGCCTCCAATAAAGGTTATCAAGTTCAACATGTTTGATAAGTGCAGAAGGAAGAGGAGTAGTGTAGGGATGGACAACTTGCGGCTCCAGATGAATGCAATTTGTTGGTCAATTGTGAGGACTATGTCAAACATATAGAAGCCTATATGTGTCAGGCTCCTCATAGGAATTGATAGCTTTCAGAACTCACAGAGTGATGCAATATAAGCATATTTGGTGGCAAAGCTTAACATGGTCTCATCAATAAAAGACTACAGAGCAGAGATAGATACTCACATTGCATCAGCCCCAGCTTCAAGTTCTTGCAAAGCAATGGCAGTGCTGTTGTCCATTCTTGGAGCAGCTCTGAGTCACCGTGGGATGGGAAGCCCTGCGCCCCCTGTAAGCCACTTTATATGGTTGTGGTCATGAGGCTTCACACATGCTCGCCTGTACCAGACCAACAACAACCGAGGCCACATAACACCACTCAGTTCATCGGTCTTGGTTGCCAAGCAAGGAAGAAAGCGGCAGAGCAGCTAATCCTGGCAGCGCCGCTTGACTGTGGGAGACAGCTGAGCCTCGTCAACGAGACCGAACGCGGGCCGCCGATAGGGAGTGAGGTGAGACGCAGGTCGACGCATCTCGCGTCGCCATGGAGAGAATCGTCGTTTTGAGCCCGAAGAAGCGCTCTACCGGCGGATACTAGCCTGAAGATTGCGGTGAACCCAACAACTGCGGTCGTGATCAAGGACATACCCACCTCACCTGAGCGCAATCGACACGCTGAGCCGCGTCTCGTTCTCACCGAGAGCCTCGGTAACATGTTCATGTCCTATGGCCGGTCCCAGAACACATTGTCAGCTGTTCGAGGGCCCGCAGACATGACACGGAGCACGCACCTCGCTTGACCGCAGAACGCGAGGCCACAGAATGCGAATCAATCCGCGCACTGTAGACGCCGGGAAAGAACGGCAAGACCGACTCTAGTGGGGAGTAGCCAGAATGACCCCGTATGATACGCGCGAGCGTTTGACATGCTATACGGTGCGGCGCTGCTCCGTGGCGAATACGGATCACCGAACGTTGTTGTACATTGCGCGAGACGTCGTGTCCGTACCTCCGATTCACGCCGAGCGGGCGATGAATTGCTCATCTCGTGAGGATCGGAGACGGCTATGACGCAGCGTGCAACGTAGTACATTCGGAAGAAATCAAAACCACGCCCATGGTATGGGCCTCACCAATGTACGCCCACCAGACCAGGTCGCCGGCTGCACCCTGGTGTTCGATGTGCGGCTGGCGGCTGTTCGTTGCCACAGTGGTGCGCGACGCATATACCGGTACCGGACCTGTCGGCGGTTCAGCTCGCGGCGAAGAGCCTCCGAAGGTCGCTTGAGGTCTGAAAGTGATTGCGCTGGCGTAACCCGTAGTGCGAGAACGGTTGGATGGCAGAGTGCAGCCGTGGGTGGCGCTGAAGGGCCCACCGAGCTCAGGCTCAAACCACAACGAAAAACATCCGCTGCGACATCTGCACGGGGCTCGCAGTCCTGGAATTGTCTGAGAAGCGGGCGACTGAGTTCCGCTTGTCGGACGACTCCGGCATCTGGATTTCGCCTCAAGTTTTGGTTACGATCATCTGCGGACGAGCTGATTCTTGCGGGCAATCAACGCTCAACGGCAGCCCGGACGAGTTTGATCAGACAACTCACCTAAGCGTCGCGCCATCCCACGAGTTCGGGAGGCACATGGACTTGCAGTGATGACCAGATCCCAGGGAACGCCCTAGAGTGCTCTGTTGTGTTTGCAGAACAACTACGATTGTACAGGACCTCACTCGTGACGGCATCGAGAACAGCCTGTGCGAGGTAGATTGCAACATTACTCACCTCACTCTTCCACGAACGCGTTCGAAACCGCACCAGACTTGGTCGTATGTACGCTCCGACAGGATGACCTCAGTCTCGGTTTGACCACGACATCTCCGACGTATCGCGCCACAGGTAAGGTGGTCCGCCTTGACGACCGCATTTTGAGATACGAGCTCGAGCGCGACGCAGCAGTCGATCCTACGACAGCATCGACATCAAGTGAGGGTGGGCGACCGGGCGGGCGGTCAATGTGGCTCCAAACGGTGCGCATACAGCCAGCTCACAAGCGAGGCGAGGTAACGAAGTGGTGAATACAGCGACGTAGCATGAACAGCGTACCTATCGGCCACCGAGGCGCGAACGTTCCGGTGAGTGCGGATACTTGCACGAGGTGATGCGGGTGCGAGACCGCAGGCAAAGGGTTTGTATATACTCTTCTACAGTAGTTAGATTCTTGATCGTGTCGCCTGCTTCGTCGAGGGCGGGACGGCCGCGGCGGATGAGATACGAGGATGAATGATCGTGGTAACATGTCCGTTCATGGTGGGTGGTTGTGTCTCCTCGACGTTTGCAAACAACCGGATTCTATGTGGGACCTGTTCACATACTCGCAGCGAGAAGCCGATAAAGCCCCCGTCTGTCTGAGTCCGGGGCTGCGCGTATGGTGGTTATAGTGACTTCGCACGAAAAGTATCCACGAGCACCCACCGGTCGTATCAAGCGGCGAGCGCGTGTGCTTGCCTCGACGTTCCATGTTGAAGCCCGCGCTGAGTGGTGACTTTTGTGGATAAAGACGTCTGGTAAACTTCCTGGCCGCTGTCGTCCCGTAGGACTCGTGCTGTCGAATATCGTCTGGGTTCACGAGTGAGCGTTCAGGGAGTCGTGCTCTTTGTTGGACGTCTAGCCGTGGACGCCTCGGGCAATCGCCGTTAAGCAAGGTGCCGTGGAAGCGGGATAGCACGTCCCAGACTGAGCCCGGGTGAGGTGTAGGGAATTCCGCTCAGGCGGCGAGCGTTTCAATGTCTTCGCGACCATCGTCTTTTGGACAGCTATGCTGAACTCTGCCATTGAATTGAACCTTCAGAGTACCTGCTCATTGGGACCAGTGATCATGCACCAACGACCCAGACAATCTCTCGTCGGACTTACGATCGGTACGCCGTTTCGACTAGAAAAACGAGCCCTGTAGGAGCCCTGTCGCGTGTCCCGGACTGCGCTGGATTGAAGTGACTGGAAGTAAATGGCGTACCGGTCTTGGTGGCTAACGAGGGATTCGGAAGTGTTATCTGGCCATACAGACGAGCGGAGTGCTCACCTGAGCGCATACCCAAATGATGGTAGCTTATGAGAGCATGCCGCTGAGCCCTGCGCTTCGCCGTGCCCAACAGTCGAAGGTAGTTGACGGGCGTACTGAAGCAGATGGCGGACTCGTCTACTTGTCTCACCCATACTTTGCCCGTCCGCTGAGCATTAGCATCGATTGAGCATATTCGCGCTGAACACCTTCCCGGTGGTTGCTTGGCGTAGTGCAAAAGGCAAACCCGACCAATTGAGGGACATCAATTACGCGGAGGGAGGTCGACAGGAAGCTAGCAGGTTACAGAGGCCGCGCGGTACGTCGACGGCGACGGCGACGACGAGAGTCTCTGACCAAGAGCAGTGGATAGGAAGTCGGGCAACAACACATGCAACGTCTACGCGCGACGTTTGTGTGTGTCCGCGGCGGGTGTACTGAGCAGCGAGGGGCCCGTCGTTGCGGCGAGAGCAATGGCCGAGTGTCTCGGGCATTGTGGACAATGTTGGGCGGGTGGGTCGGTGATGACGCCATCGCAGCCGCTGACCCATCCTCAGCCACCCGCGACGTCCTCCTGCCGGTCACCCAGCGAGAATCACAGAAAGCCGTCGACGCGAGTATTTTCCCCGCTATATATTCAGCCATGTCTTCCGCCGTCCGCTCCCACATCCACCGCCATGGCCCCCGTCCGCAACGCCCGTGTCCTCTTCAACGAAGCCCCTGCGCCCAACACCTACCCCGAGCCTGGCAAGGCGACCGCCTACGATGATTCCCAGACAATCGATCTCGAGACGGTCCCACTCAACGGCGGCTTCCTCGTCAAGAACCTCGTACTGAGCATTGATCCGTATATGCGCGGCCGCATGCGCGAGCCTCACGTCAAAAGCTACACCGTGAGTCGCGCGCAACCTCTACGCGCATTTCGCAACTCACGCGTCGCTCTGTAGCCCCCTTTCATCCTAGGCCAGCCGTACGTGTCTCACATCGCATTCAGTGCGGCTCCTGACGCGCCCGCAGAATAACTAACTTGGCCGTGGGACGCGTCCTCCGCTCCGAGCACTCCGCCATCAAGGCGGGCGACCACGTCTACGGCTATTTCCCCTTCCAGGAGTACGTCGTCTTCCCGAGCCCGGCTCACCTCGGCGACGTCTTCCGCGTGCTCGAGAACAAGGAGGGTCTGCCCTGGAGTGTGTACGTCGGTGTAGGCGGCATGCCAGGTGAGTTTCCGATCATTCCGGGATTCCGGGAAGTATGAGTACGGCTATAGGCAGTCTTGCGGCTTCGCAAGCGTGCCGTGTATCACGATTGGACCACTCCGCTGAGCGTTCGAAACGATCCTATGCCTAATTGCCTAATTCTCCTGACTGAATCTGCCTCTACTACATCCACTCCTGTGCTCGGACCATGACTCATCCCAACTAACTCACATCCCCACAGGCGCGACGGCGCACCACGCCTGGCACGAATTCGCCAACGCCAAGCCCGGCGAGACCGCCTTCGTCACCGCCGCCGCCGGCCCCGTCGGCGCGTGAGTCCCCCCTCCACCCGCATACACCCACGCGGCTGCTGCTGACACGCCGCATACAGCACGGTCGTCCAGCTCGCGAAGACGGCGGGCCTCAAGGTGATCGCGAGCGCGGGTTCGGAGGAGAAGGTCGCGTTTGTGAAGTCGCTCGGCGCGGACGTCGTGTTCAACTACAAGACCGAAGATACGAAGGCGATCTTGGAGCGCGAGGGCGGGATCGACATGTGCGTTGCGTCTCCGTGAGCCGTGAAGCTGTGCTGACTGGAGGCGGCGTAGATACTGGGACAATGTCGGCGGGCAGACACTCGAGGCGGCGCTGGACGCTGCGCACAAGTTCGCGCGGTTCATCGTACGTCCCCACACCCCGTTTCGCGGGCATATGTTAGCTGACATGCGGCGGCGCCGTAGGAATGCGGCATGATCAGCGAATACAACTCCGCGGGCTACGCACCCAAGAACCTATCCCTCATCGTCGGGAAGGAGATCCGTATCAGCGGGTTCATCGTCAGCAGCCTCTACCCCAAGGTCCGTCCGTCCCCCCCTTCTCCGCTCGCACCCCCGCTGACTGTCTCCGCGCGCGTAGTACCGCGAGGAGTTTTATAAGGAGATCCCGCGCTTGGTGGCCGCGGGGAAGATCAAGTACACGGAGGACCGCTCCGTGGGGCTCGAGGCGACGGGCGAGGCGATCCTCGCGGTGCAGAAGGGCACGAATACGGGGAAGAAGGTCATCGTGGTCGCGGAGGAGTGACTGCACGGGAGCGCGAGTAAGCTGTGAACGCAGCGAAGTCAAGGATGTGAGAAGATGGTTCCGGAAGGTGGAAAAGGGTACAGCTGAGTATCAGAATCGTTCTGTGTGGTGTTATGTGACGTGGTGGCTGCGGCGCGTCGAACTGTTGTTGTGTAGCCGTAGCAGACAAAATTGAACGTGTACAACAGGTTGCGTCGCGAACGAGAGCCTGTCGACGCGCGGATAACGAGCCGCTGTCTTTCCTCGCGACTGGGACCAGTGGTGATGTAATTGCGCGCAGTTGCACGGGCGTGCTTCGCGGTTGTCCGGTCTGGCTAATCTCTCCCAGAGTCGCTCTTCAAGTTACCATTCAATCCCGGCGTCTACGTTGCGTCGATTGACCTGCGTTCTGCAGTCAAGTGAGGTGCGTGCTACGTGTCCTATCTGCGTGCTCCAACAACTGACGGCGTATTTTGGGCCGGCCATAGGACATGGACATGACAGCCAGGTTCTCGGCAAGAACGAGGCGCGGCCCAGCGTGTCAATCGCGTGGAGGTGAGATGGGTACGTCTACGATCACGTTCGCAACTGTTGAACTCACCGCAATGTTCAGGCTGTCCGCCCGTAGACCGCTTCCTCGAGCTCGGAATGACGATGCTGTCCTCGGTGACTGTCAATGCGATGGATCGACCCGGATGTCATCTCACTGGTCAACGACGGCCCGCGTTCGGTCTCGTCAATGAGGCTCAGCTGATTCGAACACTCCAGCGGTTCGGCCAGGAATAGCTGCTGTGCTCCTTTGTTCCTTGCGCGGTAACAAGGATTGATGGACTGAGCGGTGTTGTGTGGCCTCGATTGTGTTGTTCGTCTGTCACAGGAGGGCATGCGCGGATCTTGAGAAGCTGTAATCTCGCGTCAACTCGTGTCAGAAAGGGATTGAAGCGAGGTGAGTAAGTGATTGATCTCGGTCTGGGACAGAATCGATTGTTCCATTCAGTGTCACTGAGGGCATAGCCCTATTGGCAGCTGACGTGCTAGCTACTGTGCTACATCTCTCTTGCGGCTCGACTTCCTCCGTTGCTGTGCATGTCCGAGAATCAATGTAACATCAACAGTTGCATCTTGAGACCACACATTCAAGGGTCAGTTGAGATGCCTACTATGACGTGTGAGGGTGAACAAGCATAGCCCATTGGATCAATGTTGTAGTTCTAATCATGACCACAACCATATAAAGTGGCTTACAGGGGACATAGGGCTACCCATCCCACTGTGCCTCAGAGCTCTTCTCAGAATGGACAACAGTACTGCCATTTCTTTGCAACAACTTGAAGCTGCAGCTAACGTGCTGTGAGTATCTATCTCTTCTCTCTAGTCTTTTATTGATGAGAACTATTGTAAGCTTTGCTGGAAATTGTGCTTGGATTGCATCACTTTGTGAGTTCTAGAAGCTATCAATTCCTATGAGAAGCCTGACAGAGATAGGCTTCTATATGTTTGACTTGTTCCTCACAATTGACCAACAAGTTGCATTCATCTGGAGCCGCAAGTTGTCCATCCCTACACTACTGCTCTTGCTTCTGCACTTATCAAACATATTGCTTCTTGTGACCTTTATTGGAGAACAATCACCTTTGAACTGCAAGGTCTGTCCTGCAATGTTTTGTGGAACTGAAATCTGATCTGATGATGTGTAATATGACCCAGAGGTTTGTCAGGGAAGCACCAGAAAGACAAAATCACTGACATTGCTGCACTGAAGTGATTTGGCCTTGTGGTATAGCAATCTTGGGAGTGGTATCATGTTTTACATAGTCACAGCAGGTGATGCTCCTTGTGCTAGTTCCCATTCATACACTAACATGATGTACTTCCCAGTTATTGCAGCTTTGCGCATCTACACAATCAATGGGAGGCATTGGCTAATTCCTGCAGTCATTTTGGTGCTGTTTACCCCAGCAGTTGTAGTTACCATAGTGAGCATATACACACTATGATGTGCTGCATTATATGACAGTTTTGACCTACAGGCCGGAATTTGGAGTATAAATGCAGTCAGTAACCCACAACTGGGTTGTTTCTTGGCTCAAAGCCAAGAGTCAACTTATAAAAAGTAGGCACACATTTATTACTGAAAGACAAATAATCTAATTGACATAACTTGATGTCCTTACACAGGTGTCAGTTATCAATGTTTAACATGAGGCTTCTGTGACTGACATTCTTTCCAAGTGTATCTTGCTGCAGCAATTTGTGTAGTGATAGCACAAGGAATAGTATTGTTTGCAACCTGGCACTGCTCATTCACCACTGTGAAGCTACTTCGTGCTGCTGGCCAAGATGCCAAAATAACAACATTGCTCCTCCGCGATGGTATGTGATAAACAACAATGCATATCTTCACAGTCTCACCCTTGTCATTGTTCTAGGAACCATATACTTTGGGTGAGGCTAAGCATATTCATCCATTTCTACAACTCTCACTTTACCATGTCTTCAGGGCTATACTGGTTGTGGATGTCTTGCAAGCTGCAGGCCAATATACAGAGGTTAACAAGATTTGTTCTTCTCAGTCTACACTACTGATGACTAACCATGCCAGGTGCTTTCTGTGTTTGATGCTTTTCCTGGCAGGTATGATCAGATTACAATGGCATGTCCACAATTAATGATCAGTTGTAGCCTCACAGCAGTGATCCTATCTCATCTCCTCCTGAACCTTCGCAATGCAGCAAATCCTGCAGAGGGAACAACTTCAGCATTCATGTCTGAGCTCAATTTCTCAGGCCCACACTCTCTTGGTGGTTCTATTGTTTTCCAAGAGGATGACAATGAGGAGATGGTAGATGAAGAGTTCATGGATGGAGAGGTTGCTGGGGACACCCCAGATGGAGATGGACAAGGAAATACTTTTATCAGTGGTGCTGGCAATGTTTGAAGGGCCACAAATCTGTCATTCCATATATCTGCTTGTTGTGCTGCTATGTTTTAAGTTACTGTATTGAGATTAATGTTAACTTTTCAAGATACGACACTTCACACATGCTCACCGAAGCCAACCAACACAAACGAATGTTGGAGTTTGCAATCTCGTGTGTACAGACCAGTGGCTGGTGCTTAGTCAGCATACGTAGTATATAAGCTCGCCGCTCATTTGTTTGTACCTTACGCATTTGACAGAGCTCAGACAAACGCGATATCCATTGGTTACACGTTCTCTCTGTGGTCCATACGAGAAACTTCAATAACGAAGCCATTCGACACCGCTCAGTCCATCGATCTTTGTTACCGCGCAAGGAACAAAGCAGCACAGCACCTCATCCTGGCCGAGTTGGAAACAGCTGAGCCTCCATCGACGCAACTGAACATGGGCCACCGTTGAGCATCGAGACCACATTGAAGTCGATGCATCGCGTGTCGACATGGACAGTGGTGTCGTTCCGAGGAAGCACTCTACCGGCAGATACTAGTCTGAACAGCGCAGTGAACTCGACAGTTGTTAACGTGATCATGAACGTATCCATCTTGCCTACGCACGCTCGACACGCTGAGCCGCGCCGCGTTTTTTTCCCGAGAACCTAGCTATGATATCCATGTCCTATGGCCGGCTTAATTACATCGAAAGTTGGAGCACGCAGACGGAATATGAAGCACGCACCTCGCTTGACCGCAGAACGCGAGTCAATCCGCACCCGTAGACATCGGGAGTGAACGGCAACTTGAAAAGTGACTCTGGTAGAGATTAGCCGCAACACCGGACAACCTTGAAATGTGCCCGTTCAACTGCGCGCCATCGCAACGACACCGGTACCAGTCGCGAGAATAGACCGCGACTCGTTATCCGCACGCCGATAGGCTCTCGTTTGCGACGCAGCTTGTTGTACAAGCTCATTTTGTCCACTACGGCTACACAAAGACGGTTCGACGCCCCGCGACCGCCCGGTCACATACCGCCACACAGAACGATTCTGGCACTCAGCTGTACCCTTTTCCACCCTCCGGCGCCGCCACCCTCTCGCACCCTTTACTTCGCTGTGTTCACAACTTACTCGCGCTCCCGTGCAGTCACTCCTCCGCGACCACGATGACCTTCTTCCCCGTATTCATGCCCTTCTGCACCGCAAGGATCGCCTCCGAGTCACCCGTCGCATCGAGCCCGACGGAGCGGTCCTCCGTGTACTTGATCTTCCCCGCGGCGACCAAACGCGGGATCTCCTTGTAACAATGCTCGCGGTACTGCGAGGGAAGGAGGTGTCAGCGGAGTGCGCAGGGACAGGGGAGGAGCGCGGACAGACCTTGGGGTAGAGGTTGCTGACGATGAACCCGCTGATCCGGATCTCCTTCCCGACGACGAGCGACAGGTTCTTCGGTGCGTAGCCCGCCGGGTTGTACGCGCTGATCATCCCGCATTCCTACACGCGCCACCGCCCGTCAGCCAACGTACGCACGCAAAACGGGGCGCGGGGACTTACGATGAACCGAGCAGACTTGTGCGCAGTGCCGCCTCGAGGGTCTGCCCGCCGACGTTATGCCAGTATCTACACCGCCTGCGGTCAGCACGGCCCCCGCGGACGGTTCACCGCTAGGCCAGCTGGAACATACATGTCGATCCCGCCCGCACGCTCCAGGATCGCCTCGGTGTCCTCTGTCTTGTAGTTGAACACGACATCCGCGCCGAGCCACTTCAAAGAGGCGACCTTCTCGTCCGAGCCCGCGCTCGCGACCACCGCGGGCCGCTTTGGCGAGTTGGACGACCGTCTTGTACGCGGCGTTTCAGCATCAGCCACGTGTGTATATGCGGGTGGAGGGAGGGACTCACGCGCCGACGGGGCCTGCGGCGGCGGTCTCGCCGGGTTTATCGTTGGCGAATGTGTGCGCAGTCGCGTCCGTAGGGACGTGAGTTAGTTATGAATAGTCATACATCGCAAGCACTGTGCAACCTGACAGAGCACATCGGGGAGTGGATGTACAGATTGTAGAGGCGGATTCAGCAGGCACAGGATGGATCCGAAAGAGGCGGTCGCCTTGCCAGGCTCGGGATAAGTGTTGGGCGTAGGGCCTTGTTTGAAGAGGACGCGGGCGTTGCGGACGGGGGTCATGGCGGTGGATGTGGGAGAGGACGGCGGAAGACATGGCTGAGTATACAGCTGGGAACACAGTTGCGTCTATGGTTTTCTGTGATCCTCGCTGGGTGACCAGCAGGAGGACGAGAAACCGTGGCTGAGGTGGGTCAGCTGCGATGGTGTCATCACCGACGCACCCGCCCTTCATCGTCAAAAATGCTCGAGACAGTCGTTTATCGCTCTCGCTGTACACGACGTCCACCGCCCCTTCGCTGCTCAGTACTTACAGCCCGTCGAAGCTCTGTTTGAATCGATGGACATTGGAGACTGGTGCAAACGATGAGGCCGCGGTAGCGAGCATAGCCAAGTGTCAGAAGCTGACTACGCTCGTACTGAGAGCTCGACACGAAGCCCTCAGTAGGAAGCTCTCGAAAATCGATACAGCTCACCTGATTCATAGTCACTCCTCTTCAATGGGACCCCTCCGATTCATATCACGCCCTGAGTGCATGATGGCGGTACGCGCGCGCTCGGCGAGCGCATGTTGTGTCCGTTCCGGGATGCAAGTTCACGCAGATACACCAGAACAGTTGTTCTAGGTGACGGTGAGAAGGATTCGGGAATGATCCCAGGAGACTGAGGAAGAGTGGATACGCGCGTCGTAGCCAACGCGTCTGTGGCTGAAGCTCGGCACTCGCCGAGGCTCTGTCGGCGTTCACCGGCGTACAACCTCGCAAGGTCGTCCACCTTTCAGGTTGTTTACTCACAGCTTTTCAGTCATCTACGCTTGTATCAATCCTGGTTCGATACACAACGACAACCATGTCGGCCGTTTTCGCGAGGATATTACTGTGCTCAGCCAACCGCGGTCCGCATCCGAATCGAAGCGAGTGTATCCTTGGTTTACCATGACGCTGCTTCATATGGTACTCACTCATTCCCCGTCGCCCACTAATAATGTCTATGAAACACATCGGAACCTGAACACTATCAGCCCAACTTGGCGTAAGCTGTATTGCGTCGATGTCGGCGACTTGGCATATATATTAATATAGAGGATTGCGTGATATCCGTGGTGTGCCACGGCGGGCGGTGCGTATCCTATCTCGTCTTGGCGACGCACCACCTTACAGCCTACGTTCTGCCACAGCCCCCTGCGTCTCCACTGGGTCGCTCGACTGACGCCATCGTTGAGTCGACTTGACGCTCACCACTACGTCGGTGCGGGGTCACTGCTATTCACCTACCGCCGGCAGAGGCGTCAGCGGCTCGCCCAATGCTATGTAATCTGAGCTGCGACGCATAAGAGGACTCAGTGCGTGCCAGAACTCTGCTTCTATAAGTAGGTGTCTTGCTAGTACACCGTGAACCTCGATCATGGCCCCCGTACGGAATAGCCGTGTCATCTTCAACGAGATCCCGTCAGGTACGTCACTCAGCGTGTAGTGCCTCCGAGTCTACGTACCAATACCTGCACATGCAGGGTATCCAGAGCCCGGAAAGACTGTCGTATACGATGTCTCTCCAAAGATCGATCCCTATGCCGTCCCGCTGAATGGCGGCTTCCTCGTCAAGATCCTTGTTCTCTCCATCGACCCGTACATGAGAGGAAGGATGCGGGATCCGTCCATCGAGAGCTACCAGGTATGCTTCTCTCTGATGTTCGGTACCAACTATCTCATGATTGCAATAGCCAGCATTCCCGTTAGGCCAACCGTGAGCCGAGTTCGGCCTGCATGAGAATATCTTGACTGATTCAAGGTGTATGGCAATCATCAACCACAGAATAGACAACTTCGGAGTGGGTCTTGTCGTTCGCTCCGAGAACCCCGCGATCAAAGTCGGCCAACACCTCTACGGGTTCTACGGTAGGCTTCGTGCCTCTGCATACCAGTACACTGAGTTGCTCAATGCAGTCGCATTGTATATAGACTTCCAAGAGTATTCTGTCTATAGAGACCTGACCGAGTTGAGACGGGCGCGTGTTCTGGATAATGAGCAAACCCTACCTTGGTCCGCCTATCTCGGTGTATGCGGCATGCCCGGTATGTAACCACCCCAGTCGCCGTCTAGTCCCGCAGAAGTACATATCGAGCCGGCTAACCAAGTCCACAGGGCAGACTGCATTCTATGCATGGAATGAGTTCTCACGTGCAAAGAAGGTGACTCTGTCTGTGAGCAGCTGACGGCATTATGTACTCACGGAGGTGCGGCTTCACAGGGCGATGTCGTGTTCGTCACTGCCGGCGCTGGGCCGGTTGGCTCGTACGTCACGACGTCGATCTCAACGAGACATCACCTCACTGCGATCTCAGGACCGTTATCCAGCTCGCTAAGCAGGCGGGATGCAAGGTGATCGCGTCGGCTGGTTCCGAGGAGAAGATCGCATTCCTCAAGTCCATCGGAACGGACGTCGCCTTCAATTACAAGACAGAGAAGACGCTCGATGTTCTTCTGAGAGAAGGGCCGATCAACATGTGCGTGCTCGGTGCCGCTCAGAGGGTTGTCTGCTCCCACCTATTGACCGCAACAGATATTGGGACAATGTCGGCGGGGAGAGCCTTGAAGCTGCGCTTGAAGCCGCTGCGTGGCACGCTCGCTTCATTGTACGCCCCCACATTCAAGTTGCCCTTATGTGCCCGCACTCATCGCGCCCTGCCCCACCAGATGTGCGGCATGATCTCCTCGTACAACAGCGTGGACGACCACCCCGTCAAGAACCTCTCCCAGATCTTTGCGAAGAGCCTCACGCTGCACGGCTTCACCGTCGCGGTCTTGCACGACAAGTACGTCGACCGGTTCTACGCGGAGGTGCCTCGGATGGTCGCGGAGGGGAAGATCAGGTTCAAGGAGGACGTCAGCCGCGGGTTGGAGAGCGCGGGCGAGGCGATTTTGGAGGTACAGAAGGGGAGGAATAAGGGGAAGATGGTCATCCTCGTTGCGGAGGAGTAGGATGAGTCACGCAAGTGAGAATGTATAGGTCGGTAAGTTGGTAAGTCGTCGTATGGATTCCAAGATTAGCGACTCACGGGAGAGCGCCAGTTCACTTCCTAGATGTATTTTAGTGCACGCGTTTGTGAATAACGCGCTACCCTTTGACCAAGACTGGCCGTTTCCCCTTGCCAGTTTCTCATCGTGCTGCAGCAAGTGCACCGTTCTGGCTGCAGCGATGTGGAGTACTTCTGCGAACTCGGTGAGAGCTCCTCGACTCGTTACATGTCCAAGGCGCGTCGCGGAAACAGTTCGGGCATGCCGGATCTTTCAGGCACCCAGACTATTCACTCTTTGCCCCGGTTCGTAGCAGGTTTACTCTTTTTCTTTTCGATGGTCTGCGCTTTGTCATCGTTTCACTGACCATTCACGTATAAGAGGGAAAGGAAGGCATATCGGTTGTGAAACGATTCGACAATGGCCCCCGCCCGGAACGCACGCGTACTCTTCAACGAGATCCCCTCAGGTAAGTGACTTCCTGCGTTCTGCCGTCTGAAGGGACGTCTGAAACTGTCACGCACGGCGCAGGCTACCCGATCCCAGGGAAGACCACGGTTTATGACGACTCACAAACCATAGACATCGACGGCGTGCCGCTCAACGGCGGCTTCCTAATCAAAGTGCTCATTCTCTCCATCGACCCTTACCTGCGTGGCAGAATGCGCGACCCGAGCATCAAGAGTTACTCTGTACGTCTTTTAAGGCGCCGATGAAAGTGATTGTTACTGATGTTTCGACAGATAGCATATACAATCGGGGCACCGTGAGTCTAGCAGTTGTTTCAGTCGAGGTCGTGTTGACATGCGTCGCAAGGCTGGATAACTTCGGAGTCGGCGTCGTGCTCCGCTCTGAGAGTGACGAACTCAAAGTCGGAGATCATGTCTATGGGTACTACCGTGAGCCACCCGCCTACGCCGTCCTCCACGCTCCAATAGTACTCATTCGCCCTCATTAGCTTTCCAGGAATATGTCGTGTACGAGGATATTGCGGCTTTACGCCTAGCGCGCGTACTCAAGAATGAAGAGGGCCTGCCGTGGTCAGTTTACGTCGGCGTCTGCGGCCTACCAGGTCGGTACAATCCTCCATGGAACCTTCATGGCACATGATCATGTACTGATACGAAGAATAGGGCATACTGCTCACCATGGCTGGATGGAATTTGCCAAGCCGAAGCAGGTATGCTACCGCCTCACAAACGCATCATTCGAATATTCATCGATGATTCTTAGGGTGATGTGGTCTTCGTCACGACCGGTGCAGGCCCAGTTGGCTCGTAAGTGATCAGCCGAGCGCACTATACCTTCGACTCACCTCGTCTTCTCCAGGACGGTAATCCAACTAGCTAAGCAAGCCGGCTGCAAAGTGATCGCATCCGCTGGCTCGGACGAGAAGGTTACTATCCTGAAATCTATAGGAACCGATGTTGCGTTCAACTACAAGAAGACGATTGATGTGCTAATGAAGGAAGGACCCATTGATATGTATGGTGACGTCCCTGATCAACCACGTACCTTGTATCTCACTGTCCATAGATACCGGGACAATGTCGGCGGCGAGAGCTTGGACGCTGCGCTCGAGGTTGCAGCATGGCATGCGCGTGTTTCATTGTAAGTTACCCTATCCGTTTGTAAATCTACGCGCCGACTGATTGCGCTCTCAGGAATGCGGGATGATCTCCGCGTACAACAACGCCGATGACTATGCCATGAAGAACCTTCCTCTCATCTTCACCAAGAGTCTAACGCTGTACGACTTCACCGTCATGGACTTCCACCACAAGTACGCGGACCAGGGTGGTTAAGGAGAGGAAGGTCCAATATGCGGAAGACGTCAGCTATGGGCTACAAAGCGTGGGTGATGCGCTATTGGACGTGCAGATGGGGAGGAACAAAGGGAAGAAGGTCAATGTGGTTGCTGAAGAGTAGACCGTAAGCACGGTGCTTCCGGGTCGTGTTACCTCTCATCGCATAGCCTTGTGCTATACAGTACTACATGCGGCAAAGGGCCTCAAACCCGCCAGGTCGGAATCTGCGGAAAAGCGTTATGTTTACAATCGCAGTGCGCCACCGTTCTCGGACATCATCGCAAACACCGCTGTGGCCGTGGTTTGTGGTCTAAATAGCGTTCCGAATCCCGATGATTCGGCGTTACGGAATATGGAATTGCACTTTGGTCGTCCGCTCAGGCTGACCAACAGGTGTTTGTGGACTCATGTCATGTGTCGTGACACCTAGCTAGTACGCGACGAAAGCCTGGCGATGGCACAGAAAACCCTTGGATATGGCTCATTGGTACATCGGTAAGTACCGGATACACTTACGGTAGTGCACTGTGCAATATATGCTCACGAGCCTTGAAGCAGCCCGCGGTGGACTCACAGTCATAACGACATCCTGCTATTTCGGCCCGTTCTGTTATGTATGAAGAAGCCTCTGCGTGAGAAGTAGAACCGTGCGTACTTCATACGTCTTGGACAACCTGGCCTTCGATCTTCCCGGCACATAAGGAGTGCTGATGCATACGGGCCGCGTACTCATCCGTTGTACGCTACTCGGAATTATGCAGATTCAGTATATCTACCCGTCTGATCATGCACCAAGGTCCACCAATATCAGCCTTCACATCCGAGCTCAGTATGGCGACAACTTCTATCCTCGTTGCAGGCTCACCTGTATTCTCATTTCTTGTAGCCGCCGCTGCGGGGACAATTGCCTGGCAGCTATTTACCTATGTTCGTAGGCGCATCGCTCTCCTCGCCGTCAGCAAAATCCCTGGTCCTGTCTCCCAGTCATTTTGGAGTGGTACGTCTATTAATCGCATATGCGAGTCTAAGAAGTAAACATTTCGCACAGGTAACCTGGTGCAATTCACCAGTCGGGCCGGTGAGGCGTTCCAGCGGCACGTCGCTCTAGATTATGGGTCGGTCGTGAAGCTGCACGGCTTTTTCGGGGTGTGTACTGCCTTTGTACCCGGACTTCAGTACAACTTATGGATACAATCACTCCGCAGGAACCGATTCTCTACGTGGCTGATCCTAAGGCGCTACATGCGATACTCATCAAGGAAGAGTATATTTTCCAGGAAGCAAACGAGTTCGTTGGGTGAGCTGCGCGCCGATGGCTCTCATTGTCGCATCTCACAAACAGATAATCTTCTAGGATCAACAAGAGCGTATTCGGGACCTGTTTGATCTCGACGATCGGTACGCTCCAGTCAATCCAAACGCTCCACTGGCAGTGTGCGCTGACAAGGATCTACTAGGCCCGCACCACGGCAAGCAGCGCAAGCTGCTCAACCCTGTGTTCTCAGTCGCCCATATGCGCCATATGTTACCTCTGTTCTATGAGCTGGGGAATAAAGTGAGTGGCAATGTCCATATACCTCAACGAGCACTCACAATCTGTCTCTGGACAGTTCCGAGAAGCGATCGGGTCACGCGTCAGCGACGGCCCTAAGGAACTCGACATGACGGCCTGGCTCGGACGCGTTGCCCTGGAACTGTTAGGACAAGGTGCTCTGGGATACTCCTTTGACCCGCTCGTGACGGACGATCCAGATGCGTATGGCGAAGCTTTGAAGAGTCTGGGGTAAGTCACGATCCCTTTCCGCTAGTTAATCGCATCCTCACTGTATTGTCTTCCATGTGCCGTTGACTGCGAGTAGCCCAGAGCTGGACGGGCTGATGTTCCTCCGCAAGTTTGCACATCCTTCCGAGATCCTCCCTAGTTGGCTTCGCCGCGCTCTCGTCAATTTATTCCCTCCCGGCACTCGCATTCACACCTTGGTTCAGATGGTTCATATCTTGGACAGCAGTACTAAGACGATTTACGCGGACAAGAAACGCGCTTTCGAAAGGGGTGACACTGGTATGACGAAAAACGCCGGACAGGGTAAAGACCTTATGAGTATACTCCGTGAGCATCTCTTCCTGACTCGGACGCTCTGTGCATACATTGATTTACATATGATACCGGCAGTGCGGGCCAATGCTGCGGCGGATCCGAAGGATCGACTTCCAGACGAGGAGGTGATCTCGCAGATGTCGTGAGTGCCTCTCTTGCTTGATGTATATTCCGCAGGCCTGACATGTCAGTATGTTTATCATCGCTGGTTTGGACACGACATCGAATGCGCTCTCGCGCATTCTGACTGTATTGGCGGATCATCCCGACCGCCAGCAGGAACTCCGGCAAGAGCTCTTGGATGCAAATGCCGCCGTTGGGATCTCATACGACGATTTGAACAAGCTGCCTTTCCTCGATGCGGTCATCCGGGAGACGCTGAGAGTGTAAGCAACCAGAATTTTCGGAGTCGTTGCGCTCGCTGACGAACTATAGCCATCCTCCGGGCACGATCCTATTCCGAGTGTGAGGCGGTGAACTTTGCCGCACAGTCAAGATAATGGCTAACGCTGCCTCTGATTCCTTAGAGCTAATAAAGACACTGTGCTTCCTCTATCGGAGCCGATTCAAATCGCTGATGGGAAGTTCATGGACGCGATCCCCGTTACGAAAGGCTCGCAGTACCTCGTCGGTTTCGCCGGTTCCAACATGAGCAAGGCGATGTGGGGCGAGGACGCGGCTGAGTGGAAACCAGAGCGCTGGCTGTCCCCTCTTCCGGCGGCAGTTACGGATGCACGGATCCCCGGGGTCTACTCAAACTTGTGTGTATCCATACACCACAGTCGTGTGACGACGTTGCTGATCTTGTCCAGGATGACGTTCTCCGGAGGCAAGCGCTCCTGCATGTATGTGGTTCGAGTATGTATCTAGGACGACACCACAGACGCTAACGCTCGACGTGTAGTGGCTTCAAGTTTTCCGAAATGGAGATGAGTACGTGCTTGGAACAACGGCGTTGGACGGCTGATAATGACATGGAGTCTACAGAGGTCGTACTATCCGTCCTCCTGTCGAAGTTCACCTTCGAGCCGAGCGGCAAGCCAATCCATTGGAACGTCGGCTTGGTCTATTACCCCACGGTTGGTGAGGAGAGCAACAAACCGGAGCTGCCGCTGAAGGTTGGCTTGTATCAGCCGTCGGTGGTGAACTGATAGGGTCACGCGAGTACTGCCAACGCCTACTCAGCTATGATTCAACGTTCTGTGACCTTGTTGCTCTTGTGCCGATGACGATCTTGAAGTGTACATATACAATTTTAGAGTGTACGATCATTGTATTTTTGTGCTTATAAAGGAGTACTAGTCTGTCGCCGGTGCACTTGGTTTCTGTGCTCCGTACGGGAGTATATACCTCTGGGGACCACATCCGCTGTAACATATGTAGACAAGGGAGCGTACCGCGTGGCGTGTTGGAGAACGTGAGACTAAGTGGAAGGCGGGAAGCGAAAAGGGATTGGTTGAAGTGCGGTTGGGGCAAGTGATTACTATTCTTCGTGTGTCTTGTGATCGATCGTTGGCGGATGTCAGGGATTGCAGGTGAGGCAGACGCAATGTGTGCCCGTGGAGCCGCTCTCGTTTCTACCTCTCTCTTCGAGGTGCGATGCAGTCGCGTAGTTGCTGTTCCCCCACGATTGTTTCCATGTCAAGCGGAACTACATAGCGAGAATGTCAAAGAAGCACACGAACCGAACCCAAGAGACATACCTGACTGGTGTCCGCGTACCCGTCCTCTAAACTCTGATATATTTTAGGCGCCTTCGTTGATGCAGACGCCTTGTTCTTCACGCTGATCGCAGACAGCTGTGGAGAAACGGGTATAAGGCGACCAAGGAATGATCCACGGGGAACACGGGACGGAGAGGCCCAACATGAAAACCATGGTTCATCAGAATGCGTGAGTTATGCAGCGCGTAGTGAGCTCTACATACCTAGTCAAGACCGGTACATCGCCGACGGAAGCGTGTAGATTGCGACGTTGTGAGACACCAAAGGTGGACCTCCACATCGCCGCGAGCGATTTGAGATATATGCCGTAGCAACGAGCAGTATTTGAGGGTGGCGTGGGGATTCGCCGGAGCGTCTGGGAGTTTGGTGAGCGATCTATCTGGCTCGTGGTGACTAGAAGACTCGCCGTTTCGATTGTTAAATGCATCATTCAGCAATGGAATGTGATTAGTAGTGCTGCTGGACGATGTTCGAGGTACTTGATGAAGAGTTCCCTCAGCGTGCACTCTTTTATACACGCTGCTGGATGTTGCACTACAACAAAGAACAACAGAGGTGCAGCAATACGCTCACCGCCGGCCATGGACGCTCAAGACTATTGTAGGAGCACAATTGTCGCCTGTTATAGTGTGCAGCGCGCATACACGTACCCACAGTTATTCGGTATTGTTTGCGCCTTATAATGAACAGTACTATCAACCAGGCTGTGCGCATCGATTACACTCACAGGTGTCAACAAGGTTGCTGTACGGTATTGTTGCTTCGAAACAAGGCCTTGCGAGATGATGGGATAGAACTCGCTGCCATCGTAACAGCGTCCTAGCTGACACATCCGAGGTGAGCGAACGCGTTCCACAATTGAAAGGAAAAGATCATATCGGTGTTGGTAGCGAACGCAGACGTGTCGCCGTCCTCGATGGAGTCGCTCGCGCGTGAACACGACTGCGGGCGTGTCGTGCCTACCAAGATTCGACAGCGTATAACACTCGAAAACGGGTTCATCGGGGAATACGGACCTCCCACGCTGGTAGATCGGTCACTTCAGTGACCGTTAAACCATACATCTCTAAATGTGTCACAACGACGTATATACATTCGCGAAGCCGACTGCACCGAAGGGAAATCCACCGGTCGAGGAGCCGTGGAAATAGTAGCCATGGTATAGCACATTAATTCATTCGGTATGCGTTGTCTTGACCGGCGTTGTACGGGTAGTGGGCGACATACATAGAAGGAGAGATGCGTGTGCATGTGTTGTACTCATCGAGCATATGCGGTTGCCACAAGGGTGAAGACGAGCCTGAGGCCTGACGACGGCAAAGATGATGATACAGGCGGGCATGTTCACGACTGGAGTGTAGCCAGCCGAGATGGTGAACAAATGTAATCATTAAAAGCCTCGACGCTACGCACCTCATCCATAGTCCCTCCCGTCGAGTCCATCCGTCGGTCTGTCCTCGGAACGCAACGAACATGCGCTCGTCGCGACGAGCTCTGCCTTCCACGCAAACTCATAGCTTATATTTCTTGTTCTATAGAGTGTAGAACTGCGCCCAGTACCGAGCCAAAGTACTGTGCATTGAGCATCTCACCGAGACTTGAGCGACAGAAACGGTACGTAGGACGAACAGGTACGAATTGTACAGCGCATGTGACATAGGCGCTCTAGACTAGTACGATCTAGGTATGTAGGCGCTCAACTAGATCCCAACCTGCAGCTGGCACGTACCTTGTACATGTTTTATAGTTTGTAGATACTGCGACGACGTCGAAGGCGGGAGATTGAACGCTGCTCTCGAGGCCGCAGCATGGCATGCACATCTTATTGTAGGTCACCGTTTGTGGGTTTGCGCATCGACTGATTGCGCTCCAGTCCGCGTACAAGAAGGTCGATGGCTATGCTATGAGTAACCTGCCCCTCGTCTTCACCAAGAGTCTAACACTGTACGGATTCACCGTCATGGATGTCCACCAGAAGTGCGGAGAACAGTTCTACGAGATGCCCAGGTCAAAGGAGGACGTTAGTAATGGACTGGGAAGCGTGGGTGGTGCGTTATTGGACGTGCGGATGGGGAGGAACAAAGGGAAAAACGTCACCGTGGTTGCTAAAGAGTAGGTCGTAAGCATCGTGCTTCCGGTTCATGTTACTTCTATCATTGCATAGCCTCGTGCAAGTCTCCGAACAAGTCCTTATGGCATTTGATGTCGCTGACAATACATGATCGATTGTTCAGTAAGGGTTGCAGCAATACGCCGGGCCCATTGCGAGCTTAACAGAATGTCAAGGTGTATGCCGTGGTAGTGGTGCATTGGAAAGTTTCGCCGCAGCCGTCGCCCTCGTTGTCCGGACCAGTGCACTCTACTGCACCGACACTGCCTATATATCAAGCGCATACAGTCAGTACGCTGTTCGCGACCAAGGCGGATATTGCAAGCCGAGTACGTACATCCGGGGCCAGGTGTGATGGTCACCGGGATGTTGAATCCGTCGGCTTCGCTCACTCCAAACGAGTCCTGGCCGTTAGTCCTGTAGGTCGACACCTGAGTCACGATCAAGCGGACTAGAGACTAGAGACTGGAACGCACACGTTTAAAGCGAACTGCGCGATGGTAGCCGTCCCTGTCGTCGGACCCGTGCAGCTCTCGCCGCCAGGGCACTGGCCTGTCGCGCAGTTGCCATTTGCGTCACAGCCCGTGCGGCCCCAGATCTGACCGTTGTAGTCATTCGCAAGGAGGACCGTGGCGGAGGGGTGCACAGAGGTCAGGGCGAAACCACCCGTCTGGCTCTGGTTGAACTCGACGGTGGGGTTGAACGCCGCGTCGACCTGGTACCCGCAGTTGTTGTTGAGGGTGACAAAGGAGCTACAGTGAAACGGTCAGTGGTGGAGACGAGACATCGAAAGTCAACAGCGACTTACGCAGAGGACAAGGCGGTGAAGACGCCGAGGATGACAGTCGCGATTCCAATCATGGTGTCGAAGGTTTGTCTGACTTGGTTCTCGATGTCGACCGGTAAGCTGAGTTAGCTTGCTCAATATCGTTCAGCGAGCTCTGCTCTTATACTCAACACAGCAGCGCCTCGTCCCATTCACGTCACACTCCGTAGGCATCCACTCGCCGCCTTCTGTACACCTGACGAGGGGAAAGGCCACACGGGCAGGGCTAGGACGATGAGCGCGACATACACTGACAGCGCGTTTGAAAATCGAGGGTGGGTGTAGTGCCGATTCAGGTCTGGCTCTGTCGCCGACGCGGCGCATAGACCAACGTGCATATGTTTGACGAGCGGCAGGCGGTGGAACGAGCGGCCCTTGGCCGGGAATTCGAGGAAAGTACGCGGTGCTTTGAGCCCATGAGTTCTCTGCGTATGTACCACTGACACAGCAGTGGCGTGAACAGCGCAGCATACCATAGAAGAACCGGAGAGTATGACTTTCCTGAAGACATCTCCCCTAGCTCCCAAAGGCAGTGTTGTCGTATATGGCAGCTGACATGCTAGCAACAAAAAATGTCTCCCCGATCGGCTAGCCCATCCTGTCCGTGAAGGATATATCAGGACACCGCTGAGCGTCGCAGCAAGTGTTCGCTCACCGTAGTGCAAAATGCGGCCATTGCCTACGCAGCTCTGTCGATGCATCATCATCTAAGAGCAATGTCAGCCTTGCAAAGCATCACGATTATCTGGCCGCACTTGGTCCTGATCGAAAGAACCCGGAGCTTCCGTCGCGCGTTAGGTCATGACAGGATCGAGTTTCAACGTACCGATGAAATACGTGCCATCATTCTTCACCGCGCTACTGGTTTGAGTTTAAGCTCTGGAAGAGGGCCACTGTCGGGTGAAGCTGTCAGACCTAATTACGGGTCCTAGACGCTACATAGGAATACTCACTATTGTTAATGGAGCGACTACACCAGCCTCGACTATAAGCAGCATCAAGTGGCATATATCATTTGGTGGCCTTCAAGGTTTACTACGAGTGAGCTTGTGCGTTGCCGCGTTCTCATAGCCTCGAAGGTACGTCGTCGAATAAACCACGCAAGTTTTAAGAATGGTCAGGAAGCGTAGCGACAATGCTTTCAGGGAGTCGGGTAATGAAATGACTTAGCGCGTGCAACGAGTAACTCAAAGCCGATGGTATTGAAGGTGGAAGCACGTTGGTTCATGGTCGAGTCGACCCTGTCACTGCGGTAAAGCCTGGCGCGCGCGAGCACTAGCTCGAACTCTGGGTGACATCTGAGTGCCCGACATCATTGTCGCACAAGGGCATCAGGCTCCGTCTCCTGAGTCCTACCCGTCACGCTATGGATCTCCTAGAAACTTCTGGTGGTTAACAGTATTCGTAACAATGCATGGGTTAAGCGTTGTACTGACCAATGCACATATATCCACCATATCGCCGCTGATCGCATATCCATTGATCTCAGCGGCGTCGGAGGCGCTAGTGTAGGCGTGACGGTTTAAGAACTTGAAGTATTCGAGCACGTTCTCGCTCGATCGCATGTTCTGCGCCACTGTATTGCTCCTGCACCAGCCATCACAGCTAGTCCAGACTTCGAAGGGAAAGACTGCCTTGGCCGAAGTCCTGGGGAATGACATAAGCATGAAAGTACATCCCTATAAATGGCCCACGTGCGTACCTCATACTAGTAGGTCACCCTGCCTACGCGAAGACTTGACCCGGACCTCGGCCTCAACGTTCGTAATCCCGCACAGGCGCGTCAAGCATCGGTGCAGACACCATACATGCATCTCACTGATGCGGTCCGCCGTACTCGTCCAATCGCTCATCCGTGTCCTACTCGGTTCATCTGCACACAATGACCAACACGCGACGTCTGCGGGCTCTCCAATACCATCCCGCCCCGACCGCCGTCCTCGCGCTCAACACCTTCTCCGAGACCTCGCATCCAGCATCGCATCAGTCTAAATGTGCGGCCATATGAGCATTATGCATTATGAGTACCAGCGCGCGCATATATGCGCTCATCGCGCGGTTAAAGCAGCAGACTGGGGTATCGCGCGGTGGAGCACGTCCTCTACAAGCAGAACCCACTGTCAGCGCTGAGCGCACCCGACCGTGTCGGCGACCACATGCCCATCTGGGCGTCCGCCTCCTCCTTTAGAAACGCGCGTTCTGCGCCGACGCCCTGGCGCGCCACGAGAATAGTCACAGCAAGCACAAGCACGTACCACGGCGCGCGTTTGTTGACGTTCGCGATGTCGCCCGACAGCCTGAATACAGCCCGCCAGACATAGATAGACCGCGTCCACCACTGCTGTCTGCAGTCGGCGTGCGCACGGAGCATCTCCCGTGTAGCTATAGCGCGTACATCGGCGTCTGTGATATGGCAGGTGAGCATTCGGTGCTGTTTCAAGTATGTATGTCGCGCCGCGCTGGCTACCGTCATGAAGGAAGACAGGCTGGGAACTCCAGACCAGCCTCCCCGTCCAGGAGCGACCGTGAGCGACCGTGAACAACGAGTAACACCGTGACCAATCTTCGCAGACCAAACCCAAAGACCGCTTTTGTAACCGTCCCGCGGGGACCATTGCCACGTAGTCATCACTCCTCCACTCCGGTGCGCGCATACGTACCATATGGTCCCATGTAGGGCAGTCGTCTGGCTTGCCAATGCGAACTTGAGGCGCGCGGATGCTGAGGCATACGTAAGAGTGGTACCGACAGGTGCACCACCCCTCCGCACGACTTCTCCTTGTGGGCGCGTACTTGTACTGTACATACATCGAAACCTAGTGCCGCTCGGTGAAAATGAAGGGGGGTTGAGATCGTTGAGACGTTGACGCTCTGGAGGAGGTGGAAGAGAAGGGAGAGAAGGATGAGCGCCTATGCAGCGTCAGTACCATCACGAGGCGCCTATCGTCGGGCTTGTACCAGTACTTAGTACTTGGACCTGTACCAAACCTGTACCAACCGAGTGGGTCTCGTAGCGTGCACGCTTCCGACGCGTTCGACTCCTACTGTGCTCTCTACTCTCCATGCTGTTGAACTCAAACATACTTCTAATCGACTTCCTGTCACATAAGGCCGAAATGCAAGCATCATTCCCGGGCACTCATGACCGTCGATGATACAGGCCGTCCAACATCCGTCCGTGACCGCTCACAGGACCGCCCAGAGCGGGGCCTCCAGACCGTCTGCACGGTGCCCCTCTCGTAAAGAACGCGGACCCTCGCCCTCGCACAGGCTCTGATATCGGAATTGCCTGCCAGGAGTCCCTGGATAGCTGGCGTAATGACCTCACATCTTGACACCTCCACGGCGAGGGTGTCCCATCATGCGCTCCAGACGTCGGAATGGAATCGAAGGGAAAGGCTATAAATGAGGTGAGCAGCGTCGAGGACCTCCCAGCCAGTTGCGTCTGCTCATCGAGTCCTCAACCCAGCACATCCGGCCTACTCCTCTACCATGTTCGCTCGTGCCATCATCGCTCTCGGCGCCCTTGCGGCGACTGCGTACGCTCAGTAGGTGCAGCACCGTCTAGTCCTTCACTTCCGTCTAACATCGCTCCAGGACTAACGTCACGCTTACGAACAACTGCACGTACCAAGTCGACCCCGCGTTCTACCCCGCCGTCAACGCCTCTGATGGCTCCACAACCGGTGGCTTCCCCCTTGATTCCGGTGCCTCCGCGAACGTCACGCTCGACCCGACGTACTCGGGACGTATCTGGGGCCGCACGGGCTGTGACGCGGACGGGAACTGCTTGACGGGCTCGTGCCCCGGCGGGGAGAACTGCACGGGTCCCGCTGCTGCGGGCCCGACGCTCGCCCAGTTCACTCTGGATGGGTGCGTGTCCATTTGATGAGTACGCAGTTGACGGGCTGAGTACGTGTGTAGATACGCCGGCCTCGACTACTTCAACCCGAGCACGACCGACGGGTTCAATCTCCCGGTGACGATCACTCCTGGCTCCGGCTGTACGTATCACTGCATGCACCTCTCGCCCTATATAGCCTGTTGACACGATTCGTCCGTAGGCTCGACCGGCCCGCAGTCGTGTACTGCTGATAATGAAGGCACCGGGTGTGGCGACACCTCTACCTGCCCGACCGGCACCTCTTACACGATCTCATTCTGCTGAACGCGATAACGTACGGAATTCTTGGCAAGGACCGTCTCAGTAAGGTCACCCTGGCTGTTGTATTCGCATGCGGACATTTCTTGTAATCAAAAACGATCTTGGGGTTGATTTAAAGAGACTCGCTCATCACAGCTCAGCGGCGCGAACCCGAGAAAACCGATCCTCACACGGTCGCCAAGTATCGTCGCGCACCCGTCAGTTTTGGCGAGAAGAAGTCTACATCTCATTGGCAGCGTTAATTCTAAAACCAGCTCATGCCATTGTTGCAGTGACTCTGACGACCGCGCCCCGTATAGCTCGTATCCGCACATTATGGATCATCGCGCCCTCTGTCGCATACCACACGGGCGTACTAGCCGCACGCGTAGTAGCCCCAAGTTGCGCATCGCACACTGCGTGTGAACCTGTATGTTCCATGGTCCTGACGAGATACATGTGGGGCTGCGACTGATTACTGTCGGCGTTCATAGAAGCACCTTGACTACGTTCGGCGCTCGGGCTAATGTTCAAGAATCAGGAGATGTGTGGTTCGGTCGTCAACAGATAGACATGGCGCTCAATGCGACGCAGTAGGTGAATGAACTAACGTCCAGTATGAGTGCCAAACGTGTGTTGGATCGCACTCACTAGAGAGTTCTGGATTCAATTTCCGCGCCATATCTGACAGCGACGATGGGGTGGTGGATTCAACTTCTGCGGTCCGTTCCAAGGCTCAACTGAACTCATGTCAGAATGTGGATAGGACGTGCGCATACCAGTTGCCGCCCGACTATCTCGGACAGAACTCCGCGAAACAGAAGACCTGCCCCATACATAACCGCCGCTACTAGCGAGCGTTCGCATGGAACACGCGCCCTCCGCGCACAACGTCAGGTTGAGTGGTTCGCGACACTGTCTCCGCAGATAGTGTACATAGCTGTGGTACACGGCTTCGCATATGAAGAAATCATCCGGGCTGCGACTGCTGATCGTTGGCGACACTCCACCGTTTCTTCGCGTGCTGTGTGCCTCTACGCATGTTCTCCCGTACTCGCTAGCAGGAGTGAACGTGCGTCGGCGCGCAGTAGCTCCATTGAAGTATGATGCATCATGTCCGAGCCGTGTTGCGGTATTGGCTCAAACTAGCGTCCAGCATCGATGGCGCGACGACAGGTCCCCTGCGGAAGGTGGAGATATGCGGTGAGTACCAGTACTGTTACTTAGCGCATCGAACGGCGAATGACCGCAACCACCTCTACGGGGTCAGATAGCATCCGAGCGAGGCTGGATATCAAAATGAGGTTGAGCTAGAGAACGGACGTAGATTTGAGAGACGAAAAACGCACATAGCTCTCTTACTGACGATAGTGAAGTCTGGTCTCAGTGGAAAGACGAGTATCGCGCCGCGCGGGCACTGTGAAGCCGGATGTCTTTGAACGTCTCTTGCGCAGGTCCGAGTCGGCTCAAACATCGGGACTGTGTATGGATAGGGCCTATGGAGGAGCCGTCTGAGTACTAAAGAGCAACGAGGGCTGATCAGAGAGGCTCTGAGTATGATGATGCGACCATACGAAGGTGCACACCGATCGGCGAGCATCGGAGGGTGCCGAATTTCAGCCACAGACGCGTCAGGGCGTCTCTTGCTCTCAATCAGGATGTAGTGCTCAAACTTCTCGATCCGCGTATTCGAACTTTACTAGTCTCTGAAGCATACTCATGTATCAAAAGACCTCCAGTCTACTCGCGACATCGTCTCAGAATCATGACACATGTGCACGGCACGCGCGCACACGCTCGCGCGTACTTGTGACTACCACCATCATGCTCGCCGGAGGGTTCTCAAGGGGAGTACTATCGAAGTGAGTCACTTCGAGAGTGTTCTTGCTGGCAACTCACGTTGAACCAAGTCCGTGCGCAATCATGAGATCCGGTAATGCGCTGGTACGCTCGCAGCCTGAGCATCGCTGGCACGTCAGCGACGACTGCAAGTTAGCATTCGTGAGTGCACTATACGCCGCCTCGACAATAGCCCTATCAATATTTCTACGCCTCAAGCAGGTATCCGATCAGAGTGAAGAACAGGCATACGCGTCACTTGACTGACCCAAAATTCTTCGGCGCCGCCGCTTGACGAACAGGTCGCCAGTAGCTGCAGTTACTTTCGTCAAGATAATGTTGGGCCCGACCGACATTGGTCACAGAGTCTGTACAATGTGTCACGCCGACGACGACGCAGACAGAAAACCTCGACGGATCAGTACCCACCAGGAGAGCATAGCGCAGCCGCTGCGGGTCTGACCGGTACGTCTTGCTGCCAGAGATGCCTATAGTCCTTGTTGAGACGTATATGCGCGATCCTAGCATGATAGAATTAACGTCTTAGTGAAGACCACCCCGGCTCTGGCTGTATGTATGACCGTGACGCGTGACCTCTGGATCTCTTGATTCAAACGTGCCAATAATATTGGCCGTAGGGTCGACGGATCCTTAGTCGTGCACCAGGGCAAAGCAGCGCACTGACAGATCTAGCGACACAACGACCAATATAACCGTGTAGGATCAGTGAGCATACGCCCTTCGGACTGTGGATCACCGAATACGCCTATCAGCTTTCAAGGAGGCAGAACGGATCCCACATGCGGCAGCCATCAGCTCCAGAGTCAGAATACCAGCTACGTACGTACGCGGATTGCACTTCCCAGCATTCCGAAGTGCCCGCTGCAGCGGAACTCACCTTGCGATATGGGCGCTCCGAGAAATTCAGTCCCGTCGTTCTAGTCTTATACTTCAATCTTATACAGAGCGCGATCCTGGCACACGATACCCTTGGTTTCCGACCAGACGTCGGGGCTTCAGGTAGAAGTCGGTCGGTAAAGCGTCCTAATAATAAGGTCAGTTTCACTTCCGCGTGTCACACATCTACGTCGCCATGACTGACCATGTTCACCCATCGCTTGCTAGAGGTGCTGTAGCAATGCCCACATCTCCACACCATAATCGATGCAAGGGTGACCCAGTGGTCACCAGACGTCGTCTGTCGCGAGCTGGGTCCGTGATATCCCATAGCTTACAAACATGGCGAAGTAGGCGGGGTATTGAAGTGGGTGTGCTCTGGTCCCGCGTTCGCAGTTACATACTGACATCCCGTTTGTGCTATTCATTGCCAGGTGGCTCCCCGTCGACGCGCGTCGCGGTAGGTTGGCACACTGAATAGGCGTCCAAGATAACCGTGTCACTCAGAGATTGATCGCGCGTCCTGGCGAGCGAACAAATATGCGATCAGAGAGTCGGCTGGCGATGTATACCGACAAGATATCATTGTGCGCCTCACGCGTCAATCCATAGACCGAAGGCCGCGAGGTGACCGAGGCACTTCCAGGGCGATCGAGTGGTCGCAAGCTTGGTTGGCCGCCTACGGAGTCAATCGAGGAGGAGCACTGATCAAGGATTCGGGATTGTGAAGGCGCGGCACACCTCAAACATTGTCGTCCGTAGTGGAGGGAACGGCCAACGCGGACGTAGAAGGCACGGCAGGTATGGATGACCGAGCTGCTCGGGCATGTGTAAGAAATCAGGCTCGGGGTCGGCGAGGGCGAGGTCCGATGAAACATACGGCGAAGTCATCAGTCGGACAGAGCGGTGAGTAGGCAAGGTCCTCTTTTCTAATCTTGTGCCTCCATTCCGAGGTACTTACGTACGTTGTTTATAGTCTAAACCACTCGGAGACTCGTGGACGATATGTCAATGAGATCAGTCAAGGCTGAGTGGTGGCGGTGGCACAGATAATCACTCCGACGCTACTCCGAGTACGGCATGTACGAATCCAGGAAGAGTGTATATCGAGTCAACGGTGAGTCTAGAAAGAGAACAGGAAGCAAGAGCAACAGAAACGAAAAAAAAACGCTATTCGTATGAGCGTCGAGCGCTCGTGCGATGTATCCCGGCGCCTACGCCACCCTTACAGCATGGTGAGCCAAACTTGCTCTATGTACATTGCGACGGCGCCTCAATATGCGTCGAACAGTGCGCAGTTAGAACGCCGATCCGTCTGTCTCTTCAGTCGCGTCTCCCCGATTCCCCAGCAAGAGTCACACGCTGATCGGCCTTGCCGGTTCCACGTATATAAGCCATCATGCCTACACCCCTTGTCTTCCATACCACTTCACTTACTCGACGCACGCATACACAGCGATGGCCCCCGTTCGCAACGCACGCGCTATCTTCAACGCGATTCCCGCACCCAATGCCTTCCCCGAGCCGGGCAAGACAACAGTCTACGACGACTCCCAGACGATTGACCCTGACACCGTGCCGCTGAACGGCGGATTTCTCGTCAAGACGCTCGTGCTGAGCATCGACCCGTTTATGCGCGGCCGGATGCGCGACCCAAGTATCAAAAGCTACGCAGTAAGTCTGTCCTAATGGGCATATACATGCTTCGCCGTTCATCATGATGCCTATCAGCCCCCGTTCTTCGTAGGACAGCCGTGAGTTCGCGACACACGCATTCCGTGTGTCTCCTTTTGCTGACGGATCCGCAGGCTGAACAACTACGCCGTCGCACGCGTCCTCCGCTCCGAGCATCCCGCCATCAAGGCTGGCGACCACGTCTACGGCCACCTCCCGTTCCAAGAGTACGTGGTGCTCTCCGACCCCGCTGAGCTCGGCCGCGACATCTTCCGCGTGCTGGAAAACAAGGAGGGGTTGCCGTGGAGTGCGTATCTCGGCGTTTGCGGCATGCCTGGTGAGTGGGCTGCCCTTTAGGTATCTTAGGGCTGGTGTATGCGCGGTGACGTAGACGTTGGTACGTGATGGCTGCTTGTACATGGTAAGGCTTCATAGTACGCGGCGCACCATGCTGCCGAGGCTCGTGCTTCTGTATGTGGAATCGATAAAGGCCCAATGCGAGTCCACATTCCGTTGCGCTTTCGTCATCTTTTGTATCGTAATGCGCGGAAGGACATCACGTACTGATCGACCTATCTCATACAGGTCAAACCGCACATCATGCCTGGAACGAATACTCGCACGCCAAACCCGGCGAGACTGTCTTCGTGACTGCCGCTGCAGGCCCTGTCGGCGCGTTAGTATTCAAGCATTCGTTCTTCCTCTATGTTATAGCTGCAGTGAATTGATTTGGTTATCACCGTACACAGGACGGTCGTACAGCTCGCAAAGGCGGAAGGCCTCAAGGTAATCGCGAGTGCGGGCTCCGATGAGAAGGTTGCGTTTGTGAAGTCGCTCGGCGCGGATGTCGCTTTCAACTACAAGACGAACGATACAAAGGCGATGCTGGAGCGTGAGGGCGGCATCGATATGTACGTGATTTGCTTCTTCACCTATGGCATAGTATGTGCGGCAGCCTTCTGACAGGTGACGCCGGATCAGATACTGGGACAACGTAGGCGGACCCACGCTCGACGCGGCACTCGGCGCAGCCCACCGTCATGCACGATTCATCGTGGGTTTTTTCATCTGCTTTTCATCTGCGGAGCTTTCCTCGCACGTTCTGACTTGGCGATCTTTCAGGAATGTGGCATGATCAGCGCATACAACTCGGAGCCGTACATGCTGAAGAACGTACAGCTCATTGTCACGAGAGAGTTCAAGCTGAGCGGATTCATCGTCCTGAGTCTGCACAACAAGGTACTTCTTGTGCTCTAGTTGCATCGTCTGGACAATGCTGACATTCTTGTCCATTTCTCCTGCATGTGCTGATCTACTACACTCTCTCCTCGGACTTCCATGTTATGCGCACTAGTACCTCGGGCGTTTCTACGATGAGATACCGCAAATGGTGGCGTCGGGTCAGATCAAGTACACGGAGGACAGATCACTGGGGCTCGAAGCGGCTGGGGAGGCAATTGTCTCCGTGCAGAAAGGTACAAACACAGGGAAGAAGGTTATGGTTGTATCAGACGATTGAATGTAGGACGGATACGTTGTACACGTACGAGGCGAAAGGCGAAGATCGTGTACACCGTACGTACTAGGTCTGACTCTCGTTGGGGTTTGCGCTTCGGCATTGACCCACACTGCTTGACTACAGTCAATGTGCATAGGTCCTGTATTGACAGTATGAGCTGGTGCAGGGTTGCTCGGGGCCTCGGGAAGAGTGGTGAACCTCTGTAGGCCTCGGGGAGGGCCCCAAGGTGGCGCCTCCTCGTGGTCAATCGGTACGTCTTACACATTCTCGATGTTGGTTTCCTTACAACAGGCTACTATTCAGCTCGCACTCAAACCTAGTGACCGGATGGTATTTCGGAAGTCATCCATGGTGATGACGACGCGATTGTGCGCATGAACCAGCGAGTCGTGATACTTGAGCCGGCGTAGGATCACAAACCATCAGTGTACTCTCACATGTGTGCACGTGAGGCTCGATAGGTGACTACAATAGTGTTTCAACGACTGAGCTAGATGTCGTAGTTCGGCGCGGGCCGGGGCCCACCGCGTCTTAGCACGATATTGTTTGCTTGTTGCGGTATATAAACCTAGAATTCATCATCATCATCATCTAGATGTCGTAGTCAATCAGGACACAGCCTGCAGGATCATGCACCCCAATTGCTCCGGCAATGATTATATCCTCGGAATAGTTGAGAGAAAGGCCGAATCAATGGTGAGTAGTAGTCCAGCCGGGCAACTTCGTACAGAGACTGAGGGATAGGATAATCTTTGCGACAGATGCTGCAAGATACCAAATCAGAACATGACATATTGCAGTGGTAAGTGTCTATGTACTCAGTGTTGTCCTAGCCAATGCTATCACAATGACCTGAGTCAATGCTTCATCTTGGCTAGTTCAGGCACAGGGAACCATTCCAGTGGCAGGCAATAGACATCATTGCCAATTATGGGTACAGTGATGAAAAACATAGCGTGCAAGAATAGATATGTGGAATGACAATCTCATGGACCTTCAAACATCCTGACAGAAGTATATCCTTGTCCATCTCCATCTGGGGTGTCCTTGGCAGCCTCTCCATCTGTGAACTCTTCCTCTACCATTTCCTCATCATCATGCTCCTTGTGGAGAACAATAGATCCACCAAGAGAGTGTGGGCCTGAGAAATTGAGCTCCGACATGGATGCTGAATTTGTTCCCTCCACAGGATTTGCTGCACTACGAAGGTTCAGGAGGAAGCGGGACAAGATCACTGCTGTAAGGCTACAATCCATCAATACATGGGGACATGACATTGAAACTTGGGCATACCTGCCAGGAAAAGCTTGAAATGCCCTAAGTTGCTGGCATTGTTGGTCATCAGCAGTGTAGACTAAGAGAAACAAAAATTGTTTACCTCTGTATATGGGCTTGCAGCTTGCAAGGCATTCACACATAGTAGAGCCCTGAGGTTTTGGTAGAGTGAGTGTGGTAAGGAATAATGAATATGCTCAGCCTCACCCAAAGTGTATGGATCCTAGAACAATATCATGGGTCAGCCTATGAAAATATGCATTGTTGTTCATGACACACCATCACGGAGGAGAATTGTTGTCATTTTGGCATCTTGACCAGCAGCACGAGCCAGCTTCATGGTGGTGAATGAGCAGTGCCAGGTTGCAAAGAACACTATTCCTTGTGCTATCACTGCACTGATAGATGCAGAAAGAACCACTTGGGAAAAATATCAGTCACAGGTGCCTCATGTTAGACATTGATAACTCACAGCTGTGTGAAGAGATGAAGTTATGTGTCAATTAAGTTATTTGTCTACCAGTATTCAAGTGTGCCTACTTGTCAAGAGTTGACTCGTGCTTTTGAGCCATGAAGCACCCCACTTGTGGGTTACTGACTGCATATGCACCCCATATTTCAAGCTATAGGTCAAAACTATCATACCATGCAACACATCATAGGGCATATATGCTCACTGTGTTTTGAAGGACTGATGAGGTAAACAGCAACAAAATGACTGTGGGAATCAGCCAATGCCTCCCATTGATTGCATAGATGCGCAAGGCTGCAATAACTGGGAAGAGTACTAATTATGTCAGTGTATGAATGGGAACTAGTGCAAGGAGCATCACCTGCTGTGACCATGTTACATATGATGGCACTCCCCTGGTAGCTATAATACAAGGCTGAAAAACTTCAACACAGCAATGTCAGTGATTTTATCTTTCTGGGGCTTCCCTGACAGACCTCTGCCATATTACACATCAGATCTCAGTTCCACACAAGATTGCAGGACAGACCTTGCAGTTCAAAACAAATTCCACTCCAATGATTGTTATCATAGCCAGCATGTTTGATAAGTGCAGAAGCAAGAGGAGTAGTGTAGGGATGGAAAACCTGCGGCTCCAGATGAATGCAATTTGTTGGTCAATTGTGAGGAACAGGTCAAACATATAGAAGCCTATCTGTGTCAGGCTCCTCATAAGGATTGATAGCTTCCAGAACTCACAAAGTGATGCAATCCAAGCACAATTTTCAGCAAAACTTGTGATGGTTCTCATCAATAAAATACTAGAGCAGAGAGATAGATACTCACATCACATTAGCCTGAGCTTCAATTTCTTGCAAAGCATTGGCAGTACTGTTGTCCATTCTTGAAGCAGCTCTGAGTCACAGTGGGATGGGTAGCCCCATATCCCCTAGAAGCCACTTTATATGGTTGTGGCCACGATTAGAACTATGACATTGATGCAATGGGCTATGCTTGTTCACCCTCAGACATCACAGTAGGCATCTCAACTGACCCTTGAATGTGTGGTCTCAAGATGCAACTGTTGATGTTACATTGATTCTCGGACATGTACAACAAACGGAGGAAGACGAGCCAGGTGAGAGAACGTAGCACACAGTAGTTAGCACGTCGGCTGCCGACAGGGCAATGCCCTCAATGACGCTAAATGGAACAATTGATTCTGTCCCAGAGTGAGATCAGCCACTACTCACCTCGCTTCAATTGCTCTCTGACACGAGTTGAGGTGAGAGCACAGCTTCTCAAGATCCGCACATGCTCGCCTGTAACAGACGAACAACACAATAGAGGCTACACAACACCGCTCAGTCCATCGATCTTTGTTACCGCGCAAGCAACAAAGCAGCACAGCAGCTTTTCCTGGCCGAGCCGCTGGAGTGTTGGAATCAGCTGAGCCTCATCAACGAGACCGAACGCGGGCGCCGTTGACAATGAGATGACATCCGGGTCGATGTATCGCATGTCACCTCTGAGAGCGTCGTCATTCCGAGCTCGAGGAAGCGCTTTACGGGCGGACAGCCTCAACAATGCGGTGAGTCCAACAGCTGCGAACGTGATCATGGACGTACCCATCTCACCTCCAGGCAATCGACACACTGAGCCGCGCCTCGTTCTTGCCTGGAACCTGGCTATCATGTCCATGCCCTATGGCCGGCTCAGAATACATCGTCAGCTGTTCGAGAGCCCACAAACAGAATACGAAGCACGCACCTCGCTTGACTGCTGAACACCAGTCAATCCGCACAACATAGATGCCGGGAGTGAACGGCAAGAGCGACTGTGGTGATATTAGCCGGAACGCCGCACGACCGTGCAGTACGACCGTTCGACTGCGTGAATCACAACACCACGGGGACTGCTCGCGAGAATAGACAGCGGCTGGTTATCCACGCGCCAACAGGTTCTCGTTCGCGATGCAACCTGTTGTACACGTTCATCTTGTTATGTGACCGGGCGGTCGCGGCACATCGAAACGTTGTTGTGTAGCCGTAGCAGACACTACACAAAATAATCCTGGCACTCAGGTGTACCCTTTCCCACACTCCGGCGGCGCCAAATCTGTACTTGGCTGCGATTTACAACTTACTCGCGCTACCTTGCAGTCACTCCTCCGCAACCACAATGACTTTCTTGCCCGTATTCGTGCGCTTGTACACCGCAAGAATCGCCTCACCCGTCACCTCGAGCCCGACGGAGCGGTCCCGTTGTCTTGATTTTGCCCGCGGCGACCAAGCGCGGGATCTCGTAGAATTGCTCGCGATACCACGCAGGCGGGCGCGGTCAGCGGAGGATACGAGCCGAGAAGGGGGAGGGACAGAGCTTGTGGTAGAGGCTGCCGACGCAGCGTCCAGCGCCGCACTCGAGAGTCTGCCCGCCGACGTTATCCAAGTATCTACACTGTCTTCGGTCAGTACCACTGTCACAGACGGTTCACCGCCAGACAACTTGAACGCACATGTCGATCACGCTCTCGCGCTCCAAGATCGCATTGGTGCCCTCTATGTGGTAGTTGAACACGACGTCCGCACCGAGCGACTAGAAGAACACAAAATCTTCTCGTCCGCGCCCGCGCTCGCGATTAGTTTGAGTCCGGCCGCCTTCACGAGTTGGACGACCGTCCTGTGCGTGGCGCGTCAGCATCCGCCGCGTGTGTATATGCGGGTGAAAGGAGGAACTCACGCGCGACGGGGCCTGCGGCGGCGGTGACCAAGGCGGTCTCGCCGGGCTTGGCGTTGGCGATTTCGTGCCAGGCGTGGTGCGCCGTCGCACCTGTGCGCTGAGAAGTGAGTATGAGGGAGTACGTAGGGAGGCGAAGCCAGAGCGCATATATGGGGTGGGTGGAATGATCACGGCCAATGGCGAGGAGAGCTAGTGGTGAGGGCGATCGTAGAATCCCCTTAGGCCGGTAACTATCTCGAGCATACGTGATGCTGCAATCAGAGACTCTGCTGGGTTTGTCGCGCATCGAACGCTTTCGGCGGACCGCAGCGTACCACGTGTATGCCATGTACGGCCAAACGAGTACGTCCGCCGTCCGTCCAGTTGTAGTGGGTGAGGGTGCAGCGAGGGCTTCCTGCACGGTACTACACCTCCCGCAGGCTAGCAAAACGACTCTGACACCTGGACCCACCACCTCACGGCTCGCACGGAGGCACAAGACCACATACCGTCGCACAAATTGTTGATTAAAGTAGAAGAACAGAGAACTCACCAGGCATGCAGTATACACCGACATACACGCTCCAGGGCAGGCCCTCCTTGTCTCTAGCACGCGAAGACATCGCCGAGCTGGGCCAGGCTGGGGAAACCGCGCGCCCCTCGGAAGGGGCTTGGAAGCATGAATGGCCGTAGACATGGTCGCCTGCCTTGACGGTGAAGTGCTCGGAGTGAAGGACGCGTCCAACGGAAAAGCTGGTCAGTCTATGGGCGCGTCAGAAGACGCACTACATGCATTGCGAGACACGTACGACTGGCCTACGAAAGAAGTGGGCTACAGAACGAAGCATGAGCTGCGAGATGCGCGAATGTACGTTGCGCGCGACACAGAGAGTAAGTAGCTCTTGATGTGAGGCCCGCGCATTCGGCCGCGCATGTAGGGGTCGATGCTAAGCACGAGGGTCTTCACGAGGAAGCCACCATTCAGCGGACGGTGTCGGGATGGATTTTCTAGGAATCATCGTCGTAAACGTTCGCCTTGTGAGGGTCAGGGAAAGTGTTGGACGCAGATGGTATCCGAGTCGCCAGCGATGCCAAACAAGCTAAGGCAAGAGCTGGAATGGGCGCCTCGGTGAGCCTCGATTGGTTCCCGCGACGCCAGATCCAGATCGTACTGAACGCGTTTCCGCCCCCGCTTTCGCGACCACCGGTGCACGACATCATCATCTACGAGTTTGAAGCCTATTAATAGATGTATTTTGTGACTGATAGCTACTACATGCACGGATCCTGCAATTCAACGAAGACGATCTGAACAGTTTCTTGGGCGACCCAAACTACTTGGCGTTCCTTTCGAGTGCAAGGGTCCCGCATCCTAGGAGATACCATAGACGAAGCCTCATTCACGGCGCCCGTAGGTGTTGAGGCTTCCGCTCTCCGTATGAACCCAAGACAATAGAACGATGGGCGGGTCCAGAAATGGCATCTCGCGTTGGGTTGATGAAACTCTCATCTTATGGCCAGAATATCAGACTGCGGAGCATAAATGGCGACCTGCACCTACCATACGCAAACACACGTTACGGAGTCTCCGAGGCGGGGTACTGAGCATGTCGAGATGGTAGGAGAGCGCTTCCGCGAGGATCGGAGCCAACGGAGGGGGCGATCAGAACGGGGGACAAATCTTGACGAGGGCGGGCGGGATCGCCGGAGGACACAGATATATAAACCAATGCACTGCTTTCCAAGGATCCGGGTCGAGCATGCGGGCGATGCCAGCCTGTATAGAAGGTGCCCCAGGAACGAGGTCGGCGGCGTTCGCATGCTGCCGGACAGTCAGGAAAAGAAGGGCACAGCATGCCATGAGGCGACATAACGACTTATAGGGTATTATTGCCGGCTGCCAAAGAACAAGGGAGACCAGAAGTAGGGATGCTGGAATATAAGGGAGGTAGGTGACGTGGGAACGGACGGAAGTCCGAGGGAAACTGGAAGGAGGGATATATATTCGGTATTCTGGAGTATGAAGCCACTCACCTACCTGCCGTGCCGGCATCGAGCTCATCGGCCATCGTGAAATGTTTGGATTGAGGGATGATGTCTGGCTGCCGACGAGGGAAGCCTGATATTGCGAGGGAATACGCGAGGTATATGGCCGGCTTGAGCACGATACGTGCGGGTTGCGAGTTGACGAAGACCTTGCATTGTATGTTCTATCCCCGAGGTCAAGTCGCAGGTTGCACAAGGACGAACTGAAGGTCGAGAAGAGCAGGCAGCAGACGCTTGTATGATAATCTATAACATTATGGGACGACGGTGTTGCTGTGGCGCGCGTAACGCACATGGAAAGCACATGGCGTCCACGTTCGCCGCGTGGCCTCAGCCACCTACCGGCCGGGCGGGTCGGGCGCTCCTCCTCCCCGGCGCCTGCGACCCCCGCCCGAGCTGTCCCCGAGGCGGGATTTCCGCGCGAAATGTAGGGAATGTAGGACAACTCAGTACCGGGAAAACAGGCATCAGGACCGGGAAATGAGACCTGTGAGTACTGAGGTGCTCCAGAGGCGAGGGAAAACAGTGATGGGAGAATCTGACATAAATACCAGGAAAATGGGCAATATCAGTACCGGGAAAACAGGAAGACAAGAAATATTGCTGAATGTGTGCCACAGGCCGGGAAGCATTGAATTAAATGCAATCACAAGACTGAACATATTGGGAGCACCGGGAAATCAGTACCGGGTAATAAGATATCTGAGTAGTGCCAGGAAAAGGATGCAAGAATACTCTGGGAAATAGGGGATAAAATTGCCCTGATATTCTAAAAGTCAAGCATATCACTGACAGTGTACCACAGGCCGGGAAGCATGAAGATGAACACACAGCATTGAATAGAACTATGCTGCCAGCCCGTGGCGAAGCCATGGGCTGGCAATGCCCAAGAATATAACCTTCATAGTAACACAAAGCACAGAATGAAAGAACTGCCGCCAGACCTGAGGCAAAGCCCAGGTCTGGCATTGCATAAGCATGAAATCTTAAAAGTTACATGAAGCACAGAATGAAGAAATTGCCCCGTAAACCCGTGGCGAAGCCACGGGTTTGCGATGCTCGTCATAAAAGAATGGGAGGTCGGGGTCGATGTGGCGCGAAAAAGCCACGAGAAAGCCACATGGAGCGCACGTTGGCCGCGTGGCAAACCATGTGCGCCCAATCCTTACCACTCTAACGGGCCCGGCGCCTTCCGCTTCCCCGGCGCTTGCGCGGTCCCTGCCCGACGCGTCCCCGACGCGCGCGAAAGGAGCGGCGGGACCTTGAACGGGAAACCCCTTCGGCAAGTCAGGACATTTCAGCGGGTTTCCCGAGGCGTCGCGGCGTGTGTGATGGGCAACGGGCATGATGACGGGAGGTAATGTTGACAGGAAAGCTGCTCTCGGGCGCCCTCCGCTCACCAGTGTATCCTCGCCCGAGGTGTCCCCGGGAAACTTGAGAAACCCATTGGGAAATTTCTTGAGGTGTTCCCGAGGCATCGTGGCGGGTGCGAGGAGGTAAGTACATAACGGGAACCAATATACACACCAGGATATGCCCTCGGGCGCCCTCCGCACTGCAGTTCAAAGGAGTAACATGTAGCATTGAGTACCGGGTACGCCGCCAGCCTGTGGCGGAGCCACAGGCTGGCATGCCAGAGCATCTATTCCAGTAGGTACACAAAGCATTGACTAATGGGTATGCTGCCAGCCTGTGGCGAAGCCGCAGGCTGGCACGCCAAAGCATTTATTACAATAATTACATGAAGCATTGAATTTTCAAATCGCCTGCAAGACCCGTGGCTTTGCCACGCCGGGTCGGCAATGCACAAGAATATAACCTTCATAGTAACACAAAGCACAGAATGAAAGAACTGCCGCCAGACCTGAGGCGAAGCCCAGGTCTGGCATTGCATAAGTATGAAATCTTAAAAGTTACATGAAGCATAGAATGAAAAAATCGCCCCGTAAACCCGTGGCGAAGCCACGGGTTTGCGATGCTCGTAAGACTTAAGTTACGTCCGGTACGCGATCACGTGCGTTCTGGGGGATGGAACATGACGCCCATCCCTGCGTCTCGCGTTCAAACGTTCAGCCCCCAGGGTTCCCCAGGCACTTTCCGCGCGTCTGCTGGGCGACAGACCGATACTTGGGAGACTGTGACCAATAAAGTGACGGATGGTCCCATCTGGGAGGCATCCCATTCGTCAACCGCTGTGGGACGTCTGTGAGGGTCCGCGACACTTCGCGTCCTTCTGTCGGAGAGACTAGCCTTGCTCACCAAAGCATCTTCGCGCCCGGAGCTTTTCTCAGCTATAATATACCTCGCTCGCTCAAGCGGCTGGCCCCCGACCCTCGCCCCTCGCTGCCCGCAGGATGTCATCATCTCCTCAACCGAGCGTCTTCTTCTGCGTCCTCCGATATGCATCAGACGCCTTGACGCTGGACGAGCGCAGCCTTCGCGCCGCCGACCCCTATATGTCCAACGTCGGCGGGGTCCGTGCTCTGCGTAGAAGCAGGCCAACCGGCGAGCCAGCCGGAGGACGCGTCCGGTACTGTGCCTGAGACCGGGCACTGCGTGCGGACATGGCACCCAATGCAGCAGGACCTCAGCACGACCACGAACGTCGGTGCGCCGCTGAGTACCGTCCCTCCTGCGTTCACCCATCGCGGAGCTCCCCGCCCTCCGCTCCTTCTCCTCCCTTGTACTCCGCATCGCGCCCTTGTATTCGGCTGAAACGCGGGGATCAAACACTTCGGACATCAAGATGTCGAAGACTGACGTACCAGAGAGCCTCAGAAGGGACTGCCCGGATTGGCGCGTTAGAGTGAGTCTTGTTATGTGTTTCCGCGAACAAGGACGCAGCAACCGATACTCGCATCACTAGTACGCGGTCTGGGGTCAGCAGTGGGGAAACCCTAGCTATGCGACTGCTGCCCGACTCGCCGCAGCGGATGGAAGTAGCGAGTCGTCGTTCGTGGCCACGCCGGAGGCGCCCGAGCAAGTTCAAGACGCAACACCGGACGTTTCAAGCACCATTTCGGCAAATGTCCTAGCTCAGCGCGATGGAGAAATCGTCGAGGGAGACATTCCAGCTGAAGCTGGGGCGACGTCGTACGTTGCGGGGGTGCAGTACGACCAAGAGCCATCGCGGCCACTTTTCCGGTCACCACTGCTACCTCCCTCTGCACACGAGCAGGAAGCGCGTGCGAACATCGCTGAGCCTGCAGCGCTCTACCATGCTTCGGTCGCTCCAGACCTGTACCAACCGCAGACGTATGCGTCGCCAACGGGCTATTCGCTGGGAGTGGCACCGGGAATGTCGGAGCCTGGTACGCATGTCAGCTTGCAATGCGTCGCATCTCAGGCTTGCTAACGAAGCTGACAGACGACGTGAATCCCCAGTCGAACACGCTGGCTGCTTCGAACCCGTACCTCGAGTACTCGTACGACATCGCGGGTTACTCATACCCGACCCTCGGGTACGCAAACGGGACGCACATCGATGCCCCTACAGGCATGGCAGGGTCAGAGACAACGGCCCACTGGATACCGAACCAACCAGCGACAGACATATACGGCTCCCTTCCAGCTGCCCGGAGCGGAAGTGCTAGGGACGACAACAACTTCGAGACAGTGATTTCGGGCCAGTCGAGCGCAGCTTCGACATCGCTCGATTCGTCATACCATCGCCAGGTCGCAGAATTGCCGTCGCTACAGACCCATTTCGACAATCTTGTCGTCGACGCGGACTGGCCGCAGTGGGATCGAGTCGCTAGCGACGAAGTTCTCTCGCAGGAGCAGTGGTTGGAAATCATTGCCGCAGCCGCTCAGCAGGCTGCGCCAGGAGAGCCCGATTCGGTGATGGCAATGAAGCGCGACGACTTCGGCGGTGAGTATCACGTCTCGGTAATGGAGCCTCGACTGATGTCCGAGCGACTGGCAGGTTACAACGCCGCGCCATTCCATGCACTTGAGCACATGCCCTCTCCGGCACCTGCCAACCAAGGGCAGAACTTCACGCCCGGCGCAGCGCCGCCGGCCGGTCTCCTTTGGACGGATGCTCCGTCCGTCGAGCTGGCGGAATGGCTCAGTCTTCCGAGCGACTTCGAGGTTGACGCGTCGCCTGACATGGCCATGGTTGATGATGGGTTGCGCACCTCGCATCTGCCGGGGAACGACCAATTGAATCCTTGGTCTGGCGGTGGTGCCTCCGCCGAATCCTCTCAGGAGGCGCCATCCCACGACTCCTGGATGCACCAGGGGTACTGGAAGTGGTAGCCTGACTTCAGCAGTCTTTACCAGCAACTATCGCCGTTCAGCGAGACGATGGACATACCTTTCAATTCTCAGTCTCCCTCAATCTCCTCCCGCACGTCGTCTCGTACTTGTCTCGCTCTCGCCGTTATCTGTCAAGCCTGCTCTCTATTTGCTCTCATCTCGCTGACGATCTATACACGAATGTCGCGCTATCTCACAACTGTCCCAGTCTACTCACCTCGCTTCGATCTTGCTATGTTCCCAACTCTCACGCGTTTCTTGTATCTGTAGACCCTCCTGTATATTCTGTGTCTCTGGCGTGGAACAGCCGTTGATAAGCGTCGTTAACTCTACGCACAATCTGGTGATAACGCACCTCATCATTGACCTACATGGTGGGTGTGAGCGACATTTTCCCTAGGATGGGTACGAGACCAGGTGTGAGGAAGGGATAAGTCGGACTTGAGGCTCAGTGACCAGTCGGACCATGTTCATTGTTGCTACGTGTAACTTGGTCACCTGACTAATACCACCTGTGAGATCGCGATCTGAGCAATCTTGCGTCTCGATTTGGTTCCGCCGTTTCGCTCTGGCCAGACTGGGACCAACTAGCACCCCTGATCACGCAGGGTCTCCTTGAATCTGATTCGTTTCGCTATCCATAGACGCTATAAATGAATGCATACCTCGGACAATGGTGCTATTGCGTATACGACGCGAGGTTCGCAGCGGCGCAGATCGACTCACACAGCGCAGCTTGCTTGAGGGTGTCGCAGACCGAAGTGCTTCGTTGGACATCGCTAAGGTATGCATTCGTTTCTCTAGCTACTTATATATATGTTTCTTCAGATACTACGACGTCTGATGGCCGACGTGGTGCATGGTACTATAGTCTCGAGACTACCGCAGAGGGCGCACGCAATGTACGCCGGCGGGACCATACGGTAAGTGCCGTACGTTCCACGAGTCGGTCATGCAGCGGACTTTGATGATACCGGGCTGTCAGTACAACGTCATCAGTCGACTTTTCGTCCTGGAATTGGTAAGTCGAGTGCCCATCCCATACGCATGACGCGCGTTTGACCTTTCGCACAGGTTCACCAATTTCCGCATCACTCTACCATGCGAGACATCCACCCGACTCTTCGAACTTGTGGCTAATGTGTCTCCTCTCTGCATCTGCGTGGCAAGGGAAGCCTGCTCAGGTCGACTCCTACCTTCGCGAACCCCTTGCGTTTGCGACATCCACTTCCCCAACATGTCACTGATCCCGGTGAGGGCTGAGATTGAGTGTAAGGTAGGTCCAGCCAATCAGTTCACGATTCGGTGCGGCTGACCCGTCTCGAGGAGCCCTTCGCTTGACATCGGAGAGGTACCTTGTACAGACGCCTCACGGAACTAGCATGCATAACGAAGTCCGCGGGCTATGCGCGGTATGCTGTAGCTTCAGGACCGTATGACCTGCTCCGATGTCATGTAGGTTTCCTCTCTCTGTCCAAGTCACAGACCGGACACTGTCAAGCTGAGCGGCTGACAGCTTCTCCGTGCTTGTCTCAGGCTCCAGGATAGCACAAAAGTTATCCATCCCTCTCACGTATCCCAAGTAATATGCATGAAGATAGCATGTCCGGTGAGCAGAATGCCCAACCGACGTGTGCGGTCGCAGTAGCGGTCGCCGATGATGATGCGCTAACTGGAATACGCCCCTGATAGTGATTGTTTGTCTCGCTGAAGATCCGCGTCTCCATGCCGCCGATGACAGGATTCTCCGTGATCTCCTGCATAGAACATTGCATGAACGCACTCCGACTCCGCCATCCCACCGGCTGAAAGAGACCTTGCCAAACATTGTCATTCTGGAGCACAGAACCGTCCTCCGGGGATATGTTCTCATCGTTGCTAGCCTCTACAATATATAAGCCCTTGGTCGGTCGACATCACCTCAATACTCAGCAACAAGCCCACCACTCACACCAGTCTACGTGCACAGTCTACATTCGACGACACACGACAATTTGAACAGAACATGTCATCCTCGGGAACGGCTCAGGTACACCTCTCTACCGTGGTTGGAGAGTTGGTTTTGGGAATGGGACCTGCGCCGCCCCGTGGCGACCCAGCGGTGGAACATATCTTGGTCATTGGAGGCGGCGTAACCGGCTTGACGGTTAGTGGTCCATCATTCGAGCCCCTGCCTCAGACACTTACTCAGAGTCAGACGGCATGGCTGCTCCTAGACGCAGGCTACAATGTCACAGTAGTCTCAGAGCGATGGGCGAATCCCAGCAACCGGATCACATCTCAAATCGCCGGGGCTCTGTACGTTTGGAGTAACCTCACGTATTCACTGTGTTCTGACTGATCGAATCGTAGGTGGGAGTGGCCGCCCGCTGTCTGCGGCAGACATACCGACATTATCTCCTTGGAGCATTCGAAGGGCTGGGCGATGACGTCCTACCGTATCTTCGAAAGGCTGATGGAGATACTGCCCACGGAGGCCCACGGAGTCCGCATGCGCCTCGCGAACTTCTTCTTCGATCGCCCCCTGGAGAGCCTACCTGATCAATACCAGAAGATGGAGGAGATTGAGCATTGTGGCGTGAGTAGCCCGCCTAGTCTGTCCTACTATGCGACCCGTTGACATTTGATCAAGGTTGCTGGCTTCAAACGCGACCCTAACCTCGTGAAGCGACACGCTGTGAACCAGAAGGCCGGAGTAGTCGACTCATACCGCCACCTCGCACCTGTCGTCGACACCGACCAGTACATGATATGGCTGCGCGACCTTGTCACTCAGAAAGGCGCCACACTTGTCACGGAACGGATCTCTGGCGACCTCCTGAGCCAAGAGGACGAGCTTCTCGCGAGCTACGGAGCGCACGCCATCGTCAATGCCACCGGCCTCAGTGCGACAGAGCTCGCGAGGGACGAGACTGTCTATCCTCTACGCGGTGCGCTCATCCGTGTGGTGAATGACGGGAAGAGGTTCCCGAAGGTCACGGAGGCACTGGCTGTGGGCATCGACGACGCGCATAGAGATGAACAGGAACTCGTATTCATCGTTCCTCGCAATGACAATGTCCTGATCCTCGGAGGTAAGTCCGCCTCTCCCGAGACACATTCAGCACACACATCTAGCCTCACAGGAATCGCGCAACCACGTCAGTGGAACCTAGATCTGACGCTGGACAGCCCGGAGATCGTACGTATGCGGGAACGATGCAACTACTTCGTCCCTGGACTGGAGAACGCTGAATACGATCCCGACGCGCCATTGGTGCAAGGAAATCGACCGACTCGGTCCGAGAACGTCCGCGTCGAGAGGGAGATGCGGCTCAAGAAAGATGGCTCTGCGAGCAGAATCATACATTCGTACGGACAGGGTGGCTCGGGATTCTCGCTGTCCTTTGGATGCGCGGGAGAAGTGCTCGGCCTGCTCAAGGACCTATCGCTGGGCCTCTTACCTACGAAGATGTCTCACAAGCCATCTGTGGTACCCGACGCTGTGCGGGCACACCTGTGATCTTTGTATACTTAGTATCAATCTAATCGGAAGCTCGCGTCTAATGGGGGAATGCATCAGAACAAGTATCTGTTCACCCTCAAGCTTCAAGTCGTGCTCTGACCATTCTTACAACGTAATAAGTAATCATCATGCTCTTGCTGCTGTTGTTGGGGAAAACCGGGGGTGATCGATGATTGGGTGTCATTCAGCTGTGTCTGGCGACGTTGTGGTCCAGACACTTACACGCATGAATGATGCTGGTAATTACAACTCGACGTGGTCGTGCCGCCCGGGGCCAGCCGCGGTGGTTCCCGAGATGCTGTTGCGCGTGTCTCAAATAAACGGGTCAATTCAACGTGCATCTGAAGGCATCGGAGGCTCTATCGTTTTTGGAGACAGTGTACAAAACGAGGACAACGACAAACCATATATACGAAATCTGCAGAGGATGTACACATACCCACGCCGGCTCCCAACGCTGACATACAAGAGGTTCCGCGAACTCCAGGAGAATCCCTGCCAGTAAGGATTCAGTTGTTAGGTCGAACTTCCTGTAGCTCACATTCTGGCTGTCGACAGGATCCTCTCGTAAGGGCAGAACATCTCGTCAATAACAATGATCACGGTTCATTACAACATGACTGGGTGTAGGGTACAACACGGAGACAATACAATATGCCGAAGTCCCTGATAAGTGTCCATTGTCCATTCATGATCACCGTGCTTCAGATCCTCCTTCACAGCACCAGGTAGGCACGGCAGCCTTTTGCGCTCAGCAGAACGAAATCGTGTAGTCGGTGCCGGTCGGGCAAGAGCTTGTCATACCGCAGCCGTCACCCTCATCCGAGGCTGTGCAAGCCTGGGGGCCGGTCGTGCCTACACATGCTCATGTCAGCAGTCACATTCCCAGAAGGAACCACGCAAGACGTACATCCGGTTCCGGGAGTGATCGTCACCGCAACGTTGAAGCCATCTGTCGTGCTCGGGTTGAAGAAGTCCAAGTTATTCCATCTACACGCGCCGCATAGTCAGTACACTCCTCTTGTCCGTACGGCTGCCACCGGACTCACGCGTTGATCGTGAACTGCGCGAGCGTCACGCCGCTTCCCGCCGGCGCGGTGCAGTTCTCTCCACCAGTGCAGCTACCTGTCTGGCAGGTGCCCGACGCGTCACACCCGGTGCGGCCCCAGATCCGGCCTCCTGCACTCCAGGCGGAGTCAAGCGAGACGGACGACGAGCTCCCCGCGGCGACAGCGAAGCCGCCCGTGGAGGAGCCGTCAGAGGCTGTCGCAGCGGGGTAGAAGCCGGGGTCGACCTCGTAGCCACAGTTGTTCGTCAAAGTCACGGTCGTCCTGCGGATGTCCAGGTTAGTTCGAACGGCTGGAATTGACTAGTCAGCGTGTACTCACGCAGAGACGGCGGCAGCGAAGGCGACGAAAACGGCGAAGGTACGAGCGAACATTGTGATACAAAAAGCGAAGAGGGAAGGCAAGGTGTACAGAAGAGCAGAGAAAGAGAACTGGAGAAGGTAGCTTGAGCGACACTCACCATCGCTACTCTCTTATATACGCTAACTCTCAGCAGCGCGCTACGACGTCATGGCCTACGATCGCCGCACCCGCCACACGCGGCGTTCTCCAGAGCTCTGCATGGCGGTCAAATTGCGGCCTCGGACAGCCTTGGCGGGGACCGTGTCGGTGGTGCACGCCGCCAAAGGCGGTGGGCGTATGTAAACTTCCAGCCCGGGTCGCTACGGTGATGCACGAATATGGGCCTGGATGGACTCCACGAGAGGCATGGGAACACCGGCGGAGCCCTTGGCGGTGGAAAACGTTGTGGTGGCTGGTGCGAGTTACATCACTCACGGAGAGCTATGGCCGACGACATGGTGATAACTTACCCTTCTCCCGGTGAGCAAATGGTCCAACCTGGTAGGGTTAGTTATGCGCCGCATACTGAAAGGCGGGTCGAGAGATGGTTCGCGCACACACGCTGTTAGGAGATCCGGATATACGCGACGAGAGCAGGAGAGGGCAGGGCGCACCGGCGGTATGCCAGCTGAGTCCGGCTCCGTTTCGTTGCGTAGACACGTGGTGATGGGACCATGAGGCGCCAACACGGTCAGGTGATCGCGTTCGGGCGCGCTCCATCCACGAGCATCGCAAACCCGTGGCTTCGCCACGGGTTTACGGGGCGATTTTTTCATTCTATGCTTCATGTAACTTTTAAGATTTCATACTTGTGCCATGCCAGACCTGGGCTTCGCCTCAGGTCTGGCGGCAGTTCTTTCATTCTGTGCTTTGTGTTACTATGAAGGTTATATTCTTGTGCATTGCCGACCCGTGGCAAAGCCACGGGTCTTGCAGGCAATTTGAAAATTCAATGCTTCATGTAATTATTGTAATAAATGCTTTGGCGTGTGGCTTCGCCACAGGCTGGCAGCATACCCGTTAGTCAATGCTTTGTGTACCTACTGGAATAGATGCTCTGGCATGCCAGCCTGTGGCGGAGCCACAGGCTGGCGGCGTACCCGGTACTCAATGCTACATGTTACTCCTTTGAACTGCAGTGCGGAGGGCGCCCGAGGGCATATCCTGGTGTGTATATTGGTTCCCGTTATGTACTTACCTCCTTGCACCCGCCACGATGCCTCGGGAACACCTCAAGAAATTTCCCAATGGGTTTCTCAAGTTTCCCGGGGACACCTCGGGCGAGGATACACTGGTGAGCGGAGGGCGCCCGAGAGCAGCTTTCCTGTCAACATTACCTCCCGTCATCATGCCCGTTGCCCATCACACACGCCGCGACGCCTCGGGAAACCCGCTGAAATGTCCTGACTTGCCGAAGGGGTTTCCCGTTCAAGGTCCCGCCGCTCCTTTCGCGCGCGTCGGGGACGCGTCGGGCAGGGACCGCGCAAGCGCCGGGGAAGCGGAAGGCGCCGGGCCCGTTAGAGTGGTAAGGATTGGGCGCACATGGTTTGCCACGCGGCCAACGTGCGCTCCATGTGGCTTTCTCGTGGCTTTTTCGCGCCACATCGACCCCGACCTCCCATTCTTTTATGACGAGCATCGCAAACCCGTGGCTTCGCCACGGGTTTACGGGGCAATTTCTTCATTCTGTGCTTCATGTAACTTTTAAGATTTCATGCTTATGCAATGCCAGACCTGGGCTTCGCCTCAGGTCTGGCGGCGGTTCTTTCATTCTGTGCTTTGTGTTACTTTGAAGGTTATATGCTTGGGTATTGCCAGCCCATGGTGGGTGATTTCTTTATTCTGTGCTTCATGTTACTTCTAAGATTTCATGCTTATGCAATGCCAGACCTGGGCTTCGCCTCAGGTCTGGCAGCAGTTCTTTCATTCTGTGCTTTGTGTTACTAAGAAGGTTATATTCTTGGGCATTGCCAGCCCATGGCTTTGCCACAGGCTGGCAGCATTAGTTCTATTAAATGCTGTGTGTTAGTCTCCAGGCGTCCCGGCCTGTGGTTCAGTGATATCTTTGTCTTCTTGAATATAATCTGACATTTCTTACTATTTCCCGGTGCTGGTGTGCCATTCCCTATTGTCCTGGTATTTATGTATCATTTTCCTGGTACTACTCAGATATCCTATCGCCCGGTACTGATTTCCCGGTGCTCACAATATGTTCAGTCTTGTGATTGCATTTTAATTCAATGCTTCCCGGCCTGTGGTACACATTCAGCAATATTTCTTGTCTTCCTGTTTTCCCGGTACTGATGTTGGCTATTTTCCTGGTATTTATGTCCCATTCTCCCATTACTGACATGTTCTGTATTCCCTTCCATCTTTGCAGGCCTCGGGAACACCTGTGTACTCACAGGTCCTATTTCCCGGCACTGAGTTGTCCTGCATTTCGCGCGGAAATCCCGCCTCGGGGACAGCTCGGGCGGCGCCGGGGAGGAGAGAGCGCCCGACCCGCCCGGCCGGTAGGTGGCTGAGCGCACGCGGCGAACGTGGACGCCATGTGCGCTCCATGTGCGTTTCTCGTGGGCGTACGCGAAAACCACGCGAGTTACGCGCGCCACATCGACACCGCCGTCCCATAATTTTATAGATTTTATAGATGATGCGATGCTGTGACAGGACTCCAGGATGTATATGTATTACGAGTCGACCCCTGCATGGTGATGAGCAACTTCAGCATCACAAGGAGCGACATTCCAGTTCATGACTTAAGCCTTCCGTACCTTACGCCTCCATCACTGGCAGCACGACTCTTGAGCCTGTCTGGGCCCGACCGATCTGAACAGTGACCGTTCAGATTCGCATTTCCATGTGCTTTTGGGTTTCTTTACGCTCTTTTGAGGGAATAAATACATCAGCCAGTAACGTTGCCGATGTTGTCTGGAAACTGATTGCACGTACTCCGCATGTGCTGTAGATTCCTCCGAATGAAAATCCCGGGAGTAGCAAGAGGTCAGCAAGAGCGTGGTGCAGATTCCGGACATGGTCAGATGTCGCAGAGAGAATATTGTACGAGTAGACGCAGCTGCAGTCAGTGTGTATAAGTGGATATCATACTTGTGAGGCGTGCATGTCGTGCGGCGGCTTCGGCCCTGGACTCGCCCGCAACCATACTCGGCAGACATGTGGTGAGCTGAAGCAACGAGGAAAATGTAGAGCGCACCCACGTACTGATACATGAAGCCCATACTCAGTCAGAACGAGCGTGATCAGGCTCTTCATCGCGAAGTATTATAATGCCCTCAACAGTGGCAAACAAGTCTCCTCGAACCTGCGCGGCGAGGAAGTCATTGCATATTCCCAGGCCCGTGAAAAGACGCACTTGCGTGAAGCTAGAATTCTTTCTGCTGGTACTATTGAGTTCCGACTCGTGATGAAGTGTGGCGGACACTACCGGGTACTAACATGTCCGGATCCCCTTCGCTCTGTGAGATATTCGTTGCAGCATTGAGCTATATGAATATTCGAAGCTCGCAGGGTGGGTGTACTTCCGTTGGCGACGGTCGCAAAGAGTCAGAGTACGATTTTGAGTACTACAACTTACAACGTTCCGCCGGCCACGGAACCAAATCGAGATTACGATCTCACGGTCAGTCAGGTGACTAGGTTACACGTAGCACGACTTTCTTGGGATTGCACTTCTCTGACTCCCGTCTCCGCGTTCTGGTCATACGTAGGCCGATGAATAAGTGAGTGCTCGTCAGAATGTGCGTAAGGTCGATAATTCTTATTAGCCTTGCTGTTCAGCACCAGGAGCATAGACGCACTTTGAAGGGAGGCTGGCAGATACAACGTAGCAGGGTCAAGACGAGGTAAGATAGACTAAGCAGATCACGAAATAGAGCGCGACATTCGTGTATAGTGACAGCGAAATCAAAGCAGATGGAGAGCGAGACATGAAGGGAACGAGATCAACGGAAAGCAAGACAACTGCGAGACGATATGCGGGAGATTGGGAAGTGTGTACGGAGTGCGAGATAAAAGGTGTGTCCGTCGTCTTATTGAAGGACAATGGTGTGTAGTGCTTAGGCTGGTTAAATCAGGCTACCAGTCCTTCTGAAGCATCGCGCAATCATGAGAGAACGTTCCTTGGGAGGAGCAAGCGGGGCCTCCACTGCCAGACCAAGGATCGAACTGGTCGCTCCCTGACAATCCCGGGATGTGGAACCCGTCGTTGACAATGACCTGCTCAGGCGACGCATCCGTGCCGGAGCTGAAGTCGTCTGGAAGATTGAACCACCCCACTAGCTCGACGGACGGAGCATCCGTCCAGAGGAGACCGGCTGGTGGCTCCGCAGGGCGCGCCGTAGTAGGCGCGTATTCGATTTCTTGCAACAACGCCGCGTCGTTCTCTGCCAGTCGTTCCATCGTCACTTCAGCTCATCGTTGGTACGATGCTACTCACCATCCGAGTTCCCGACGCTGTCGTCCTGCCATTCTGTTGTCGCATTAGACCCTCCTTGGTCACCCTCCTCGGTGGTATCCGCGGTTAGCCCTTGGCCTTCCGGGAGGACACCTGGGTCATCGTTGCTGGCTACGTCCGCTGCGCCCCACTGCGACCAGCCCAGCTCGAATGCGACGTTGTTGAGGCAGGCCTGCGGCGACGGCAGCCCTTGGTACGACAAATCATGGGCTGTCGCAGACGTGTTTGTTTCGCTGGCAGTCACAGCTCCGAAGTTGTTGACGCTTGCAGGGCTTACGCGCAGAGCAATGGGAAGGGGTCGGACAGTGCTTGTCGCGCTCGCAGTGTTGTGCGGGTACGAGTGCGCCATAGCGTCTGACTCTGCCATGTTCCCAGTGTCATTGAACGGCGTCCCGTTTGCGTGCTCGACAGTTGGGAATGGGAATGTCGCGATGTCGAGCGAGTACTCGAGATATGAGTTCGGGGCAGCGAATGCAATCGAAGGAGCGGTATGGTCAACGGAAAGTCGGTTCGCATCTTCTGGTCAACTTCATTAGCTTGCCCGAGACGGAAGGCAACGCAAGCTGACATGCATACCAGGCTCGATGGTGTCTGCGTGCGTTGCCTGTTCGCATGCAGAAAGCGGCGGGAGTGGCGACCTGAACGGTGGCCGCAATAACTGTCTGTACGACTGCGTCTCCGGGGCAGGCGATATTTGCCCAGCTTCAGCTGGGATGCTTTCCTTCAACTCTTCACCATCGAACTGTACCAGGTCATTGCGTGTTGTGGTCGTTGAAGTCTCCGCGGTTGCGTCTTCGACCAGGCCGGGCACGTCTGGTGTGGCCGCGGACAGAGATTCGCTACTTCCATTTGCTGCAGCGACGCGGACGAAGGCAGCGTAGCCAGAGCTTGCAGATCGTTCGTCCCAGACCGCGGACTCATAGTGCAAAAGTTGGTTCGTGCGTTGTGACTCTCAGATTTTGTGAACAAGCTCACCGGAGTTTGGTGGGCGCTGTTCTGCTTTGCGAGTTCTTGTAGGTCATTCTTGTTCGTCATCTTGATGCCCAAATTGTTTGATCCCCGCGTTTCAGTCGAATACAAGGTCGCAACGCGGAGTACAAGGGAGGAGGAGGAGCAGAGGGCGGGCAGCTCCGCAATGGTCGAACGCAGGAGGGATGGTGCTCAGCGGTGCACCGACGTTCGTATTCGTGCTGGGGTCCTGCAATATCGGGGGGCATGTCTGTACACACCGCTAGGTCTCAGGTACCAATGCATTCCCCGGCTGGCCTGCTTCTACGCAGAGCGTGCCGCACCGACGTTCGACATATAGGGGTCGGCGGCGCGAAGGCTGCGCTGGACCGGCGTCAAGGAGCCGGACGCATGTGGGAGGACGCATAGGACGGCGCTCGGAAGACCGGATGATGAGATCCTTGGGCAGCGAGAGTCACGGTCAACGACGTTGCATGGCGAGCGACGTATAGACAGAGGAGCGCGAACGCCCCGCGCCGTCAACGCGCAACAAGGGTAGAACGGATTGTTCTTCCCGGTAATCAAGGTAAGCCTGTCCGGCAGAACTACGCAGGTACTTCTGGACGCTCATGTACTACTCAGTGCCAATTGACCACTGGGATGGCTTCCAGACGCGCAGGACGCGCCGTGTCTTGTTCCTCGAGACGAGCTTCATTAGTACCATCTAATCGACACACGGAGGGTGCCTGAGGAGCTCTGGACGGGGGAAACGGGGACGCCGGGCAACGGGCGGCCGGGCGACGTCGTTAAGGACTGCACGTGATCGCGTACGGACAGTCTAGCGTCTACTACCTCTTTTTCTCAAAGTGACAATTGACTCTACCTGCAGGATTCGCCCCGATTTCTCCCTTGACGCGACCTTGGGCCGCAATCTGTCCTCCCGGGGCAATCCACCCTTCTCGTTTACTCATAGCTTTCACTCACAACGTTCGAACAGGTAATTCGTTCACAAATATACGAGGCTACCTCGTCGCCAGTTCTACATTCTGAAGTAATACGTGTGCTGCAACTCGCGAGCGCGATACGTGCCATAGGCAAGTCATATGCTACTCTGGGGCGACCATTATATACATCATCTCACCTCCGTTCCCACGTCGCCTTCCTTTCTTATTTTCCAGTGTCCCTCTATGGTCCTCGTTGTTCTTCGGCAGTCGCATGGGGCAGTTCATTCGGCCTCATCGACTGCTGTGCATTTCTTTCCATCGCAACCTTGACAGCTTGCAAACAGTGCCGGCCGTGTTCCTTGGACACCTTCCATACTGACCGGCATAGCCCGCATGCTCTTCCCAGATCTCTGGAAAGCAGTGCGTCGATCTCTTGGACCGCGTCCGCCGGAAGTCCGCTTACCCTCGCTTCTGACCCTCGTTGCGAGCGGGTGTCTTCAGGTACACTTCGTTCACTCCGGCCCTCGGCGTGGCGCTCTACTGCCGCCCTGGGAACATCGGAGCCCTCTGAAGGTCGTACCCAGCAGGATGGTCGCGGTCTGTTCTTGTCCACGCTGTGCTACAAGGTTTGCACTGCTGTCATTGCGTGCTGTCACTCGTATTGGTTCTTTTGTTTGAATATCTCCCTCACTTGCTCACTGCGGCGGCCTCTGCAGGCGGAAGTGTTATGGTAGTACTATTTTGACTGCCTCCGACGAGACCTCAATTCCATAGGAGCCAAAGTGATGGGAAAGCACTATGTATCGTACCGGTGAGCTCAATGTACACATTGTCTACTTTGCTCGAGCTAAATGCAACTGTAGGTTGCCCTCCCTTTTGCAGTACAAGAGCATACACGATCAAGGATCCAGGCAGCCACGTCAAATCATCACACTGCAAGACTCGGAATGACGATAGCTTTGACTCCAATGAGGTGAGATGCGTGCAATCTACACTACCGTTCCTCATGACCACTGACCACACGTCGCGATCGCTCAAGATCTGGCTGTTAAATCCCTTCGGACATCAGCGTTATTGTCTTCTTGAGCATTCGACACCAGAAGAACGTCGGTGACTTGAACGCTTTGCATGCGCTCAGATTTGGTGATTACCGCGCGGACTCGGACTCGGTACCGCAATCACAACGCCGGTCCGTACATTCTCAAAATGTACTTGAAGTACTTACAAAGGCTCGATATCCCTCCAGAATACACTATAGACGTCGAGTTGATACATCGAAGACCCTACGATGAACCTGCAGCTGAATATTGAGGCTTTGGGAGCGAGGCCAGGCTGAGGACTCGCCAAAATGCTGGCGTAGAGCCAACTTCCCACGAGCTGCTGCGGGTTATCGTCAACGCCCCACCCGCATAAATGCGTCAGAGGTTGCTACTTACATAACTCGTCTTATTGTTTAATCGTCTCGGAATCGGCCGCCGATGGAGTATCTCGTCTTCCATGACATATTACTAACTTGCTACTAGCCAGCTTCCCCGCAAGGCCTCATCGCTTGAAACGCTATTGTTGCAGCTAGCCTTCGTAGAGGCAAAGCTGGTTCTTCGCGACGATAGAGTTGCTTCTAGTCACTGCCGACTCTCATTGTCTCTAGCACGTGAGTGGCGTATGTTAATCGATCCTGTCCGTTGTCGCTGCTAGCTCACCTTTCACTGCAAGGACCTCGGGTGTATTGTGAAGAATTCGCTCGATCCTATCCAGTGCGAGCTTGTGAAAGGCATACAAGCTAGGTTCGTCAAATTGCGGCGTTGACGTACGTCATATTGCTATGCAACAACACCGCTGGAGACTGGAGTCTACGATTGCAAAATAGTTTATTGTCTGGCGCCGAAGCCTGCACATGAGGAGAGGTGCGCTTCTGCACTGCGCTTCGTCTACCGATCGCTTCTGGTCTCTGTATGCTATTCTTGATAGCCAAGCTAGTACGCATGGTGCATCAAAGCATCCGACGCGCACAGTAGATGCGCTTTGGCCACACCTCAGCGCTCCGCTATTCATGGGGAGCTCGCGTGAGAACAGGGTGCGTCCTTGATGCGGTAGAGTGTTCCGGCTTTAGATCAAGAGTTGCCCGCCGTTCTCGTAAAGAGTGTCGATGTGGCAAACGAGCCGCGTGCTAATCATGACGCTAGGTTGTTCGGCTTCTCTGTCGCCAGGTATATGTACTCCACTCTGACTTGCCTGCAGACCTGAACATCAGCCGTCGTCTCTCACCATGGTCTTGGAATCAGCACTACACGCCGTTCTCCGTGTCCAGGTTCTTCTCAAAGTCGTGGGCTTAGTAGGACTCGGACTGCTACTTCGCGAACTTCTCTCCTACATCCGTTTGCGCATCGCGCTACTCTCTGTTAGCAAGTTACCCGGGCCTCCTGCGCAATCGTACTGGACAGGTAGGATAGCTGATCTCGCATCTGATCGCGCAATTTCACTGATCTATGATAGGCAACCTGAAACAGCTCATCGCTCGAGACGCAGAGGAGTTTCAGCAACACGTCGCTCTGGACTATGGCCCAGTTACTAAGTTAAACGGGTTCTTCGGGGTCTGCATCTTGTTCATGTTACCTGCACTTACGCAAGCTCATCGGACCCACGCTTTACTAGGAGCCGATTTTATACGTATCTGACCCTAAGGCCTTGCATTCAATCCTCATTAAGGATGAGCACGTTTTTCAGGAGGGCAAGGAGTTCCTCGCGTGAGCATACATCCCGTTCATGCGCGCATGTCATATACTGAGAACGTCCGTTAGAATCATGAAATGCTTGTTTGGTAACTGCCTGAGTGGCGCATCCGGTAGGCAGTTCTCAGCACGCATCCCGTCCTTAGCGCTGACAAGTGCATAGGTCCGGACCACGGCAAGCAACGGAAGATGCTCAATCCAGTGTTCTCAGTTAAACATATGCGCCACATGCTCCCCCTCTTTTGGGAACTAGGTCACAAGGTGCGCAAATATCTGCCTACTTGCAGCGCGTGACAAAGACTGAGGTATGGCCTGGTATGGCCAGTTCTCAGAAGCAATTGGTACTCGCGTGCGCGAGGGACCTCAGGAGTTGGATATGTTGTCATGGTGCGGGCGAGTTGCGTTGGAGTTGATTGGCCAAGGGGGTCTAGGATACTCCTTCGACCCGCTTGTCACGGACAAAGCGGATTCGTATGCCGATGCTCTGAAGTCATTAGTGTGCGTAGCTTTCTCATCGACAATGGCACAGCATGCTTACTGATACTGTCGTCCCTCATACCTTGCGCAAATCTGTCGATACATGGCTGCGCGCAGTCCGGAGCTCGACAGCCTGATGCTCTTCCGGAAATTTATCTCCATTTCTGAGCCCCTCCCGACCTGGATTCGCCGTAGCTTCGTGAGCCTGTTTCCTCCGGGGACTCGAGTCCACACTCTGGCGAATATCATCAACAATCTGGACAAGAACTCGAAAGGCATATACGCTGACAAGAAGCGTGCGCTCGAGCAAGGCGATGCTGAGATCATGAAGCAGATCGCGCAGGGAAAGGATATCATGAGCATCCTCCGTGCGTAATCATCTTGACCCATAGTCACGCATTCCTGACAGGGCTTCACTGCACAGTGCGCGCAAACGCTTCAGCAGATCCAGAGGACAGGCTATCCGACGAAGATGTGATCGCCCAGATGTCGTAAGTCTCACTTAACTGCCAGTCCTTCGCCCTCCTGATGACCTCGCAGTTTGTTCATTGTGGGAGGTCTAGACACGACGGCATCTGCACTCTCGCGCGCCCTGATGCTACTTGCGGAGAACCCTGAGCGTCAGCAGAGGCTCAGACAAGAACTCTTGAGATCGGATGCTTGCGGGAACATGCCGTATGACGAGCTGAATCGTCTGCCATACCTTGACGCCGCAGTCCGCGAGACACTCAGACTGTGAGTGGTTAGGTTCTGCCACAGTCCTTCTATTGCTGACAAATCCCAGCTATCCTCCAGGAACGATCATATTCCGAGTGTAAGTGTACGCGGCCGCACGACTAGTAACCATATCTGACGGCGGTATCTTCGCCGTCTTCGCCACGTAGGGCGGGTCAGGATGCGGTGCTTCCCCTCTCCGAGCCCGTACACACCACCGATGGGAAGACTATGGACGCAATCCCCGTTACGAAGGGATCCCAATACCTCGTTGGTTTCACCGGTTGCAATATGAGCAAGGGGCTGTGGGGTGAAGACGCGCTCGAATGGAAGCCAGAGCGCTGGCTGGCGCCCCTCCCCGCGACGATCATTGAGTCACGTATACCGGGTGTATACTCGAATCTGTACGTATTGACGTCCTTGATAATTTTTGCGACATCTTTGCTGAATGATCGCAGGATGACGTTCTCTGGGGGCAAGCGTGCCTGTATGTACGTGTCCCACATTCCAGCCGCATGTCGGACGAACAACTGTAATGCTGATACTCAACTCGTACAGTGGCTTCAAGTTCTCAGAGATGGAAATCAGTACGTGTTTCATCGTGTGGTATAATCCTGGCACTCAGTCTGCATGAGTAGAGGTCGTTCTGGCTGTGCTCTTGTCGAAGTTCACCTTCGAGCCGAGCGACAAGCCGATTGTGTGGAACGTCGCTTCGGTGTGGTACCCCACGGTCGGCAGAAAGAGCAACACGCCCGAATTGCCGCTCAAGGTTGGCTTGTACCAACCCTCGATGAACTGATTGGCATCCTGCGCTGCATGGCACTCTAGGTCCAGGATATGACGGAATCCCGATGTCGCGTATGAGAATTATTGACTTATTATCTTCGCGACGTGTATCTCTAAAACGCCCACTTTTCGTTTCTGAATCTGCCACAAGCCACCCGATGCTGTTGCGTTCAGCCAACAATCATCCAAGCACTGAGTCAAGTCGGATCGCCACTTCGTCTTGTTGTTTAGCTCGAAGTGCAGCAGAGTGCAGCGCCTCAAGCGAGGGCCCAATTTTAATGTTCGACAAGGCCTGCTGACGCGTCAAAAGACACTTCTATGTATAAGCACGAGATAGGATCCCGTATGTCCCGTATGTCTGGTAGTCCTGACTCCTGGGCTGGACAGAGGCAGTGCAGACGGTGGCACGTACGGCTCACTTACGTACGCATGAAGACTTACGTAATCTACAGCCTGGCGACTTCACCGCACGTTTGGTCTTCCTCCTCTCGAGCTTGTCCGCGTCTGGGGTCCCTTTTAGGCTCTGAAAATGACATATCGACCGGCTATCTAAGTTGACCAAGTCGGTGGGCCTCCGCCGCCGCTAATGCCGTACTATCCGTGTCATGAGTCACCGGCGCGCCCCCTAATCAAATGTATACGATGGCAGCACTGAAACAATCCCAGATTCCGATATATGAGCTGAAGAAGAAATCGTGACCTTTTATATGCTAATTATTCGTGGAGCGCCACTTACTCGTTGCAGAGCCAGAGGAACGCAGACCGATGTCAAGCGTTGAAGTTCCCAGATAGGTAACAGTCCAGAAAAGGATGTGGGTCCACTTCCCACGCCTCAGCGGTAGCCCGAGCATTGACAACCGTTCCCAAGCCCACCGCCACCGGCCCACCGCGACCTCTGGGGCCCAAAACATTACTCTCTTGCAATGCATATGTATACCGTCATGGCGAAACGGCTTATAATCTTGTTTATAAAACTACATCTCTTTGAGACTCCGCGCAAGCCTTCTGTCGGCCCTGGGACCGTATCGTCACCATGGCGGGAGGCCGCGAGCCTCGTGGTGCACATCACAAGTCGCGACACGGTCAGTACATTCCAACGTCCTCTTCTAGCCGTTAGCTGTGGTATCTGTTTTTTGGTAGCTGACGAAATGGAGATAGGTAGGCCCCCTGTACATGTACTACGTGTCGCATAACTGACATAGGTCCAACATCGGTCCATACCGGGTATACCAGTTTAAAGTTTCGTCCATCGTACGTTCCCCAGTCCTCTTGCTTGTATAGATGCTATCATGGCGTCGCTAGGTACCAGCGCTGTAGGACTGCACCCCCTGGCGTTGTGAACCCGAGTACAATTGGCGAACATGAAAGAACATCACTCAATCGAGCAGACGTCGGGACCCTTGAACGCAGCAAGGTGCGGCCAAGGCTCAGTAGGAAATCAGGAGCCCGCTGATTCTGTCTGAGATCTACAGAACCGGGACATCGCATGCTCAACGCTTGTTCTTCAGTCACGCTTCCTCGACATTCCGGAAGCGCTGACCGTTATGATGGCTTCTACGGCACCTTTCGACCAGATTAGCAAGGACTGTCCCACGATGACAAGGGTTCGTTCTAAGAGGGACTAGTCCCTTGATCGATTTGGGCATTGTTAAGGGATGTGCGGCATGCTTGAGGCAGGACCGCAGACGCCGAAGGCAGCGCTCATGCGCCCACAAAATGAAGCGATTTAACACATGAGTCTCAGAGCCACAGCCCTTACAATACTCCCTCACTCAACATGAGCTCCTCCTACGCGTTGCTCCAGGATATCCTGCTCCGGTTCCTCTCGGCAGGAATGCACGGCGAGAACGTAGCTGTGGTGGTCGCCCTGGATGACGAAAGTCTTCAGTCAAACACACAAGATTCCGCCCTCGAGGATTTCTCTAAGGCTTCTCGGTCGAGAGTTGTAGTCAAAGTGCGCTCACCGGCCATCGCGCCTCTGTTGGTCGCCTCGTCCGTAACCCTCCCCTTCGAACCGATGCATCGTCTAATTCCATTACAGCAACTCCAACAACTCACTTGTGCTCGACGATGAATTCGAGCTACCCATTATTGGATCTTTACTCTCAACGCCACCAGCTGTGGCGTCAAGGTCAGCGGTCGTCTTGGTCAGTCATCCGTATTGCACATGCTTCGCCCATTCATTTGACCTTTCTCTAGCGGGACCAAACCGCTCTACTCGTCTACTCCAACCACGTGGAGGACGTCGTGCAATACGTCGTCGACATTGATCGCCGTCTGCATCATTCTTCCCATTTCTATAGCCGCAGGGCGCCAATGCCATTGCCAGGCGACGCAATATCCTGTCAGCCCCCGGACATCCAAGAGGGGTTCATCTTTGCGCCCCAAGACTATCTAACGGAGGACGCCTGGCTCGACGATCCTGTATTGGGCCTTCCAGAAATAGACGTGCCACTTAATGCGGTGCCACCATTCGAGTCCGAGGGGCGTTCCGAATACAAGGATAGCGCATTTCCCCTGCCTCAGATACGAGTGCGTATCATATGGCCATGATAACTTGCGCCCACACTGACCGCAGTATAGCTAGATGACTCTGCGTCCCTCGGGGCGAGTCTGACTGGTGTGTACGAGAGCCTATTGAGCGGCATCGCGCCCCCATCGCTCAACCCATTTTGGGTTAACAATGCATCTACGGATACCGAATATACGACGACCTACTCAGACACGACGATCTCGCCGAGTCTCCTCTACCTCCCTGTGTATACCCCAGACTACGCCACACTATCCCCTTCCTCAACATTGAACGCAACGTCTCCTACCATGCTCAGCGATGCAAGAACTCCGTCCCCGTTTGACGTCTACACGCCGTCAACGAGCACTCTTGAAGATCTCTCGGTATCGCCAGAAGTAAAGCTCGACACGGAGCAGTCGCCTATCGACCAGTGGCACCTCTCATCATCGAGCCTCTCGCTCCCCGAGCCACCATCATGGTCGCCGAGCTCCGCGTCATCCACCGCTCTGCCACGCACGATACCGCAAGAGACTCCGGCTGTGACTCTGAGCGATAGCAAGCACAACGCCACCTCGGTGGCGCTCGGCAAGCGAAAGCGCGGATCATCGCACATACCCATGTTCGCAGCAGGAGTATCAGACACGACGACGTCTCGCCTCAGGAACCATTGCCCAAGCGGCGCGCCGTCGGCGAGGTCCCACAAGCATCAAGGCCAATGGGCCTACATCCTCTCCCAGGACGCCCGGTCCATCCATCGCAACGTCGCGCGCTTGTTCAGCCACAGCGATGCGAGGCAGATCATGGCCATGGGTATCCCTGTCGCGAAGAAAGCCCTAATTATTATGACGCGGATGCTGACGGCGAGGACGATCCAGACGCGGATCACGAAGGTGTCGAAGATGATGACGGGCACCGCATGGAAGTCGATGGGGGTGGTAGCAACGACGAATACGTCGATGACGATGACGCAGCCGAAAGCGACAAAGGCGGCGAGTACGCCGCGTCGGATGAGGAATACGTTGAGAACGCCAGAAGCTCACCCCACCCAGCCAAGAAGCGTCGCACGAGCAGCAACTCGCAGAGCGATCAGGGCGAACATTATCTCTGCAAGAAGTGCGGCCGGACATTCATCCGCGGTACGGACTGGAGACGCCACCAAGACTTTTCAACATGCGCGAATGGCAAGCGCAAGCTGTGGCCTTGTACCTACAATGGCTGCGACACAGAGTTGTCTCGCAAGGACGCTCTGCTCAGGCATATGCGGATTGTGCACAATGCCTCGAAACAGGAAGGCCAGGGACAGACGTCTGGGCGATCGAAGGGCGGCTCTTCGCGCCAACGGAGACGGTCTGCTTCATGAATCTGTCTCGCTTGCAACTACTTACTCAGTTCTTCATCTATTTTCTTGTATTTGGACATCGTCATCACTTTGCTCTGTATCCTCCTGTTATCATCGCATTTGGTATCGCATACAACGTCTCCGTGTCTCCTCTGGTCTAACATTGACGTCAGGTCCTGTAGCTCTTTCTACCACCAATATACCAATAGATACCCTGTGGAATAGATACCCTGTGGCTAGCGCATGTCAACGATCCCGACGTCTTGTAGCCGTCGGCGGATTAGGGCGGCTGTGAGTCAGAGCACCGCGAGTGCCCATCCCTCGTGGCTGTGCATGGTACATCGGGGCTCCGCCATAGTCTGGATGCCCTGATGCTCGAACGTTATCGGTACAGACGGCGTGTACGGCGTTTGGTTAGGATTCACTGCATTCACGATGCAGGCCGGCGTGCTCGCTACCCAACTGTTCCTAAGGTCAGCTCATAGCACAGCAATCGGAGGAATGAGCGCTCACAAGCGACACAACTGTCGTTGAGGCTGCGCAGCTTCGTTCAGCAATGCGCGGAAGATATGAGCATAATCTGATTTTCTCCGGGGGATTTTGCGGTGAACAGCCTTGACTCTCGAGTCACGCACGACAGAACCCATGGTTCCCATCTCGTGTGATAACCTGGAGATACGAGATGAACAGATGAGCGGTTTTGAATCGAGAGCGGAGTCCCCAAATCGACGAACATGTGTATCACGACATCACAACACGCCAACGCACCTTCCTGGCCAAGTAGGCCAGCCTGACTCGCACAAAGCTTCACGATCAGAATGCTTCCACAGTGAACAGCCGGGTAACGGAGCGGAATTCAAAAGTTGAAAGAGTCCGGATGTCTTGTATTCGTTAAGTGGGGACGCGGAAGCGGAGGTTCACTGCCAAGTTCTCGACTGCATCTGAGTCTATGAGGCGTGAAAATGGTCTTGCAGACTCATGAGACCCGAAAAGAAACGAAGGAGAAGGAATGCAATATTACTCACCACGCGGTAACTACGCCATCTGCCGCCTTCGTTCTGGCGTATATGGGTGGCATTGTGATTGAACTTCATGCATGGCCGGAAACACAATGCAGAGCATATGGCCGGGTCGTTGCATTGTCCGCGAAGAATTCTTGAGAGGCCAGGCTTGTTGATTCCAAGATGTTCCGGTCATCGTTCTCCGCAACGACCGGCGATTACAAGTGAACACAGCTAGCACATTGCCAAGCGGCAGACTGGAAGAGCCAGATAGAAGAACCGCGAACAAAGAACCGCAAAAGTGAGCAGAGTCAAGACGATCTGCTTTCGGACAGATAACGCGAGGATGCACCAGCAACTGGGATGCCCACTGCGGAGCTACGGAGTATACATTGGGGCTGATCTAGTCCGTGAGCCAGTGTTTTGAAGACCGTGTTATACTTCGGGCTGCTCGTAGACACTTAGTAGCCAGGGAACCCCAACCGCAGCAGACGTTCAGTATCAACGTGTCGAGGGGTCGAGCGGCCAGTGGGTCGACAAGCGCGTCGACACCGTCTCCGGCTCTTGCCGGCGGGATCTACGGCGGGATCTACGGTCTTCCTGCTGGCAGCCTGGCACGGTCGTCGATCCCACCTCAATACGTAACCAGCACGGACCACGAACTCTTCAGCGCGCACCGTCTACTCGCCAGTATACAACATTTCTGGACTTTCTGAACGGCTGGAAATGCCTCATTCCGACCAGCGACCTTCCTTTCGCCCGCATTTCATGTGTCGCCAGGTCGACATTCAACGATGCGATTCTCGCCCGAGAGATACTTGCCAGTGTGTTTAAGCGCACTATTCAGGTAGGCTGAGGTCGCTGGCTGCTCTCAACGCGCACGCCGGTATCCGTGGTCATTCTGGCTGAGGGTCTCGTGGAAACCGGAGGACCGTCGAAGGGCTCTAATACGGGAGGAAGGGCGGAAATCTAGCTGCTCTTCCTAAGCTCCAATGCTCCCTGCGTTACAATCTGCCTCAACTAGCCTATGAGTTGATTGCGTTGGCACTGCTCTGCGGCGCGGTGGGAATGGATAGAAGGTCCTCTTTCATTGTCAACGTGCGTTCCTGGACACCTCGTTGTGGCGTCGTTCTCTAACGTCTCTCGTCTCAATAGGTCGTCTTGTACCTGCTTCACGATGCCTCTGTCGACTCTGGATGCAGGGCCCTATCTTAGTGCTTTACGATTGGAATGCATCAGCGGTCATGACCCCCCTACACGAGAAGGGGCGCATTATTGCGCTGCTGCTTCCCTGCCTTGTTGAGGTCGCATCCAGAACATGCGCTTCAAGTTCCTTGATCGACCGACCTGTTTTCTCATCTTTCAGGCCGGGAGCTCCATAAATGTCGTTGCTCCGGAGTCCAAGGGTGCGCCGCTGCATGCACGCTATCGCCGCCACATGGTTGTCTTTCGTTCTATGCCTTGGCTCCCGACGCTCTTGTTCTGTGTCGTAGCCAAGGCGAAGCTTGAGTTCTGATAAGCCGCAGGGAGGCGGAGGAAGATCATCGACAAACTTTTCATGTGCGGTCTCGGATAGATGGCCGCACCGCATGCACAAGCCCTGATTGTTGTACTCCGACGGCGACCGGATTCCGTACCCGTACAGTGGTGCAGTCTGATGGCTAGTTCGTGCGGTCCATCATGTCCTCTCTGAGTAAGCCTTGTGGCGGCGAGAATCTGCTCGGTGTGGACCACATGGGCAACGCTCACGACATACAGGATATTCTAGAGAACAGCCTTTGTCCTGCGGAGTAGAAACAGGTGACCGATCTGACAGCACAAGCTGACAATGCAATGCAGACCGCATGAGTCAAAACGCCACTACAGGTAAGTACGCTGTTGCATGTATCACTGTCCGAGTCAACGCTGAAGCTCGTGAACCTTGAAGCTCGGATTCTATGAACACGGCCGGTATGGTCCCTGCGCTACGACGTCGTCGACGGACGGTCATTCAGAGCCCATGAAGTGCTGAAGCGGTGCCTGGCATCATTGTAAGTAGCACTGCTCTCATTACTTCACGGTACTTCGCTGACTGACCGAATGCGACTTGCTTCGCGATCTGACAGATCCCTTAGATGTTGCGCACTGTTGTGTGACGTAAAATGCAGAGTTGTGTATCACTGTGAGCGCACTCTCAGCCACTGGCCGAAGATCTACACAGACTTCGAACTTGCACGGTATGTCAACCGTGATGTCCCCTGCAGAACGACTACTTACTGACGCTTCTCTCCTGATACCGACGCTATGAACTGGATGTACGACGGTACACGAGACTCTGCTTACAACCGTACAAGCCCCGAAAGCTACCGTTCAGCCACAGAAGATCATTACGTGAAGGTAACGTTGGCTGTGTAACATCGTCCGATGATTCCCGGGGCCTGCAATTCAGCAATCTAACTCGTGTCTCCGCCAGTGTGTTCTGGTGTTACTTCATATGGCCATGAAAACCACCTTTCTGCCCTGCTGCGCGGAGATGAGCGCTAGCCTGAGTAATGGCGCTCGAAACTCGCACATAGCCCCTCCATATCGAAGCTCAGTAGCGGAGTTATCGTTCCAGATGCGCTCGGAGTCCTGAACGCCTCACCTGATCAACGAGGCGGGAGACGATGTGCTCAGTGCTGTCAGCGTAGGCGCCGCGTAGTACCGCAGCGATCTTCGGAAAAGCAGTGCAGGGCAAAGCCAGCATATTATCTGTATCGGTGTCTCCCCACGAACGCGGTCTTCACATCCGAACTTGGGAAAGACTCACTGTCGGCTCAACAGACTCAAAACGCTCAAGGAGGCAAATCTTCCACAATTGGCGCTGAGTGCGTCTGTGGGTCCGCATTCCCACGCTTCGGCAGACCGCATGCGGCAGGACATTGACCCGACTGCAGTCAGATTTTTCTGCGTCGCCGGCTCAAAGAAAGGTGACAGTCACGCTATCGCGTTTGACCTGAGGGCCTCTTCAGGACCAGGCGCGAAGGGTGAGAAGGGAGAGAAGTCGCGAGCCTCGAGGCATTGCATCGCCCTCGGCGCGTCGTGCGGCTCAGCCTGCTGAGACTAGTACCGACAGTCCATCCCTCGCCACTTCCTAGATACAGCCACATAGATTCAGAATCGTGAACGCAAAGGGTCATATTGTACAGTATTCAGAGAAGAACAGTCTTGGCTGCTCAGTGACCGTCCAATAGCACGCTTTACTCACCTGCCTCTTCTGGCCAATTCTGCCAGTGCCAAAAGGGTCCGTTGATGTACTAGAGCGCGCGGAGGCGAGCATCTGCGATGATATTTGAGTGAATCATGCTAGACACGAGGCGATGCCGTTGCAGAAGCATGAAGGTCATGTCCGATCCAACCACATCGGCTCAGTGAGGCAGGTCCGATATAGTACCGCCAACATTGGCTCATCGAGCACTCGTGTATACGCTACATGTAGAGTTCGACACCGATCCTATGTACGTAGGCTTGCGGTACTAGGGCTGTTATCAGTGCTTTGAGTCTCGGTTGCTATGCTCGTCCCGCAGCACCATAAAAATGGTTATTATGACTCGCGAACGAGCCGTTTTGTCTTCTTCGCGGCACCAATAACATAGCCAGCGCAACAAGAGATTCATCCCAAAAAGATAATGTATTATCCTGTGCAATCGCAACTCCGACGACCGATAGAGAACCCTTGAGGAGGGTGCGGTGCTCGGTGAGACGAGATCACAGGCGCTCGAAGGCGCGCCACAGGACCTACAGTGCGAACGGATATAATCCGCGAATTCCTCCCCGCCACCGTCAACACGACATCCCAGAAGTGCCCACCATGAGCATCGCTGCCGAGACAACTCTCCAGTCTATCCTATCCCGCCTGGTCCCACCTGTTCCGGGTACAGATCAATTCGAAGACGTTCAAGTAGGCGTGAATGATGATAACGGAAGCGTCGCACTTTATCCCATACAAGAAGGCTCGTCGTTGGCGAGCCTGCTGCTAGCTTCAAACCGTCGGGCCGCCATCAAGGCCCATACACCAGCCATTAGAGCTCTCCTAGCAGACGCGTGCGTACTTCTCCTCGACCATGTTCGTCCCTACTGACTTTTCGCAGAGACGCGAATGCTGTGGCGCTCGCCGTCGACCATGAAATCGAGCTCCCTATCGTTGAGTCGCTTGCATCAGCATCGCAGATGGCAAGCTCGCGGCCTGCCGCCGTCGTGGTCAGTCATCTTCACAGCAGTCAGTCGATGTGTACTCACCTTAATACGTCCTGCATAGCGGAGAGAACGCGCGTTGGTCGTCTGGGCGGACGACGTAGACAACATCCCACAATTCTTCCTCGACCTCGAGCATCAACTTCGGCACTCCGCGAGGCTGTGCAACTGCGCGCAGCTGCCGACAGTGTCTCCACGCGGTTCCCTTAACCACTCTAACTTGCATATGTCTCTGGATGACGAGTTCCTGTTCGGGAGTGACGAGGACTTCCCCAGTGGCGCGGCTGAGTACGTGTACGATGGGGAGCGGTTGGTGATTCCACAACTAGAACTGTCATTCAATCCCTTGAGCATGGCCTCGGGTGAGGTCGATGAAGATCCCATGGACAGCGGTGTGGCGCAGCCGCGAGTACAGGTATGCTACTATACTACCTGCAGCCGAACAAGACAATGATGAGAAGCGCAGATCGACAACATATCCGAAGAGGCGACTCACCTGCATGCCCATGCACACCGAGCATGCGTTGAAGAACCTGCACCGTCGTCGTCGGCTTTCACAGTGGCCTATGGAGCAACAAGTACCGCATCTTCTCAGATATTCCGTGGTCATATATCGACATCATCCGAGGCGGAGATGGCGGCGACCCTTCACGAGGCGAGGTCTCAACCCATCCTAACGAGTAGAGTACGCTCTCCCCATAGTGCTTCAACTTCGACCCTCTCCCCTGCGTCAGTGCCCGGCATGCTCACAACACAATGGTACCCAGGGTTGAATGCACCAGCAATGTGGGCCAGTTCATCCTCGCTGCAGGTATCGCCTACCAGCACCGTAGGAAACCAAAAAATCAACACTACACCACGCTTGCGCGACCTAGAGCCACGCAAGAGTGGCGAAGATGAGGAAGATGCAGTTTCCTCGGTGCCGCCGAGGACGAATGCCGTGGGCTCTCTGAAGCGCAAACGCGGACCCGAAGCATCGCAGGGTCCAACAGGGACCGTTCGTGCTCTCAGGCCCCTACCCCAGCGGTCGATGAACAGCGGCGCTCACCAGGATCTGAGCTCCGCATTGCACCCTCTGCCTGGACGGCCGATGCCCACGACGAGTTGGCGGAGGCGCGTCGAAGAGCCCGTGGTCACGACTTCGCGCATTCCGAGCCCAGCGCTGGACAAGGAGCTCGATGGAGGCGCCAAGGTGGTAGATGGCGAGGAAGACGTTGACGGTGGCGACGGCGACGATGGCAGCGGAGACTACGTCCCCATCGATGCTGATGTCGAAGATGAGGGTGATGATGATCTCTGTGTCGAAGATGAGGGCGATGCCGAGGTCGAGCGCAGGCATAAAAGGGCCCGCATAGACGCCGGTGCAAAGGGCAGCGTGACCCGGAAGTCGAAGCCCAGGGTGGGAGGCAGGCGTGCGCCGCGAGCTTCGCGCGAATCGAAGAAGGGCCCGTTCGTATGCGACATGTGCGATCCCAGCGATCCCAAGAGCTTCACGCGCCTGTCCGACCTCAAGCGGCACCAGGCAGCACACCGCAAGGAGCGAGTAATGTGCGTATGTGAGAAGTCGTTCTCTCGCAAAGATGCCATGCAACGGCACGTTAGGTCGGGCAAATGCCCTGGTCCCCCGGAAGGCAGAGATACCGATGATGAGGAAGACAGGGATGCCGATGGTGACGAGGACATGGATGCCGACGGCGAGCCTGATGAAGACATGGATGCTGAAGGCGAGACAGACGACGAACTGGAGTTTGAAGGAAACTACCAGACTTGAGTCGCTTCGTGCGCACCTCTATCTATCGCAAGTGCTTCTCCAAGACCAGAGCTCTTGGTGTCGCCGTCGGACAGCATCGTCGTATCCGTGCTTGGACATTGTCTCGTATTGTACTCGGTTGTATCTTGCTCTCGACCTGTAATCAATTCACATTACTTTCTGCTGCATCATTTCAGCTGCGCGACATCTCACCAGAATGAAACCCACATTTGTACTTCGCAGACCTTCGCAGACTAGCTATCATTGAATCGCGAAGACACGATTCGTTCTATGATGACATCACCGGTGTGAAAATGTAGGGTCGCTCGTCCGCAAGTCTAGATCCCGGAGCGGATGGATGTGCAAGTCAGTGACATCCCGAGGACCTAGGCCAACTGAGGGACGCGACCTCCTGTCATCAGAAGACGAGGTAGACGCACATATGATGAGATCCGTGAGCCGTCTGCTCTCTTGAAGGAGAAGTGCGTCCGTCGATGAGCCTTTGATTAGATGGAAGCATGAGATTCCACGAACGGGGCGAAGAGTTGGAGTGTATCGATACATCGGCGGACGTTCTATCGATGGAGCCTGGGATCTGAGCGAAGAGCGTGATTCAATAATGAGGCGATGGTAACGGAGACGCGGTCCGCCCTTGGGTGTTATCCTAGGACAAGGTCTCGCAAAAGTATCTAAGCAATGAGAGGTGACACAATACCTGGGACGTACCAAGCAGCCCTAATTGCGGTCTTCGGGGGTTTCATACCGCTCACGCCCGAGTACTCGATCATCGCGGTGATGTCGTGTTCATGCACTGGGACGGCGCGTCTTCACTCCGACATACATTTGGCAGTGGATAGAGCTATTGCAGTCGACTATCAGTGAATCTCACTTTTTTGGTGCATCGTACGCACCGCGGTGCCTACGTTGTTTCCAATGATCACGTCTTCTTCAGTGGTCTCGACGCGAAACTCTGAAAGCTTGGGCGAGGATAGACGATCGCGGACGCAAAACAGAAAGCACCCGGGATTGAGCTGCGTCCTGCCGAAATGAATTGAAATCTTTCTTTGAAGCCAGAGAAGTCGGGGCAACTCACTAAAGGATGTTTGAACCCGAGTCGTCGCCAGCTGCATGTATCATTGGCGTACTGCTTCCAGAATTGGATCCCAAAGGACGAGGGTACGCATTGTTGCACACATCCACTGGTATTCTCAAGGCCTCACACGAGAAAGAAGGCGTATACGCCAAGGTGCAAGCTCAAGGTAGGTCACACGAACGGAAAGTGGGAACGCGTTCGAGCCACCACGCGTACGGCAGATCACGGCTGTCGCCGTCAAGTCGGGACGCACGTGCGTTATCGGCCGGTGGCTAAATGGACCCGGGCCCCCTCCTCCTCCTCCTCCTCCTCCCGGAGCGTGCATAGTAAGCGCTGGTACTGACACGTTGGTACTGATCATGAGCGTCAGACTCACTGTACTGAACGTTGAACGCTTCAACTTGCAGCAATCTAGTTCCGGAATCCGCACATGACTCGAATGGGCCTAGATACTTACCAGCAAGGTTATCCGCTCTCGATTTACTCCTGCGAGATGGGCCCTGAGATGGAGTACCCACTGGAATATGACATTTTCAATATACAGTAAGTAAGCACTGGGAACTTCCCCGGCGCTGCCATCCCCTCGGGCTGCCTTCTTGGCTTCGACATCCGCTGCGGTCCGCACGCTCGTTGCGTTCTATGGGCCCTTTATGACCTGGGACCCATCACATCGTGGATCTGACACCTGGGCAAGTGACCGTACAAAATATATAAGCTCGGGCTTCGGCTTGCTGAAGTTATCCGGGCTCCGAACAGTAAGACTGATGTGCTGACACTTACGTTGGACCCACTCGTAGGCACAGTATACACGTCATCTCCACCTCACGAAGAACGCGCTATCGGGCCACAACGGCCTAGGCCTCTGGCTTTATACGCAACCGCCTGATACTAGCGTACGGTCTCAGCGTCCCTGGTGTCTTCGTAAGTGTTATGACCCTCGCATTTCCCGCGCAGTTCACTGATCAAAATGTATAGCAATTCAGAATTGAGCACATGCTGGGCATATGCGCGCATTCTACAACTTGCATTCTGACTCGCTGCGACAAATCAAGGGGTATATACTTTGCATGATACCCGGCGCACGCCGGCCTGAAGATACTGACAATCGTGGAACACCAGTTCTCCACGATTGCCGCTGACCATTGTCCCGGAATAGGTATAAGATCCAGCGGCCTATTGAAGTCGTTGAGACACCGTAGCTGAAATCATTGCATCCTTTTCGTTTCCATACTAAAGTATGGTGCGCATTGTCGGTACATATATCCGTCGTATCTCAGGCTAGTATAGGAACCAACGAGGTCCGCTAGTAGAGGAACCAACGAGGTCGTAGTGACATCGCTCTCAAACAGGAACCATGAGCAGTGCACAGCGCCGACGTCCTAACGGGACGTCTCCCCTCCTCCGGAACATGCGGCGAAACCCATTCAGGTACGCTGATTTTGTAATTCGACCAGCAGGTACTGTTCATGCCGTATTATGATGCCAGGAAAGCCGCAAGCGCGGGACACAATACGTGGAAAGAACACTTCTCAAAGCGCACATAGGCTTACACGCTGACAGACCTACTATTTGTCGACGAAACTGTGTTTATGACTGCGGGCCGGCGAACTACATTGTGGTACGAGCAGGTTTCAGCGGCTCACTATATAGGCGACTATCCGTTCGGGTCAAGGCAGGAATTCTGGCCTGCCGACGCCGTTGTCTACTTGCACCTCATGGCACTGTCGCCTATCGTACTCGCGGTCAGTCTGCTGGCTGGTACTACTGTTCTATGGCGCATGTTCGCCTACTTGCGGTTGCGCCTTGCGAGCTCGGTGATATACAGCATCCCGGGCCCTCCGGCCAGTTCTTTTTGGACTGGTAAGTCGCCTCGCTTCTTTGTCCGGATCAATGTATGAAACTTGGTCATAGGTAACATGACGGACCTATTCGATCACAAGCAAGAGGCATTTTATCATAGCGTGGCTACAGATTACGGCTCCATCGTGAAGATCAGCGGCTTCCTGGGTGTAAGTCGTACGCTCCGTTCGTAGACTTCATTGTGCGACACTTACCATTGTTGCAGCGCCCGATGCTGGTCGTGGCAGACCCTAAGGCTTTGCACCACATGCTCATCAAGGAGGAGCACGTTTACCAAGAGACCAAACAGTTTATATCGTGCGCCGACCCATCACTGCATTATGTGGCGTCAATGCTGATAGGTTGACATAGGACGAACTTGGTCTACTTCGGTCCTGGTCTCCTATCTACATTGGGTAAAGAGCTATCATGTCTCATTGTCGGCTTCTCTCACGAGTGCACAGGCAAACAGCACGCAAGACAGCGAAAGCTTCTGAATCCTGTGTTCTCTGTGAACCACATGCGTCACATGCTATTATTGTTCTATGATATCACACACAAAGTAAGTGAATTTAGTCCACTGGATACGCCACGCTAATAATGATCACTACGCGATGAATTAGCTCCGTGATGCTCTCAAGTCTCGCCTGCAGAATGGGCCCAAGGACGTCGATGTGCACGACTGGATGGGACGCACTGCGCTTGAATTGGTCGGCCAAGGCGGTTTGGGCTACTCCTTCGACACGCTGGTGGAGGATAGCAAGGACGAATACGGTCAGGCCCTGAAACGCTTTGCGTACGTGGCCACACACGCTCGAGCAGCTACGTGCTGAAACGTAAGATAATCTATCTTTTTCTGTGCTCGTTCATTAGCCCGCTCGTCTCCACCGTGTCTTTGGTTGGCGGTGTCGTTTCTCCCTCGATGAAGCTGCCGAAGTGGCTACGCAGGACAATAGTGGAGTCTTTCCCTGCCGGAACACGCATCGAAAGACTTAAGAAGGTTGTTGACACTATGGACGGAAACGCAAGAGCCGTCTACACCGCGAAGAGGTGTAGTCTCGAGAAAGGTGATGCGGAGGTCGTAAAGCAGGTAGGCGCGGGCAAGGATATCATCAGCGTCCTCAGTGCGTAATCTACGCAATCATCTCAATGACCATGACAATCGCTCACTCACGAATGTTACAGTCCGCGCAAACACTACGGCACAAGAGAAGGACAGGCTCTCAGAGGAAGAGATCGTTGCACAGATGTCGTAGGTCCCTTTCACTTGCTTCCCGCCCTGAACGTTCAGCTGAAAGTCAATAGTACCCTGATCTTCGCCGGGATGGACACCACTTCGAACACTCTTTCGCGTATTCTATGGATCTTGGCCCAGAACCCTGACGTTCAGATGAAACTCCGCGAGGAATTGCTTGACGCGAACGCCATGGAAAGTTTGGCCTACGATGAATTGAACCGCCTCCCCTACCTGGATGCCGTGTGTCGGGAGACCATGAGAGTGTAAGTTGTTCGCTGCGTGTGAGTCAATAGCATGTCTGACCGCGTCTGTGTCTTGCAGCTATCCTACGGTGAACCTCCTGTTCAGAGTGTGCGTTCCACACGCCATGATAGCTGCACACATTAATGTACTATGTACCACTTTCAGGGCAACCGAGGACAGCGTCCTCCCGCTTTCGGAACCACTCAACACGCGTGACGGCAAGAGGCTGACTGAGATCCCTGTTCCAAAAGGATCGGATCTGCTAATAGGTGTACTCGGAAGCAATCTCAGCCGCGCCTTATGGGGAGAAGACGCCATGGAATGGAAGCCTGAGCGTTGGATCAATGGCATCCCTGCTGCCGTCTCCGACGCGCATATCCCTGGTGTATATTCCAATCTGTATGTCGCGCCCTGCCCGATGTGATTCGTCGTTCTAATGATCCATTATTCTTCTTAGGATGTCGTTCTCCGGAGGAAAGAGAGCCTGCATGCAAGTGTCCTCAGCGTCTTGTTTCTACATCTTCTGACAGGTTACGTCTTCTCTAGCGGCTTCAAGTTCTCCGAGATGGAAATGAGTGAGTTCACCATTCGTGTTGTGGAGACTCAGGCTCTCATCCGATCAATAGAGGTCGTACTGTCTGTCCTCGTCTCGACTTTCACTTTCGAGTTGGGCGAGCAGCCAATCGCGTGGAACATGGGCGGACTCGTTTTTCCAACCGTCGGATGGGAGAGTATCGAGCCATCGCTTCCCTTGAAGTTGAGTCTGTACAAGCCTGCTCTCTAGTAAACTGTGCAAGGATGTTGTGTATGGAATATGCAACGTGAGCGCATGTGACTTGTACTACCAGCATACGTCGCTTAACTTACATCTAGTGTATGAGCCACTGCTGCGAAGATTCCGACCGCTTAAATTCCTGGTTATTGCATGAAATTATATCTTTTCTGGAACATCCCGACGCTGGCGCTGATCTCTGAGAGGCTGTCGAGGGTTGGCTGCAACTTGGCTCTCATATATGGGCCGCATCACCCTGCGTCGATGATCACTACCTCGCAATCTGAATTGTAACTCGGACGACCAATTTGAACCCACCTCTGTACCGGCGAGTTCACTAGCATATAATGGTTTGACTTTTGACTTCGCGCAATATCGGACTACCACGAACACACAATGATCATGCAGTCTGGGACCATAGATGTACCTAGGCTCGTCGACGGTACAAGAGGAACAGCGGTACAGAACATCGTTTCATCTAGGCCAATCTCTGATTAGACATCAGTCCTCGCGTAGACCCTATCAGTTCACCGCCGATGGCTGATACAAGCCAACCTTCAACGGCAGCTCCGGCTTGTTGCTCTCCTTCCCGACCGTCGGGTACCAGACCAAGCCGACGTTCCAATGGATTGGCTTGCCGCTCGGCTCGAAGGTGAACTTCGACAGGAGGACAGATAGTACAACCTCTGTAGACTCCATGTCAGTATCCGAAGTCGTCCAACACCGTTAATCCAAGCACGTACTCATCTCCATCTCGGAAAATTTGAAGCCGCTATACACGTCAAGCGTCAGCGTCAGTAGTGTCGTCCTAGATACATGCACGAAACACGTACATGCAGGAGCGCTTGCCTCCGGAGAACGTCATCCTGGACAAAGTCATGAACGTTACTGCCAGTTTCCACACACCTGTCGGATATCCAGGAAGAGCCGGAGATCTAATGTAATTCCCGTAGGATAGTGCTGATCAAAAGGAATGATTCAGAGATATAAACCTTTGACATGACTCGTGGAACGTGGGGCACTGACCGTGTGGTCCTGCATGCCGGCGTACATCGCTTGCGCCCTCTGCGGTACCATGCACGACGTCGGCCTTCGGACGCCGTCGTATCTGACCTGCCCAAGAAACATGTATATAAGTAGGTAGAGAAACGAATGCATACCTTAGTGATGTCCAACGAAGCACTTCGGTCTGCGACACCCTCACTGAGCAAGCTGCGCTATGCGAGTCAACTGCGCCGCTTCGAACATCACGTCGTATACGCGATAGCACCATTAAACGAGGTATGCTTTCGGTTATAACATCTATGAATAGCGAAACGAACCAGATTCAAGGAGACTCCTGTGTGATCAGGGGTGCTAGTTGGTCCCAGCCTAGTCATGGAGTCAAACGGCGGAACCAAATCGAGACCGCAAGATTGCTCAGATCGCGATCTCACAGGTAGTCAGGTGACCAAGTTACACGTAGCAACATGGTCCGACTCAAGTCCGACTTATCCCTTCCTCACACCCACCATGGAGGTCAATGATGAGGTGCGTTATCACCAGATTGTGCGTAGAGCTAACGACGCTTATCAACGGCTGTTCCACGCCAGAGACACAGAATATACAGGAGGGTCTACAGATACAAGAAACGCGTGAGAGTTGGGAACATAGCAAGATCGAAGCGATGTGAGTAGACTGGGACAGTTGTGAGATAGCGCGACATTCGTGTATAGATCGTCAGCGAGATGAGAGCAAATGGAGAGCAGGCTTGACAAGAGCGAGACAAGTACGAGACGACGTGCGGGAGTAGATTGAGGGCGATTGAGAAATTAAAGGTATGTCCATCGTCTCGATGAACGGCGATAGTTGCTGGTAAAGACTGCTGAAGTCAGGCTACCACTTCCAGTACCCCTGGTGCATCCGGGAGTCGTGTGATGGCTCCTCTTGAGAGGATTCGGCGGAGGCACCACCGCCAGACCAAGGATTCAACTGGTCGTTCCCCGGCAGATGCGAGGTGCGCAACCCGTCATCAGCCATGGCCATGTCAGGCGACGCGTCAACCTCGAAGTCGCTCGGAAGACTGAGCCATTCCGCCAGCTCGACGGACGGAGCATCCGTCCAAAGGAGACCGGCTGGCGGCGCTGCGCCGGTCGTGAAGTTCTGCCCTTGGTTGGCAGGTGCCGGAGAGGGCATGTGCTCAAGTGCATGGAATGGCGCGGCGTTGTAACCTGCCAGTCGCTCAGACATCAGTCGAGGCTCCATTACCGAGACGTGATACTCACCGCCGAAGTCGTCGCGCTTCATTGCCATCGCCGAATCGGGCTCTCCTGGCGCAGCCTGCTGAGCGGCTGCGGCAATGATTTCCAACCACTGCTCCTGCGAGAGAACTTCGTCGCTAGCGACTCCATCCCACTGCGGCCAGTCCGCGTCGACGACAAGATTGTCGAAATGGGTCTGTAGCGACGGCAATTCTGCGACCTGGCGATGGTATGACGAATCGAGCGATGTCGAAGCTGCGCTCGACTGGCCCGAAATCACTGTCTCGAAGTTGTTGTCGTCCCTAGCACTTCCGCTCCGGGCAGCTGGAAGGGAGCCGTATATGTCTGTCGCTGGTTGGTTCGGGATCCAGTGGGCCGTTGTCTCTGACCCTGCCATGCCTGTAGGGGCATCGATGTGCGTCCCGTTTGCGTACCCGAGGGTCGGGTATGAGTAATCCGCGATGTCGTACGAGTACTCGAGGTACGGGTTCGAAGCAGCCAGCGTGTTCGACTGGGGATTCACGTCGTCTGTCAGCTTCGTTAGCAAGCCTGAGATGCGACGCATTGCAAGCTGACATGCGTACCAGGCTCCGACATTCCCGGTGCCACTCCCAGCGAATAGCCCGTTGGCGACGCATACGTCTGCGGTTGGTACAGGTCTGGAGCGACCGAAGCATGGTAGAGCGCTGCAGGCTCAGCGATGTTCGCACGCGCTTCCTGCTCGTGTGCAGAGGGAGGTAGCAGTGGTGACCGGAAAAGTGGCCGCGATGGCTCTTGGTCGTACTGCACCCCCGCAACGTGCGACGTTGCCCCAGCTTCACCTGGAATGTCTCCCTCGACGGTTTCTCCATCGCGCTGAGCTAGGTCATTCGCCGAAATGGTGCTTGAAACGTCCAATGTTGCGTCTTGAACTTGCTCGGGCGCCTCCGGCGTGGCCACAAACGACGACTCACTACTTCCATCCGCTGCGGCGAGTCGGGCAGCAGCAGCATAGCTAGGGTTTCCCCACTGCTGGCCCCAGATCGCGTACTAGTAATGCAAGTATCGGTTGCTGCGTCCTTGTTCGCGAACACGCATAACAAGGCTTACCCGAATGCGCCAATCCGGACAGTCCCTTCTGAGGCTCTCTGGTACGTCAGTCTTCGACATCTTGATGTCCGAAGTGTTTAATCCCCGCGTTTCAGCCGAATACAAGGGCGCGATGCGGAGTACAAGGGAGGAGAAGGAGCGGAGGGCGGGCAGCTCCGCGATGGGTGAACGCAGGAGGGATGGTACTCAACGGCGCACCGACGTTCGTGGTCGCGCTGGGGTCCTGCTACATTGGCGGCCATGTCCGTACGCACCGCCCGGTCTCAGGCACGGTACGGGACGCGTCCTCCGGCTGGCTCGCCGGTTGGTCTGCTTCTACGGAGAGCACGGACCCCGCCGACGTTGGACATATAGGGGTCGGCGGCGCGAAGGCTGCGCTCGTCCGGCGTCAAGGCGCCTCATGCATATGGGAGGACGCAGAAGAAGACGCTCGGTTGAGGAGATGATGACATCCTGAGGGCAGCGAGGAGCGAGGGTCGGGGGCCAGCCGCTTGAGCAAGCGAGGTATATTATACCTGAGAAAAGCTCCGGGCGCGAAGACTGTTTGGTGAGCAACGCACGCCCCTCCGACAGAAGTACGCGAAGTGTCGCGGACCTCATAGACATCCCACAGCGGTTGACGAATGGGATGCCTGCCAGATGGGATATTCCGTCCCTTCATTGGTCACAGTCTCCCTAGTATCGGACTGTCGCTCAGGAGACGCGCGTAAAGTGCCTGGAGAACCCTGAGGGTGGGCAGGGATGGGCGGCATGATCCATCCCCAAGAGAGCACGTGATCGCGTGTCGGACGACGTCACGAGCGTCTGCTGCCTGCTCTTCTTGCTACAGATATGTAGGTTCGTCCTTTTGCAACCTGCGACTCGGAAGCTTGACCTCTGGGACATAGAAATTCGAAGTCACAAGCCGCACGTATCGTGCTCAAGCCGGCCCTGTACCTCATGTATTCCCTCGCAATATCGGGCTTCCCTCGTCGGCCGAGATATCATCCCTCAATTGGAAAATTCCACGATGGCCGATGAGCTCGACGCTGGAGGTAGGTGAGTGGCTTCATACTCCAGAATATTGATTACATTTCCCTCTTTCCAGTTCTCCTAGTCCGTTCCCTCGTCACCTACCTCTTTTGTGCTCCAGCGTCCCTACTTCTGGTCTCCCTTGTTCTCCGGGAGCCGGCAATAACTCCCTATAAGTCCTTATGTTGCCTCATGGCATGCTGTGCCCTTCTTTTTCTGACTGTTTGGCAGCATGCGAACACCGCCGACCTCGTTCCTCACCTTCCATACAGGCAGGCATCGCCCGCATGCTCGACCCGGAGTCTTGGAAAGCAGTGCATTGCTTTAGATCTCTGTGTCCTCCGGCGAGCCCGCTCGCCCTCGCCAAGGTTTGTCCCCCGGTAGCGGTTGAGCCAGTTATGATCGCCCCCTCCGTTCGCTCCGACCCCTGCTCAAGCGCTCTCTTGCCATCCCGACATGTTCAGTACCCCGCCTCGAAGGACGAATACGCCGATATCCTCACGGTTCTACTGTCCGTTGTCTCTTCTTTTCTATGAGAATCATACGGAGTGGCTGACTGGGCATCCTTTCGATACACAGGCCAAAGTGTTCGACTCGCCACTGCTTGCGGGGTCGCACGTGCTTGCTCTGCTTAGGTGCCTGAGAGTTGCATCCCATCGTGGCGCGATGCTTCGCGGGTTTGTCGTGCTTGAGCCCATGGAGGAGGAGGAGGAGGGTCCATTTAGCCAAGACGCTTAGCAGGCGGGCGCGGTTGATGACCATCGCTCCAAACTTACCTTGATGCAGAGTCATCCCGCGAGATGGAAGTGCTACTTAGTAGCTGCTGGGGGCGTCCTGGGTACGTCTCTGTGAGTTTGTGATCACGATCCGTGTTCCGTGGCATGGGATGGCGTGCGTGATCGATGCTCACTGCAATGCACGACACCAATTGCGTACGACACCACTCATAGCTAGACTCACAGTGCGACAGCGCTGTGGCAGACGAGGTTTGGCGTCTGCCATCTCCGTACCTCCCGTCTTCACGTTGGAGGCAATTACAACCCGCGACATATGATTTCCCCGACTCTGTCTCCCTACGTCGTTTCACGAGGATTTGCACTGGTCTCGCTGGCTCTCTGTTCTCACGTCTGAGAAATATCCTCATCACACGAAGGAAGACGGATCGACATCACTAAGACATCATATCCGACGTCCATAGCTGAGACAAGCGGCATAAGCTCTACTGTACATCAAGCATTCATCCCACCCAAAAATTTCGCCGCGTAGTGAAGTCCCGGCATTGACAATAACTGTCAGCCTCGACGTACACAGGTGAGTTTCCCCCACCTAAGTACTCCCACCAATCGCCCCGTGAAAATCCCCCTTACTCGATATGATCTCCAGTCCCATCATCCCAACAGTTCAGCTGACGTGCCGCACACGGGTTGATATCTCGTGCATATGGCCATATCTCAACCAAAACTCGACCGCATCGAAAACCCACGCGGTGAACCCGAATAGGGAACGCTTGCGCTCCCGGCCGCTCTCCTCAGAACCTCCAACAGATCTGCAATTCCGAACACATCAGCATTGGGCTTGTTCGTTCAGAATCGTGCATCCGTTGCCAGGCGGTCGGGCGCCTTAGAACTTCCAGAAGAAAGGCGAACAGTGTTATTTTGGCGGTTCTGGTGCGGCCGGGTGCCACATCGGCGTTCCGTGTTTGGACTCAGACTCAGGGTCGCTCGAAGGGTGTACCAGACTGTTCGCGAGTGCGCAGTCGAGTCATTTCGACCGCTTGTCACCGCGATCGGCATGCCGCCAGAGATGCGCTGGGGACGTTCTAACTTCTCTCTCTCGCGTGCTAGACGCTGGTAGTGCGATACAAACCCCTGTTGCGGCTGAACGCGCCGCCCTCTGTGCTAAGACGTTTGCTTACTCGTCTATGTTCGAAAACCATGCACTAATCCTGTATCTACAGGTCACATAGGGCATATGATACTTTTCATCGCTTAGGCCCCGCGGACAATAAAAGGGAGAACAATGCAATGCCCAGAACAACGACGCCCAACAACAGCAGCCTTATAGGTGTAACGAGGTGCGATGACCCCGCCACTCGGACAATAGACGCATAGATAGCGGTTCTGAGTCTTCGTGATCGGTGATTTCTACTCAGACCAGAGGCGTCGATCTTGGCCAGTCACTTCGCTCAAAGGATAGTCGATCAGATGACATCACATTGGCCAGCGGGGATGTTGTGTCGCACCAAGACTGTCCTGCGTACTCATACTCAAACTCGTCAAGGCCATGACACTAGTGTACATACGCGAGACGCATGTGTAGGCCAGTGTCATGGCGTAAAGAGCTGTACTATGAGAACCGCCGCCGAGTCGGCATGCGCCCAACGACGCTGACGATTGCTGTACTACGATTGCCCGCCTCGCGGCTGGCCAAAGCAGAGCACAGCACTCACGTGCCTCCGTCAGCCTTTGTTCTTCTGAATCGTAGATCGCAGGTCCAAGTGGGTGGCACACGTTGTATTCAGGACTTCGCCACCTCTCCCATCTCTGCACTCTACCCTCACCATCGCGCACAAACCCACCTCACCCTCTGCACCTCGAGCACTCGACAACGCGTCAAGATGCTCGTGCTCAAGCTCTTATTCCAGAGCGTCATTGTTCTCTTCCTCGGCGCCGTCAATATGGAGATATTCGCACCCGATTTCTCCAGCAGGCTATACAAGACTACGCTCCAAAAAGCGGACACGGTTAGAAAGCTACTTTCTGGTTCATTCAGGTGAGTTCTCCAAGTGCTTCGTGTTTGATTTCGGCCAACAATGTGTGCAGCCCGGCCCCGACTGCGAACGCCACCCCCATTGTGAACGCCACCTCGACTATGAACCCCACCCCGACTATGAACGCCACCCCCACCTGGCCTCTCTTCCCGGAGGTCACTACCTCGGCAACGGCCTACGACCAACGTGTTTGTCCTGCTCCACTTGCGGGCCTACAACCGTCTCTTGGTTCGGAACTGTACAATGCCACCATCGAGCCCACCGAGGAAGTGCGCCACATGTGGCATTCAACCCCAGCAACCCAGGTCCAGTCCCTCAACACGGAGACCGTGACTACAGTCCTCTGCATCATTGGCTTCACGTTGGTCATCATCGTTGCTTTCGCGTTCTTCAAATTCGCGCGGACGTCAATTGACGTTCCCGCGCAATACCTAAGGCAGTCGCATTCCGTTTGTGATGATCTGGTCGATCCTGAAGCGAGAGTGAGTGTAACTACTCTGACCTAGGACTTATGTGGCAAAGCGACTGATCGTTCCGCTTCACAGCCTAGCTCATATCTGCTCAAGTCTCCAGGGCCCGAGTTCCAACTTGCATACAAGGTCAATTCCACCCCGTTTACGTCTACCGCGATTCCACCGAACACCCGGACACCACCCATTGCGACCTCTGCACACACGAGTCCACTCGATCCTTCTGGCAACCTCGAGGCGGACCGTACAAAGAGCAAATTCCTCCCCGACAACGTGATAGGCTTACTCATACCTTGTCACGAATCCGCGGGTACGCGTCCATCCCGCGCAAGCAGCCCCACGACGACCCATGAATCTCTGATGCACTCGCTCATTCCCTCGTCAACCACTGGCAAGGAACATGATGACTCTAACGCGTCCAGCCCAGACGAGATCGCTACTACGTCAAGCACTGCTGATATGGTTGACGAGGACTCGGAGGACGAATTCCATTACCCGGAAGCAGAGCCTGAGGAGGACGAATTCCATTACCCGGGAGCAGAGAAAGAGGACCCGGCCAACGCAACGCGTGATGATCTCATTGGCAACCCGATTGCGGAAGTGCGCCGACTCTCGGAAGCCATCCTGCAGGCCGGACGTTCTGGGGCTCTGCTGACATCTGGATCGTTGGACCCATCAGCTCCTGCGTCTGACTCTACACGGGGATGCTCAATGGTGCCGTCCAATCTGACGCCGGTGTTCGGACAAGCTTCATCGGCTTCGTGCACTAGCGTGCCTCCTCCCATCGACCCCAAGCAAACCCTCTCCACGCAATCCGAACTCTCTGGAGAACCCTCTCGTGAGCGTCACCACGAGTACGGCCTGGCGACCAGTCGAAGGGAACCTGAGGAGGCCGGAGTACGCCATGAATGGGAAACTGCACCCCCATCCGCTGTCAATACCACAGCATCACGAGCTGTTCGTCTTGCTCAAGTCATCTATGCCACGCCAGGTTTTAATTTCTCCATGTTATAGGACGTATTGCAGGTCACGAGCACTTCCAGTGTCAACGACGCTATCACGCGGGGTCCCTCGAGGGGTGCTATGCCCGGTTCCGGGAGACAATCGCACCTAGAGGACAGGCAACAACTCGACTCGGTTGCAGGCATTCACCCGCACGCTCCCGCACGGTCGTACGCTGAGCCCCGCAGATCGGCTTCGATGCCCCCAAGAGAAGATGGCTCGAACGGAAACGTTCAGGCCCCCGCCCGTACGCCTGCTGTGTCCAACATTTCTCTCGCAGTGCCCGAGTCGCGAGGAGACGGATTGAACCGAAGCGACGACGCTCCTGCACGTCCGCATCTTGACTCCGACAACTCTCCCTTGATGTCGACCAGTTCTCCTTCGAAGGCCTCCGGGAGACTTGGCCTGAATGCGAGCATCCATGCTCACACTCCCGCACCTACGTCTCAGGCAGTCGACTCCATCGGTGTTCCCTCATCACCCTCCAGAGGACCCGGCTCAGTAGGCAAAAGCATCCAGATCCCTGCATCTGCGCCCCTCGACCCGACCCCGACCCCGTCAACAGATCGCGGCTTGGACAAGAGCATCCATGCTTGCACGAGTGCACCTAGTGACTATCGCAGTTCCGAGTCGCCTTTAACGCCCTCAAGAGGTCGCGGCCTGAGCGCGAGCATCTACGCTTCCCCACGTTCAGTTGCTGACTCGCCAAGTTCTCCCTCGGTGCCCCCAAGAGGACTCGACTCCAGCGAAAACACCCAGGCTCCTGCTAGTTCGTCTTCCGATACCGACCTGAGTTCGTTCGCCAGGGCCTTCAAAGCGATGCCATTGAGACACAACAAAAGCATTAACGCTTCCACAAGTGCACCCAGTGACTCTAGCAGTTCGCCTTCAACGCCCTCAAGACTCAGAGGTCTCGGCTTGAGCGCGAGCATCCACACTCCCGCACCATCAGCATCCGCTGATGCCCACGGCTCTCCCTCGACGTCGAGCGGCCTCGACTCGAGCGAAAGGATCGGCGCTCCTACAGGTCCCCTCGGATTTGATCTCAACTCCGGTTCTCCCTCGACGCCATCAGGGGCGTGGGCGAGCATCTACGCACATGCTCCTACAAGTCCGGTGCCAACCAACTCCGACGCCCGGCTCTCTTCAACGTCGTCAAGAGGACAAGGCTCGTCTCCCCGGACTCATAGAGGCACCAGGTGCTGGCAGAGCCATGCATAATCCCTGGTTATTAGCACAGGACCTCGTTAGATAATCCGCGCTCAGCAGCGGCCGGTCTCATGCATGATTCGCACTCGCGACCGCGCCCCAGCGCTCTGCCAGCACCGTAGCGCCTGGTTCCCAAAGAGGCCGCCGTATTCGTGGCCCACCGTTTTCAGCGGTCTTGACGCCGCATCAGCCGGGAGGCCATCAATTCCTCCATTGGGGGCCGACAAACGGTGACGTGGCAGCGATACAATCTGAACGATCTGAACGTCGGATGCAGACCCAAATCGGTTCGTCGAAGACTGTCAAATCGTGATAGCTCTCCGAGCACTGATGAACGTGCACGTTGACCGTCTCATATGGGTTTGTCACAGCGTGCCTGATTGGGAATGGGTATGTCAGAGCCTGGCACATATCGTCATTTGCCAACAGGCTTGTTGTCGCGTGCGATCCTCAACCCCAATGGTCCACGTCTCCGTCTATCTATTTGCCGTGATCAGATGTCCATGGTTCACCGCCATTCCATCGCACTGGGTTTGTGAAAACGCGTTGCGACCGTTTTTGGACATTGCATATGTCACAGAGTGTCCGATTTGGACACTACACAGTACCAATACCGATAGGAAATTTGGCGTCGGTAGAGGACCCGGAAGCCTCATGCTGCACCTTAGTGGCGGTAGTTATGTTGAACTGAGTATGTCTACTTCACAGTGCAGCTGCGACTTAGTATGTGACGCTACCGGTCCATTTTGGGACAGTGCATTTGTCTGAGACGGCCAAATTGAGACACTGCGGACACAGTATGTCAGATCACGGGTGCGATCATTCATGCTGTGGCTTAGGATTGTCTTCATAGTACTGACACATTATACCGTGCTGTCTCAGGGCAGACACAAGGACTATACCATCTGTTGAGATCACAGATTTGTTGTTGACGGCCAGATTAGGATGCGCGCTCGGTCTTTGCTGTTCTGTAGATTCAAGGCAAACTCTGCCGTATGTTCTGTCTTGCACTGTGCGACAACATACCTCACCAGCAGCTTGATTGGGAATATTCATAATACAGATCATTTTCACTACAAGGAAGGCGAGAAGATAAGGAGATACAAGTCATGGAGCCAATCGTACACGTCGCCCGTCAAGAAGACTGTCAATAAACAAACACTACTATCGTTCGCGAGGACATCCTACGTTTGGTCCGACGCGCCCGCCGCCCGTTCATCATCGCCACCGTGCGCAACACCTGCTCCCGCGTTCAACGAATCTGCACCAGCAGGAGCAGCTGGCCCGTCGTCCTCGCCATCCATCAGGGACAGCCCCTTCGAAACCAACTCCGGTACGCATCGCCAGGCCCGCGTGCAAGTCCCACACATGGTTACGCGGATCTCGGCTTGGCGATGAGCGTACGCAGATACGCCCTCGCGGTAGTCGTCATCAAGGTCTGGGCGGGCATCGGCGCGGGCTGTCCACAATTGGTGCTGCCAGCCATAATACTGAACCACCCGGCGCATCTCTTCGAGGATGAGCTCCATTTCTTCCAGCCACCGCTGCGTCCTTGCGCGCGATTGACACCATTCGATTCGCAGCGCTAAGAGCTAAAGTTAGTCATGCGCAACGGGAAGCTCAGGAAGCTCACCTTCTTGAAGCTCGGGGTTATGAGCGTCCTCCGGACCGACCAGAGGGGTCGTCCGCCATATCCATGACAGGGTACGCTTACCCTTGCTTTCGCCCTCTAGCCCCGTGGCCATGAGACGCACGTCGTCATCGGCCAGGACCTTCAGAGTGTCCTGCCAGCCCGTCTTGCCGAGGGCCTGCGAGAGTGTCAGCAAAGCCGTGCGCGCCCGACGGTATCGTGCCGCATCTTCGTCGACCTTGTCTTGCACTGTCTTGATTATCGAGCGAGCTCGGGTATTTTCGCGCTGGCCACGCACGAACCGATCCTTGAAGTGGTAGAGGTGGCTGCTAAGACGAAGATGCCGTCGGAGATCGTTCAGAGCATCGTGGGCCTGGGCATATCGTAGGCGCCATTCGCAGTCCTGGAGGGCCGGGTCGGCAGAAAGAACGTGCACGACGTCCGACGGCAGGAGCAAAGGGATATCATAGGCAGCCACGTCCTTGCCCCTCGCAGCTGCATGCAGACGTGCTTCACGAAGACTTTGGGATCCTGCAACGTAGGCTTGCTGGACGTTGAACCAGGCCTCGAGCCGCCGTCGCATGACGTTGAGTCGCTCTGTGACGGTCGCGCGCTGCTTGTCCGTGGAGTGCTCGCCCAACTTCGTTGTTTCGTGCCGAAGGCGCCACCTAAACGTGATACATTGAGTCAGCCGCGGATGCAATGCAGTGACGAGCAACTTACAGCTGGTCCTCGAGATCAACACCTCCCGCGATCATGACGCTCGGGGACATCTTCAAGAGGTTGGACGCGCCATCCTGAGGCAAGGGTTGCGCGGATTCCTCCTCGGCAAGCTGACGACGTACAGCCGCCATTGTCACAGCTAACACAGAGCATTAGTAATCAGCGAGACAGTAGAGCGTGGAGGAATGGGAGACTTACTGGGCTGTTCGGCGTGAAAAGGGTTTTCGTTGTGCTGGGGATCGTCCTCCCACTTCTCCACCATTTCGGTCCAGGCGCGCACGCTGTCTTCGGGCAGCACCTGTGTGAAGTCGTCGTAGGCGAGCTGTTGCTTATTGTACTCGACGACGGCCTCCTTGATCTTCGCGAGAAGCGTAACGGCTGCATTCAATCTTGTTAATCAACAGTTGTGTGATGATAACAACCCGACTTACGGAGATGCCGGACCTTGCCCCAATTGTACACCCCAAAGACGTCATCAAGGACGTCGTGCCGATGCCCAGGACCCATCTCCTTCGTGGACGTTGCAAAGGGATTGACCGCGGCCCACCCCCGCTCGACTGCCTCACCATCCGTACGCCCAACACCCCTGGTATAGTTGAAAGAGAAGTCCGTTTGACACGACTCCTGGTGCGCGGGGAGGTGGAACTTTGGGATGAGAAAGATGAAGTCGTGCTTGGTATGGTCGAAGGGTTGCTTGTAGATACCGAGGCGCGTCCCGAGGTTACGCCACCACTGGCACGCGATGTCGTATGATGCAACCACCTCGGGCATGGCATGGTTGTGGAGACTAGACGTGAATACATAGTCCATATTGACATAGCTACGAAGACGTCAGTCACAGCCAGGACACACACGAGAAATAGATACGCACCGCTCTCCGAACTGAAGATCGCCAACTGAACACGGTCTCTTCATGTTGTGGCGCGTGCATTCGACCGTCGCTACGCCGCTAGTGTCCAACTCGCGAACCTTCTTGATGTTGGCCAGCTTGAGTGCGTCGTGGTTGTGGCATGTACTCCGCTCGGGCGGGAGCTTTGAGTCGTACTCGTCAAGGAATGCCTTATACCTTTTGTCTTCGACGAAGTAGGCGCATCCCTTGTTGAGGCCGGGGTCGACGGTATCGCTTGAAACCTTCTTCCGCTTGAGACGGAAGTTGGCGTCGAGTCCGACAAACAGGCGGTACAGCCACCTGTGTCGACGTCAGCACATATGCAAACACCGCCATTGGGATAACATACCGTTTCGGCTTGGGGGTTTGGTCCCACGTATCAGGAAGATTCTTGCCGGGTATCGGACAAGCAGGGCATTCAACGCTGCACTCCCCCTGGGCGGTACCAGCGACGCCAGAAGGGTCGTGACCACGCCCGGCACGCTTGAGCAATTTCAAATGGCTCCACTCGCGCGACATGCGGAGGAAGGCCGAGTAACGATCCTAGTATACAGTCAGTGCATGATACGTAAAGGCACATAGAAACATACTTTTGCTTCCTCAGGGTTGATGTTGTCGGTACGGCGAGCAAGCGTGTGATAGAACTCATATGCGGATGTCTTCGATTGGGAACGTAGAACGTGGAAGTGCTCGAGGAGACGGTACGTCGCAGCGGTCTTCGGATTGGTTACGGTTGCCGGAAAAAGTCGAGCGCGCATGAGTTGAATCGGCAGCTGCGTCTTGCGCGGGCAGTCGCAGTAGTCGACGCCAACGCGATGGATGCCGGTGAGGTCAAGGATGACGAAGTCGTCGTTGAAGGCGGGCTTCGGATTGGGGCAGCACTCGCCCGGCGGATGTCCAAGTTGAATTCGAATGCCGAGACTCTTGAGGTCCGTCCGGCGAAAATGGGTTTTGACCCATTGCTATCACGGTCTTATGAGTAGGGTGCGACACCACTGTTTTGTAGAGACTCACTGTGAGTCGATGCCAGGGATTCCGTGAGTGATTGCGAACGGTACAGTCCGCGCAGTAGAGCTGCAGATCAGCGCAGTCTGCGCAACGATACTCCGCCTGCCCAACGTCACAAGAGGGGCATGCATCGTCTGTGAACTCCGCGCGGCCCTCCAGCCGGACGAGCTCCAAAAGCCAGTCGTCGACTTTCGCAGCCCACTCCTCCAGAGGCCGATCCTACATCAACGGCAGTTCAGTTCAGCCATTCACGGCGTCAGATTGGGTTGTTTCACGTACACTCGCGGTCCGGTGTCGCCTGCGTGCCTCGATTTCCGCCTCGTCTTCCTCAGTGAAGAAGTGCACATTGCCGGTTTCGGACGCCCAGTTGGACGAGGTGTCATCGTCCGGAAGCAAGTCTGGGACAGAGTCGGCCGGTCCAAGCACCGGGGAGCTAGGTACATCGTGGAAGGTTGTCTGCGAAGAGAGACCAGTCGGGCCAGAGACATAATCGGTGTGGCGAGCCTTCTCGACGAGCGTGTCAACGAGATCACTGCTGCTGGTGTCGAGGGTGGAATGGGTCTGTACGTCGCAGCCTCCGCGGCGTCGCTTGCGAGGGCGCGCCATGAGAGAGCTGAGCGTGGTCCAGATGCGCCGGAGCTTTTTCGAGCGTGCCATGCTCTTCAGGGGGGATGAAGATGGGCTGCGCAGACCAGACATGGCTGTTATCCGTCGGCGACAGCAATGATCGTCGCTCACCGGATATCTGGTGGTCTCCCTGCACCACTCGTCACGCAATGAATCACCCATTCCATCAGACGATGGAAGCCTCGAAGTTCCATTAACCCTTTTTGCGTTGCTGCAAGAAGGAACGACCAGGACAGAATGAGTCCTGCCGGACGCCTAGCTGGTACGTGTGCATGTGCGGCGCGTCCGGCACTTTATCCTAAGATGGCCTTGGATCTGACAGTTGACATTTTACGAGGCAGATACGGCGCGAGAAGCACGAACCATTGCCTCGACACCCATTGCCACCACCGAGTTGCTCTTTCCAGGTCTCTGGACGGGGATGGGCACCTGCCTCTGAAAGGGAAGTCTGAAGGTCCTGCGGTGCGAACCTTAGGAGTATCGGTAGAGAGAACAACAACATACCAAGAAAACTCCAATCTTCACAGACGGCCGAGGCATCCTAATGTCTCAGGCAGCGTTCATGCATAACCACCAGCAATGCTTTGATCCTATGACCACCGACTTCCCCGTCACAAGCGAGCCACGTAGCAGGACACCGACGATCATTGCATGTCGAGGCTACAGTTAGGTTCCCGATGACATGCACTGCAAGAGAACAAAAAGGACTTACATGGCCCCTTTGAGTAGCAACACGCGGACACTGAGAGCACAGACGGCTGAAGGGAGTCAATATGTGGAAGATGTGAGACCTAGTAGGATACTCACATGCAGGTGGTGCCAGCGGCCTCACCAAGTGACACTTAATCGTGGTGCCTTCCATCAGCATGCAGCTGCTATTGAGGGAAGTCGTGATAGAACAGTGCTCAGCAAAGGCGCGCCGGTCGAAGTTGAACAATGCGGTGTCAGTACCAGATTTGGAACCGCCCCAGCAACTCAAGACGCACCTGGCGAGCAGCAATACACATTTCACAAATCTAGGGTGAGAATGAGGGAGCAGCGGCGAAAGGACTATGTTATGACGACGTTGAGCATTGAGAACGGAGGGATGATACGTGTAATGTGGGTAGCGTTGAGTCGGCACGCCAGTGGCTGTCCCGATATGGCACGGGCGGCAACCGGTATCTAGCCAATCAGAGGCAGTATAACGGTGTATCTGAGCGGCTTGACTTACAGAAACATACGCTGACGGCTGTTCCTATGTTGTAGACCGTTTGTAAGTATGAAGGACATGATCCTGTAAGTCATCTATGTGTGTCTTGTCATTCATATGAAGACTTGATCGGCACCAACGTTCACAGAGACAAGTCGAGCATGGTCCACTAGTACGAACCGTGCGCGAAACCGCGTCGTATGAGTGCTACTACTGGTACGGACGGGCACCCAGTTGTGAGCCTCTCGGGAAGCATCTTTAGAGGTTCTAAACTGATTACAAACCTCCTGACCATCTGCTATTCACCTGCGGTACGTAGAATGGTTCAAGTCCCACTCCGACTCATAGCAGAAACCATAGGCGTATGTTCAAGTTCACTGTATTCCGCACAAGGCCGCCCCAGCTAATCTACATGTCTACGACATGTTCATACATTGCCAAGGTAGCTGGACCGCATCCCACAACGCCTGTAGATTTCCCAGTCCCTTTTGGCTCGCCTCTATCTCCTTGACTAGACAGCAAATGTGTTTTGCACCCCAGTGGAGGTATATGTCGCGTGCGATCTTTTGCACTTGGTCTGTCGGTTCTACTCCTCGATACTCTGCCTTCCATGCTACCAACCTAGCATTAATCTCTTCCTCCAGCTCCGTTCTGAATGATGCCCTTCCCATGTCGTCAGAGCCCTTCCAGCAATCCATCCTCGCGTACCCCGCGTCCACCATGTACTCGAACTGCCCGCCATTTAATTGACGCAGGAATCCCTCCAAGCTTCGTATGCCTCCTTGCCTCGAGCTACCCTCATGGATAGTAGGGCTGCCAGTGGCGGCGACTCGGAAACTGTATGGCGCCGAGTGTAACCCGAGGTTACTGGTATGTTCGTAGCTCGCGCCACTCTTGAACGGCATGCGGGCGAGTTCGACCAAATCGGGAGGTAATTGCACCGGCATAGGCCCAAGGAACGGACTTGGATAGTCCCCATTCTTCCGCATATAAGCCCTGTGATTACATCTGGTGCGGGCCTGACGTCCACTAAGGTTGAATCCGTGTCAGTTCCATCTGTCTGTATCTTAGTTGTGTAATCCTTACGCAGGTGTCTGAATATACTTTGTATGTTGTTGTCGCTTTGCGGCCTTTCGCTCGTCTAGCGTGTGATGTTTAGCGTGTCGCCCCATCTCCGAGGATGGCCGAAGGGAAAAGTCGAAGTTGGCTGGCCGCAGGTCAGTGCAACGTTATACTTCAATTGGCGAGCAGCTTCTATTGTACATCAGATTCTCGAGCAGAATTTAGCGAGCCACGAGCAGACAGCCATCAAGATGATATACAGGATTCGACGCGCGACAGGACAGATACGGACCGTACAGGGAAGGAAGCGTGGCGCGGCACCACATGGTCAAGAGATAGAGATAGCTACTGTGCTCGGAGGGGCAATCACTTTAGTCCAAAGCGGCAGCGCAGATCACGGATGGGCGGGGTCTGGCAGCTGTCTGACAGTACCGCGCGCCACACCGGTGTAGAAGGCATTGATTGCCGCCGAATAGACAGTGTGTCCTTTGTGGGCGGCGCCGGAAACCCCGTTAACGTACGAAGAAGCTTGGTCCCTAATAGAGCAGCATAAGACTGAGTAAGAGACTGCCAAACGGGGACTTACCACGATGCGAAGACCCCGACGCGAACACCGCGCCACACGACGTACCACTTGGGAACGTCAGGGTCGAAGTCGTCAATGATGGGCACGAAGGTGCCCCCTAGCCCAAAGAGTCCAGCCGGCCCCATAGGCGGCGCGGCAGGAGCAGGCGGCGCGGCAGGAGCAGGCGGCGCGGCAGGAGCAGGCGGCGCGGCAGGAGCAGGCGGCGCGGCAGGAGCAGGCGGCGCGGCAGGAGCAGGTGGCAGCGCGGCGAGACCAGCCGGTGGTGCGGCGGGAGCAGGCGGCGGCACGGCGGGAGCAGGAGGCATGGCAGGAGGCGGCGCAATGGGAGCATGCTGTGGGGTGGCAGCAGCAGGCGTCGGCACGACAGGAGCAGGCGTCGGCACGACAGGAGCAGACACCGCGCCGGCATCAGGCAGTGGTGCGTTGGGCGCAGGCAGCACGGTCGGTGCAACAGGCGCAGGCGGTGCTGTTGGTGCGACGGGAGCAGGCACCGCGGTCGGTGCGACGGGAGCAGGCGCTGCGGTCGGTGTGGACAGCGCAGCTGCGGCGGGGGCGGGCGGTGGGGCTGGCGTGGGCGGCCCTCCATTATCAGCGTCGGCGGCGGCGAGTGTCGTAGCCACGGAGGTGTGTGTATCGATGGCAGGCAGCGCATCCCGGAGCTCGCTCAGTTGGCTCAGAGGCGAGGGGCCGAGTCGTCCATCTCTCACTGCACGGGCTATTGAGGGCCATCAGGAACCGGACGACAGCAGACAAAAAAACATACCTATGTGGTATATCTGTGAGGCCTCACGCAGCTGTTCGTCGGTGAAGTCGGTGTCCGTGGTCTCGGGTGCCACCGCAGCAGAGGGTTGGAGCGGGATCACCGAGAGGACTGCGCCGTCGTTGGGCGCAGTACTGCCGGGGGTCTCTGTGGGAGGGAGCTGCATGGCGAGGCGAGGAAGACGGGGAAGGTGAGGGCAGTCGTTCGACATCTATAAGGGTATGGCTTGTGACGGATACGGTATGGCAGCAAGCTTCCTGGTCTGGTGCTCCCTTCACAGAACACTGATCTTGATTGGCCGTGACGCGAGTCCTTTGCTACTGAACAGGGTTATATGCAGACTTACTGGGTAGTCGCCATACTGCGTGTCTCCGGTGCTGAACAAGGATAAATGTCGCCTTCCCGGGCGCTTGGCTCATACAAAATTCACCGCTCACCTGTTTGGCACGTCTCTCCGCTCCAGCTCCCCAAGTAAGCCATCCTCTGACAGTGTCCCAAAAGCGTACCTCTAGCTGACAGGACTTTGTGCATAGAAATGGTCTCTAAGCCCTGGGCGAGTCCTGAACAGCTCGAATGGTTCTCCACGAAGCGGTCGGCTTTTCTGGCGGCGCAGAAGGCTGGCAAGGTTAACGAATTCTTCACGGAGGCGGAAAGCGAGTTTTTTGCAGAGTGGCCAGAGATTTCGAGGCTGTTCGGCCCTGATGCCACGGTCGAAGGTTTGAGCGAGGAGGAGCTGAACGAGTATGGGGCTGCGTTGCGGAGGCGCAAGGGCGTAAGTCCCGTGATCGTGTCGATTGTGTAATCAAGCGTCTAAGTCATTCGCAGCAAATCCACTCGAAGTTCTACAATGACCAGTCCAAGACCCGTCACGAGAAACCCAAGGCTCTCTCTGTCCAAGGTCTACTCTCCACTGGCGGCCACGGCTCATCTACACGCGCACCTCAAGAGGTAGAAGTATACTCGAAGTTGTTTTACAAGGACAGGATCAAGGACACCGTCGACGCTCAGAAGAAGGACGTCCCGCGTAGCAAGAACATCGCTGTGGTCCGTCGGGAGACCCAAGTCGCATACGACAACGAGTCGGAAGAAGTAAAGAGGGAGGTCCGTGCCCGGGTCGACGCCCTCAAGGCCTCGGCGTCAGCCCAGGTAGCAGAGAGGTCTTTGACGACGACCCGGACTCCTGCTGACTACCAGAAGTGCGTCACACTCACCATGTCGCAATCGTATATTGACTGGTTCGCTAGGGCTATTGACTCGGTGCCTCAGTTCCTCGAAAGGCTGTTCGCATATCTCGCGGAGGAAACTGGTTGGGCGTATTCCGTTATGGGCGGCGGGCCATGCCCTGACGAAGGGGGTGCTCTGCAAACCATATCGTACGTGATACACGTCTGTTATCATTGGTGCAACCTTTCTCATCTGTCCGCGACAGCTATCACATTGGCACTACACCGGCAGGCCACAACTTCAAGCACTCGTACATGAAATTCTCGGAGGCCGTGATGGACCCCTTCCTCAAGTTCTTGAATGCCAAGTTCCGTGAGTATCCACTGCCCTTTCATGGTAGTCTCCTTCTCTGACAATAATCGTAGCCCCGGCAGAACGAGCGCGCTGGATGTTCGATATCAGCGAAGATGACGAACTCAACCCCAATTTGGCTCGACCGTCCGACGCACCAATTAGTGCTCCACCATCCCACATGTCTAGCTCTGCGCGAACGTCCGCTTCAGACACTGCTGCGGATGACTGGCTCAACGAGACTCGTCTCGCCCCTGTCAACAATGCTCCCGCGATGACTGTTCCTGCAACAGCCGTTCCTGCGACAGCCGCTCCTGCAACAGCCGCTCCTGCGACAACCACTCCTGCGACAACCACTCCTGCGACAACCGCTCCTGCAACGGAGGCTTCTACCGACAATTCAACGGCACCCTTTACATTTCCCTCTACGGACGACTATCCTGACTCCGTCCCACCGCCGACTTTCGATCTCCACGCGCCGTTCACGGAGGAAGAACTGAATATGTACGCAGGGATCCCTGGGTCCTCAGGGGCAGTAGACGCCCCTGATGATGAGCCATCGCTCGGTCAGCAGGGGTCGCTCATGGACCTGCTCGGCGATGCGCTCCCTCCATATGACTTCTCCCCGGTACCTTCGTCGTTCACTGGGTCTCCCTCGGCCCAGCCATTCTCGTTATTACCGACCGCCACAGTGCTGCCCGCGCTTCAGCAAGTGGGCTCACCCCTGACGCTGGGACCGCCCCCGGAAGCGTTCACAATGCATGCGCACCCATCACCCTCTCCTGCGGCGGCCACTCCTCAGTTCAACTTCGTCTTTCCTGTTCCCTTGATGCCAGCCCCAGTCCTCACGCCGCCGTCAGTGTCTCCCCTCGCGCCGCCCTCAGTGTCTCTCCTCGCGTCATCAACAGCCTCTCCTACGTCTAACACTCGCGATGTACCATATGTGCCGCCTGCAGTAGCATCCGCTCTACCTGCGGTGTCGGAACCAATGCCTTCGTCGCGATCGCAGTCTCCGGCTACCCAGCCACCGGGTCGTTCCCGTGCCCCCCTGCATGACGTCTCCAGCGAGGAGCTCACAAACATGACGTCTGCGCGTCCTAAGAGGTCCCGGGCTGCCCCAAAGCCTGCAGATGCAGACTGGCAACCGTCGGGCCACGCGAAGGAGAATCTCGGGGCGAAGGGTCACGTGGTACAGACCGGAAGACAACCCAAGAAACGTGCGGCAGAGGGGCCCGCGCCAGCTGATACTAGGTCCAAGAAACCACGGAAGGCGTGACAATGATGCCGGAGGCCGATGTAACTAATGTCGAAGTAGACTATTACTTTACCCGCGCGCTGTCACTACGTACAGTAGTGTCTTGTGTATTTCTTGTAGGGACGAATTCTGGGTCGTCTAAGTTGTTATAGTATTGATGTGTATCATATTGTCCGAGTCTGTGAGCTTGCCATCCAGGACTTAGCCGGGATGTACGTGGGCATCCATAAATGGCAAGCGGGCGCTTCGACCATGCCACCGTTTGACATACTCAGGACTGTCTTCTCAATTTCCGGACACCATTTTGTGTTCAACTTGAACATGAATTATCTTCCAAACGTGCCGGCCATAACATTCATGGACCCCTCAGCCGAAATCTGACAAATCTGACAAATCCGACTTGAGCTGTGGCCGCCGTGTCAGTCATACTTGTACCAGAGATCCGGTTTTCCTTTGCTGCTACGTGCGCCACTACGCAAACGCTTCCGACGCAGGACTCGTAGGGAGGTGATCGCGTCCGTATATGGCACGTGGGCGCTCTGAACTTCGCACATGCAGCAACAAGCCCGACGTGCCTGATTACCTACCGAAACTGGACACGACCCAACAATGCGGGGCTAGGCCACCTGTCAGGGCGATCCCATCCTAATCTCATCGACGGTTGAATCTGACGGCGTAAACCCCGAAGCCTGCCACCCGCCCGATATGGGCAACCCGATGGGCAGTAGCCCGGCGGGTGATCCAGTGGCCGGTGGGGCCCCAGAATTGGCAGGAGCCGCTGACGGGGCACCCATATCCGGCAGCATGCGGTCATGCATAATGGCGCTAGGCATTATGCATGACCGGCACCTGGTCATGCATAACCGGCGCCTCCCTTTATACATGAGCGGCGGGTGTGGCAGCTACCACAGTCTATCTAACAAGCCTCTGTTCTTATCACAGGTATATTATGTATAGATATGCCGGTGTAGCCTGATAGAGGCCGGGCCCCGGGTACTCGCAGTGGCCGCAGATCAAACCTGGGATCTTCATCGTCTGCCTTGTCGGCGCCCGCGGATGGTCATGGCGGTAGCCCATCTAGAACGTTAATCAGACCTGCCGAAGACCACCCGGATCGCTCTTCCAAGCGCTCCAGGCGGGAGTCATCACTGACACAAACATCGCCGACACCACGGATGACGGACGCAAATGTGGAGCAGGTATTATCTCCCGTGAGTGTGCTCGTCAGTTCTCTTTGGATAGGGCTGATGTCTAACCAATCATTCAAAGAGCTCGTCGACATCAGCTGGGGTGCCCTCGAGCTCCACGTCATCTAGCGATTGGAACGACGTTGACTGGGCTGCAGTGAGTCGTGCAGACTCGGAGCGTGCCGCGGCGTCTGCACAGCGCACCGACTCGGAGAACGTAGGAGACAGCCCTCAACGGCCTCATCGTGGGTCTCACGATCAAGGCGGGCAGTATCAGGGCACGCCTTACCGCAGGCCACAGGTGAGCGGGGCGGATGTTATCCCCTCACTTACCATCCCCTGACTCACTATACCCAGAACGCAGCGGGCGGTAGGCAGAGAAGAGGCAACGGACGTCTCGCAGGACAATCTACTGGGCGACGAGGTATGTCGTGAGGTGCCGAGAGGCACTGTTTTCCTCGTCCTGACATACTACACCGTCCCACACAAGCGTCGTTCTCGGGACGTCGCGTTACGGACGTTGGGCTTCGGCTTTTCAAAGTCTTCTGAGCTAAATATTACCGCATCGCGATTCTCCACACGATAACAATCGGACCAGCTCGTAGTGTCTCACACTATCATCAGCCACGGCTCGTATACCCTCGCAACAAGATACATACATGCCACATATACCCCATATACCCCATATACCCACTATACCATCTGTATCCCCATGTATCTGGCACAGACCCAGACTGGCATACTAGTACCGTATCTCTAAACATGCAAATTTGACTAGCAGCCTTTGCAGTGAACCCCACGCCGCAGACGCATCCTCATTTGCGTTTTCGCAAGAAGTCTCGGTGCTCCTTCTTGTTCTCCGGATTCAGACTCTGTACGAAGTCTAAGTACTCGCTGGGATGTTCTCATGAGTCGTTCGCGTGATTGAGATACGCTGATTCCAGAAACTCGGATCGTAGCTTAAGTCTCGGTAAGATCGCGCTGCAAGCTGAACACTACGGCGAAAAATAGGATGCAATCTATCGCGATAATTGAGCTGGTTATAGTGAGACAGTGGTCACGTCGATCTAGCGTTACAATATGGAATCCGATAACAGAAACGCATGCGAGGTCGTCAGAGGCATCTAGGATGAAGCAGATACGTTAAGAGTACGAGGGAGGCCCTAGAAAGAAAGCTAGGTCAGTGTGCATGCCAGCAATGTGAAGAGATAGGACACATACCTGGAGAGCGTCCAGCGTTATGCAGTGCCGTGATAAGCGTCGCCTTTTCGTCATCAGCAAGGCTGTCTACCAGACGGACGAGACCGTCGATGGTTGCCTTGCGGTCTTCGTGAGCCAACGCTAGCATGCGGCGCATGAGATGGTCAGCCTTCAGCTGCGCCAGCGTCGCGGTCAGGTCGAGGGCTTCGAGAGCCTTAGACATGACACGGCGATCGCTGAAGTCTTCGAGCGACCTTAATCTCATCAAAAGCGTAGAGCGGTACTCCTCCGTAGACTCCGGGCTAGCTTCCGCGAGTTCGGCCATCGCGGCCGACCATGCAACCTTTGCGCGCACCGACCAGTAGAAGCGGCGGCGAGCGTCCCTCCAGACCATAGGGGAAGCGCAACCCTTTGCTTCCATCCGCCCTGTGCGACTGCGATACCATGAGTGACATATGTGTGAGAGCGTAAAGGCGACTCACTGGTGAAGATCTGCGTAGAGCAATGCAGTCTGCTTGTATGTTGGTTGCAGCTACATACACCAACGCACACAGTACAGCTGTGCAGAAAGACAGCATGACAAGTGGCTGGCCCCCCGTTTCCTAATGCAAATAAGACTGACGAGATCGGGCATGCGCAGATGACTCACCTTCTAGTGCCAGCGAGCTAGGACTGCTGATTCTAGAGCCTGACTCAGAGTGCGACCTGAAAGCAATATAAGCGTCAGTATTCTGCTATGACTGCGTTCTTATGCGTGTCGGTAGTACCAAGTCCTAGCGTGACCGTCGCCGCGGTCGGACCCGTCACTGCCGCCGTGAAAGAACTTGGTAAACGTTAGTAGGCCCGATTGTGTGCCGCAGAAGCTTGAGAGGGAACTTGAAGTGAAAAGCCATAGTAGGATAGTTCAACATTCAGCGTTAGTGACCACCGTCTGCTAAGTATCGTGCCACGGCGTTGAGCCTGAGCGGGCGAAGTTCAAAGCTGGTAGACGCGCAACGTTGCTGGTGCACGTGACCGTGTCGCTCCGTGTCGTTCTTCGCGTCGCACGGTTCAGGTCGACCCCAGGTCGGCCTTGCACCATCTCGGCTCCACATTCTACGCTTTCAGCTTACCATAATGTCTAGAATCTGCGCTGGCATGCAAGGTGGAGAGGTGGAGGTGATAATCCGTGATTGGGAACAGCTGCGACATCCAGAACTTCTTGAACGCAGCGCCTACTCAATCTCGACTCCTGCCGGCGTACTCGCACCCCGACATGGCTCCATTACTCATCTAAGTCAACATCAGACTTTCCGTTGGGGTGCGCAGCGATGTGTATTTGCTCAGATGGGTACGCTTCACTAAGCTGGGTACCGCTGTCTCGACGCTGAGATCCCTCTCCGATGGTGTGTCTTGTTCGCCGGTCGTGCCAGTGGTTCCTGCGCAGTGGTGCATGCTGTGTGTCTTCCTCGACAGCAGGGCCCTGAGTAGCCCTCCCGCCTTATAGTCCCCCTCCTACCTCTCTTGTCATCGAATGGTACGAAGCACGTTGGCATGCGCGACTGCAGGTCGCAGATACGTCTCCGCCTCCCGAGCTGCCCATTCCTCTTCGTAACGTCCGCTGTATCCTGGACCGCACTGGCATGCACCCGTCCTTCTTATTTTAGATTGAAGTTGCTCTGGACTGCCGCACTGTGCTTCGCCGTTGGAATTTTCCTCAATGACGCCCGGAAGTCTCTAATCCGTACACATCCTACGGCGTCTCAGGTCAGATAACCTCACTCCAAAGGAAGGCCCTACGTAGCCCAAGGTCACAAGCCTGGCGCGGCCCCCTGCGCGGACGGCGGGACACCAGTCACAATGACGTCTGCAGTACGCCATTCATGAGCGTTGCTTCCTATAAAGCTGCGCTGGACTCACTTTCAGGACGGCGAGTCTCCTACGCGCTAGTCATGTCTGAGAGCATACTCACCAATCCCTTCACCACTGTTTTAGGTGCACTGGGACTCGCCCTAGCTGGCGTACTTCTACAGCAGCTCATCTCCTTTGTTCGTCTGCGCGTTGCCACCTGGGCCTGGCGGCAACTACCCGGTCCCGCTTCAGATTCCACTTTTTGGGGTGTGTTTTGCTCCTACAACCCCAAGTATCCGTACTAACATCCATCGAGGCAACATCGGACAATACTTCTCGCGCCATGGCGAAAATTTCCATCGTCAAGTGGCTGTCGACTACGGTTCGGTTGTGAGGTTGACCGGTCTTCTTGGAGTAAGTGGTCAACTCTGACGTCCGAGCGTATACTTGGATCGTGCTGAAAAACAATCACAGAATCCCATCCTCTACGTCGCTGACCCTAAGGCCTTGCACACCATGCTTATCGACGAGGAGGAAATATTCCAAGAGACGGATATAGCTCTCCAGTATGTCGCACTTAGTATTGCTCAGCGCGGCAACATGGCAGCCAAGAAGCCTCCTCACTGCTGACTTCTCACTGATGATAATTGTAGGATCACTCAGATGGCGTTCGGAACTACGCTTCTGTCCATCACTGGTAGATGAAAAACGTGCTCTCACGCGGACAACGTAACTCATAAACCTCGACAGGTCGTCACCATGCCAAGCAGCGCAAGCTTCTCTCTCCCGTCTTCTCAGTCAACCACATGCGGCATATGCTCCCTCTTTTTTACGACATAGGACGCAAGGTTTGTCTGGATGATCGCGGTCGTATTCTCGGCTCGCTAACATCCTCGCAGATCCGTGACGCCATCAGTGCGCAAGTCGGCGACGCGAAGGCTGAAGTCAACGTACTTGGATGGATGAATCGGTCGGCTTTGGAGTTCATTGGCCAGGGCGGACTTGGATATTCCTTCGACCCTTTGGTAACGGAATCGAAGGACGCATACGCCGATACCCTCAAGTCTCTACTGTTCGCTGTCTCTTCTTCTTTATGAGAATCATACGGAGTTGCTGACTAGGCATCCTTTCGATACACAGCCCGAATTTGGATGTGAACCTGCGTTTCCAATTCTTGATCCCTCTTGCACGTCAGATATTCCCGACCTGGCTGCTACGAGTCTTTGTCAACACCTTCTCAGCGACCTCAAACATCGGCCGAACCAGAGACAACATAAACGAGATGTTTGAGCGAGCGAAGGAGGTCTACGCCTCCAAGAAGCGTGCCCTCGCCGCCGGAGAGGCGGAGCTAGCGAAGCAAACCGCGCAAGGCAAGGATCTGGTCAGCATTCTGAGTACGTGTGCCCCTCTGCCACTGGGCTTCCTTCTACGATCACCGGTATTAACCCTTGTAGTGCAAGCGAACTCGGTCGCTGACGAGGATCAGAGGCTTCCAGAAGAGGATGTTGTCTCGCTCATGTCGTGAGTCTATGACCTGGGGGATGCCGCCTTGCCTATTGTTTGTTGATCACTTGCTATCATAGGATGTTCACCTTCGCGGCCACTGAAACCTCATCCAATGCGCTCTCTCGGATCCTCGACGTGCTGGCGAAACATCCCGACTATCAGGCCAGGCTCCGCGAGGAGCTCCTGGAAGCGCGCGCTGCGGACGGCTTGCTATCCTACGACGAGCTGAACCATTTACCTCTGCTCGATGGCGTTATTCGAGAGACATTAAGGCTGTAAGTGGACATGCCGTTTTGTAAATCCGTACTGAAGATCATTGCTGCTACCGTGACATAGCCACCCTCCGGTAACTATGCTTTTCCGGGTGTACGCCGACTTTCCTCCGCGCATGACTACCGAGGCTGACGAATCATGCAGCGCAACTAGAGACACTGTCCTGCCGTTGTCCGAACCCGTGTTCACTACAGACGGCAAACAGATTGCGTCGATTGCCGTACCAAAGGGATCACAGTTCCTGCTCGGATTTATGGGTTGCAACCTCAGCAGAACAATATGGGGTGAAGACGCACTGGAGTGGAAACCGGATCGCTGGGTCTCCGATTTGCCGTCTGCGGTTACTAAAGCTCGTATTCCAGGTGTTTACTCGAACGTGTATGTCGCCGAGGTGTTCGTCGAGCTCAAATGCTGACTATTCTCGCGCATTCAGGATGTCATTCTCTGGAGGCAAACGGTCTTGCATGTAAGTTCACTCTCTCCTAAGTAAGACCACGATTCTGAGTTCGTGAACAGTGGCTTCAAGTTCTCCGAGATGGAAATCAGTACGTTGTGTGCAACTCTGCCTGGGCGACTGATCTCATACTGTTTGCAGAGGTTGTCTTGTCGGTTCTCGTGCCGAACCTCACGTTTGAGCTGACTGACAAGCCTATCCAATGGAACGTGGGTACCGTCGGGTTTCCCACTGTCGGCAAGGAGAGCGCGACGCCGCAGTTGCCCCTGAAGGTCGCACGTTACGCACTGCCGGGCAGTGGTGTTTAGGAGTCCATGATCGCTGAAGACAGTGAAGTGCTCTCATAGTAAGTCATCGGTTCGGTTGCCTTCGTCACCAGAATGTCGTCGAAGCCAGTCGATACATTCGGACTCATGAACTACACAATACTTATGCAGTTGGATCGGAAGCATAGCCTGTTCGTGATAAGGAGCGGCAAGGGCCGACGAAGAGTCAATTTCGCACGACCTTGATGCGGGCCGCAGGGTCACATCGTGTGTTGTTCCAGCCATCCCCGTGTCTCGATTTAGCCCGGGGAATGTGCTGTTCCTTCGCTGTTTCGCCTTTCATTCGGAGTCGAGCACGCGGCGTTGAAGAGCTCGTATGCTTTACAAGTTAGTGTATCCCAGGTTCTCAGGGCGATGGAAACCGACGAATGGAGCAGCAGCAAGGCTCGGTTTGTTACCGCCAATCATCATCTATGTGAGCTCGAGGCAAGCAATGATTAATGCGCGCTCCACTGTACACACGGCGAGCATAATGATACAGGACCGCTGTGGCTACAGCTCTATGACGGTAACATGACTCCTTTGACAAATGGTTAATCCCCGATCTCGGGATTCCCATTGCAGGTGAGTCATAATACTCCTCCTCACAATCGTAGCTGACTGTCTAGACCAATATGGCCGTCACACTAGAGGTGACTCGGATACGTCAACACTGTAGTCTACGAGGCTTGCTGTCATTGCGCTTCATTGCGTCGTCAGGTCGAAGGGCACTGCAACTGCCGGTATTCCTTTTGTTGCATACACGCACAATGGCGCTCTACCGCCGATGACTGTGCGAACCAGCGAAGGGCGTTATTCGCGTACTATCGTAGATATGCTTCTATTATCTTCCCGATTTTGTAATACTGACTAATTATCATAGTACTCAAGCATGTACGGTATTCTATCCATGACACCGAGTGAGAATACGAGACATGGATAACTGCTGCAGCTGCAATGAAAACGCAGACGAACACGCGTACCACGTCGTTGCAGCCACATCTGTAAGACACTATCAATCCCAGCGGATCCCGGTCATCCCGTACCGCTCACTCAATCCTGTAGAAGGATCTGCGTGAGAAGGAACGGGGGCCTTGAGGCTTCTTGCACACTCCGGCTTGTCGAAACGAATCCGCCGGTCTCGTAACGAGTGCTGATGTGAACGGCCCGCGTACTCATCGCGCTGTACGCTATCCCATGGCAAGGTATATGTACTCCTGTGCAAACAGCCCCTTCAGACACATCCGCTCACCAAGATGTTCGACTCGCCACTGCTTGCGGGGTCGCACGTGTTTGCTCTGCTTAGTGTTGCGATGGGCGGGATTATTCTCTGGCAACTGCTGGCATACGTGCGCCTTCGTGTCGCTCTAACGGCTGTTAGCAAGATACCAGGGCCTCCTGCGCAGTCATTGTGGAGTGGTACGCATTTATTTCGTCGATTTTCAAGCATTCAGGCTCAAACATGCTTTTCCGGCAGGTAATCTGGCACAGTTCCTGGCTCGAGACGGCGAGGCCTTTCAGAAACATGTTGCTCTGGACTATGGTCCGGTTTCTACGTTGAACGGTTTTTTGGGGGTACGTAGCTTGCTGTTCCCTGATTTCCTGCATACAACCGGCGAACTCACAACAATTGTACCGCGATAGGAGCCAGTTGTCTATGTGTCCGATCCTAAGGCTCTGCACACGATTCTCATCAAGGAGGAGCATGTCTTCCAGGAATCTGGTGACTTCATTGGGTGAGCACTTAGCTGTGGACATTACCTCCGCCGTACACCCATGGGCTAACAACATCCTCTGACAGGCTCAACAACACCGTGTTTGGTAGCTGCTTGCTTTCGACAGTCGGTCAGTAACTGGGTGTATGCGTTGTTTTTGTTGATGCTAAACCAGCAACTTAGGTTCGCACCACGGCAAGCAGCGCAAGCTGCTCAATCCCGTGTTCTCGGTCAATCACATGCGTTACATGCTACCTCTCTTCTACGAGATTGGCTACAAGGTTAGTGAGACCCTGCCTGTCTCTACCGACGCTAAGACAATGCTAGGCTCGAGAGGCGATTGGGGCTCGTTTGTCAGATGGTCCGAAGGAACTAGACATGCTGGGATGGCTTGCACGAATCGCGTTGGAGCTGATCGGCCAAGGCACTCTAGGGTACTCTTTCGACCCTCTGGTTACTGACAGACCGGATGCGTACGGCGAAGCGTTGAAGACTCTGCTGTGAGTTCCTTTTCGCTCACCTTAGAGATATTGCATCTCATTACTTTCTTCATGTCTCTCACCACGCTCGACCCATTGACATTTGTCTTGCGGAACCTGAATAAGTCCGGAGCTTGACACTATGCTTGTCCTCCGGAAGCTATTTTCGTTTTCCGAGTCGCTTCCGATTTGGATGCGGCGCGCTTTCGTCAAAACCTTTCCACCCGGAACCCGCATCCACTCCTTGGCACAGATCGTCAGCACTTTGCATAGCAGCGCCACACAGATCTATGCTGACAAAAAGCGCGGACTAGAGAAAGGCGACGCCGAGATGGTGAATCAGGTGGGAAAGGGAAAGGATCTCATCAGCATCCTCCGTACGCGTTGATCCTAGCCCGCGCTACGCCTCCTTTCTGACTCCTGATATGCAGTACGGGCCAACGCGGCAGCGGACTTGAAAGACAGACTGCCGGATGAAGAGGTCATTGCGCAGATGTCGTGAGTATCATCTGTTCACTGATGCGCCTCTTGCATGCCTGACACAATGTCAGGATGTTCATTATAGCTGGACTGGACACAACTTCCAACGCACTCTCACGTATCTTGACACTGCTGGCAGAGCACCCCGATTATCAGCAGAAGCTCAGACAGGAACTACTGGATGCACGCGCTGCCGAAGGCTTGCCCTACGATGACCTGAACCGTTTACCGCTCCTCGACGCAGTGATTCGGGAAACGCTGCGACTGTGAGTTATACATTACTTTACAGTGTCTCGAATCATCTGAAGAGTCGCAGCCACCCTCCCGCAACGATCCTATTCCGAGTGTAAGTAGAGGGCAGTGCCTCGCGCTATGAAGTCTGAACCATGTCTGACGGTGATAGACGTGATACGTATCACACAGGGCCACACAGGATACCGTGCTTCCCCTCTCCGAACCGATACGCACCACCGACGGAAAGGTCATGAACGCCATTCCCGTTGCAAAGGGGTCACAGTATCTCGTCGGTTTCACCGGTTGCAACATGAGCAAGGCAATGTGGGGGGAAGATGTGCTTGAATGGAAACCGGAGCGCTGGCTGTCGCCCCTCCCCGCGACGGTCACCGAGTCACGCATACCGGGAGTCTACTCAAACTTGTACGTAATTCGAAGCCAATGTGTTTGGTGGTACACTGACCGGTGTTGTGCAGGATGACGTTCTCGGGAGGCAAACGTGCCTGCATGTGCGTCAACTCTGGTGTCGTGGTTGGAAACGACTGAACTGACGCATATCCTGCACAGCGGCTTCAAATTCTCGGAGATGGAAATGAGTACGTATCATGATTTTCGCAATCGTGCCGGGAATCATACTGATGTTGTTATCAACAGAGGTTGTGCTGTCTGTGATGCTGCCAAGCTTCACCTTCCAGCTGAGCGACAAGCCCATTGTGTGGAATGTCGGCGGTGTTTGGTACCCCACGGTCGGCAGAGAGAGCAACAAACCCGAGTTGCCGCTCAAAGTGGGCTTGTATCAACGTCCAGCGGCAAACCGAGCATCATGACTTTCGGGGGTTCGGCGATCGGCAGAGGTTGCTCGATGTCATGGATCAGTATGCAGTTAATTTCCAATCGCTCAAATGAATATTTTTGACACGCACGCAATATTTTCTGTATCTCTCTGGACATCTATGAAGTTCGGTCGATCGAGACCGCTCGCAGTATTCATGGGATGACAAAAGAGGAGCGTACGAGACCAAGTTGACATAGTGATCATGTGAGTAGAGGCGACAATGAACGTGTCTTCGTCCGACGTTCTCGCAGAAGCATGCTTGAACGTGTAAATCGTTCGATAATAGTGCGTATGCTGTGGAACAAGGCGACTGACGACGTAGCGCATTCCGGACTCGCCTACACAATAAGCATGGCCTGAAGATAAGCTTCCACTAACGCGAAGTCATCAGTAGCTGGACGCGACTAACTGTATATCGTGAACGAACCAGTCCGAGTTGAATATTGGTATCCCATCCGACACGGCAGGGGTTCAAAGCGAGGTCTAATATACCATTGGTCCTCTAGGAGGTAGTGTGGCTCCTTGCAGACCGATCGCAATGGCAGCGGCCGCTGGTACTGTACATGTGGTGAGATGTTTAGCTAGTGACGCACGCCTTGGAATAATGCTCAGCGTCATGTATGGAAAGCACCAACGGAGGAGGAAAACAGAAGTATCCGCAGTACCACTTCCCTGACCCTGAGCCGATTATCTCCAGAAGAGGATTCCACAGGGAAGAAGCACAGCCGCAACGACGATATCGGGAGCAAACAGGCACAGAACGAAGGTGCACAGCCAGCCTCGAGGCAACGATCGGGGGAGGTGGGTCGTACAGCCATGGCATAACAAGATTACCCATACGAAGGAAGTCTGCACCGGCGAAGAAGGCGACGTGAGGGTAGCTCTACCTTGTTCGGTTAGTCCTGAGCATGAGATCCCTCGTCGACGCTAGCTATGGCACGCAAACGCCGAGGTTCCTTCCAGACGTGGAGAACCTTGTGCCCTCGTGGTCGGCGACCGCCTTGCCGACAGGAAACGGGATTACCGAAGAGCGCAGGGGAAACGGGTAGTTTGTATAACAATAGATAACAACGAGTAGCTCACCGAGGTAGTCACCGACTCGCAAGCCCACACAACGCCAGAGGAACAAGGTAACGGGGACCTGTGACAGCAGACATGTTAGCCACTTTGTTCAAGTTGTTGAAGGAACGACACGCGACTTGGACTGACGTGACAATCGCAGAGCAACAACGTACGGATAATGTCGCTATTGATGTGCAACTGATGGTAGTATTGTGCAATGGAGTAAGACAATAATAGACAGAACAACAGAGACAAGGGTAGAGGACCTGTAGAGACGCGAGGCGTTGGCGCCCCCCAAGTACAATACCGACGCGTCGCAACGCGGTCACGTGCAGAGCTTCGGTACGTACTCAAGACTTCAGGCCTCAGGCCTCAGGCGTTGAGGGTTGGTTGGGCATGAAAGTAGAGCTTGAGCAGCCAGGAGCTTGATATCTGGGGGATACGCGTGACATAAGTAGAGAGCAGCAAAAGAAACGTGCTCATACCGATGAATCACGAAGAGACACGGGTGACAGTCACAGCGGCCCTTCTGCAGGATGCGAACGATAGCTTGTATAACGCGGTCATGGTAACGTTATCTGTAAGATGAGACTCCCAATTCGACCTTTCTGCACGAATTCCACTTCAAAGGCTGTGAGACCAACACGATGGATCTGGCCATCCAGGCAATGCTACCTACCCGCCCGAACCATGTTACCATACCCGTTCTTGACATAGCTCCCAATGTGCGCAGCCCTCTCAGCGCCGACGCCTATGTGTCCAACGTCGGCATGCTCTCCATTCCAGAGCACGATGTCGGTCATCGCGGCGCGTTTCGCGGGTAGTGTCGGAGAGCTGGCGGTGCACAGCGGGAAGCCTCATGTTCCCCGAGTATATGTACGCGTCCGCCGCACGTCACAGCAGCGCACCGCGTTCCCGAGCTCGCGGAGTCGCTGTACTTACCATCCCAGTGCCCGCCCTTGTTCTTCGCCTATTCGCATTATACCCACTGCTCCGCGGCGGTTTGCGATCGGCATGAACAAGATCTCCGCTGCGAAGAAGGCACCTAAACTACATCAGCGTTTAGTGGACGGGTGCGCGGACACCAGCCAGGTATGCTCTTTTGTCTTGTTTCGCGTCTTACCTTGACGTTCTCTGTTTTAGTTCCGCTTGACGTGGAAGCAATCGTGGGGGAACAGCAGCTACGCGACCACCTCGCGCCTTGCAGGAATCAATGGCACCGAGAGCAGCTTTGCGGTGACCCCAGAAGCTCAACAGGAGCTCGACAGCGCCTCTGCCGCAGCTTCGAGCCGGAGCGTCGCGCAAGTTCGTCAGCGGTCGAGTGCAAGGGGACACAGAGCTCCGCGGGTTAGTGAGGAGCACCAATCACTAGCCCCACCCACGCTTCAACCGACTCCCGTGCGGCCCACATTCCTGTCACCACTCCTTCCCCCGACTGAGCACGCTCCCCAAAGGCGCGCACAGTTGTACGGCAGGAGTGGTCTCCAGTCACCGTTACAGCTGCAAGGAGCGGAGCGACCCAGCGCACCAGCGACGAACTACTCCTTCACGACAGCGGCGACGTCTTCGTGGCAGGGAGAACAGCACTTGGGAAGCGCCCCTACCCTTCAGCAGTCCCAGACCTTGCTCTCGCCCAACTGGGTCCCCTCCTCCTCTTCACGACGCACTCACGACCCCCTTCTCTCACCACGCCCAGCCCACCCTCACAGACACTCGACGGGATCGCTACCGCCCACCGGAAGCGCACACCCAGACTCCGTCCCCTCGAACGCATCGCGGGCCACCGCGGCCGCGTCACGACATCGGCGCGTCGCATCGCATGGGCCATATCTTCCGAGGCAGCCAGGAAGGACGCACCACACACGCGATGCGCAGTGGGCCTCACCCGCCGAGACGCAGTTTCCCAGCCCTGCATACCTCCAACCCGCGCCAATGGACTACGAGACGGGGGCGATGTATGGCTATCAATCGCCGTACCATATCCCGTCTCCAGCCACCCCTCTCTCAGCCCCTGCCAGCGACTATTGTCCCAGCCCGTACCCTACTTCCTCGGGCTCATCAACGGGATGGTCGCCACCTGAGGCAGCGCTCACTGGCCTCGACGTGTTCCCTACGCTGTCGCTCGCGCCAGACCACGGGCCGCCGACGTGGAGCGTCGAGGGAGACATAGTAGCATACCGCTGCAGCGTGCACCCCACCGGCGCCGCATTGGGTGGAATGCCAAAGCCAGACCCGGAGGCTGGTCTAAGGGAGCTGATCGTGAGCGCGCAAGAATGGTGGGCCGACAAGGTGGCAACGGACGCATCGCTGAACGTTGCGGAAAACCCACTTCGTCTCCGGGACACACTCTCCGCAGACTACCTAACGGTAGGCCGGTTCGAAGGAGGACACGTCGCTGCTCCGCAGGTACTGCCTGCGTATGAGCCTACACGCGGCACGGAAACGAGCACTACGCAGCGCACTGACCTGCTATGGGACGGCGAGCTTGGAGAGTTGACTGGTCCTACAACAGACTGGCTCAACTTCCCAGACTCGCAGCGTTATCTCGAAGACACGCACGTTTCCACCGCCGGACCGTCTCAGCTTGCGGACTCCAGCCCCAGCCTCATCTTCCTGCCTCTGGGGGCGGATACAGGGTTCGAGGACGGGGCGTCATACTGGCTCCCCGACGCGTTCTCAAGAGAACTGTGTGGAGGGTGGCAAGCGGACGACCAGAATCAGTCGTTCTGCGGTGGGAATGGGGTGTGGTGACGGCATTAGGTGCGTTCAAAATTGGCTGGAGCTCTGGAGCCCTGGAGCTTGGAGGTCGGAGGCGCCTGGAGGTCGGTGGCTGGACGCGAGGGTTGTCGGCAGTTGCCGCGAGCAATTCCTCCAGCGCTCGTATTCCCGCATAACGACGCGTCACACACGGGTGACCTGAGCGACTGAGGCTCGGGGTTTGTGCACCAGTCGTGCACGAGATCGCAGTCGCCGTTCTTTGCTGTGTAGTCATCATCGACTTCAGCGCATCGCATACTTGCGTGAGGGATGTCGATACTTTGCTTCGTTGAACGGATGCGGTCGTGAACCTACTAACTTACGGTCATTGCCACATGCTTACATAATTATTGTAGATGTGTCCATCTACCGTATACAATCCCTTGCCCTCATCCAAGTCTTAGCCCCGGCCGAGTACAGCGACACATACATTTGGGGAAGTCATGAACAGCACTGTACGGTCACAAACTGTTTTAGGGTTTCAAATCCATTCCAAGAGACGGTGTGACTGTACTGGCATGACATAAGCATGAACCGCTGCAGGATATCGGAGGACTGCTCGCGGCAACTGCCGACAACCCTCGCGTCCAGCCACCGACCTCCAGGCGCCTCCGACCTCCAAGCTCCAGGGCTCCGGAGCTCCAGCCAATTTTGAACGCACCTATTGTACTGTAGGTCTGCGGTTCTCACGCGGATTCGTCGTGACCGCCGCGGGCGCTAAGGCGCGGTCACCACTCCCGGTCACCACGTTCAAACCCCGCTAGGCCTGCGCCACCGCCCTCCTCGCGCGCGGTCACCGCCCATTCCACGCTCCGCTCGTCCCAGGTCACAACCACTTTGGCGGGCGCGGTCACCGCCCTTTCCCCCTCGGACATGCCCGGAGCCCTCCTTCTCAGCCACACGTGAGTGGTTCACCTGAGTGGTTCACCTGCTATGTACTCGAGTCTCTTCGCATGTACATTGTGTACACGTCTCGCACGTAATCGCCCACGCCCAAATAAGTTAATAATAAGTACACAACACACTGCGAGACGCTACCGCTTGCGCCGCTAAATGCGGCACCGTGTATTATATATCTCCCGTCAGGTCGATCACACACTCTTTGGCTGACTTGCGGCGACGCGTTACTGCTACTGACATCGGCGAAGCCGAGGCATGGCTAGATACCTCTGCGCAGGCAGTTGCACATTCACTCGACTCGGACGTAAGGTCGATTACTTCGGTCTCATCATAGTGACGCTTGCGCGGAGGTGTTCGCTTTACGCCACTTGTCGGCAAGGACAGCACTTGGCCTTCCTGTAGGATAATTCGAGTCAGTGGTGTTCTCTCGGAAATATACAGCTGGACGTACAACCATCGCCGGACTGTCCCGGGGCCTTGCCCTGATAGACTCTAACAGCTCAGTGGGAAGCCAAACTGAGATGATGTCCTTGGACTGTTCACTGCCCGACGTGCTGTTCTTGGCGGTATCTCTACGTAGATGGCGCAGCTTTGAAAGTATCTCTTGGCGGAGATATTTGAGAGGAATCTCCACTTTCTTCTCTTCGCCATGACTGATGTGCGTGCGCGCCTTCGGGCGAATGTGCATACTAGCGATCATTGACTGTGCGGCCGTAATCCGAGTCAATGCCAGAACAGGCCTGAGGTAGATCACTAGCACCCTTACCTGGTGGGCGCGGCAGAGCACATCTCCCTTGCGTTGAACAAGGAGCATACGGACGATAGCACCCTTCCAGACTACATTTCGGAACTTGGTCTCTATGCCATTTGGAGTGCCCCATGTGAAGAATTGCTCGCAGAGTTGAGCAAGTCGACCAGGATCGAAGGCGTCACATGGCCGTGTGGTTGATAGAGACATGGTTGCCGGGCCGGCATCGTTCTTGACAGAGCACGAGGGGTGAATGTAGTACTCCATGATCGTGATGTCCGGGAACGTGTCGCAAATACGCTCGGCCAATCTGGGATAGCGACGGCCGAGATGTCCGTCTGGATCGTCTCGCAGGCAATTGCGAAGCTGCTCTCTCCAAGCGCAGAGATCCGTCTCGCGTTCTTGAAGTGTGTCTAGCCCCATCGACACAGATGCTATCTCGAGGAGGGATTCCCCAAGTCCATAGCGTGACAGCCCTTGCGCAATCTTGGCACCACAGCCGGTGAGACCCTCATACAGAGCATGAGCCACTAATATTGTGCCAGATGCTCCGATTAATAAACCACCATACCTGGTCATAATCACCGCCACTAAGCACGGCGACGAGGAATATTGCACCTCGGGTCATTCGCACAGTGGGTTGACTCTCAATCGAACGGCGAGAGAACACCTTCACTGTGTCTTTGTTCGGCTTGATACTTGAGCTGTCGGTACTGTGAGTGAATTGATTAACAGCCTGCAAACTCTGCAATGTACCTGCGTATAACCGTGTCCACTCCAAATACAAATACATCGCTATCATCCGTTACAACAGCGTCGATGTAGCCAGTGCGGTTGAGAAATGCAAGCTCAGCTTCCGCCTCACCGGGGGCCTAATGGGATAATGGTAGGATTGATTTGGCGCCATTTTAAACAGTCAATACATGTACGTACCATCTGCCAGCTAAACCCAAACGCTTCAATGAGATTCTTGAAGCTGCTCGTGATCCAATGGTCTGCTGTCTTCACCACCGTACCACGCTTCCGGCTAGGGCGGCTTGGGCCATCGAAGATAAAGACAACGTCCACCGGCAATTCGAACAGACGGCAGAGTCGATAAAACAGTGTCCGTAGTTCGGGGTTCTCCCCGGCTTGTGCATGAGCAAACTTGAAGACCGACTGGCACTGCCTGAACCATATACTGAAGGCAGATTCAATCGCATACTATCGTATCGACCTGCGCCAGTGCAGGATATACATACCTCGCATCAACACCAAGACGGTAGGGCATTCGACGATTCGCCTTGCCTATTCCCTCACGTAGAGCAAGTGCTAGAAGTGACTCTTCTTTTGCAGCACCTTCAATCATCTGCAGTAATACAGCACATCATAAGTGACGACCGTGACTTGAAGCCTTCCGGGCTTCCACACTCACCTCCCAAAGTCCGTCTATACCCATGGTGCAATATACGGAGGAGAATTTCGGTCTGCAGGTGAATATATACAATCCCGCGCACCCTCTTGCGGAAGCAAACGTACGTCCCTCGAGCGGTACATGATTGCTTCCGTTATGACTGCGACCAGAGCTCCAAGCGGTGTTTGGTCTACATTGAAACATATCCGACACGTCGGAATGAGATACATTGTCTGCCTACTGTATGTTCACCCTATTTGCCACGCTCTACTGCAATCGCCGCCGCCGACCTGCACCCAGCCCCTCAGTGGGTCCACGCACATCCAGTGATGTCAGTTAAAGTGACTCTATTTTGATTCATTAATGTATTTTTTTCTGTATTAACTTGATTCAAAAATGTATCCATGTTGAGTCAGTATTAATACACTGGCCAATCCATGTCCCAAATTGGGTGACTTTAATGCAGTGATGACTTAATACACTTTTGATACACTGACTAAGCCACCTGACTCAGATCTCTTAATACACTTGTAAGACACCTGTAAGACACTCCTTAGCCATTGTCTAAGTTGCATGTTACACCATTAAAACAAATAAGATACAGTCCTACTGCATACATATATGTGGTCCTGAGTCACTGGATTAAGTAAAATCAAGGGAGATTGGATTTAAAAAAAACATCACAAGTGGGGCTTGAACCCCTGACATCAGCAAAGGTTACATAATCACACAATTAACTCGGACACCAGCATCACTAACCACTACACCATAGGTCTGTTACAACCTGGGTAACACAATGTGATATCACACAATGCTGGAATGCTGGACTTAGACATATTTTGGATGCTGGCACAGGGTGCCCTGTATCAGTGGTGACTTAACCAGGTGCATTAGAGGTGACTTAACCAGGTGTATTAGAGGTGAATCAACATAGTGTATGAGTGCTAGCCAGACAGGTGACTCAATAGTGACTTAACCAATAATGGATGCTAGATGTCAAATTTGTCAGGTCAAAGGTTAAAGTCACCATTGAGTCACCTGTCTGGCTAACATTAATACACTATGTGACTCAATAGTGACTTTAACCTTTGACCTGACAAATTTGACATCTAGCATCCATTATTGGTTAAGTCACTATTGAGTCACCTGTCTGGCTAGCACTCATACACTATGTTGATTCACCTCTAATACACCTGGTTAAGTCACCTCTAATGCACCTGGTTAAGTCACCACTGATACAGGGCACCCTGTGCCAGCATCCAAAATATGTCTAAGTCCAGCATTCCAGCATTGTGTGATATCACATTGTGTTACCCAGGTTGTAACAGACCTATGGTGTAGTGGTTAGTGATGCTGGTGTCCGAGTTAATTGTGTGATTATGTAACCTTTGCTGATGTCAGGGGTTCAAGCCCCACTTGTGATGTTTTTTTTAAATCCAATCTCCCTTGATTTTACTTAATCCAGTGACTCAGGACCACATATATGTATGCAGTAGGACTGTATCTTATTTGTTTTAATGGTGTAACATGCAACTTAGACAATGGCTAAGGAGTGTCTTACAGGTGTCTTACAAGTGTATTAAGAGATCTGAGTCAGGTGGCTTAGTCAGTGTATCAAAAGTGTATTAAGTCATCACTGCATTAAAGTCACCCAATTTGGGACATGGATTGGCCAGTGTATTAATACTGACTCAACATGGATACATTTTTGAATCAAGTTAATACAGAAAAAAATACATTAATGAATCAAAATAGAGTCACTTTAACTGACAAAGATGGCACATCCGCCTCCTACGTAAGAGCACACCATCCGTCGGGATTACATATATCTCCGTCTTGCCATCCGTGCTCCTCGTCGTGTACTCCATGCGATCATCATACACCGCCGCAATGCATGCGGGCTTGATCACGTCATGCCCTCGCCGGCCGTTGTCGCAGAGGTCGTTTGCGCAGATGTTCGCCTGGTTGTTCGAGGGTGTGACCGAGCTTCATAGGGCACTGCAGGGTATTGTTAGCATTCGTTTCGAAAGACGCAATACCGAACGGATAGGTCTTGACGGTCTTGCACAATGAAGCAGGCGTACAAACCTCTTGAGGTGGTTCCAGCATCCGACGTTCTAGGAGTTGTTCAGAAAGTGCACTAGTGGGAAGTTCAGCGGACACACCTGGTTGTGGGCGCTCCAGAGCCCGTCTCTCCCGCTCGAGCTTGCGCCTCTTTCTGTTGGTCTCTGAGATCATCTCGGTCTGGCGATCATCTCTTTCCGCCTGCGGACGTGACATGATCAGCACGATGCCAATACATGCCCATCATGTGCTGAACGCGCCCTTACCTTCCACCTAACCTAACCACACGCCGTCCTCATCCAGTTTCCGGTGTTTCATGACATTCAGGGCCTCGAAGTCAGGCACGCAAACGTCGACGTCGAGCAGCTTGTCCCGCTCACGATGAGCGATACCACACTGGACTTGGATATCGTACCGCGTGCCGTACGTACTGCAGGCACACGATCCACACGAACTTGCGCACGACCGCGTAGCCCTGCGGCGAGTGCGGGCTGCGCACGCGCGTGGGCACGTACGTCAGCGTGAGCTGCACATCCGCGTGGCTCAGCGCGCCCCGGGCCGCCGACGCGCGGGTGCGTATGGGAGTCGGGCCGCATGCCGCGCGGGAGCGCGGGGAGGGAGAGGACATGGTGTGGGTCCTACCAGGGCAGGAGGATATGCGCGTAGTAGAACGGCGAGGGGGGGCGAGAGCGGGTCCTCGAGCGGGCGGCGGCGCGTATGGCGAGAGCCCCGAGCCGTCAAAGAGGAGCCACTCCTGCTTGGGCTCCACGTCGCCGTTGCCGTGTTCCGGGACGGGCGGGACGTACCCGAAGTTGCAGACGACGTCCCCGACGGCGAGGTGCTCCCAGAGGCCTGTGTCCATGAGCTGCTCCTCGCACGCCGCGACCGCGCTGTCGTCTAGGACCGTGCACGGCACGAACGTGGGCAAGACAGGTGCGCGCGTGCGCGACGTTGCGAGGTAGAGGTCATGCGGGGGCGTTCCCCTTGGTACTGCAACAGTAGGTGGGGGAGGTGGCAGCGGTCTTGATTCTCTTGAAATGGTAAGTAATGCTTCTGAACATAAGGGTGTCGTCCACACGCAGCTGTGGGCGAATGCCTCGAGTCGACGGCCTGGAAGTCGAAAGGATGGGCCAGTACCACATAGCGGACGCCGCGCGCACGGCGTTAACGCACTGCCGTGGAACAAGCGTGCTATGTGGTAACTGGTAACCCTGCGAAGTCGCGGAGAGGCGCGTCCTTTGTCGAACGGGAGGGGCGCAGGAGCGGCAGCGAGTGCGGGAACAGGGGTGCCGCGCGCGCATCTTGACGGGGACGCTGGCGACGCGGCGAATGGCAGCAAGTACGAGCGTACCCGTCCGCGGAGATTTGCTGCACAGAAGACCACCACGCGCCTTGTCCCACGGCATGGCGTGCAAGCTGCGCGCAGTTGCGGGATGGACGCGGCGAGGGTGAGGGAGGCGGGAGCACGTCGACGGCGGACGCTGTGCGACGGTCCGTGTCGATGAATGCCCGCGCGTGGTGGTGAACGCAAAAGACGAGCCTCCCGCGGGTGACACGGGACGGATTCTGCGCATGGTGGGTATCGACCGACGCGCGCGTCGGCATAAGTTGCAAGCGACCGGTGGAGAGGCGCGTCCTTCGTTGAACGGCAAGGGCGCAGGAGCGGCAGCGAGTGCGGGAACAGGGGTGGGTGTGGGCCCATACATCAGCACTCGTCGCTCCGACCAATTACGGGTCATGTACTCACCTCGCGTCCCCTCCACTGTCCTCCGCCATCCTCCTCCTCGCTCTTCGCCCTCGGTGTTCGTACCTGTTAGCCACCGGGGGATGGAGCGCCCGCGCAGATGGCTGCGCAGGCGCTAACGACACCTGCACGACGGTTGGTGGGTGTGTCAGTGGGCGCGTGGTCGGCGAGACGGCGAGAGTGACGCACGAATCAAGGTGGGTAGGTGGTCGCGGCGCGGTTGCGCAGAGTCCAGAGACTCAAGAGTGCAGCCACAACGGCCAGTTCCCACGGTTCAGTCTCTGCAGTAATCTTGTATGGCAGAGCGTACTGAGGTCGGGGCACAATTCTCTAAGGTACGGAATTGTTATAGGCTTGTTTGAGATACCTATACGGGTCTGCTCACAAAGAATCATCTCCCTCGGAGAGATATCCATGGCACGAGCACAATACTTTGGCCATTATACTTAGGCGCCGCGACCAGAGTCGCAGGTAGAACGACCGGTGAATTGCACAACAATAACAATAACATAAGCTAATAAAGACTAGACATGCGGGACTACAGTGCGATCGGATCTATGCTGCGTGTAAGTTCGCCTTCTTGGACTTCTTGCGCCCTGCAATGGTCGGCGCGCGGCGCTTTTTGCCAGAGGTTGATTCGGAAGCCGAGGCTTCGGAATTGAAGTCTGTGGCACTGGTAGATACATTCTGTGAGCGATGATACGAGGAGTCTAGTTAATTCGCTGTAAATGAAAAAGGCACCCTATAACATACCACAATGCTAGAGGCGACACTCGAGGCAGGTGCAAGGGTCTCGCCGGCTGTAAGAGCCTTTGCCTTGCGCTGCTTGATGAGGAGACTTGTTAATGCGTTTGAACCGAGCAGCTGTGCTTTTCCTTCGACCTTCCGCATCGATTCGAGCAGTGCAATTGCCGCTGTATCCGACAGGCCTTCATCTCTGATCGCCGTGTCGATCCACTCGGGTATCTCGCGAACACGTTGCCAGGCCTTCCGAGCCTACATGAACATGAGTGAGGCGACTGCTATGTGCGAGATAGAGTCATGATTAACGCACCTCGATTTCACTCCGCCACTTGCCCTGAAAATGTTGTTCGACCAACCGTAATGGTGGTTTCGCGCCTGTCTGATTCCCATCAGCATCGCGAGTGGCTTCACCGCTGTTGTAGCACGCCCAGATCTGTGCTATGGTCATGTTATTCAAGCTCTCGCTAGGCTTCCATGCCTGCCAGAGGTACTTCGGCTGTCGGATAAGCGAAAATACCTTCGCCCAAGTGACAGACTGCTGCCCCATACAGGGCGGCCATAGCAACTGAACAGTACCTATGTGACATAGAGTAAGCTCTCAGGCCCGTCATATATGGCAGAGCGTCGGAACTCACCCTCTTGATTGAATGCTTGAATAGACGGAAGGACCAAGTCGACTTGAGTTCGTGGCCTTGCCTGCGATGGTGACTTCGGGGATGGCGCAATGAAAGCGCGCAAGGTGCTGTCCCCGGCTTCATACATGCCAGTGTCTTCATGTGCTCGGGCCTCCGCGCTTATTGTAAGTGGTGGATCGAGGTCATTGCCAGAGAGACGGGTGCCCGGTGCGAGCTGGATGGGGCTCCCAAGTAAGGTACTTGCTGGCGGGGTGCTACTGGTCTCCAAGTCTGCTCGGTTGAACAGGGTATGCTGTGTTGCAGCCTGCACTGCGACCCGACAATTAGGCAGGTCCGACTACAACAGACATCATGTGTACTCACAGGATCGTGCATACAACTCATTCGAGTAACCCTTGGCGGGCGAAAGGACAGCGGTCCGCCGTTCTACCGTCTCGCCCATTGAATGCACCTTATCACCTATCACATTAAGTATAACCCTCATCTGTTCTAACGCTTGACGCTGCGCCTCATTCTGGATGCGCGAGAGATCAACAGGCTCTGCCTGCTGCGACTTTGCTGTCTCAAGATGGGCTGGATACTGAATCTTCATCCACTCTTGAACATCCGTGGATGCTAGAGCGGGTAGTCGGAATATGGGGGAAGTTGGGACAACCTGATAGATCGCTGCAGCACACTGTCCGACGCAAATGCAGATATCAAGAGCAGGCCCCATAGAGGATTAGGTTAACTCACTTGAAAGAGGAATGGTCGGAGATCTACGATCATCTTCCAAAAGTTTGTTACACCAACAAGGTTCCGTCTGCCTACAGCAGCAGCGGATCATGAGTCGACGAGATAATGCAGCTCTTATGGGCACTCACCTTCTGTCGCCTTGATGATTGATTCGGCCATGGGACATACACGGTTCAAGAACTCGGCTGGGACTGACACCTTGCACCAGACTGGGTCGTAATACTCATGCTCCATATACCCGTGGCATGCGAGATTTGCCTACGGATTACTTCTGAACATCTCGGATCATGTAATACAAGCACGACTGAACGCACCTGCTTCGGAAGATTAGGAGCATATGTAGTCTGATACGTCCCATGTCTCCATCCAAGCTTTGATGTTTCGAATGGATCGACTCTGACAGACAATCAGCACCTGAGGATCGATCCCATGGTAGGTAAAGATGCCTACCCAAAGCGCTCTTGCATGTACCCGATTAGGTGACGGGGCAAATGCGCCTTGATCGTTGATTCAAAATCTGCCTTCTTGAATGCTTTCGCATACAAGTTGTGCAGATTCGAATCGGTGTACGTCTTGGTAGGAGAAGAGCCCCAGATGAGCCTAACCTAGATGTCGAAAGTTGTCAAATATCGCACACCATTGCGGTATAAGGGCCTCTGACTCACCTGTCGCCATGTCTTGTTCACCAGCCAGTCGATATCCAGCTTCTCGGCAAGTCGGAAGTGATCAAATAACTGATGGAAGTGCATCGCAAGCGCACCAAGTGGACACATGAGTGGATTTTCATGCGCCATCCATACTCGGTAGCTTGGATTGACGGTCTGGTGCAATCATTGTAAGTACAGACAAAAGTAATCGAAGATGTCTAAAACTGTACCGTCTGCATGTTCCGAATCCCTGCCTTTTCCTCACTTTGAAGGCCAAGGACAACAAATATCGTCTGCTGATTGTTCGGATGCTTCATCTGATAAGGCTGCAGCTCACATAGCTTTAATGCACGGACGTCATCCCCTCGGTTACCTGAACCATTCTGCAATGTCCACGCAAGGTGCCCGTTAATTGCAGATCGTACTAACAAAGTGATTAACAGTTTACCAAATGTGCCACAACAAGAAAAAAACGCACGTTCCCGGTGTTGTAAGAAACCGTAACCAATATCCTGCAGCTGTTGGTCGGTCACACTGGCCAGAAATGTGTTTGCGACGATGTCCGGTGCATCCTCGTTTGGAATGAGGCCGCTAGAAATGAACAACAAGTGTTTGCATTGGATACTTCATGTGTCAGGGCGAAGAACTTACAGACGTGCACTGATCAGAGCCTCGTTCATTCGAGCCTTGACGAGGTCGTAGACGTGAACTGTTGCTGCAGGCCGTCGTGTAGCGAGTGTAGGATCTGCGGCATCCTGGACCTTGCGGATGCGGAGAGCACCAAAGAATTCTTTCTTAATCTGAGACTGATATACAGGTCGTCAATCAGTCAATGAACAACGGGGCAAAGGGACACGACTCACAGCACCAACACGTGTTCCAGGAATATACTCTCCCTTGCGGCTGCGCTTTGGACGGTCTGCAGTGTAGTTGATGAACACGAGGAGGCTATGTTCATCGACTATCTCGTCCGGGACCCGGCCATCTGCCCTCGCATCTGCGAGGAAAAGCTGAGGGGAAGTCAGTAGGCGAAGTACTGCAAGGGTATTGAACTTGACTTGCCTCCCATGAACGAATCACTGATTTCTGTGTCCTTCGACCACCAGCCCGCCGGTTCTCCTCGAATCGTTTGGCGGCATCAACGCGCATGCTCCTCTGGTAGCTTGTGAAGTCAACTTGGGACGCAAACACCATCAGGATTATCAATATGCGAGAGGGATGTGAACGTACCTGGGTCATCCATGTCGAACGAAAACAGGGTTGCATCCTCTAATTCATCATCCTCTTCGTCGCCATCCTCAGCCCCTCGATCATATGCAAAGACGTCAGCTGCCGCGTTACAGTCCACATAGAACTGATTGCGCAGCAGCTCGTCATCACCGTCATATGTCTCATCACCTGTACTAGGCAATGCGAACGCAGGTGTCGCAGCTGCAGTCCCATGAATTGGCGTCGCAGCCGTGGTGCCATGGGTTGGCGACGCTGGGATGCGAGGCGGCGGAGTGTGAGGGGGGGGACTAGGCAAGGGTGCAACACCATTGCCCGTCGGGGAGTACCTAGACACGAGGCTCAGAGTCTGTCTATACTACACACATATCATGAACGAGGAATACTCACCAGTAATCAAGTAGGGCATCCCGGAGGCGCTCAAGGCTAGCCCTCTTCGGATGAGATATGCTCAGACTCGCACATGTTCCCACCAGGCACTTCTTTCGCTTGATAGACAGCCTGGTGGCATAGTATATATTCGTTAGCAATTGCGTGGAGGGCATAGCACGGGAACAGGCCGCATTTGATTGGATGAAGCGATGAATGATTGACGCTTCGCGCCCACGGTCCGGGGCTAGTTCGCTAAACACTGTCCGCAAAGTAGTAGAATCACACTCACAAGTATGCATGGTACGTCTCGCGAGGGACAAGCCGGCCATCTGGAAGACGTTCTGGTGGGCTTGCAACGTTGGACAGAGAGGCCGTGTGTTGGGCCTGCGAGCGCAGACTCGGGTCGATATTTTGCTCGCCTATAGCTACCACGGCCGGTGGTGCCGCCGCTTCCTCCATTGGGATAATCACTATTGCCCAAGTGTGGCCTTATAATATGAATACGGGCAAGCCGATGTAGAATAAGAGTAGCGAAGCTTAGAATAAGTTGAACGAGATTACGGAGAGACGAAAAGCGTAGTCTAGGGGCTAACGAGCGAGGGCGAGCGCGCGAGAGAGGCGGCGCGGTTGAACTTCCCGGGCCACCCGCCGGGCGCTTCGGGGGCACTCTCGCGGTCACAATGCGATTGTGACCGCCAGCGAGCCAGACGCGGGCGGTCACAATACGGTTGTGACCGCGCGCATGTGAGTCCCGCTGGGGTCTTCTCGTTCCTATCAACATCAGACACGATGGACACTTGAGGACAATCTCACCTTCTGTTTGTTTTCCGTGTGCTGTCTCGCTAGCTGTCTGTTCGCTCTCGTCGTTGGTAGTCGTTCATAGTTCTTCCGTATTTCTCGATGCCTGACCTTGCTATCCCGTTTAACCACGTTCGTGACGAAGACGGGCGCTTGCGAGTGTTGGCGCGTAGCGCTCGAGGCTGACCGCCGCTTGGCCGCCGCCCTCCGAGTCCTTCTCGTCTCGAGTCATCATTGATACGCCCTCCTCCTCCTCCTCCTTTCTCTAGGTCACAACTGAATACTGGCTTCATATTCTGGCTTTATACTTGCATATAATGCTTCAACCAGCTCGGCTCGGACTGTCATTGAATCGCGCCTCGCCATCAAGTCCACATTTCGTTGGCACTGATCGTCATGGACAACTCGGATTTCGCTGACAGCATTGCGAAACCTGGCTTCGTCGCTCGTATCTGCATCGGAGTAACTGTGAGTTTCAATTTACTTCAACGTGTCGCGTACTCATATTGCGCCATAGCATATGATTAGACGGATACTCTGAACTTGGAGTGCTCTCCTAGCGGCTCCCTAGGATCTTGACCGAATTGCGACTGTCAGCAGGCACGGGGATCGACTCACTCGCTGGTTTACTCCCCACATGGGCTGCAGACGTTCCTTTTCGGACCAACTTTGACAACTCTTGCTCATGTGGTCCTGTTACGCCGTGGAATTGACGTCTGTCGCCATTGTCTTTGCACTTGCAAAATGATTTCAATTGAACATATGGCCCTGTGTCAAGCGTTCACGCACCAGTATTCACATGGTTCCTGGACCGCGCTTCTGGATTGCCAAATGATTCCGTGCCTACCTATCTCCTCGATCAAAGATTCCGGGCGCTCTGCAGTCAAATCCTGGTCGAACCAGTTACCATGTTCCCTTCTCTCTCTACGACATCTGTGTCATCGCCAACAACCAATCGCTCATAGTTTGCCCAGTACCTGAGGTAGCTCAATGGGTGGCCGGTGACCATATGCATGTGGCGATCGATGCTCTTCGACCGCCAATGGACCGTACGGACCCGGTTGTGCGTGCTCTGAGCTTACTCTCCGTATTCAATGAGTCTGGCGCTAAGAAGTCTCGTCAGTGACGAAAAAACCCCTCCGGAGGAATCGCTGATGCTAAGACAAGACGATTTCACCTCGTCTTCCTTCTCGAAGGCTGAAAGCCGCGGACCAGCAGCGACTGCGAGGGTGTCGATTTCGGACCCGGTGGCGCTGCTTCCCGCGATATCGGTTGCTACATAGGAAAAAGTGAGTGGTAGCATCCTTTCCACGTTCAGAGGCTCAGATATAGGCTACGATGAAGACTCTCGTCCCAGGGGCCAGCACAGTGCCAGTCAAAGTCCGAATTAGTAATGGCGCCTTCTTCCCTCAAAGGTTTGCCTATCTCTTGTAACTTCTCAAATTTCACCTGGAAAACGTTGAGATGACACGAGGTTCCTAGTGGTGGACGGATGCTATCCTGCTTCAATAGAGATCACTGTTCCGTGAAACGGACCCCGCAGTTTCTACGTTCGAGAGCTTAGATACCGTAGACACTATTTTGTTTCAATAGAGGCCACTATTCAGTGGAACGGATACCGCAGTTTCTACGTTCGAGAGCTTAAATACCGTGCGGCCGTCAATTATGCGTAGCACTACATTGCTCGGGTTCCCCGAGGACACTTACCCTCACTCACGACCATGTTGCACAGGCTCTCACTCGTGATATGCGCTCTACTGGGATGGTCCCTATGGCAGATCATGCTGTACTTGCGTATGCGCAGAGCGAGCAAGCTTCTGTACAGCTTACCGGGACCACCGTCGGCGTCGTTCTTGAGCGGTATGTCGTGAACGCGTCATTTACAGTACATTACCTCACTTATTATAGGCAACTTACGGCAATTCTTCGCCCGGAATGGTCTAGACTTCCATACTCATGTTGCGACGGATTACGGGTCAGTGGTCAAGCTCAACGGCTTCGTGGGCGTGCGTGCAACTATTCTTCATACCTGTTGTCCATCGGTGACGCTGATGCATCCATACAGTATCCGATGATCTACGTCTCCGACCCGAAAGCACTTCACACAATGTTGATCAAGGAGGAGCATATCTTCCAAGAAGCCGAAGACTCACTTACGTGCGCCCCCATGCGCTACTTCCCCGCATACCCCAACTGATAGCACATATTGGGTAACTTTAGGGTTAACTCGGCATTGTTCGGCACCAGCTTGGCCTCGACGCTCGGTACGTCGCAGCTCATATGCAATGAACGACAAAACATGATGTCCCCTCAGGTGGTCACCACGCAAAGCAACGTAAGCTCATAAACCCGGCATTCTCCGTCAACCACATGCGCGAGATGCTCCCATTGTTTTACGATGTGACTCGCAAGGTAGTACTTGCTTTCGACCACCGTGTCGCGCACTGAACCCCCCATCCTCGTAGCTCCGTGATGCAGTTGCCTCACGCATCACTGGCGAGCTGCAAGAAGTAGACATGTACAGCTGGCTGAGCCGTACGGCCCTTGAGCTCATCGGCCAGGGCGGTTTGGGCTACTCATTCGATCCTCTCGTCGAAGACTGCCAAGATGAATACGGTGATACCCTGAACCGCTTGACGTGCGCCGTTCCTCTTCTCTGTTGAATGTGTGCGCTGACGCCTACCCACACCTATATCGCGACTATAGGCCGAACCTCGACAGCCTCCTACTCTTTCGTAAGCTCGTTCCTTGGTCAACATGGCTTCCAACCTGGATGCGACGCGGATTTATGCAACTGTTCCCCGCCGGCTCTCCACCGCGTAACCTCGTTCACATCATCGACACGATGGACAGGCGGTCCAGGGAGATCTACACCGAGAAGAAACACGCGTTCGAGAATGGTGATGCGGAAGTGGTGAAGCAGGTCGGGAGTGGAAAGGACATCCTTAGTATCCTCAGTAGGTGGTTCAATCGTCGCAGCCTTTCGGGCACTCATGTATGACCGGCAGTGCGAGCCAACTCAGCGGCCGACGTGAACGACAGGCTTCCGGAAGAGGAGGTCATCTCGCAGATGAAGTGAGTCTTTCACAGTCATGGACCGAAGTCATCATGTTCATGACGACGCGTAGCTTGTTCATAGCAGCCGGGCAAAATACAACAACCAACGCAACAGCGCGCGCCCTACAAATTCTCGCAGAGAAACCCGCTTATCAAGCGCGACTGCGCAAGGAGCTATTGGAAGCACGGGCTGCGGACGGTCTGCTATACGACGAGTTGAACCACCTCCCGCTGCTTGACAGCATCATCCGCGAGACTCTACGACTGTAAGAGGTGTCCCGAGCATTCTGGACTCTGCCTGACTTCTGCTCAGCTACTCTCCCACAGTGGTTCTCCTCCGCGTGTAAGTGATCCCTTACTCAGTGTGTGCGCACCAGGAGAATTGAAGTAAACACAGAGCGACGGAGGACACTGTGCTGCCTGTTTCGGAGCCGATCCAGACTGTGGATGGGAAACAACTGAATGAGATACCTGTCCCAAAGGGTACAGAGTTTTTTATAGGCTCCCTTGGGTGTAACGCGAACAAACGTATCTGGGGAGAGGACGCCCTCGAGTGGAAGCCCGAACGCTGGCTACCTTCATTAGCCACCTCTGTCACGGACGCCCGTATCCCAGGCGCATACTCGAACCTGTGCGTCGCTTTGCAATTCAGCATGGAAGCGCCTCTAACTTGTGCACGCAGGATGACGTTCTTAGCAGGAAAGCGGGCGTGCATGTGCGTACCTTTATTCGACATGCAGCCATTCGTGAAACATAGCGCTGACAGGATGCACAGCGGGTTCAAGTTCGCCGAGATGGGGATGAGTGAGTGTTAATGTTGCTCGCCGCGATCTGCACTTGAACAAACAAACGACAGAGGTCCTATTGGCTATGCTTATCTCTCATTTCACCTTCGAGCTGAGCGAACAGCCGGTCGTGTGGAACGTTGCTGCTGTCGTGTACCCTTCAGTGGGGTACACGAGCTTGGACCCCGAACTTCCTATGAAGGTCAGCCTGTACGACGCAGAATTGCAATGATCGATATCCTACGGTACGCAAAGTCGTAATTGATGGGCGTGATTGCCTTTTAGCTGGTGGATACCTAGTCGGCGAGATTGCACTTCAAATGCCCACAGCAACTCCAAGGTTGGTTCTGATTCGGCTCGTGAGTAATGTGCGTGCATCATCAGGGATGTCATTTAAGAAGGGTTAATTATAGTTCATTAGTGAACCTAATCAGGATTAAAATGAGTTCCTTAAGAACTATGATTAGGTATTCATTCTGTTAATCATGGGCTTAGGGTGGTATGATTACCTCCATTAATCCATGTTGGCATGAAACCATATTATGATCCCAAATGAAGGCACTAGCCCTGACACAAAGGGCTAATTCTCTGCAAATCCCAGTCAATTTACACTGAATCATGGCATAATCCCAGTCATGATCATGCTTAACCAATTCATGACTCTTAATCCTAACATAATCCCATTATTTAGATATCATAATCATGGCATAACCTCAGTGTTGATCCTGCTGAAATGGGCATAATCATGACATATGTACAATCCTAAACATTCATTATCAAGCCCTAATCTCAGAGCTAATCTATGGCAGGCATCATGAATGTAATCATTAATTCAATGCTAATCCTGGCTGCTGATCCTGATATATTGATGTCAGATTAGTGCTGATTAGCCAGATAATCTGCAGAACAAATCACAGTGATCAGATCAATTAAAAAAATGTTGTGCAGAAGCCAGGACTGAACCAGCAACTTTTTGAAGCATTACATAATCACCTTATTGGGCAAAGAAGCATACAATATAACCACTGCACCATACTGTCTTGGTATGTCTGAGATGTTATTGATCTATGTCATGTTCTTCGATTGCTGGACTTAGACACATTTCTAGTGCCCTCCCATGATGCAGTCTAATCCTGATCAACCTGAGATTAGCAACCAATCAATCCTCACTAACCCATGAGGATTTGCAGAGATTAATCCTGAGGTAATGCTTCTTTGCCACATAAGACTGTGAACAGATCAAGTCCAGATTAGAGGTGGGATTAGATAGTCTTCCAACTGATTAACTTACTGCTAATCTGCAGTGTACAAACAGGATTAGGGTTCCACATTACTGAATCATGATTAAAAGTATTAAGTATAGCACATTGAAATCATCATTGAAACAGCAGATTATATTGGAAATAAATCTTTGCAAATCCTCATGGGTTAGTGAGGATTGATTGGTTGCTAATCTCAGGTTGATCAGGATTAGACTGCATCATGGGAGGGCACTAGAAATGTGTCTAAGTCCAGCAATCGAAGAACATGACATAGATCAATAACATCTCAGACATACCAAGACAGTATGGTGCAGTGGTTATATTGTATGCTTCTTTGCCCAATAAGGTGATTATGTAATGCTTCAAAAAGTCGCTGGTTCAGTCCTGGCTTCTGCACAACATTTTTTTAATTGATCTGATCACTGTGATTTGTTCTGCAGATTATCTGGCTAATCAGCACTAATCTGACATCAATATATCAGGATCAGCAGCCAGGATTAGCATTGAATTAATGATTACATTCATGATGCCTGCCATAGATTAGCTCTGAGATTAGGGCTTGATAATGAATGTTTAGGATTGTACATATGTCATGATTATGCCCATTTCAGCAGGATCAACACTGAGGTTATGCCATGATTATGATATCTAAATAATGGGATTATGTTAGGATTAAGAGTCATGAATTGGTTAAGCATGATCATGACTGGGATTATGCCATGATTCAGTGTAAATTGACTGGGATTTGCAGAGAATTAGCCCTTTGTGTCAGGGCTAGTGCCTTCATTTGGGATCATAATATGGTTTCATGCCAACATGGATTAATGGAGGTAATCATACCACCCTAAGCCCATGATTAACAGAATGAATACCTAATCATAGTTCTTAAGGAACTCATTTTAATCCTGATTAGGTTCACTAATGAACTATAATTAACCCTTCTTAAATGACGAAGACGGCATCATAGCATGCCTTAGACAATGTCGCGAGGCACCATCTCCTCGCCAGAAGGGAATTGAGCTGAGAGGGTCAGTACACAAGCTTGTACGTCGTACTACCGCCACACATTGGTCTCAATGTGCGTAGTGTTTGTTGTTACATGCTGGTTTTGTGGCGTTTACCCTCCTTGTTCGCCCAGTGACGGGGACTGCTCGCTACGTTTTTGGTCCTCATTGACCGTTCTATTCTCCTTATTCCAGTAGGCATATCGCTTCCTGGTGAGCAGGAAGAACCTATCACTAGACGGTGCCACAACACGCATCAAGGACTAGCTTTGATTGTATCAATGCGGGATCGAAACGGACCACTGACACGATTCGTATGAAACCAGGAATTGGTGGGACTTCTCAGGCTACTGGACAGTGACGTGCTCTGCTGGTCCATGTGTCCATGATGAGGCCCGTTTGCAAAGGCGAGCAGACCTTCAGTGCCACGTTGTGATGTACTGATCGAAAGCTTGTTTTCTAGCCTGTAAGTATTCAAGTTTACTACGCGCTGGTGCCAGACGCTCAAGATGTCGTTGGTGTTGGAATCCAGGTACGGGGTTCATCGGGAGTCGGAACGTGTCGCGGCCGAGAGAGTCGGCGGCGCGATGATGGCGCGATGTGCGCGCACGGACATTCTACGTACCTGAAAGATCGATTATCATTGTCACTAAATACCGCAGTCTGCCACGACGCACCTCAGTCTTTCCGCCTCGCACGAGAGACTGAGGTGAGTAACTTATTTTACATTTCTTTTGCTTGATACTGATGTACCGAAGACGTTCGTTATTCTCTCTTACTCTAGGTACATTCAATATAGTCTTTCCGCCTCGCACGAGAGACTGAGACGTTCGTTATTCTCTCTTACTCTAGCCTACTGCGTGCTTCAACCTTCAAAAGTTGGTAGGCGACTCGGATATCATTGTGGACTATATACATACAACGCCTCTTGGGGCGATGCCGTACTTGCATTCTGACATGCGCCGCAAGGGCACAGTAGTATGAAGACAACTGCGCGTGCATTTCATTGACTCGACCCACACGCAGCATATCAGCGCGCTCACGCAGTACCATGACCGATTGGCCGGACCTCTCCGTGAGTACACACTTCCTAAGCTTCTTCGTTGAAGCAGCAGCCATTCGCTGCGGGGGAGATGCTCCGCGATATTACGTTCAACATGCATTCTGACCACGTTGTAGAACCAGGCCTGTGAGCACGACCACCATCGTGTTGGACTTCGTATACCGCAACAATGTCGGCCCCGGCGTCTATCTGTCCATACTCGGTGGAAATAATCCTAGTCATAATAAAGTTAGCGTTCAGCGGTCCCGCGCGTCAATGGGAAGCTTTATGGCTACCGAGGCCATCAATGTCACCTGCGAAGCTACGTGCCCCTTCGCATTCGACATCATCCTCGCTGCCCATCGCCCACTCATGTATCCATTCGAGCGAACACCATCGCCCTCCTCTTCCGTGGTCCACAACGACATCACGCTGGAACTTAGACTCGAGGACCCCGCGATCAACCTCGAGGTCCTCTTGTTGGCCTGGGAAGAGCTGCATCCGTACAGCGTGGAGGCCGTAACCGCGCGTTGCCAAGATATGTTCGAGTTCGCTACCTCTCATCATTGCATGGTGTTCGCTGCCATACAACTCAAAATCACCAAGCCAATAGAGAGCACCGCAGACGGCGAGGAACTAGGTCGTAAAAGGCCCACACCTATCCCTGAGCCCGTCGAGGAGGTAGAAATGACGATCGAGACGATTGGCATCCTCTACCTCTGCACGACCGAGATGCAGCGCGAGTACAATGTCGGGCTCTCCCTTCTGGCCCCATGGCGCAACCTCGGCCACGCCTCTCAAGCGCTCACCGCCGCGCTCACTTATGCCTTCACAATCCTGTTGGCGCATCGCGTACAGGCGCTCATCATGGACGGACCATGCAGCGACGCAGCTCGCAGCACCTTCACCTGCCTCGGCTTCACCTGCGAAGGCACGCGCCGCCGCGCGGTCGTCAGCCCGGCCGAGGCCGGCTACCGCGATGTTGTCGCGATGGCCATGCTCGACACTGAATGGCACGTGCGCGAAGAGGGCGCGCACGGGCCACGCAGCGTATGGGACGAGATGTTCGTGCGACATCATCGCGAACAGGAGGACCTCCTGCAGTGGGAGGAGCGCCACAGGAGGCTGCGGCGCACCGCGAGCCAGGAGACGATCCGCGAGGGGGACGTTGAGCTCGCCTTCACGTCCGGCGCGCCGTCGCCCTCCGCCTCTTCCATTGATCTCACTCACGATGCCCATCCGTGTGTAGATCCCACGGCCCCTGCCCATCCGCGTGTAGATCCCACGGCCCCACTCGCAGACTCGGACGCAGACTCGGAGGGCCCGATCAGTGTGCCTTCGTCGCCTGTCTCGGCGTCGTCGACGGCGTCGTGGAGCGACCTGGACGTGTCCTCGGCACCGCGCCCAGCGCGAAACAGCAAGCGAAGGAAGGGGAAGGGGAAGGGGAAGGCGCGTGGGTCTGCGAACACTGCTGGCACGCGTGCGCCGCCCCAGAAGGATGAGTACGCGTCGGACACGAGCGCTTCGAGCTGGGACGTGATTTGAGCGAAGGCAGCTGTGTTTTTGGGCTCTGGCTTCGCGGGCGAAGCTGAAGTCTGATGGCAGCTTCGTGCGGTTCATCATGTCCATGTCCGAGTCGGGTCGGGCTCTGTGGATCGTGGCAGCGAGAGGGAGGTCAGGTGTTGCCCATATGGAGTGTACTGTGTGGGAACGTTCGCAGCTGCCAGTGTGGTCTTCGCATGCTGCTCAATAACAACCCGGTGTCTACGACGCAAGTGTACTACCATACCAACCACTGACCGCGAAACCAAAAGTCTTGTCTTGTATCACGCGTATGTAGCGATTGTTGTTTCTTGTACAGCTTGTGGAGGGAGATTGACCAAACGTCCTTACGGCGCATACTTGTTCTGCAACGATGATCCGTTGTACCACACATTAACATTAACTTCGCCCCAACGTGACACGCCGACTCACCTTGAGGTCGTCTGCTTCGGAATTAAAGATGTCTCTTTCAAGACTGTTTCTTGACGAAAGCCGCAATCTCTCCTAGGCTCTTCACGATCTGGAGAGGGCCAACGCCAGCTTCGGGCATAGGGATCTGATCCTTCCACCCTCCACCAGCGCGGTCAACCCAGATTGCGCCGAGCCCCGCAGCGCGTGCGCCGGTGACATCGAAGGGGTTCCTGCATCGAAGTGAGCGCACCGACCACGGAAGCAAACAAGGTCCATCCAGTCAAAATGAGCTGCGGTCGCGAGATCTTTAAATGGCCGCTCACCCGCTGACAAGCCAGACGTCGGGCGAGTCGCCTTGCGCCCCGGAAGCCTTGCTGAATGCCTTGCGAAGACCATCATAGATGGCTGTCGCTGGTTTGTACATCCTGACTGAGTCTGCGAGGTGCAATGGAAGGGGGAGGAGCGCCTCTGGCAGCGATGCATGCAAGGCCGTGGAGACCATCTGTTGACACAACGGTCGAGTCTATGCTAGGAATCTAGGAGCAAGCACTGACCTCCTCTGTGCCTATACAGACAAAGGTACAATTGAGTGTTGACACGTATGATTCGCTGTCCGAAATGGGTGGCACCAACCGTTGCTAAATATGACGACCTTGATGTTCGGGTTTTGACTCAGCTCCTTCAATGCCGGGACTGCATCCTCGAACCTGCATACCGTCGTCAGCAGTCAAAACTCAGCGCAGCGCTGGAGTACGGCTTCAAGGGAATTCCTTCCTCAACCCGAGCAGCATTGCATCCGAGATGTACCACATAGACATGGCGCTGGACAGTGTCACCACAACGAGCGCTTGAACACTTCGTCCGGCGGCGCAGTCTACCGTGAAGCCCGAACTTGTCAACTCACGGGAGAAGATGACTATAGTCGCTCATCAAGGCGGCGATCTCGCTGTCCGCAAGCTTGATGTCCATCTCCGCGGCTGCGTGGTTGAGGCTTGCCCTCGTGACATCGTCGAAAGGCTCGTAGAGACCTGTAACACGGTCCAGAGCAAAGCAACGAAACGATCATGCTGATCAGTCCACTGCGTTCGCACTCCTTTTTAGTTCTCACCCATCGAGTTCAAACGCCATGTGTACCTGTCATTGCAAGCGTTAGGACGAGACGATGAGTGAAATTGAAGGCGTCAGTACACGCACTCGAGCTGAAAGCGCCTCCACAGCTGACTGAGCTGAGTAGCCTTCTCGTCGTCTAGGCCGGCGTGGGTTTTGATCCCCGATATGATGCTGTTAGTGTTCAGGATGGTTCCGTAGATGTCGAACGCCAGCACATGAATGCCGGGTCTGTGTGCCATTGTAGACGTGCTATGCTATTCGGCAATATTGAGGTTTGATGAGTTTCCCATGAAACGCTCTATTTCAAGCCAGAAACATCCTTGTGCGAGCTCACCTGCTTCAGCAGACTGATGGAACTGCAAGATGTATGTAAAATGGATTTTGAAACCGGACGACATTATGAAGTAGATCAGCACAATTGCCAAGTATGGTATGTTGCGGAAATCGATGACGGCATGTCACGTGCGGGGTTCCGCGCGGGCCGAGACCGGTGTACTATCAGTCTCCTCCCATCCGAGATTCCGAACTCTGCGCTCTGCGCGCATATGCTGCGTACGCTGTAATGATGCCATCGGACATCGAGAACAGAATCACGACTATAGCTGCTAACAGCTAGCTGAGAGGCATCTGGTCGTCAAATTATACAAGCCGATATGTACCGTAGTCAGATCCTTGGAGAGAGTGCAATGAATGGCGCGGATGTCTCGATGGACTCTTAGTACATGGGGCAATGAGACAGTGACAACGCTGTGATGGAATATCTACACCTGAGCTAGATGAGACCATCAAATCAAGTGGACCCTTCCACGGCTTTGATATACATTCAGGTCACGGCACTAAGCTCAGACGCAACCTGCATACGCAGGCGCATGACCTACAGTGGTCCCGCTGACATGTCAGTATTTCCCTGAACAAGCTGTCGCGGGCATTGTGAGGACTCATGAGGGCTGAAACAGCGCTCCGCGACGCAAGCAACACGACTATAATACATGTCAGTTCGTTACGTGAAGCAGATTCTAATAGTAGAACATCGACCGCAGTCCGGACTCACCGCTGTCAGCCGTTCGAACTTGACAGATCCGTAGTAGGAAGAGCTCAGATTCCGTTCAACGCGATCTGGAGGCCTGATGCGGGTCTCCGCCGGTGCGTTTTGCTCCTGCTTCATATGGCGCTAGCCGCCCCCGGTATCTACATCGCAGTGTGGAGAGGAGATGGGCGTGGCGCCGGTTGCCGTAAGTCCTCGATCGTCAGGTAGATCACTCCCCGCTTGGTCTTCGGTAGCCGATGTAGTTCCGGGGCAATATCGTCCGGGACGCCCCAAATCCTCTACACAGCCCCTTTATAGAGGAGGTGCGTGCTGCAGTCAAGACCTACATCGTTGAGGGAGAATGTATTGTGTCCCCGTGGACCGAAGGCGATAGGTAGCCGTAGCAAAAGACTTGAAGAGGTCCACAGGGCTGAATGATTACGACTGCTCGATTCTCGATGCTAGCACAGAGAGACAACAGCACAGGAACCGTAACGGCCTGGAAGTGGACGGGTCCTGACTGATTATCGAGCGAGCGGTGCCATTCGGTGGCGATTCGAATGATTTTGCGATTTCGCAGTGATCCATGCGACGCAGGGTTTAGTCAAGACAGTGAAGAGCCACACAAACTAGATTTTCCCCTGTGAGCGAACAAACGTTACTGGCCGCCGAGATACTGAAGATCACCGCCCGTAGATCCAATGAGATGCCTTGTGAGAACGCATGCGCGCAGTGCGAACTACGCGCGTCGAGATGGCCTGTGCGTCCGCCGCTCACTTGCGACAAACCTGGAAAGCCGAGTCTTCGCCCGCAATCTAGAGACGTTGTTGTGAACACAGACAATCGAGCATATAGTTGATGGTGTTTATCCGCTCTAAACCTCTGCATCTGTTGTGGAACAGAGGCCCCCGCCGGCTAACATTATCCAGTGTATCGGTATCTTGTTGCTGAAACTTTTCACCCAAATGCAAGCAGCAGGAGTGGATATGATGAACTCACGACATGTATGGGGATCCTGATACCTTTACAACGGTGGCGTATCCAAGGAGGGTTGGGACGAAGACCAGTTCACAATAAGGTCGACCTAGCCTATTCTCGGATGTATGATGAGGGTCGACTTGTGTACCGTTACTTGACATTCCGGCGGAGCCAGCTCATGATTTACAGTTTCAGCCGAGGCAGAGATCCTGGGCTCGAGGGTGAGTATGAGCTGTATTTGAAATGAGTATGAGTTTGGTTGATGATACTAGTACCGTCTCTGGTGTCAGTCAGCGGCCTGATTATCCACGACACGAATGATGAACCCAGTGCGGAAGACGGCAGGCCGCGTTCGGCACAAAGCCGTTGTGAAGAGTTTTAGTGCGTGATTCCGTTGTAACAGTCTCGTCCAATCGTTGTGCCATTCGAGTTAGGCAGAGATACAGATTCTGACTTGGCAGCGAAACGGTTGCAACAAAGGGGACCTTGTTGTGAGATACTCTGAATACAAGAGCGGCGTCGTTATTGTCACTGTGGCATCCCGTCGGAAGTGAGCGAGCAGCGAAATCAGTCCAAATACGCTAGAAGGACTGGACGCCTCACCTGACTCGCGAGGCGGGCAACGATATGCTGTCAGCCTGAGGCTGCGCCGGGCGGGCCGGTATTGAGCTTATATTCGGATAACAAGGATATGTGGGAAAGCTGAGATCTAATTTGCGCGTACCTGCGCATGTCCATGCGGCTGCAGCCTTCAGATCAGAAAAGGGGAGACTGACCTATCACTTCACGGGATAAAAAGCCTGGAAGAGGTAAATAATCCCAAAATGGGAATGAGTGTGTGTGTGGGTCCCGTTTCTCACGCCCTAGCCGACCTCATGCGCGTGACATTGACCTTCCCTATCGTCCGACTCGTCGGAGAGAACGCACGGAGAACACAACGAAGAGTGCGGTTCACGCAGCCTGCCGCGTTCCATCAAATTGGGGTCCTCGATGCCGCCGCGCGGTGCGAAGGGGAAGAGGTTGCGAGCCTCGCGGCACCGCCGCATCACCCCCGCGTGATGCGTCTGACGCCTGGCCTACTGACCGCCGCCTAGGCGCAATCAAAATGAGAGGAAGTTATTCAAAATCCCCGGTATGCCGGAGCTCAGGGACGATCCGGCCCCACACCGTTCGCCCATCGACGGCTGTCGCAGCGAGGTCGGCTCACTGCGGATTAGGCATACGGAGCGAACAAGCCCTCGTCGGTGGTACACTTCACGGCCAACCTCCTCCTCTCAGACTCTGTCCAGGGCTTCTGCAAGGATGTTATGAAGCTTCCCCATAGGCTACGACTATCTTGCCAAAAGGCGCGCACTTCGCGGAAGGCGCCGAGCATGAGTACACAGCACGCGCATCGCCTGCCTCTTCCATCCGATGTTCTACTGCAGTTTGCAACTTCCAGATTTGCCTGAAAACTGCCTGCGAACCCCAGATCTGCGCTGCACATAGTGCGCCACAAACCGTGTACTCCATGAGGCATCAGCACAGCACGGTCGCAGTTACAAAAGCGATGCTCACGATCGTGCAGTAGAGAATGCACTCGTTAAGGCAGGTTTGTGAGTGTGTCAACGACGCCTGACACAAGAGAGGAAGATACGAGGTACTGATCGAAGAACATATCAACGCTAATCCTGCCTGAGACATTCGCACTCGGCCGTACTTTATTGTCATGGTTGTCTTATCCTCGCGGGCCCAAATCTGTTATTATGACTCGCTAGCGGCCCTTTTGTCATCTTCACGGAAGCTATCAATCGAGTAACAAGAGATCAATCTCACGAAGATGAAGGCTCGCCCTGTGCAGCCTCAACTCCGATGCCCGATATGGGTATCCTTCAAGAAGTGCGATGTCCTTGAGGCGAGACCACAGACGCTTGGAAGAGCGCTTACAGGACCCACAGTACGGACTGATATAATCCGCGAACTATCAGGGCAATGCTCGGACAGGACCCCCTTCGCCCGCCATGATGAGCGTCGCCGCAGAGGCTTCGCTACATTCCATAATATCCCAACTATCCCCACCTACGGCGGGCACCGATGATTACGACAACATAGTCGTGGGCGTGCACTCCGACGATGACAGCGTACTCATATACCCCAATGAACGAGACGCCTCTTTCGTTAGCCTGGTGAAGGCATCCCGCCCCCGAAGTGCCATCAAGGCACGCACACCAGCTGTCAAGGCTCTCTTGGCTGACATGTACGTCGCATCCTTGTGTTCACTCGACCTACTCTCAATTGTGGTATAGACAGCCTACTAGCGAGTCGTTCAATGTCGTCGACGACATCAACCTCCCTATCCTCAAATGCCTCCCATCGACGCCAGAGGAAGCGGTCGGGAGGTCTGCAGCGCTCATCGTCAGTCTTCGCTACCGAGTTAACGAGACAAGTGCTTACTTCGCCTTCTGAACGTGCAGCGCGACGAGTGTGCTCTGATCGTCTGGCTCGACGACCTCAACAGAGTCGCGCAGGGTTTCCTCGATATCGAGCACCGGCTCAGACACGCTGTGCACCTGTGCGAATGCATCTCTATGCCTTCGTCGGCGACACTGCGCTCCCTGAGCGAACCGGAGTCAGCTATTTCGCTAGCAGACGACTTCTTGTTTGCCCCTTACCATAGCTTCGACGACCCTCCCGCAAGTACACATCCGTACGACCTCCCAACGCTGGAGCTGCCCGAGCTGGATCTACCGTTCCGGCCCCTGGAGGCTGCGTCTTCGACTGAGGGCGACATCTTGAACGAGGATGACTCCATGACCGTCGGGTTGGCATCGGTATGTTCAAGCCCATGACGAGACGTTGAGGCAAATACTGATTCAGATGCAGATCGATGCCCAACCTAGACGGAACATGGTAGGGGTACGCCCTACCATATTCCATCCAGGTCTTGGATGCGAACTTGCGCCCTCCTCGCTATTGCCAGGCAACGTCTTCACGAGCAGATCTGAATACGCGAGGTCAGCGCCCTCTCACGAAACGGAACCTCAGACGATCTCGCCGAGCCTACTGCACTCGCCGCACAGTAGCTACTCCACCACGCTCTCGCCGGCATCGACCTCTGGTGAGCTGTTGACGCCCTGGTCTGCGGCTCCGAACACGCTGCCGGTATGGACCACCCCGTCGGAGCTGCAGATATCGCCGACGAGTACGATCGACGTCGCGTCCATCGCCCCGGCGCCAAAGATGCTCGACGCTGGGTCAAGCGATGCAGACCCACACTATCCTCGTGCCCAGTCCCCAAGGACGGTGTCGCCGTGCCCTGACGCCAGCACCGTACTCGGCCGCAAGCGCAAACGCGGCGCTGCAGAGACCACCGAGATCCCGATGGCCCGCGAGGTGAAGCCTCTGCCCAAGCGGCGTGCAAACCGCATGGCAGATGTTGCATCGCCCGCCGCACGACTATACCCTATGCCCGGTCGCACCATGCCTATGACTCGCAGTCGACGGGGCCGAACCGTCGAGGAACCGCCATCCGCCGGCCCATCTACAACGAGGCGAGCGGACGTCGACGATGGAGACGCAGAGTCGATGGACGACGCCCAGAGTGTTGGCGGCGATGTCAGCGACGGCGACGACGAGTACCGGCCCATCGATATGGTGGTTGTTGATGAGGACGATACCGACTACGAACCGAAGCCTAAAAAGGGCCGCGTAGACGCTGGCACAAGCGGGGAGACGAGGGCTGTGGCAGCCAGCTCGAAGAGGAGCGTGACCAAACGTTCGAAGAGGCGACGCGGGGCTGGCGCTTTGACGCCGGGTGGGTCGAGGAGGGGCAGGTTCCCCTGCCATCTGTGCGACAAGGTCTTGACTCGCAAGACGGACCTGGATCGTCATGTGGATACCCATCGTGAGCATGCCGACCGAGGAGTCTTGTGCGACGCATGCAGACATCACTATGCCCGCATGGACTCCTACAAGCGACATCTTCGCCCGGATGGGACATGTCCGAAGGCCAAGCAGGATGATCCTATCGACGTTGACGACGAGGGGGACCTGACCGAACCAGAGAGTGAGGAAGACGCGCCGTCCTCTTAACGCGGCCAACGGGCATCTGCATTGTGCCGGACTCCGACTGTAGGTGGTGTGCACGTATTAACTTATCCTTATCCTTAGCATTCTCGCATCGTCGTCGCTGTGCATGTTGTGTATCTGTTTTCGAACATTGTCTGTATTCGAACATTGTCTGTACATCGCTTGTATCTTGCTCTCGGATTGCTTTCGAATCGCTCTCAATCGCATTGTTCTCGGTGTTCTGTGCATCATACTCGTGTGTCACGCTCGCTGCCGCCGCAATCACACTGATCTAGCTCACCTCTATCAAGCCCACATCCCCGGTTTGCGGGAGTGATAACGCGAGGCTGTGATCCGTCCGACGATAGCTTCTTGTGCTGCACGCCTCTAGCGTCGCCCGGTCCAGGTAGCAGCACGCAAGGACAAGGAACAGGGTTGGCCTTTTGCAGATCTAGAACGTCCGGTCCGCCTTGTGACGCAGTAGGAAGGCGAAGATCGCGGGACATCTAGAGAGGCTCAGAACCACCATCTGCGGTCATCTGCGAGCACAATAAACACACATACTGTACAATGAGAACCGTGAACCACAAAGGAAGCACGGGCGCCCAGCATCCTCGCGCACGGATCCCACGAGCGTCCCTGCTTCTGCCCGACAATGCGGCGCACAGGCCGATGTACATGCACACAGCGATCGGGCAGCTGGTGCGGTCCAGTACTTAATTCTCCGCTCAGGACGGAACGAAGGCGTACATGCATCATGCGGGTTGACGGTGAATGAGGCACTGAGGTCTAGAATTCCTGGAACATGAGCGGTGAGGCTGCTTCGAGAAATGCAGCGATGAGATGATGCTCCGGTAAATTGCAGCGTGTCGCCCAAGGGAACCGAAAGGGTAGGCGTCGTGGATGGCAGGAGATGAGCACCAAGTCCCTAGATGCGCAGCCACGTGTATCGCGACGCATCGAGCTTCCCATGGTGTCGAAGGCGGACACTGTGAGTCCCTCGATCGGACTTTGATTGCTAAAAGCTGCCTCGAGGCAAGCAGTCCTTGATTACTATGGAGCGAGCGAGCGAGCCGTAGGTGGCCGTCCGTTCGCTCAAGGCAGGTCCAATACAGATCTTTGGCGATGTAATACCAGTACCTGCAACTACTCTGAGGTGAAGGCGATCTTGGAACGTACAGACGATGAACTCACCAGGTCAATTCAACGTCACGGAGATCGTCCTCGGCTCTCCTATCACTGGTTTTAGCGTACTTGGGTGGAAGAGGATAAAGGGTCCATGACGCGGAGCTTGCTGAAAAGTATACAATGCTACCACCACAACGAGACGTTCTTTCCTGCGGACGAGTGGAGACTGCTTGGGAAAAGCCGCTTCATCACCGGACGTACGCATTGCGAGGGCATCCGCACTCACTGAATGTCTGATGAATCACGACGACTTCATTGGTTCGGCGCGCATAGATGACCATATAGATGGATGTGTTTGCCGTTCCTCAAAATTCGCCCGCAGCGCTGGCCTCGCGCCCATGATTTGGCTTATCGACTTCGATCGCTACATCACTGCAGAAGGCAATGATTGAGGAAGTCAAGAGTTGACGCTGTAGGTCCGAATAGCTGCATTGCAAGCTCATCGGATACATGAGCTCATAGCATTGTACAGGGGCGCCTGTACGAGCGGAAAGGGCGAACGGAAGTCGGTCGCGTTCCCTGTAGTCGCTTAGACGTGCTTGAGGTCCGAAGATGACCGCACAAGCGCAGTCTGAGTGTACTGCCTCAAAAATGTAAGCTCCCAGCAAGGCATCGACTTCAGCGATCTATAACGGTGCCATACCGCTTGCTCCGTGCGCCATGCTTTTGAAGCCATCGTCTTGAATAGCGACTACTACAACGCAATAGCATGATACGAGACTGCGCATCTTCCGGGCCGCAGTGACAAGAAACCGGATGGATAGCGGGACGCAAAAGCCTCACGAACGTATATGCCTTTCACTCTCCGCATACGGGCATATTGAAAGAGCAAATGAACACTTGAAAGAGACGCGCCGAGAGTGGTAGAATTGATGGTCTCACAAACGATACAAATACAAGGGAGATTACCTATGTGAATTAAGTCAGACGTCGCAACCAGAGACAAAGTAGGGCCTACATACACAATGTACGAGAACGTTTTCACTTGTCTTTCTTCTTGACTATACGCACACCCGCGAGTGGCGTGTTCTTCTTCGGCAGGTCCATGTGACGTCCGATAGACGTTCCAGATGAAAAGGTCGTCGGGGATGGTGTAGGCTTTGCCATAGGCAACGACGGCAGATGGTGCTGAGGCTTCCTAGGCAGGACCGACTGTCGCCGAGATGGGGACGGTGGCCTAGCGGCGGCAGCAGATGCCGCCACAGGCTTGGGAGGCAGCGAAGGATGCACCGGCAACTTTGACTTTGACGCAGGCGACTCCGCCGCCGACTGCTCCAGTTCACGGAGTTTCGCCTCCATGCGCGCGATCTTCGCCTCCGTCCTATCCCAGAGCGACGCTCAGCTGTGATCAGGGTAACAGAGGGCGCAGTACTCACATATTTGCCCGGCCAGTAGACGCGCCCTTCAACATGCTGAGTGTCGTTGGCTTCCCAGCATCGTTCATCGTCCTCCTTGGTCTCGCACCGGAGTGTCCGCCTTGGTCGAGTGGCGCCTGGTGTGCATGGGTGATGACGAGCTTCCGGCCGCGCAGTAGCTTATCGTTCGCGCGTTCGAGTGCCTTCTCAGCTTCCTGCGTAAGAGACGCGAGCAAGTCAGCAAGGAGCTCTTGTTGCGTCTCGTAGCCGCCTCGACCCCGGGCTTCACTGTACCACCCAAGCATGGGATGGGTGACAATGGCGTGCGCATCATATGAGAAAGGAACCCGGGGTCAGCGAGCGGCCTCGTTCAATAGGTAGACAGGACGTACATTTGCATCGGCGAACTCGATGAAGGCGTATCCGCGCGGCTTCCCTTTCAGAGGGCCAGTCTTGTGGAACAGGAAGTCGAGCTTGGACACCTTGCCGAACTTCGTGAAGACTTGCAGAAGGGTATACCTTGCAATCGTCAGAGAGACGAGCCACAGATGGGTAAGACAACGCACTCATCAACGGTCGGGTGCAGGTTCCCGACATAGAGCCTTTCCTTCAATACCGGGCGTGGTCGTTCTTCGTGCGACGCTGAAGTCGACGCGACGGGTAGTTCTGGTGCTGGGTAAGATAGATGGCTAGCCAGCTCAGTCTTTTCTGGAGTGACCGACGAGCTGGATGGCGTCGGCGACGGGGTGGCCTGCGCTGGGGACATGGTGGTCGATGGGCAACTCGCATACGGTTACCCGCTAGTCCGAGGTTGAGCGCTTCGCGCCACACGCCTCAGCCACATCGCGTCTCGCGGCCATCGCCTTCGCTCTACCCCAATTATACGCTCAGTTCTCATCCTACGGTCTCGAGGACCATATATTCGGAATCTACGTGTCAAGACAAGTTCAAAGAAGTTGTCAGCAGAGCGGTAGCACCTCCCGTTCGCGCGCAAGACACCATAGAAGCCCGGACGAGCCTTCGCTGAAGCGTGGTGATATATACGGTGGGCGAAGAGCCATACACTTGTCATCCACACAACGGGCGCGGGGCCTCAGGCCTCAGATATAGCAGAGGGGTAGGGTGGTCCTAATACACGCAGTTTTCTGCATTTATTGGCACAGTGAGTCAGCATCCTATGTGGTATTGGTTTGATCCGGGGTGCTTGTCACGAATACACTGCCACTGTACTCGCAGGGCGCGTACCGGCGCTTAAATCAGTACGTTTGTACTGAACGCCTTTCTCGCTGCGTAACTCCTGGGAGCATCATTGGTATGAGTTCCTGCAATATGGCAGCCACCGAGTACCGAGGAGGCGAGGACACGGTGGACATCTCACTCACGTAGCGTTAACAGGCCAAAGTGTTGTTTTCAACCGCTCAGGCTTATCCTGGTGAGTGACAGAGTCTTCAGAGAGGTTTAACCACCGGTACCACAGACACTAGCAATTGCAGTCCGATAGCGGACACAGCGAGCATATTTCCATGCTCAATTACGCGAGTCGGTCAGACGTACTCGTGCGGACTATGAATCTTTGTGGGTCCCCCCCCACGTTTGGGCAAATCCTCCCTGCCTCAAGGTATCCTCGCCCAGGAATCTCCGGCCACACTCCTATCGATAATGCACGCCCCGCTCAACACAGCCTGACAGCCTAGGATGCAGGCGCCATCGCGGCTTCCCATGACCCAAGGACGCATATACAGAGCGTATGCGCATACCCGCACCCGCGAGCGTCGTCCGCCATGTCCGCATCCCCGCCCACCTCAGGCTCGACTCGGAGCACCTCGCAAGCAGTCGTGAGCGCAGAGAGCACGGAGTCCGCGCCTGTGAGGGATCCCCTGAGGAACAACATCAGCCCGCTCGTCACCGACGTCGTCGCAAACGGCCTCATCCTCCTCGAGGTCCTCCAGTCCGTATCGGGCCTCCTCCCCGCCCCGCCATTCCTCGACACCATCCTCAGCGTCGTCAAGTGGATCGTCAAGACCGTCCAGGTAACCATCCCATTCCCGCGGCATTCAATCACGAAGGCTGATTGGCGGCATTGCGACAGCGAGTCCGGCTGGACAAGAGCCGCGGGCTCCGCCTGATCAGGCGCGTCGAGAGGCTCGGCGAGGACCTCTGCGCGGCGGTCGCGTACGACCCCGAGAGCGTCGACGCGCTGATGGCCCGGCTCGTCGCGGGGCTGCTCAAGTGAGCTCTCCATCTCCGACCCATCCGTAGTGCGCGCCGCTGATGCGGAGCAGGGCGTTGCTGCAGGTGTACAAGCGGCTCGAGAAGTACCTGACGAAGGAGTTCGTGTACCGCTTCGTTCGGTATTCGAAGATCTCAGACGTCATTGACGGCGCGACGGAGACGCTCGACCAGGCGTGGAAGGTCTTCCAGGTGCAGTGTCGTTTTCGTTGACGATGACGCTGCCGGGCAAGTCGCTCATATGTCTGTGGCAGTTCGGCTCAAGCTTGTGTCTGGCGCAAAACGTGAGCAGGCACGGTTACAACCTCAAACGGCTCGCGATCTATGACGAGAAGCAGGTCAGCACCACCCCCGTCTTCCCACTACCTCGAGACTCACCACCACTGTCTTGTGCAGTACCGCCTCTTCCACCCGGGCGATATCGTATGCCACCGGAAGATCGGCGGGTGGCCAGACGACGAGAACCCGCTCGGCGAGGAATGGGAGGGGGTCTACCTCGAGAAGATCCCGTGCGAGGAGTGGGAGGACCTGCGCCATGAGCGGCATGTGCTCGTCCGCAAGTTCGACTCGGAGGAGCAGCCAGGCAAGGTACGAACCCCTCCGTGCATTCAGTCGCGTGGCCGCTGCTGATGTGGTCTGTACCGTTACGCAGGATAAACCGGACCCCGCGAAGTACGTGCACGCGCTGCCCGTCATGTACGTCGTCGCTTTCAACTCATCTCGCGGTGACGTGGTTGTCTGTGCGGTGGCTGAGTTGGACTCTGCACAGATGGCACCCGGACTACCCGCAGGTCCTGGGATACTCGCATCCCTTGTACGACGGCGAGAGGTACTACATCGTCGAGCCCCCTGCCCAGCAGAAGCCCGCGGGACCCGATTCGATCACTGTCGAGCTGCGAGTCGGGGGAAGCGCAAGTGCATGACGGAGATCGAGGCGACGACACCCTCGCGAGATGTTGAATTCGGTGTACACCGGGAACAGTGTGATATCGCATACTCATACAGGAATGGTACCGCAACATGTAGGTTCGCCCGACTACTGCTCAGCGCTCAGCAGCCGAATGCACCGTAGGCGATGAACACATACGAGAGCCAGACGGAGACCAATAGTTGCGATGCCGAAGCTCCTGCAGAACCTGTCGTGGCCTGGCATCAGTCCGCATTAATGTAGATGGTCTCGAGACAGTCATAACGCTTGCCGGCGTGCGCAAGGACGAGGGATATTTTTTGGGACCGCGAGCCTAGGTTGACACCGGAATTTCGGCATTCACGGCCCCACTGGACGACGAAAGGGTGCGACGGTGTGCATAAGCTGGCTGCCCCGCAGGGGTTTGTGCGGGCGTCGAGATTCAAAAACAAGCCAGCGCATAGTACTCTGGACCATCTTCGGACTGCGAGTCACAGTACCTGATCTTGACCTGACTCGACGTCTTCTGCTTCCGCTATACAGGCGTTACTTCATTGTGCTCAACGAAGGAACGTTGTGAGGCGTACCCTACAATGCCACGATGCACTACTATTGACCCGCAAGGCCCTCCAATTGGCAGCGAGCTTATCCATCGTGTTTTCCGCTCGCCGTCGCTCTCGATGCGTAGAGCGTACGAGCCCTGCCGTTTGGGATCTTGTATGCCTGCATAGTATATTAAGCATCGCCCAGTCATTTGCTAACCCGTCGTCTCGTCATCTGTCGTCCGTTCCGCGGTCTGCGACAACGTTGGTAGGCTGTGATGCTCCTCAGAAATGAATTAATAGAACGTGGTAGACCAGAGTGTGAGGTACGTGAGTGAGCTAGACACCTTGTAGGTAGTACATAGCGGGGGTGGACAAATCCAATACACAATTTCGAAAACTTGAGGAGAAACAACTTCATGCTCACAGCAACTCCTGACTGTGGAATATCACAGCAACGCCACACCGAGTCCCACACATTCAACCGGGCTGCATCTCGGGGTTTTGCAGTGAGGCATTCGCAGTGCGAATCGCAGGAAAGCGCATCCCCGGAAAGTGCTCAGTATTTGACTACCGACGTACTCCTGCACCGTCCCCATGCCATGAGAGCGAGGCGGTTGTAGGGGCTCATATCGCCGTTCTCGGCGTTCGAAATTGGGCGTGAGGGCCATATCCACCCAGTTGAGAAGTGATGCGGTTCGAATTGTCCCGGAGCGCTGTACAGCAGGCATTTGAACGGTCGAAGCAGTTCATAGACATCCCTGGCCCAAGCACACGGCGGCAGCCACAAACCCTCGCTTAGGGCATCGGCCAGGCGCGCGGTGCCACCGGCAGACGCCGCGCCACTGTACAGCTGCTCTCGGCACGGATCGGCACGAAACCTTGCCACACAGTCGTCGATACCCACGCAGCAGCCCCAGCAAGTCCGCCACCGTCCTCAGCAAGTCCCCCAGCAAAATGTCCAAGCGCGGTACGTCGCCCGTGCTGTTCTCCCCGCCGTGCAGTGCAGCTCATCGCGACCCCATGCAGGTTCTGGTGCATCTGGAAACAAGTTCCGTCTGACCCTCGGTCTCCCGACGGGCGCGGTCCTCAACTGCGCCGACAACAGCGGCGCGAAGTCGCTCTACGTGATCGAGGCGTACGGGACGGGCTCGCACCTCAACCGTCTCCCGGATGCCGGTGTCGGCGACATGGTCGTCGCATCTGTGAAGAAGGGAAAGCCCGAGCTCAGGAAGAAGAGTGCGTACTTCTGAATGGCTCGTTCGGATGGGTAGCAGCGGGCTGACAGGTTGTGCGTTCGCTAGCGATGCCCGTTGTTGTTGTCCGCCAGCGCAAGTCGTGGCGCCGGCGAGAGGGCCTCGTCCTGTACTTCGAGGTGCGTCGATCTGCCGTGGCGTCGTTCGCGTGGCTGACCCGGCTTGCAGGACAACGCTGGCGTGATTGTCAACCCCAAGGGTGAGATGAAGGGCTCGGCCATCACTGGCCCTGTAGCAAAAGAATGCGTACGTCCTTGGCCCTTTCGTGCCTTGTTCCCAGTGTCTGACGAGTATGCTTCCCGCATATAGGCGGATCTCTGGCCGCGTATTGCGTCGAACGCGGGTACTGTCGTATGATCTGTTTTCCTCTCTGTCTACCACCCACGCCCTGTATCGCATATTATGACTATGACCGCAATCCATGCTACGCTTCTTCATGGTCTCTGCACGGTCGATGTCGCGGCACACCACCGCGAGCTTACAGACTCACGGGCTTTGGACTCGGTGAACAGAGCAAGGATTGTCCGCGGTCACTCTCCCCCAGCTTGACGGACTGTTTGTACCCTCCTTTGACGGTAGCTCACTTGTCTTTACAGCGGCAAGATCATTTCTGTCGTCATCGACGTTCGCTCATCGCTTCGGGCGAGCTCCACTTCTGACCGCGCGCTCTGTGCATATAAGGCGGGCCTGCGCCGCCTGGACTGTCGAGTCTCCCCCTCGAACTTCGCCCTCACGGCAGCCTGAGTACGCGACCATATGAAATCCTCCACGTTCGACGATTAGGTGACCGCCTCTAAGGCGGCGGAGGCGTCTGCCACACTGGCAGCCATTGGCAAGGACTGGCGAGTCGCGACTGATTTTACTGGTCAGAGCTGTGTTAACTGCCAGTTCTACGTATACGTCACCTCTAAGTATCACTCACTCTGATCTGCAACGCGTTGGATGAGCCTCTAGTACATTCCGTTCCAAGTCGAGGGAACGCCACCGCCAGCGTCCGAGTCGTTGCGAGGTTTGGACATTTCCGGGCTACTAAAGTGAGTTCTGATTTCCTCGAAGGACAATTACATGCTCTTATATGCCTTTAGAAGTATCGTGTAGACCAGGACTTTCGATGACGAGCGACTCCATGTCGATGCGAGTGGAACCGACGCTGGACGTAGCCGCGCAGCAGGCCAGACCTGCAATCACAGTTGTGGCGCTACCCACAATTGACTCGGTCGAACTTAAACATGACAACCGCAATAGGACAACAAAAGACGAGAGTCAACATGGTCTCATTCTGTTGAGCCACTTCAGAGGTGTCCGTATGTTATTCCGAGCCTGTCACATTCGCTCACGTCCTGTACTACAGGCCCCATTCGATCGGCTCTCGAAAACCATCATATCAAGTCACCTGTGGACATGCTCGCACCGTCATTAGGTCCGTCCTACCTACTTGGTGGATAGAGTGTCATTCTAATCACGGCTCCTTTTCTTTTGTCCTCTGTGTCGAGAACCAGTGTGCCTATTCTCACGAAGTCGGGTCGTGTGTTTGTACCGCAGGTGAAGAATCAGATTCACATCTCCAGTTTTCTCGAGAGTATTGTAGGTGGGCAACTTGGCCCCCCGGTCCCCTCGCTCCCTCTAGGATGTTTCACACTGCGAGCGCAATGTTCGGCTTTCACAACCTCCAGTTCCCTATTACGCTCTCGACCGTGGGCTCGGGAAATGGCGCCCCTGTGTGGCGGTATGTAGTAGCTTACTCTCCGTTTCCACTCAACACAGGCGTATAGGACAACAAACTCATGGCTAGCGGTGTCTTCTCGGTGAGGTGGAAAGGCGTCAAGATCCTGCCCAACGGCGAGCATCAGTGCCGCCTGGGTTCGATTGGATCGGTGATTCATCACGCGCGATACAAGACGGACGGTGAATGAGGATCGATGTGGACCGCGAGACCATGCCGCTGTGCTGAGGTGGGTTGAGGTGCTAGCACTAGAGCGGAGGCGGGGTGCACCTGTTGCCCACCCTCTGTGTATTTCAGCCAGCCTTGGGGCATCCATCGACCACAGGTCCGCCGCCCGCGCATCGAAATATCATACCCAAGCCTCGAGGGACTGGGTTGATCCAGTGACTCGCGTCAAGCGACCTATGTGCCAAGGTAGGCACACACTATCTTGGACGCCGCAGTGGCTTACCGACACCATGCACCGCAAGTGGCGCATGTTTCCTCTGGAACTATGGGACCATGTCGTCGACTTTCTATGGACAGACCCGCCTACGCTCCTGAGCTGCGCTCTGACGTGCAAAGCATGGCTCCCTGCCAGTCAGCATCACCTACGGCGGCAAACCACCATGACCATCAGAAACGAGACTATGCTCAAATGCATAGCAAATGTTCTCTGCTCGAGAAGGTCCCGGCGACTCTTCGAGCTCGTCGAGACGGTCCGTGTCGTGGAGGATCCCACGAGACCGTTTGTCCGTACTGTCCCCTTCCGCTTGCCCGCAAGTGCATTGCCAGCCCTAACAAGGATCGTGATGGAAAACATCTGCTGGATGATTCCGGCGCAGGAACCTCATCATCAATTCTTCGAGTCCTTGTCGGTATTGGCGCGTGCTCATGAGAAAGGGGCCGGCGCCATAGAGCTTGTACAATGTCGATTTCGGCGCGTGCATGCCTACGCTCGTCGGCTGGAATCACGATAACATTACCAATGGATGAAGACGCAGTATGTTACGAGTATATGTACATGACGTTCTCAACATATGACCAGTACTGAACCGAATGTATTCAAACGCTGTTGAACAGCGACACCAAATTCCTGAGTGGTTATCATATGCTCCCTGCTGTAGGTTGTGACGTCAACACGTATACCCACGCATTCCAGTTGTCTCTGAGAGGAACGGGGTTCATATGCACCGCCTTTTCATGCGATGTAAGCAGAGGGGGATTCTCGACCGGAGGATCAAATAGAGATGGCTGTTCGATGTTGAGATCGACGTAGCATGTAGCCACGAAAATCTTGAGGAATCCAACAGCCGCATAGGGATGGGCTCCTGGATGAGCGAAGCGTAGTTCGTCAATACCGCTACCTCCGTAGCCAATGCGCAAGTGGCCGCCATTCGCAGACAGGGGTGCTTCGCCGGTCTTCCAAGGGGGCGAATACCAGTTCTGTGCGAAACGTTGTCAACTTTGGAGGTCGAAATGAAGAATGGTGCACGACTCACCTGAATAGCGTAAGTGTGAGGATCAAAGAAGAACACATAAGGGAATAGATCGACGCCCGAATGATTCACCAAGGTGAAGCCATAACGATGATCAAAATTCGTGATCACCGCTTGCTGCACAGACCTTGGGATGCTGAAGGTCGAGTGCGCCTGTCTCGACACTCTTCGTTCGCCATCACGTTCAGGATAGTAGACAGTGTCATCGTGGTGATGAACCGCCAGTGCTATGCCCTCTACGAGGCGGAGGCCGACCTCGTAGTGACGATTGATCTTCAGTGCGTCACAGAACGTCTCGATGGTTTCCTGCAGGGCGTGGAGTTGCACGGTGAGATGGATTTGCTTGTCCACATCGGCAACATTGAACCGGTACAAGTGGAAATTGAACTGGGAAATCGCGTCAAGCACGTAAGACGCATTTCGTGCGCCGTGCGGCACGATGTCCAATGCGCGACTGCCGGTGCAGAAATGCGCCACCAATGGGTCAAGCCTCTCGACCCGCCAGCCACTAGATGAACTCTGAATGAGCCTATCTAGCGTCAGATCAGGAACGATCCTATCGTCGGTCCTAATGCGATAGAGGGTGCTAGCGGAGGATGAATTGCGGGGAAGACCTTGGATGACGTCGGGACTCCGGACATACACGTTAGTCGCGAGGGTATCAGGCTGGTGCCAATCCGTGACGACGACCCGTTCACGATTGGAGGAATTGAGAAGCGCGCCGGCAATGTTCGGGCACCGTACCTCGCAGGTCAAGGGTCGTACGTTCGTCGCGTCTAGAGCGATGTTGGGTGTCTGCGAGTCTGCCGTGATCCGAGGTATACCGAATTGCGTGCCCTCTGCAATGCCGTGCAACGTCCCAGCTAGAACCTGCCAGGTAGACCCCACCTTCTCCATTATAAAGGAATCGGGTATGTCTGGTAGTCGACGCGTGCTGAAGAGCACTCTGTCTTTGTGGATACCGTCGCATTGGGGATGTTGGCTTGCGAGAGAGAGGATAGAAGGGAAGAGGGAGGACGATGAGGGAGCGGGGCCTGCAGGTCGCGAAAGTTCCTCCATCAAGCGCGAATAGGTGATGTTCTTCAACCCCTCCCTCCCCAGATCGCGCAGCATGGTGATGAGGTTGGCGGAGAATACCCCCCGGACGTCCTGGCGCATGCCGTTGGTGGACTTGTAGTGGCAAAGCTCCTCCTTTGCTTGCTCTGTGGAGCGACAAGCGGCCAACAGGACGTGTGTTGCCATGGCCTTCAAGTTGTATGTAGCCCGTGATGAGGACTGCGAGAGCATATCACGAGCTGACCCGGAAACATGATCCCATATCTCCCTATCCAGCTCCCAGGGAACGGGTATGGTGCATACCGGGGCTGACCTGACTGTACAATCGGAGGGTGATCTGACTGGCCTCAAGTTGTTATTCTCGATCTTGACTTGGTCTAGATCCCTGGACATTCCACCAGAGTGACAACAATCGAGAATGACAGTCTGTCCGTGTCCATGAGGTTTTAGCCGCGCCCATCGAAGAGAAATATAAGAACGCACAATGTTGTCGCTTTTGCGGGATGCTAATCTGTGCATGAGCCCACTGAGCGTTCGATCGGGGATTCCCCACTTGGCTTCGTTGTGATCCTCGGTCAGGTAATCGTAGGGACATATGAGCTCTATGCGGTCGTGTTCGGTAGACCAAACATCTGATGCGCGACCATAGCTACCGTGTCCAGAGAAAAAGAACACGAGAGCGTCGCCATCCTGAATTTCTCGGTTCTCCAGGAGATGCTTTTTGAACGCGTCGATGATGGCATAGCGAGTGGCCTCTGCATTGCAGAGCGTCATGATCCTCTGATCCGGTACGCGTGAAACGTCCTTCAGGAAAGCTTCGAATTCTCGTGCATCATTTGCACATCCCGACAGGTTATGGACCCTGGCGGACCGATACACGTCGACGGCAACAATGAGCGCAAATATGCGCGGGTTGTGTTCGATCCCGTTGCGATCATCGTCGGAGTCCACAGTATCGTGATTGTCGTTCACAACAGGTAGATTCCCGGATTGTGAACTAGATGGGAGATCAGCGGATGTCTGTGCGTGAATTGGATGAGGCTTACTTGAACTCTGAGTTGTAGCCACTATCCGGAGTGGTCGTCCTGGGTATGTCGATCTCGCGACTACTTCAAATGACGGATGAGTTACGTCGAGGCTGACAGAACAGTGGGGATGGTCGCTCACCTCTCTCCATCGCCGCTCGCCACGGTGTTCTGCTCATGCACAGAGAGGGTTCTTATCTCAGATTCTAGAGTGTCGACACTGGCTTGAATCCGTAAGCAACACCTCAGATGAACGGGTCTTGGCAAAAATCTCTTACCAGCTGCGCTCAAAAGCAGACAATATATCGAGACCTGTCATGTTGGAACGTCGTCGAAGCGCAGGCTCTGGTAGGATTGTAGGGAGAGGCGGCAAGGCTGGAGAACTCACCAGCATTCGCAGGGTCTGTTATATTGTCCATGCGAATCGACGAACCCCGAGGTCTCTCGGAAGAGCATAGTACGGTTCATTTGACAGGTACTTCCATGCGTCTTCCGACTATCCTATCGCTCCTAGCTTAGCCTCTTCAGGGTTCTTTTAGCCCAGCCCAAAGCACGTTTGATGAACCGCAGAGACACACGGGCTCTGAATGCATGACATCAGCCGCCCTACTACCGTACTCCAGTGCGTAGTCGTGTGGCCTGCTGTAGCTGGACACGTCAAGTGTGGTCTTGACGTGACGGGGATGCCCGCAGTGTTACGGACGCACTGTGAAGTTCCAACCGGATCAAACTTTAGGGCTGGTGAGTCAACAAATGCATGACTGACCCAAATATCGCGGCGACATTGAGCTTATAGTAGCGTCATGGTCGATGTCCTGCATTTGAAAGCTGTGTTCATAACTGTTCAGCGGCAAGCTCAAAGTCTGCAAAAGTGTACATACACAACAGTGCCGCCTAACGGGAGAAAGGTGCACACAATCGCAGGCTCGCTGATAGGAAGGGCCTGTACGTCACGTCCTAGGAAGAGCCTTGCTGCGATGCAGTCTCTGCAGGTGACTCGACTCAGCCTGGAAAACTGAAATGTAAGCGATCACTATTACACCCGTCGGCGAATTGCTTCGAATAGCTGTGGCAGTGTGGCCGCATACTCGAATGAAGCCTTCTTGGGAGAGCGGCAGGAATGTCATAGTAGCGCCAGGATCCGCAAGGTAGAAGCTTTCCAGAACAGTGGAGGGCACATTCTCTGATCCAACTGCGACCGTTCTGAATGAGCAGTCATTGACTCATGGGCGCGGGCCCGGATTCTAGACAACACCACAGGCTATGTTTCAGTATCCGCCCGCCGCCCTCTAAGAAGTCTGTTACCTTGTGGTTTCCTTGTTCCACTATTTTTTCCTGATACATATATTCTGTGCCTCAGCACCGCAGACGACGCACGCCACACTGCCCGGGCGCGGTGGCGTACAGCCTACGTGTCCCACTCGCGAAGGCTGGCCTAAGCAACAGAGTTCAACTCTATTCAACTCTATTCAGAAGGCATAATCTACGCACATGCTCAGGCAATCCCTGCACCCAGTCTCGTCGCTCGCTAAGACCCGGTAAGAGGAGTACGACCTGGCTTGTTTGGGAGGGGCAAATGGAGGATGACGGTCGTACAAGTGCGTATAAGCGCCCGTGAGATCGGCTTTACTGTAGACATCCCTTTGGGCCCTTTGGTGTCGCCGCCTCATCGTACGAGTCATCTCACACGGCGCAACCACTCCCTGGATGTTCATGAACATGCAGGATACAATGGCATTGATATTCGTTACAGCTATTTCGTACACTCGACAATGAACGAGGGGGATCTCATGACGTAGCCCGACTCTACCAACCGCAGAAGCTCAGAAGCGCGATCTATGCAGTGGCGAATGCCTGAAAGCGGATGGCCGCAGATGCAGGCGCCACCTTGAGCGGCGGGACACCCGGAGCCAAGCCGATGCCGGTCGCGATGCGGTCAGACAGGGTCTGGTCGACAGTGGCGAAGTACGAGACTTTGGGAGTGGGGCACATCAATGATACGGAACACGAAAATATATGAATAACACGTACGTGTACGAGTCTTGACCTCCTTGCTCTTCGCGTTCTTCAGGTGCACAACGATGTTGTGAACCAGGTGGTCCCGGTCAGTGTCGTTGAACACCTTGAGCCAGAGGGCGCGAGGTTGCTCGAAGTCGACTAGAGAACACACGGAAACGCGTGAACGGAGATCTTTGGCGATACGATGGGAATGTACTCACGCTCCGTCACGAAGCTTAGGTCCGTGTTGGCGTGGCCGAGCCAGATCTCGTGCTTCACGTTCTCGTATGACTTGGGCTTGTACCTGCAGACCAGTGCTATCAGCCGCCTAGGTCAGATGGGTACGCAGGTGACACTTACTTGAGCGGCACAAGGCTGCTCTGGTAGTTCGGGCGAGCACCCTGACTGATGAAGGTCATCGCACCAGCGCGCTGGAAGTTGGCGACCGGAGCAACGGGCGCGTTAACCGGCAGCTGGTTGTAGTTCACACCGAGACGATGTCTGGAGGTGAGAAATCGAAGGGCGTTAGCGTCCACATTGTCAGACAAAACGGTCATGGTTCCCACTGACCTGTGGGTGTCGGGGTAAGAGAAGAGACGAGACTGCAGGACAGGGTCGGCCGACGCCTCGATTCCCGGCACGGTATGCGATGGCGAGAACGCAGCCTGCTCAATCTCGGCGAAGTAGTTTTGCGGGTTCTCGTTGAGAACGAGCTTGCCGAACGGCCGGAGCGGGAACTCCTTGTGTGGCCAAACCTTCGTCAGGTCCAGGATGTTGTAGCGGAACTTCTCAGCCTGCTCCGGGGTCATGGTTTGCTATACGGCGCCCGATGTCAGACGTTGCCACATAGATAGTGCTTGGGAACCAAGGCACTTACCACGTGCACGGTCCAGGACGGGTAGTTGCCCTCCTCGATCGCCTCGAACAGGGACTGAATACCGTAGTCAGGGTTCTCACCGGCAATGCGGCCAGCCTCCTGCTCCGTCAGCGACTTCGCACCACCATCCTTCCTGAAGTGAATCTGGACGTAGTGGAACTTGCCCTCCTTGTTGACGAACTTGTAGGTGTGGCCAGAGTAGCCGTGCATGTTGTGGTAGCCATCCGGGTGCCCACGGTCAGAGAAGAGGGTCATGACCTGGTGGATCGACTCAGGGTTGAGCGACAGGTAGTCCTACAAGAGAGGTCAGCAACCATGGTATCAGCACAAGCCCGCGACATACCCAGAACATGTCCGCATCCTTGAGGTGAGTCTGGGGGTCACGCTTCTGGGTGTGGATGAAGTGCGGGAACTTGGCGGGGTCCCTGATGAAGAAGACAGGGGTGTTGTTGAAGACCCAGTCAAGGTTGCCCTCGTCCGTCTTGATCTTGATTGCGAAGCCTAAGGACACACCAGCATCAGATACAGCCAATGCAGCCACTCCGCACAGCTTACCTCGGGGATCACGGGCAGTGTCCGGAGAGCCGGACTCACCGCCGACGGTTGAGAACCGAGCGGTCGCCCTCGCCTTGTTGCCCACCTTCGAGAAGATAGACGCGGAGCTGAGGTCGGTGATGTCGTGCGTGACCTCGAAGTAACCGTGCGCACCGGCACCCTTGGCGTGCACGACACGCTCTATACCGCGAAACGATCAGCGCATCGTCGGTGTAATCCCGCTGCACAGGTACGCACCAGGGATACGCTCGCGGTCGAAGTGGGCGAGCAGGTCGATGTGGTGGAAGTCTGTTTCGCTCGCGGTGAGCTCGTTGCATGACGATACGAACAAAATGTTGGCGCACCCTGGATAAGGAGACCACCGTGGACACCGACGCGCTGGGCAGCGTACGGCTCCGCTACGGGCGCGCCTGTCGAGGTGGTGTAGACAGCATTGTCCTGGCTTGCAAAGACTTGCTTGGAAGGCATACTGAACGGTTTCTCTTCTCAACGCGATATACGAGGGCGCGATCTCTATAGGAAGAGGAGAGGCTGGAGAGGGTGGGAGAGCGACAGGGGGCTATTTAAATTGCGGCGGCCTGCGTCGAGCGTTCTCCCACCGAAGCGTGATCTTCTGTGCGCGCGAATGCCAGGGAATCATGTCAGCTGTTCGTGAACACGCTTTCTGGCTCGACTGGCCCCTTTGCGGGATTGACTAAGTCGCGTCTGTGACCTGCTGAACACGGTCACGTGTCCCTGATTCAGCAGCCTGTCGCAGCGGGACGAATTGTAAACGACTCACTCAGCCCCTTCCCCGACATTCGTTTCCTCCGTGACTTCGCATGTGCCAATCCATAGTCCAGACGGGGCAACCTACAAGCGCTCTCCCGAGTGGCTGAAACCGGGTCTCCGAAAGGTCAGGATGCTCTTCCTGATCTACGAAGCCAGCGGCCGGCGGTCGCGTTAACGCCCTCTGTCAGCGAACTGTTGAGATTGCGAATGGTGAACAATGATCCATCCAAACCGTAAAGGGACCGCTGACACGCCTGGTCCGCCGTGCACGCGTGAGGGCAGAGGGGGGAAGCCGGACCTGCCAGCACGTCAGTCGGCAAGACCGGGCGGGAGCAGTGAGAGAAGTGGAGGACTCACAATGGAGCAAAGACATTGATGGTGCATAATGCACTGCACTTCTGTGAAGGCCAAAGAAGACGGGTGGACTAACGCAGACATCGACCGGTCAGATCGATCTCCATGCTTGGTTTCGTTTCCCCCCGGCCAACCATCGTCCAGCTGACTGTCAGCGGATGCGCACCGGCCTGGTCCACCCGACTAGCAGCAGAGCTCCAAGAACTAGCCGGGTCTGCGACGAAGAGTCGGAAGACTGCACAGGTGCATCGGCGCTAATTCGATCATGAGACCCGCTCGATGGCTGCGTCCCTCAAGGGCCGGAACAACTAGGACGTGCACATCTTCATGGGAACACCTGCGCCGAAGTGTCGAACAGAGAGAATGCACCACGTTCCATCGATAGTAGGAGGTCTAGGAGCAGCGGAACGTGCAGGTGCGCGGCTAGGAGCCCGAGGCGGCCCCCGCCAGAACCAGCCGCGGTGCGTAATCTGCTATTGTGCAGCACGACTCCTGGCACGACTCAGCCGCTCCGTATCACGACATTCTCCGAGAGTGAAGCATGTGAGTTACCAAACTGACCAAAGCAAGCGCAGCAGGACGCTTCGCCCTAGGAAGGAGTCGGAGACGCGGACCAGGTCTACTTGCAGAAAACTCTTGGCACCGCTTAAGTTGCGAGTAGGTACGGGACAGTACGGCAGATCCGCTGCTAGAAAAAGACCAAGGATAGATACGGTGGGAGCAAAGGTCTTGCCCTGTGAAAGTGACGTGTCGACCGAGGGCTGGCTTCGACGGCACTTGGTCCGTGGTCGACGTGGCTTCCAAGCTTCGCAGCATCTACTTCCAGTTGTTGGAGCAGGAAGAGAGCTATGCCGTCGCAGATGGACGGGATTGAGGATGAAGCGAACCTATGAAGGACGCATGGCATTGTGCTCTCTCACGTACGTGTCGCTACAGAAGAGTGTTTAGGGCATCTCCCGTTAAGTGGACTGTCATGATTTGGATACGAAAGTATTGAGCAAGCATTCAAACCTCAGTAGGCGTCGATACTCACCAACCCATACTGTGAGCAGCTCACAGAGATCCGACAATAGAACAGGATCGGGGGAGCAATACAAGACTAAAATTGATGTGATCCCCACGGTAGCCAGAGAAGCAACCACAAACTCCTTTCTGCGGAGGTCCGAGCATCTGAAAGCATACCGTGCATTGACGATCTACTGGCTCGCGCCGTTTTCGACACGCACGCGACCAAAGCTTTGTGACTTGTTGCCGCAGTGAGGCGATCAATTATCGGTGCCAGCTATGCTCGCTGCCACGCTAGGATGAAGACACGATCCGCGGCGAAATGGACCAGAATGACACTGAATTGGCTGGTCAGTTGAGGCAGCGTACATCGCAGGTGTGAAGGGCCCCTCGCACGAAACGTCACTCACCCGGTACCTACAGCTGGTCTCCTAGTGCGCCCATCGACGTTCTACGTCAGTCGATCCGTTTGTAGCATTGCCAGCTACTCCTCAATTGCAGAGCCTGAAGGCAGTGAGGAGAGTCTAGTCGACAGAAGCTGAACGATAATCGAGGTTGAAGCTGAAGGACTCAGGCAGCCACTCAGTACTCAGCGCTCAGCGCTCGGCCAACGACTCTGAATATGCACGTGATCCCATTTTTCACGGAGCGTTCGTACTCACTGGCCGTCTCTTGCATTGCGACTCTGCGAGCTACTGCCACCTCCTGCCTGACTGAGACCATTCTGTTATACTCTCTGTTGCGGCCATGAGCTCGAACGACTTGTTCTCGTTTCTGGACGAGGCCCCTACCGAAGATGTGCCCATGGACGCGACAAATGGTCATCCAGACGGGCGGAAGCGCAAGGCAGAGTCTCCAGCACAAGCAAGATCTCCTTCTCCAGCCGCTCATATCCAGGGAGCAGATGGGGAACAAGAAGAAGGTCCTCCGATGAAGAAGCCCAGGGTGGCTTCGCCAAAACCTATGGTAGTGGACGAGGTCGAAATTGAGGCGAGGCGAGAAGTTGCTGCGAGCGCGGGTCTGACAGGCAGCACGGAGGCTGGGTCCCGTCTTGAGCTTAAACATCAGGTAAGAGCATCTATCGAGACAAGGATTCTGGTCGGGGAATATGAATAGGCTGAGATGTGGCGAGAGGACATCTTGCATGCAGCGGACGCGTAAGTCAGCTTCAGGCTGTGTTGCGACGATACGTGGACGGCTGAGGCGTCCGGACAGGATTAGGCCTTGCGCGGCTGGAGGAACCATGTCTGGATATTGATACAGGTCTCCGTCCGCACGAACGTCGATCTTGTCCGGATAGCATTACGCATACCCCCCTCAAAAGGCCGCAATTTGTTCGGATTGAAATCATGCCTCTCCCCCAATTGATAGGGTTCCTGTGGCGGGCGTACTTCTGTCTGAAGTCGTAAAGTCTTCGCTTTCGTCCACAGCCTCGATTCTTCGCCGGAACGCTTGTCATCCAAGTAGCCGCAGACACTAAGCTTGTAACTGTAGGTCCGGCATCAAGTCGCGGTGCCTCCCGGATATCCATACGTGCCAATAGCAAACCATGTACCCCCAGCGAAACCGGCACGGGAATACAAGTTCGTCCTGGATCCCTTTCAGCAAGTCTCGGTCCATGCTATCCAGAGGAATGAGAGTGTCCTGGTCTCCGCCCATACCAGTGCTGGAAAGACCGTTGTGGCGGAGTATGCTATCGCACAGTGTCTTCAAAACAAGCAGCGTGTCATCTACACGAGTCCCATCAAGGCTAGTAGTCGCGTCCCTGTACCGTACCTTCACGTCCCAATGAAAGGCTTTTCAGGCGTTGAGTAACCAGAAGTACCGTGAAATGTTGGCTGAGTTCGGCGACGTCGGCCTGATGACTGGAGACGTGACGATCAACCCTTCAGCAACATGTCTGGTCATGACAACAGAGGTACGTCGCTGCGCTCAACGACTGGTCGTGATATTCATGTCGTACACAGATTCTACGATCTATGCTCTACCGCGGCTCCGAGATCATGCGTGAAGTGGCATGGGTCATTTTCGATGAAATTCACTACATGCGAGACAAGGAGCGTGGTGTCGTCTGGGAGGAGACCATCATCCTTCTCCCACACTCCGTACGCTACGTTTTCCTGTCTGCTACGATCCCAAACGCCATGCAGTTCGCGGAGTGGATTTGCAAGTCGCACGAACAACCCTGTCACGTCGTGTACACCGACTTCCGACCAACGCCACTGCAACACTACTTGTTCCCCGCGGGCGGCGAGGGCATTTACCTGGTGCTAAATGAGAAGGGCGAATTCCGAGAGGATAACTTCAGCAAGGCTATGGGCATGCTGCAGGAGAGACAGGGCGACGACCCGGCGGACCCGAAGAGTGGGAAGGGTCGCAAGGGGAAATCGAAGAAGGGCGGCGAGAAGAAAGGTGGGAGAGATCGCGCCGGGTCCGTGCACCTGCTAACGTCCCCCAGGCTCCTCGGACATCCAGAAAATCGTCAAGATGATCATGCTGAAGAACTACAACCCCGTCATCGTCTTCGCCTTCAGCAAGCGCGAGTGCGAGGGCCTCGCGCTGACGATGTCCAAGATGGAGTTCAACACGACGGACGAGCAGGACCTGGTCACGAACATCTTCAACAACGCGATCGACAACCTCGCGGAGGACGACCGCAAGCTCCCGCAAATATCGAACCTGCTGCCGCTCCTCAAGCGGGGCATTGGCATCCACCACGGAGGGCTCCTCCCCATCTTGAAGGAGGTCATAGAAATCCTCTTTCAGGAGGGTCTCATCAAGGTGCTCTTCGCGACGGAGACATTCTCTATCGGTCTCAACATGCCCGCAAAGACGGTCGTCTTCACCGCCGCACGGAAATTCGACGGACGCGAGTTCCGCAACCTGTCGTCCGGCGAGTACATCCAGATGTCCGGACGCGCGGGTCGGCGTGGCCTGGACGACCGCGGTGTTGTGATCATGATGTGCGACGAAAAGCTCGAGCCAGCCGGAGCGAAGGAGATGATCAAGGGCGAGGCGGACCGCCTCGACTCCGCGTTCCACCTCGGCTACAACATGGTGCTGAACCTGATGAAGGTGGAGGGCATCAGCCCCGAGTACATGCTCGAGCGGTGTTTCTTCCAGTTCCAGAGCAGCATGGGAGTGCCGCTGCTCGAAGACGGTTAGTGCCGCTACCAACTGCCGCGCGTGGTGATACGACTGCTGATACGTGCGTGCATGACAGAGCTTCGGCGTGAAGAAGAGCGGAAGCAGTCGATAGTCGTCCCTGACGAGGAGCGCGTCGCGGAATATTACGAGTACCGCCAGCAGCTCGACCAGATGGGCCAGGACTTCCGGGACGTCATTACGCACCCAAGCTACAGCCTCCCGTTCTTCCAGCCCGGCCGCCTGGCGCACATCAAGTATAAAGACGTCGACTTCGGTTGGGGCGCTATCGTCAACTATCAGAAGCGCCTGCCGGCGAAGGTTCGTGACTGCGTTGTCATACTGCACCGTGCGCGGCGGCCATGGCTAACGTTTGTCATGCCAGAACGTGCCCGTCGCGGGATTGGACGACGTCCCCCCGCACGAACAGTACATCCTTGACGTCGTGCTCAGTTGTGCCGAGAGTTCGTCATTGCCGAAGGACCGGAACATCACCGTTGCGACCCCCGGTGGAGTACAGCCGTGTATGAAGGGCCAGAAGGGCACCCCGCTCGTTGTCCCTGTGTTCCTCTCGACTGTGAAAGCGATCAGCCGCTTGCGTATCAGCCTCCCGAAAGACTTACGCCCTGTCAACGCCCGTGAAACCGTGCAGAAGACCGTGCAAGAGGTGCAGCGTCGCTTCCCCGATGGCGTCCCTCTGCTCGATCCCGTACAGGACATGGAGATCAAGGACGACAAGTTCAAGGCGCTCGTTAAGAAGATCGACCTCATGGAGAGCAAGCTAGTCTCGTCGCCTCTGCACAAGGACTCACGTCTCCCTGAGTTGTACACGGCGTACAAGCGCAAGCAGGAGTGCCAGACAACGATCCGCGAGCTCAAGAAGCGGATACAGGCCACAAATGACGTGCTTCAGATGGAGGAGCTCAAATGCAGGAAACGCGTGCTTCGGCGACTGGGCTTTACGACGAGCGCCGATATTGTCGATATGAAAGGACGAGTTGCTTGCGAGATCAGTACAGGCGACGAGTTGCTATTGACAGAGCTGATCTTCAACGGTGTCTTCAACTCGTTGAGCCCAGAGCAATGCGCAGGACTCTTGAGCTGCTTCGTGTTCACGGAGAAGGTGCGATACTCAGTTCCTTCGAGTACCTCTAGCGACGCTGACTACCTCACGACGACGAGCAGAGCGAACAAGTCACCAAGCTCAAGGAGGAGCTGGCCGCCCCTCTGCGTGTCATGCAAGAGATTGCACGGCGAATCGCCAAGGTGTCCAAAGAGTCGAAGTTACCGATCAACGAAGACGATTACGTCAAGTCGTTCAAGGTTGAGCTTATGGACTCCGTCGTGCAATGGTGCCGCGGTGCATCCTTCGCCGATATCTGCAAGGTCCGTCCCTGAGCCTTCCATACCTCTCCCGTCCGATCTAACATCCCGTCCTTCCATGCAGCTCACGGACCAGTTCGAAGGGTCGCTCATCCGTGTGTTCCGACGCCTCCAGGAGTTAATCCGACAGATGGCCCAGGCAGCGAAGGTCATTGGGAACAGCGAGCTGCAAGAAAAGTTTGAGAAGGCGAGCGAGATGCTCGAGCGGCCGAACTCGGTCATCTTCTGCTCGTCGCTGTACCTCTAGAAGCCGTCGAACCCTCGTAATGACTCATCACACTATCGCTGCGGGTGTTCTCGTAGAGCTACGTTGGATGTGTTTGTCATGCGCAACCCTATCTACCGCACTAGTACAGCTTGTGTACACCCATTCCTCACATGCCCAGTTGCATAAGTTATATGTAGCGTAACAGGAATCGTCTTCAAGGCGATACCCCCTCCGCGGACCCACAGTGCGTGTGCGTCTAGCACGCGCCCTCATCCGTCCAGACACCCGCTATACCGACTTGCAGTCAGCTTCGCCGTCGCGATCAATATGCAAGCAATCAACGTACCTGAGCCGCCAGGGGTGTCACCGTTGGTCCACCACTGTGCCGACCAGAGATCGCCGTTGTAAGTGACCTCATTTCCCGCGGTGTATGTCGCCGAGGCGCTCCACGCGCTGGCGCTAGCGCACGCACCTGTCGTGTCGGTACTGGTCGTCGTCGGGCTGCTCGTGCTCGAAACCGTAGTGCTAGCAGTTGCCGTGCTGGAGGCGGTGCTTGACGCAGAGGACCCGGCCATGTTGTTCGCGATGTTCGTCCATTCGCTGTCGGGGTAGCTGCACATCCCAAGGTTAGCCATCAGAGGTGTGTCGATGATCGCGACGAGGGGCAGCGTACTCGATGTGGTTCTGCGTCTGGTCGAGGCTACCGTACGTCTGACTCGTGGTGTACACGAGCGAGTCCGAGCCGGTCTTGTCCGTGCTCAGGTCCCAGAACATCGATCCCGCGAGCCCGTTGGCCGTGACGTATTGCGCCTTCGCCTTCGCGATGTTCGGCGTGTCGTAGCTCACGAACTCCCCCTTGGAGGAGTCGTACGAGTACGCCGCGACGGAGGTGTGGTTCTCGTAGACGGATGCGCCCGAGAGTGGGAGGGTGTCATACGAGTAGATGCCCGCCTGTATCGTGCCTGGGCCGACGCCATTGTAGAGCGCGCCGAGGCCTGTCGTATTCTCGAACGCACGGCCGTAGAGAGGGATGCCTGCACACCATGAGCGCGTATTCGTGAACATAGGGATGACGCCACGTACCCATGGTGACCTTGCTTGCGGTCGCGCCCTGCGAGAGGTACCACTTGATGGCAATGTCCGTGCTGACGTTTGTGAGGGACGCATCGTAGACGTTCGCCTGATTCGCAGTGATGTTCTCCCATGAGCCCGCGTAGTCATATGCCATGATGTTCCAGTACGTGATCGCCGCATCCATCGCCGGGACGTTGAAATATTGGTAGTTGGCCCAGCCTGCGGGGGCGGCGACCTACGCCATCTCAGTATACTGGAGGAGAAGGCGGACGTGAAGCGGACGTACAGTGAGCTGGTAAGGCGTGCTGTCGCCCTTCTTCTTCGCGAGCGCGTCGAACGCGGTGCGGAGCTCCGTGAGTAAGCTAGCGAAGCCCGCGGCGAGCGCAGGCGTGTTCGCGTACTCAAAGTCGATGTCAATGCCGTCGAGCCCAAAGTTCTCGATGTACGACGTTGCGGAGGAGACGAAGGCGGAGCGCAGCGAGTCGTTCGTGACGAAGCTGAAGTGGCCGTCCTGCGAATACGTATAGCCACCGACGGAGAGGAGCACCTTGAGGTTCCGATTCGCGAGCTTGAGCAGGTACATCTGCAATGCAAACCTATATGAAGCTAAACAGACACATCACAGACATGGTAGGACTCACCTGCTTCAAGCACCCGTACAGGTTGTTTCCAGTGTCATCCCACGAGTCTCCCGGGAAGTGCTTCTGCTCATCAGCGTACGAGTCCGTGAGTGCGATCTCTCCAGTACTCGGCGACACGTCCGCAAACGCATACAGTATATGCGTGAGGTCGCTCGGCGTGATGTTCGTTGGCTGGAAGTTCGCGCCGTAGATGCCCCTGCGCCCGCCACAGCCGCGTCAGTTCGAGGGACCAGACACGCACGCGACGCGTCAGACACGCACCAGTTCGTGAAGTACGCTGCTTGCACATATCCGCCGTCAGCACGCTTGCTGATCGTCTGCGGCTCCGGGTCGCCCATCGCGTATTCGCGTGGCGGAGACATGTAGTCTGCCGGCCGTTGCATCACCTGCGTCGCCCCGGCGCACCAGAGCGCGCTGAGCACGAGCAGCGCTGAGAGGAACATCGAGCGGGCCATAGCGGTCGAGGTCGAGGTCGAGGCGTCAGAGGCGGAGGACGGGGCGGGATGGCGGCGTCCGGACCTGGCGAGGTCCCTCGGTATCGAGCACGAGCGCGGGGGTCGATGCAGGGCGACCTTGCCTCCGGGGCTTATAAGCTCGCCCGCTGCATGCTCAAGAGATGCATGCGTGGACAGACGTGCTCGCGCTTCGTGTGCTTCCCCGTGCTTCTCGAGCAGGGCGTTCACCCGATTGCCTTTGCGCCGGGTGGTACGCCAGGCATCCCTCCCGAGGTTGCCTGACTAGGCCAGGGCAGCGATGCTAGTCTGCACGGACGGATATAGGCCCATGCGACCGAGCGCGGCTTGGCAGTCACAAGAGGATATAGAGCATGCGAGCGCAGAGACGGACCTGACGGCAGGGCGACGGATGGGAAACAGTGGATGGGGGAGACCTCGCGGAACGGCAATAGTCGCGCGGCGCCGGCGTGCTGCTGCCACTTGGAGGCTGTTGCGGTATCGTTGCGGGCGAGTAGTACAGCCTGCGTTGGTGGCTATCAGATCGTCAACAGTTGGACAGATAAGCTGGCGGTAAGACCGCATACTCACATATGTGCCGAGATGCACACGGGCGTACTGATAAGCACGGAAGGTGCCCGCGAGGGTGATGGGTGGTATAAAACGGGACTGCGTGGGCAGACGGACTGCACACCTGGGAAGCTACCACGACCGGGATCAGCCATTGGGCTTACTTCGTCTCCAGAACTGCTACCTCTCCTACGTACGTCAGACTTTCATGGGTATGTCAAGTGGCCCCGACGTGTACACACCTCTTTGCATCCTGACGCGCGAGTCCCGGGACGCCCACGCCCTGTCCGCGTCGACTACATCGCTCCGTGCATTCCGGGCGAATGCGAAGACCACATGCTGGGCCCAAGACGGGCCTGACCATGCCTGACCATGCAGAGCCTTGATTGACTACAACAAATAGGTGCGTGGTTGCTAGCGTGCTGTCACACCAAGCCCGCGAGTAGGTGTCTAGATCTGAGATGACCATTCAATATTCAGTACTTGCATGTGCAGGGACAGGGACAAGTCCCCCTGTTGACGACTCACCAATTGATACGCCTGTCAGTCGTCACGCGCAAGACGAGATGCACATGAGATACAGTACGATGCACAGAGTGAAAGACAGATCGCACCGGAGAGGGTCACGCTTCTCTTGCGAGGACCGTGTGGACAGCGTGATAAGTTGAGCTCGTGTGATCAACTGAACGTGATACATATGCTCTCTAGAAAATCTCGTCGCCGCCGCCGCATTGCCATTTCTCCGAGCTGGAGATGGTAATAGACGCGAAGGGCAGTGAGTTGCTTTTGTGTTCCGAATTGGTGTACGTGTAAACAGTACGCGAATTGTTTGCCACTTCTAGTGATGTTGTCGGCAGTTGCCGCGAGAGGTCCCCCGATTTACCCAATTACCGCCAACATCCTCAGCCTATACAGGATGGTAAAGACGCGATAATTAGCATATCGGAATGTGTCACTGTCCTCAGCTGGGGCTAACGGTCCATAAGCGTGAGTCGTAGAGCTTCAGCTGAGTTCAATACAGTTGTCTATCGATGGCTACAGCCGAACTGAACTGGCCCATTGACTCCGAGTCGGAGAAAGACGTACTAATGGAATGCCATGACTCGAAGCGAATACTATATCTGAAGGGTCCATAACGCGCAAGCTGCGAACTCTGCTTCCGATCTTCTTGGTGACCCATGTAAGGCCGGGCATTCTTGTATTGGTCGTACTCGTGGTAAGTTACTAGTACATGCATTTATCGGTTCGTCCGAGTCACGGTCATAATCATGATGGTTATACACTACGGAAGGAGTGAAAGGAATATTTACTGACCGCACTCGGTCAACACACAGTAGGACGCGGCGTGTAGAGAAGCTGATGTATTGCAAAGGACGCTGCTCTTGGATAAGGCCACGGACTGCAAGCACGTAGGATTCGCGCGGGGATTGCCGCACCTCGAAAGCGACAGTCTTCAAGCTTGACCGTGACGGCGCAGCCCCTTCCGTGCGCCAGCACGGATAAGCACTGGAAGAACATGCCGTGTGGCTCTTCTGCCGGGACTGTCCAGGCAATATTCTCCATCACGATGCTTGTTAGGGCCGGCAGAGCGCTCGCAGGCAGGCGGAACGGGACGCTGCGAATGAACGGTCGCACAGGATCCTCGACAATCCGAATGGTCTCGACGAGCTCGAAGAGTCGACGGGACCTCTTTGAGCACAGGACGCGGGCGACGCAGCGGAGCATAGACTCGGTCCGGATCGTCATGACGGTCTCCCGTCGTAGATGATATTGACTGGTGGGCAACCATGTTTTGCACGTGAGTGCACAGCTCAGCAGTGCGGGCGGGTCTGTCCACAAGAAGTCGATGGTGTGGTCCCAGAGTTCCGGGGGTAGCATTGTGCGCCACTTGACTTGTAAGGAAGGCCGCCGAAATAGTGACAAATACCGCACACATACCTGGACGCATACGTTGTGATGAATAACCCCGAGAGGCTCCGAGATTGTGCTTAGTGTGGGCGTAAAGTTGGTCCAATTGGGAGGCCACTCCGAGTTCGAGCACGCAGAGACGATGCCCAAGGATTCACTGCCTTTTATAAACATCGAGAGAACACCGTCCACCAACGTAGTCGCCACTCCGAACGCATCCTCTTTAGGTTTTGTGGTCGTCCTCGCAATCTGCTAGTGAGCCCACCATTTGGCGTGGAGCCCTGACTCAGTCGATTGGCCACTCAAACCATCGCTAGCGAACCATGACCCAACGGTCAGTACCATCGTCAACATGCCTAATCCAGGAGATCTTGTCCGGAGCTCTCGTCCTAGGATCAGTGACATCGCGTGTGCACTCGATGGACACGCACTAAGGATGTTCAGACAACCTGCTTCTTTTCCACCTCGCTCGAGTGATGCCTTTCGTCGCGGGATACCGGCCGTTCACCGGCCGCTCACACTTGTCAGAAGCTGGGTTTAGATGAATCCGCCGATACAGTTGATCCGCATGGGACGCCAATTCCTCCAGAGGCATATCCTTGTGTGACCTATACACTAGTGGGCAGTGGCGTTGTCAAATTTATGCAGACGTATAGTGGCTCTGTGTACGCACTGGGTTGAGTGTGCCTCAAGTAATATTGTGCGCGCGCCACGACCTGGGGCTCCGGGCGGTATTGATCTCGAATACATGGGTTTCATAGCCATTGTAGTCATACTGAAGGTCGAGTCACGTTTACTGCAAATTGGCCGGGTGATACCCAATGATGTTGCCGCCACGACTATGACTGTCAAGGGGGTTAGCCTGTTACGAGCAACGCCGACCAACAGCTTGAACAGCCCACCAATATCGATTACGCAGCACATCCTCGGTTTGCAACCATGCTCAGGCTGTGTCCGTTATTGCATGATTGTCCGAGGAGGTAAACCCACACATAGGGGGCCTGAGCAATTGTCTGGAACGGTGGACGTGGATGATTCACCTGGGTCTTCTAGAGCCTTCCGCAGTGCTTTGCATAAACCACATCCCTTCCATGGGGTCCCTTGAGCAAGTGAGGACTCCCTGGGGTTGCTCCTGACCTTCTCTGGTGCATATACGCCCGTTTTCTGCGTCCATTTGCATATGTTATGCCCAACAGTGCTTGACAAAGGTGAGCCGATGTGGGTGGATACAAGTCAGCTAAGGATGACATGGGTAAAGGAGTTACGTGCACACAGGCCTGCCGCGGCGGTCGCGGTAATGATGACATGGATCACTGGCTATCCCCGGACCTCTGCCTCATGCACTTCCGATATTGCCTGCGCCACCGCAGTCGAAACCGTGGCACTGCTTCAACCGATAGCGCTCAGGTTGGGTCGACTCCTACCTGACGACATCATCAGCCAGCCAGACAAGAAGAACATACTGATATGCCATTTTCAGGCCCGTATGATGTCCGTCTCAGGTCCCGCGGATAGAATAGAGTTGAGTACACGATGGTTGCTTTACAACAATAACGGAGTGACTGGAAATCGCCACCCGGCGACGCGCACACGTGACCGATGTGCACCGTTCCCGATGATGCGCGTCGAATCGGTGCCACCGCACCCTGGACCGCACCAACGCAAAATTATGTAGTAGTGGGTCCTGAAATTCGAGCTCCGACGCCGTTCTTCTATACATTTGTCCCAGTCCATGAGTTTTTCTTTCTCCCTCCCACCATCATCTCCACGCGACACTATCTAGCATCGAGCTTGACCTTGAGGCCATAGGTAAGCCACGAGTTTCGTCTTCTGTGTGTGCTATGGCTAGGCGCGTAACTATTACGACTAAAGATACATGTGCATATATGCGCTTTGTATTCGGTCGAGAAGGCCCTCTACACTCGGAGCCACTCGTCTGGGTCTAGGCATCGCTGGGGAGTGACAGAGCTACGAAGCATACACGCATATATGCTATCATGAACCGTGCAAACGGTCATGGTCTCAAAATCGTGCTCTGCTGGACATCTGACGGACTTGGGGCGTACTCACCGGTGCGCCGTATGTCTGAGGATTGTCATGCGTAGTGTGCGTTCAAGCCTTGAAGCCTGAAGTCCTTGAAGCCTGAAGTGGAAGTGCTGTGCATGCGATGAACCTCTTCCCAGTCCTCAGACACAAAAGGATATCGATTCAGTTTGCTCCTATGCAGGCATGAGGGTTCTACATCTTTCTATACGGACACTCCATCGTTATTGCAACATACGACTCACTGGCAGCTATAGGTCTCCCGGTGGTCGACAGCCCTACATATCCTGGTAAGTTCACATGTCCTATGGTCCCGGAGGCGCCAGCCAGATACAGAATGACTATAAAACGGAGGATGCTGTGCGCATATGTGAACCGTCTGGCAAGACGGGTCGGACTCCTTCACGATCTCCCCGCAGAGCGCGCACACCTTCTGGAGCCGGAAGGGGGAGCCAGAGAGCCATGGCGGCTCGTCGACGAGCCTGTTCTGAAGGAAGTGGTCTGTGTGAACGATCAGACCGTCCGCATTATCTCGCAGGTACGCTCCGCCTCTCGGTGATAGCTCGAGCCCGCGCGCGTCGAGTCTCGACGGTTACTACTACTATCCCCCAGGGATCTCGGCGGTATCGCTGGACAACAGGTCAATATTCCATCGTTGTCACCGGCTGTTCGCTGGTCTGGCGTTCGTCGGGCAGCATGCTCTGATGAATGTCATTCCTTACGGTTTGGAACGCAACACAACCTGTTCCCCCGGCCCCGACGTCGGCACAGTCAACCAGTGATGATGCGCCCAACGAGTAAGCTGTCAAGCTGTCGCGTCGCAGAGTCGTGAGTGCCTTGCAGTGTGCACTCTTCACGGTACTGAGTAGTTGAATTTTGCCCCCCGGCGCATACCTGGAGTCGAACTTAAAGACAAGACCCGGTGCTTGCCCAGTGTCAGCCACTTTCCGACTTCGACGCCACACGCGGCGCGGCCGTTCTGGTTTGCCGCCGGCGCGGTCGAGGCCGTGTGCCTGAGCGGCGCAGACACCACATGCCTGATATGGAAGATAGCCATCCAGGCTGAAGCACTGCGTCTGAAGGCAGCGTCGGCGGCTTTTCTTTGCTTTTCTCTTCTCGCAATCTGCCCTCTGCCTCGCGCGCTGAGCTCTATACTTCGCAGCTACAGCCTGAGAGGCGCACTCCAGTCGACTCCAGCGAGATAAATACAGACACGCCACAGGTGGCTAACGGGCGCCTCACAGCTTGACCTCTTCGTCGACGACGACGAACACGCCCTCCCCACATGGACCCGCTCTCAATCGGTGGCGAGTCACCCGCCGCCCGCCAGTCGATTCTTGGCTCTTTCCTCCGCCCACGACCCCGCGGCACGTCGCAGTCGCATCCCTCGCCGCCAGCCGACGCCAGCAGGGAGTCACCGCCCCCCGTCGTCCCGCCCGCCGAGGGAGCACGCCGTCGAAACGCCCCCGGCCTCCAGCCATCCTCGTCCCAGGCAGGTCTGTCGCAGATGCTGCGCCGCAGACGATCAGCAGGGGCCCTCGCCTCGAACGCAACACCCCAGGGGGCGGCCGTCGCCCCTCGCCCGGCCACATCCGCCAACTCACCAACGCACCGGATCCGCCTCGTCCCGCACCTCGCATCCCGATCGTCCCTCCGGTTCGAGCCCATCTGCAGAGACGTGCGCGAGGGCGACCCGCCGCTGCGGATCGGGCGGTTCACGGATCGGTCAGGACTGGGACTGGCCGCGGCGAACGCACTCGGGTCGAACAAGCTCGCGTTCAAGTCCAAGGTCGTCTCGCGCGCGCACGCGGAGATCTGGACGGAGGCGGGCGGGCGGTTCCTCATCAAAGACACGAAGAGCAGCTCGGGCACGTTCCTCAACCACGTCCGGCTGTCGCCTGCGAACACGGAGAGCCGCCCGGCCGAGCTGCGCGATGGCGACATTCTGCAGCTGGGGGTGGACTACCAAGGCGGGAACGAGGACATATACAAGTGCGTGAAGATCAAGATTGAGATGGGCCGCGAATGGCAGGCGCATGCTAATCCGTTCAAGTGAGTGTTTCGTCCGTGTTTGTGTGTCCTCGAGGTTGCTCGCCGTAGCGTCGGACGCTTTCGGTGTCGCGGCCGCAGGGTTTCTGGCACGTTGGCAGTATCGCGTCCGGGCAATCGACAGTGGCGGCAGGAAATGAAACGTTACTGACATCCCCGCAGCGCAAATGCCCTGAAGCAACTCAAGGCAATCTCCTTACCCAACAACACAACATCAAAGAAGACGCTCCCAAAGTCGTCGCTCCCGGACTGCTGCATCTGCCTGTTTGCGGTGACGATTCACCAGGCGCTGTTCATCGCGCCGTGTTCGCACGCGTTCCACTTCAAGTGCATCCGGCCGCTGCTCGAGACGCACCACCCCGCGTTCTCGTGCCCGCTCTGCCGCACGTTCGCGAACCTCGAGGAGGACGTCGAGGTCGAGATCGAGGGGAGCGTCTTCAGCGGGGACGACGATGCTGACGGGGACGCCTCCGTCGTCGTCGCAGCCGTCGTGGCCACCATCGCGGACCGGCCGGCCACGGGCGACAGCCACCACTCCTCGCACTCTCGCTCGCGCGAGCGCGACCGGGACCCCGGCGCGGAGACGGAGGTGGAGGCGGAGCCGCGCCCGATGCGCGGGCGGGTGATGCACCACTTCGCGGATGCGGACGTCGACATGGCGGATGCGGACGGGATCGCGCTGCCGCCGCTGCCCGAGGGCTCGCCGCTGATGGTCGCGCGCGCGTGGACGGCGGTGAACGGGGAGAGGGACGGGAGCGTGTCGCCGGTGCCGGTGCCGGGCCCCGCGAGCATGGCGATGGAGGTGTCGGAGGGCGAGGAGGACGGCGGGGATGGCTCGGGTAGCGGAGAGGGCTCGAGCGAGGTCATGGTCGGCGGGACACTGGGCGAGGGGCACAAGCGCAAGCGATGATCCACGCGCGTGCACTGGATGTATAGTTAATGGTCTACGATTACGGATTACGGTGCGTGCGTGGTGTAATTTATCTTCGTTGGTCTGGAGGCTTATATGCGGCGCGCGCAGATGTCAAGATACCTTCCAAGCTCCATGTTGCGCAAACACAGTACACAGACGCCATACAGAACATAACCTCGCGCAGGCCGGCCGCCGTGCTGCTCCATCTGCCTCCCAACGTCTGCGTCAGGGCCGGACGTTCGTTCATGGATACTTTTTTGCTGCCTACATCTCGCCTTCATTGTTTCTTATTGCTTGTACAATCCACATTAATCTGATTCCCTCTTGCCCGTCCACCATGCTTTCTCTGTTGACTGTTGATCTCACTGTGTTGTTCATATGGCTCGTGTACCATAAATCCCACTAGTGTGTTAGATGAACCACTCTTCCTCTTCGTCGACCCTCACGGCATAGCCCAACTCAGACAAGGCCGCACATCGGAGAGAGATTTCTAGCATAGGCAACGACAGGAATTGCATTATATAGGTATGCAGAGACGACGAGACAAGCGCGGGGGACCGTGACAGGAGCATAGAGGGAGCGATATACTAATTCAGCGTACGCGGTATGTGCGTGGATACGGATATGGATATGGATCAACGTGCAGCAAAATCGACAACAGCAAAGACACGGACACGAGCGATTCGGGCGGTGGGTGCTCCACCAGACCAGGGAGAGTAGAGGGCAGGGAAGGGGGAATGGGAAGATGTGGTGAGGGCGGAGGGTCCGTTATTACAGAGGAGAGAGGGGAGGGGAGCAGGAGGGGAAAGGACATGCAGGTGCGTTCGGGGTATTGCGGGTCAGATCAGAATGGGGTAGGTGTGTATGGGCTGGTGGTTATGTAGTGGATAAGATAGTGCGTTAATGCGAGAGCTGAATATGAAGACGAACTGAGGAGACGGGGAAGGACGAGACGAGCGGGCGGGCCCGACGATTCGATTTTGGGTGGACGGCGCAGAGGCGGACAGTAGGCGGGTGGTCCGCTGACGGCACATGGGCGCTTAGGGCTTCTCTAGCGTGACTGGTGGGTGGCTGGCGGTAGGTGGAAATGACTCGAGGACCTGGATGATCCTCTTGGTGGGATGTCTTTGCGTTTCTGCGCCGACGGAGCGGGTTGATCACAAGAGGAGGGCCCGGTGGACTTCAATACTGAATACATCGGCGGGAAGAGCGACAATCACACCTTTTCGCCACGGCACACCATCCCCCCATTCCACCGTGCACCTCCGTTCCTTCCTTCCAATTCCAGTTCCAAGATTCACATCTAGTGCAAGTCCGTCTGACACCCACATCCAGCATCTCGCGCCCCACCCCAAGCACCCCGCATCCCGCACCCGAGCCCCGCGCGCCCGTCATACGTCGACGTACATGAGTACGGGCTCGCCGACGCCGTCGATCTCGGGGATGACGCACTTGAGGTCGAACGCCTTGGCGAGCACGATCTTGAAGATCTTCTGCACGTTGATCGACGCGGACGTCGAGCAGAAGATGAGCGACGCGTGCATCGCTTTTGCGAAGCGTTTTGCCTGGGCACGCGTGCGGGTGTCAGCCAGGCAGTACAGCGGAACGATGGCGCGGTGGGACAGGCACGCACCTGCTTTGTAATCTCCTCTTGCTCGTCTCTTGGAAAGGTGGAAAACGTGTCGAATTTCGTGCCGATTAGAAAGGGTATTGCTGTCTGGTGATGTATAAATGGGGCGTTCAAATCCGCCATGCGTTCGGCACAAAAGCTGCGCTACGCGCACTGACCTTGTTGAATCCCCGCGCTTGTCGATACCACTCCTTCACTGAGTTGAGCGTGGACTTCCGCGACAGGTCGAACATGAATAATATTGCGACGGCGTCGTTGCAGACGAGCGGGAGCATGTTGACGAACTCGCGCTGCCCGCCGAGATCCCAGAGCGAAAACGTGATGGACGTCCGCCGGACGGTGATCGTCTTCTCCATGAAATTCACGCCTGCCAAAGCCAGGAGCGATCGCACGCGCGCACACGGAAACGGGGAGCGGGAAGAGCGCACCTAGCGTCTGGATGTAGTCCTCGTCAAAGTGCCCCTCGACGTACTTCACCATCAGACTCGTCTTCCCGATCTGCGAGTCCCCCAGCATGCCGACCTTGATCACCACGCTGCGGGGGAGGGCAACCGTGAGTCGACCGCGCAACGCGGGGCGCGCCAGCGGCGCAGCACGCGGCGCACGACGCACCTGTTCTGTTCGTTGCCAATCTCGCCGTTTGGCCGCACGCCGAGCGAGCTGGGGCCGGCGGCGGGGGTGGGCGAGGAGGACGACGCTGAGGCAGACATGGCCTGGTGTGTATCTCGATCTCGCGGGCGGGATCGCGGTGGGTGCAGGCGGGCTGAGGCTCGTGCTAGATCGCAGATGCAGACGTAGGCGGCAGGCCGGGCGAGGGCGGAATTAGGAGGGCGAAGGAAGAGAGAAGGATAAGAGAAATACGGAACGAAGTAGAAGGAAAGGAGGGACCGTGCGGGGCGCGCTGGCGGGCGATGGGGAGGATCAAGTACAGACGGCTCACTCGGCGAGCAGAGTGAGGCCGGATACACGACGGACGCCGACCAAGCTGAGCAGTACGACGGCGAGAAGAGACAGATGCCAACCATCCGCCCACGCGCGACCAGGCGCCCGCCTCGCCCTCTCACTCCGACCATCAACTCCGAGGTCAGTCACTCTGCACTCAACCATCGCACAACAAGTACACGACAACCTCTTTGTCTTGCATGTGCGACTGCAAGTCCGGCAACATGACAAAAGGTCTTTATACTTCGGTCGCTGGAGGCGTGGTGGACCGTCCACTAGCGTCGTGATCGGACATGGTGGAATCACAAAACTCTACACGACGTACGGATTTTCATCCAATCGCGGTACTTCAAGTTGTCGGTATTCACAGACGCACCATCGGACTTACATGCGTCCACCAGGAGTGCACGTCTGTTGAATGGACAGGCAAATCGCGGCACGAGCACGCTTCCTCTACGCTGCTATTCATAGATCGGTTCGTACAGCGAATGAGCAGGAGAAACTACGTTACCCTTTCAACCATGCGCACGGGATATTCGTGTGTTGAATCAACGTCGACATAGTTGCGGTTCAGCGCCCAGCGTGTCAATGTTCAGTGCAACGGTGCCACTCGCAGATAACACTTGGTGGACTGACCCACCATTGGCACATAAATATGTATGCGTATGGAAACAGCTCGGCAGACCGTGCCCCAAGCCCTACCCATGCCAGTAAGTCCCGCAGTAAATCGCAATGCTGTGCTACATCGTCCTCACTGCCACTTCGTCGGCAGGCGCGTAGGAATGCGATGTATAGTGCCCATTGAGATCGTAGAAGAAATCATTGACCACAACCGCTACGATCCCCCTACCCTCTTGGCTTGCGCCCTTGTCTGCCGTGATTGGGCACCCCGAAGTCAATGCCATCTTCAGCGGAAGCCGACCTTGACCATCCGCAGTGCCGCACAATTGAACCTCATTGGAAGCCTCTTGGTCTCCAAGCGCTCGAGGGGCCTCTACGCGAAAGTACGGCTGCTCCGCATCATAGACGATCCGTCTACCCCTTTCTTCCACTCGCTGCCGCTGTGCCTGCCTGGCCAGCACCTGCCCGAGGTGGCGGCGGTGCTCCTCGAGGGCGTGGACTGGACGACATTCCGCCCGCACGTCAGCTTCTTTACCTGGCTCTCACGGTTTTCCTCTGTAACATCGCTCTGCATCCACGGCTGCGCCTTGCGCCCCGTTGCGCACACCCTCCGCATGGCGCGAGGCCTTCCAAAGCTGAAGCAAACACTTGTCCCCCTCTCCGACCGCATGCGGGACTACGCGCCTGTCGACACTGTCGTTGCCCTCGACAATGTGCTCATCGGAACCGACGCCGACGCCGAGTTGCGCGAGCTGCACATGAGGGCCCATCCAGATCTAGAGCACCAGCACCGGAGTCTGGAAGCAGGTATGTCGGACGAAGGTCACTGTCTCCGATCGATGAACGAAGCCGTCTTCGTTGCACAGCGTTGCAGAAGATACCGCATATCCAGCGCGCGAACACGCTTCCGTCCCCTCCTGCCGCCCCGAGCGACACGCTCAGGCGCGCATACAGCGATCTCGTTCCACAGACGGGGCGCACGGAACGGTCGGCCGAGCGTACGATTCTATACAAGCAGCTGAGCGAAGAGCCCGAGGTCAGTACGCACGTAGCGACACCAGAAGCTGTTCATAATAGTCCTCTTGAATGCACTCGCAGGATATGTCGCATCAGCGATCGGAAGCGAGCCCGCCGCCGGAAAGCACAGAACAGCTGCGGCAGACGTCAAGGAGTCAAGCGCACAAGCCGCTCGGGGACACTTCTGGTCTGCAGTCTCCGATGCGGGCGAAGCAGCGTTTGTCGCAGTCCGCTCGTGGCATCATGGGCCGTTCTCACACCGCTCAATGGGAGGAGCAAATCACACGTCAGAGACACACGTAGCAATCAATCCCGCGATGCGAATGGCCAGAAGAGACTGGAAAGAAATCACTCGTTTCACAACCGGCGTTCGCGGTGCGCCGTATGACACGAACGTGTATGCCGCCATACCTCTCTACCACCGATATCTAGACCATACTGGACATACTCACGCCTTGAAATCCGTCGCTTGTTGTTATGAGATTCTCGGACGTCGATTATTGTTATGTTATGTTCTGCCGGAGGTGTACGATAGTGGCATTCAAATTGTAGACGTACAGGGAAAGACTCGCTGGATTGATCTCATGACTGGAGGTTGTTACAGCACCTGATTGTGTTTTAGAAGTGTTTTTTGGAGCCACGCAGAGCATCGTGCATCTTCAATCGCTGGTATCTAGATCTGAGTCCATACAATACAAATCCTCCACGTAGATCTTGACGTGGGTGGACTTTACAACTTCGCGCAGTCCGGTAACTCCGTGCAGCGTATCAACAGACGTTTGGTTCAATTACAGTAGTATAGTACGTCGGTTGCCGATGATGAGTCCGGCATCATCCAATAGTAGAGTGGACCAGCGGAGGCTTAGTAAGCAGTACTGAGGAAGAGGAGGAGGAGGACCTCAGGAGGACGAGGAGGTAAGTACTGAAGTACTGACACTTTATAAACCGATGCTAACTTGAAGTAAAAAAGTAATAAGTAAGTACATGCGAGGGTCGGGCCGGGCCGGAGTCAAGTCACTGCTCGTGGCAAATTCGCGCCTCCTCAGCTCACCGTCATGACTGCCATGATCTGGCCATGATGAACGATTTGAACACTGAATCACGGTCTGCTTGACTCCTCCAGTGCACGGTGCACTACTCAGGTGTCGCGGGTAGTTGACACGTGTACACTGCGGCTGAATGGAAACCTCTCCTCCTCCTCCTCCTCCTCCTCCTCCTCCTCCTCCTCCTCCTCCTCCTCCTCCTCCTCCTCGCTCTAGATTTTGGGCAAGAAGAGCTAGCATTTCTAAAGCCTCAGGCCTCATGTCGTAGCGGTATACTCGGCGCGCAAGTACTTCATCGAGAATGCGACCGTGACTCAGACACGCGACCGGCGCATCGTATTCACGGTATGTACTGTAACTTATTACTTGGCAATCGCGCGCCCTACACTCGGCCCTCTAGTATAGACTCGCCTTTACACCGTACATCGATGCTATTCGAACGGCTCAAGCGTTTCTTCACTAGAGCATGACGTTGACGTAGCCGCCGGAGGGATGAAAGGCACTAGTGTTGGGAAACGGTGAGTCCCGCTTCAAATCTCGCTATGCCATGGAGCCAAATTCTGCCTTTACCAATGACTAGCTCAAATGCTCCCACTCGCGAGCAGTCTTTCCGCGAGCATGACGCCAGCATATCCGAGCTGCCAAACTTAGGTTCACGGGTACGTTGTGCACCCGCATTTCATATCGACACAGTATGTAGCACTGTGTTCCTCTTGAAATTCTCGAAGAGCGTGACGGGCTTGACCATCCCACCGCACCATTTGTCAATGACATTTCGGGCCTTGGTTCAGTCGGTGTGCGGGCCTTCAGCCGTCGGCGTGTCTTCACTGCAGACGTCGCCGGCTTTATGTGAAACATTACCCGCTGCGGGTACTTTCGTTGGGCCCTTTTCAAACCAGAATACCTCACGCGAATCCCGATCACAACTAACATGAGGTTGCAGCATGGGAATGGACGCTCATTTCCTACGGAAGCTCTTTGCCCTCATTACGCTCAAGTTATTCCACCGCAGCCATACGTTGCTGGGAATGCGTAATCTCTGCTACGTTGGGAACGGATCGAAAGATAGCTACTCACTATGAGTGTGCGGTCGAGGGCCAAGGACAGCAAGGTGGACGCAGAAGGGTCTTTATCCGTGCATGAGCCTTGCGATTCGTCGATAGACGGCTTCCCCTACATGCGCTATGCTCCTCGATCTGCCCCCTTGGACCGCGCCCTGCTCGCGTATGATGTCCCGTGACTAGCTTAGCCGACCTACCGTGCCTACAGTCAGTGGTGTGTACTGTGTAGTCCTACTAGTTGTTGAAGACCGCGTGACTGACTCTGATTCAAGACTTGTTCTCGGATAGGGATCCCACAATACTGTAGGCTCCCGCAATATGATCATGGTGGATCTATAGAATGCCTTACGCACCGCACATCACGCGAGAGTAGAGCAATAGGGCCGACGTTCCCAGGTGGTCACAGTCCTCATGGTGGTATTGCGCGCTGATGGCTTCCCAGTTAGAACAGTGGTCCACCTTAATGCTGTATCGGCGCCATGAGTTATCATTATGGATGCTGCCCGACATCAGGTGCACTGAACGCTTGATCAATCCGAACAACATGGCGCAACAACTGGGTCGCCGTGAGGAGAGACGGCAATGTGGTGGACAAGACTTCCACCTACCCTCAAGCCATTCGATGTAGTAGCACCGGCGGTGGATATGTCAGAGCCATATATGAGCGAGTGCAACCATTGCCGACCATTGCACACCGTACTTCGCAAAGAACAACAGTCAATCAAGCATCTCGGTCAGTGCGCGCGAAGCGGATTTTCTTATGTTGTGTCGTCGCTTACTGATTCTCTTCCTAGATGCGCAGGAATGCCATGTTACCTTCCCATCGAGGTAGCCGAGAACATTATCGACTTCCACAAGTTCGACCCTCCGACGCTCCTGGTTTGTGCTCTCGTTTGCCGCAAATGGGCTCCCCGAAGCCGGTACCATCTGCAACAAAAATCCACGCTGACGATCCGCAGTGCCGCAGAGCTCAAACTGATCGGGCAGCTCCTGACTTTCAGGCGTTCGCGCGGCCTCTTCGCCAAAGTACGACTGTTGCGTATCGTCGACGACCCTTCCGGCACCTTCGTCCACAGACTATCGACATGTCTGCCCGGACAGTTCCTCCCCGAGGTTGCGACAGTGATCCTGGAAGGTGTCGATGGCGCGACGTTCCGCCCGCACGGGGACTTCTTCATCTGGCTGTCGCAGTTGTCGTTTGTGACAGCCCTCTGCCTTCACCGCTGCATTCTCCGCCCCGTCGCCCATGCCCTTCGGATCGCACGCAATCTTCCGAAGCTGCGGCGCTTACTTGGGAAACACCGCAACCTCGACGCAGTCGGCGAGTCTGTCGTGCCCTTAGACAACGTGCTCGTCGGCACGGAGTCGGACCCCAAGCTCCACGAGGAAGCGCATCAGGACATGCACCACTCGAGTCTGGAGACAGGTAACGGCTAGTATTCATAGGCGTCGACGAGGCATTATTGACATCGCGCACCTTCAGTGTTACTAGTACAGTCATACAGGAAGTCCCATATTCGGCGCGCAAATACACTGTCGACACCGTCTCTGCCTGGCAGAGTTGCGACTCCGAGACGCGCTCTCAGTGAAGGTGGTGGGATGCCGAGCCCGAGTAGGCGGGATGAACGTCTGACAGAGCGCATGTACTGGTGCGAGGACCCCGAAGTAAGTACGAATACGTCGCTACGTAATGATATTGTTACTGATCTCCCTCGTCCAGGAAGAATCACATCCAATACTACAGCCATCTCTCCCACCAGATGATGGAGATCGACAGAGCCAGACACAAGTCAACGGCAACGTACGCATTCCGGTTGCGCAGGGACGCACTGTACATCACGCTATCACGCAAGCAGAGTCACATCTTGAAGGCCTGTATATGGACCAGGGAAAGCGACACTTGCGGAAGGATAACACAGGAGGGCGGATGCCATCGTTCAGCGGAGTGAACGAGACCTGTTCAATGGGAGTCCCCCGTTGCTACTGCGGATGTACACAGACCGACGTAAGTTTGATGCGTTCGGATTTATTAACGGCGACACCCGCTGCTCTTCAAATTGCCCACTGCTGTCATATATCGCCTCAACACTACGTCTTGAGTTTATACGTATCCCTACTATTTGCTGGCCGTGTGCTGGACATAAGGTACTTCCTGTACTTGCGACGTGCGCTGTATGCGAACGAGTCTATGTGCATGCCACAGAGGGGCGAGCTTGGACAAGCTTGCACCATGGTATTAGATACGTGACGGCCATTTGTTAGTCAGCAATCCATGTAACTTTCCGAGACTTCCCACTCGCGATGCTGCACTGTGATTTGACTGTGATGTATGGTTCCTCGATTACAAGAAAGCGGTCAACTTTACTCGCGGAAGAACTTCATTTGACCGATTCATTTCCGTGTCGAGTGGCAATAACACCTCGACACCCTGCAACACGTGTGGTTTCGTGGGAATACGTGTAGTGGTTTGGCCTGTTGTATACTCTTTATATCCTGGTCGCGCATTGTTACACAGCGACAGTCGACCAGTTGCTACCGAAACCCACGCATAGGCCTGTAGGTGGACGGGAGACAGCCTGAGGTGCGGCAATACTCTCGCTACAATTATCAAAGCTCGTATCAACGTTAACTGCGCGCCCATTCCGGACTCATCCGGACAGCATCCAAATTTCATACGCAGGCGGGCTGCCAGTGCCAGTACAGCGACTACTTACTTATGCTGGTGGATTAGAGGCTTGAACGACACCGGCACCGAATTGCAAATCTTACGCGCGCCATGTTCCAAGCGACTGGCTTTCCGCGTGGACTTGCAATAACTGGAGAATAGACGATACACAAAGCTTGGGTTTACAATGTTCCATTGCTCGTGGAGGCTGCCACTGGGGGAGCGGATGGAGGAGGAGGCCCAGAGCTTTCCATTTGACCGCAGTACTGGTGTACACGTGTAGTAACCACTCCATGACACCCGGCCTCAAGCTGCCAGTGGCTCAGGCTCCTCTAAGTACTACTTTAAGCATACTCTTTTCTCTATTTCAACATACTACATCGGTCTCACGCCTGGCCATAAGCCGGCAGTATAATGGCCATAACGCGTAACTTACAGTAGTACGCTATCTTCGCACAACGCGTCCAAATCGCGTGATCGTGACCCGTCGGCGCTTAGGTTGGAGACTTCAAGCATCATGCCAGTCCTGAGACTGTCACTCACTGGCTACCATGGTCGTCGACGTCCCACTAGACTCCTGCCATAGACTGAGTGACTATGCTGTACGATCCTAACGGTTTGCTGCCCAAAGTACAGTACAGGCATCCCAAGTGCCCATCACAAGTTGTACACCCGTTCCGGTTTCGTAACTTCCCGGAAGCACTCTGGCCGGCCGCAGGCATGCGCAGCGCTCATTTTGTGCACGGTGAACTTGTATGTCCATGCCAATCATGAGCGTTGAGTGCAGCTTGCGACAGTCTTGTTCTCTCCGTAAGTCCATCCATGTACCGCGACACTCTGGCATTGGCATCGCCCATGAACACTGGACCCACCACTTCGTCGTAGGCGCCCCAGAACCGTCCTACAGAGTGGAAAACAACACTGCCTGGGTGTCCAGAGAGATTCCAGCTTCTATCATCTAAGAGACAAAAGACTGGTTTCGAGGCGCACTCGTCGTGAGTTACAGCCCTAGCCGTTGAATGTCATACGAGACCTTAGTGAGTAAGTATATTCAGTAGCAGACAACACAGCAGAAATGTCTCACTGACGCGTAGTAGATGCCAGAGGCCAGCGTTGCCTTCATACCGGAGTTGGCCGACGGCATTATCAACTATCTCTGGGACGACCCTCCGACATTATCGAAGTGCGCTTTGACTTGTAGGGCGTGGTCCGTCATGATCTCGCCTCGACTTGAAAGACGCACTGAGCTGAAAATACACGACCTCTCCGAGCTCACGCGCGTGTCGCACCTTCTGTGTAGGAGGCGGTCGAGGGCGCTCTACGCTCTTGTAGAGAAGCTTATCATCGTTGATCACAAGTTGAAGCCTTTCGCACGTGTATTTCCTTTCCATCTCCCAGGACGCTCCTTGCCCCGCCTCTCGACGATTGAGCTGCACAATGTCGACTGGACGCGCTGCGCCATCCATCACAGGATCTACGCTTGCTTGTCGTCGTTCAACAAAGTAACCGTCATCCGTATCCTCAACTCGCGGTTCTCCTGGATTGCAGACGTACTCCGCATCGTTCACGCTCTACCACAATTGAGCGCCGTCATTGTCTCCGACGCGCACCGAGCCCCACTAGACACCTTCCACCGGAGCAAGCATGATCCAACAGAAATTGCCGCAAGTTCATTCATGGCACGGAACAAGGGATGTGCTTGCTCCGGTAGCGCAGGCGACGTGGAAGTGGACTGCAGTGTTCTGCCAGCGGGGTCTGTCGAGGGTGAGTGACTCCGTCAGTAGATTCTCCTTCAAACTCACAATGGGTATTTCGAGACAGCTCTCACCTTCGCAGCGCCTCGCGCGGTGGCTCATGTATGCGTCGCTCCATTAGATGGCACCTTGCAGCACCACTGGCAGACGCCGACAAAGCATCCAGGCGTCGTGGACAAAATGATAAATCCATTCCGCAACCTCAGGCCGTCCGTGCTCTCGAGAATTGAAACACAGCACTACCGGCCACGTTTGCCTCTTCGTATCCCCTCAACTAGGCCTGACAAAGGTGTTCGTCGTTGTATCCAAAACATGACGTGGCCCCAGGACTACTGTGACGGCGTGCTCGGCGTCCAGCCAGTGCTCTGGACATGCGCAAGCATGGCCCTCGGCGCATGGATCAATTGTTTCAAGGATCTTGTCGCGAACACGCGCTCCTCACGCAATTTCGGGCGTTCAGCCTCTCGCATGGCTTTTGGGGCGGGGGACCTATCAAGTCCTGACTAAGGACAGTCTGAGACAGCTATGGGTTCTTCCCTCGTGATCACTCGTATGAGAGGCTAGTGCTTCGCACGAGAGTTTGTCAAACTCTTTTCGCTGCGTGACATGGGTGGACGTACAGCGCCAGCTGGCACTCAATTATAGGTTCTTTTATCCTACATTAATTACGGACGAACGTCCGACATAAGTGAGCCTACTTACCTGTCCTCCGAAGTCACCTAAAAGCGCGCCGTCCACACGTCCGATGATAATATCCATGCACATTCGCTATCAGTGGGGCTCACATGCCAGATGCCCCCTACCCCAAGACTGGAAGGTGTCGGACTCGGAGTTGCCGTGGGCCAAACCTTACGCAAGCGCTCGGAGACACTGGTACTACTTATCATTGGAGAAGATCATGTTGGTGGACACATTGTGACAGTCCGAGACCTCCATTATTACCATTTTGAGAGTTGTAGGGGCTGGATGGAAGACTTCAGTCGATTCCTAAGGGACCTACAAGCACCTACATCGGTCGTTCCGGTCTGACGCCGCGTTCGACTGTGCCGCCATGATGAGTTCGCTTTCATTGTAGCCTATTTGGAATAGGGAGTATGTGGCTCGATCAGCGTGGCTGTCATATATGGTCTGCCAGCAGACCACTCGAAGCGCGCGTCGGTGTCCTTTGACTTCGGTACTGGCATTCACTATCCTTTCCTCCGACTGAGGTAACTGCCAGATGATTCGGGCGTCCTTGACAATATCAGTGATGTGTCGATACCCTACTAACTAGGACCAAGTCAGTTGAGCACAGGCTGAGAAGTCTGGAGATGAATACACCGGGCCCTCACGACCCCTGTATCGACATGACGCCGCACCTTCCATAGGATCCACCAGAGTTCCACCGACGATTTCCATACTGGGACCGCTGATCTGCCATTGATACCGACCATATTTCCATGCCTGCATGAGAATTCAGAAGGTGGGTGACACGGTGGTTCACGGAACCACCGGCATTCAGCACTAGCAGACCTCGATAATGGGTGGGCGCGCGGCCGGCCACCACATCAGTCCGATATAGGTGCTTCCTGACGAGTACACTGGCCTCGCTGGTACTCTGACCGATGTACGTGGGTGAGTAGCTCCTCTCTATGATGAGCCGGTAGGCACTTACGCAGTTCGTTGATACGTCATTTGCTTCAGCAAGTGCATGTCCCCCAGAGCTCACAGACCGTATCATCGATTTTCAATGGGATGACCCGCTGTCGCTGCTAAACTGCGCGTTGACTTGCAAGACTTGGCGGCCCGCTAGCGAATACCACCTGGGGCGCTTTCTGAATATCCCCAGTATGTCGACGCTTCGGCATGTGGCCCATCCCGCGACACAAGACAGTACGTCCTCCGAATCTGGAGCCTATCGCACAGAAAGGCTAGCCCGCGTGGAGACTTTGTGCGTACACGAAGACAAGAAGCATCCGTTCCTTCACATTCTTCCATTCTGCTTCTACGCTCATTGCGTACCTAGCTTGAAGACGATCAAGGTCTACGACATCGATTCGCTCACTCATGGGGCCAGGCCGCATCGCCAGTTCTTTCGCATGCTGCTGTCTTTCAGGACAGTCAGCACACTCGAATTCACGAGGTGTAAGTTTCAGCACTTCGAGGAACTCCTCTCTGTGGTGCGCAGCTTCCCGCGGTTCAGCGAAGCGAACACGCTGCTGTGAAATCCTAGATGTTGGCCGCAGGGCGCAGAACAGGATGTCAGAGCGGGGGCCACATTCAAATTCAGGTCCTCGTCTGACTCACCGCGTAACGGGACTATGCAACTCGTGATAGTCTCTAGCCTGAATCATGGTAGCGGCTGCGATCAGGTCCACCAGCCACGCAGGCTTGTCAAGCAGATGAAGGTGGGCCCAAGTAAGGGCTGGGACAGTCCTCCGCGACAATGTGCCAGCTGCGCGCACAGACAAGGTTATGCAGCCTGTCGCCCACCGGTTTCCTGCATTCGAGTGTCCATCGAAGTCGATATTCGCGCCACGTGCAGGGTGGCAACGTATTCTTATCGTACGTTGCAGTGTAGTTGTTGACGTCCGGTCTTTTGATAGTAATACATCAGTACCACGACGACGTAATCACTGTTAAGACTTACGAAGTAGGTTTTTACCAAGCCGTCCTTACGTGCACGAGAATGCGTCTCCAATCGCCATACTGCACGCTTGCTACGAATACAACTTCAAATTGTTACCGCATACTTGCACTTATTTGCTTCAAGTTGTAAGCAATGCGCATTCAGCTGTAATAGCGGACCTAGACATTGAGCGCTGAGCACATCCGGCCACCTCGGTGGACCTTCTCGTATACGCGGCTACCGGTCCGCTCGGACCATATACACAATCCCCTGCGTGCGAATTTTAGTTTCATTCATCAGAACCTTGTTCTCCAACCCTCGCCTACCTTGGTTCGCGCCGGTGACGACATGCTACTTCCATGTCAATGGACCCATAGGGACACATTGAAATGTATCCGCGGCGACTCGCTCATTTTGGGGAACTTTGTCCAGTGCTCCGGACCAAATTGGCCAGGCGTGTGTGACTGCCACATTGCACTTCCGGGTATGAGTCCACCAAAGCGTGCTTGTATCTGAGTGTCGAGGCTATGGTGGAAACGGTGACACACTCGATTGGTATCGGTCCGACTGATCAGCGCTGAAACTAATCGTCAAGACGGGGGATGAACTGACCGTTAACTACGCGCTTGTGTGGCCATGTCCTGAACGTCTTGTGTCCTCTCATGCGTATCGCTGTTGCGGCTCGCATGGGAGTGTTCCAAAGCTTGTATCCAGGTCCGGTTCCCCCACTTCGCTCCCTGCGTTCTCTTCTTGAGACACCTAGCTACTCGAGTTGGCAGTAATTGCCCGTGGGTGGAGTTTACAATATCAAACATACCGGCCGCTGTTCTCCCACCGTGGACACCATGACCCGAACCTGTGGTGCACATGGTTATAAGACGGGACGCACTGTATCAATGTCTCGATAACACACGCACCGTCGCTGCGCTTTGGACTTAGTCAAACCTGTTGGCTAACCGTCATAATCTAGTCCGATGACAGATACCAGTCAACGGTTTGTGCATCAGGTAGCCAGCCTAGTAGAAGGCCCTTCCCTAGCTGGGGAATGGTCGGGCGTATAGGTGCACTGCAAATATATGAAAATCAGCACAACCGTTCTTTCAGGTCCTTGCATTCTGCATCTACGCACTATTCATACACAATTTGACGACGGTCATCACAGACGATCTTGACTGGCTGAAACACCGTGTCCAGCCACACTTCCAATTCTCCCGACTGTTGTCACCGTTCAGTAGCGTCAAAACAGTGGCGCGGGAGTTCAGGGAGTGTTGGTTCCGGCGCTTCAACGAACTCCTCTGTATCGTGCGCAGCTTCCCTCGCTCAAACTAGCAAACACCATCCTGCCGACATACTACAATTCACACATTGGCCATGCGATGCAGAAGAACAAAGGACTGACTTTTGCATTCGAATCTAAGCCATAGACAGCGCGCCGCGGCAACGGGACCACACAGATCACAATCACTGGGCTCTCGAACACAGATCTTCACGTCTCTCGTACGTCTGGAAAGCGACTGGCCTGGAGCATTGGAAACTTAGCGGCCTCGCCGACCCGATATGTCCATTCCATTCGGAGACTTACCATTTCAGCTTCACCGATGAAGTCCGACCTCCATACAAGTGTACCGGTATGGTGTGGCAGTATGCACACTTACTTCAGTCTGGTCCTAAGTTAGTCTCCCCCAGGCAGATTCTGAATACGATCTTGAGGGGAGGAGGGCGGTCGTATATGAGCTGGCAGTACTTGGCAGCGATTCAAGACAGAGTCATTGTCTGTCACGGTGAGTCCGTGACAGGTGGCGACCACGCTCGCGTGACCGCACGCGTCGACGTGTCACCGCGCGACCTCTTCGGAGTCCTCTTGCCTGTCTACGCGAGATATCACAGCAAGTCATTCCGTACCGGGTGGAGCGATGCCTCCTAAACGCAAGTCTACCGACGGGGCCGCGGGGTCATCTAAGAAGGCACGTAGCGCAGTCGACCACGCGCCTGCGGCAGCACTCGCGTCTGCTGTGCTAGCTGGTCGGGACACATACCCAATTCCGGAGGACGATGCGGACGTGCGGGCACTGCTAGTTCAACTGTCCCAGTACGCGAAATATCTCGAAGGACAGGTGGACGCGGGTACAAACGCGAGTGGGAGCGGCGGTGTCGTGAGCGTGAGACAGAAGACACAGGAAGAGTTAGAGGACGCCGCAGAGAAGGTCCGGAAGGCCGCACAGAGTGGTATCAAGAAGCAGATGAAGGTGGGTCTACAAGGTTTTGCGTCGCGCTTTTCTCATATATCCTCGCAGTGGAGGCCGTCTTGCAAGTCCAACTCTGCGAAGTGGACGTATGACGGAATTTGTCCTGACCCAGCCGTCTTCGGGGTGCTTATGGGTCTAGACGGCCCACCGAAGTTCAAGCAGAAGAAGTTCACCAAGGACGAGTTCCAGGACCTCATCGGCCGGTGCGAAGGCAGTGCGATGTTGGTGTTCTAGTTTAGTCCATCCCTTCGTATGCAAAACTGATTATTTCATCGCGCGTATCAGGTACAATACGCTCTACATCACTGGCGACCATGTCAACGTTCGCTGGTCTGATACGGGCGAGTTCAAGTTCAGTGGCACGTACGGCATCTCGTATTGAATGCACAAGGGACGAGGCTCGACTTGGGATCGAGTGTCATGGCGGAGAAACGCCTACCATAATGCTCTATCATATCCTATCGTCAATGAACATACAGTGTAATAAGCTAGACCTTACCGTACGCACGTATATGGTGTACTACTATTCGGCTTATCATATGTGCAGCACACTTACACGGAGACCTGGACTGGTTGATCTCAACTACGGGTCTGACAAGGCAGCTGTGGGTACGACCAGCTTCGGTGGTTCCACGCATTCATTGACACCATCGGTGGGCAAGCTGCAAAGTGACTCACCGAATCGCACCTCAGTAATCCGCTTACGCTTGAAGCCGCATGCAGAGAGGATGCCGTGCATCAGCGAGGCAACCCGTTCCACAGCAATAGCAGAGCTGTCAGAGAAGAGCAGGAGGAGGCGTGCGCTATCGAATTGTAAATAGGTGCGAAGCTCGGCTGCATTCCATTCCGATGCTGTTGCGATCCATTGACAAACGCCTGCAAGTTGGCTGCGTGACAGGGGACTCGCTCTTTACGTGGCCGGCACTATAGCGAGGCGATATCCTATACTACGCGCTTGGTGATGAGCAACAGTAAACACCTGCTGTGTCGTATGTTTACCAGGTTGCACGGCATCCATCGACGCTTGCCGGCTATTATCGTCTGCAACGGAGTTATCATTTCCTGTGAATGGTCGAAGAGATGCCCACTTGTCCCCAAACAGCCAAACGTTGTCGCCATAGTAGAGCTCATCCCCGTAGATCGCGATCTCACATATGCTGCCGTCGGAACCTGTATGTTCAGCAACGCCCAAGTTTGAGCTGATGCGCGGGCTATCCGTAAGAGAAGAGACTGCTGTACAGTGGGAAGGTCGGACTCACTATTTAGATATGTCAAATGGACAATATCGTGATACTCTACGTCGCCAGAGTATTTCGACGGATCGAAATTGGGCTCAGAGCCACTTGTTGCAAGATAGGGGCCGAAGACGTCTTTAGCTAATATGCCCTGGTCGATCGCGTTGTAAAGGAACTTATTCTGAATGTAGCTCAGTATGTGCGTAGGGATGGAATCATATGACGTACTGCGCGCAGTTTGCACCACGTAGGGAACGAGAAGACCCCAGCGGGACTCGCATGCGCGCGGTCACAACCGTATTGTGACCGCCCGCGTCTGGCTCGCTGGCGGTCACAATCGCATTGTGACCGCGAGAATGCCCTGTAAGCGCCCACGGGGTAGCCCCAACGGAAGAGCTCAGTTAATGCCAGTAAGCCACCCATACCATTTCGTGGGATAGAGAAACATGTATTCTGTATAGCCTGAATATAGAGATCAGTCTATGGGCTCGAGAGTGCATTTAAATGCTGCATTATGGCCCTCTCGCAGGCCTGTGACTGGAGGCTCTGATTAGGCGCCGGAATACACCGCTCAAGCACCCGCCATTTGCTACAGCGAGAACGTCTCGAATTTCGTGGTATAGCAAAACATTCAATGTGTATATAGCTCAAATGTAGAGTATGCCCCTCCGCAAGCCCGCGATTGAAGGCTCTGATTAGACGCCGGAATACATCGCTCAAGCGCCGTTCGCCGCAGCGAGCAAGACGACACGAGCCGCTTATATATGGGTTGTGTGTATATCTCAATGTTTGTACTAGTATTGAATATTCTTTGGAGGAGATGTTTCGCTTTTGTTGCTGAAGGAACGGTGCCGGAAACCGTTGTCTGTGCACTACCCAGAGCTGACTCAAGACGCTTACTCTGCCAAAGACGCGCAGTGTGGCGTGAAAATAGGTTGACATAATCGTCATTACCCTATCTGGCTGCGCGTCTAGCGCGAGCCCGCGCCCTGCGAGTTGGTGACCGCGCCCGCGAAAGTTGTTGTGACCGCGGGTGGAGCAGAGCGCGGCCAGGCGGTGACCGCCCGTGAAGAGGGCGGTGGCGCATGCCTGATTTGGTGACCCCGAGTGGTGACCGAGGCTAAGCGCCCGCGGCGGTCACAACGAATCCGCCTGAGAACAATAGGCCCATGATACCGTCAGCATCAGTATCGTCTTCAAACATCTTGGTAACAGCGGCAAAGGCTTGTTAGTTGATTTGTATGCCACCAACGCTCACTGGGCATTCAGCGTTATAGCACTGTGAAACAATCAATGTGTAACTCGCACATACCTACGTCTGTGTATATGTCGCCGGAGACTTGTATGTTATCGGCGAATATTTGGCTGAATGTCCCAGGCTGCTTATTTTTCGTAGACGAACTGTGTTCATTGTAGAAATTGGACGCGGAGCAGTCCTAGCAAGATGAAGACGGTACCCAGAGGTCGCAGGAACCGGTGTGAAGTTGATGAGGAACGGTTGACCTGGTGTACCGATCCATATGGTGCCAGTCCACGCTGGCCCATTCGGTGGGCCGTGATTGTGCGTCGAAAGCGAGATATGCCCAGGTGGCATGCGCCTCGAACCGATCTTTGATGTGGGTGCGGTTTCTACGACGCGCGCTCCGTCATCTATATAGTCTTCAACATTCGAAGCAGAGTCGATTGACACGGCGTTGTTGCGATGTTTCCTACGACAAGTGCGTCAACGCTCGCCCCGATCAATTGCAATGGCAAGGAATCTATAGCACGTACGTCCTAACCCAATCCCTATGACGAATGACCATGTCTCGATCGACGGTGCCGTTGACTCTAGTCAACGATATGCGTTTCTGGAGGGAGACACGGGCACCAGCCACCTTCTCGCGCCATACAGGTAAAGAGGAAGAAAGTATGATGAGCGATACGAGGATTAGGTCGCTCAGCATTGTGTTGGACGACTTATATGTTGAGTAGATCCGCGTGAGCTACCTGTTGTCTGGACGGACGGGCCTCAGTCGCTGCCCGATTGTTGGTGCTATAAGTTTAGCTGCGTCAAACCGTCGGTAATACGCCGTGACTGGGGACGCCTAGATTGACCTCTGCGGTACGGTTTCGCGAGGTCTCACTTTGGACATTCGTGAGCTATGGCTGTGCGTTGATCGAGTTGGGGAAATCGTGCACCACGACGGCATCGCATGTTGCGTCGTCCCATATTGAACGACCGACATTGTCTGGTTGAAATGGACTTGTGAGTAAGTGCAATGCACGTCGAGCTGGCTGACTTACTAGAACGACTTTCGCGGTCAGGCTTGAGGCGAAGACCGTGTGTGTCAATACTAACCTAATCGTATCGGGGTTATGGCTCACCGTCAGCGAGGGTGTCAGACACAATATTGTTCCACGACTCCATACAACGGATCATATTCTTCCGGATGTCTCGCGCGACCTTGTTCGGTGGAACACGCCGTGTTCCAGAGCGGCACTGCACCATCCCGTGGATGTCGGGGGACTTCAGATGTTTGCCCTGCGGCCAGACGGTGCGCATTCGCAAGTGTTGTAGTGTAGGACTGCGAGAGTAACGGAGACTGGTAGTGGAATGACAGTTAGCCCAGTGACCGTGATCAGACTTAGGGCAAAGCCAACGACGACGCTTCTAAATACGACGGTGTCAAGACACTGTCGTCCACCATCCACTGTGCACACGAAAGCAGAGGGCGCACAGTGGCTGCGTGATTTTTGGTCTAAAACATCCATTCGAGATGTGAACGAGATTTACTCAACGACAGCTAAGTAGTCGCCATCTCACAGTGCGATGCGAGACAAGCGTCCGCTTACGTCCGGTTTTGCCTGGTCTTCCCCAGCAAAGGTCAACCGCTCCTGGTATGGGGAATATTTCGTAGACGTTCTTGTGCGATTTGGACGAGCTCTCGACATGGAGGAAACGCAGTCGTTCAAGTGAGCAGAAGAACGCAAGGCGTGCGGACGTTGGACGTGGGACAAGCGCCCATGCACCGGTGCGCCACCGAGGCCAAATATTTGTACGGGAGGTGCAGGCGGGCAAGCGCTGTGAGGGCATCGTCCACAGCAACCCCGGCAAATCCTCAAGGTGAGCACGAATCTCTGCTTAAATTCTGCATGGACTGTGTCTGGGGCGTTACGGGAGACGATGGCCTTCGAATGAGACGCAGATTGTAGGAGAATGGCTGTTGGAAGAGGGTGGATGGCATATGGAGGTGGCTGATGACGCCGACTTCGCATTTTGGGCCGCCAAACCACTGAGAGGCATTCGCTGACTTTGTTCCCCCCGTGCGTTGTTTGGTACAGATGGTGCGTGTGTTTCCGTCTGCAGCGTCACAACATAGCTGACCTTGACTTCACGGAGTGTAGAAGGTCGAGATCGACACATTCTCCGGCTACCGTATCTACCCCTCGAAGGGTAAGCTCTTCGTCCGTGGAGACAACAAGGTCCGCAGCCTCTTATCCATCCCCTCCTCGCGTCCTCACACTCCCGTAGATCTTCCGTTTCGCCAACGGCAAGAATGAGTCCCTCTTCCTCCAGCGCAAGAACCCCCGCAAGATCGCCTGGACGCAGGTGTACCGCCGGATGCACAAGAAGGGTATCACGGAGGAGGTTGCGAAGAAGCGTTCGCGCCGCACCGTGAAGCACCAGCGTGGCATCGTTGGTGCCGACCTCAACTCCATCGCCGCGCGGAGGAACCAGAGCGCCCAGGCCCGTCTGGCGGCGCGGACGGCGGCCATCCAGAAGGCCAAGGCGGAGAAGAAGGACAAGGAGAGCAAGAAGGAGAAGAAGGTGCGTTGTGGATCTGTCGGATCGTTGGAGGCTGCTGACAGTTCTCGACCAGCCTGCGACCCGCGCACCCGTCTCGACCGCACCCCGTGTATCGAAGCAGCAGATGAAGGGTGGCAAGGGCGGCCGTTGAGCTGTGCTTGCGGATTTGTCTTCTGTCGCTCTGCTATGTTATGTTTCGGCTCCTACACACACTGCAAAATGTATGGATACAGCATGCCCCCCGCGCTTATGACATTATGCCACTGCTGTGCCTCGCCACCAGGTGTACTCTCTTCGGACGAAAGATTCAGGTCGCGCCTCGGGATGCTAACGCGCCGTGATTTCCATGTGTATGATGCTACGATCGGACTTCCAGGGCTCATGTCTCCGTTGCTGACCAAAAAGAGATGCTCACAGGGCTCGGAACGATGGATCGATGTGAGTGGCCGTACTCGGAGGAAGTAACTATGGTCTCGTTCCTGGGCTCTGCGACTAGATGATATATCTTGACAGTCGGTGAGCATACCATGTTCCGCTTGTCTTTCGTTAACACGATGGTTCAGATCGATGTTCAGATGTGAGGGACCATTCTACTGCTCAAAAGCCCAACGCTTGCCGTCCGAACTGGAGGCTTTTGTGGGTATTGCTTGTTACTATCATCGACCCTTCGATGAGGGGACGGCACTGACCATCTGCGAGTAGGCAATATAAATCCAGATGCGCACTTCACCAATCTCATGACCTTCGCAGCCTTTCACAAACAAGTACTGCGTTGGCGATTCTGAATGCTTGCACTTACGTACGAAGTGGCGGCGTGTCCTTTGACTATGTAAGTGCATGCGTGGTACAGATCATCACAATTTGTAGTGCTCAAGTGAAGGACACCAAATTTATGGAAGCTAGACCTGCCCGCGTTACGTGGTATGGACTTTTTGTAAGTAATGCCAATATACTGGCAGCAATTTGTACTTCCCAACGAGTGAAAGAAGATGCAATGCTCTGGTACAGCCTCGTACGGTACATCCACGTACTACACCTGGTACCTTAGAGACACGCGGCCCCGCAAGCAAGGCATTCTCAGCACAAATGCGTATACGAACTGCCACAAACAGAAGGCTCCTCCCCCAGCTTCTGACCGCATATGCGCATCTTGCCCTGGGATTCATCTCTGGAGGCTCGTGATACGCTATCTTAGGACGTTGCCACTTCCCGCCGTCCTCGTCAGTGTTGTGCCTCCGACCGACCGACCGCAGTTCCTGCGTTCAGGAATGGCCGGAGCCGGCAGCCGTAACTGATCCTGTCGGATTTCCGACAGCTGTCGTCTTTCCCAGGCGTATCAGCCACAGCTTTGATTGGCTGAATAGAACCGGCATGTGACTCGATCACGGGCGACTGCCGCGGTGCGCGACGCGCGTCGCACCGCGGGCAAACCAGGTTGTTCGAACTCCGAAAACCCCTACGAACATCGGTCCCGCCTGGGAACCTTTACGGACTCCGAATATTGTCAGAACATGCTGCGAACATGATGCGTTTCAGCCGATTTCAGCATGTTCGGAGGCCGAACATGCGTGTTTTCGGCGAACATGCTACGAACATGAGAGATGTAGGAGCATTTTCGGAGTCAGTCAAGCTCTCCGAAAAGGTTCCCATGGAGGACCGATGTTATTAGCATTTTCGGAGCCCGAAAAACCTGGTTTGCCCGCGGTGTCGCCAGTGTTGTGCCTCCGACCGACCGACCGCAGTTCCTGCGTTCAGGAATGGCCGGAGCCGGCAGCCGTAACTGATCCTGTCGGATTTCCGACAGCTGTCGTCTTTCCCAGGCGTATCAGCCACAGCTTTGATTGGCTGAATAGAACCGGCATGTGACTCGATCACGGGCGACTGCCGCGGTGCGCGACGCGCGTCGCGTCACGGTGGTCTACGCGTTGTCCTTCGCGCGATGTAGCGTACTACGGACATTGTCAATATACTCGATCGCTTTGATCTATTGTCTGTGCTGCGACGGCAACCTGCTCATGGCTGATACTAGTACCCAAGGAGATGGCTCAACGGGCACTCCTCAAAGCCGGAATTGGTGGTGCACCTGCTTCTATGATCACCCCATGGCATACAACAGGAACTCGCACGAATGCTGCACCAAAGGAAGACAGGTGAAAGTCTGATATAAGAAATGTGTTGACAGGCAGCTGGGCCAGCTGCTTCATCGGCAGTCTGATGACCAGGTGGCCTATCGTAGATTCATAAGTGAGAGGTTACTGTAGTTGATAGATGCATTGATTTCTTGTAGCTTGGAGTCTCGATCCACATCCTAGGTACCGTAGTGCACAGCAGTACCACTGGCCCGAGATCCGTAGCGAGAATTGCCCCCAACACCTCCGAGGCTGCGAGTCGCAACCGCAAATTGTTCGCGATCGCGCCGAAAATGAGCATGCCGCCGTGAGGAACCTCTCCCTGCACCAAATTTTCTCCAGAGTGAAAGCTCAGATCCTCTCTGTGTCTGGGAGGACATCTCCGTTCCAGGCTCACGCGGCACCACACATCTTGCCGACCTCGCCATTCGCATTCTCTCCATAACCGCAAATTCGGCATGGACGTGAAGGCGCAACTCAAATGACATTTCCGTATCCCCGCATCAGAGGGATGCGTGTTCTGTTATGGTAGTGGTAGCATCTGCTAGTACCGGGACTATGTCAATCACTCTTGACAGTACTTCTGCGCCGCGTCGCCGCCGGACGACTTCAAAGGCGATCCTATGCTCAACAACAAAGCCTCCGAGGCAAGCCAGATCACTACACACTTGCGAGTGATGCAAAGTGCGCGTGATGACCGCCGCTGGAGGTTTAAACGTTTGTGAGTTGACTGTTGCTGGACTTGGCTGCCGAGGGGTGAGACAGATAGTGCAGGCGAAAATGGTGCTCATTCCTGGGTGCATTATCTGTTGCATACTGTACTATATGGCTGATTCCACAAGCCCCTCCATCCTGAGCAATTCCACCGCAAACGTACCCGTTCGATGTTCATCTGCTTAGTGCTACATACCAGCGCGCGGACGACCGCCACCGGCGGCGACATATCACGTGGATTCCTGGATTCCTGCGGGCGGAATGGTCGGATCTCCGACCGGTCAGTCGGAGCTGTCGACTTGGTCGGATTCCGGCCAGGAGGCACAACACTGGTCCTCGTTGTCGTCCGGCGGTCCCTCCGATCCACCCGGGACTGATTGGGCACCTACTAAGCAGTAAGGGAAGATCCTCTGCAATTTTCTGGATTTCACACTTGAAGTCAGCTGAACTCTACATACCTCAAGATGTTCGTATGTTTTCCATGATATTGAGCGAGTCACCCTGGGGCCACCAGGGCCACAGCCGGCATTGCAAATCCTACCGTCTTCAACTTCGCGGGTTTCTAGATGCCCAAATCGGGGACTTTGGCGCGCGCATATGTTCATCGCTCATCCCTGTTTTCCTTCTGTTGACCACCTTCTCTTCAACGCTTGCAAGCCGTATCCCAACGAGATTCTATATAACTTTAAGACTGTATGTGCGAGTTCTACGCGGCGTTGAGTATGTCACGCTGCTGAAGATTACCGTTAGGGCCACGTCGCGTCGGGTCCGACGCTCTCACGCAGACGCATCTATCACCGCTCAGGACATAACATTGACAGATCTTTCTCCCAACAGATATTCTGTATCTTCCTTCGCTAACACCGCTTCGTTTTCTGACCGAAACCACCACTGTCTTCTCGCTCTTTCCGATAGTCAAAGTCCAAGTAAAGCTCCCGCGGTAATGTGGTCCTGAACCATGCCCGCCGCCTGACGAAGACACTCACGGTCGAAATAACATTTGCCAGATCGCACACAGTGTACGCCAGCCCCGGACACACTCGACTTCGTCCACTGGCAAATCTGCGCGAAGCGAAGCGGGCGCACGTACGTGTGGCTCGTAGTCGCTGGGAGTCGGACCGCCGTGCTTCGACTTCGACTTCGCAAAGAGCCGCAATTTCCGCGTCGAACGCGGCGACGGGTGTCCAGGTGCGCGCCCCGATATGGACGTTAGCTTGTCCGCTTTCTCGCTCTCGTGTCCACGTCCGAGCTCGGTGCCCCTCTGGTCTGATCTTCCCCAGCTGATGCGGCATGATGTGACCCGTGCTGGCCCCGCTCGGTAGTTTCCCGCAGCGCTTCGCCGCTACCGCCGTCTTTTGGCACCCTCCCAGAGGACTCGTACTTATGGGTGGGCCTGATCCGGCAACCCGAGGTTTTGGCTTGGGTATCCGGACGCAGACCTTCGAGTTTGTCCGGATGAAGATCAGGCCTCTACGAGTCCTGCGCGGTGCTGTACATCAGGCTATGGTACGAGTGGTTCGATGGCCAGGTTGGGGAATCAGGCCTCGTCAGCCATACAACCATGGACGGTTGAGGGCCTCCGGACAGGATGAGGTCTCGCGTGGCTGGAGGAACTATGTCCGGACGTTGCCACCGATTCTGTCCAGACGGCCCACCCTCAAATGGCTGGTTTCTGTCCGAATTGGGATGAGGCCTCTCCCCAATTCATGGGGGTCCCCTTCCCCAGCCGTTCTCGCACACGCGTGCTACGGTGGAAGCACAACGCATGGTGACGACCGATTCCCCGGTCCACGGAAGTATTATTGCTCGTCATTCCCTACCGCCGGCCGCGTCCTCGGCGCCACAGAACCAATAAACTTTTCGTGATTGCGTAGTAGGGGAAGCCTTCGTTCGACTCGTGGTCGAAGGACCCGCGCCGATGCTTCGACTGGCCATCGGCCGCCCTCTGAGTAGTCTAAGTGAGTACTTCGTGAAAACTGGAGGCCACGTTGACTTGGAGCCCGGGGCCAAGGGTGATTGCAGCATGTCGATAGAACGTCGCGCGCGCGGGTCTAAGTGGTAAGGCGGGTCCCGTATACGGAGGTGCCATTGATCGTCGCGAGGCCCATGGCGTCGAGGGATCTGGCAACTGTACTGCTACCACTCATACGCTGCCAGTGTGTTCCCAGGTGGCAAACGGAAGTCCACTTACGGACGATCAGACGGGCTGTCGGTCGCGGCCTTGATGAGCTAGCGCTATGCCGCCGTCCGGCGCTCCGACAGTCTTGTCTCGCAGGAGGTGAGCAAACTGACCGTCATGCTCTGCGGGACAGCCACGGCCAGAGAGGTTTGTCTCACACTCCTTTCGAGGCCATGAGCTCAGGCTGAGACAGGGGTGCATCGGTATTGTATGCAGTGTATTCTTGGAAACCAGGCACGGTGGGCTGCTTCCTGAGTCAGGACGTGGCCCCTGGCATAGCAACGGCAGAGGCGAGTTGTCGAGAGGTGGGAGATATTACGGAGGCCAATTGTGGGATCAGAAAGCGCGAACAAGAGCGCGGGGCCTGGATCGAGGACGGGACGTCTCCGGGGTGTCCGACGTGCTAGCCGAAGTCAACCCAATGCGCTCGCTCGCTTGGGCCGGATGGGGCAGGTGTGCGCTGGCGGGGCGGATAGGCTGCGACGCGCAGAGGCCGCAGATGGACGAACAGGGCCGGCGGGGGACCCAGCGGGGCAGCCAATCGGCCGGCGGCGGAGTTAGCAAGCGCCCGGCGACCTGCCTTTTCGGGACGCGATGCTGTGGGCACCGCCGCCGAGCTTTTGTATGTTCTCTATCATCGCTTCGCTGCAATTTGACGTTTGCCTTCTCTTGGACCCCGACCGTGGAACCATGCGCTACACTTAAAACCGGCGGCCAACTCTCCGTCGTCGTCCCCGCCATTCCCTCGCCGCTGCACCGCCCGCCTACACCACGCCCGCACACGCCGGGCCTATATCGCTGGACAGGACTCTCCGATAGACAGTCGTCACTCACTTAGAACCGGTGAGCAGCCTTCCATCTTGTCTGCTCCGGCTAGAGCGCGCGGAGCCTCGACTTTCCGTCAGAGCTTCACCACTCGCAGCCCACACTCGTGGCGCATTGCGCGTCAGCGGGCGACGAGCGGCGGGCCTTCTGAGCCAGGTGTAGAGGCAGCGTGTCCCATCTCTCCTCCAGACGCTCAGCTAAACATATACTGACGTTCGCCCTTCCTGATTCGCGTCACACTAGGTTTTTGCTATCGCCTATAACTACACCATACCCTAGTCTACCACTCCCATCAAAGCTCCCAATCCCTGCCACCATGCCCTTGACATTGTCGAACATGCCCGAGGAGCTCCAGGAGCGCATCCTCGCATTCGCCGTCACCCCCGACATGCCTTCCCCAGTGCATCGTCCTTCGTGGCATACAGCGATCACAGGTGCTAGAAGGCCCACCGTCGCTCCTCGCGTAGCACCTCTCCTCGTTTCCCGAACGTGGCTCAGGATCGTCACGCCCATCTTCTACCGTCACATCGTCCTCCGCTCCGACAGGCAGGCCGCCATGCTTGCCCACAGTCTCCGCTGCAACCCGGAGCTTGGTCGCTGGGTGCGCAGTATCCGCGTTGAGGGCACCTACCAGATGCTACCGGACGTCGTCCAGTTCTGCCCTGCCCTGGAGGAGTTCGACCTGACCGTCGACAATGGATCGTCGAGCCCGCCTGCGCAGGGCGCGAGGTCGCAGCGACCGCCTTCGATAGATGCGGCGATCGTCCGGTTCTGCGCTAGCTTCGCGTGCATGCGTCGGCTGAGGCACCTCGTCATCCGCAAGAACGCCTACCTCACCCTGCCTGGCCCGACGCACATCTTTGAGCAGCTCGGGAAGGCTATTGGGACCTGGAAGTACCTCGTGAGTGCCCTTCTTCTGTTCCGCTTGTCTGCTTCATTCTATTCCTTGCGTCGAACCCGTCAATCGCCACGCCGCCATTGTATGGCGTCCATTGGAATTACGTCTTCGGACTACGTTCCGGGCGATCGACGACTTGGTGTAGCCCTGAAGTAGACTAGCGTCATCGTCGATTGCTCGACGCTGGTACTGACATGGCCTTGACCATCACAGGAAAGCGTGCACATCGCCTTCCGTTTCTCACCCTCACCCGCCTCTGCGTCGTTCGCCACGTCGCTCGCCTCCGCGCCGAGACTGCGAAGGGTCAGTGCGCAGCTGCCTACGGTATGGAACACAGCGCTCCTCGAGGTCAGTGCCCGCAGCATCCTAACGAGCGAGCCTCTCTGACGTCCTCCGACAGATCTCCCAGAACCCCTCGCTCGAGCGCATCCACATCGGGCCCCGCGCAGAGCTCTTCGCCTCGCAGCTGTTCATCACCGAGGCGCGCAAGCACCCGCGTCTGATGGAGCTCATCGTGGCGGGCACCCCAGAGCTGCCCACAGAGCCGCCTGCGCGCTCGCGCTGCTGGCCCGTCTCGTCCAGCCTGCCGAGCCCGGGCCTGATGTCCCCCTCGTCCGTCTCGCACCTCCCCGCGCAGTATCCCCACCCGTACGTGCACGGCCCGCACCATGCGCCGGCCCCGGCCCCCTACCAACACCTCTCACAGCGCAGCCGCGCGAAGCCGGATCACGCACACCCGCACGTACAGCACTCCCCGCGTGACCCGCGCGCTGGGCTCCCCGTGCTCGTCTCGCCGCGCAGCGCGCCTGCCGTGCGCCGCATGAGCGCCGTGTGAGCGAGTGGTCCGGGCGGCGGTCCCTGTGACTGCGCCACTATAATCGCTGTATCAGCGTCCTCTGGCGGCGCACGGGTGTCCTCGGCCACTGCGGTACCCATTGACAGTGCACGCATATATGATACCCAGTCTCGACTCTCAGTCTCAATCTCAACGCGCGCTCGGGGGGCTCTGCGAGCTCGTCGGTGCGCGTCGCATCTTGTCCGTACTCATCTCCCGCACATCATGGACCTTTGCCCGACGACCCCGTCTAATCTGCGCATCGTTCTGTATTTCTACACCGTATATTCTCTTTTTTTCTTCTTTTTGGACTTCCTCGCTTGTTGTACGCTACACCCGGTATTCTGGCTGCGTGATACGCTTCTGGGTACTGTTCTCGTCCTTGGTATAGATAGAAAACGGTGATAAACTTGGACGCTTTACTTGGCGCATGTCGCATCGTAGGATGCAAGAAGTACTGTAAATAATTGTCCCATCTAGTTGTACATAGCCTAATGTTTATTCACTATTTCTACTGCTATGCTCCTTGCACGCTGTGTTGAGTGTGTCTCATGACCGGTCATCTCCGCACGATGTCCCTTCGAAGTTCGCTGTAGCTCAGAAGGCAGGCGTAGGGCGAGCAGTCGTCCTGGAGATACTGTATGATACTATGTAACCACGCGTCGAGCAAGACGGATGTGTGCGAATTGGTCAACGGCAGCCTCTTCCGCCGAGCTCCCCGGAGAGACGTAATCGGTGCGTCCTGTCATTGATGACAGCTGGGGTACCGTGCCGCTCTTTTGGTACCTTCAGGGTCGAGGAGGTCGAAGAAGTACCGCCGGCTTGCGAGAAGACGCGATGCGGCGGCGCCGATTTTGCGCGGCGTTCCTAGCCTAAGTAGGCGTTCAAGTCGGTTGTCACATCAGAGCTAGTAGAAGATGCGCCTCGGAGATCGGAGGCGCACCGCTAAGACCTTCCAGGCAATGAACGCTTTCCTTCAAAGCGTTCCAATCGAACTTGTTCTGGTTGCAAAAACGAAGAGCAGTTGACGACGAGCAAGATAAGCTCTACCGACGCATGGATCTCGGGCCTCGGTAGAGTGCGCGGGGTTCGTTGATCGGCGAAGGCCTGTTTTCTATTTGGGAAGAGAAGAGTGGCTAACGCTCGCTGGGCTGGAGCACCTGACGACGAGCGTATTGCCGAAGAATCGGGATGCGAGACTCGACGGACGGTGCAAGGGCGCGGCGGCGATAGCTCTCTGCGCAATACTAGCATGGGTACTGTCGTGAACGGTGGAAGCTGGGCAGTGCGGAAGGGTCTGCGTTCCAGAGCTAGTCTAGAACTCACCAGCATGAAATTCGCAAGCCGTTGAGCTACGCCTCGACTGCAATTCGCGGAAATCAGTGGCCTCGAGGTTGTCTTCGAGTGTCTTCGTTGGTAATACGACGTATTCCGTAATGCCGTGGGCCCGTTACTTATGGTCCTGTGCAAATTCACTGAAAGAGTTCAAGTCATCAACGCAGGTTCCGGAGACGTAGTATGTGTGTTTCCGCCTGGTACTTGTGGCCCGGATCTGAATACGCGCGACGCACCAACGACGCACAATTGCGCTGATAACTTGGACTATGGCAGGAACTGTTGAAGGGGCGGATCAACGGTTGCTCTCGCAGAATCTGTATTGAGTGACACGATGCAGAGTGCATGATAGGCAGACCTTGGACTCATTCGAGAGGTATACTGCGCCCAGAAGTTCCCTTGAACCGAATAGCATATCCGTGCCGCGGGCACGCGGGTCCCGCGACGGTCTCCTGACGGCCGCCAGGCCCCACGACGTGCGGCATGCTCCACTGAGAGACGCGTCAGCAAGACCCCTCCGACGCGAACAGAACCTGGATGGCGAGATTGCAAGGCACGCAGGCGTTGGAGGTGTCGAACAAGGTCCAGGAGCGATTGCCTGCCTCAGTCATGGAGAGTGTTTGGAGGTTTCCTCGACTTACGGCAGCCCTGCGAGTTTCATCTGGACTCGAACCCTGCATGTCGTGCTAATTGCAGGGGTGCGATGGGCGTTGACGCGTTGACGGGGCACCCGAGGCCCTGTCATGCTATCAGCCTATTCCAGGATGAGTATGGCGAGGATGGCAAACTGATGCATACCCATCAACGTCTATCTCACTGTGGTAAGTGTACCGCAGTAGCAGTGGGACGTTGACAGATGAGCGTTGAGCGTGATACCATTGGGTCATCCGCGCTCGCCACTCGTGGAGCAAAGGAGGTGATATGTAGTAGCTGACAAGCAAGTTATTCAGGGTGTACAACGGAAATAGTTCGACTTTCACTGACCGCGACTCGAACAAAACTGGTAGTGCAGTATATCTCGGTAGCGCGGAGTCACCATAGGAGGCTGCGACAACCTGTGACATAGCGCAGTATACGCGCCCCATGAGGGCTGCGAGATGTTTGAATAACCTGTCATGCGTCCGTATATGCCATAAGTAGAATGATGCTTACTGGAGGGCGTTCAACAAACTAGCACATCAAGATGGTCCGCAAGACGACTTGGTAATGCTTGGCGTACAGCCCTCGACAAGCCTGTCGTGCCCGATGACATGCGACTTGGAAGGTGCATAGCACTGGAATCGCCGCACGCAAAATCAAGAGTCCGGTAACGCGGTTGGTAGCTGCATCAACGTATCCTCATTCGACGCGCGCCTTCCCGCCGTTACCGCTATGAAATTCTGTAGTCCAATGCCGTCAGTAACGACATATGAGTCAAGCTGTAAATCTCGCGCATCTAACGCACTTTGCCTAGCCTGAGGACACATATTTGACGTCTGTGACACCGCGCTATTGTTTGGTCAAATTGCCATCCGTCCGGCTCGAGGCGGAGTGATCTTTGGGACAAGTACCTTGCTCAAACCTCGAGCGCCGCAAAGTCAGAGCAGTCCTAACCGTCAGGCAACAGCAGATCACATTGCCATGTTTACATGCTCAGGTACTGGCAGCGCACGCAGGCAGAGTCACGTCCAGTATGATGCGTGGGCCGTTCCCTACCATCTCGCTGACTGACTGACATCAGGACGATAGCCCGCCATCCCGATGGAACGGTCTTGCGCGATCGCGGCGCGAAAGCCTTCCCAGAGCCCATCAGCCTAACCCAACAGAGGCATACGGATCAGCTCACGTCGATTTCCTTCGGTAACTCGACGCTCTTCATCATACAATCGGCAATACCTGTCCCGTAGGTCTGCAGTACGACGTCCAGTCAGGGGTACCCGTCAGTCACGAGATACAGAGCGGAGAACTGGGAGTACTTACCGGCGTTCTCTCTCTTGTGCTTCGTTTCGCAAGCTTCGTGTTGCCTGAGCAGTTCCTGGAGCTCACGCAGTTTCCGTTCGGTGACGTCGGTTTGCGCGACTATAGGACCTTGTGGCGGATAGGATGCGACTGCGGCGCGCGAGTCTTCTTGTGGTTCTACCTTGACTTGGACTGCGTTGTCGCGATGGACAGCCAGTGGGGTATTCTGGGCGGGCGTCGTGGATTGGGGAGTTGGTTCGGTAGCTTTGGTCACGGGTGGCTGCACCGCCGAGGGCCTCCTGTATAAATGTTCGTGTAAGCGCAGAGTAAGGATCGAATGTAGCAGGTCTGAGGGGATGATTCTTCGCATATTCTACGCTTATCGCGCGTAGGACTGGACCAGGTTCCCTTTGCGAGCTGCTCCCAGATCATGAGAGCTGAGGCTTCGACGGCTCGAGGATGCCGGTAGGCGCCGAATTCACGCCTACAAGCTACAAGCAGGCAGGTGTGAGGGTGAAACTTCGCGCACTGCAGACCGCAGGCACAGCGGAGCACGCTATTCGAAATACCGTGTATGCAACCCAGGTAGAGCCGAGACCGGATAGACGAGCGTATGGGATATGGTCAACGACGACTTACGATGGCACAAGTCCAATTACTGCTCTGCAGAAGTAAGCTTACCAACAGCTGTGGCAATAGTGTAGACAGCGCAAACACGTACATCTCTAGAAGCTCCAACATTTGAGCAGCGTCCGGCCTGTGCAGGAATTCAACTTGCTCCCGGATCGTCTCGACGATTGCATCCTGATCACCACCACTCAGCGTTCCACACATGCAAGATCAGGTTCGGCATGTACAGACCTTGTCTTCGTCTTCAGGGTCTGCATACCACCCACACTCGACCTTGCCCTGCAGCGAGCTCGAAAGCGCGGTCTCCTGGGGGTCGGGGAACCCAAGGAACCGCAAGTCTTGCTTGAGAAACCTGTAGTAGTATTGACACATATCTTTCGCCCTGCTCTGCATGTAGACGGCTTTGCTTCCCCCGGGACGGTAGTAGATGCGAATCGAGATCACGGGCGTCGGCAGAGTCATGTCGAGTGAAGAGCGAAGGAGGGACGATGGTAGGTAGCGGTGGAGGAAGCGGTGGGGAGACAGCGAATCTGGGAGGACAAGCAGGAAAGCATTGAAACCTGGCTATAACTGTGTCCGTGGATGTCAGCCGCTGTTAGCCAGTCGAGTTCAGCATCAACGGCGGGCAACCATCTAGCTAGTAGCAACCGGTCAGTATGGCATTGCCAGCCGCCCGCGGAGAGTTGTTCCTGTCCAAGGACTGGCTATACGAAGACATGTAAACGTATCAACAAACACTTGACGGAATGAAGAACGACGTAGGGAGGGCTATATGAGTCAGTTTACAGTACGAAGCGTACGCCGGATCGCGCTGCCAGTTGGCGCATAGCGTATACCGGTATGGTGACCATTCTATGTCGCAACATGAAGGCAAAACATCATCAGAGACGTCCCGGGGAAAGCAAACCGAATTAGAGCACATCAAAAATTGAGCCGGTGGCCCAGGGACCCTAGTTTATTGAGGGGGATAGCCATTGTCTATTACGCGGGCACCGGTAACCCACACCACTGATCAATGCTATCCCACCCAACAGTGGGCCGACCCTGGGTCGTCTCGCAATAATCCCACGATGGGGCACACAAGTGCGTGAATACCGCGAGCACTCTCTGCGTCGAGATGACTGGGTCTGTCAGCCGACCATACCCACCAGACTTTTGCATTCTGTCTGATTCGCGGGACGTCACGAGGCTGCCGTGGCAATGGTCGAATTCAGAATGTCTCGCCCGCTGAAGTACAGAGTCGCGCGGATACTTACATGTGAAGGTGCTCGAGGATGAGTGGATGCTGGACCTTGCTGGTCAACGTCTCGGCGCGGAGTGACAAGACGCGTCTGGTCCGCCATCAGATCCATCGCAATTGCGTACGCGCTACCGTGACAGGACGCGTCCGTCACGCGTCACGACGAGTCGTCGACGACTTCAGCTTGGTGTCGCACTGCTCTCTACCTTCGACTGCAACTAGGGACTCATGTGTACGATCCTCGATTTCTGTTCCTATTGTTCTGGGGTCTCTTGGGTTTTCTACGAGTCGACTCTCTGATTGGCAAACCGGCGAGGTTTGTATTCAAACCAGGGAGGCTGGCGGTGTTTTCCCTTATAATGCATGTACGAACGCAACGACAGCCCTGTCGCGGCTTGCTCTCCACTTCCACGTCTGTCCTACTGTTGTCGTGTCTTGTTTGATTTGATTCTCTGCTTTGAATCGCTCTGCAATGTCTGAATTTGCCATCACCATCCAGTACGCCGGCCTCAAGGCAGAGTTCTTCCGCTTGCACAAGACACGATCCCGCGCGTTCCCAAAGGTTTTCCTCAAGAAGGACATCCGATCGCTTCAAGTCCCCCTCCCTAGGCTGCTCTACCTCCTCGACTGGGACGATGCCAAGGTGATGTGCTACTGGAAGGCGATATGCGACAGCGGGGTAGGTTCCGGACCATGACCACTAGTGCACACGGAGACTCACTGGGATGAACAGGAGGCCTATGACATTGACGCGATACGACGGCAGGTAGACGGAATACGCATAGATTCTACTGTGCTCGGGGTTCTCGAGATGTGAGTACTCATCCGTCTCAACCCGGGATCGTCTTCGCCGTGTCTGCTATCTGCCCACCTTTCTCGTCGCTGCGGCTAACGCTCCCGCTATTGTCTGCCTCATCACACGTCGCCTTCGGGATACCCCTTCGATTCAACGATATTGATCATTTGCTGATGATACACACCGCAGTCATTCGATTCAAGAAGTTCCAGCTAGCCCGTGAGTCCTCCGTGTCCCTTACGAACCATGTACTTAACTCCCCGAGGAAGGCTTCCGCCCACCCTTATCCCAGGTGTCTCGGATTCCGTTGGCTTCTCGCTGAAGCGTCACTGCCCGCCTACTCAAGAGCAACCCAGGGCAAAGAAGGCCCGCATTGAGGCACCTCAGGCGACATCTGCTGAACCTATGGTCGACGATCTTGACGCGGTCACTCGAATTGCGTCTGGGAAACCTTCTGGAGTCACAACTGGCACTGGTACTCGGGCTCCTCTCGCTTCTGTGACGAACGCTCGCGTAGCTAGCTCTGTGGTGCCAGCCGCGTCCTCCAAGCCCCCGCAAAGCGTGAAGTCTAGGCCTGGCACTGCGGCCCAAGGAGCCGTGAAAGCCGAACCTCAGGATGACCGTGCTTTGCTTCACGCCATTTCTTCAGGCAACGCGTTGCCCGCAGTCAAGACTGAACCCGGCAGTGGTCCGCAACTCGACCCAGTGGCTGAACGAAACGCGCTGCGCCGCAAGATCGAGGAGACGCACGACCGCAACATGCAGCTGCTCGCGGACAACGCGCGGATGCGGGTGGCGATCAAGCACACGGCGCGCCGCCTGGGGCGTGCGGAGGCGGACAAGGCTGGTGAGTGCGTTGTTGGCGAGGTTGGGCTGGTATGGGGCTGACGTGACATGGTGTAGTGCTGCGTTTGCGAAGGGTGTGATAGGACTTCCGGGCTGCTACCAAGCGGTCTGGTGCTCGGCGACCGAGTCTGCATTCCTGCCTGTGCATGTCTCGACTTCCTGTACACTGCCGTGCGTTCTCCGTCTATGATATCCACCATTTTATCAGGTTGTTAGGCGTGTTCTATGCGCGCGAATGTTGATCCTGCAGACCGTACCAGGACCGTACTGCAGTGGGACCACCTCGGATCGACAGTGTTGCACGGAGACTGCCCGCGTGCATCCTATCAACGACGGCTGATGGTGCCCGGTCGCCGAGGCTGTACTTATGTACCACAGGGGCACGCGTTGCAGTTTGGTTGCAGTGACGGTTGCACGCAACGGCTCTCCCCGTGGATCGGACCTTCTGACTTATCGGCAGAGATCGCCACTTAGAACTTGAACACCCGCCGCCGACTCGGACGCTTCTTGGATGCTTCCGCCTAGGTCTCCTCTCCCTGCTAAACGGCTGTCCAAGTAAGTGCTACCCGCATTGAATGAACCGATATGCATTATGTTTCGTCAGTAGTACTTATCGCGCATGCCTAGGACGGGAATCATATAGATCGCCACCCGCGGCGCAGACCTTACTTCTGTCAGTGTCAGGCAGGTTGACTCAAGGGTCGGCCCCGAAGGCGTGGTAGCTCGCTCTCGGTAATCTCACAAAGACAACGTGTGTAAGTGATCAATAACCTGAACTCAGAGAAGGACGGCTCACAGCCCGTCACTCCAAGTTTGCGTCTAGCAGTTTAATTGAGCCCCCACAACCTCGTCGACATGGTGCCCCCTTGTCACCAGGATGGCTCGTTTGGCCCTGCATCGACGTGCAGGAATCTAGACTTCACCTTGTATTTCGAGCAAACGTTGGTCCACCGCGCCTGTCTTCAAAGCTCCAAAGCGATGCACTAACTAGTACGTGCTTCGTTGTAGGATTATGTCGTTCGCCCCGGATGGAATCTTCATCGTCCTAGCTTAGTGCGACTCGCCGCGCTTTCCCGCGTGACAAGCTTGCTAGGAGCTCCTGTGTGGCCGCTCTTGATATCGAAACTAGGCTCTGTGCTCTTGACCATAGCCAGTATCGCCGCGGATCTATTCTTCACTCTGCGAATGAAGGATCAAGGCTTGTTACCAGTATGGGTCCCTTCTCCCGCATTACAGCTAGTCGCATCCGTGAGTCGTCAATTCTTCGATGACGCGTCAACGGGACTGACAATCAGAGCACTAGATTCCACTGGGCATCTTGGTCCTCATGGAACACTTCCGGTCGCCCGCACCTAGCATGCTGATCATTTGTTACACGCTTCTCAAGAGCCTGCTCTGCTCTGTGACGCTACGATCGTACTCGAAGATCGGCCTGTTTAGCAGCGCACATCCTACCGCTGTGGTTTGGATCTTGGTGACGACGTCGTACATGCTTATTGTATGCGCTGAGCTGGTAGAGAAGCGAAGGTTGCTGCGTCATAAGGTCAGGAATCCCTGTTGATGGAGGCCTCATATTGACACCTCGCCAAGCAGGTCCTGGCTCCCGTGTCGACCTGGAACTTCATTTCTTGCTCACTGTATTTTTGGCTACATCCCTTGATGTGGATTGGTCCGAAAGAAGGTCCTCCTCACCATCGATGATTGTGGCATGATTCCCGACGAGCTATCAGCGTTGAGCACGCGCGTAGCTCTGCAGGATGCGCTGTCGACCACAGGGTACGTCGCGACACGTATGGAGGATTGTAGTCGGGGTATCTCATACATTGACACATAGAAGGCAAAGCAAATACCTGGCTCGGGCGACATTAAAGGCCTTCGCAGTAAAGTTCCTCGCTCCAGCCGGGCCACGGCTAGCGCTACTCCTGGTCACGTTTGCTCAACGATTCAGCGCCGGGGCAACCTAGAGTATAATGGCGCAGTTCGAGAATGGCTCCGTCTCGATCTCAAGGATACGTGAAATCGTGAAACTACCTCCTGAGGATGACTCCACAGTCTACTCTACACCAGATGCGGACTGGCCCTCTGTCGGCAGCGTCGAAATCAAATGCGTCAGCATGAGTAAATGGAGCGACCCATTGCTGCCGTCTTCGGATGATGCTAATTCGGAACCGACAGACCGGAATTGAAACCCGCTGTGTCAAACGTGTCGTTCCATGCTTCCGCCGGGATAAAAATTGACATCTGCGGCAGATCTGGGTAGGCCCTATCTCACATCTTTTGGGCAGCAAGGCTGACGTAAGGATATCCTGCAGCTCGGGGAAGAGCAGCATGATACTGGCCCTGTTCCGTGGCCTGACCGACTCGCTTGTATCCGGTCAGATCATCATCGACGGCGTGGACATCAACAGTCTGTCACGCTCACACCTACGCAAGGCCCTCAGGTATGATGCTGCCTCTACTTTTCTGTTTTGCGCTCCTCACAACTCCCATTGCAGTGTCGTCGCACAAGACCCATTTATCTGGCACGCATCAATTCGCTTGAACCTCGATTCAGAGGAAGCGTTCGCAGATGCGGCGATCTGGGCCGCCCTTGACCTCGTTGAGATGAGTGAAGCGGTGGCGGAGCTTCCGGAGAAGCCGGACACGATACTCGAGGACGGTGGGTCTTTGTCCAACGGACAGGTGCGTGAATGAGGGTTATATTGTCGGGCATCACGTCTGAGAATAGGCGGCAGCTGCAGCTTCTCTGTCTGTCGAGAGTGCTTCTGCGCAGGAGGACAATTGTCGTCCTCGATGAAGCGAGCAGTAGGTGAGCAGTCCACCCGCGGGCGTCACACAATACGCTCCAGCTAATGCTCCCATACGCAGCCTTGACCTCCACACCGACGAGAAGATACGCGCCGTCATCCGAACAGAGCTGTCCGACTGCACTGTCATCGCCGTGGCGCATCGTATCGGTGCGGCCCTGGCGAAGCGAGCATTTGCGATGCGCGCATACTCATGCTGCTCTCGCTCACAGCCACGATCGTCGATTTCGACTTCATTCTCGTCATGGACGACGGTGCGCTGGTGGAGCACGGCACTCCCGAGGACCTCCTCGCACGCCCAAACAGCCGATTCGCACGGCTCGCCGCTAGCCAGGGGATCGTCCGCAACCAGCTCCAATGACCAGGATACTATACCTCGTCTAGTACAGTCCAATCATGTGCCGCACATACGGATGCTACCTACACACGATACCGTTGATAGCGTACAACATCAATACGAAATGCGGGGTGTGCACGGAATGTATCGTAGGAGAGGAGGGCCCTGAATGCGAACCGTGACGCAGTTCATGCATAGGCAGGTATGTATGCAACATACATACAGATCAATACTACCACGCCGACGCGGCCCACACGCTTTCGAGGGAGCTGCGCCTAGCCTCCTCCGGCACCGGCCAGCACGTCTCCGGCGATGCGAGACATCTGCACGAACGCGTCCACAAGCGCGGGTACGATGAACGGCGCCCTGCACTCTCGACGGACGTCCGCTACGGCGGCCTCCGCGAGTTCGTGTCGTCGCCGTTCGTCTTCGAGTGCACGCTCCGCTACCTTCCGAGCTTCATCCTCAGCTTGCAGCTGGGCGCGGAGCTCTGTGGGACACAGATCAGGGGGATATTCAGACATCCTGGACCATCACTCACTCGAGATCTCATCGCGGGGCGCCGGCGTACCAGTTGTTGAGATGAGGGGGGTTGCGGCGGGAGTTTCGGGCGCGGGACACGATCCTAATCGCTTGAGCTGCTGCTCCAACGCGGTTTCGCGTGCAGCGAGGGCGGCGATCTCTCGGCGGACGTCCCACAGCTCGCGGGTCACGTTGCCGATGCTTCCAGAGCTCATGTCTGGCATCGAGAGGAGGGACGGAGGGGGATATGACGACACATCGGGGCGGGACGGGGCTTGGGTGGGTGCTTGGGGGATTGTGTCGGGGAGAGGTGGATCGTGCTGGGAGTGCTCGTTGAGACCGACGTTCAATTCTTTCATTCTGGCCTTCAACTTGATGGTAGCTGATGCTTGTGACACGGGTACGCTCGCTGCTTTAGATGGCGGCTCATCTCGCAGGGATGGTCTTGATGAAGTGAGAGTCGAGGTTCCTGCTGGGATAGTCGAGCTCGAGGGATTCGGAGAGGCGTATCGTAATCGCGTCGACGGCGGTAATCCGGTTCGTGTTCGCCAGGATGCTGAGAATACCGACACATCAGGTACAGAACTGGCCGGTTTGTTCGATATTTGTGACGCACAAGCAGTATCATCTGGAGAGGAGGACGCGTTCAATGGCATTAGTGATTGTCATCGCATGCAGTATCATGACGCCGAGAAACGGTCACCTATCCTTGAAGTAGCTGAACCCGAGGGGCAAGGCATCGGTGAGGCCGCCACTCTCGCAATGGTGAAAGTCTTCGGCGCACTTGGTGCCTTCCCAAGTTCCCATGAGCGCGCTGTGTGGGACGTTGAGTGCTTCTGATAGCTTGTGTAAGCAGCACTAGGATGCTTCACGCTCGCTGCAGTTATGTATCGCGCTTTAGCACTTGGGCCGCTGTAGCACGACGAAGGTCAAAATCCAGACCGAACTCGTATAGCCGGCTTCTCACTCAATTGACAGCCCAATCTTCGATCTGCCAAGGACGCGAACGTCAATCTCGAGTGCACGGAGATGGTGAGCCTCCGCTTACATAGACCGACTGGGCAAGCATTGCACGTCGATCGCTCGAAAAGCGGCAGATATGTATCTCTGCATATACTGATCGACATGGCACGTTGAATGAGTTCGTACACGTATCGCGACTCATGAGCGACAAGGGACGCACGCTGCCTCTATCGGTGGACCACATACACTTGATGTACCCCGACTGCCAGGTGCACGCACATTGATTAGGTGCAGGCATTCCGAGAAACGCCAGGTCGTCGTTCACAAACTCGTCCAGGTACGGTGTGACGTTGTCTCGGTGGTCTTTCATTCTTTGTGTCTTCTCGCCTTTATAGTGTACGAGGAGTAGTATGATCGTCATCGTGCACCCAGGTCATACACCTACTCAGAGCTGTTACTTGAGATGAGAAGCACATCAGACACAGTGTGTTCTCACCTCGGTCGAGTGCGCGAGATCGCGTCGAGCAATGCGCGTAGGGCGTCGCGGTGGGTAATAGGTATTACGGAATGACCGCGATTGAGATGATCCAATGGCAGCACCTATATCTACCACTGAAGATGTTTCCCGGAATAAAATCTGCTGTAGGCAGAGATGTATGTTGGATGGGATCGTGAGGGTACTTGGGAGACCGTTAAATCGGCGTTGACTCCGAGTCCCAGGCGACAGCCACCAGCAACTCGTGGACGCAATGTGGCTCGCCGGCGTGACATTGCAGCGTGGAAGCCACGTGAATGTGACATTCGCGTCGTCGCGGCTCTGCCCAATACGGTAAGTAGTTAAAGTCGAATGGCAATCCATCGTTCTTCGACCTCAACCATCACTAGACTGTCGCACCGGTTGCGCACCTCACCAGCGAACATCCTAGGATACACTCTCTTATAATTCCACTGGTACGAGTCCCTTTGGACGTTCGTACTGAAAGTAGAATCAGCCTCGTCTCACGTTTCGCGTAAAATAGTGATCTCACTATGATTCAGTGGGTTGGATCCACCAGAGCTACAATTGTCGATTCACTGACAGCCATGCGACATCTTTTCTCAGGTCTGTCATCAACGAGGTGGACATCGACAGCCCCATCCCTCCCAGGACGGCCGAACATTCGTTGGACCGGACTCGCGCCCGTGCAACCTCCCTCAAACGGTCTCACGTCGCATTATACTCGGAAACTGACGACTTAGCTACCACAGAAGAAGCAATCAAACGAGCTCGCGTCCATTTCTTGCCCGACCCCCTTCGCAACTTGAGGAATTCAAACTCAGTGCCTGCTAGCGACGTGCCAATCCCCGAACGAACCCTTGCCTCTGATGCTACCGCCGCAGAAACCGTCTTTAGCACGAGTTTTACGGAGAACACTGGTTTACTACATGACCAGCTGAACGTTGTCGCCTCAAGGCTCTCGCCGACTGTCCTTGATCTGGCTACATCCTCCGCTCCCGTTGACGGCCGCAAGACCACTGTGAAGACTTCGGGTTTCTCTGAGGCTTCCCCCTCTCTAGCGGGTGAATCTCGTGCTTGCACTGCTTTGAATGAAGAGAATGCGACCGCAGTCAGGGACGAAGGCTTCGAAACACTGCTGGCAGACTCTCTTGACGGCAACCGCACATCTCAGTCTCAGGCCTGTCGTAGTCAATCTGGTGGCTCTCGCACACGGAAACCGAAGTGCGCCAAGTGTCAAGACGAGCTCGAGCTCTGCAAGAGGCTAGAGCAACAGGTCGAGATGCTTCAAGCGCAACTGGCAAACGAAGATCGTGATTACAGCAAGAAGGCGCAAGTGGTCCCCGAGCTGATGGGCAAGAACCTTGGTGAGTTCTGCGCGGAGTCGGTGCGTGACTGTGGCTCATATCTGGCAGAGCTCCAGAGGAAGTTGCGGAGGAGCGAGCGCGAGAAGCACGGAGCCATCATCAGTAGGTCGTCGTGGTGTCGGCTGTGTGTTATCACTTGTGATTGATCGCAAACTACTAGAACGTGACGAGACCATAGGGACGCTCCGAAAGCAGTTGGGGTCGACCGAAGCCACGAGGAATGGTAGGCATCCCTTCACCTCGCGCACGGACGGTCGCTGATGGACAATCGCGACAGCATTGCTGGAACAATGCCAAATCCTCAATCGGGAGATAGCGGCATTTGTACCTCAGGGCTACGGTCCGTATTGTGCTCTCCTTTATCGGCGTCGCTAGTTGCTCATTCCTGATGGTTTGCAGATCTCCGTCGTCGCTTCATGGCCCGCCCTGCGCGTCAGAGGCATACGTGCTGTGCCGCCTCGGTTTGGGGTATGGACTTGTCAGAGTGAATTGGACTCGCATATGGATACCATCTCCGATACGATGTACCGCACAGCCTATTCGTGAATTCTCTGCATTCGAATGAGGAAGGAAACAACATCACCACTTGCACAGCCGGTGAAGCTGTGAAGACGTGCCACCGTTGTGTGCCCGATCATAAATTATTGTATGATTGACCAGACATTGTTTGGGTGGTATGGGATGTACTCAGCCCGGAAAGCAGCAGAGTGCGCACTCGAGCATGAACGGCAACGACACGAGCTCGCGGAGACCGCCACGGAGCCGTTCGTCATACATACCCGCGCTCTCGGACGCGTTCGTACAGAAGCGAGTGTGGGCCACGTCGATGTGGTACTTCTTTTGGTCTGTATGGGTGTGTGTGCATATATGCGTGCCTATGCAATGATATGCAGGAACTGCGTCACGGTTCACAGTCACGGTCGTCAGGCTGTTCTATGGTACATTCCGTGCATATACGTACACTCAGGCAAACGTATCTAAAAGGGCACCATTAAGGGATGTTCATACTATACATCGGCCCAGAAACGACAGGATAGATTGTAGTCTGTCGTCAGATCCACCACAATCGCCACCCCCGCAACATTGTGTCCAACTTGCCGTCCAGCGTCCAGCGCCAACCAGCCTCAGTCTAGTTCGAATTCCCAGCAGACCGCCGGCGAACATGGTCCAAATCTGTAACTGTCCCGCTCAGCAGTCCAGTCTCTTTGCTTTCCCAGGGCAGCATGAGAACGGTGGCGGGACTCGACTCGCCGTATCTCTCGGGAGCGATGCTCACCAGCTCCTCCTTCAACATAGCGGCGCAGCGTGCATTGTCTGAGGGGCATGTTCAGCGTGCAGACGCGGCACTAGCACCCAAGAGGACTCACATCTGTTCTGAACACGCAGCGCCTCGATCTCCCTGTCGCGCTCTGTCCGGCGTGCCGGCAGTGAAAGATGGGACGGGGTTCGAGGCGCACAGACGTACCCGCAAGCTGCATCCTCCGCGCAAAGTCCACCCTCTCTCGCCCTCGCTCCAGCTCTCTTATCACAGCATCGCGGTCTTCCAGCTCGCTCTGCAGCCGCTTGACCTCGTCGTCGCGTTCCCCGAGCGCGACGGAGAGCCTCTTGATTTCGATCTTCAAGTCCAAGGATCCCTCAGCAGAGTCCCAGCAGGCTTGGAGTGCGCAGCAGAACCTTCGCCCAGAGTCCAGTCGGCTCGGTTGCCAGCGGTACAGAGCAACGAAGGAACAGTGTTCGTCGCCAGAGGCGTCGCCGAGTCAGAGAGAAGGCTACCAGTCCCGAAGACGTCGACATGAGCGAACTCGTCCTTGACGAATGTGAAGGCAGACGGCTCGGCGGGCTGGGCCACCAGAGCGTTCGTGACTACGGGCTCAGACTCTTGCTTCACTTCCTGTGCGCCGCCGCAGATGGTGATCTTCAGCGAACTCACGCGACCGCGACTCTTGATGGTCTTGTAGGGCAGAGCACAGGACTCGGCGGATCGCTCCGGCCGGCGCGAAGACACGTCGGTGTTGATGAGGCTACCAGTCGTACTGCGTCCACGTTTGCCAGGCGAGGACGCGCTACCAGAACTGCCGATGGGTTGGTTCTCCTTCTCGTCTTCACTTTCTGAGGGGTCTTCAAGAAAGAGAGGAGTTCGCCTTGCAGCAGCAACAGGAGCAGTCGGAGGTATAGCACGCGAGTGCTCCGCGTTGGACTCCGGGATAAGTTGGGGTCCGAGGATAGCCTGAGGGGAAGAACCAAAGAGGCTCCGCTCCGTCTCTTTGTCGAGAGGAGGTGGTGTAGGAGAGGTGGTGAACTTGCCTGCGGCAGCGACATTGTCGGATTCTGGGCGTCCCTCAGGAACCACACTGTCTCCCTCCTCGGAAGAGCTGCTTCGGTGGCGCTTGGCTTGCAGAGGCTCGCTGAGTGATGGCGAAGACGACCGTTTGCGAACCGCCACTCCCGGTTGTTTCACGGCGACGGGCTCCACGACCACACTACAAGTTCGTATGCACGAACGCATGAGCAGATCGTCGATTGAGAGGTATGATCGCAACTCACGTTACGAGAAAGGATTCCATGGGGTCAAATCCAATCTCTCTAGACCGTTCAGGTCAAATGAGCATTGAGTAGGGATTCTTATGTGGGACGGGGTACGTACACGTTGAAGGCTCTCTTGGCGGCGTGATACTCCTTGGATTGCACAACCTTGCCGAGGTGTTCTTGTAGCTTCTAGCTCCGCCCCATTGTCAGCGCGAGCTATGAACCTATAGGCGGGACTCACGTTGAGGACCGCCTGCGTTCCTTCCCACACACACCGGAGGACGGTTCGATGGGGTCCGCACAACACCAGTTTAATCACGGGCTTGCGCTTGATCTTGCACGCGTCCAAGAATTCAAACGCGCGGCCTCTGTACACTTTGTTGGCGGTTCGAGCGACGCTGCAGAGCTTGGGAGGCTCCTTGGTGGATCCAGTAGTGAACGTGAACGTGCTGGTCAACCGGTACCGCCGTTCCGTTACGATTCGAGATGGTGCGGTGCCAGCCATGATTGTCGGAAAGATGGTCGATTGAAGCGAAAGTAAAGCTTAGTGTGTGGTAGTGCCAGTACCAGGGATGAATCGACGACGAGCAAGAGATGCAGCGGCGTACCTGTACGCACTGGCAGGGCGAAAGTGGTAGTTCGGAATGAGGAGTGCGCGCGTCGAGCGGCGCACGAACTACCTCGCTGCAGGGTCACCTGACGTGACATGTAGCGCAGCTGCGCACGCCCATGTACATTCTCGATTCCCAGAGGAGGACGCCCGCCGCCATGCAGTCGCTCATCACAGCGGCTTGTCCATGTCAATACAATATAGTTGCGAAGGGCACAGGCCGCAGGAAAACTCGAAAAGTTCTGCCCCGCATGACGGAGTCATGTTCCATGGTCACATCGGTAGAATTCAAGTTCAATGCACGCGACGCAGGAAAGAAATGGCTTTGATAAACACTCACGTAGCATGTTCAACAGCAGCATTTGACAGAACAGACCTGGAACAGACCTGGGCGAAAGCATCCTAGCCGGCGGCGGGTGTTCTATGTAAGTAGCAATCTCGAGATTCCCGTGATGGTGATAGCCTAAACTTCATAGCCTCCGTAGATCAAGATTACATCTCTACGAAACCTCCGAGTCATTCCCGTTCCCGCCACACTCACACCAAGCAGATGCTCTTCAGCGATGCGCCTCGTTACATAATGCCCAGCTCGAACATTACCGATGTAAGATACCGACAAGTACTCATCGCCACACGCACCGCGGCGCCAGCCCCGTTCACGTGATGCCCCAACGCCCGAACGAAATGCAGCAGTGGCGGGAACGCTCCTCGCGCTGCCCGTATGATAGTATTCCGGGGCCTCGTTCTTGTTCAAACCAGGGTGCCAGTCCCGCTTCAGTAGTGTAGTCTTCTATTGATTCCACTTCCCCCGCCCTTTGTTCTCTGCACCTGATGGCATGCGGTAGCCATCGGGTGGAACGGGTACTCCGAAGTTTAGGCTCATCATGGCTCGGCCTACTTTTTGTTGTTGCGCTCGGGATCTACGAGCGCTTGAGTCGGTTGATAGAGAGGACGCGCCGCACGTACCATTGGCAGTGTATAAGTAAAGGAACGAGCGGCGGATCTCAACATCTGAAGGAACGATACGCAACCAGACGACTCGAGGGTGCTGTGGTACTAGATAACGGCGTCGCAGTCAGTCTGACTGGCCACATTCGCATACTAGTAGGACTTACTGCGTAGCTAAGATGTGAACTGAGAGTCACAAGGATCGCAGTCCCGACGCCGAGATGGGATCGACGAACAATAAAGCTCGGCCTGAATGACCTCTACACCGCCTGTCGCTGCCAAGAGCATCGAAGCATGTGCAGTTATGCCCACAAACCTAGACGCTAACTCGCAGTTGATCTCGCTTGCACCTACAAGGTTACATGAACGCAACGACAGACCCATGTGACACAACGCAGGCACCACAGCCGCCACCAACAGTACAGTGTCATAGATGGGAAACGCACGCCAATATACATGAGATTTTTCGGAACACAGGCGATCGTACGCAGACACAGTGCATATACGCGGCTAACGCGCAGTCGATCGCGCATGCTTGGTGGTAGCCTGGAAGTCCTGCCACGCCCTCTGGGGATGAAGATCATTGAAAATCTGCATCGCACACACCGCGTCAGCACCCATACGTCCAGGCTCGGCACAGTTCACTCACAGGCATTCTCGGACTTCGCACGCTCAATCCGCTCTCTAGTCTGCTTCCTCTTCTCGGCGCATTTGCGTGTCAGAACAGGTCTCAACATGATCTCTAGTCTAAAAAACAAAACGCCGACGATACACATTGTTGAATACAAAACGAGCCATGATACGTGTGAAGGGATCAAGGATGTCCGTGCTGAAGGGTGTTCGAGTACAGGCCTGACTCGCCCACGAGCCAACCCCGTTGAATGGTCTTCGCGACTGACGTTCATGAGTCTTGACCCTGTGCTCGCATGCTGTATGACTCACCAGGGCTCTCAAAGGGTGTCTTGCACGAGTCCCTTCCCGATGAGTTGGTCGATCTTCTCCATAAGGCCTGCTCCGCATCAGCAGAAGAACTCTATCCAATGTCATATTAACAGCCGCCTGTCTAATCAAAGCCACGCTTGGCTCAAAGACGAAAGCCCTAGGACATGCCGATCCACGTCTGCGGGCAATCTTCAGGAACCACGCCGCATTGATATCTTACAACCTGCTTTCATCATATAGAGGATCATTCGCAGAACAAGAGGAGCACCTGAAGTTCTCAACAACATGTCATTATGATGTCACGCAGAAATTGCGGCGACATACCCCACGAACCTGACTCAAACTTGCATGGCGTCATGGAACCTGCGAATGCAGATTGATATCAATCCATGGCGATATGCAAGGTCAGGTGAAGGCATGCCCGGGGCTATAGGGCGAGCGAGTTATAAAGGAGGGGAACACACTCACTGCTCGAAGATACTAGTCGCTCACCATGGTGCCCGACGCCCGTCCACCACGACATTGTTTCGGTGCATGCATCTTGAAATCTCATGCCTCATTCGATTAGGCTTGCCCAGGCGGCCTTGCACTCACTCAACGCTGTGCGCGAGCCGCGTACATATTTCGACGGAGGATGCAGGACTGGTGCAGTGGAACTGAGTGGAAAAGGTCCAACAGCTGCAACGACCGTATCGGGGGCAAATCGAGGGTGATCGTGATAGCCGGGCGGGTGTTATAATCATAAGTCCCGCGTCGATCTTAGCTCCCACAATCCCTCGGGAGTCGTGCATTGACCACATGCGCCCACATCCACTGCGCGCCAGCGGCTCGAAGGATAGGTTTGGGTCGTGCAGTATCACCCTGAAGGTGGTACGAGCGTTCTCCGGCGGGATACGTCCGAGATCAAGTCGGCCGTTATGTCGCGGGGCTAATTGCCCTGGCACAGGATCATCCGCGATCGTAGCGCGTTCCGAGGGCTGCGACTCGGAGGTCTGGTTATCCGTCTATTTGCTTGACGAGGCGAGAATAGGTTCAACGTACCCCCCGCTAACCGTCGTCGTAATCGTCTGGCAGCGTCAATGACAGAGGAACAAATCCACGCACCGTGGTTCGGAGGCGCGACCACCACCAGGTCCCGAATAATGATATGGTGTTGTTCCGGTAGCATTGTGAGTACGAGGTATGAGCTGTCATCCCGACAGAAAGTGGAGTCCTAACGTACCGTCCTTGGTGGTTGTGCCAACGGCAGCTGCTTCGGAAGTGTCATGACAGTTTTGACGCGTTTTCGGTGGCTCGTGATCATCAATACATATCGTAAATAACAGACAGCCACGACGAACAAGTCACACGTTCTACCTCAGTGACCTTGCTGGCGTATAAAAGGTCTCTAAGTCGCGCTGGCATGGGCAGAGGAAGTGGCCGTCTGAGATGAATCAGCGACGGATACTATTAAATGGTGTCCACGTACTCATGCTGAGTGGTAGAACTGTATTGCATTCATGGTGTGGCAGCACGCGAGACAAGCGAGTGGGACGAGCGAGAAGTCATCTTACGAACACCTCTCCAGTGTGATGCGATATCTGCACAAACTCGTCCATGAGTGCGGGGACCTCTCGGACGAACGACGCGTTGCACACTCACTGCTTCCGAACGTCCGCCAGTGTGCACTCCGCGACATCGCGCTGATGACGTACCTGCTTTAGCGGTGCTCGGGTCCGACTCCTTTTGAGCTCTGCGCGGAGATTTGAGCTGTTTAACCCGCCGAGCATCAGCGAAAGCGAGAACGCAAGGAATGGAACTCGGACGTACTTTTAATTCCAACTTCACCCTTCACTACCCTCCACGCCACCTAGCGAGCCTCCCGATGGGCTCGGATGTGGGCCGCGCCCCAGCCGTTCAAGTAGTCGCACGAAGTCGTCCTGCCGCGTAACACCAAGTACGGGGAGCTCCCGCCGAACGTCCGACACTTCGCGCGTGAAGCTTGCCAAGTCCTTGAGCGGCGCGGAGTCCTCGTCCACTGGATCGAGGGGAAGCGGACGACGACGTGTTCCACTCGGAGGGGTAAGACTTTGCGTGTGGGCGAGGGTGCTGGGGTGGCTGGGTGCGGGTGCGTGCGTTTGTGTGAGACAAACAGCTGGAAGCGCCGCTTTCGCGAGTTGTGTCCTCGATTTCGGCGGGGTGTAACTTCTTGTAATTCGATTCGGGCGGAAGTTTGCGGTACCCTGTTGCGAGATCGAATGGAATGACTGCCAGGTTTGGACCTCTACCATCCGACATAGTGATGTCGACGTAGAAGCAGGCGGGGGCACACAAACGCGTGAAAATAGCTAGACTCCGAGGCCCAGATGCACAGGTTGCGGTTGATTGTCACTTGCGTATTGAACGTCATCTCATGTTTATCCAATATTGAGCTCACCAAAGCTTTTCGGAGTCGCCGAGTACGTCGCCTGGAAAACAGCAGAAGGCGCACTTCACAGGGAAGTACTTACCGGACGCGTTCGTGCAGTCGCCCTGCATCACCTGAGACGTGCTGGCTAGGACCGAAGGAGCACAAGCTGCGTGAACTCGAACGCGGATGTGGAGTCTATGTACATCTCGTCACGGTGGGACTCGGAGGCACGGACGACCGGCGTCTATTTGTGGATGCATTGCCTTTTCTGGAATTTCTACTGAACACTTGGCTCCGCCTTCACGCCCGTCCTCCGCATCTCTTCCGCTGTAAAAGTGCATTTCTCGACGCACGACGCCAGGAGGACTCAAAACTGCGCTCCGTACCTGTCCCGCTCGTCGCCGCTGCCCGCACCACTTTTGCCCGCGGCGCAACAAGCCACGCCGGCATCCGCCCGGCGCCGCGCATCCGGTCACCTGCCCACCGCACGTCACGCCTCCACCGCCGACCTCTAAGTACCCGTTTCTCGGCAACCCCTGCAACAGTTCCGCAAAAAACGACGCCAGCAAGACTCGAACTTGCGCTCCCAAAGGGAAACAGATGAAGTAAAGCTGGTTCCGGAGATTCTAATCTGTCGCCGTAACCACTTGGCTATGGCGCCTTAAAAACAATGCCAATGTTTGTGTATATAACTACCTTTTCAGTGGTATGGGCCTGTTCGGTGGTATGGATTGTGTTGAACAACTTTATGATTCAACGGAGACATACATTGAGCGATACAAAGCCTATGTCAAATACGACACGGCGAAAGGTAAGTAAGTTTGTTCCATTCCAACTACCGCACATCCCGCCCCCTCCATAACATCCAGTCTCGAGTCTGGCGTGCCGAGCCGACCAGCCAGATGCTCAGCCTTGGTCAGTGCACATTTCACCCGGAACACCTGCGAACGTGGTCATATCTACAGAAGACTCACTCAGCATTACTTCTGCTACATAGCTGTTCCTCCATCCGCGAAACCGAAAGGACTGACTCACCATTCTCGGGAGTGATACTGATCAGCTCCTCCTTCAACAATGCGACGGACCGCGCGTTGTCTGTGGGCGACACGGAGTAAGGTTAACATGTCGACGAGCACTGGCAGTGAAGAAACAGGTACAACTCGGGGATTTACATCCATTCTGGGCACGAAGCTCCTCGCTCTGCCTGTCAACAGCGAGCGATGAGTGCGTGGACATGGTGACACGCGCAAACGTACGTGCAAGCCGCATCCGCTACGGGTGGTCCGCGTTCTCGTGCCGCACGCGCTCCCGCAATAGCCCCTTGGTCGCATTCCTCCAGCTCTCTCCGCAGCCACTCCTCGTTGTCGCATCCCTGAGTTCATGACTGTGCTCGACTAGCTCGTCAGAAAGCCTCTTGATCTCGGCCTTCGCACCTACGGAGATCTGAGCAGGATGGACGACAGCGTCAGGAGCGGACTTCGAGAGTCCGGGCCAGTCCTCACGATCAGAGGAGTCCCGAGCCAGAGAACAAAATGGCAGCTCCAAAGGCGTCGATATCTTGCTCCGCATCCTTCAAGTTGACCGATTAGAGGGCCCAGCAAGCCAGTTTGTTAAGCCTTAAGCGTGATTGCGAGCGCAGACTCTTGCTGATCGCCGGCGCGCTGCTGCAGGAGATGATCTTCGACGACGTTACACGACCGTAGCTCTTGATGGTCTTGTAGAGTTGTACGGGAGACTCAGCAGGGCACCGCAGAGGCACGGAGGTGTTGCCGAGGCTACCAATCTGCGTATGGCTAGTAAGCAGGCGAGCGAGAATCAAACAAGGCCAGCCGATGCTAGTCTCCCGTAGAGCCAATGCGTTGATTCTGCTCTGCTTTCTTTGAGGTGCCTTCTGGACAGTGAGGCATTTGTCTTGCACCCGTGACAGATGCGATCTGAGCCAAGAGTTTGAGCGGCGAGGACAAGGCGTCAGGGCCAAGCAGAGGGGAGGGGTCAAGGGCACGTCTCTCCATCTTTTGCAGCAGAGGAGCAACCGCAGAATTGTCGACAACCGCAGAATTGTCGACCGTGGCTACATCGTTTAGCGCGGATCGCCCGTCACGAGCTCGAGACCCTCTCTCGGCGATGGAGCTGCTTCGATGACGCGGGATGGGGGCGCTCGTCCAGTGGTGAAGGCGAATGTGGTCGCTTGGGTGCTGGTACGTTCGCCAATTCAACGGTGTTCACAGGCCCTGACGCAATCAAACTGAATCATCACGAAGCAATTCCTAGAATTTTGGTTAGAGACAGGCAACAGAACGGTTGACAACTTATCTCCCGGTGAAAAATCGGATTGGCTCAAAGCCCAGTCGTCATTCAGTTTGATTCAATATTATTTTGGGCGGTATTGCAAGGCGGCGAAGTGTAGGGAGATGATGTTTGAATACGTACAGCAGGGCGAGCATATTGGGCGGCCCACTTATACTAGAGAACGTCCCGTACTCTGCTTGATGCGTACACGCAGCGGCTCAGGCTCGCTAAAGGTCCCGGTTTGCCAGTGCCGCGGCCGGCTCTCTTCCAAATGAGTCATTTGAACGCCTGTGCCACCTCAATAGACATCGTATACTTCGTCAGGGGAGTTGCCCGGAGAGCTGGAGAGGACTCGCAGGTGATTCGTTCCCAAGGGCAGGAGAACAGCGGAAGGCGTTGCTCGTCCAAGTCGCCGCGTCCAAGTCGCGTCAGCGCGACTGTCACATCCACGTGATATGTGACAAACCAAACCAGTTCAGAGTCGGCCACCCTCCCGTCTCTGCTTGAACGTGAACCACCCACCAGGTCGCACCGGTTGCGCCCCTCGCGTCGAACAACCTACACTACATTCCCTTGTAACTCTGCTGTACTACTAAGTGAGTCATGCTCGAGACGTCACAGCTCTAATCTAACGTGCCGCCATGTGGAGTAATCCAATATGCTTGAGTGCGTTGAACCTGCTGACCTACTCGGACCGTATTCATCAACCTCTAACAATCATTTATCTTCTTAACAGTTCCCTCATGGACGAATTGAACACCGCCCTCACAGCCGTGAGTGAGGCGGAGCGCTCCTTGAACCTGACTCACGGCGCAACCTCCCTCAAGCGGTCTCGTGCCAGTGCTGCGTTGGACTCGGAGACCATTAACCCGCCTATCGAGGACGACGCAATCAAACGATCCCGCACGCAGTACCTGCCCGTCTTCTCTCGCAACCCCATGAACCCTTACTTGGCTGCTGGCGACGCTGTGCCGACACTCAGGCAACTCCTCGCAATTGATACTAGAGCGGCTTATGCTTCTGGCACGCTTCTCGAGTCTGACATTCTTGGCGAGATGAAGACGAACGCCGGTATGCTACGTGATCGCATCAACGTCGACATCCCAGAGCTGTCCCCGAAGGCTCTCGAACCGGCTGTGTTCTCTGCTTCCTCAGATGGCAAGAAGACCACTGCGAATGTCTTGGATCGTGCTATGTTCTCGTTCGACATACTGGGTAGTGAAGCTCGTACCGAAGATGTCTATGCTGACTTGGTCCGTCGTGAAGTCGAGACGACCGTGGTCGGAGACGAAGACTTTGACTCATCCTTATCGGACATTCTCCACGACACGGGTGCAACCTTCTCTCAGGGCTCTGCTAGTCTCTTCGGTGGCTGCCTCGCGCAGAAAGTCCAGTGCGCCAAGTGTCAAGACGCGAAAGTTCTACGCAAACGACTGGAGGAACAGATCAAGACACTTCAAGATCAGCTAGCGACTAAGCAGCAGAAAGCGCAGGAGGTCTTCCAACTCAGTGGCGAGAACTACTGTGAGTCGCATAGCGTAGATGGGCGGGAGTAGAAGCTTATGCCCAGTAGCACTCGACATGAAGCTGAGACGCAGCGAGCGCGAGAAGCTCGAGGCCATCGTAGGTTCGTGGTCCTCGTGTATGCTTCGTGCTGTATACTGATGAGACTACGAACCACCTAGAACGTGACAAGACGATAGCGACACTTGGGAGGCAGCTCAGGTCGACCGAGGCTACCAAGAACAGTACGTCTCGCGGCCATCTTCTGTAAGGACTACCGCTCATACCCGGGGCCGATAGCGTTGCTGAAACAATGTCATGTCCTCAATCGCGAGTTGGTGGCGGTCGCACCTCTGGACTACGGTTCGTAAATCCTTGTTGTGAACGCAGCCAGATGTTCACGTCGACGGCCTGTAGACTTCCGCCGTCGTTTCACGGGCCCAGACCCGGCGAGGGCGCCATGATGTCCAATGACCATCGAGCTCGCAGTGGACATGTAGATTTGACACTCGTGGATCTATACATCACTATTCACATCTACATTGTATAGCACACGCCTATTCGCCGATCTTTTACTGAGCCAAGTGGGTCGTGCTTGTTGCGGGCAAGACAGCTCGCCACAATGGTACGCCGGACACAGCGATGATGCGTGAAATGAATCGGAGACACTGAACGAGCGAACACATTCACGGCGTACAGACTTCAATGCTCCACCGAATGCGCGAGCATGCCTACGGGGTAAGCTGTAGGTTTCTCGGCGCCGGCGTGTAAGCTTCGTTCAGCAGGCGCACGTTGGGGGCATGTTTTTAGCGGTGGGATGACTATGTGGGAAACGCAATCGATATGGGGGCAGGGAGGGGAAGACTTACTCGTGAACGATATCGGCCTTGGATCATCAGCTGCAACGAACATCGAGAGACCGCGGTTGTTATTCTAGTCAAGTTTGGAGACACGGCCGGGCGCTGGAACGCCAGTGCGAGCACACAGTCGGTGCGTCGGCCTCGGAGGCCTCCTGTTGCGCTGCTGGAGCTGATACATCATCACTCAGAGCGAAGAATGCTAGATGTAGCCTTGTCCATAATGTGTATTCATTGCCCAAGCACGAGTATTCGATACACGCGCGGCATACACTACAGCAGGCAGCGTCCCGCCGAAGCACGCACGAACGCATAGATAAACAATAAAATACCTCTTCTCGCGACCGAGCATCCACGCATCGCCTCATGACCCTCCCCGACGTTCCGTTCCGGCAGCCAATATCTCTCCCGTGAGGTGCGATATCTGCACGAACGCATCCATGAGCGAGGGGACGACGAACGGCGCGCTGCACTCCCTGCGGACGTCCGCCAGAGTGCTTTCTGAGCGCTCGCGCCGATGACGCTCCTGCTGCAGCGCGTGTTTCGCAGCGGCGCGGGCGTCGGACTCGGCTTTGAGTTCGGCGCGGAGGTCTGAGGTGAGAGGCCCGAGCATCAGCGAAAACTAGAACACGAAGGTCGAAGCCAAGTGCGGACGTACTAGAGATTTCGCCCTCCGTCGCTTTGCGCACATCCGCGACTGCATTCCGAGGGACCACGGAGGGCTCAGGCGCAGGTCGTACACCCAGCCGTTCGAGTTGTCGCACGAGGTCGTCCTCCCGCGCAACAAGCGCGGAGAGCTCCCGCCGGACATCCGACACTTCGCGCGTGAGCCTGCTGACGCTGTCCGTGTCCTTGGGTGGTGCAGAGGTCGCGCTGGAGGCGGCACTCCGCGTCGACTGGAACGAGGGGAGGGAAACCGACGAGGCGCTTGAGGGGCTGGGGCTTCGCGGTCGGGTCTGGGTGCTTTGTGCGGGTGCGGGCGGGTACGTAGGGAGAGACGGTCGGAGGAGGGCTGCTTCGGAGCTTGTGTCTTCCATTTTGACGATGGGGAGCAAGTTCTTGTGCAGTGAGGCGGGCGGACGGTTGAGGGCTTCTGTCGTGTGTGTTATCCGTGGACGGTGTTCGTGAGATAGGGAATGGCCGATGGGTTTGGACCTCTGCCATGCGTCGTCGTTCTTCCATCCGTTGTCGTGATATCCTAGAAGCAGGCGGGACAAGCAGATGTGTCAACATACGTTCGAGCGCATGATCGGCGATACAGAATGTCGATAGGGGAGGAGGCCAGATCCCAAGCTGACATCGTTCGTCCACATGATGCTGAGCATTGTTGTCCGGTTGGGATCGTGTCTCTAGCCATGCTATCTTCCGGGTTTAGGGCTGAGCCTTGCAGCACGGACCGTACGGACTGTCCTCGCTTGCCAGCCCTGACATATCACACGACAGTGGCCTTGAGGATCCTCAGTCGCTTCATCCAGATGGGACTAGGAATGAGACGGCTGAGGGTGCTGGTTTACGAATGGTTCAAGTGTGACCGCTGTATGGCTGCCAGGATAATCCGGACGATTCGTAGCTTGCGCGGATGAGTGTGTGGCTTTCCGGCCTATCATAAATCATTGCTGACACGAGACTCACTTTGTCGAGAAACGTGCGCATAATCATTCATTGGACGAGCCAGGGGCGAGGCCTCTGCTCTTGCAAAGGTGATAGACTTCGGCGCACTGGGGACCTTCCCACCCGGAGACGCATGCATCGGTCCAGTAGGTTGGGCAGCATATTTAGCGGCCTTCTTGGTCGGACCCTTGATCCCCGGCGCAGATTTATATTTATACTGACCACTGTCATGAGGAGGAGATCAGTGGTAAGCGAACGAGTGAAATGAGCTACGGATGCCCTGTGCTCACCACATTCGCAAGCCAATCATAGAGCTATCGCATGCTTCGTGAAGCCTCTCGGGTGTCGGTGGAAGGTAATGCTGCTCACATGTGAGATTGGGGCAAGGCTTCGGCGTCGATCCTCTCGTAAGCGATTGAGATGCGAGCCTCCAGGTCCTGCAAGCCACATTGAAGAGTCGGGGAACACGAGCGATGGTTCAAGGCAACACGTACCAAGTTTCCTTGCTCCCTCCATGTGCACAGCGCCAGCCCGGACAGTCCCTTACATACGCAATCCTGCGGGAGAGGCAACCCGAGTGTCTGGAGGTCGTTGCTGATGAAAGCGTCGAGGTATGCAGCCGCGGGTTTCTCCTCTTTCATCCATAACGCTTTCGGGCCCCGATAGTGAACGTACAGAGTAATCGTTGGCGTGTCCGTCATAGCTTCTCGGTCTGGTCATAGATCATAAATCAACGCGAGCTCCTCAAGAGACTTGAGCCGAGTGTTCTCACCTCGTTATACGACAGAATCTAGAAATTGTATTGTGGCGTGGATAGCTGATCACAGAGAGTGTGGGACGGGCTAGTCTGGCGGCAGAAGCAAAGATTGGAGTACAGTCTCACGTTGTTTTCAACGCTTGTTCCATGGGTTCTGGGGTGACTGAGAATGGCAATCAGATGCCGCGTGACAGGCCACGGTTGGGCCAGCCACGCCCAGTGGAATCATGTGAATTGTGACGACCGCGTGTGTCACATACGGTTGGTCACAGGCGCCTCAGATCATCTCCTGCTCATCTCGATTCTTGAGCCTCAGCCTGTCGAGGACTCCGACTCGAAGCCCTCACAGCATATTCGTCGGCCTCGTGTGGTCTCCTCACTTCTTGCCTCTATAAATTCTTGAATTTCCAAGCATCTGGGAATGCGAATCTAGCTACGTTGCGAGCCACATGCACATCGACGCAGTTTCCTCGAACCAGGCATTGGGCTAGTCCTCCCCGCCCGCTCGGGATCCATTTCGAGATCTTGGTGAATGCCGTTCAATATTTTGACGAAACTGCCCATTCATATGGCCGTGCGAATGGAAGACCGGAGAGACACATAGTTTCAGGGGAGTATAAGACAATCGTATTTTGCCTGCCAGGTGCGTATATCTCGAACTTGCGACTGTATCATAGTTCCGTTGAGCTCGTTTCAGCGGGCTTATGCCAGATGAATTTTTCCTTGGTACGTTTGGCCATGGTACTACGCGTCCGTCTCTTCTAATTTGTATCGGTCACTACACGTCCATTCCGCGACGCATCCCGCAGAAGTTGTCGGATAAGTGCCGCATAACTGTCTTCTTAGCGTCTCAAAGGTACGTCAGCAGCGGACGCCAGGCAAAGCTTCACCGTGACGCTGGGTCCGCAAGTTCTCAGTAGTCAGCATGATTGATTGAGCGGAGAGCCATCGGCGGGTCAGGTAAGGGTACTCACTCATTGACTCAGCACTGGTACGTCCATGGGTTATTGCCTCAGAAGCTGCATCTGATATGCTCTCCATATGCGCCTCTCCGTCCCCAGTCGCGTGTACGCCACATCATTCTCTGTTGCCCGCCCCCGTCTCGCAACTTCCTCACGTCTATAGAGCCCTTGATACTCTGCCACGTCTTACCCACGCCTCGGGTCGAATACGGTTGACTTCCTCATGTCGTACCTCGCGACACTGCCTCGCGGTCTTGATGGCACCTCCGAGGGCGTGTCGGTTTTGCTCTGAACGTCACAAAACTGCCCAAGCGAGTCCTGTTCTCGGCTTTGAACAAGGCCCGCGCCGGCTACGGAAGACACTCACCCCTCTCCAACGGTTATTTACATCAACAGGCTATATATGTTCACTCTCATCGACTTCCCACTGCCCAAAATCTCGTTCCGGAGAGCCCACGCCGGTGCGTACCCTGTCCTCTCCTTCCTCAACTTCGTTACTCTGCCTTAGACTGAACATCAAGCGCCAGCGACTGCTGCAAGAGGCCCATACATCATGTTCGACCGTGTGAGTCCTACGCTGTGGGCTGCTGACTCTGCTAGTCCTGGCGGACTTGCGGGCTCAACTCGTACGTGAGACTCGAAGGCAAGTATCATCTCGGAAATCGATATACAGAGAGCTGAAGCGCTGAAAAGGATAGATACTAAGATACATAGCCGAGAGGTGTGGGCGCATCATCAAGGTCCTAACCTGTCATGCATGGCGGCGTTCATAATTCACTATTCAAAGCGGAAACATTGCCTTCCGTCCAAGATCACACCATTGAGAAGGTTCGATATGTCTATTTAGCTGCGCTGTAACGCAATGAACAAGGATGACATTGGCTTCACAACGTCTGTGGACAAATGCGTACCTTTCTAGACCTCGCCGAGATAGCTCAGTTGGGAGAGCAACAGACTGAAGTTCAACCAGGTTCCTGGATCTGAATTCTGGAGGTCGGGCGTTCAATCCGCCCTCTTGGCATTCGCTTTTGTCGTTACTGAGCTTTTTTCATGTAGGCGAGGCGCAAAACAATCGCGGAGGTCGCTGGAAGACCGCGAAAGCGGTCTGAGACGTAGCGTGCAGTTGTGGGACGGCGGTGTATAATTAGGCGCCCGTCGACGCGCGAATATGATACGAGAAAGTTCAAGTTGAAGACGCACACACGAAATACTGTGGACATAATCACGCTCAGAAACAGCTACGCGTTTTTATAATGTTTGTGGTACTTCTCGTGTGACTACACACCGACTCAGTCCTGCAGTTTTCCAGGACAGCGATCAACTATCCGACTTCGGAGGCCCGGAGTGTCGCACATGCATGTTCTGGCTACTCAGCGACGTGACCAAGTCCGAGTTCCCAAGCATTAGACACGCACGGCGAGAGGCAGCACCAAGTCGAGTCACTCGGACGTTTGAAATTTCGCACTGTCCTTCGAGGACGGTACCTGACCGGCTTTTGCATGGCGCAGCAGGATCGGCGGCGGATCGCATCGATGTTGTAACGCTGAAGATGGTGGCCACGGCTTGGAAGGTCACCAAATTCAGCTACGGCACCAGTCTGCGAGGAAGCTAGGTTTAGGATTGGAGCGGTTAGCAGAAGAGGGACACCGGTGGTGAGGTTTAGTGTGCTCCATACTTCGAATCGTGCACATTCAAGTTGTGGCATCATCGTTCGCTAATCGCGGAGTAGAGTATAGATGATAACTACTTTATGAGTATATTGCACAGGGAACGTACGAATGTCTGCGCACATACAGGCGATTAAAAACGCATCGGTTGCCGCATCGAGGTTCACGGCGGGAGCTATCTCCAACGCGCTTCCCTCAGAGGCCAGCCAGCACATCCCCGGTAATGCGTGAGATCTCCACAAATGCGTCAACGAGAGCGGGTACGACAAACGGCGCCCTGCACTCTCGGTGGATGTCCGCCACGGCGGCTGCGGCTAGCTCGCGCTGCTGCCGTTCGTCCCGAAGTGCGTGTTCCGCTGCTTTCCGGGCTTCGTACTCGGTTCGTAGCTGAGCGCGGAGTTCTGCAGGACAAACATGAACATAATGCATGGAACGAGAGGCAGGACTCACTTGAGATCACATCACTCGGCGCCAGCCAGGCGGTTTTAGAGCCACCGACGGCTGGCTTTGTAGCGGAAGGTTCAGGCGCGGGCCTTGACCCCAATCGCTTCAGATGCTCTTCCAAAACGGTTTCGCGGGCAGCGAGGGCGGCGATCTCCCGCCGAACGTCCCATATCTCGCGCGTGAGACTACTGGCGCTGCCGTTCTGCGTAGCCGAGCTCGAGTTAGTCGCGGCGCTCGGCGTCGACAGGATGGAGGGCGCAGATGATGACACGCTTGAGAGGGAAGGGTTTAGGGCGGGCGCATAGGGGGTGGTTCGTGAGGCAGATGTAGCATAGTGACGATGATGATCGAGGACGACGTCTCGTTCTTCGACTTTGACCTTGGTGTCGGCTAGCGTCTTGCTGTCTGTGCTCGTCGCGAGAGGTTTGGGCTCGTCCCAGAGTGACGGCTTTGTTGTGGTGAGCCGCGAAGGATCCGGAAGGACGGAGGTAGACGGAAACCCTCTATTGTTTGACTGTTGGGTACCAGAAGGTGCTGACGAGTCAAACATTGAGTTGCAGAGCTTACTCGATGTCTGTACCTCATGACCTGTGTAAAATATGAGCGACGGATGTATGCCGCAGAATCGCGTGTCAATGCTGCGTGTATCATCATGCCGAGAACTACTTGCCTTGTCGCGACGGAGCTGCGCTTGACTGGCCGGGGCGAGCAATCGGTGAAGCTGCTGCCCTCGCAAGAGCGATAGACTTCGGCGCACTTGGTGCCTTTCCGAAGGTATGTGACCGCCCTGCGTGAGCAGATGACTGCCATGTCTGAGGAGTGTATCCAGGCGGATGCTTCACGCGCGGTGCAGTGATCCAGTGCGCTTTGCCAGCACCCCTATAGCAAAACACATATGATAATAGAGAAACCATTGAAAGAGAGCAGTGTACTACTCACAGTGAAGACAACCCGAGCATGGATCTGACAAAACAGCGATGGTGAATGTCGCATAGAGGGCAGCTGCACCACCACTCACATGGACAGAGTGAGCAAACAGCCTGCGTCGATGACCTCAAAGGCGGCAGAGATAGACTTTTGTAAATACTGAATGTAATGAGGCATCAAATACACCGGTATTCATTTCAGCCGATAGCAACGATGGCACGCACGCTGCCCTCATCGACCGACCACATACACTTGATGATCCCTGACTTCCAGGCACACGCGCACTCCTCGGGTGCGGGTAGTCCGAGGAATGCAAGATCGCTGTTCAGGAACTCGGCCAAATACACGGCCACGTCGTCTTGGTGCTTCTTCATCCGTTGTGTCTTCTCGCCTTTGTAGTGCACAAACACTGTGATCATGGTTGCCTTCTCAATAAGTTCACCTACACAGAGCTTTAGCTTTCCCATGTGAGGATGGCCAAGCGCACCGCATCTGACCTCAGTTGAATACGTGGGAATGTTTAGCAGTCACTGCTCCGAGTCGGGGACGCTTGTCCAGCGACACGTATCTACTCCTCGACGGATCGGTTTCAGCCTAGTAGCATACTGGCCAGCGTGTCAGTGCACTTAAAACGTTACTATACTCGCGAAGGCACTCACTTCAATCGGCTCTGCGACTCATGCGACTCATGCGTGCAATTTGAGGAGGTGTGACAGTGTGCCACGCGGTGCTACGCGTTGAGACCACGTGAATGTGACACACGCGTCGCTGCCCTTCCGGACTCCGAGTCCTCGTTTACAAGATCCTCGCCCGTTCTACTTATCTCCCCCCCCACTGACGAATGCATCTCATCCGCTCATTCACTCTTGTTGACTACGACTAAGCGACTTTGGCGAACCGTGGTCCGTGGATAATCTGGAATTCCCCAACTGGCCTTTTCACACAGACGGCGACACCAATGATTACTGTGTACGTCCTGCTAGATTGTCCCGAACTCTTGAATGAGATCTTCAGCTAGTAATTTGACATGCGTAGCACTCTCAGGCGACCACGACTCAGTGTTACTGTCAGCAATTAACTCCAACGCCGAGCTGGCGGGCAAGACTTTACGATCATGCGCTGCAGTCTGGACATCCTCTAGGGCTGTCTCTATGACCTCGACTCGCTGCTTGGCCCATGGAAGCGCAAAGGGTCAATAAGGAGGCGGGAAAGGGAACTGGTCCTCATAGCGACCAGCTTCATTTATGTGCGATACATGTTCTCTACGTGTAATCTTTGACCTGACATCTCCTCAGTTCCCCCGCAACATCGTGAAAGATGTGTCGTGTCTACCAACGGTCCCAACCGGTCTCCCGTCGATGTTGCCCGCTCTCGGCCAAGAGCAGCCCCTCTCACGTCTGCGCCAGGCGAGCTGGTACCTGTACTCCGTCCTCGAGGACGGCCTTCTACTCCTGATTACCCTGTTCACTTCCCACTTGCTCGACGTGCAGCTCTGGATGCGGTGTACAGCCAGATGTACGGGTACCCGACAGACGAATCGCAAGCACGACTCGGAGCGGGTTCTGGCCTCGCAGGCTCATCTGTCGGACCGTATGGCGGCGAAGATCGTGGAAGCGGCGCCAAGACTTGGCGTGGTTCCGGGTGTGCAAGTGAGCTGTCCTGTTCACTGTCGCCATACAGCGCCGAGGTTCGAGCTGGTGGTCGTTCTCCCCGATCTCATGGATCTCGCAGTTGTCAATCAAGCATACGCGTGAGCTTGTTCTCACCTGGTGGCGACTACAAGGTGCTGTTCCCGCATTTGCGGTCTCTCGATGTCTGTGCTCCAATGGCGTCTTCTCAATGCTTTAGTAGAGGCCTTCAACCGTCCGAAATTGTGGCCCTGCTCTCTGAGACCTCACCCCTCTGGATCGGCAGTAGCGGTGAACGTCACAGAGATGTTCCCGTGGGTTTTCTCGCATTTTTGCCTCCATCCGCGGATCTTCACGCTTTCCAGGTCCCCAAAGGCGCGACCCATGCGCATGATCTCGGAACATTCTTGGAAGCCACTTCCAAGAATGTCCCGAGATCATGATTGCGATGCTGAAGGCCTGGCTCTATCTGCGCGCGCTCAAGATGACGATCCTCGAAGAACTGCCGGGCAACTTCAACGAGTACCTGCCATTCCCCGTGATGCATGTCAACCCGCGAGATATGACGTTCCTGCCTAGTCCCTCGCTGCAGACCCTGCTAGTGATTGCTCGGTGGTGCCTCGGTCTGTGCGGGCTGGACATACCGCGCTCTGCTCCGACACAGCCTCCGACCAATCTATCCTCGACAAGTATCATATTATGTGATAGCGGAGGAGTTACGTCTGCGTCTGCACCACACAACTCCGCGCCGTACGTCCGCTCGCACCTAACTTACATCCCATCCAACTTACCCAGAACACCACCCTCCGCAGATGGCACGCTCCCCGCATTTCATCGCTGACTGCCCTCCAAAGCACGTGCCCACCGCGGGCTCAACAAAACGCAAGACTCCCCGGACTACCCTGGGCGCAGACAAGATGAGGTGTAGGAGCACGGAGCGCGAGCGCACCTGTGCAGCAGATCGACCAAGCCCGGAAGACCTCGAAAGCCCGGCCGACGGTGGCGTCTGCCCCGCCCGGAGTGACTAGTGGGACCCGGAAACTCGTCACTTTTTGATGTGACGGTGGACTCGTCCTTCAATGAATTATTGAAGTGTCGGGTTGCTAACGGCGACTGAGGCCTCTCGTTGTACTTCAGCCGGTACGAGTGCGATTATACTTTGTAAGGAGGCTTTCTACCGGACGAATGAATCCGCAGTCTACCAATGTTACCCATCTCGTCCCCATGCTGAGCCGCATGAGGCTACACTGGAAGGCCTCTCTGAGCTAAGCGATAGTCCAATGCTTCGCGCGCTGAGGGTGAACGTTAAACTGCACTTGATTCGGGTAGTCTACATCGCTCGCAGTGTGCATGTCCGTGAGTAGCCGAGCTAGCAGGGCCGGCGATGTCCACGACATTGATAGTCGTGTCGCGCCCGGCTGGGATACCTGCTCCGTGCTCCGTGCACCGTGCTCCGCGTGAAGGACTTGCAGACCGCGGTGTCGATGCCTCCGGACCGGACGCAACCGAGCGCAGCACCTCCACCGGACTCATCCCGCTCAAGCACACGCAGCACACCACGCTACGCGGACCACCAGCCCCCCGACCGCACACGTATGTACGTCCGGGCGGGGAGCAAGCCACTGGCAGCGAGACGACTCCGACTCCGAGTCCGCAGTCCGTCCATCCACAGGGAGTCGACAAGCTGGCTCCCCACAGGTCGCCCGGATCGACTCAGACTCAGACGCGACTCCATCCTCCATCCTCCGTCCTCCACCCGCGAGTCCGCCTCCGCCTCCGAGCTCCCAACGCTAGCCACAGCCCCGCCTGCCGGCCGGCCCCGCCCTCCTCGTCTCGCGGACGCAGAGCCACTGGCACTCCCGCTAGAGGGAAAAGTCGGAGAAAAACACCGGGGGGGGGGGGGGGGGGAGGGCAGTCGCAGGAGAGATGCCAGTGCCAGTGCCAGTGCAGCGGCCAGGGTCGCACTCCGAGCCCATGCGGATGGCGCCGACTCGGAAAGAGGACTGGAGGTTGGTCGTCGGTGCAGGAGACTCGGAGGGGTACTGCCAGCGACTGACTGGCGCCTGGTCGATGTGGCTCTGCCTCGTCCCGGGTCCGGGCCGTCCTCGTAGTTCGTGGTTCGTGGTTCGTGGTTCGTGGGCAGCCAAATGACGGTCGACAGAGCGTGCGCGCCCGACCAGCTTCCGTCCCTGTGGGCAGAGACGCACTGGCACTGGCACTGGCCAGGTGCGCCGGTGGAAAAAAACAAAACAAACAGAAATCTTCGAACCCCGGGCCCGGGCCCAGGGCGTGGTCGCGCTTCGCTGGCATCGACGGTCGGATGGACACGGGCGTCGCGCGAGGTACCTCGCCAACGCCAACGCCAACGCCGTCGCCGTCGCCCGCCCGCAGGCCTCAGGCTCCAAGCAGCAATGGGAGCGGGAACCCGAAGAATGCGCGGGACGAGCCACAGGCAGCGCGTGTCCACTGTTCGCCCGCCGCCCGCCTGAGCTCGAGACCTAGAGTGCGCGCACGGACTGGCCGGGCTGTGACTTGCCAGTGCCGGTGTCCCGGTCAGTACTACCAGTACAAAGTTAGTATCAGTGGCAGTGGCAAGTGCGCTCCGAGTCCGAGTCGAGAGTCGAGAATCGAGAGTCGAGAATCGAGAGTCGAGAATCGAGAATCGAGAATCGAGACTGGAGGCCCGGGAGGGGTCGCCTGCGACAGCCGAGCCCGTACTCTCCGCGTCTCCACACTCCATCCACGGGGCTCCTCCCCAGCGGAGAGAAAGCAGCAGAGACCCGGGGCGTCCTCGGAGTCGGCGCCCTCGTGAAACTGGAGCGCCCCGCTCGCCGACGTCACGGTGCGCTCGTACCGTCTCCTCTAAGTTCAAGTTCCTGTCGAGTTCCACGACATCGTCGGCGCTGCGAAACGGCTGGTGCGTCGTCGTCGTCGTCGTCGTCGTCGTCGTCGTCATCGTCGTCGTCGTCGTCGTCGGTGCACCCCCGGGAGAGCGCCCGCTTGCGACGCGAGCGGGTCCGAGTCGTTGGGCGGTGGCAGTGGTACACCCGCTTGAGATCAACTTGAAGTTCCCGTGCGCAGCGGGAGCGGGACGTGTCGGCCGTCGTAAGTTGTCGTCGGACGGCGCAGTCTCAGAGTCGCTCACGCGCCCGGGACCCTGATCTGCCGCTTGCGGCTTGCGTGCTGTTGGGCGGGGATACGCAGGGGAGTCTGCGGCGGTGCGTGGGTAGGCGGAGAGGACGGACTCGGACGCGTTCCACACGTTCCTCCGCGTCCGCGTCGCTGCGCACCAACTTGAGCTTGAACGCCGGGATGCACGCCACCCCGCCCCTGTGCCCCCTCGCCTGGGCGGCACGGAGTCCTGTGACCTGTCGACAGAACGAGCGCGAGTCGGGCGTGGGCTCGAGCGGCGACTTGGATGCGGATGCGGACGGTCGTCCACTCGAGCTGCAGGCAGGACTGCCAGTGCACTGCGCGGGGAGTCGGCGGGGGCGCGGGGAGTCGGGACGTGCGGGGCCGCGAAGGTGAAGCTTTGGCTGTGAAGTGGCACTGGGGGTGCGCCTTTTGGGAGGAGGAGAGAGGAGGAGAGGGTGTTGGGACGCGAGGCCTCCGGGCCACTCTTGTGGTGTGTGGTCGAGGTCCGGGTCGTCGGAAGCGACTCGGAAGATCGCGTACGGCAGCGGCGAGGTAGTCGTTCTGGCTGGAACGAAGACGGGCTTGCAGAGATGGACTGGGCGTAGGGTAGGAAGCTGGAGCGGTTGAGGTGGTGAGACAGGGCAGTGGGCGGGTGCAGGTAGGACGCACCACTGGCACGCGCTCTCGTAGGCGTAGAGCCATATACTGGCAGCGAGTTCAACGTCGTTCCGCGGACAGCGTGCGACGGTTGGGGAGCGGCGGCAGGCGATGCATACAGAAGGCTCCGCGATGACGCGGACGGACGTCTACTGCACACAGGGTCCGCGCGCATGGGCACCGCACTGAGGACGCGAAGCTGCAAGAAGGTGTCAGAGAGCACGGCCGGGCCAAAGGACGAGTGGACAGCGCAAGTGCCGTCGAAGCTGTCAAAAAGCGACGCGTTTCCAGGCCCCACTTGTCACTCCGCCGGCGGGGCACACACCAGCATGCCCACCGTCCGCGCGTGGTCTGGGATCCCTGCACGGGTCGCCCCCCGTCGTCAGCCAGCACCTTCCGCGCAGTCTTGCGATGCGTCTGGCCCGCGGTGCACGAGTGGTGCGAGGAACAGCCAGGGACGCAATGTGCGCGACTCGGAGGGGCATCTGCGGAGGGCCAGAAGGGGTCTTGTGGGCGCCCGGGGCAGCGCTGTGGGACGTGGGAGGGCGGAGGCATTCCCCGGCTATCGCGGGGCAGATCTCGGGCGATCGGGCGTCGTTTCGGTATTGCTCCCGTCCGCACAGTGCCTCACACCACGCACAGCATCGTCCTCTTCGCACACACGCACACCCCCTCGCATACAGTCCGGTTGGGCACGCGTGTGTTGGCGCGGCAGCAGAGCCACGGAGAAGGGTTTCAGCCCAGGTATGACTCCTCTTTCAGTGACTCACTGCATGCGCGTCGCATGTCCGTGCCGCAGTCCTGCTACCCACGCTCGTCGAACCGGGCGCGAGAGCACCGGCTGACTTCCTCGGAGCCAGGACGCCGGCTGCTGGGATGGTCGTTGTACACGCACGTCCCTGACGCCAACCACCCGACTCCGCAGATCCCAGGGCACGGGGGGTGAGTCCGAGTCGCAGCCCTACCACCTACCCCCTGCACGGCCCTACCTGCGCATACACTCACGTTCTCCCTGCAGCGCATGCCCCGCGTGTCCGATAGCGCTTCAAGTTCCTCGCACCGCGTCCTGTTGGGTGTAGCAGCAGAGCCCGCATACAACCGTGCACGTGGACGCGTACGTCGCCCTACCTGTGCCCGGCCCCAGACTCAGGCCCCACGTATGTTCTCTCGATATCTTCCTTCAAGTTGCCGAGGGTCAGTGTTCCCCAGGCCTTATATGCGCTCATCCATCTTTGATCCCAAGACCTCCTTCGCGCCAGGTTATCATCCGTAGAGCGACATCCCAGCCCCCGACTAACCCCACACCAGTCCGACTCGATCCCAACCTCGATCCCGCCTCCATCGCCCCCGCTCTCACCGATGGCTTGTCAAGTCGGTCAGGAAACCACAAGCGCAGTAGCCCGTTCCCACTGGTCGCGACGACGCACACCTGAACCGTCGACAAGTTGGCAGCCGTCCCCACCAGACGCGGATCGGAGGACTGACATCGGAGCAGTGGGGGCTTCAAGTTGGTCGTGGGATGGCGCGTGTAGGAACCGCCCAGACAGGGATATGATGCGCGACCAGTCCAGTCAGAGACTCGGAGGCGGGACTGCTGGTAGAGTATTGATATACCCCGTTCGAACGCCGCGGTGTGAAGGCTACTAGTACACACGGACATGCACATTGCGCGCGGTGTACATAGACCACCCGGACCCAGTGCAGTACGTGCCCAGGCCCCATACACTGTTCACTGCCAGCGCGCGGAGCGTTGGACTATCACTCAGCGCAGAAACCCCTGGCAGTGCAGCCTCATGCGGCTCAGCACCGCGGCGCCGATACGGGTACCAACCAGTAGCATTCCTAGACTCCAAACTCATTTGTTCGGTAAGTACTACTAGAGAGCCTCCTCCAAGCCACAAAGCATCCGCCGCCATTACTATAGCACCCCGGCACTTCAAGCTTCAAGCCTCAAGCTTCGAAGTCCAGTGAACGCGTCCACCGGCCTGTCCGGGAACAAAAAGTGACGTGTTTCCGGGTCCCACTAGTTGCGCCGGGCGGGGCAGACGCCACCGTCGGCCGGGCTTTCGAGGTCTTCCGGGCGTGGTCGGTCTCAGGTTGCACGGATGCGGCTGCTGGGCCGTGCTGCTACACCTCGTTTTGTCTGCCGCCGGGGCGGTCCGCGGAGTCTTGCGTTTCGTTGGGCCCGCGGTGCGCACGTGCGGGTGGAGGGCGGTCAGCGATGGAATGCGCGGGGAGTACGGGTGTGGGGGTGGCGTTCAATGTTCACGGTCAACGGTCAACGTTCAACGTTCAGGTTGGATGGGACGGAGGTGCGAGCGGACGGACGGCGCGGAGCTGTGTGACGCAGACGCAGAGGCTGCTCCTCTGCTTTCACTGAAACCGATGCTCGTCGAGGACAGATCGGTCGGAGGCTGTGTCGGTTCGCCTATAAGTAGAGCAGATCTAGAGTAAGCAGAGTACGCGAACCGCACCCATACACTGGGTAGGGGCGACGACCGACGCGACGCCTTGATCAATCGACAAGGACGAGTCAGTAAAGAGGGCGTGCGAGTCAGACTCGGACGGCGCTCCGCCCTTACCTAGTGCCGCAGAACGGTGGGTCGTGTTTGAGTCCGACCAGTACCAAGTCGCCCACTGGCAGACGTCACATCGTTGGCTTGGAGCTACCCTCTGGCACAGACTGGCTGGCAAGACCCGACAGCTGCAGTGCCTTCTTCGGGCGTACATGGAGGGATAGAGAATGAGCCCGAGCAGGACGATAGAGGTGGCGACGTACCAGGGTCCGCAGCGAAAGTGTGGTGGGAGAGGCTTGCCTCGCAGCGCATCATGCGCACCATACCATACCGTGTCGACGGAAATCGAGTCAAGCATGCAGTAGGCGTAGTGCTAGAATCACAAAGCCTTTGGCGGCAGTGACCCGGGCTGCTAGGTATCAGATGCACGTCAAGACCCCAGCTACGGCCAGACGAATGCGAGAGCACTCGCCTTGATGAGACCCGGCCCTTGGAAGGCCACTGCTCCTCCGGTGTCAGAATCCAGTGAGCAAGTCAGGCATGTTTGCAACGGCGTACGTCACACAACTCTGCAGCACATGCCGCGCGGAGACTGACAGTCAGACACACAGGAGAGACGAAATGGGGAAGGAATTCGGAGTGTACACATCAAGGACGCCGGATACAGGTATGTTCTACGGTGAATAGCAATGTACAAGATCACGTCAAGTCCTCAAGTAGCGGATCATCAGTTGTAGCGGATCATCAGTTGATCATGATGGGCGCAAGCGGGTCCCGCCCTGGCACCTCCTCGTCCCACACACCCAGCCAGTTGTACACTTCCGCCTCCTTCGAGACGAGATTGATCGCGTCCCAGACTGCCTGCTTGTCCGCGGCCTTGCGCGTTTTGACCGACCAGAACCTCGCGACAGGCAGGTTGACCGGCGGCCCCGTGTACGCCTTCGGGAGGTGAAAGACTTCGACCACCGGTATCTCCAGCACGCGCAGATCAGGGCACCACCGAGGAATCTCCAGCAGGGTCTGCAGCGAGGGACTAGGTATCAACCCCAGGTCCACCCAGCCGACCTCTAATGCGGCGGCCGTCTCGTACTCGTAAAAATCGCCTGGTACTTCTTCGAGGAGCGTCAACTTGAGTGAGCGTAGACAGGGCCAGGCCTTGAACATCGAATCCAAGGACAAGCCGTCCCTCCAGAACCTCGGACACCCAGAGAGCTCGACAGACCTGAGATACCGCAGCTGAGACAGGACGCGCACGGCAGTAGCGGCGAGCGGCACAGAGACGTCCGCTTCGAGTTCGGCGTATTTTTGCCTCCATCCACGGACCTTCACGCTTTCCAGGGTCCCAAAGGCGCGGACCATGATCTCGAAACATTCCTGAAGGCGGTCTGTGCCACATGAGGGATGAGGTCTCACAGAGCAGTGCCGCAGCTTGGGACAGTCGACAGTCGCCAGCAGAGCGTTGAGAGAATCCACAGGAGCATAGACCTCGAGAGACCGCAGTTGCGGGAACAGCACCTTGCAGCCGCCACCCGGGAGAATGCACTCGCGGGTACAGTTGATTGTCAACTCCGAGAGGTTGCGGAACCACGAGAGGATGGCCAAAGCCCTGAACCCCGGCGCTGGTGCACTCGAGTCAGAGGAGCCACGACGGAGACCACGTCAACTCACTGCAGATCCGGATCCGAGTCAAGTCCGGCGCCGCTTCCGTAATCTTGATGGCCATTTGGTCCGACACATGGTCGCGCGACCCCAGTGCCCGCTTGATTTTGCGCATCATCCCTTCCAAGTGCTCCGGGCCATACACCGCGTTCCAGTGCTGCACGTCGAGGAAACGGAGAGTGGGAGGAATGAGCAGGAGGAGGTCGACCTCATAGACCGAGCCGAGGTACCAGATCGCCCGGCGCAAGCGCGGGAGGAGCGGTCGCCCGCCGGCCATGGAGGAGAGCGAGCGCCAGATGGTCATATGAACGGCAGACCGGTTAAGCCCGTTGGTAGAGACGACGCGCCGTGCATGATGCTGGAACCGCGCGAAACGCTCGTGAGAGAGCTTGTCTGTTAGGATCTGACGACAGCTCAAGTATGCGACTACCCGTAAAGAAGAGTGGAACGCACTTGGATGGGGTCGTCTTTGCTGTCCAATACATTCTCCGCCCACTTCCTCTGTTTCCTGTGCTTCCACGTCCCGAGCAGCGCGAGCAGCGGGTCAAGGTTGTCGAGGTGACTCCAGAGGACGTCGAGCGCAGGCTCGTACAGCGCCTTGCCCGCCAGCGCGGTGTTGACGAGAGTCGGATTCCATTTGTTCCTGACGGCAGCCTCGGGATCGTATTCGCCTGAGGAGTCAATGCGCGTGGCAAAGTGACTGAAGATCTCGTCCATGAGTTCGCGACAGTTGAGAATCCGGGCAGCCATGATAATTGAATAGATATGAACTGGTCTGAGGCTAGAGAGTTCACAGATATGATCAAATTTCGCGCAGGTTTCGTTGAGTCGAAGTGCAAGCGAAATAAAGAGATGAGGGGATGAGCTGGTGGTGGTACGAGACCAAGCGCGTTTGCCGCCGTTGTGAAAGCGTTCAAGTCGAACATCGCCCCGAACTAAAGCCACGTGACTATGTAGATGCTCGCGGTGCCAAATACTAGTATTGGCACTGATGTCTACGCTATACTAGTACCATACACAAATGTAGGAGATGGCGAACCGCGTAGTTCGACTCGGAGCATCGTGTGTAATATAGCAAGCGGTCGGCGTAGTGTCGTGCATACATCTTCCTACTAGGGATTTCTAGAAAGACAGCGAATGATAACATCACCGTTGACGTTGACGTTGAGACCTCGCACAAACACAACGTACTCTTATGGTATGGCCACGAACTCCAAGGTAGACAGACTGCCCCTTTTGAACATACCACCCGGCCGTTCGGGGTCATCACAATTTCAAGCGTCGTCGCGACAACGTGCACATCGCCTGAACCGTCGATAGGTAAGTCACAATTGTCAGCCGCCCCCACCAGATCGACTGCGGAGGACTGAGGTCGAGGCAGTGCACGCTCCGGAGGCTTGGTCGTCCGACGGCGCGCGTGGAAATCCCCCGGATAGGGACTCGGATGCGCGACCCGTCAGAGAGCCGGGATGCGACTGCTGGTATGCTGAGTATGTTCGAACGCGTGAAGGCTACACACGGAGGGAAATGCACATTCCGGTTGTGAGCGATGTAGGCTCTACCCGAAGGAAGTGCAGTAAGTAGGTGCCAATACATCGCGGCCGTTCACCGTCAGCGCGCGAAGCGTCGAGCTATGATCACTCAGCTCAGAAGCCCTGCCAGTGTAGCCTCATGCGGCTCAGCACCGGGGGGCCGATACGGGTACTAACTAGGAGCATTCCTAGACTCCAAACTCATGTGTCCGGTAAGTACTAGTAGAGAGCCTCCTTCAAGTCACAAAGCATCCGCCGCCATTACTATAGCAACCGGACACTTCGAACGTTCAGTGAACGCGTCCACCGGCCTGTCCGGGAATATTCAAAAAGTGACGTGTTTCCGGGTCCCACTAGTCACGCCGGGCGGGGCAGACGCCACCGTCGGCCGGGCTTTCGAGGTCTTCCGGGCGTGGTCGATCTCAGGTTGCACGGATGCGGCTGCTAGGCCGTGCTGCTACACCTCATTTTGTCTGCGGCCGGGGCGGTCCGGGGAGTCTTGCGTTTCGTTGGGCCCGCGGTGCGCACGTGCTGTTGGAGGGCGGTCAGCGATGAAATGCGCGGTGAGCACGGATGTGGAGGGTGGTCTTCAGGTGAAGTTAGATGGGAATGTGAGTTAGGTGCGAGCGGACGTACGACGCGGAGATGTATGACGCAGATGCTGCTCCTCCGCTATCACAGAATCCGATGCTTATCGACGGATTGGTCGGTTCCCCTGTGGAGCAGAGTACACGACCAGCACCCACCGCGGTACATACACTGGATAGGGGGGACAATCGACACGACACCTTGATCAATAGACAAGGACAAGTTGTAAAGAGGGCGTACAAGTCAGATGGCGCTCCGCCCTTACCTAGTGCCGTGGAACGGTGGGCCGTGTTAGAGTCCGACCAGTACCAAGTCGCCCAGACGTCACGTCGCTGGCACACCTCGAATTGGAAATGCCCTCTGGCGCAGACTGGCTGGCGAGAGTGGGGTAGAGGATGAGCCCGCAGGACAATAGAGGTGGCGACGTACCAGGGTCTGCAACGAAAGTGTGGTAGGTGAGGCTTGTCGTTGTTCGCAGTGCATCATGCGCACCACACCGTGTCGACGGAAATCGAGGTAGCAGGCGTAGTGCTAGAATCACACAGCCTCTGGCAGCAGTGACCCGGACCACTAGGTATCAGATGCACGTCAAGGACCCAGCTACAGCCAGATGAATGAGAGAGCACTCACCGTGATGAGACCCAGCCCTTGCAAAACAACCGCTTCTCTGATGTCAGAATCAGTAAGTAATTCAGTCATGTCTGCAACGGCGTACGTCACAGAACTCTGCAAAACATGCCGTGCGGAGACTGTCAGCCAGACACAGGAAAGATAATACGGGGAAGGATTTCGGAGTATATACATCAAGGACGTCGAATACAGATATGTTCTACGGTGAATAGCAATGTACAAGATCACGTCAAGTCCTCAAGTAGCGGATCATCAGTTGATCATGATGGGCGCGAGCGGGTCCCGCCCTGGCACCTCGTCGTCCGGCACATCCAGCCATTTGTACACTTCCGCCTCCTTCGAGATGAGATCGATCGCGTCCCAGACTGCCTCCTTATCCGCGGACTCGCGCTTTTTGACCGACCAGAACCTCGCGACAGGCAGGTTGACCGACGGCCCCGTGTACGCTCTCGGTAGATGAAAGACTTCGACCACCGGTATCTCCAGCTCGCGCAGGTCAGGGCACCACCGAGGAATCTCCAGTAGGGTCTGCAGCGAGGGACCAGGTATCTCCATCAGGTCTACCCGGGCGATCTGTACTAAGGCGGGTGGCTTGTACTCGTGAAAATCGCCTAGTATTTCATCGAGGACCGTCATCTTGAGTGAGCGTAGACAGGGCCAGGCCTTTAGCATCGAATCCAAGGACAAGCCGAGCATCCAGAACCCCGGGCCACCAGAGAGCTCGACCAACTTGAGAGACCGTAGCTGAGACAAGACGCGCACGACAGTGGCGGTGAATGGCACACAGATGTTCGCATGGTGTTCCTCGTATGTTTGCCTCCATCCGCGGATCTTCACGCTTTCCAGGTTCCCAAATGCGCGAACCATGATATCGAAGCATTCTTGAAGGCGGTCTGCACCGCATGTGGGATGAGGTCTCACAGAGCAGTGTCGCAGTTTGGGACAGTCGACCTTCGCCAGCAGAGCGTTGAGAGAGTCCACAGGAGCATAGACCTCGAGGGATCGCAGTTGCGAGAACAGCACCTTGCAGTCGCCATCCGGGAGAACGCATTCGCGGGTACATTTGATTGACAATTCCGAGAGGTTGCGGAACCATGAGAGGACGGTCAAAGCGTTGAACCTCGGCGCTGGTGCACTCGAGTCAGCTCCCGCAGAGAAGCCACGACGGAGACCACGTCAACTCACTACAGATCCGGATTCCAGCCAAGTCCGGCGCCGCCTCCGCAATCTTCACTGCCATTAGGTCCGACACATGGTCGCGCGACCTCAGTCTCCACTTGAGCTTGCGCTTTGTCCTTTCCGTGTACTCGTACCCCGGGCCGTACACCGCGTCCCAGTGCTCCACGTCGAGGAAGCAGAAAGCGGGAGGGATAAGCAGGAGGAGGTCGGCCTCAAAGACTGAGCGGAGGTACCAGATCGCTCGGCGCAAGCGCGGGAGGAGAGGCCGCCCGCCGGCCATGGAGGAGAGCGAGCGCCAGATGGTCATATGAACGGGAGACCGGTTAAGCCCGTTGGTAGAGACGATGCGCCGTGCATGATGCTGGAACCGCGCGAAACGCTCGTGAGAGAGCCTGTCTGTTAGGATCTGACGATAGCTCAAGTATGCGACTATCCATGAAGAAGAGTGGAACGCACTTGAATGGGGTCGTTTCTGCTGTCCAGTATATTCTCCCCCCACTTCCTCGGTTTCTTGTGCTTCCACGTCCCGAGCAGCGCGAGCAGCGGGTCAAGGTTGTCGAGGTGACTCCAGAGGACGTCGAGTGCAGGCTCGTACAGCGCCTTGCCCGCTAGCGCGGCGTTGATGAGAGTCGGATTCCATTTGTTCCTGACGGCGGCCTTGGGATCGTACTCGCCTGAGGAGTCACTGCGCGTGGCAAAGTGACTGAAGATCTCGTCCATGAGTTCGCGACAGCGTAGAATCCGGGCAGCCATGACAGCTGAATAAATATGAACTGGTCTGAGGCTCTAGAGTTCACAGAGATGACCAGACTTTGCGTAGGTTTCGCTGAGTCGAAGTGCAAGCGAAATAAAGAGATGAGCGGGTGAGGTGGTGGTATGAGAACAAGCGCGTTGTGAAGCGTTCAGATCGAACATTGTGACAGAGAGCCAAGCATCCAATGCAAGTCAATGCAGTACTGCTGCACAGAGCGTGGACGGCTGACGCGATGACATCTAGACAGTGGAATTCGTGTACCCGAGCTCTCAGTTCAGGCCACGTACAAGACAAAGGCAGCGATTTCAAGACGCTGAACGGGTGAACACTGCCACAGTTCAATGTATGGTCGGGGCGCGCGAACTCGAGGCGCCGGCATCGGTAAGTATCAATGGTTACCGCATATCCCAGTGGTTTATGATCAAATTCGAGGATATCTTCGGTGCTTGTCACTCTGCGTCTCGATCCGGCGTGCGCTTGAACTCTCAGCCTGAGGCTGGTGGTTCTCTGGGCGACGAGCCGTGGACTGCAGTGGGATAATGGTCGTGTTACCGCATTTCGTCTACATCGGTGGCTGAGATCCCTGCCCGAAGTACGTGCGAGGTGGACTTATCCCGAACTCATACCACCTCGCACTGGCTTCCGAGTGCGCTAGAGCTCATCGTCAAACTCGTACCAACCACAACACACTGAAGGGTGATCAGAGTGCGCGGGGAGGAGATGCATTGTTGAGGGAGGAAGCAGAGTCCGGGACCCCACTGGTCCGAGGTACGTCCGCGCAAAGTAGCGTTGTTAACGAAGCGCAGCACATGGGATGCTTTGTGTCGCTGACAGTGTCTTTCGGAGCGTAGGCACGGTCGAAAGCTCTAGGAACAATCACTAATCCTTTACTAGGGAGAATCTGGAAGCGTACTCAGAGTAAGTCGGAGTGCTGGACGAAAGAGCAAAACAAAGGGCATCAAAAAGGGACCAACGCCGACTTGTGGACATCCTGTCTTTGGCTGCAGATTCCCCAGCGGCCGCTAAGGAAAGTGCAAACAAATCAGGGCCGTGCTCCGACGGAGGCCAGAAGATATTACTGTGTACGCAGGAAGTACACTACATGTAGCAGCCACCTGTCACCATTGCGCCCTGCTTTGCTTTAACTCTGTCCGGCGGTTCGTCACGTGCACTCAGCCACCTAAGACACGAGCAGTTGTGGCTCTTGTGAAGTTGTCGTTTCGTGTTGCGCCATCATCCGCCGTATATATCGATCTTATCGTATCCTACTGGTCGTACAACTCACTGCGTCCCAGCTTCAGTGTAGGGTATACGTGATAGGTAGGAAAGTGCGTCGCAGTCTACTACTGGACCCACAGAGTGACATTGCCGTCACGATGTCACAGTTGCCCGCCGCGGTTCAACGTTCAACGGCAACGTTCAACATCCTTTCACTTTCACTCACCATCGAACCCGCCGTGGTCGCCGAGTCCTAACAGCTATCACCCCGTAATCTTTGCGATACATCTGTGGCTACTCTTTCCCAACATCATGCCCAGTACTCAACCTTCAGGCTCAAGTTCCTCCCAGCAGGCTCCGAGTCGGCCCATGCCTTTTGGGATAGTCCTGCGATACAACACCGATTTGCCTAACTTCAAGTCCAGCATGTTCAGGAGCGCCTTCGACCTTCGGTGGGATCTTCACTCGTGCCATGTCAGAGAGGACCTCAAGACGTTGGGCATCGCGCTGCCTTCAGGCACAATTGTTGTGGGCGCCCCGCAGTGGAGGAATGGGGAGATCATCTGCTACTGGCATTCCAGTAAAGGGGTGAGTATTGCATGTTGTGATGTTGTGGCTTGCCGCCATCGTACACGAGTGCTGAGCGCGCGTCTCTGTAACGCAGGCCGAAGTCATCAACGACGTGCGAATGCGCGTGGACCACGTCAAGAGGAATTGGCTCTTTGGCCAGTGCAACATGTGAGTTAACCAGTTTCAAGCCATATTGTACACCCTGACGCGTATGCACTGTTTTTATAGCAACAACATCGAGGTTATATGCATGTAAGCCTACCCTTCTCCTTCCATTTATGCACAACTGACCACGAAATTACGGTGTATTTCACGCTTTGTAGCAACATCGTCCCACTTGAAGGTCCAATCCAGCAAACGACTCGGACGCAGATTATAGAACCACAGTCGACGTCGAAACACAAGCGCGCACTATCCCACAACGGCATCGCCGCGCCCACTATCCCGAAGCGACACCGTAGCGACACTCACGATGCTAGCACCTGTGACTCTGGGATGCTTACGGCCACGTCAATCTCTGCGGCAACCAACGTCGAGAACCTCCCTCCGATGGGCGCTCGTGCTCATCAGGCCTCGTCTACTCTCGCGTCTAGCTCGACTCTTCTAGGCGGTAGCTATGTTCTCCGAGACCGCGTAAACGATGGCCCTCGCTCTGATCTGGAGGCTTCTGGTGGTCCTGCTATCGCTAATGGTGTATCGACTGGACAGGCCACAAACCGCTTGGTTTCTGACGCACTGGCAGCCGCGGTGGTGCCTCCCTTGCAAATTCCTGTGTACCGCCACGGAGAACTCTATCCGTCGGTCGATTACCTGCTCAAGACAGTGGAAGCGAAGAACCGGTACATCGCAGATCTGGAAACCAAGCGTACAGGTGAGTTGAGTGCATCGGTCAATTCACTTAAGCTGACTTACACTTTGCACGACGACAGAACTGGCCATTCAGTTGAGGCTTGCCATTCTGCAAAGCGGACGACATCAAGAGGAACTCAACAGTATGTCGAATACGTTATGCTCTTCTCTTGCATACTGCTGATACGGTACTTGGGAAGTACACATTCAGCTCATCCAACGCCTCGGCAACGAGATGGTCGGGATGAGGGCAACTATCGAAGGTAACGTTTTCTATGCGCTCGTAGAATGCCATGTCTCGCTCATGCTCGAGGCTCGAAGACCTGCAGAGGCGTCACAACCGCTTGCTCATGGGACTTCCCGCTGACGCTCCTATCGTCGATGGACCTGCAGGCGAACACGGCGCCGAACCAGCCGTTTGACGAGAACCTACACTTCACTCGAAGGCTTCAGGACTTTCAGGCATGTTCACGGACCTATCGTCATGTCTACCACTGTATCTCGGTTTGTATTCTCGGATGTAACATCACTATACCCCAACTATACCCGCTCACCTATGTAGCACATGGACTATGTACACATGTATCATTTGGCTCCGTCTTGTGGGCGCATGTGTGAGTCTGTGACTGACGCCGAGGGTAAGCAGTTTGTCCGGTCGCCTATGGACGATCTCACTTGGCAGATATCGATCTCCATCTCATCCCTTCCTACCTTTGTTTCGCTCGTCACAACCTCGCATTCTAGACGTCTCTTATTCTGCCTTATGGTAGTTGTGCTTAAGGCATCGAGTTTGACCGGGTCGGGCTCGCGCCTGCTGCGGCCGTCCGATGCAGGCAGGGCGGGTGGTAAAGGGCAAGAACGGACCCCGGCGCAGTGGGAGGTAGCGGATTAGAGGGAAACAGCAACAGACGGGCACTCACCTCAGGCTTGGTCACCGCTGCATGGGACACGGTCTTTGGACTCACGGTTCGCCGGCGGTCGACGCGTATGCCGTTGCGCGTCCCGCGTGCCATGCTACTGCGAGCCCGTCACTCATGGATGCGATGTTGTCTGGGCCGGTTTGGTCAACCATGAGGTGCGAGGGGCAGGTGCGGGAAGGGGATTCACGGTGGGAGACGTGGGCGGAAGGCAATGGGCTTGCGTAACGGTAAGGCGAGAAGCCTCGAGTCGGCGAAGTAGAGCTTGAGCTTGAGGCCAAGCTGCTCGTAGTTGATGCCGCCGTGGCCGCGCAAGTAGAGGAGGGGGAGTCGTAGCGGTCGAGGCGAGATTTGGATGATGAATGCGCGCGCGCGGACATGGATGATGAGAACGGGCCAATGCAAAGTGAACCAGGAGGTACGCGCGCTGGACAAGAGGAAGGACACGTACCGATTCCGCCTTGCGCCACCGTATATTATAATGCGCTCCGCCAGCGTGTAGATCTACTGCCAACACTCGAGCAAGTAGCTGACCAAGTTGCCGCGCACTGTAGGCGCATACTAAGTGTACGTCGACGGGAAGGGAGAACAGAGCCTCTGAGCATTTGTCTCGCTCCTCCGTGACAATGCTCAAAGTCCGTGCTTCATGAAAAGGGTAATGAACAATGTAATGATACAAATCGAACTGTGCTAATACATGAAGCCCGTGGACATCCTTGATAATCGCCACATTGATCCAGAGACAGAACACAATCCTTCCCCATAGGCCGCCTACACATCGAGAGAAGATGATGCATCCACCTTGCTTCCTCCGACCAAACGATTGTACCGCACTTGCAGATCTTCCTCAGCTATGTTAGGCTCCATCGCACCATCCCGAATGCACGGACGACCCACCTGTATGCACCACCGTCATGTCCGCCAGAGTAGCCCGGAGGTCCGCGATCATCTCGGTATGCTCTTCAAAACCCCTTATGTCAGCGTCTGTGACACTGGCCAGTGCCAGTCGAGTGGGGACATACCGAGGAGTTCCTGGTTAAAGCGCTCCGCCTGCTCTTTCCGCACGGCCACCTCCGCCTTCAGCGCTTCGTTCAGGTCGTCCGTATATCAGCAGGCCCTCCCATGCAAGAAGTATAAACCCGGCGCACCTGTGACCTTCAGCTCGAGCTCAAACTTCGCTGCCTTGACGTCGTCCATCTCAAACACAATGTCGGTGTAGTGGGACCAGGCTCTGTTGCAACTGTACACGAGTCTCGCGGTGGGGTCCGGTAGGCGCTCGAGGTGCTCGACGAATTCCACGGAGTCGCTCCAAGCGAATTCCGAGGCCAGACCGCGCTGCAGATAGTCATCTAGATTGTCGGCAGACTGAGAGGCACTAGAGATTGGGAATGCCAGAGACGCAGGAGATTCTGGCTGTTCAAAGCCAGCCGACGAGACGTTCGACCCGGAGTTGGGAAAAGGAGCGGGCACGGATTTGAGAGGAGAACCAGCGGTCGAGGCGGAGAGCATAAGACTGTCAGAAGACCACGCAGTCAAGAAGCCGCTAGAGGAATCAGAGAAGCTATGAACGGAGTTGCTTTGTAGGTCCTCGGTATAGTCATGCGAGACAAGACGGAGAGGTCCACGGGCGGCGATTACAGAGGGTTTGTCTTCGAGAAGAGGGATAGAGTCGACTAGCTGTCCTTCTTGCGCGGCAGACAAAGGGTCTTTGGTGGTGTCGTTGTCAAGGGGAGAGCTGCTTGCAACCCCATCGACGTCAGATCCAGTCGAGGAGACAGTCAGAGTCCCCGAGTCGTCAAAACTTGCATCGAGTGGACTAGTACTGCAGCGCCGCTTGGGATGGATAGGCTCCTCGCCGTTGTCGTCTATGGGCCCGTAGGGCGACCGCTTGCGAAGCGGCAAAGCCTCCTGCGCATCTTCATGTTCTTCCTTCGCTATCATTGGAACATCGGGCGCGCCGTTGTCGCTGTAGGACAGAGGAGAGATAGTGGATCCGCGGTCAGTCATGCCGGCGAGGAAGCGTATGACAACTTACGCGTATACTTCGACAATCTCTTGGCTGTATGCGGATCCCGTCAGCCTGAGCAGTATACAAATACGACACTCACATCGCGTAACGTTGATGAACAAGCGATGGATCAACTCGAAGACATTGGATCCCGGACCGTGCCTCCTCGACGACTTGCGCCTACAACAATGCCCACCCTGACGTCAGCCTATGGCCATATTCGATGAGATCGGATACTCGTACCTTCTCAACACCATCCTTCCCAAGCCGCCAGACACATACGACCTCTCCGCGTCTTCCAGTCAGGATCGTCGTAGATGGAGGCGGTATCAAGAATTTCTCAAGATCTTCGCGGACCATACGCGATTCGAAGCCCTTCGAGTCATCTTCGCAGACGGTGTGCCACTCGGAACGAACCCTGTAGCTTCGATGGTTGATGTCGTAGATGACCATGACGGCGTAGGGTGAGCCGGAGCCGGAGCTTGAGCAAGGATGCGGAATAGGCATGGTAGTAGTTCGCCAGAGTGAGAGAATGGTTTCGAAGAAGGAGCGTAGTAGAAGACGAAGAAGAGATTAGGCTGGGAAATTCAGACTTGGCGATGCGGACAGGAAGAAGGAGAAGAGGTTGGACGAACCGATGCGACAAGTCAGTTGGCAACTTGGCACGGTGCAGCGTTTGAACCGTGTTGTGACAGCGCAGCGTCACGCACACGCGCACGGCGAGCGTGACGCCCAAGCACGCCGCAAGACGGACTGAGTCTCCTGCCTCTGCAGCTCTTGTGATCCAAGAAGCAATGAGGGCCTATCCAGTTGATGTCGCCCACTGCAACCCGGGTCCCGGACATCTTAGAGCTCGTATGTATATGGATTTGTCAGAGTGCTGACAGTGATGCCACACCGGTGAGTCACGGTCTCATGTCATGATTGCTGACATATACTGATACTCTGCGGAAAGCTTGATTGTAGTACTACGTCCAGGCGCAGCTGTCTACATTCACAATCGATGCACGGAGTCTGCAGTTCCTCAAGATGTATGCCATGCCAGTGTGCGTAACCCGTGTTCGCCTAGATTTGAACGATTATAAGGAGAGCCCCGTGGCTCAATCACTCACAATGAGATGACACATGGCAACCACGAACTAGTACGCAGTATCGCCTGCGTACTACTTCGTGTTCGCCGTGATATAGCGTCAAAGTCATACAATGAGGTTGCGGTGTCGTGGACAAAGGGGTGTGGATGTAGTTTGTAATTATAGGGTGCAGACTGAGTGGGCCAACCGAGCCAGAGACATTACCAGCCGAAAACACGCAGAATCTGTACGGGCCTAGAAAGCTTGGCCCGCCCCAACATAGAAACCGACGGCCTCCAACTTAGCGCGCGGCCCTTAGACGCAGCGGTCAGCACTGTGAAGATATAGAAGACTAGCACGGATCGCCTACCTGGCACCTCGGCCCTCATGTGTTTCATCCAGAGCTCTACTCGCGCGCGATCATCCCACATTTGCGTCGTCAATATCTCTATATGTCCACGGAGATCTTGCTTCCCTTGTCAGCACACCGAGGAAGAGGTACACATGGAGAGAACGCACCAGATATCTCGCTTTGTAAGTCCAGCTGCGTCCTGACGAGCTGTCGGCTCAGCGCTTCTCGCAAAGAGCCATGAGCAAACTTCGAAGGAACACAGGTGAACGCAGCGCAACGACTTACCCTGAGCCGAACGCTCCGCGTGATCGCGCCTGCCGACTGTGTCGCCTAGCTGTTGCTCGAGCATAGCATTCTGTTCTGCATGCCGAGCGCGTTCCACTTCAAGCAAGCCTCGTTCCACCTCGAGCTGGCCCTGCGCAGCTGCCAACCGACCCTCGGCAATCTTGACAGCCTCGACTTTGGCCTTGAGCTGGGCTTTCAACCCTGCAAAGCGATAGTCACCGTCAGCATCGTGGGTGGCCCTTACCTCACCGCCTTACTGTTTTCACGGGCCCACATCAGCCGCTCGCGGTTTTGCACACACGCGCCCACACGCTCCATCTCGTGCTCATGGGCCACGACATCACGCTCGAGACTCACAACTTTTACCTCGGCGGCGGTTGCGGCGGCCACGGCACGCTGCAAACAATCCTTGAGGTCATCGAGCGGGCCGGGCATATGTCTGTTGCGAGCGTCTTGGTTGGCCCGAGCCTCCTGATACGGCGGCGGTGCATTCTCCTGCCGGTGGGTGGTACCAGTTGGCACGAGGGCTTGAGCGTCGTCCGTGACTTCTTGCTTGATCGCCACTCCAGTGCCGGGTGCAGCAGCCCCGGTAGGAATAGCGCGAACAGCGGTACTCGTGGGCTTGGTGGTCTGGTTTTGTCCTGGTCCGGCCTGAGCGACGGCGCGTGGAATATTCTCGATGGGAGCCAACACGTTAGTTCCCCGGGAATGTTGAGGGGCCCGGACACCCGGACGTGTGGCTGCAGCGAAAGGCTGAAACTGAGGAACCTCGGTAGATTTGTTGACGCCCGGAACAGTGCATCCAGATCGGTCGCCAGTAGTACGCTGGGCCTCCCCGTCCTCCCGAAGACGCTTGCCGTGGGGCCCGGCATCGTTGTCGAAGGACGGGGAGCGCGATCGCTTTGTCGACCCGGACGACTGAGCTTGGGCGGCGGGCGGTGCTTCCGGCGTGCCGCTAGGTCGTCCTAATTCCTCATCTCTTCACGTTCTGTCAGCCTCCGCGACTTTGCGCAGAAAGACAATAAGACAAACCGAATCTCGGCCTGAACCTTCGAACTGAACGGTTTGAAATTTTGATAAGCATACGAGCTCTGGGGGCTACGTTGTGGATGCACTCACATATTCATGGCCTGTAGTCTGTTATTGTATGACCTGAGCTCCGTCCCGCGCCGTGTCCTACTCGGAAGAAACTGTGCGACAGCGGCGCGCTGCGGATAGACGTCAAGGGTGAGCGATGATTTTCTCTGTCACAGAATTGAGAGGCTTGCCACAGAATCAGTGTTACCCAGATGAGGGACCACATTCCACGTGCATCGGAGCACCAGCCCGCTATCTTCCCAAAAGCTTGTGATGACGGGTGGAACATGATGCTGTGGAATACCGAGGTTCCGGAGGTCGGCTGCGAGTACTGCCTCGACGCGATACTTGTGCTCGAGTTCTCTATGCTGGCGGGCCAACCTCTTCTTCTCGCCGCTGTAGTGGATATCCAAGATGTAATGTTGCATATTTGGGTGTGCTTAGGTGTAGTATGTGTCGCCGCCGAAAAGAAAGGATAGGTGGTAGAGAAGAACCGAGGATGAGCGCGCCGGTTCTTGGAGTGATGGCGGCTGGAGCGAAGCTCAGCCCAGGTTCTGAGACCGACCATGCCGCTTCGCTGTCAGCCACCATCTCTCACTGCACGTCACCACATCGGGCTGCATCGTGACAGAGTAACGATACCTCGGCGTGCCTTCCTCGAGTGCCAGAGCGGCCCCTGCATGGTGATACTTGTGCAGCCTGATTGTGATGCAGTCAACATCGCTCGGAGAGTCGACGGCGGGAGACCTGCTGTCAGCGCTCTGGCAGCGGCAACTTATAAATTATTGCCGAGGGTTCTCTCGGGCTCGTGCGCCAATATATGTCAACACAATCACGGTTTCTTGGCAACTACGGCTGTAGCACTTCAAGCCCACTAGTATCATAGTTAGCCGTTAGGCGTAACGCAACGGATAATACGAATGCAAACCCGAATGTCATTGTCGTCAATTTCCGCAACCGGTACGACTTCTGGGCCACCTCCAAGCTGAATGACACTAGTGATATACGAGCATGAGACGTCGACAGCGTTGGCAGATGTGAAGCTTGGCCGACGGCGGTTTGGGATCCACATGTGGCGAATCACGTTCGGTGTCCTGATCCTGTTTAGGAAGGTTGAACGACGTCGCTGATTGCTCTGACCATGGCCCCACGGGTGTCCCTCTGTAAAACCACTCACCCTGGATGACGCACTCGAGAGCGCAGAAAAAATTGACGTGCATTGAAACCAAGCCTTGCGAAGAAGAGCTGGCATCAGAATAAAATGTCAAAAAGTGTGAGGCAGCGCATCCCGAACCCGAGGGAGCGCGCGCACCGGTACCCATGTACAGTGCACGGCCCGCGCCATCAGTCACCACTTGGCCAAGTGAACGAGTTTTCTAAGCTGCAAACCTGGTGAAGTCCCCATCTTGGATTGCCTTTTCGGGAATTTTAATGTGTCATCGTGCTGCGTCGTTCGTGTTCCACGGACTGACACTGCCAGCGGTGAGACCGGTAACGCCTTGAGGTCGTGAATGCTCGAGCCCGCCAGTTTCAAATTCAAGCTTGTGGGTTCGAATGTGACGCGAACGGCCTGTGTGGTGTGATTAGCTAGAGCGGAATGTCAACTACTTACAAGGAACATCAGACGGGTGCTTCGGTGGGAACGACACGGAGGCATTCAACGAGGCGCCCCTTGGCGATCTCCAGATCGCGAGCAGGTTTAGATTTTAGGTCCGATGCATGCGCCGCGGAGCTTTTCCCTCTACGACCAAACGGCCGTAGTCCTCACGACAGATAAACTGTACCACCTGTCCTCCAGAACGCGCAGTAGGGAGCATCACAAACTTGGTATAAGGGGCTTGCTTGATTCCGAGCTGTGTTTCTGAAAACATGAGCACTTCGGTCCTCAAAATATCCGAGTCTGTGAGTAGTTAAATTACGACTGACCGGGGATCTTCAGTACTCAGTGCTTGGGTACGACGTCATGCTTCTGAAAGCTTTGGACGTCGGTATACACATCACGCACTTCATCAGCGAATTCATTCATTGCTAGCCTTCAACCGCGCAAGCAAACCTACCTAAGCCGGAGTTAGCGAGCTTCACTCTCAATGTGCGCGGAAGACTCACACGTCGCCTCTGCCTCCGGGCCCCTCTATCTTCATGTTAAGCCGCGTTAAAGTACATCAATTGCTTGAACAGCACCGTTAACTTCTGTGCGTCACGTCGCATGTCCGTAAAACTTCTAGCCAGCCGAGCATCATTGCGAAATTATTGCGCATGGACCCGCTGAGGGAACGAAAAAGGTGAGCGGGAGTATCACGCTGGTTGACGTCGCCGATGGCAAGCTGGCAGCTGTACGGGTTCGGACTCCATAGTGGTGAATCACCTCCCGATTAGGAAGGTTGAGCGACGTCGTACGCTGCCACGATCGCGGCTTCACCGGGACCACTTGAGAAAATCACACAGCACGTACCATGCACTGAGCATTGCACGAGAATGTTGTGGACATCGAGACCAACACGTTGGGAGATGATCTGCGGCAGAAAAAATGATGTAAAAAGTGTGAGGCAGCGCATCTCGAACCCGAGGGAGCGCGCGCACCGCAGCCCATGCAGTGCACGGCCCGCGCCATCAGTCACCACTTGGCCAAGTGAATGAGTTTTCTAAGCTGCAAACCTGATCAAGTCCCCATCTTGGATTGCCTTTTTCGGGAATTTTGTTGTGTCATCCTGCTGCGTCGTTCGTGTTCCACGGACTGACACTGCCAGCGGTGAGGCCGGTAACGCCTTGAGGTCGTGAATGCTCGAACCCGCCAGTTTCAAATTCAAGCTTGTGGGTTTGAATGTGACGCGAACGACCTGTGTGGTGTGATTAGCTAGAGTGGAAGTCAAACTACAATGAACATCAGACGGGTGCTTCGGCGGGAACGACACGGAGGCATTCAAAGCGCCCCTTGGCGATCTCCAGATCGCGAGAGGGTTTATGTCAAGTTCGGGTCCAATACTTGCGCCGCGGAGCTTATTCTGCCCTAGCCAAGATCACATCTCTGTCAAACGGCTGTTACCCGTGGTCCTCACGACAGATAAATTATACCACATGTCCTCCAGATTGCGTAGTAGGGGGCATCACAAGCTTGGTATAAGGGGATTCCTTGACTCCGAGCTGTGTATCTGCAAACATGAGCACCTCAATATGGTATGCGAGCAGTAATGACTGACCGGGGATCTTCGCTTGCCAGTGTGTACGACGTCATCCCTCCGAAAGCTCTGCAATGGACGTCGGGATACACATCACGGTATTGATCAACAAACTCACTTACTGCTAGTCTTCAACCGCGTAAGCAAACCTACCTGGAGACGCAGCGGACTGAGCGAGTTTCACTCTCAACGTGTGCAGAAGACTCACACGTCGCCTCTCCCTCCGGGCCCCTCTTTCTTCATGTTAACCCTCGTTAATGTACATCAATGGCTTGGACTACTCTCAAGGGGTAATCCGATGAACCATGCGCACAAGACCGTCCACAACGATGTGCCAACGCTGCGGCTTACAGCGTAGGCTGGTCCATCTACTCGATGATCTCCCATGAGGCCGAGAGAGATCTGACTTGAGAGCACTGTGAACAGGGGAAGCATTGGGAAGCACTTGCGGCCGACAACTCGCCCCTACAGGCACTATGGTCCGGTACGTATGACGTCAGTCGGGTTCAGATGAACAGTGAGAAAAACGAACGACCATGAAGCAACGAGGGCCCACGATCTTCGCCTGGGATGATTTCGACTCGGACAACCCTTGGAGCTCTGCGAACGGGATCTATGAACAACTCGGAGTCAAATGCTGCATGTGAGAATGCGGTCTTCCGCTCCGTCGTATGACAACTTCCCTCCCACCTCGCTTTCGACTAGATCACATTCCAATAGTCAAGCCCCGTCACGGTGACTCATCTTCGCAAAGCCTTTCCTTGAGGCGCCCCAGGCCTTCCCCATCGCATCCTCCCACACAACGCCAGCGAAGGGAACACGCACAGCGCAACTTGAAGGTAGTACAACTGCCACCCACCGCCGAACCCAATTCGAGAGTCAGCTTCAGCCCGGACTTGAACAATAGGGGGACGCAGAGGAGAGGGCGGAGGACGATGGGGTCATTGAAGCGGGCATAATGGTCGTCTACAGCACTTCAGCAACACAAATACAGTACAAGACCGTGTACACGTAGCACCAGACGTGTGTTCAGGCGGGTACAACATACCCACAATAATGATACCACGCCTATCCTCTCGTCCCAGTCCCACTACACCTTGATGCCCCGTTCCGGGTCGCTGAGCGCCGCGATCTGGATGAACGCGTCCATCAACGCCGGCACGACGAAAGGCGCCGCACACTCTCGGCGCGCATCCGCGAGCACGCCCTCCACTCGCTCGCGGCGCCGCCTTTCCTCGTGCAGGGCGGCCTCCGCGCCGCGCCGCGCCTCCGTCTCGGCTTGCAGCTGCGCGCGAAGGGCTTCGCATCCGACGACCGCTGTCAGCGACGAGTTTCCCACTTCGCCTGCCCACGCACCTTCAACCGCGTCCTGAGCCGGGTCGTCGCGGTGACGCTCCGGCGACCCCAGCCTCTCCTGCTCTCTGATCCACTCTGGGCCTTGCCTCTTCGCCCGCTCGAGCTGCTCGACCAACGCCGCCTCCCGCGCGCGCAGCGCCGCCATCTCCCTCCGCACGTCCCACACCTCTCGTGTCAGCGCGCCCGCTGCGCTGGAAGCTGTCATCGTCGAGCTCGCGGTCGTCGCCGCGCTCCGCGTCGAGAACACGGATTGCGCGGGCGACTCGGAGGCACTGGAGAGGGATGGGCTCGAGTGGCCGGATGTGGGAGGAAGGAGGCGGGGTGTGTGTGTATGCGTGATGCTATGCGGGGTGGTGGTGGTGGCGTTGCTGTGGATGCGGGTAGCTGTGTGAGCGCTGGTGATGGTGTGAGGAGTTCGTGGATCTGTATGCGAAGGAGGGAGTGCGCTGCGAAGGATCGAGTCGTGGACCTCTTCTTCGAGTTTGGGGATAACGAGGTCGTGCGTTTTGGAAGACGACCCTGCGTAGCTCGCCGGTGTGGATGCTGCAGCCTGAGTGTTGCTTGAGTTCCAGGCAGCGGAAGGCTCCGTCCTGCGTGAAGGCGTTGCGAACTCTGATTTCGATGACGTATTTGGTGCCGAGGGCGTTGTCGAGTGGGGGGTCGCTGGCGAGCCTGTCGTGAGCGACAGTGGCGGCGGAGATTCTCTCTTCCAGACAGGCTTGTCGGGTAGCAGATGTTTGTGATATGCTGCAGTGGACCGTTCTCCCGTCGAGCTATAGCTCGGAGTCCTTGCTGCCGATTTTGCTACTATGTAGTCAGCAGTCTAGGTCAGGCTCTCATCCAGAACCACAAATTGAACAGACCTTGGTACGTCGTGGTTGGATATGAAGTCGGATTTGCCATAGCTTCTTTCCTCGCGATGTACGTCGACTTCACCGCACCAGGCGCCTTCCCGTAGCCCGAGACGTCTTCAGGTCCATTGCGTGTCACGTTCTTCTTCCACTTCGACGGAGCAGTGCTAGGTGCACGAACAATCATATGCTTCCCGCTAGCATCCATGGGTGATTAAAATGTGAGCCACACGCCCATATACCGAGACAGACGTACCTGCCCTTCAGCTCGACTCTCGTGCTTCCAATGGCAAACGCAGGTGAGCGATAGACCGACGGCAGGATAGCACGCGAAAGCATACATCGACAGCTCCAAGAATCCCTCCGCATCGCGGCGCATAGTATAGAACGCCCGCAACACCTCCTCCTAGCCCGTCCGATCAGCCTCCCCTCATACCGCGAGTGGACAGTGATAGAACTCACTGCGCCCTTTCCTTCATCCCACGTACAAACTACGAACCCCGTGCGCCACGCCCTGAGCATACACTCGGCTGGTGCAGGCAGCCCGAGTGTGCGCAGGTCATCCCCCAGGAATCCCGCGAGGTACTTGTCTGTGTCTTCCTGGTAGATGTTGAAGAGCCGCGCCTTCTCTGCGCGGTACTGGATGAGGAGGGTCAGCATGCTCTGCGGGAGCGAATGCAGCGGCAAGTGTACGGAGGAAGAGAAGGACCACGACCGGCGACCACCGGGAATAGCCGGGAATGCGGACGCCCTCGTGCAGCTCTGATCGGGATCGGGATCGGGGGGAGTGCTCGACTGTATCGGGCTAGGATGGCCGTCAGGTACTTGCCGGTAACTTGCCGGGAACATACCACTGGCACTGAGCTCTTATTTAATTTGACTACTGTACCTCCGCTTCACAAACTGTCATGCTGGCATTATGTATTAGACGTACCTTTCAAGGATGTCCATAATACCAGCATCTGAAACGCTCGCGTTTCGACGGAATTATACTTAGGAGCCCTCTTCGCCTGACCGCTGACGTGGTTGAGAGCCCGGCTGGGATCATGAGACATGGGCGAACTAGTAGTACCGCGCTGGCCTCGCTCAAGGCACACACAGAAAGTACAACAAAGTCCACGGTATGTCAACCAATACACATCCAGTCCACGCTGGTAGCATCGCACGCCATCCACAGCACCCTCCCTTCACCTCCTCGAAGTTACTCCGGCAGCCTCACAGCACGTTAATCCCGGAATAGCTACACACTCCAAGCACAGCAGCACCGATCAAAGCCGCAACAGCTGCGCGCCTCATGTAGGTGCGCGCGGTGATGCGGCGTGCGCCGATGATGCCCGCCGCGTCGATGGCAGCGATGTCCTCGGTGGTCAATTCTACGCACATGCATGGATGGAACACAGCATCAGTGAGTGTTCTAATAGCAGGTGTGGTAGACTGACCGAGGTCGCCCGCAGCGAGGTATCTCTCAAGACGATCCTTCTTCGTGCTCGCCCTGGACAAGAACGCGAACAGTCAGCCAGGTACCCGATGAAACAAACAACGACGTACGTTACAACCACAACGCCTTTCGCCTTCGCCCACGCGAGGAGGACCTGCTCGGGCTCTGAGTCAAGCCGCGCCGCGATCTCCTTGAGCGGCTTGTCAACGGGGCCGCCGGTGTGGTGCGTGAGCGGACTGCACGAGACGACGGAGTCAACTGAGCGCTCGGACGGTGAAATGAAATTGGAGGAGATACGCACGTCAGTATGCTGTATGCCTCGCTCACTATCCCGTTCTTGTTCCCAAACTCGACGATGGGTGCCTGCGAGGCGAGCACGTAGGGGTGGAACAGGATCTGTCAAAGCAAGTCAGTCATGAGGCACTTCTCGTGACGATGGCAGACAAGCCTGATTAGCGACGGGCTTAATTTTGGCAGAGTCGAGGAGGGTTTGGAGTTGCAGGACGTTGAAGTTGCTGACGCCAATGCTCCTGAAGCTGAAGTCAGCATGTCCATCCCACGATCTAAATGAACCAGCATACTTCACCAGTCCGTCAGTCTGTAGCTTCTCCATCTTCGACCACGCAGTGGGGATGTCCGGCACAGCCAGACGGGGGTGGTGGATAAGGTAGAGGTTGACATAGTCCACGCCCAGCTATCGCGACCTCGTTAAACACGTCGCGCCGCTCAGAGATGTTCACGGACCACTCACGTTCTGCAAGCTGTTTTGGATGGACGTCTCGATCCCTAGCCCGTTCAGCCCCGAATACTTCGTTGTGATCCAGAGGTCCTCGCGCGCGAGCCCGCTCTCGTGGATCGCGATGCCCGCCTCGTACTCGTTCCTGTACGACTGTGCCGTGTCTTCGAAGGTCACCAGATAAGCGCGAGGAAGGAGGGGAATTGCGAGGGTCTGAGGACGCACCGATGTGACTGAACCCGACCGAGAGCGCCTGGTCGACCTTGTCGGTCGACTGCTGCCCGCCGCCGAGCGTCCACGTTCCGAACGCGATGCTGGGGATGCTCGTCCCTGTTCATGTGACCGACGCCCGCCCGCCCGACAACACGATTTGCAGAATCGCCGTCAGCTCACGCGAAACCTCAAGCAACGCGCACGTACCGTTGTTCAGCTTGATGAGGTCCCAAGTCATCTTGCGAGTTCAGAAGGAGAGCGACGGGTGGTGGGAGGACGGAGGGAGTGCGCGGTCGAGGGGTCCTGAGAAGGACGAGCTCGCAACCAGGGAATGTTCTTGCGCTCGATATAGCTCGACCGTGTATGAGAGCGCATGAGGTCAGTTATCGCCATGCCGCTCTACGGCGCGCCGCTCCTTCCTGCTGACGCGGTCACGTGCAGCGCGTCGCAGCGATAAGCCACGCGAGGCTTTGCGAGCCGGTACACTTCAACTGGGAGTAATTCTGAAAGCATATTTATGTATGAAGCAGGGAACTAATAACAAGCAACAGTACTGCAAGAGAAGAACATTGCTCCACAACGCAGCAGCCCAAGAAGACACTTCTCAGTCAACTTCAACCCAATGAATTTACCTCTCAGCGTGCGCGAGGAACCTCTGAATACCGGACCCTCCTTGCAATCCTCGAGATCGGCCCCGACGCAGCAGGAGAGACGTTCCTCAGAGTAGACACAACAGGCGCCATAGGCTCAGAGAGCCGCGGCTTCAGGGCGGCTTTGAGCTTCGACGGACCAGAACCAGCCATAGACGTCTTGCCAGCCGGAGTACGGACGGGAGTCGAGACGGTCCTCAAGCGAGCGACGGAATACTTCGCATCGAACGATTTGAGACTCGGACGGACGGGGGTGGAGCTGGGGATACGAGATTGAAGGCCGGAGGGTGCCTTGACACCAGATGCACCAGGGGTCCTCGGAGTAGGTATCGCAGAGGTCTTGGGCGTAGCGGCCGGCTTTGGAGTTGCACTGAGAGCAGAGACGGGGATCCTGGCGATGTTGGAGGCGCCTCCTTGGTCACTTACGGCCCTGCGAGGAACAGCGGGGATACGAGGCCTCAAAGGAGTCGCCGCGCCTGAAGCTGAGACAGTCCGGCCGAGAGACATACGACCAATACATGGCAGCTTTGAGGGCGATGCAGCAGTGTTAGATGGGAAGGATGTGCTCGTACAAGCCGCGCTGTTCTTCGGTTGGACGCCCGGTGCCTCTTGCGCTTCTTGCTCCGTGTCAGAGGTCGGTACGTCCAGTTCGTCAGGCAATGCGTCAGACACGCCTACAGCTTGAGTCGACCCGTCGACGGCGCACGGCCTGCTGGGCAGTACCACCTCGAAGCCACGAAGACGCGGTTGAGGCACCGGGACGGGAAGACCCTGGACGAGCTTCGCAACAGCCTCAAGCTCGCCCAGAGTCTCGAGCATATCCTTCGGCAGGCCTACTATGCGCCCGTCCTGTGTATCAACTTGACGCGGACCTTCCATGGCAGGAGCGAACAGGTCCGCGTCTCCGAGACCAGCAGCACCCGGTGCACTTCCCGCAGAAGGGGAAGCAGATGTCTCTAGCACGCAGCCCTTCGCACTCACATCAGAGTCCCCGCCGCGACCCTCAGTCCTCCTCGCCTGTCCTCCATGCTTCCTAGGCCATAGCGAATACCTCGACGCAAAGCTCGCCGTAGACCCCGAACTCCCGAGGGCGATGAACGACGGTGTCGCGAGCATGAGCGACTCCTTCGCGGGGGCGGGCGCTGCGTGCGACTTCAGCCAGGTCCTGCCCTGCCTCCTCGCCTTCTGTAAGTTTACAGTCCCCTTCGGGTTTGCATCGCATGCGCCGATTGACACGGTACTTGATCCGTCGGTGTTGTGTACGGCGACGAAGGATGGTGTGGGCATGAGGAGGCATGGGCCTGTGAGCGTGGAGGTCGGGATACAGACCGAGGCGGAGTTGGGCACGCCGTTGGTATCGGGCATCGTGGCGGGGACGCCGTTTAGCTGGAACAAAGGTGTTGGCTTCGACGGAGAGGTGTCAGCGCATTGACCGGGCTGGCGGTGCGGCAGAGGGTGGAAGACCTTCCTGGGCGACTTCGGAATCGACGTGCGGCGGGTATGCGTCATGTGGGGCGCCCGAGCCTGACGCTGGTTCTCCACATCGGTTCTCGCGGGGAAGCTGGTGGCCTTTGAAGGCGAGACAAGATCCTTGGTCGTCTTGAGAGGAGAGCCAACATTGTCTGTTGGCGACTTCGCTGGACTGGCGCAACCGTGGATGACTTCCGTCAAGATCCTCTGTGCCGGATCTTGTTGAGCATGGTGGTCTTCCTTCCTAGGAGAATGGGAAGAGACGGAGAGCGGTGCAGATTGAGGTCCTCCCGTACTGCGGCGAGGTGCGGGTATGCGTGAGGGAGATGCCATGGAGGAACAAAGCAAGCGACTGAGCCAACAGAAAGCAGGCACGAAGCGGAGACGAGACGAGAGACCAAGTGGACAGGACTGCACACCTTTGACTTAAAGGCTCGTCCATGTCAGCCGTAGGTCGCTAGGTCTCGACCACGCCCGACCTGAGCAGCGGCTCGCGACAAAGAGTCAGCCACTTGTACAAACGGAACGTGGAGGCATGTCAGTGTCCGGGTAGGCATTACCAATAACATGTACCCATTTGTTCATGCAGAGTCCAGACGAGAATGGCACGTAATGTGGTCCGTCGTCCGGCGAGACGTATCCGAGTTTGCGAAGTCTGGTCGACTCGTAGGCCAGCCGCCGCTGCGGCATATATGCGCATCTGACCACCACGCAATGAGATCTAGAGAACGCGATGTAACAAGGGGAGCGGAATACGGCTGCTGCGATTCCCAGAGCTAGTATATCAGCATAGGGTAAGTTGCGCGGTAGGCTGACAGAAACAACGGGTTACGCACGTCTCGAAGACCCTACACCGTTGAGCTGACCCGAGATTCATACCTCCACATACCCTTTCGAACGGGCTGCATGCTCTTTCCTGGTTGACCTGCGAGCCGGCCAAAGCCCAAGAGCGCACAAAAGGGTCGTCTGCCAGTGACTCGCACTTGTTGACGGTAGCCTTGGGTTGTTCCGGAAAGCGGTTATGACAATCAGCCTCGGAGCTTCTCAGATGCACGAAGACTTGGAATGAAGAAAAGTCTGGCAGCAAGCCATGCTAAAGGCAGGCCGGGGCGAGGACGATAACGACCGGAGGAGGGACGGCGTCACGAAACTGACACAACACCACGGTCACGTGGGCTGTGCTACGCGTCGAGCGGCGTTGTGTCGCGTTCGCGACTTCGTTGACAACTTGCCAACTACATATCATCACAACATGATTCTTCATCACTCCCTCGTCGTGTCAGTATAGATCTAGCTTACTTTACGTGAATGTAAGCGGGGTCAAGTGCGCATGCCAGATAGCGATGACTACCTCTTTTTTGCAAGCGGCTGTGCTATGATACCATGATGTCGACGTCCACGCGGAGGCTCGCGGCGCAAAATGACGCTGCACCTACCTTAGGAGCCCCCGTCTTAGATCCGTAGGAAGAGTGCCAGTGAAACCCGGTCTCTGGTCGCCCAAACATCCACGCGCGTAGGTTGTTGTGATTAGGCTGCATATATTGTCGAGGAACAGTAATAGTTTGTGCTAGAATGACGCGAGCCGTGAATGTCCACCTACCCAGGTGCTCAGCAAACGCTGGGCATCTATGTCCAGCCATGACCGAGTCAACCTGTGCCGCGCCAATCTCGACTCAATCTCGAACCCCGGGCCTAAAGTCAGCAAAGGGAATATACTGAGACGCGCGACGCTACACACCTCTGCCTTGTACGAGAATATCGTCAATCGTCCGCTCAAACGCTATCCAGAGCTCACAGTGAGGTCTAGTTCGACCAGCAAAAAGAACGAACACCCACCAACGAGGTCCGCGCGATCCTGCTCTCCCCCAGTCGCCTCCGCCGCAGCCTCCCGTTGCGCGATCTTGCCGCACACTTTCTTGATGTCCGCCGCGGCAACTTGAAACGCGGATGCGCTCGCTGAAGGAGTCCCGTCGTGTTCTCCGAGGGTACTAGAGCGCCCAGATGGAACTTGGCAGACCGTGACGTCGTCGCCAGCGTTGACAAGAGCGACAGACTCGGACCCAGACACAGACCCAGACACTCTAGCACCACTAGCGATATTCCCAAGATCATCCAGCGCGTTCTTGCCAGCAGAAGACAGCTCGAGCCCGCGGGTCGCCAGAGGGAGTCGCGCAGTGAGGTCGGCCGGTTGTTCTGCCGTCTGCACCGAGGTATCACCAGGTCCGTTGAGCGTCGGCGTTTCGCCAATCGATGTGTTCTCCTTGTCGGCCGCGCCTTCAGCCTGAGAGCTACGAAGATCGCCTAGAGGGGGCTGAGCTTTTGTACGTTCTGATGAAGCTTGATCGAGCACATTGTCGGAGGCAGTGGTAGGTTCAGGTTCGAGGACGGGTGAAGCGCCAAACAGACCGCTGCAGTCATGGTCGGGAGAATGGCTCTTGGACCTGGGTAAAGCGTTGTCCTCAGAAGCTGACTCGATAGAGACCGGTGACTGAGGACTTGAGCTTGAAGCATGCTTCCTTGTCTCGTCTGAGTTAGCCTCGGTATCAACCCGAGCGCGCTTGGACGGAGACTGTTCCTGGTGAAGGGGCGAGGACGGTCGCTTGTTGGATGCTGCGTTCTCCGAGCTTGTCGTATAAAGTCTGTGCCAACATCAGCATGTCTGACGGTGTAAAATAGCTGCCGGTTGTCGCTTACTCTGGTATGTCCCAGCCTGACCACCTGATATTGATACTGCAGGGAGCAAGTCAGCGCGCGTTCCATCCCTAAGTGCGTAGCACGTCACGGTACGTACATCCTATGGTTGCGCTTCAGAAGCAGGTCCGTGAATGACAAGACGTGTGTCACAGAATCGCGTAGGTGCACCTACGCTCGTCGAAGGTCTGAGGTCAGCGTACACAGGTCGATGCAGGCAACTGTTCCACCTACGACACGGCGCGTCTTCGTCTCGTCCCACGAACAACGAATACAAGCAAACTCCGGATCGTCAACGAGTACCTTGAGCAGGTCGGGCTGCGGGATGTAGAAAGTGCGCAGGAAGTCGCGAGTTTGGTGCCTCCAGTATTGGTACGAATGTTTCTTGTTCCTTACGGTGATTGGGCCCATGAGGCGGGGGTCGAAGTCGATGTCCGCGACCAAAGCGAAGTCTGGCTGCTTCTGAGACGAGAGCCACGCAGGCTCTGCTAGTAGTGGAGGCGCAGGTCCGGGCATAATGATCGTTAATTTAGAACGAGTGTGAGGATGGTTATGTGTGGTTATTGTAGCGCAGGGTCGCCTTTGACTGTGGGCGGCAGTCGTATCTGCACGGGAATACCCGCAGGCCGCGGTGATGGTCGTTGGAGGTTGAGTTCGAGTTGAGGAGCCGCTGAGGACCTCGGATGTGACGGGCCTTGTTACATTGTCACCTGACTGTGACACCACGCATCCTACATGTTCATACAGCCTACAACCGTGTTCCACGGGGACGAAGCTCCGCCGCATAGTACGGACCATACTGCAGCAGTGTATGTCGGTGGGTCATCGCACGAACAAGCCAGTCGTCGGAGGCAGATGGCGGATCGACTTGGCGATCTCGGAAATGGTTGCAGATTAGTGTGGGCCTCCCACAAGATCGCATCTGTTGATCCAGGTGTCGTTCTGGTCCGACTCACTGGTCGTCAGCCCGTACTTTCGTCCGCTCGCACCTACGTCTCATCTGGAGCCATCCTCCGCAGACGTGCTCACCGCCCATTTCATTGGTGACTGCTCCCCCAACAGCACGTGCCCACCGCGGGCCCAACGAAATGCAAGACTCTCCGGACTTCCATGGTCATCAGACAAGATGAGGTGTAGGAGCACGGAGCATGGGCGCACCAGTGCCACAGACCGACCAAGCCCGGAAGACCTCGAAAGCCCGGACGACGGTGGCAGATCTTCTGCCCCGCCCGGAGTGACTAGTGGGACCCGGAAACTCGTCACTTTTTGACATTTTCGACTGTACTAGACGCGTCCTAACATCCTGTCTGGGGACTGTCTCCTGTTACACACGGCATAGGATCGATCCCCGACACGACACTAAGCGTCCCATTTTCTAATGTCCGGATGTCACTCCAGCTAAGTACTTACGTTTCTGGTCCGAGCATTTGTTCCCGGGGACACGTCGACGCCGTGACGAGCATTCACGCCGGCTTCGACCACACAAATGTGTTGATCGGTGTCTATAATGTGACGGTCACTAGCAGCAGACGCGCTTGGGTGGCTCCAAGTTCGAGCGTCTACTTACAGCTACTTACCTCCCAGTGCCAGTAGGCTTCGCCTCTCATCATCTCGTCGTACCTTTTCTCTCGGCAGCGGGATGTCGCACTTCTCAATCAGAAACCCACACGCTATGCCCTGCTACGTTCTGTACATTCGTTATTGCAGGGAGAAGGCAAAGTCGGCGCGCGATCACAAACGGCGGACCCATGCAACATCAAGCAGTACCTCGACGACGACCTCCGGACCCTCGGAGTTCCGCAGCACCCCGCGCCCACCGCGCTCTGTACTTGGGAGCATGGCGCACCAGTGGTGCGGTGCGTCTGGAACGTGGGACCTCATCAGCGCCATGCGAACGCGGCGGTATGTCTGCAGCAAAAGTTGTACTGCGAAAACTCACCGCCAACTGCGCCTTGCGCCTCCGCAGCGCAGAGCCCTCGAAGAACACCTGCCGACAAAGACACGGTAGCAGACGAAGTGCAAGCCGCACGAGAAGATGCACCGTGAATTGAACATGTGAGTCTGCGGCTGCGATGACCCAAAACACTTCCCACTGATCCTGACCGTTCAGCTCGGCGATCGACACCCAAATTACGTACGTATGCCGGGCAGGCAGTCGAATGATGGCGAGTTGATCAAATGCGCACTTGCAGGAAGAGAAACCGCACTTGCTGAAAGAGAAACCGCACTTGTAGGAAGAGAAACCAAGACGCGCCCGCATCAACGGCCCCAGCTGAGGATACTCAGCAACCCAGGTCCACAAAGCGACCATGATCACGACCACCCTCCAACGCTGGCGACGTCGGTCCCGAGAGCAAGCGCATCCGGCACAAGACTCCTCCGTTCGACGGCCAGGCATCTGGAAGCTCGCCTTGGCGCACTACCGACTTCTTCTAATGGGCTTTCAATCCTTCTCCAGCAGGTGCGAAGCTCTCTTCTGCTGCTGGACCGTCGCAAGCTGTGTCTGGCGCGAAATCAGGTGTCACTCGGCAAGGTGCTGGCTCTGGGCTTGAGGCTTGTGCTACCACGGTACTGTCTGCGATCGAGAACACTCCGCGAGTCTCCTCCACTGGTTCAGAGCAAAGTCACACCGCAAATAACTCGATGGCTGATGCTACTGGTACTGGGGCGCCTGGTTCTGGGACGACAATGCCAGATGCTGGTGCTACGGTCACTCGGTAAGCTATCGCAACTCTCGGACATCGCCGCTCCCCGGCCTCCAGTCACGCTGAAGAGAAAGCCACCGCCACTGGCAAGCAAGAAGTCGCAGACGACGCCGGCGGAGATCCCAGGGACGCGCGTACTGACAGCACGACAGAGGATGCACAGCCTGGCTCGCAACCTCGGGAATACACGGAAACTCGTAGCGGCGGCGAGCCAGGCGATCTAGACGACGATTGCAAGGCAGCATTCGAAGTCGTCATGGACACCGTGGCCGCCCTCGAGGCACGGCGATGGGGCTGGCGGCAGAGGCTGAGCCTCGGAGATAACGCAGCGCGAGAACAGTCAGATCCCCCTACAAGTTGCTCCCGTTCCCGGCTGACGCTCATATCCCCGGGAACCTGTGCAGACTTGCGGGCACAGCCCGCTGAGCAAGGGACGGCGCTGATGACACAGTGAGTGAGGAAATGAAGATGGACGGTGCGTTGTCCTTCCGATGACTATGATGTACTCACGCCTGACTATCATCTTCAGGGGCCGAGAGCTCTCGTCGGAAGCGCAGGTCGCCCGGCGCAGGATACCCGGTGCGTCAAGCTGTCGCTGTGCACCTTTCGATGCTGATGCGCGTTCTCATAGATCTGGACAGCGTCGAGAGTTGAGAGAGCTCCCCGCGAGGCGGAGGGTCGAGGTATCGATGATATGACTGCTGAGTTGCAGCGGTTGCGTTGACGCTGCCGATAACTCTTGGTCTGATGAGTATGTCAGTGAGGCGATGAGCGGCACGCCCGTTCTGTTTGTAAGTTATGTCGGTCTTTATACACAATTCTCCGACCACTCTGTGTGAAGTAGTACGCGTCATATCGCATTGAAGTGGACTTGCATAATCGTACACACTGTATAATCCAGAAATATAGACTAAATGGAAACAGCACACCAGTCGCCAAAATCAGTCTACGTTTGACGACGCATCCACGGCAGATCCAGCTTCGGCCACCGAGGGTAGATCTCCGGCGGCGGCCGTGCTCCTTGCACGCCTCGAGGAACTCGCCTTACCCGCGTCTGGAAGACTCTCCGCCGCTCGTTTCGAGCCAGCGGACTGCTGACTCGAGCGAAGGATGCTGCGTTGGGTCACAGGCGATTTCTCAAAGGCCTCGAACTGATCGTCCATCTTGTTGAGCTCCCACAGCGACGCCGGACGGCGAAGCGCCTTGCCGAATGCGTTGCGGATGGGGGTGTGATTGACCAGCTCCTGGGCTACCACCGGTGTTTGGGGTTCCACGTCATCCTCATCATCTGTAAAAGACCCTGAGGAAAGCATGGACTGGAGGAGCAGATCCGAGTCCGCGGCATCTTCAATGGGTTGACGTTCCTTGCGCACTGGCTTTACGGGCTTCTTGGGTTCTACAGCTGCATAGTGGGCGCGAAAGACGGAAGCAAGATTCCGGAGCAGTTCGTCGAGGGGCGAGTCACTGTCTAGTAGTGGGACCGGATTGTAGCCGTCGCACATTGTGATGTACTTCTGCGCCCCTCCGGTGTCTTCGTGGTCATCGCGTCGCACGCCGATGGCTTCGTAGAACGTAAGGACGTGATCCCGGAGCTCAGGGGGACTGTGCGTGAGACGGTGCTCGTAGAACCGGAGACACATCCACCGGAGGACATGCAGGAAGGATTCTAGGTCATCGGCCAGCTCGTGCTGCTTGTCTGGGTTCAACAGAAGTCTGGCAGACATGAACTGCCACGTTCCCTGACGCTAGAGTGAGCCCCACAATGAAGACGCTGATTGATCTGAAAACTTACCGAGCGTCCAGGACGTGTAGCCCCCTTCTTGATATCATCGAGGAACTTGCAAAGCTCCCAGTCATTCAAGAGCCCGATAACCCACGTTCTACCCTTCTCGTCTTTGTACACAAACATCAGGATGTTGGTCGCGCTGATATCCCGATGTATGATGTGCTCTTGCTCCCAAGCTTGTCTGTGAGCTGGAGAGCAGACTTAGCAAACACATTCGTTCGAATCTCGAACAAATCACACTCACCTTCGAACGCGAAAAATAGTACTTTGACTAACTGGTATGGATCATGATGGTCGTCAAGCGGGCGTGCGATCTCCTTCACGACCAGGCGATAATGAACCTGCGCAGGGTGTTCCCGCTTCGTCGTCTTGTCTTTGTTCAAGTGCTCCTGGGTACGTGTCTTCTGTACGTCCAGTCCGTCTTCGCTGTTATACACGTCGCCGGCAGCTACCGGTGTGGGAACAAATTTGACGTTCCTCGTCCTCAGCAACTTCAGCACATCGCCCTCACGGCGGTCCGGATGAACCGTCTCGGGGCGCCAGTAATCCTTGAGGAAGACCAGGCGTTGCCGAGACACTTCGTACGCAATGAAGCACTTGGTGCCCCGTCCAGTGGGTGAGTCGGCCGCAAAGCACCGCATACCGACGAGGAAAGACGCGTCTGGATTTGCCGCGCGATCCGGATCCTTTGGCTCCGGGTCGACAGGATCGATGCCATTTGTCAGGGGTGTCAACTCCCGTGGATCAACGAGATCTTGACGACGCATGAGAATCTTATAGATTGGCCATCCCGGCCGATCCAACGAGGCTCTCCGACAGGCGTTCACCCATTCGGTCGGCGCAGGACAGGTCCTCATCTCTTCGATTTCCTGCGGTGTAGCCGGGATCACCGTAGGGTCGAAGCCACGCTGTTTCTGATCCATAGACGCATATCGCCAGAAGACTGTGTGGATAAGCGACTGATTCGCAACGAAGTCGATAGGCGTGGAGACGATGGCCCCAGCCCTGTCCCAGCGCATCATGCGAGCCCTTCCGCGATACACCGACAGTGAAAAGCAGTGTGTCCGGTGCTGCCTCCGGAAGATCTTCGCCATGTACTCAGCCATCTGGCCGAGCGTCATAGCTGCGCCGTCGCCACCGCGAAGGAAGTTGTCCTCGGTAGGGTTCTGCATCTCGAAAGGACAATCGTTATGAGCCGTCTTGACTTCGACCCAAAGCGAGATCCATGCCCAGCGGGTTTGGGCCTGAAACTTGTCAGCGTCGGCGGTCGCAGAGGCGTAGTCGGCAGTGGCTTGGGGGTGGACGGGATAGCAAGAGATGTCGGCCCTCAACTGCTCGCTGTAGTCATCGTGGTCTGTGTTATCCGGATGCTGTCTGGTGTTCTTCGCCGCTAGCTTCTCTCCATGAGGACAGCTGTCGAACACGATTTGAGCCATCTTGCACTTTTGATTGTGAGAGTTAGAAAGACAAATCCGAGATTCCAGGGCATCACACACACCAGTTCGACGCAGACATCCTCCTCCTTTCTACCCATCAACTTGCCCTTGTCCATGTCCGGGATCTTGAGCACAGACTCTGACGGTAACTCCGGTCCCTCCATGAACTCGGCCATGAACTCGTCAAAAGGCAACTCTGCGAGCTTGGGCCTCATCTCTTTCGCGTATTGCGGCCGTATGATCTTTGCGTTCTGCTTGCCAACAAGCGATGCTACCGAGTGCCCGCGGTACGAGGATGCCTTGTGTACTATCGGTGTTCCAGTGATCTGAGGCCCGTCAGCCCTATCCTTCCCTGTACGTGGAGGAGTGCGGGGATGCTGTGTTTCGTCTGGAGCAGACGATCTGATCACAGCGTGAGCAAGTGGAGTACTGCGAAGCGAAAAGACAATACTTACAAGTCGTTAGAGCTTTCGCCAGCAGTGGGCGTCGAAATACGTTCGCTGTCAACGGCGTGAGCCACGATGACCCCAGTGGCCAAGTGGAGAGCATCACGTACATCAGTTCTAGGTATGTTTCCGGTGCCGCGGACGTGGAAGGTGTCGGCGGTGTTCTATAGCGATGGTGGGCTGGGTCCTTGAGCACGAGAAAGAAGAGTGACTCACGATTGCTCAGTCCGAGGTGAAGCGGGCGGTGTGGTAGCACCCCGGTCAACGAATGGTAGTAGACTGGCTATGGGTTCAGGAGGAGAGTCCATCGTACAAAAATGAGGGCACAACTTACGCGGTGGGCGAACACGCGCTCGCTTTATATCAACTCAGGGAGCCACAATGTTTGTTGGCCACGAGGGAACGCCTGCTTCGCTGAATCCTGGGTTAGCATTGTTGTTGCTAGCCGAAGTGTCTCCTTGCCTTTTTGGTAGGTTATCTGAAGTATTGCACGCGGATCTAGACCCCGAACTGTTTCACCGCAAACAGGACCTACTGGATGTGGCAGAGGCACGAGTCAAGAGGCGCGTCGTTGGACGTCCGACGGAGAACAATGCAACTTCCCCAGATCTCCGATCGACGCCACGCGTAGTGAGCCACATAAGCCACACCGCGCGTCGAACGTCACGTGGGCGCGAGCTTGTTCCGGCACCTCGAGCTCCGAGGCTCGAGTCTCGAAAATTGGAATTCATCCAACTTTCAACGAATATCTTTTCAACTCGTCAAGACATGGTATTGATCGGATCGGAGAGATTTCCAGCATTTGTGGGTGGGGAGTTACGATAGTACGTCCACATTATCACTGCAATTTCCGAGGCTGAGTAGTAGAACGGCACCGTCAGGTCGTCGCTGATGGATAAGGCGCTATGCTGCGTACAGAAGGGAATTCGGTGAGCCAAGCAGTGCAGATATCGTTTCGCTCCCACGTCCTCGTACTCTCAAGGTTGACAACTAAATTATTAGTGACCACACAGCCACTGGGATACCGCATATTCTCCGAAATGGGCGTATCGCGTTCATTTCATCGGCGGCCACCGACCAGTGCATGGCTATGCAGCATAGCTGTAGCGCTGCGACCGCATCGATAAAGGCTTGTCGAGCTATCCGCCCTCACTGTAGCACCTCTGTCCAGCCCCCACCATCCTCCCGCACATTGCTTTCAATACGATGCAAAGACCCTCCGAGTCGTCAGTTGAAGTCTGTCATTCTTTCCTCATGGTGATCACCTAGTAGCATCTAATGTGCACATCATAGGCACTCAATCTTGCCGAAGCGAGGCGGCGTTCAACGTCGATAGACGCAATACAGTCATACTCCGGCCGCGTCCCCCTTGAAGTGTCATGGGAGGTTCTCGATATCATGGAGCAACCTGAGCTGTGGGCCTCGGCGTTGGTCTGCAGGCGATGGAATGCGTACGCCACCAAAAAGCTCTATGGCTCGATCGAGCTCCGCAACCGCGAAAGCTTCATGCTGTTGGTTCGTGCGATGCACGAGTCTCTTGGCGTCAAGCTATGGCTCGCGGAGACACGCGTTCTAGTCGTCTCGGATCGCGATTTTTGCGGAGACCCATTGGAAGCTCAACGGAACGCCAGCAGTCCCTTCCTACACGTTCTACCGTTAGTCTTCGGGCACGCCTTCGCTCGTTTGTACACCCTGAAGATTGACGGAGGCCTACATCCCGCTATGCACCCGTCCTTTTACCGCTCCTTGGCCCGTTTTCGACGCCTCACATCATTACACCTATCGAGATTCTATCTGCACAATATGCAGGACCTACTGCGGATCATATCTGCCTTTCCGCTCCTCGAAACTCTTGCTCTACACGATGCAAAATTCATTCAATCGCACCCTTTGAGCGACGTGGTCATCAAACGGTTCGCGTCCAAGTCGCCCATCCGGCTTCAAAGACTCAGTATCGACGAGGATACATTCGCCGTTATCATCGACTGGATTGAGCGGTCAGGTGTCTGCACCTGCCTGCGTGACCTCGCAATTGTGCCATCCAAAGGCGGCCTTCGAATGGTTGACACGTATGTAGTCTATGCTGCAGTGATCTTACAGAGTACTATTGACACTGCAGTGACGGTTGTGACATCAGATTCGAACCTCAACGTACGCCCTACCTAGGATGCAGATGGCAGAGCTGCGGCATCTTGATTCACAATGCGAGCATTGGTGAGGTAAGAAGTCATCTGGAAAAAACCCACAATGTGTGCGGACCGAGGAAGAGGAGGAGGAGGAGGGAACCGACGTTGGGTATCAAGTCACTCGAATGCTGCTGGGATGCAGATGACAAAGGTCACAAATGCGGGCGCGCGTATGACACCGTTGTCAACCTGTTCAAGCATATAAACCACGTCCACTGGCATCCTGGACCCTTACACTTCGTATGCTGGTATTGCAACACCAACTTCTCTCGTGCAGACTCTCTGAGGCGGCATGAAGCCACGCATTGCCGTTTGCTCAGAGGAAGTCTAGATGACGAGACGATGGAGCCACTGACAGTCCCCCCATACTGGGAATCATTCCCAACCGACTCACACGCATCTAGATTTCTCCGGTTCTGCTCAGACGTCGCGGGACGGCTGGGTGGCTTCCTCTCCGCCGCGCGAAACCGTCAGCTCCAGCGGGTCACGATATCTTCTCGTGCCGATGCCGGACCCAACTTCAATAATGACAAGATCTGTCGAGTTCTCAAGGAGCTCGACTTGCGAGATTTGCACAAGATCATGGATGGACCATGCTTCGAGGGCCTGGTCGTGGTCCAGGCGAAATGGAGTATTGGGACCTACGAAGTGGATCCGGATGCGAGGGATGGCGTCATCCAAGGTTTTACCACCCTGGTTCGTGAGTTGTTCGCCCCATGGATCAGACGCGGTCTGGTCGATCTCTCCTGTGAAGCGGTCTAGCCCTGTGACGTGAGTTATGGTATATATCCGGAGAATAGTCGATGCTGATCTGACTCGTGTGTTCAGGATGTTCTTGCGACCATAGATAATGCGCAACTCGCACGCGTGTCCCTATACTCGCCTTTCCTATCGCTATAGATACTCATGAGCTTCACCGAGCACACGAGCGTTCTCACCCCACACCGCATATGCCATCACTATGTGTATCGTTCGCTCACCCACTGGAGGGGTCCTGAGCGGCGCCTTCAATAGGTATTCCGACCTGAGAAAGATCAGTTGAGCTGCGCTTTAGCAGAACCTTGCAAAACACGAAGAGAAACATTCGCATAGGTAAGCGGGACCCAGGACCTCTCCGAATTGATTACTCACTCAGAAGCTCCTCCTACCGCTCACGCCCAAGCCGTAAGTAGTGGCTGCATTCTGGTCTCGATTGGGAGAGCCGCGTAAAGATAAGGAAGAACCTGGCAGTTCACGCAGGCTGCGAATCTGTGTAGCAACAACTTCATGGTACGGAGCGGATGACAGTGCCATAGATATGTGCTTCATAGTCGTGAACAATCAGTGTCAAGTACAAAACAGATGACGCTATACAAGACGATGACCGATCAGACCTTTCTCAGTAGTCTTGTGTCGCCAATCCAGTGGGAACAGGAAGACATTCGCTGTATCGCCATGCGCTGGATACCAACTCGGACTATGTATGCGCAGACTCGCGCCTGAGCCTTCTGGCATCCGGCCGATCGTATCGCAATCGCACATCTGCAAATGCTGCGCGTCAGCTCGACCTCACAGCATGAGCGCACCGACGACCCACCTGCCTGCATCGTCGTGACATCCGCTAGTGTGCCCTGGAGTTGGTTGAGGATTGACCGGGTGCGCTCTATACTCCCTAAAATCGTCAGGACCTCAGACTGAGACGGTGTGGAAGTAACGACGCACCGAAGACTTCCTGCCCCAGTATCTCTTTCTCCTGCTTGCAAGCCATCACCTCCGCTTCCAGAACTACGGTGAGGTTCGTGCGATTCAGGAATCAGTGGACGGTTACATTCATAACATTCACTCACTGATCGCCTTGGCCTCCAGCCGCAGCTTGTCCTCCTTCGCAGCTTCCATATCCTCGACAAGCGTGGTGATTCGCGCCGAGATGCTGTCGCAGCGAAACACAGGCCTCGTGCTTGAATGCTGAATACGTATGGGCTTCTCTGCGGATCCCATCGTGATACCCTGAGGATTGTCATACCAGTCATCGCCACTCAAGCTGCCAGGCTGAGAAACATTAGTTCCGCGCGACAAGAGAGGCACAGAGAATTCCGTCGGTTCCAAGCCCACAGAAGAGATCTCGCGAGTAGCTACAGCCACAAGAGCTAGAGAACCAGAAGACGATTCAGGGTTGATGACACGATCCGCACACTTCGTAATCGATACGCCACCGTCGTGGGAGTGCGTCAAGCCATCAGCAGAATTGCTCTGTAGGTCCTCCAAGTCACTAGAATCCCGGTTGCGAGAACAGACGAGTTTCCGGATCATTACAGTTCGGAGGGACATTGGTTACGACCAAAGTGCCAGAGTGTGAAGCACCTAGTAGAGAGTCTGCTTGCTCGATAGACAACGAATCTAGTCCAGCGTGGTGTTTCGGCGGAGGGTCGTCCAAAGCGCCGCCGATACCAGAGCCAGTGAATGAGGTGTGCAGAGTTTCTGCGTTGCCACGGTGTTCAAGGCGAAGTTTGCTACAACGCCGCTTCGGGTCGGCCGCTATGCCATCGTCGGGTGCTCCAGAAAGTGACCGCTTGCGAGAAGCCTCCTGCGCATCTGCGTGTTTCGCCTTCGGCACCGCGTTGGCATCCTGGCCATTCTCCCTATTGCAGTGGGCTGGTTCAGAGGGACAGTCGAAACAAGGTAGCACCGAGGCGCTGCATAGCAACTCACACGTAGAGCTCTACGATTTGCTTGCTGAGTGTGCCAATACAGTCCTTTGTCAGCAACGTGCCGAATAAGTGATTACATGACTCACATAGCGCACTCTCGGAGAGCATACAGCAAGTCGAGACCCTCGATCTTTGTCCGTGCCTCCTCGACGACTCGTTCCTAAGAGTAGGCGTCGCTAGAGGTGAGCGACAAAGCTAGTGCTGCGCGTGAGTGAATGAGACACTTGCCATCGCCTCGTGATGAGCGACGCCGAGCCCCCAGGTGCATATGACCTCTCCGCGCCTCCCAGTTAGGATAGTTCTAGTCGGAGGCGGTATAGACAGTCTGTTGAGATCTGCCCGGACCATCCGCGATTCGAAGCCCTTTAAGCTTTCTGTGGGCATATGTCATTGACGCGACCTATGTCCTCGGTGGGTAAGGTCGTAGACGACCATGACGGCGTACGGTGACTCGGTGCAGAGATCTGGGGTGAACATTGCGGCTTTACAGAGCTTGAGAGGAGGTAGCCAGGATAGATGCAGGAGAAGAGCGAGAACCTGGGGAGAACCGCCGCAATAGCGCAGCGGCAACAAGGCCGGAGAACTTGAACAAACCCAGGCTCGGAGAGGGGCCCTCTCCGAGTCTGGGTTTTGAGCCTCAACGTGACGGCGTCACGCATACGCGGTTGTGACTGTGACTCTCGACGAGGTAGCGCGGAGGAGGACTGCGGCCAGAACTTGAACTTGAAGTTGAAGGGGTCCGAGTAACCGAGTCGTGGCCACTGGTGGATGGTCCCCGAGTCCAACAGCTTGTCCGCACCCATGTTCATCTGTTCAGATACTGTAAGAGCCTTACATACGCGCCTCGAGATATCATACGCACCTCAAACATTGAGCCGTCGGACGGATCGATTTGTCGCACGAAGATGGAGGGACCTCGATTTGCTGCTGCAGGCAGTAGTGTGTTTTGCCATTGGCCATCAACTCAAGATGTGCTTGGATAGACGAGGGCTGTACCACAGTTTAGCGCGTGAAGAGGACTGGGGAGCGACTCACACGGTGTGCGACCAAAGGCACACGGATACTGACCGCCCCGAGCGACAGTTGCTGAGGTCCTATAAAGAAGTTCTGGTATTCAGAACGAAAGACGACACCAACGCTACCTAATGAATGAGTACTCGTTTGATGCAAAGCAGCAAGAACTTTGCTTCCAAGTCCGAGTCGAATAAATTCGGGACAGATGAGCAAAAAGGTACGCGTTGCCGTTTGCCGAAGACACCGGCGCTTGTCTGCCCCCTCCCAAGTGGCCACTTAGGAGGGCGCAATCAGACCCGGGCCCGGTACCGGGGCCTGTACATGGAATGCCACATTTCCTCTAAATCTACACTGTGGCAAGCATGCCACCGGGGACCATAGAGCGCGCTTCTGCGTTTTGGACAACTCGCGCTTCGTCACGTGCTACCAGTGGCCCGCGCGTGGAGGAATGTTACTGCTACATAATGCCTCTGGCTAGAGTTTGGCACATTGAACTCATACTTACCCTCGACACCTCGACGAAGCATGCCCCTGAGCCTTCATCTCGTTGGAAATACTTGGCAAGCCAACTCTAGAAGGTATGCCGGCAATCATCACCGCAAACTATTGTCAGATAACACCCATGTCGATGTACAGTTTAATAAATAGGCACCAAACGCGTTCTGACTAGCAGCTGTAATGGCCGCCGCGAAGCTCACCCATACGTCGGTCTACTTCCGTTAGCCGCACTGGAGTAGCTTGAATTCCGTATAACATGAACATCTTACTCCTCAAATCCACGCAGATCATAGCATGTGAATATTGCCAGGTCGCTCCGACCACGACCGAGACGAAACACGACAAGTTATACGCGACATGAGGCATACGAGCGAGAGCAGCATATACTTTTAAGCAAACCACGCCTGCGAAGCTCATAGCTTGATGCTACCCTTGTTTCTGGCCGGCTTGACAGCGTGCACATCTACGCTCGAGTTCAGTAGTCATCGAGTTGATACAACGTTTCTCGGCCTCGCGCGCCGCGCGCTCGACTCGGAGCTGCGTCTCGAGATCTGAAGAGCAACCATGAGCACCTGTCATATTTGCGACCCCGTATGATATCTCACTGAGTATCTTCACGTTGCACGACTTCACCTCCGAGGACGGCTCTTGGAGCTCTGCAATCGGACGTTGATCAATGGGTCATCCGCTGCGTATGAGAAGTCCTCACCAGCAGCCCTCCGCTCGGCGGTCTTCAGTTGCGCTCGCAACGCTGCACCGAACCCGTATGAGCAACATAACTCTCTGATGCGTTACACGGGCAACTCACACTCCGCCTCTACCTCTAGCTCCTTCCGTCTTCTTGACCCCTCCGCACGTTCAGTCACCCTTTGCTTCGCCGTCGCCTCAAGCTGCTCTCGAAGAGCTGTGAAGTTCATTCTCAGCACATATCCCGCACGTCACGACCTGTAGCACACGTACACGAGTTCTCGCTCTGCAATTCGAGCTGCAGCCGGACAACCTTCTTGCTCATCTCTACACGCACAGTAAGCGTACAGGCGTACAGTAAGACGGTCTGGAGTTGTTGCGTGAGGATACGCACCCTGAGCGGATTTCTCTGCGCGCGCCCGCTTGTCGGTCTCTGACGCGAGCTCGAGTTGCAGTTCGAATGTCCGGTTGATCTGGGGCACTAAGACGTAGCAGCAGGATCAGAACGATGCAAGCGGACTAGAGGGGTCGCAAGACACGCACGAGCAGGAGTAGCCCGAGCCGCCTGCAGCTCTCCTATGAGCCGATCCCGCTCTGTTCGCAGTGCTACGAAAGGTCAGATGGCACACGACCTCACTAAACACTCCCGCTCACATGTGATTGTCTCCTGCGCGACCCTCCCTGCAGCCTCGCTCTGCATCCGCTGCGTCTTCTCCTGCTGAAGCTGTGCCTGAAGCGCCTGTGCCTCCTGCGTAGTCCGCTCCTTCGCTCTATTCGCCTCGAGGAGCCGGACGCGTTCTTGAGCCCACTGATACCGTGCGTCCGCAAGCTCGGCGTCCCGACGTGCAAGCTGTACCTCGAACTCTGCTCCAAGGCTCCGATCAGTGAGAGGTAAGACGGACCTGAAAAAGACTTACCGTTCTCGCGTTGGCGAAACAACCTCTCTCTTGCTTCCAGCTCTTCCTCACGCGTACGCAGTTGAGTCCGGAGCTCGTCTGACTGGGTCCTGCACAGGGCAACGTCCTCCACGAGGCGCGTCTCTCTAGCCTCCGCGGCGACCGCCGCAGCCAGTGCGCTCTTGAGGGTGTCCACTAGCCGGGGCTTAGAGTCGTCATCTTGCTGAGCACAGGTCTGAGGGGCATTCAATGGATCCGAGCTTGGTGTCGGCGGCTGGTCCTCTGTCGCGTCCGGGCCCCAAAGAGCCCGAGAGTCGTCATCTACGACTTCCTGCTTAATCGTGACTTCCGCCGCTTGCGCTAAAGAAGCGTGTGGTAATAAAGTTTCTGTGGTCTCAGCAATGCAAGGGAGTGGAGGAACTTGGGCAGAGCTAGGCCCTGACGGCGCCTGGGATGCGACGACGCTGGGAGTATTCTCAATTCCGGACAGAACCCTATCAGACACCTGTGGCTACGTACACAGAGAGGCAGCATACGTTCAATCAGATACACTTATGTTCCCGCAGATGCGAGGAACGCACCCGAGAGCCTGAGGTTCCCCCGTTACTTCGCCGGTCATCGGTACTCCGTTCACGTCGCCGAACACTACGCGATGGTCCAGCGACCGGAGGATCGTTCTCAGGTGAGTCATAAGACCGTCTTGCATACTCAGAGGGGTGTGGTCGGTAGCGCTTGTACTGCCAGTACGGAACGGGGGGTCGACCGTCACGGCGGTCGGGCGAGCGAGGGCGCTTAGACGCCCCGCGACGTCGTCCTGGGGCTGGCGCGTACGGCGAGGGCCCTGCCGATCGGCGAGGGGAGTAGTGGTCCATTGTCGTGCTAGGGCTAGAAACGAAGCGATAGTATGTTGATAGTATGTGTGAGCTTCAGCGGCAGGAGGGAGGGAGTACAGCGCGGTGACGACTTCCGAGTCTGGGGGAAGCCGTCGGCTAAGTAGACCGTAGTCGAGCACGTGATCGCGTTCCGTCGCATTTCATCAGTCCGACTCCGAGCTCGTCCTCGTCCCTGGATCGTGACAAGTGCCGCGGAGGGGAACGTCGCGGTCTTAGGTACCTTTGGCATTGCGAGTAGATCTGTGAATGCAGTTGATTCTGACCCTCGAAGCTTCGCCGTCGGGCAGGTGTACCGGCGCAGCGAGACTTCGCCACGTCTCTCTCTTGTGAGTTGAGATCTCCTTGTGCGCGTTCTCATCCTAGATGCGAAGCAGAGTCTAATCTTTTGGCACACACGTAGGAACTCGAATGCGTCGCAAGCGGATCATGTCATCAGTATGCATGAGGGAACCTTGGCGGTCCATACACTGCCTCCTGCACGTACGCCTTTCAATGCCTCGTCGCTTTCATTCTGACATACATATTATCACTGAGCAGTAACGCAGTCGAGTCGGGCCCTTCCGCTGCATTTGTAAGCTTGGGTACTTCTCAGGGTGCTAGCACGATGCGAGCGGCGCTCACGAAGCTCATAGTCCAGGGCGTTGACAAGCATGAGCACCAAAAGATCTCAAGTGCGGATAAGTGACTCGTTAACGGTGTGTGCGCAATGTGAGCATTCCGCGTCCAGATGCACATTGAATGTAGAGCTAGAGATAGTTGACCCGGGCTGTATCCTCCGGCGCGACGTGCAAGGCTGTCCAGCGACCATCCTCCGGAGCGTTGTCGTACCATGCAAGTATCCTCCATGCATCGATGACATGGCTTGCGAACATAGTAGGCGCCGCAAGGTATTCACTCGAAGGACTTGAGACTCACCTCGGAGTCGAACGAGCGGCAGCTCGTAGGGCTGCGAAGGTAAGAATGCATTTGATATCATGTGATACTGATGTCCGGTGAAAATCGCGGCCGTCTGGTAGCGATGTGATCTCGGAGCAAATGATATAAGACCCCGCGGCGCTGCTCTCGGAATCAAAACCTGTGCCAGATCTGACAAACGATCGCGAAGGGCGCTAAAATAGCTTCCGGGTCACTTCCCTCAAACAATCCGTCTGCTGCACTCATTGCGCTGAGCTGTGCCTGGAACATCAACGCCTATACCACGGTTTGTCTGACTCCTTCAGCCCACGAACGACGCAGCGAGATGACTCATCATATGACCGTATAAGGTAATTCAACTGTAGGACTTGGGCAATTATGCGGGGTCGTAACTTCGATCACTTGGCCAAGTGGCGACTGTCGACGCAGGGTCGGAGTTCTGCGTATGCGGTAGCAGGACACGGCTCAATCTGCCGCAAATTGTCTCCGAACGTGTTGCTCTCGATGTCCACAACATTTTCGTGCAATTCTCAATGGATGGTAAGGGTTGTTTGATTTTCTCAAGCGCTCCCGGTGAGCTCGAGATCGTGGCAGCGTACGACGTCGCTCAACCTTCCTAATCGGGAGGTCATTTTATGGAGTCCGAACTCGTACAGCTGCCAGCTTGCCACAAGCCCATTGCCTCCCACCCACGTCCCCCACCCCCTTCCCTCACCTAGCACCCCTCGCACCTCATCGACGACCAAACCGGCCCAGACAACAACGCGCCCCGCGAGCCCATCCACAAGCGACGGGCTCGCAGTAGCATGGGCTATGGCACGCGGGACGGGCAACGGCGTACGCGTCGACCGCCGAGCCGTGAGTGCGAAGACCGTGTCCCAAACGGCGGCGACCCAGGTGAGTGCCCGTCTGCCGCTGGTTCCCTCTAATCCGCTACCTCGGGCCTACTGTCCCTCCCTCTACCTCCCGCCAGTTCCTCCATCCGCGTACCCTCAGCGTCAATTTCCCCGTCTATGCCAATTCTGCCAGGTCCGTCGAAGCCAGTCGAGGCTTCTACCAACGCAGCACCCGAACGGCAGTGGGGCACAAGTGCGATCGTACCCCTGACGGATGAACTGGAAGCCTGTAGTTCACAACCCTAGTTGCACGCGAATAGGTACTCGCCCGACGGCGGCTGGTGAAGTGCGGCGTGCATCCTCCGCCAGAGCCGTCGGTCATGCCCACGAAGGAGGTCGTCAAGGAACGCAAAACGTTGCAAGACGAGATCTCCGGTATGTTCAGTGCTCCGGTCCTTCTATCAGCGTTTCTGACTCTAAAGCTATGCGTGCTCAACTGCACGCAGAATCGGAGGCGCGCCGCACAGCGGAGTGTGCGCTGCATGGGTAATGAGGACGGCGGAGCTCGCGGGCGGCGCGCCTTTTGTCTTACCTGCGCTCATGGAGCTACTATCCGGCGGGGCGGAACATTAACGGCCTTGGGCGACTCCGCGCGCGGTCCATAATTTATGTAGTTGTATGTATTCCTGTGGGTCCACGTGAACGTGGTCTAGATCGATTATGCATATATGTAACATACATTGCAAGTCATCATCAAAACACTCACCCGGGCCGCCACAGTCGTCCTCCAGTTCACGATGCCTCGACTGGCAAAAAGGTACGTGTTGCCAGCACCAGAGACACCATATTTGTCTGCACCCTCCCAAGTGGCCACTTAGGAATGCGCAACCAAAGCTGGCGCTGAGCGCCGGGGCTCGTACGTTTACCATATTATCGCGAGATCTACACTAGGGCAAGCATGCCACCGGCCAACGCAGAGCGTGCTTCTGCGTTTTGGACGACTCGCGCTTCGTCACGTGCTGCCAGTCGCGCGTGGCGGAAAGCCAGTCGCGCGCGCGCATATCTATTACCGGGGCATTCGAGGAGATAGTGGTGGACTGACTCTCGTATCCCTACGCCGAGTAACACTTACCACTTGATTGCCTTGTGTTTTCACTTACATTTTGTTGCGAGACCTGGGCGCGGGTGTTCGAACGACACGAGTTAGACGCCCGACCCAAAGCAGTCGCGCACCGCGGCAAGCGACTCGACGGATGCTGCGTCCAAGCTGCGTCTCCTCAGGCCTCATCACCTCTCCTTGTCTCCTCTACACCGTCTGTCGCTCACCTGCGACTCCGTCTCCGACAGCTGGCTGTCCCCACTTCCTCACCTACCGCGAGTATTCACCGTCATGTTGTCGACGCAGGAACTAGGCGTGCGCATCGTCTACGGTGGTTCCAAGGCTTGCTACCTCACGCGGGAAGATGCTGCCCATCGCGCGGTCGTCCGCCGTGTCATCCTGAACGACCTCAAGCGCATGGAACTGCCCCGGCCTGACGCGGTCTTCCTTGAGCCTGCGGCTGCGGAGATGCGCTTGTTGTGGTCCTGGAGTGGAGGTGTCTTGGATCCCATCCCGGTGCGTTCGGCAGTGAATGCGTTGCGTGTATCCCGTATTGACATGGCATCGATATAGGTGATTTATGCGGCAGAGGCGCAGAGCAAGGCGATCATGGCGTCGCGCTCGCCTGGTCTGCTCAAGCTGCTGCAGATGTACGTTTGCAAACGTTTCGTGTCGCCACGCTGACTTCTGATGTCTCTTAGTACGGAGATTGCTGCGCTCGATCTGTACGTTCGTGATTCACACAATGCTGGATGCGACGCTGGGCTGATCTGGTCCGTACAGCCGTGTCGCAAGGCCTGAGGCGCTGGCCGTACGTCTCGAGCTCCCGCTGGAATCTCATCCACACGACTCTTCAACCAACTGGACATCTTGCGCGAAGAGCGTCACCTCCACCTCTGCGCCTACTAGGGATCGCTCTACGCTAGAAGACTTCAAGGAGAACATCAACCCAGCTCCTGAGCTCGACCTCAACTCTGGCAGTGCTACACATTTGGGCAGCGATCTCCTGGCGACGTCTTCTCAACAATCCAGTGCATCTTTCAGCGCATATACCCAGCAAACTAGCGCTCTTTCTAATGGCCACAGCGACATGGTATTGGAAACCCCTCCTCTCGGGTTTGCAGAAGACTGGGCCCAGCAAACATCCCTACGTGACAAGCTAACTACCTGCAACAACACGAATACTTCGACGTCGACGACTGGTTCGTTTCTCAACCACTGTTCTCTCGCTCCACACCCAAGCCATTCTTCCTCGGCGACCTCCCAAGATCTGAATCCGTCTTCGGCGTCGTTGTCCGTGTCGACGGATGCGGCCGTTGTCTCTGCAGCTGTTTCTGTGAAGCAAGAGGCTGTGTCCGTTGATGGCTGTGTCGCTGGTCAGCACGCTCTGGCATCAACCTCCGGTCTCAGCAAACGGACGACCAGAAACACTCCCGTGTCTGAATCGTCTGTAGATCTGCTCGTGGAACCTGCTCTCCTTGAGTCTTCTGCTCGCATTGTTTCCGAAGAGCCCTTACCCACCGGTGTCTCTGCCATCCCTCTCATCCTGGATTGTAGTGCCCCTCTCAGGCTTGCCGACGCGACGAGCGTACCGTCGACTACACTGGTCCCAACAAGGCGCCCCTTGAAGCGGTCTGCTAGTATGCTCTCTGATTCTGTGAGCCTTGGTGTCTACTGTGTTCCGGGCACCTCCTTGGAAGCTTCGACAACTGCGCACACTCAGGACTCGCGTACCCCGTCGTCATACAGTGCGACCTCTCACGCCTCTGGGACGACTACGCCGAAGTTGAGACGTCCCCGGTCTGGGTCGCCTGGCCTCGGTGATGACGGTCCTTTGCTCGGTGCCTCTGGCTCCCGCTCCGGTACATCTGGCGCCGACGACTCGTGTAATCCCGGTGCAACTGACCCTCAAGCCATTGGTTCCGTCAAGCTAGAAAACGACGACAAACCTCTGCCTCTGTCAAGCGCTACGGAGGACTCAGAGGCTTCCGCGGGACGCAAGAGACCCAGGCATCCACGCGCCCGCGGCGGCAAGAAGGTCCAGGCGGCCAAGGTGCGCAAGGCTCTCTTTGTCGAGAGAACCGTCGCCGCCCTCGCCGTCACCGAGGAGGATGCGGCGGCGATGCCCGACTCTGGGGTTGACGAAGAGTGGGACGTGGAGGCGGCGTTGCGCGCTTTGCGGGCGGACGGGCGGGCGAGGATGGATGGAAGAGGCATTCAGGAAACGGGGCCCTCTGGAGGGAGGAGGTCGTCCGCGCGCAAACCGACTTCCACCCGCCCGTGGTTCACGCAGGTCTTCAAGACGCAGATCTTCAAGGTCCTCAAACAGGATACGAGTTCGCGGAAGCGTATGGAGCCTCGGCAGAGGTTCGGGCGAGCGTTGTACCTCCCGAAACAGTCGAGGCATCGTGAACTGGAGGACGACTGTGGCGGTGAGTGTTCTCATGATCACTTGCAGTGTCCATAATGTTCAATACCCAATGGGTCGTGGCTTTGGTAGATATGCCCCGGAAGAAGGTGAAGATAGGTGTGAAAGAAGAGACCTCTTGCCAAGAGGTGTCGTTCGAGAGCTGAGGCAACAGGCTATTAGGATTATATCAGGGGACTGAGCATATGCTAGCACACACTACTCGCTTTGTTTGGATTCATCTATCGTCCTTGTATTGTCATTGTATCATCACAGTCTATCTGAGATTGCATGAAACCCGGTGTCCGATAAGCCTCGTGTGTACGTATATGCGGGGATCGATCTAGACTGTGTCCACATGGACCCACAGGAATATATACAAATAAGTTATAGACCACGCACGGAGTCGCCTAAGGTTGTTAATGTTCCACCCCGCCGGATAACAGCTCTCCTGTCAGGCGCGAGATGCCCAGGAACGCATCCATGAGTGCAGGCACAATGAACGGCGCGTTGCATTCCCTTCGCACGTCTATCATCGCGCCCTCCGCGAGCTCACGCCGTCCTCGTTCCTCATGCAGCGCAGACTCCGCTGTGCGGCGCGCCTCCGATTCTGCGTGCAGTTGAGCGCGCATAGCTTTAGAGTCGAAAGTCAGAAACGCTGATAGACGGGCCGGAGCACTGAACGTACCGGAGATCTCGTCTTGCAACGTCTTGCGTTCCTTGACGACCTCCTTCGTGGTCATGACCGACGGCTCTGGCGGAGGATGCACGCCGCACTCCACCAGCCGTCGCGCGAGTACCTTCTCGCGTGCAACTAGGGTTGTGATTTGTTGCCTACAGGCTTCCAGTTTATCCGTCAGGGGCACGATCGCGCTTGCCCCCCACTGCCGTTCGGGTGCTGCGTTGGTAGAAGCCTCAGCAGGCTGCGCCGAGGGGCCTGGAGGAGTTGGCATAGACGGGGATGTTGACGCTGGAGGTACGCGGATGGAGGAGCTCGCGGCGCGGGACGCGATAGATGATTGGCGGAGCGCATGGTCGTTGTTTCGTTCCTCGATTTTGATCTGCAGCAGTGTATGCATGTGTCAGATGATGTCGGCGTAGAGAAATCAACATGAAAACGCGTACTTGGGGCTGCGAGAAGGTCAGGCTAGAGGGCTGCGTATCCTTGTTCATGGGGACCCGCATGCCTGCCTGTGCCTGAGGTGCTAGAGGTCTATCACCCTGATTAGATGGCGTCGCTGACGTCTGTTTCGAACCGTTCGCAGCCAACTTCGACCGAAGCGGAAGGCCCTTTGAGGCGGACGCCGTCTGATCCACTCTCGTCCTGGGCAACTGATCCACCGATGGCGGCGCCGATGAGAAGCTAGGAGAGTAACTACGGGATGTAGTTGCACCTGAAATACGTTGAGGCATAGGAGCCGTCGAAGAGACCACGGACTTACTGGGCTGTGCCGTAGATGAACCGGCTGGGCGGGATAGAGGTGAAGCGGCAGCTCTTGCGCGAGCGATCGAAGTCGTAGCGCTGGGCGCCTTACCGCTCGTTGGCCAATATAGCGCTGAGGGAGACTGCGCCCCACTGGCAGGGGAGATGAAGTCCGATGGAGCTCTCAAGCCTGGTGCAGGAATGTGAAGGCGCGAGCCCCTGAGACACCTTGAGCATCGGCCGTATCCGAACGGACACGATCACTCACCGGATGCTCATACTGACGAGTGACCTGTTGGAGATAAGATGAGTGGTGTGCTTAACGTATATGACCGCAACTTACATGAAACGATCTGCCAATAGTGTCGGATAGGAGCGCACGTTCTGGAACGCCGACAATACGGTCCCTTCCAGAGGCTACAAAATTCTCAATGACTCAAATGGATACGAACATGGGACATTCATGACTCACCCCTTTATGCGTGATGGTCCATACGCATTTTATGGCGGCGGAGCGCCAGGTGCTCTCGCAAGAGTGATACTGAGGCAAGCCGAGGGCTTCGATGTCCTCATTGACGAAGGATTCAATGTACTTCTGCGTATCGTCCTTCCACTGGTTGAATAGGCGTGCCTTCTCGCCTTTGTAACGGATGTATAAGGAGATCGTGCCAGTGCCTCCTATCTGGCCTGGATGGTCACGAGGCCTACAACGTCAGTTCGTTCTCTACTCTCACTGTGAAAGCTTTCATCACCCACCACGCCTCCATTTCTCAGGGGGAATGTACTGTACTACGGAGTTGGAAAAAAGATGTTAAAAGCGAGTTTCTTCGGATGAGCTCCTGTCGTAATCCCCTGTGGCGATCTGAAACGACCATCGCGTTAGAGTGATATGTGAGAAGTGCGTCAATGCTCGAGTTCTTATTACCTATATAATGCGCATATAGCGAGGCAGTACTGAGTTAGTTGGTTGAGGACAGGAAGAACGCTCCACTCGCTTGACTCAGAATCTGGGCTCGGAGCTCCAAAGGCGTGACAGCCGCGGCGCGTCCGATCACGTGGATGTGACAACCGCGTCCTGCGGGCCTGTGGCGGCGCGAACGATGAGCGATGAGGATGAACGACTCATGAGTACACGTTGATTGAAGTCGGTTGGCACACTATACGTACCTACGTTCCATAGTGGCATACACATCAACAATTGTCAAATCGTCACGCACCCATATCAGATGTACAAATCCAGAAGACAGTACCTAGTACTTAGTCCGTGTGTATCGCTAGTAGTCCATGTGGGGAATGTTGTCAATCGTATAGCTATGTACCAGCCCATCAGCCGCAATCCCTCAACACACCATCTCAGACTGCACAGCAGCCGCTACACGCACCGTCGCCATCGTGACTCGCTCCAGGTCTCCCACAACCGACCCGAACCCGGGCTGCCAGCGTCCTGCGCGCCCGCCCTGCGAGCCCGACCAAGTCCCCGTTAGGCTCGCGGGGGAGTGCGCAGCCCCGGCACGGTACTGCCGGAGGGTCATATCCACATGCGCCAGTAGCGTCGACATCGTCTCTTTGAGGCTCCGGAGCTCGTTCTGCGTCGCCAGTAGGTCGTGCGCGAGACTGTCGGGCTCAACGAGATCGCCGGCGACGTCGTGCGGAAAGAATGTAGCCGCTTTCGCAACGTTTCTATCGGCACCTTGCAGGACGTCTTCGGGCTTCGTGACGGGGTGATCGAGCTCTTGGAAAACGACGCTGTCCGCTTTCGTAGTATCGCTTTGCGTGTCGTCGGGGACGGCGGTGTCCGAAGCAGTAGAATCGACCCTCTGGAGAGGAGAGCGGTTCGCAGCCTGATCTTCGCAAGGCGCCGGTTGAGGGCCGGGAAAGAGGGTACGCAGCAGAGCATAGTGTTCCGAGCCTAGCTGAGGCCCGCTAGACAAGCAGCGCTCTTCTTGAGGCGTCGGAGCAGAGAGCGTCGCTTGAGCATCGTCGTCACGAGTATGCGCATCCAGTCCAGAGGGCGGCAAGGATGACTGAGGAGAACTTGCATTGGCGAGCGATCCAGTGACATCAGGCCCAGGCTCGAGCTTGTCGGCCGACAGCCGGGTCTTGTACTCCAGAATGCGGGATGCCCTGAGCGACTGAGACTGCTTGATTACCGCGGCGACCAGAGCCGCCTTCACAGAGATCCTGAGAGGGTGCCGAGGTTTCCGCTGGGGAGAGATCCGCATTTGCTGACCAGCTTGCTCCGCGTCGTGGAACTCGTCGCATTCTGGTATCGAAATGTTGCCATTAGCTTCCGGTGGTCCTCGGTCCAGGGATGATGAATGAGAGGTCTCTCCGGAGATAGACGACGATGGCGGGAGGGTCGTACCATGTTCCAATGACGAAGCTCGGTCCCGCCCAGACACAGGCGACTGCAGCTGAGAGACTATGCCAAGTACGTCGACAGAGGTCGTCGCCGTGACAACGACGTCTTCAGCTTCAACCTGCCCAGAGTCCCTCGCTGAGTCCACAGAGTCCGAGACGCGCGCACCAGCTCCTTCGACGGCGGCAGCTGCAGCGGCTTCGGCGGCTTCGCGGGCGATCTTGCGTGCTTTCGCGGCTTGGACCTTCTTGCCGCCGCGCGCGCGTGGATGTCTGCGCCTCTTGGGCTTCTCGGGATCCTCTGGTTGTTCTGCCTCCGCGTCCGGAGACTCGCCCGCTGGCGCGTCCGTGCCTTGTTCGTCTTGATCTTGGTTCAAGTTGTCGCCAGTGGCGCCCTCGACAGCAAGTACGGATGGGCAGTCTTCTTTAGGCTCAGATTCGTCAGCAGACGCAGTAGCGATGTAAAGGTTGTCGTAGCTGGGGGCGCAGGTTGCGGTTGGTTCAGATGAGCCAGGCGTCCCCAGGTCGATACCCTCGACTGGTGCATCGTTCGTATCCGGAGCAGATGTCGTCTGAGTGGTCTGCATACAAGTCGCAGGCTGTGTAGATTGAGACCGTGTGGACTATAGGGCTGGTGAGTAGGGTGGACTGCGAGTAGGGTGGATCTAAGTCTCAGAGCGAAAGAAACCTTGACCCTCGGACTCGGAGGCGCCGCGGGTATGGACCGTGGGAACTTGAAGCGAACCCGGAAGACAGGTACATGGCCACGGTTAGTACTTGTTACAGTGATGTAAGACATAATTTCCCCTTTGCTTCTTTGTGCTGAGACGCCGGTATGCTTTCCACAGAGGAGAAGAGGTTTCCATACCGAGCCAAGAGAAGCCCATTGACGACACCGCTGAGTAAGGCTCATATTGGCTACGTGGATGTCCGATACTGATGCATTGTCATCCCGACCCTTGCCGGTGTACATAGATGGCACGCAGGGTGGTCCTTCCCCGCCCGAACGTGTTGAGGAGCAGAAGTCTGCCAGAAAAGACTCCAACAGTCGCGTCTTTGCCCTGGTTATCGCAATCGACGAATACCAGAGATCTCAGCCTCCAAGGCTCTTTCCATGATACGACAGACTTCATCGATTTCCTCAAGTACGCTTTGTACGTCGCCGATGTACGGATCATTCGACCCACCAACGAGGAAGAAACTCGTGAATACAACGGGAGCATTGCACGAGTGCCGCACTCATCCAGACATCATGCGCGGTGACCCGATAGTGATCTTCTGCGCGGGTTACAGTCTGAGTCGCAGAACTGCGACGGCTAACTGGTCGGCAGAATCGATCCCATTTTCCCGCACGACGAAGGGATGTAGGTTGACGGAATGTCAGTAGTTGGTATCCCCAATCGGACGTTCGACGGCTTGATGCGGTGCCTGGCATATTCCAGGGGGGATGGGATTGTGAGCTCCTGTTCTTGCATGAACTTCGGACTGAGTGACGTATGTCTGTAGCTCCGAGTCGCTATTTTAGATTGTTGCCATCCCGGCGGAGCCGCGCGTGGGACCGGTATTCCGCGCGGGCTGGTCCGGAATTCTGTCACGATGCAGAGCCCATCCCAGACAATCTCGACGACGTCATGGCGCGGTGCGCAATGTGATGACAGCTGTCCCGACAGGCTTCTCTTATGCGGCGATGCGCTCGCACGTCCTGCTGGCGCCGGCTTGTCGCGCGGACAAGAAGGCGTTGGAGAAACCGAGTCATTGTCGACGGCAAGATTCGCGGGATGTTCACTCTTCGTCTGCTCAAGTACTTGCGTCGGGCTTACACCGAGAAGAGGCCCCTTTGTCATTGTACATTGTGACCTTGTTGTAAGCCTACTACGAGGCCAGCACCGCCCGGTGACTCTCCAGTATGTTGACGTATTCCTGTCTACTAGCTAGCTGCTGTACTATCCTGGCACGAGGCGTCACTTCATGAGGATTCGGAGTCATGGGGGCATCCGAGACTCGAGTTCAGCGCAAGATGCGACGGATGATGATACGGCACGTCCCTGTGTCTCCACTTGAGGCAGCAGCTGGACGCTTGCTACATAGGTTTGGTTGACATACAACACCTGTCGCAAAGTAAACATCGAGCGATTACGAGTCCTGAAGCGCCGCAGCCCTCGACACGAACGGGATTGCGTGTGCATTTCGTGCCGATCACGCTTTCCAAATAGTCGCCAGAAATTCCAGCCGCTGCTTGAGCAATCACTGGCATGTGTTCGTGGGTCATTCCATATTTTGGAAGCCGGAGCAGAAACACAGAATATTGCCCCGATAGCGATGTTTGGCATATTCGGAATGGGCCCCCGCCGATGCGATGCTAACTGGAGTGAACGCGGTATGTCAGCGACATGAATACATAGCGAGAGAATGACAGTTACTCACCGTACGCAAGTCAGAGCGTACATCAAGCTATTCCATTTGGGTGACATTGGGCGAGCCCGAGGGCCCACTACGCGAGCCGGACGTTGCTCGGTGAGAGGAGCCTGCCGAATGAACTCCATGTCGACCTGGGACATCGATAAAAATATCTTCAAAAATCCAGTGTCCCGGTCGCCGTGTTTAATGCTGAACTCAATGGGGTCTGTCCCACCGTCACCATAACCGATGGTCAACACGTTGCCTTCTCGAGCCTTCTTAGCTAAGGGCTGCCAATCTTTGGCACTGTACCCATCGGGTGGATACCATTTCTAGTGCACAGTAGAGTGAGTATGAGCGCTCTGTCAACTACATGTCATCGAGAGGCGAATATGAGCACGTACCTGAATTCCGCAGTGGTTTGGGTCGAAGTAGAAGACGTAAACGAAGAGAGCGTGATCAGATTCGTTCTTCACTTTCAGACCATAGTATGGCTTCAAGTCTTGGATTGTCGCCTCCATCACTGGGTCCTCCAGCGCGTACAGTGAAGTGGAGTCGCGCGCCAATGACATTTGTGTTGCGCCCTTGAGTAGATCAACGCCATGAGGAACCAAGAGAGATCGGATACTGTCCACGTGGCCGGCTTCCTCCAGACGATGCAACTCCACCTTGACCCGGAGTTGTTGTCTTAGACTATCGGTCTTGCTGGCATCACTCGTTCGGTACATGTGGAAGTTCCAGTGCGCAACGTGCTCGAGGATGTCCGTTGCGCGCGTCACGTTCGCATCCAGCGACAGACTCTTCGAGCTCGCATATTGTATTGTGAGGGGGTCGAAACGTGTCAAGACCCATCTGGTCTTAACTTTGTCAAGTTCGAGAGAGATGTCGCACTTCTGCTTGTCTGAAACCAGGGAGAAGGCGAACGGCACTGCCGTCCCAACCGGCAGCCGTAGTCCCGGGGCCCAGACTCTCATTGCCTCCGGGGACCAGCGCACTACGGTTGCTCGAATACCCTCCGTAAGATGAGCGGGCGGGTTGTCTGTGTCTTGCATCACCGTACACCGACAGAGGTCGCTCTGCACGTCGTCCGCCTGCAAGACGGTGACGCCGCCCTTGCGAGGTGCGCCGTCAGCTCCAGTTGCGGTGTTTACGGCGAAGCGTGTACCCTTCCTGATACCGACACTACTGCCAGCCTCCACCCAGATCTTGCCTCCGCTACGCACGACTGCGTAGCTAGGTTCGCCCTGTCCGCCGCTAGTGAGACTGAACAGCAAGCGATCCCTGTTCTGGCCCTCGCAAACGGGATGTTGCTTGTCCAGTAACGCCCTGCCATAGAGTTTAGCAGTATCCGGGCTCTCCTTCTCCAGACGCCCAGGCAAGTCCGCGTAAGTGAGCTGAGCAAGCAGTTTCTGATCGGTGTGCGCTTTTCGGAGAAACGTCAGGAGGTGAAGTGTGAACAGGCCGCGCGTCACGGTGATGGATCCTTTGGAAGACAGAGTGACGCGGTTCTCTATCGCAGTCTCGTCTACGCGACAAGCCGCCAGGAGGATGTGTGAGTGCATCGCGGGCCAGAGAAAGCCAGTAGGGGTCCGAAGCTCTGCACCGCGACCCGTCGGTTTAACATCGTCGCACCAGATCCGGATGTCTTCGTCAAGCGTCGCAGGGAGCGGGATGTGAGTGTGTTCGTCCGAGAGCGCGCGAGGCGTTCCGTCCAAACCCTGCCTGCCCATTCCGCCGGAATGACAACAGTCGAAGATCGCGATCTGTCGGTGAAGATGCATCATGCAAAACGTCAGTCCATGTCATGCGCTTCGCAGAAATTCGACATACTATATTGTCACCCTTCGCATGCGCTAATTTCCTCATGAGTGCGTCGAACGTCAGATCCGGGATGCCCTCGACCTTCCCGCCGCCATCCGACGGCATACGCTCGTCGCACGGGCAAATCATCTCGATCTTTCGCCCATCTGGGACCCAGCCCTTGGGCGCCGATCGACGAGACCCATGTCCAGCATAGTAGAAGAAGATCAAGTCGTCCTTCTTGATGCTAGGATTGGCGATGAGGTCTTTGATCGCGTTAAGGATCGCGATGCGCGTCGCTTGTCCATTCGTGAGCGTGTATATGTGCTGCTCGGGGACGCCGCGGGTGCTAATGAGGAATTTTGTGAAGTCTTGGGCGTCGAGGACACAGCCAGAAAGCTTCTTGAAAGATTGATGGTGGTACTCGTCGATCGCAATGACGAGCGCAAAGGTGCGGATTTGTGATGCCCCAGAAACGAGGTTCGGTCCACGCCTTGCTTCGGTGTTTCCTTCTGTTGTGGATGGAAGCGCGTAAATCTGAAAGCTATAGGAGTATAGGAGTGAGTAGGCACAAACGGGCCACATGAAGACGACGTACTCGGGCGAGCTAGCCGCACTTCCTGCAACAGAAGTGTCTGGAGAGAGGGACTCAACGGTGGCCCTATAGATCAACGTTACCATGACTGAGCTGAGCAATAGGTATTGGTGACTCTCACATTGATTCGCTGCCTGACTCATCCTCCATTGCGGAATCAGGAGCAAGCCGAGCGAAGGTCTGTTCTCTAATTCCGCACGAGGTCAGCTCAGATACTATACACTGCCATACAGCGGTCGTGACGAGAACTCACTTTTGCAATCGGATCGCGCTCGCTCTACCAGAACAATCTTCAGCAAGCGAGTTTAGTAACATGACACGCGAAGGAATCGACATACTCTGCTTTGACCACCAGCCATCGTTGGAGGTATAGAAGATAATCCAAAAGTGAGTCAATCCATTGGATGAGAAGGTGAAGGCAATGTGCAGCTATCAGAAGAAGCATCGCTCGACGAGAGTACGTGGAGAGGGAAGGCTTTGTGTGCTTACCGTCGGTCCGTCAAGAGTTACATATGTCCCAGTCGTATCGACGCATGACTCACGGTCGGGCACGGAAGCGGGAACACTGGTCTGTCCGAGTGGCCAAGGTTGGGACGCACATCCGCCGAGATGTGACACTGGTGCGGATGTGTGGTCCGTATGTTGACGGGCGCACATTCATGTTCAAATCAGTGAATCATCACGGTATTGTGCAGACAGATCGCTGAGAACAAAAGACCGCCAGTGCGGTCGTACGGGCCAATCGCATTCTCCCACTTGACTGAGATGCCGCGCCGGTTCGTCATTGCACTACCGCCGACGAACATACTGGACCCGATGGCATCATGACGGGCTGTGCACGACAGCAATCTAAGTATGCAAGTTCCTATGATCGAATTCAGCAGCAGTTCCAAAAATCCGTGTCGGGGGAAGCTCTCGAAGGGCGACAAAGCCGGGAAGTTCGAATACTAATCTTCGCTGACGGCGCTCTGGGATCTTCTTCCGAGGTTCATGCACATGTCGACCGCAGCGTTCCCCTTCTGATACTACATGGCTACTCACCCTATTTTCAGCAGCTGAAGGCCTTTTTCGCTCAATCAGTCGGTTGCACCGTCCACAGGCACTCACTTGAAGTCGGAGCTCTGGCACTGCCAGGTGCTGTCATTGTGGTCCGCGAGATTCCGCGCACAGCCTCCCGGCGACCCAAGCAGAACACCCGCCACGTCTTTCGTGTGGCTGGGCTGCAGCGCTGTAACCACAGGCTGAGAAGTATCCGGAACATAGTGGGAAACCCGAAGAACTATACTTACCGGCGGGGAACGACAGTTCAACGATTTGAGCCACGTGACCTGCTCGTTCTCTGTCGTGGCGGCGTGAATCTGCGTAAATTCGTCTCTAGTCTCATATGCGTCCTGCTTGCCGGCTCAACATCCTTATGTTGCGGACAATTCTGCCTGAGACTCCAATGGGAACGATGAAACGCATGAGGAATACTCGCGCGGTGATTGGCGGAGCGATCTTCCGAGCCAGCAGTGACATCACCGCCGTTACAGGGCAATGAAGTCACCTCTCCACCGTCCTGCTACTCTGGCCGCCGGCTACGTCTGTGGGGAAAGTGGGGCCAACTGGGCTCGGTCACCAGCTGCCACCAGCATGACAATCCGACGCGCCCTCATACGCTAGCCGAGCACGTACAAAAGCCCGCGCGCATCGCTGCTTGACATGATCTCTCTCCAACTGTCCCGCACACTCCCCGCCATCCGCACCACCGTAATATCTACCACACGAACCACTCCCCGCTTCAGCTTCACTCACAGAGCCATGTCGTCCAAGACGTTGTTCCAGGCCATCAAGGAGGACCACGAGGAGGTGCGTACTCCGCACCCGCGTCGCGGTCTGCCGGCGACGAACACTAACCTTGACCAACGCGACAGATGTACCTCTACCACGACGAATACAAACGCGCACGCACCGCCGGAGACGTCGACGCGCAGGCCCGCTGGGCACGGCAGCTCACCTGGGAGGTCGCGCGGCACGCGGTCGGCGAGGAGATCGTCGTCTACCCGCTCATGGAGAAGCACCTCGGCGACAAGGGCAAGCAGCTCGCGGACCACGACCGGGAGGAGCATCAGGTGAGCGCGCCCCCTCTCCAGCCCTTCTTAGCCCTGACTATTGCCTCGCCCAGCATGTGAAGGAATTCCTGTACCGGCTCGAGTCGCTCAAGCCCGAGGAGGAGAGCTACAGCCAGACGATCGAGCTCGTGATGGCGAGCCTGCACCCACACAATGACGACGAGGAGATTACGGACCTGCCCATGCTCGAGGCCGTCATCGGCGCCGACGCCAGCCGCGAGGCCGCCCAGAACTTCAAGAAAACCAAGAAGCTTGTCCCGACACGGTACGCCCCTCTCCGTCGCTGCGCCGTAGCGCGTGTTGACATCGTTTCGGACGCAGGTCTCATCCGAGCGCACCGAACCGTCCGCCATTCGAAACCCTTGCGGGTCTGCTCGCCGCCCCGGCTGACAAGCTCAAGGACTGGTTTGCGAGCTTCCCGACGGAGGAGGAGATGGGCCAGGCGAAGGAAGAACTCAAGCACCGAGACCACGATGCGAAGGCTGGACGCGCAGCTGCGGCGGCTGGACAGCAGTAGTATAGGTCACGGTGTTTTGTTGTACGTTGATTCAGGTTGACCCGCAGTCTCTCAAATATGTTTGTATATCTGGAGCGTAGTCAATTGAAGCTTGTTCATTGTTCAAGCGATCTGGGATTGAAGAACTGAACAAGTCACGTGGTCGCTCTCCGGCCCGGCTGAACCGCTCGGCGCTCGCGAGGAGCAGCGACTCGAGTCTTTCTTGAGTCTTTCCCTGGTCTTTCAATTTCCCTGGTCTTTCCTTCGATAGCGTCGCTCATCAATGCTCGCCAGGTTCGAGTTCTGCGACTGACCGGAACATCGGATAAATTGTATTCAATGGCACCTGCATACATGTCTGAGTCGGGCCTACCGTGAGTAGTGCACACCGAAGTACCATCCCAGTACTTAACGGTGAGCACCCCACATTACGAGCAGCCACTATCGAGAGACGATGACCGGTCTTGGCACTGGAGTACTGAAACATGCAGGTCGATACGATACTGGAATGAACTCTACGCTTGTAGGCCCGCAATACAGCAATCTTCACAATTAGAATGGACGCACGTCGTGCAGACAGGGCACGGTCGGCCGGGCGATATTCTGCCACATCAAAAGGCGTCGATCGTTGCAATTGCTTGGTGGATAGCCAGACAAGGTTTGTAGCCGAAGTCAATTGAGGTTCAGATTGCCCGACACTGACAGCACAGCCGGACAAGCGTTGCGCTCACTTGGTATCCCGTTTAGTAGGTACAGAGGCGATAGGCTGGATGGGCAAAGTTGGACCCAGATGCGGAGCGTCTACCTACGTAGGGTCCGTGGCACGCTTCGCACTCTCATGCTCACCTACTCATTGTGGTATCATAGATGCAGTAGGCCACAGCACGTATACAGTACCACCCGTCAAACCGCACTAGATTGTCCGGTATGGTTATGTCTCTGCACGTCGAAGCTTCGAGCCCGAACAGCTGACGAGCCCGAGGAGCACCTGCTCCCGTCGTCGCAAAAGCGGATGTTCTCAGCATCTGTAGCCATGGGGCCGCCGGATGTTTTGTCCAGAGCGCCAGACGCAAACGGAGTGTAACCCCCTTCCGGACACGCGCAACATTACAGCGATGTTTGCGCACTCCTGTCCGCGGGCGTGACCGGGGACCAGGGATCGCCCTGGCCAAGACTGTTCCAAACGCGTCGCGAAAGTTTGTTCTGTGGTCCTCGGCATGCGGCTAGAGACGCATTCACACAGCAGCAGGGATAGGTCCGTCCGCTCGCGAACCGCTTGACATCCGCTTCCTCAATCCGTCATTGTGTTGCGATATCAAAGCACCCTTTGACGGATGCGCCATCGTCGCCCGAGGCTGTGGGTATCTCGAACTTCGTCACTCAGATTGAGTGGTCCGACCGCCTCGGTGTATGCCATGTGTCGGGCGACCGCTTTGTTCAATACGAGACCAGCCGGAGCTGTCGAGGATGTAAAGCCTCCAACTGTTCAGGTTCTACCTCACAACACTGCCAAGTGTTGCCGCGTCTGAGCAATGCTGCTTCAAGCTATCACTCATTGCCTCGATCTGCTTATACGATGTCTCATTACATGCCTAAATTATCTCCAGCGGTCACTGCAGGCCGTAAATACTAGGTAAACAAGCCTGTCTCTTGCCTCTTTTGGCGTACTAGACTGCACGCTGAACTCTGTCGGCCCAGACCGAAGGACGCTCTGACGCTGGTGCATGAGGATCAACCGCGACGGTGAGTCTTTGGGTCTGACAGGATCTGAGAGACTAACCTTGTCACGGTCAGGGAGCAACCTGTGCCTACCTCTGATTCCGCGCCCCATGACGATCCCGAGTCAAGGTGAGATGCTCTGTACAAATTATTTCCACTCGTTCTGTTGATCAGAACTGATGTTCACCTGTAGTGCGATCGAGTCCCGCTCTTCCGATGCACCCGTCATAGACACTAGCACGGGATCACCTGAGTACGATTTCCCTTCAATACGAAAATCGGTGCACGTTGACGCTGCGTTGACAGCGCACAAGCGGCCGGGTTCCCGTCTGCCGTAGATGCTGCTGCAGAAAGCAGCCCGGAAACCGTAGATGCCGCCGCGGTTTGGAAGCCTCGTGCCTTCGCGCTCATCGTTGCGATCGACGAGTACCAGCACAGCAGTATCAACAATCTATCCGGCTGTGTTCGTGATGCAGAAGACTTCCGCGACTTCACCGTCAAGACCCGCGGTGTTCCAGAGACGCAGATCTACACCCTTACGAATGGAGAAGCAACGCGCGACGCAATTCTCAACGCGATATACGCAAAGCTCATCGATAACCCCGACATCAGGAAGGACGACTTGATCATGTTCTATTACGCTGGTCACGGTGCCCGAAGACCAGCACCCGCAAGCTGGGTCGCGGACGGCAGAGAGATCGAAACAATCTGTCCGTGCGATGAGCGCATGACGGATTCGAAATCCGGAGAACGGATCGAGGCAGAAGATCGGTAAATTGGAAACTACGCCCCTACGGAAATAGCCGCCGACCGTAGTCCGCGCCTGCCTAATATGGCAAGTGCACTTTTGCCCGCTGTTTCGTGGCAAAGCTCGACACTTGTGCACTGTATTCTGATGTATAGAGACCATGAACTTCCTCAAGAGTGGCTGAAAATCATCCAATCAGCATAGGAGACTGTATGGGTCCAGTACAACACTGTGTGCATGCCGTCACAGGCTGTTACGCGCAGAGCGCCCGCGTCACACACGTGACAGCTGCCATGACATGTCCCAAAGCGGACAGTCACAGTTCAATTTTGACTTACCTGTCCGTTGTGCCCTCAAGCGGCCTCGTCCATCGCAGTAGTAGTTGCAATAACAGGGAAATACAACCAGGAGTGAACACTGAGAATCGAGTACGGTGGTATACTTAGGGTAGCGCGAGTGTATGCGGTACAGTTACGTAAGCATGTGGCGGGCCTGCCCTTTATGCATACTTACCATCTCACTGAGTCACCGTTCCACCTACCGCCGCCCAAATACTAGTGGTAGTATCTGCTCGCAAATCCTCTTCAATTGCGATGCGTGCAGCAGTGAGAAATGCTGCAAGAAGGGCGGGATATACGCGTGTTGTGTGTGTGACAGTATGGTCACGTGCGCGTACGGTCCGTAGTGCGGTCCGGACCCGTAGGGGCGTACTTTCCATTTTCGATATGTCCTCGATCGAGGGCATCCCAGATCTGACGTTCGACGCGCTCATGAGGCAACTAGCATCGCAGAAGGGTGACAACATAGTACGTCCACCCTATGTGTTCCATTTGTCACGAGCTACTTTGCTGACGTATTGTCGACACCAGATCGCGATCTTGGATTGCTGTCACTCTGGCGGTATGGGCAGGGATGGCCCGGGACCGAATGGCACTCCCCGCGCACTGTTTGATGATGAAACTCATGTCCCTCTCCCGGAAACGCTTGACCAGCATATACGCAGTTGGCATGATGGCGAAGCCGTCGGGCGCGACGTGACGCCGCAGGCACCGACCGGCTTCGCATGGCCCGCGATGCGCTCGCACGTCCTTCTGGCGGCTTGTCTCCCGGAGGAAAAGGCGATCGAGAACCGTGTCGCCCTACGTTCCGAGGGTGACGTCACTGTGCCGTCGGAGGAGTCAGTCACTCGCGGGTTATTCACCCTCTACCTTCTCGCATTTCTCCGGAGAGCGCATGAAGGGACACAGCTCAGCGAGCTCACATACGCGGATCTAACAGAGCGTCTGGCGAAGGAGAGCGGAGGGGCTGTTCAGCTCTATGGAGCTTCGCTCGACAAGCAGCATCCCATCTGCGAGGGATATAACAAGGATCGCCTGCTATTCAGTCTCGCTAGGGGCAGGAAACGAGAGCCGAAATACGCGGTTACGCAGAGAAAAGGAGAGTTCTGGGTATACGCTGGCAGTGCTGTCGGTGTTATGGAGGGCTCACGCTTCGCTGTCGTTGACATATCCGCAGATGGCGTCTCTGCACTTCGGCAGGGCGTCGTCATCCTCGAGGCCAAAGAAGTATGGAGCGATCGTTGCAAGTGTACTGCGATCTGGGACGCAGATGTTCCGCCTCCTGATGTTGTCGAACTCACAGACGATATGCGAGCCATCGTGTTGCGCTGGTCACCGGAGACGATGCACGTCTGGACCTCACCAGGCGTTGAGCTGCCAGCCAACTTGAATGCGGGAGGCTCCTTCGCCTTTTCTGTGGTCTACGACAGGCGGAAGTGCGACGTCTCCCTCGAGCTGGACGAGTCCGGGACCAACTGGATCCTGACACGGTTCGACCCTCTCACTGCACGATATGCCAAAGCGTCAAGTCTGACGCTGAACGTCACCACCGTGGACCCGTGGGACATCCTCGGGCATGTAGCGCACTGGAACTTCCATATGTATCGATATAACACTGTCGAGGCCATTAGACAACAGCTCAAGGTCAGGGTAGAGTTGTATCGTCTCAAGGAGACGGATGTGGGCCTGATACAGCCTCTGCTGGAGCCCGAGGGCGCGGACTTATTCGAGGACGTCAAGCCGATGGGGTTACCACCTTGGGCACAGAAGGTGCATCCGCGCGACTCCGAATCGAAGTATGCTTTCGAAAAACTGGAGAAGGAAGCAATCATTGAAGACATCACTGCATACTATGGTCTGGCCGTGCGCAATGAATCCGACTATCCTTTGTTTGTTTATGTCTTCTACTTCGATCCCAACGATTGCGGCATCCAGGTATGTGCTTCTTATTGTCTCGCCACGATAGAGAATTGATCGGCGACGCCGGTGTTGCCCAGAAATGGTATCCGCCTGACAGCTACGACGCAGAGTGGCGGCCCCTACCGAAACGACAACGGAAGGATAACATTTTGACCATCGGCTATGGTGAGGGTGGAATAGACCCCTTGAAGTTCGAGCTGAAAGACGGCGATCGCCGGGACACGGGCTTTCTGAAGATCTTCGTATCCATGTCTCGGGTTGACATGGACTTCATTCAACAAGATCCCCTCCATGAACAATCTGCAGCTCGCCACGGACAACTGGCGCCCCTCCCAGTCCAGCCTCAATGGTGCTCTTCAGTGTATGCATTAACTGTACACGGTGAGGTGAGTCATGGTTGCTCTCGTCCCATGTGTCATCGTCACTGATGTAATGCGATATTCCTTCACTTAAGTAGGAGTGATTCAACACGGCTTGGGGACCAGGTGGCATTGTCATCATTTTTTCGAGAGCAATTGAAAGAGCCCGGATCTTGTTTTCTTCTCTGCTGTGAATACTTCGTGAGTATGTTGGATATCCGGGCTTTCTCCAGATATCTGGCGTGAAAATTCGCCCTGACCGCGGTGGTAAGTTAGATTCCCGCATTCTGAGCAACTCGTTACTCCATCGAATATCTACCGTGTTGGAAGTCGAACCCGCTTGCAATGTCCATCAGTTGTCCCGCCAGCGACGAAGCTTTACAAAACAGTATGAATCAGACGACGTGTGAAGGGGGCTGGATGTACTCCGACCCTATTGCTACCAAAGAGCCAGCACCCAAGGCTGTGACCTTGTTTGCGCGACGTAGTGGCATAGTTTCCATTGATGTTAAGGAGTGGTACCGATGTTCAGAAGAGAAACATCGCAAGGCAGGCCGCAACGGCAGGTAGACACAACTATTAGGCAAAGGCACCTAGGTTATCGATGTGCCAAGCACAGATCAAGTCCAAGAACAAGGCATAGAAGTTCACAGCGAGTTTGCGACAAAGCGATACAACTACAGAGATATTTGCAGGTAAGCGCAAGTCGTTAACGGCGAACATCGGGAATGGACGTACTCAGGAGTGGGAATAGATATGTCAAATCAGTACTCTTGCGGCGAGCCCTCCGAGCTCTCAGTCCCCGTCTCCTCCGCGTCGTCCTCCACGTGCCTCTCCTTCTCCTTGCGATACTCATGTCCAACGAAGTTCATGACGCTACATATCGACACAATCAACAGTGGCCGATAACGCCATTACCATGAAGACTTACTAAATTGTCCCATCCGCGCAGCCGACGACGACCTCTTCGTGGCTCAGCTGCATACTCATTGGGTTCTTTTCCGGGGTCGCCAAGCCCTGAAATTTGGCGGGCAGCTGGCCCAGCAGACCCTTCACACCCGCGGAGCTAACATTATCTCCTTCCGCGAGTGCCGCCCACGCGCCCGTCAGCGGAAGGATCTCTTTGTCGAAGTCCACGCCAGACGACGGCGACGGCGTGCGCTCCTGCTGAGGCTCCTCATCGTCCTCATCCGACGTCTTCGCTGTCTGTGTCTTATCGCGATGCGTCGACATGTAGATCTATGCGTACGACCAGCACGCTTAGCATCACATCGAATGACGCGGGATCAACGCACCGTCTTGTTCGCGCCTGCACGCGTGCTGAACCGCGTCGCCGTCACGACACGTCTCTTCTTCGGATCCACCGCACCCACCGCAATATCTGTAGTCTCCACAACCGCCACCAGCTTAGGCGGTGCGGTGAGGACAGCCGCGCGCCCGAATCGTATCGCAAAGCCTGGGCCAGACGAGACGGGCGTGCCTGTCCTCGGTGACGGGCTCATAGGCGTCATAGGTGTCTGCGGCGAGCCCGGACCCGTGTTGAGCGAGAGCCGGCCCTTGAGGCTGAGCGACCCTGCCGTAGAGTTGGCCAGTGGCGACTTGACCCCACCTGAGATAGAGAGCGTCTGCCGACGCGGGGTGGCAAGCGAAGACGTCGAACGCGCGAGGATAGGTGAGATGCCGGGGCGGGAGCCAGGACTGAGTGCGCTCGGAGTGAGAGGAGAGATGGGGCGAGAGGGGTCTGCAGAGCCGGTAGCGGTGGCAGGTTGCGCAGGCTCATCCTCTTCAGTCCATTGGAGGTGCAAGATGACGGATTTCGTGGCACACTAGGAGAATGATGAGATGAACTATGTATACAGCGAAACAAGAGAGGAGCACCAACAGTCATCTGAGTACCTTTTGCTGCGAACCATCTATGTAGAGGGTCAACAATCATACATGAGGAAGAGACCAGCGAGACATACTGGAGCATGTTGTCAGGTGCTTTCCCGACGTTGAACAGCTTCGCGTTGAGCACCGGATCGCTAATACCCAACTCCGCCAGCTTGAACTGAGACATCATCTCCCGACGCTCTGGGTGGTAGGTGCTTCAGATTATGGTCCCTCTGAATGGTTTTGTGACTTACTGATGGAGAAGACGCGAACGATTCCGTCAATCGTCACGCTCACCACCCTCTCGCCTTCCTGCCCTGAACTACTGCCAATAATCTGTACACCTATATTGACGGTCGTCTGTTGCCCGAACCGAACGATCTTAGTACCCGCGCGCCAGTCCCAGCATACAAGCGCCTTGTCGGCACCGGCGGACACGAGGTTTTTCGAAGACAGCGCGACAGCACGGATACCGTTCAGATGCCCGGCGAGTTGTTGCAGGGGAGTAAAGGTGAGCGAAGAGAAGAGGTGAACGCGCCTGGCAGCCGCATAGATTAGAGACGAAAGATGGCATCGCGACTGAACAGGAATACGCACCCAACATCATGGAAGCCAACAACGAAAACCTCTGTCGAGGTTAAGGTCGATCAGACAGGAAAGCCCGTCCACAGATCCGACACTCACCCTCGTCCGCCAGAAAGTCGACGCAGCTGACAGGCTTCTTGACCTGCAGACACTTCTTCATCTCGCCCGTGTCGACGTCCCAGAAGCGGATCGTCTCGTCATACGAGCCGGAGATCAGACGCTTCCCGCGCAGCAGCAGCGTAGTGCAGTAGTTCGTGTGTCCGTTGAGGAAGCGCACGCGCTGCGGGAGCGCATTCCGGAAGTTCGACTCGCGGTGGTGCAACGAGCGGTACAGCGGCTCCCAGCCTTCCGGTTTCGATGGCGGCCGCACAGGCATCGGGTCTGTCGCGGTGATCCGCAGGCAGTGGTACTTCCACAGGGCTGGGAGGTGCACCATCTCTTGCCATTTCTTGGAGACCTGGACGACGACAAGTCAACGGCTGATTGTCATCAGCATGAGCGAGCCTCTCACAATCTCCACACCGAGCAGCTCTTGCACAGTAAGCCACTTGAACACCTTGAACACCAAGTCCGGCGCGAGGTTCCCGATGATATCGAAAGTCGACTTGGCGTACTTCTCCAGTAGGAGGATCTGCAGCCGAATGTCACCGGGCATGCACGAGTCCAGTATGAGCGCGATCCTGGGTTTATGTCAGTACCGTCCACAGTGCGCACATCGGTGGACACTCACAGCCGCATCCTGTCGTCCCTGTTCAGGCCCCGCACCGCCCTGCGCACCTCCATCTCATTGAAGCTGCCACTGCCGTCGCCTCTCAGTGCCGTCGCCAGATCCACCTCGCCCGCGACGCCGTCATCCTCGCTCCCGCGGTACCCACTCCAATACTCCTTCCGCCGTTTCCCGCCGCACACGCAGAACCCGTCTGCGTCGGGATCGGTCACGACCACGCCACCCTGCTCCTTCTCGCGCTCCCTCTCACGCAGCATACGCACCTCGGCCTGGAGCGCGTGCAGCTGCGCGGCGGTCGACGCCTGTGCGCGCTCGAGAAGTCGCTTGTAGTGGAGCAGCTTGCGCGCGTAGAGCGTCTGCACTGCCTGCAGTGCGCTCTCCATCTGTGCGAGCATTGGTACGCGTACGCAGACGAGTTAGCATGCCACGTACCTCCTCGTCAACGTCCCGATCGTTCACGTCTGTGACCATATCGAGCGTCATGTCATCCCCATCCCACATCGAGAACGACTCGTCCTCCTCGCCCAACCCGGGCATGAGCGAAAGCGGGCGCAGCGGCGTCTCCCCACGTGCCGCGCTTGCAGGCCGCTTCGACGACGCGACGCTCTTCGCAGGCGTGCTCGGCGACGCCTTCACGCTGGGCGTAGTCTTCGACCTCGTCGGCGTTGGCGACTTCGGGGGTCCCGTCGGCCTCGTGGGTGTCGCCTTGGGCGTGGTCGTGCGTGACTTGGTGCCCTTCATGCTGGGCGATGTGAGCATAATGGACGGAGACTCCGCGGCAGGCGACTCAGTCTTCTTCTGGGAAGTCAGCAGGCGCGGCGTGGACATGACGCGTATGCGCTGCGTGGGAGGCGAAGGCTTGCCAGCAGTCTCAGACGCGGCCGTACCAAACACCGAGACAGACGTCGAGCGCGTGGTGCGGCGCGCCGGTGCAACAGATTGCGCTTTCTGGGCAGGCGCACTGAGCTGTCGGGTTGCGGCCGGCTTTCGGTTCGTCGACGCGGAGGGAGACACGCTGGGCGTCGACTGGTCGGTGCGCGGGAACGTAGACGGCGGCGAGAGCATGGTGTTCCTGCGGACTCCGCCTGCGGTGGGTATCATAGGCATACTCTTGCTCTTCTTGTTCGCGTCGGACGGCATGGGCGCCGTGTTGGGCGCCGTGTTGGGCGAACGTGAGGTGTTGCTTGGACTCCTGGCGGGCACGACGGTCGTCACACCGCTTGCGTTGGACGCATTGGAGTACGCGCGTGGCTTGGTGAGGCTTTTAGCTGTTGTCCGCGTGTATCGAGTCGGGGTCTCGGATGGTGCCGCGCTACGGGGAGGCATGAAGCTCGCCGTCTGAGACGGTGAGCGCAACAGTTGAGTTGGTAAGCGCGCTTAAATCTGGTTTCCTACGTTGGGGAGAAGCAAGCGCCCGAGTCGCCCGCCATTCGGTGAAGATAAGCGTCAGGAAGGGGACTCGAACGACGACTTTCGTGCGTTCGCGCGAGGAGGAGGAGGAGGAGGAGGAGGGTCCAGCGCGAAGTCGGTGCGTCAATTAGCTACCGAGGCTGAGGAGCCTGAGGGCGAGAGGGGATTCGACAGAGTGCCAGCGGCGCAGGCTTTATATACGTACAGAGACGCGGTCAAGAGTGGAGCTCGTTCATACGCTCGAACTTATTATTAGAACCGATGAGCCAACGATGAGCGAAGGTCAGGACGTATGACGAAAGAAACGAACTTGGGACGGAAAAGGCAAGCAAGCTGCCGTATAAGGAAGGTACCGTGAAATCGAGTCGAATGTTGCGACAGGTGACAGCGCCCAGCTTGTAAATGGTTCCTGCGGCCAGGCTTCTCTTGTTCTGCTAGCTTATATAAAGTAGGCATGGGTATATAATCGTATATAGAACTGCGCAGCGGTTCCGGTTGGCACCACACGATCACCGCTAGTATACAGCTTAAGCTTTCTTGGAGTTCACCATGTACTGGCAGAACTAAGCTTACAGGGCGAGAGCAAATAGCTGGGTACGCAAAAGCGCACCATAGAGCTCTAGAGTACTTTGTCAGCGCCCGTTTGACGTTCTACGCAACCGCCTGAAGGAAGATCAGGCACATCCTCGACCATAGAGTCCACATTCGAGTCGCTGGGCCCTGCCAATGTCGCTTTGGTGGCAGGACTATTTTACGCATCTACCGCTGGTGCACACACGGTGCGTCCTTAATATCAGTACAGCGGCGACCTTTGAGCATGCATGGGTAGATCACGTACCGTTGAGGCAGCAGTAAATGGTACCAACCTCCCCGGGCCACTGCTACCGACGGCAAGCATCAACTGGATGCATGCTAGTTCTGAGCTCACGAGCATAAAAATAACTATATCAGCAGTTATGAGCGGCAACAAGCAAACGACGTGCTAGTAAGACGTGGTGGACGCCATCTGTACAGTGTGGCCGTTTATACGCGCCACCCAGTCCCGTATCGGGGTGACGATTTATGGAGGTGTGCAGCAGTGGCTAACAATGTGTGATCTATGTCGGATGGGCAATGACGCGGTTCTGCAGTAGTTTGAAAGACTTAGTACATGGTCAACGAATGTAATTTGAGCTCACCAACTTTGTCCGAGCAGGTCGCGCGACGCGCGCCGCGCTTTAATCGCATCACGTGACCGTGTTGTGGCCTTCAACGGCTATAGAGTAATTCACTTATGTATGTACTGACTTCTTCGAATCTGAGGTAGCCGTCCAACGCAGGAGCGAAAAGAAAGGCCAAAAAATTGCAGCTCAACCTCTAGACCTGCTCCAAGGCACAGCGCCCCACAAAGCCAAGCAGCGCAGATACTTGGAGACTTTGCTTGAACTGGTTTCGCCCGCCACTTCAGCTCGCTCTGTATTCGCGATCACCAACCCTTCAGAACCTCCGCGTCGACTGAAGACAAGGACCCGAACCTCCTCGGCTTCGTCCGTCAATGAGCTCGGTGCCAGTCGCTTACCCCTTTCTAACCCTTTCCCGCCATGAGGAGAATCAGCATGGACTGACCTCCGTCTGCTATCCGTGTGATGTAAGTAGCTCGAGAACGATGCGCACTACCCCAGCCTCTCCGCCTACGTCTCCACTATCCAATCGCACGACGAGCACACCCAGCTGCTTGGCTCCCTGCGCGCCTCGAGCGCGTGGCCTCCGGGTAGAGGCTCGGAGAGGCTCAGAGCCCTGGTCCGGGCGCGTCGGCAAATGCTCTGAACGAGATGCGCATGGGCGTCACGTCGCGATGAGGGCAAACTCGCCGCTGAATCCTGCTACGTCCTGCCAGTGATCATATATGACGACGGCGCACTAGACTGGACTGACCTCCTGTGTCATGGACGATCACGGAAGAGGTCAAGATACCGCCGGGTCTATACAAGATGATGCCGGGTGAGCATGGTCACTGTGAGAGTACTGTAGAAAATGCGTGTACCCACCAGCTGTGGCTGACGTCCAGATGGTAGAAGCATAGGACTCTCGGTTACCGCTCGAGCTTTGAGGCTAAACGGCTTCATGATACCTTCATGCCTTATTGTTCCGTGCGAGGCAACTGTCAGTCGGCATACCCTGAAGCGCCATGAGCATCTGTGACCAACGTCAGCAGCAATGTGCGTAAATCGAAGGCAATTCCAACGGCATAACCGGTGTCCGAAGCAGCACGCCTCCTACTACTTCGCACGCCAGTACACATCCACCCGCAGATGGCGACCTCTCGGAACTTACGCTTTACAGCATACCGCCGCATCCACATTGAAAGCTCAACACCCGAGCCGCATGGAATGCGCACATCTGACCGTCCGGGAATTTCGTATCACGGACATCGCCTGATGTGCCCTCCCACATCGGCGGCCACACGCAAGTGGCGAGATTACCACACGGAACAGACAGCACGACGCCGCCGGCGACGCGGAGGCACCTCCCGTTCGCATCATTGGCGCCTGCACCGGCGTTATCGACACAAACGCGAGGGCTCTAGAGACGATGCATACCATTGACCACGATAGGCGTGCGATAGAACGAAGACGGTGATAATACAGGACACTCAGACAAGGACGATCGAGAGAGGTAGAGAGCTAAAACTCCAGAAGACACGGGACACGAGATGCGGGCTACACAGAGCGTGCGGTGCGGTATGGGATGCAGTGAGTCGATAGGTGCGCGGGCGGCAGCCAGGACGAGGGAGCCGGTGACCAACGGACGGCGGGTGACGAAGGGGCCGGCGCGACGAAGAGAAGTGGGCGTGCGCACGCGGACGCCGTATTATGTCAGGGGAGTGCAAATGAGTAGGAGTCCAGGGATGCGAGAGGCGAACGAGATGAGCAAGAAAGTCCGGAGGGTACAGACAAGCGTGGGAACCGACGATGGGGGAGGGAAGGAGAGCGAGTAGCCGGACGGGTATTATCATAGGTTCTGTATTTGTCCGATGAGGAACTGTTTCTCGTCGGAGAATTGCTCGTCTGCAACACGGAAGCATGGTCAGCGAGCTATAAAAGGGTGTTGCGAATGGACGGGAAAATAACGCACCTTCCTTGTCGTTGTGGAAATCCTTGAGGAATTTCAGTAGCTTGTCCTTATTTCTCCGGAGGATGTTCTCAATCTGTTCCGGCTTCTTCGGGTTTGCCACAAAGACCTGATACCAGATCAACAAAATTGGCCACAACCGGAGTAAAGCAGCTGACCTTGAATACGTGGAATGCCTCAAACTGGATATTCTTGCTCTTGTCCCGGAGCAGGTTCATCATCATCTTGAGATTCGTCTCGTCCGCAATATACCGCGTCATGACGGCGAAATTTGCCCTATCCAGCAGGATCTCGCCTAGCAGTTTCAGTGACTGCCGCTTTGTCACGTAGTTCTCCGATCGTATGAGGGTGGTGTACGTGTTGAAGAACTAGCACGGTTGTTAGGACTCGAGGAACACAGCATGGACGAAGGCTTACACGATCGTAGTTCTTGTCGAGATAGTCGGCCACCATGGCCTTGTGGCGTGTCAGCGTCTCCTTCAGGTTTGCGAACGCGTCGCATGAGACGCCAAATGTAGTCGTTTCGATGTAATGTGGGAACGTGTAGAACCTACATGTCAATGAGCAACAATGATGAAGCATGCTCCGGTATACTCACTGTTCAGAGTGAAGCAGTATCTTCGCTAATGGTTCGTGTCGGAGCATCTCTCGAAGTATCATACCGGTGTTAAGGGCGATATCCTCGTTCTTATACCCGTCGAATGCTGCAAACAGCACCTCCTTCTTCCCACTCAGATACTCGACGGTTGGGAAGCGCGCGCCGATCTGCCGCCGAAGGAGGTTGTTGAAGATCTGCACGACGTCCTTCCGTGCCTCGAACTCGAGCTTGTGAATGCTGACTAGAAGGTGGTATAGGAGATCTGTTGAGTATGTTTCTGTTGCGAGTTGCGCCACAAGCTCAGGGAGCGGGTCTTTTCAGGAGTGAGTGACGCCGCACAGTCCAGTCTGGGGACACACTGACCGCCATCTCCGTACAAGATCGCCTTGATCTGCTGGAGGTTCCTTGCGACCTCTTCGCCAGCCTGCCAGAAGACTACGGGTGAGGGACTTAGGACGAGTGGCCAGGAGAATACCACGCACCTTCCGTCTCACCTCCGACCCTGGCTGCCCAGCCTCCAGCTTCGGCAATGCGTCCCGAAGCCCGCGAACGAGGTCTGGCGGTGTGCGCGGCTTGGACTTGAAGAAGTTCATAGCGTACTACGCAGGATCGAACTGAGCAGGATGGTGGTCAAAGAGAAGGTAGCCCGGCAGGGAGGGCTGAATGTACGTCACGGCAACCGCCAGGAACGTATCGGTCGGGTCGGGTGTTCAGGCTGTATCAAGCGCTTCTCAGTCAGCAGCGACGAGGCTGTGAGCGACGCTGTCCGCACCAGCGCTGTGATGGCACTTCGCCTGAGCGAGCTTGCTCTGGAGGCCAGGTACGACGAGAGAGGAAGAAGGCAAGGGGGAAGGAGGAGGCCAAGGTCAAGTCTGGTCAAGCTCCCCGCGCGAATCATTTCAACTACATCATCACGTGATGCCATCATCCCCGGGCAAAACGGACTGCTTGAGCCTTATCCCCGTAATATTATTGGGGGTCGCAGCACACGTTGTTAGTACCAGACATGCGTAGTGGCTGAGGGCGAAAGCAGTAGTACAGTAAAAATTGATATGCGGATTTATGCGCCCCGCACTCGACAGTCGAGAAACTATCATCGCGTCTCAGAGGCTTGGCTCCCGATACATTGCAAAAGTTACACATGTTTAATTCACACTCGCTGTCATTCACGCGTAACGGCTCAACGGCTCAACACTACAGATAGAACGAAAATTTGCCTTTGCCTCCTGAATTAAGAGCTGCATATCGGATCAGACCGCTTCCCTAGTTTCGCCACAAGACTCTACTCTTAAGACCACACGTTCCTAAAACCTTGTTATGTCACGGTGAGTTCATTCTCTGAGAGCCGGTCGTACATATGGAGAAAACGTTCGTGGTAGACGTACCAGGCATAAGACGTCATTGCGCAGCTACCGGGCCCTCTTTTATTATTATTTTTATTTTAATCACCGTGTTTATAGTCCCTCGCCCGAGGCAAGATGCGGACACTAATACATCATAACGGCACGCTAAGACCGTTCTACTCGAGCCCCATTTAGCTACCGGGCCCTCTAGGCTCTTGTTGATTACATCGTTTGGATGCGAACGCCCTGGCAAGACATTTCTGGAGGACTCACAAACTCGGCGACATCGCCCAACCCGCATAGACAACCTACCGACTATAGCCAGGGCCTTTAGGGGAAAAGGCCCATTGATGTGTGCCATTGTGGATTTTGGATCTCTAAAGGCTGATACGTCCGGAGCAATGCGCTAGTCTCATCCCACGACCTTTCACGTGGAGGCGTTTGTGTCGAACCTAGTCGCGACGTCACAGTTCCGTAGGAGGATCAGAGAGACATTGTCGCAGCCGCTTGAGTACTGCGCGACTATTCTGAGCAACACCTAGCAGCACGTCGTGCGTCAGACAAGGCATTATGAGGCTAGAGGCACCTCTCGCAACAATGTAATAATTTCAGCGTACGAGCCAGATATAGTACATCATTTTTTCGTTGCGGACTGAGTCGGCCTATGACACTGGTGATGGTCGCGGCTTTGCCAGAGTTGCATGAGGTAGTCCCAGTGAGTCAGAGCCTATAAGACCCATGAGTGTCAGGCAGAAAATTCCAGTAGACGTTACCTGTAGCCCAGGCTGCTGCAGCGAGTTGACACTGCTGATAGATGCGTGAACAGCTCCCGTCGCAATTGACTCGGTCAGCGCACAGGCCTGCCAGCGTATCGATCGTCAACCGACGACCTACATAAAGCAGAGATAGCCGGTGCACTTCAAACCCGCGTTACTGGTGTGCTTGGCTCATTCGTCGACTCGTTCCTAGTGAGGCCGAGCGGCTTTCAAGGGGCAGACGTCAAAAGGGCTGTATAGAGACGTGTCTAACTCACAATTTTGCGTCAAGTGTGTTGATCTGAACATCGCCTCCCGTACGAGCGCCCATGTGCCGAGCCCGACATTCCGCAGTTATCGCAGAATGATCGTTGATGTTACCGCCCCGACGCGGCACGCTCACAGGGCGCGCTGTTCCCCTCTGTCGCTGCAACGAAGGAAGGGAGTCCTGTGGGGTGCTGTAACGTCCTTCGTCAGTACCCTCGATGTCGACCAACCGCTCGAGCATAGGACAGACATGATGAGCAGAGGGGAAAGCAGTTTGCCGGCGCACAGCATCTGCTCCGCGGACAGCATCAGCATCAAATACGGCACCTGAAACGCGCTACAGGGGATAGGCGCCGACCTATATAACATCTCCCCCGGCGAGATGGCACCCTAGGCTGCGCCTCCCTTTCGACCATCACTTCTTCGTCCCCCGCTTTCTTTGGTCTCTTCGTTTTTTCTTTCCCTTTTGCAATTGTAACGACCCTTACCTGCGTGCTCCGGCTGACGACCCCTTCATTTAATCTCACCCACACGCATACGACATCCTCACGATGAGCTACACTCTTCGCTCCCGCAAGTTCTGCTGCTGTCTGCCGGTCAGATTCGGTGTCTTCTGCTCTGCTATCTTGGGTATCGCGTACAGTACTGCATTCTGCGTACTTGGATGGCTTGAAGTCCACAAGTATGGTGAGTGTCCGGCGTTGTGCGCATATGTTAGCGCCTCGCTGATATTGTGCTTCAGCGATCAAACAACTCGTCATTGGCAAGGATGAGCTTGTTGGGCTTGTGCTGTTCGCACTCGCGTACACATTCATGCTCCTTTTCTCGGTCATGGGGTAAGTCGAGTTCATCGTGAAAAATACGGAGACAGCTCACCATGCACATGTGTAGTTTGATCGGAGCCATTGGAGCAGTCCGGCCCTTCGTCAAGGGTTACGGTGTCTCGCTTACCATGAACACCGTCTTCACCATCGGCATCGGCATCTTCTGGTGCTGGAGGCTGTTCCACACGGACCAGGCCAAGTGCAGCCAGCCCGCTACCACTGAGGAAGAGCAGGTCGCCCACTGGATCTGCGAGAAGGGCTCTGAGGCTGTCCGTATCATCATCGTCATTGTCATGGTCGTCGTCTGGCTGTTCCAGATTGGTCAGTATCCCCATTTCGTTGGCATGTGTTCGAGCTAACGCCCCGCTTGCAGCCGGCTGCGCCATCGTGTTTGACTACTGCGGACAGCTCGATGATGAGGCGGAGGCTGCTGCCAACGACTACGCCGGCAAGGACGCGCCGGGCATCAACCCGTACCCGCCCCCGACCTCCAACATGCGCACCACGTACGAGGCGCAGGCCACACCGATCATGAAGAGTGCGTACGACCAGGGTTCGTGGAGCCAGGACGCGTCAAAGCCCCCATACCCATTCGCACAACCCGAGAACTCGTACGGTCAGAGGAGCGACGCGAACGTCTAAGAGCATAGAGACACTGCCTGTTCGGTTGGCATGCAGCTGCGCGGACGTAGTTTGTCTGGAGATTATTACCCTTTCGCTTGCAATTGTACATGTCATGAGTATTCGGAGTAGACCGATGACGCGTAATGAATTGGTGGTCGAACCTATATGCTTGCGCGCGTGCTTTCCGATGTAACCTGCTCATGATAGGTCTGACCTTTGGATGAGTGCGACTTGGGTCAGAATGGTGCCTGGCCTGCATGGGACCTCCAATTAGTCGGATGACCTCGTACTGTTGAAGTGCCCTCCACAAACATCCCTACTTACAGCATCTTGCGAGCTTCGTCTTACTTGCCAAGGAATTTCGGGAGCCCTGTACAATATCCGCGTACCATTTGTACATCGGGATGGGCGGAAGGAGATGGCGGGTGAAAGGCTGGAAGGACGGCCGAGGCGGGCCAGCGTTAGAGCGTGGTAAAAGGCTGCATGTGATTGGCCCGGGGCTGACCGGCGACGGCCGAACAAGTCCGGGGAGAGTAACCGTCCGCAATGACGACCTGACACAACTCTTCGCACTCAACCACACCTCTCTCTCCTCGCCATGCAGTCCCTCGTCGCCCGCTCGTCCGTCGTCCGCCCCAGCGTCCTCAGGTCGTCGGCGAGGACGTTCGCGACCTCGTCGGCACGCGCGCAGGCGGTTCCAACAGAGAAGCCGGTCTTGAACAAGGAGTTCAAGATCTACCGCTGGGTGCGTCGGTTGCATACAGCCTCCTGAGCGATTAGAAACTCACAGAGGCCGGCCCGTTTGTTTGTCTGCATTTTCAGAATCCGGACGAGCCTGCAGCAAAGCCGAAGCTGCAGACGTACACCGTTGACCTTAACCAGTGCGGTCCCATGGTGAGTTTACTGTGTCCTTTGCTCTTCATGCTATCACTCGTTCGAGTCTGCAATTGTCAATGCTACACGGCCGAAAGCGGTATGACTGTATGGGACTAGCGACAGTGAGATATCGTCGGTCTTGTCAGGGGAAGACGAGAACTCGAGCCAGGGCGGACCCGTGTATCGCCGACTCGACTCTGGTGATACTGTCGTAATGCAGAAACGCTGCCATTCCTCCTTATGGGTGATCGAGGGAAGTCACGGTTATAGTCGCCATGACAGGGTCTTCACACCGCGTTCTCCGCGGGCGCGAAGAACACCGCTGTGGTTATGTCCGTCGAAGTATGAATGCCAAAGCGGATGAAGGCTAAGCATGAACCATACTTTCTATTTGATTTCCGTGCTTCTTTGCAGTGCACACAGTTCACTAATCGGCATCTCCCTTTTGCAGATTCTCGACGCACTTATTAAGATCAAGAACGAAACGGACCCCACACTCACTTTCCGCCGTTCATGCCGTGAGGGCATTTGCGGCTCCTGTGCCATGAACATCAACGGTCAGAATACCCTCGCTTGCCTCTGCCGTATCGACAGGAACGAAAGCAAGGATACCAAGATCTACCCTCTTCCTCACAGTGCGTACCAGCTCTCCTGGACATCACATGCGCACCAGCGCTTAACGCAACGCAGTGTACATTGTGAAGGACCTCGTCCCTGACTTGACGCTATTCTACAAGCAATACAAGTCGATCGAGCCCTACCTCAAGAACGACAACCCACCCGCTGACCGCGAGTTCTTGCAGTCGCAGGAAGACCGTCGTAAACTTGACGGGTCAGTATGAATGAATTCGGCGCGTTGAGCATGACCGCTAACGTTCTGATGTTAGCATGTATGAGTGCATCCTGTGTGCGTGCTGCTCGACGTCCTGCCCGAGTTACTGGTGGAACCAGGACGAGTACCTCGGTCCCGCGACCCTCATGGCCGCCTACCGGTGGATGGCAGACTCCCGGGTATGTAACAGGAGTGAAACCTCGCTGATGGAGCATGTTCGTTGACATCAAATTGTGGTGCAGGACACGTATTCGGCACAACGCAAGGAGAAATTGCAGAACGAGATGAGTCTGTACCGGTGCCACACTATATTCAACTGCGCCCGGACATGCCCCAAGGGCCTGAACCCTGCTGCGGCCATCGCGAAGATCAAGCTAGAGCTTGCTGCCGATTAGTTGGGCATGCGCTTCGTTGGGTGAGGGTACGCACGGCTCTTCATATCCGATATCGAAACATTGTCAGCGGAACTCACGCGCTTATTGATTGGCAGGTACACCGCAGTTCGATGCTCGGTGCTGCATATCGTTATTCAAGAGAGATATCACTGGTGTGGGGAGCGACGGGAGGTACCGATGTACAGCTACGTGATCAACGACGTTGTTTCTTATAGCGAGCTTATCGATGAGTCGATGGACTACAATTCGAGGGATCGAACTGTACGTGGATTCGAAGGACGAGTATATATGCCTCGAGGGGTAGGCGTGGGCTTCGGCTGTCCTAGCTTCTGAACGCACGGTGTACTGATTTCAGCGATCACCGCACCCTTATAACTTGCGCAGGCGTTAACAACAGTCGAGGCGAGTCAAGTACATAAATGAACCTGCGCCGAACGGACCGACAAAGAAGGAACATCCAACTAGCAAAACCTTGCCTACAAGTGAGTGCTCGGTCTCCGGTATCACTCATTTGTGCGCACATACAAACTCGAAACAGGTGTAGGTGCGCACCGTATAGTGTTGTTTGAGCACTGCCAAGCGTCAGACACGAGCGGGGCGCACAGTTTGAGTTACTTCACGGCAGGTGGATTATTCTGGTTTGCGAGATGGTTTATGAGGAAACAACGGGCTGTTGGAGAGGCCGAGTTAAGAAACCCACGCGTCGTACGCGGGCTCTAAGTGATCGCTAAGACACCCTCTGCTTGCACAAGTACTTAAAGAGACAGCTGTCAGTTGTACGTGTCCGACACCGGGCCATGAGAAAACTTAGCCGCTTATTCTCGTCAATCTTCAGGCGTTCTACAGCTGAATGCGATACAGCCACACCGCTTCATGCCGAAGTCAAACGGTCAAATGCTGACGCTTCGACTGCGAGTAGTCCCGCAAAGTGAGCTAACCAACTTGGCCCCACGATGAATCGTAGGCTGACGTGTTACAGTGTGGAGAAGGACCAAGGTATGCACTAGCTCCTGAGCGTTAGAGTCTATCCGGGGTGCCTAATGACCATCTGCTGGTAGGCGCGACGGACCTAACTCTTCAGTAGGTCTACCGTTTCGTGGGTGTTCCGATCGCATTCACTCATTCACTTGCAGCGCTCCTATGCTCCCTACCAAAGATGGGGACTCTTCGCAGGCACCCGCTACGTTCGCGCTGCAGGAAGATCTCCACCCCGAGAACGACTTCCGCCTCTTCGCACTAATCGTGGCTATTGATAACTATAAGAATGACGCCATCTTCAATCTGTCTGGATGCGTCAACGATGGCAACGACTTCAGAGCTTTCCTCACCGATACGCTCCATGTCCTGCCACATCGAATCCTCTCCTTGTCGAACGAAAACGCAACACGCGATGCGATCATCGGGGCGTTCGTTGGTCACTTCATCCAGAACCCCGCCATTCGCAACGGAGATGCGATGGTCTTTTTCTATGCTGGCCACGGTGCTCGCGTCGAGGCTCCCGCCGACTGGCTTGCGGATGGTGACAAGATCGAAACGATCGTCGCTCACGACGAGGGACCAAGTGATGCCGAAGGCGAGGTCATTTATGGGATTCCGGACCGCACATTCGACGGGCTGATGCGCCAGCTCGCCCATGAGAAGGGAGACAACATTGTGAGTGGCGCAGCATGCAATCTAGGCTCATCGGTGATCATTAGACTTCCATAGACCGCGATCTTCGACTCGTGCCATTCTGGTGGCATGGCGCGGGCTGCCCTAGACATGGTGGCTCGTGCAGTTCCTCCCCACGTCTCGCCATCTCCGGTTCCTTCGACACTAGACCAGGACATCTGGAGATGGGGGCTATCAACACGTTCTGCGGCCACGGTGGTGCCGACAGGCTTCCTCTACAAAGCTATGCAATCCCACGTGCTCATGGCCGCGTGTCGTCCGGACGAGCAGGCTCTCGAGGCCGCGAGGGTTCCTGAGCCGCGCGGTGCTTTCACCGTTCAACTCCTCAAGTTACTGCGCTCCCACAATCTCGCTGAGTTGACATATGCACGCCTCATAGAGCTGGTGCAGCTACGGCACCAGCATCCACAATGCGAAGGGATCAACAAAAACAGGATCATCTTCGATGCAACCAAGCTTGTCGACCGGGCGCACTCGTTCCGCGTGACGACAAGCGCCACATCGTTGCTCGTAGAGGCGGGGAGTATTCACGGCATCGTTGAGGGTACCGAGTTCACCGCGGAGCCCAGCTCTGGCGTGCCGCTTGACTTCGCCCAGAATGCCGTTTTCCTTGCGACACGCGTCGACGCTCTGCAGTCCGCTCTCACATGTGAATCCTCAGTTCCGTTCCCTGAAACACTACGCGATTTCCGAGTTGTCGTGTCCAAGTGGAACTCGTCGACGATGAAGACCCGATTGCATTACTCTGCGGGCAGCCACTGCTCCGTTGTCGGACCCAACGACTACAGTGATGTGACCGTGCATCTGGGTACTGCGAATGGCTGGCAACTCGAACGCCGTGACCCGCTCGTGGCCAGACACGCCAGCCGTGTGCTCACCATCCCTCGTGGGGATGTCTCGGAGGTTAGTTGGCTCATTTTTGCTTGTGATTGTCACTGAGGGGCAGAGCTTCTCAAAGATATTGGATGCCGTCGCCCGCTTCAACTTCAACCTGTACAGACATAACTTGAAAGCGCCTCTCAGAAACGACCTCGCCGTAGAGCTTCACCAATTGGAGGTGATCCCAGGAACCAGTCTTAGGCCCACATTGCGCCCCATGGGCGACGACTACTTCGACTCGGCACCGGAGCCAGTGTTGTGTGCGGAAGGTTCGTCTTTTGACGTGGGACCCGTGCAGGAGGCCATTATCACGGACATGGAGCCCTATTACGGGCTCACTCTGGTCAATAAGTCAAATCACGATCTCTTTCCGTATGTGTTCTACTTCGATCCAAATGAGTACAGTGTCCAGGTACGCGGGCCTCTGCTGCATCTACCACTGTAAACTCACTGCTGCTCCAGTCTTGGTACCTGCCACCTTCGCCGAACATGGCGCCGCCTCTCCCCAAGGAGGGTAGGCTCCCCATTGGCTACGGTAGCAGTGGAACCGATAGCTTACGGTTTTCCCTACCGTCGGGGGCCAAGGTTGATTCTGGCTTTCTGAAAGTCTTCGTGTCGTCAGCGTGGGTGGACATGCGGAGCGTCCAACAAGCATCGATATTCGACAAGGGTCCACGAAGTTCGCAGAATCGGAAGGATACATCATTCACGGATCTGTGGGACGAATCGATCAGTGTTCTCACCTGCAAAGCATCATATGGATAATCTACTTATGTCAACTGTGTCTTCTACTCTATTTAATTCGTGTTATCCAGGCATTCAGCAAGCTAGCTTATGTATATGGCTTAAAACCGAGCTCTGACTTCGCGATTGTACATGGATAAGGCCGGTGCATTACTGCGTCGCAACTGCTAACGCCATGGTAGAGGAAGGCTGCAGCACTGTGATGAGTCAACGTGCTAAGTCGTACAATGTGAGTGCATCTTCCCTATAACGCTCGATGCGGCAACTATGTCAGCGGTGTTTTCCATTCGTTTCAGGGGGAAATGGAGGGTTCAAGATCATGGTCGGTATCTCGAACAACAAGCCCCGAGCACGGCTGCGCACAAAGCTTCCGGTCTGTCATGGTGTGAACCTTGATATCGAAGATGTCGTTACTGCTAATCGTATTTTGCAGCGGTTCCTACTGCGCGAATGACCAGTGCGTCCCCATATACGGTACAAGTAGGTGTCTGAACTGAACATAGCCCATAATGACCTTCCGCGCCTCTTCCGTAAGGAAGTTGTCTCCAGATGTATGACCCAGACTCGTAGTCATCTCCATTCTAACGTGTACAGTGAACAGCAGTGAACGCTCTCCTAATGGACGGACCCTTACCAAGTGTAGCGAGCCTTCCTGGACAAGGATGACTACTAACGGTAAGTGCGCGTTACTTGAGGTTTTAGAGATAGAAGAACCGTCTGCTGACCAGCAGTGCTGTCACGAAGCAATCGAGCGGCGCAGCCCGGGCCCACGCGGTTTGGGACACATTCACGCGCCATACACCCATATATACAGCTGGGAGGCTTTGTACATGGACACAAGACGACAGACACGACATGGGCGGCGTACGTGACTATCTTGTCAAGTTTGCTATTTGCTTACGCCAACGCTTCATCAGACCCAAGAATCTCCCGCGCCTCAGACATCGCAGGCTTCTGCGAACAAACCCGAGGGATCAGTCTTTCCGAAGGCGGAGCCTTCCATCTTCGCCCTCATCGTCGCCATCGACAAATACCTAAACCCTGTCATACCCGATCTGTCCGGTTGTGTCAACGATGGGGTAGACTTTCGGACCTTCCTCGAGGAGACACTTCGCGTTCCTTCCACAAATATACTCTCTCTGTTGAACGAGTCCGCGACACGAAAGAACATCCTCACTGCATTCGAAGGCCATCTCATCAACAACGAGGCCATACACGAGAAAGACGTCATCTTCTTCTTCTACGCCGGTCACGGAGACCGCGTGGATGCTCCCGCAGGATGGAGATGCGAAGGGCAGATGGTAGAGACTATCTGCCCGTTCGACCAGAAGGCATTCAACACTACGACAACACAGCCCGATGGTGGCACCACGCATCATGCTCGGGGCACGCCCGGCGATGACTCGGATGGAGGTGGTACTCGTCACGTCAGGTTGGAGAACGTGCGCCTCGACGGCTCGGACGAGATGGCATTCGGTATTCCCGATCGAACCTTCAACGGCCTCATGCGTAGGCTCGCATACAAGAAGGGGGATAACATAGTATGTTGCGGTTCCTCGTGTGCTCAAGATGTGCGTAACTGAGTATCCTTTGTAGGTGGCGATATTCGATTGTTGTCATTCTGGAGGGGTGACGCGAGACGTCAATCTTGCCCCGCGATCTTTACCCGACGAACTGGGCCAGCCTCAGCTGCCCGCAACCCTGGACGTCAACTTGTGGTCGTGGCAGAAACCCGACGGCGCTCGGAAAGCCGACTTCATTGTCCCCTCCGGCTTTCTGTACTCCGGGATGGAGTCACACGTTCTTCTTGCCGCTTGCCAGCCGGAGCAGAAGGCTCACGAATACCGCCCGAAGGTTGACGGCCGTCATGGCGACGACGTCCGTAGCCACGGACTGTTCAGTTTCCATATGCTGCAGTTCCTCCGAGAGGCCTACAACCCGGAGATCGGGTTTACCCTGATCAGCTACTCGCGCATGATCGAGGTATTGCCAACGCGGGGTTCGGACGAACGTCCAAAGTTCGGACAGCAGAAGCCGCACTGTGAGGGGCTGCACAAGCATCGGTCGCTCTTCAGAACAACATCGATACCAAAGGACGCGACCAACTTCGACGTGGTCTTTGAAGGATCCACGCTGTACGTGAAGGCGGGCGTCATCCACGGGGTCGTCTCGGGTACGGGGTTTACGTGCCCTGTTCCTCCCGGTACTATGCAATCGGCTCGCAACGTCGTCACTCTTGTCGCCACCAAGACCGTCGAATCCCTTCGCTGCAGTGTGGTCCTCGAAGGGGAGGGCGTTGATATCTCGGCTCTACACGGCGCCCAGGCGTATGTCTCTCGCTGGAACTCTGCCAAGTTGAAGGTAGAAGTGAAGGGTTCGAAGTTGGAGCTGCCGGAGCTGCCGGAACACCAATTCCTGACCACCTCCGAGTCGGACACCGGAGTTGCCGACGTCTCTATCGAAGAGGTCGTCGATGGAGGGTATGTCTTGGAGAGGCATGACCCTCTGACAGCACGCTTTCTCAAGCAACCGTTGTCTTGCAAGACTCCCGGCGTCTCTGCCCCTGCTTTACTCAATGCCCTTGAACGATACAACTCGAATCTTTACCGATTCAACGAAGCCCCCGACGTGAGGGAGGCGTTGTGTGTGAGCGTTCAGCTCCGATCGCTCGAGCTCGAGGAGGCGACACGCAACAGCCTCCGGCCAATATATGTCCCGAGCGGCGAGGATCTGCTGGAGAAAGCTAGGGCCGTTTCCCTTCAACCGATCACTGGCTCAGCCTACCGTCTGTGTGGAGACACAGTTCAAGAGGCAAGGATACCGGATACCGTATTGCCCGATGGTAGTAGGCCGATGTACGGCTTAACTCTGGTGAACCAATCTGGTAGGGATCTATATCCTTACGTATTCTACTATGATCCGAAAAATGGATCGGTACAGGCAAGTATTCTATGTATCTTGTTCTTCAGCATCTGACCGATTCTGTATGATTTAGTCGTGGTACATGCCTCCGAACCGCTACAAAGCGCCTCTACTCAAGAACAACGAACTCCCGATCGGCTATGATCTCAATGGCGATACTGCTATTGAGTTCACGCTCTCTGGCGACACAGTAGAGGAATCTGGTTTTCTGAAGATCATTGTGTCGACCGCATACGTCAACATGGAAGGCTTTGTGCAAGACTCGCTGGTCGATGATGCTCAACCTAGTGGAGGATCCCGCATTGTGCGGATGAAACCAGTAACAAATCTGGAGTTTTGGAGTTCGATGACCTATGTGTTGACTTGCTACCGCCCCTAGACCACTAGTTGAATTGCATGCTGACTCGTGATTAATGGTACTACCTCAGGAGGTCGAAACTGAGGCCACTATGTACAGCGTTGATGTACGTACAAAGTGTTCGCTCCACTGGATGCGCCGCGCCGTTGAGAGATGATATTGAGGTATTGAGGAATAACGAAGCCGGAATAGCGTCACGTTTGCGTCTGCCAATACGTGGGGTACGACTTATGTTATATGATGTGTTGATAGGGACTTCAACGACTCGGTCTGAGGAGGCGGTTCGGACGGTTCGGACTCGACGAATCGGAGTCCTGGCGCAGGGCAATTGCACGTGATGATCTATCGCTGATGGCTGGTCATGGTTGAGTTCCTCCGACTCGGACCGCTGTCCTTGACATGAATCTTGCGCCCATATGCTAGCTACTTCCATGCACTGCGCTGTCTGTAGAATGCATTGCGATGATGTACGTTCACTGGTGAGTACGATTGTCTGGGAAGACAACATCTTCAGAATGAGTATTCCGAGTGTACTGGGTGACCCGCCAGACTCGGAGGCCTATCTGTTTCGGTATTTAGCGGGCGTATGTCCTGGCTGGCGTGCCATGGATATCAGCTATGATGGTTCGGTAGTGCTCGAGGCTGGAGCCGTGGAGGTAAACGCGAGGTTTCTACACCGCTGCAGTCTGGACTGTGCAACTGACCGTGACTGCCGTTAGGTTCTCCGATCGGTACATCTCAGGATCCGATCCTGCGCCCTACCTCTTCCCCCATCGGAGGTACTGCGTGTACAATTCCACCATCAGGAAAAGCCCCTTTTCAGAATATGTCAAATTGCAGAGTATTGTATGTAATAATGAACAATTTCAACTATTCACCTGTTCGGAATATTATAGGGAATTATCTACCCCCCCGAACTTTTGTACGAATTTCAGACAATATACAGAGTATGCGAGTGCATTATGTGTACCTACCTCATTGTTATCTGTCACAGATTGAAGAATACAGCACATATGATCCATCATTGTTCATGTTGTCAGAAGCCTCACACAGACAGAACATATTAGGAACATTATATGAATTGTGAGGTAGTACTGTGAACTATCTAGACGGAGCGAGTACATGTGGTGAACAAACAAAGTACTACTATTACTAATTAGCAAGCCTGAATTCTATATTCATCATCTCTCAGAGGTACTACTCGTCCATTATCTGCTCCCTCAAACCCATTCTCATTGCCAGACTGCAACAGCACATGAAGGTTGTGGCCGAGGCTGAACAAACACAGACGTTAGGGAAGACACATAAGGAAGGCCTAGTACAGGTGAAGTTACTAAGCATCACCAATTGAACGAGATGTACCATGACATACCGCAGTCAAAGCTAACACAAGCATTGTTGGCGCGACTTCACGTTCGGACGGAGCAATCGTCACCGGGCGTGGTTCGGAAGATACGGTATACAGCGCGGGAGCGATCGGGGAGGAAGCGCTACTCTCGTCGGCGCGGTAGCCCCCGCCGCGTCTGTCGGCGCGTTGAGCGTGAACACGAAGGGTTGACGGGAGTGGCTGATGGTCGGGGTTGAAGTTAGCAGGCACAAGGTGAACACGGGGAAGAGACGCACGGGGGGCAGACGCAGTGGCGGCAGCGCTGTGTTCCTCTGATGGTGATGGGAACAGCAACTGCAGTGGGAACCTGGCACGCAGTGGCAATGCGGCGGGATGAGCGGAGAGGGCTGCGACACGCGGTGAGAGCCACACGGATGAGGGTGGTGAGTTGGGCTGTGAGGAGGGTCAGCAGAGCGGATAAGACATACAACGTACCTTTTATGCAGCCTCTCGGCCGCGCTAGCCCTCTACCCTGCATCCGCGTCCTTCGTGAGCACACTAACGACACTTTTGCGGCGTCGTCAGTGCTGTTATGTACTGCTAACGTGTCGCGTTGGACGTGCGTTGATGTGTCAGATTGGTTACGACTCACCTATACCTCTGACAGGCCCATGACGGGCCTGTCTCTTCATGGAACAGCCGCATTTGATGTTCTTGTGGTTGCGCGGCGGGCGAGCGGCGCAGGGCAAGGCCGTGGAGGCTCGTAGAGGAGGTAAAGGGAGTTTGCGAACCGCGCTGGCAGTGGACGGACGCAAGCGCTGTCGGACTTGCCTTATGCGGCAGGATTTTCACGTGATGCGGGTACGCGGACACCGCGCGTTTCTGAAGTCCAAGTCACCCAATAGTCAATAACTGCGACGTCGCCTCGCCGCCGTCGTCCTCCCACTCAGAGTCACCTCACCGCCGCCGTCCTCCCACCCACCTCTCCGCCGCCACCAACACCAACACCCGCTGGTGCCACCGCCCACCAGTACATGCCCGCCACCACCTGCCAGCACGCACCCACCGCCGCCGCCGTCTCATGCCGCCGCCTCGCTTCGCCGCGGCCGACGACAAATGGGCGGTGGACGCGTGAGCACGATGCGAAGGTGAGTAACATCGCACGCGATCGAGCTGACTAACGGGGAGTATGGGGCAGGGCCGGTGCGCGCTCGCTGACCCAGCGCGCACATTGGGCGGGCGACCAGGCGACAGCGCATACGCCAACCGCGAGCGCGCTGGGCGAATGCCCAGCACTGCACGAGCAGATGAGCAGGTGAGTGAGCAAGCACACAGGCACAGGACGCGGATTAGCACCACGCACACGGCAACCGCGAGTGTGCTGTGCCAATGCCCAGCACACACACACGGCCGACGAGCGCGCCGCGACTACACGCATGGCCGACGAGTGCGCCGCGACTACGGGCACGGCAACGAGCAGGTGGGAGGGTGTGCGGGCAGCGCGGGTGGACAGCTGACGGTCAGCGTGGGCCAGGGCCGGGGCGTGCACGCCGACCCAGCGCGCACGCCGGGCGAGCACTCAGGCGACAGCGCACACGCTAACCGCGAGCGTGCTGGGTGAATATCCCGCACGCAGGCATGGCCGACGAGCGCGCCGTGACTACGGGCACGGCAACGAGCAGGCGGGAGGGTGTGCGGACAGCGCGGGTGGACGGGAATTGTGCGGACGCACACGAGCGGCTGCTCCCGCCTGCGGGCGAAGGGTCGGCGGGGAGCGGATGGCGGGAACGTGTGGGCGCAAGTGCGAGTGAACAGCCTGAGGGAGGACAGCGAGGACAACGGGGTGCAGGCAACAAACCCAACGCCGCGCAGATACCACCGAGGTAAGCAAACCCGCGGTCCACCGCCAACACCGGCGGTGTATCCGGGAAGGGTACGGGTTTGCGGGTTGCGGGTGCGGTATGCGCCCTGCGCACTCACGGTGCTACCCGTGTTTTGGGACACTAACGCCGAGCACCGCGGTCTACGTCCTCGACGACGACCTATGCCCTGCCGCCCTATCATGTTGATTATCAGGAACATAATATATATCTTGTGTTGTGGCGTAATGTCCCAATGTTGAAGTACAAAGGACTGAACTCGTGTAATGTACACCGAATTGTAGAATTGATACACTTTTCTTAATTTTCTTCGGTCTGTTTCACTTGTTGACACTAAGACAAATATTACTACGTCATGTACAGCCCCTCAATGGATTCTCAGCAAGGCTTTGTTCATTCCGCTAATACTGCGGAATGCATTGATCATTAGCTATGTTCTGTAGAACGCATCAATCGTTACCTATGTTCTGTAGAATATGTCTACATTAGCTTCGTTCTGCACAATACTCATAACTTCTAACAAATTCTCAAAAGGGGGTTTTCCTGATGACGGTGATCAACTACCTTACAGCCACCGTTCGCAATGCAGCGTACGCGTGCATATGGCCACCCATTCAGACCGATAACAGAGGTTCGGCACTAGCGGGATTAGGCCGCTCCACTCATGGGAAGGGTCATCATCAGGAAAACCTGAATTCCCTAAGTTTCACTAATTTAGGGCAAATTATGCCTGACTCCCTAATCATACTCTCATTTGGGACAATTAGTCCTAATGGCCATAATGTCCACTAATGATGATACAGTTTGATGACATTATCTCAAGTAGACATACTGGCAAATGAAATGTAAACATGGCGTGTATACTTTGATATACTATTGCCTACTGCTTGAACAGTTATGACATATGCACTTCAGTGCTGATCAGAGTTTGAGACCTCTGTATGCAGCATAAGCATGCAATGAGGACCTCAGGCATGATCCTTAGTCATGGCAAAACACAATGGTATATTTCTTGAATGACAGGCAAGCATACAGGACAAACAACAGTTACAAGCAAATCATATCCCAATTTAACTAGAGTCCAGACAAACCGACCAACTTACACTGGGAGGGTGAGGAGCGATTACCGGACGTGTGGTCATCTCGCACAGCCCGGTGTTCGTCCAGGAACTCGCCCATGCGGGACGCCGGGGGAGTGCTCGAGAGGCCGGAGAGAGACACAGGTGCAGAGCCGCGAGGTGGGGGCGAGTCGACAGGAGGGGCATGCAAACACAAACGCGCGTCGGTAGAAGGAGTGAGCCCACACATGTGCTTCACCTGCGCGGGCGAAGATGCGTCGAACGAGAGGGGTATCCCGAGCTCGACCCGTACCCTAACCCGCCCGGGTACAGACTCACCGCAGGGGGCGAGAAAGCATCAGCAATATACATCGTCAGTAAGCACACTGGCAACAGGAGAGATCACGCACCGAAGGCACTCTGGCAAGCCGTCTGCGGAGACCCTGACCATGCGTGAGTCACGCAAGAGCTTGCGCGCGAGCTCCCATTCGCCGACAAACCATCGATTGACTGGGGTATTATGAATCCACCTGCACAAATGCCACGGCAGCAGCAGCACGCCCAGAATACGACTTACCTCGGTAGTACCGACGTACCCGCCCCGGCCCCGCTCAATGCGCGTCCCGTGCGTGCCCACGCGTCCGACCAACCGTTCTCCGCCGCCCTCGCACCCAAGATCGACTGGAGCGAGGGCTAATCGACCTGCCCAGTCAGGCATTCGCGTGTGGGCTGGCGCGACTAACACGCATGTCGCGTGGGAGCTCGATCGGGCGCACTGGTCTTCGAGCGGTGTATCGGCTGGGCCGTCGCGGTCCTCGCTTGGGGCCACTACTAGTAGCGTGTCTTGTCCCTCCGGGGAGATGGTGTCATCGCGGCGGGCGCAAGCGCGGGTGCGGCAATCCACGTCAGCGGGAGCCGGTTGGCCGCAAGGTGCACGGACAGCGGCCGGCTTGAGGGCCGCTGGATGGCGCCACTTGACGCGTTGAGTAGCCGTCCGGGCACAAGAGGGTAGGTGTTGAGGACGGGGAGAGAGTCGACCGCCGAGGGCAGACAGGTAGGCGGGGCGGGAGGAGGAGCCAACGCCGTGACGGGACTTCAAACTTTCCAGGAGCCCGCCGGGAAAATCCGAGGCGGGCGCTCGTTACGTGACTCGTGCGCAACGTGGCGGGGGCTTTTCTCTTGCCTCTTTCCACCACGACCGACCGTTGCGCGTTCGTCAAGACGATCGCGCCGTCGCGCGTTTCGGATGCAAAGGCCAATGAGTCGAAGGTAAGTAGATACTGTGTGTGTCAAATGCTCATGAGTTCTTTCTAGCTCGCCGACGTAGCGCGCTCGACGACCGCCTCAACATCATTCGGGACATCCTTCGCGGATCATGACACACGCGGAGCTGGACTTGGGACAGCCCGCCTGCGGTGAAGACGGATGGCCATGGGAGGACAGCACGCACCGGGAGCACCGCAGTTGGCCGCTACACGTTCGGTACGCATTGCGCGCGAACGAGTGCTGAGCAGCAGTTGATACTGTCGAACGGAAGACAGCCAAGATAGCGCAGTCACAGCGGATGACATACCTCGCCGGCCGTCACCACAGTTAATGGTACGTATTGCGTACCAAACCAGCGCGACCGCACGACGTCTAGTACGTCCTTGACGTCCAAGTCAGCAAGTGCGGCGAGACGTACCTTCCCTGCACGTACCACCAACAACGGGCCCCCGACGTTGCGAACGTGTCGAGCTCGCTGCGACACGCACGACCAAGGACGGGCACGAGCCCGTCGCAAACGTCTGCCAACGAAGGTCAGTCAGTGTCCATCCGATGAACAGAAGGCGGGAAACCAACTCACTGATGCCTTCCCAGCCCTTTTCCCCCGTCTTTTATATCTCGCCGCGCGTGCCACTCCCGGGTGTCTGTCAGCCCGATGATGCACGGCTGCCGGTCGCCGTCGTGATTCAACCCTGACCGGAGACCGCGCGCGTCATCCCCGTCTCGGTTACATTGCCGCACCGCGCGAGATGCGACATCCGCGGACACTCACCAAGCCGTACGTTATCCCGCCTCTGCGTGCGGCTAGTGCACGGCGAGGTATTTCCATCTGTGGAATGCCGTGAGGGCGAATAATGTGAATCGCAGACCACTGGGTCAGTACGACGTACAGAACGGCTGGCCATTGGGCCAGCAGGCTCACGAACATTGCCAGAAACGAGGAACACACCGAATGGCGAGACTGGACCGTTTGCGTACAGACTCAAGCTTCTTGTGTACTTCGCACGAGAACCGGTAAGTACATCATACCGATTCATACAATTTATATACGCTGCGTCCTAGTACACCAGCCTTGCGCCATGTATACAGGGAGAACGCAACAGAAGAGTAAGGCTGGAAGACTCACCTAGCCGTTCAGTCGCCGATCAGGCCAAGCGAGTATGGTATTTTGGAAAGCGCAGATGGAGTGTCGTGTGTATTGATAGGTTGCTCGAGGACTGGGCGCTGATGTCGGCGCAACGACGGGCTCACGAACGTGGCTCGAAACAGGGAACACGCGCACGAACTTCAACACGGCGTGAGTGGGTCCCAGACTAGCAGGTGCGCGATCACACTACATGGATTGATTGCCTACATATCTCACTGACTTACTTACATACAGGTACTCCTGTCCGTGCAGCTGCTTCTCTGAGGCGTCGACATGCGCGCCGATCCGCCCATCGACTATCGTACACATCGCCCGCATGCACGCCGCGTCGTCTGTGTTGGCGACCTTCGCGTCCTTCACTACCGGCGCGCGCCGGCCACCACGGTGCTGTGTGCTCACGAGAAGGTCACCGTAGCAGCGGGGCTGCTCTGCCCGATGAAGGTGTGCCGGCGTGGATGACTGTTGCAGGTGTGTGTGGATCCGTTGCATTTGATTTGATTGAGTGCACTGATGCTCTCCCTTCTGTGTGCGTGACAGTTGGCTAGTCAATGTTTGTGTGAGTACCTAGCTCTTGTCTGTACTGCTCCTCCGTCTCCTTTGTTCTAGTACTGCCTATAGATCTGTGATTAGTATATCTGTGTTTGCTTCACATGGGCATACAGTCTTGCTGTCATTCTGTAGTGCAATATATCTCTTTTTATGTAATGTCATGCTGTGTGACAGTGAGCAGAGCATATATGTACCCTTCTTTGTGATCTGATGCATGTATTGTGGACTCATTGCAGAGTGAATGTGTCTCATTAGAGTCTTGTTATGAAGGACTGTGTCTTACATAGTGTACATTGTGCCTCATTCATACAGAATTAGCACAGGATTGAACAGGATTATGGACTAATTAGAGCAAATTATTTTTGGGAGCAAGGAAAGTTCACTACTGGCTAATGTCCCTCATTATATCTAATTCTATGAAAGTTTGTCTCATCTGTTGTTATGAGACCTCATTAGGGAATTCAGGTTTTCCTGATGATACTAATATCGACAGACCGCGGAGAATCGGAGAAGACCAGCGCCGTACTAGAACTGGACACGTTCGAGGTTGCGTGTCCTTACTAAATGGGTCGAACGTAGTACCAGAATAGGGGATGATAAGTTGAGTGCCCAGGTCATGAACAGTCACGTCTGCTCAGCACATTCGTTCCTGCGTCCCAGGTCGCCGAGGCATGCCCCAACGACCAGAGCGGACGAATGCTATGGAAATGCAATGCTTTACTCGGCGCAAATATCACAATGTATCAAGTCGAATGTAGAGGGACCCATGTACGAAGGCAAACTTGAACAGTGCAGTTTCTGTTGCCAACCTCAAGCTTTGTCTTTGGACGGATCACCTAGCTGCCCTGCCATATATTGTGAGTACAAGTGCGCGCGACTGGCCCACTGTAGCACGACATCCTCATGGTATAGTTCGCAGGACACCCGTGTTCCGCCTTCACACGCCGCACGAAGCCATGTCCAAATCAACGTCTGTGGCTATCGACGTGCGGTGCGGCACGTTTTGACAACTAAGGGTGCAATGAATGAGTGTCCACTGATGCTCAGAATTTAGGTTAGCTGCATCGGACACTGAGACAGCAACCATGCTTGCATCATATAATGATGCCGCGTTTGATCACAAGTCCAGTACGTCAGAACTCTTTGTTTCGAGCTCAACCGACGGCAGGCATAAAAGGGTCATCCACAATCTTGTATGCGCTATCCCATCCTGGAGCATGACGCGGCAAGTGCAGTACCGTCAAGCCCTATTGCAACGTCCAAAGTATGTGCCATCACCTACATGGCTGCATGTCCGATGTCAGGATCTCACTGTCTGGCGCCTCAGACGGGATGACTCGGGGATCCCTCCGCCGAAGAAGACCACTGCCATCTCACGGTGAGGTCCAGCTGAATTAAAATGGCCATGATGAGAGTATAAGAGTATACTAAGGTCTGTTCACAACGCCTCGTTTGTGCAGAAAGGACGACACTATGACAGTTACCGGTCAACCACTGTCGTTGGACGACATAAAATCAAGGTGGATACCTATCCGCACCGCAGACGGGAGCGCTGACGCAGAGCTATGCAGGGAAGACAGCTTTGCAGCCGAGATCGAATACTCGTCACGGTACGGCTACTACTACTACATACACTATGCGCAACTGACCTCTGGACCGAAGGCAGGAAGACAAGAAATTCGATGATTTGACAACTCACGAAGTCGATTCGAAGTCAAGGTGAGTTGTTTGCGTGCATTATTGGCAAATCCGAATATTAAGAAGCCTCGGCTACAGTGACTTGGAGGACTCGGAGAATCTTCATGTATCAAGAGTAACAACATATGGCAAATATGCACTTGAGTGAGTTCGCCCCTATATACCTCTAGTGACCGCGAATTGATTGGGTTTCAGAGCGAGCTTTGACGGTGATGTGTCCATAACAGCCCAAGAGAGTATTGTGACGACGCAGGAAAGCTTCCAATCACCCCCGGAAGGTCTCAGGCAACGGCATAGCCAAAAGGCTGGGACTGGCCGCATGATCGCAGACAAGCCCATCTTTGCGCTCGTCATCGCCATTGATACGTACAAGAACAAATCGATCCCATCCCTTGAGGGCTGTGGTCTCGACGGCGCCGACTTTGTCCACTTCCTCACGAATACACTGCGCGTCCCCGAGAGCCGCATCATCCAGCTCAACAACGAGCAGGCCACGCGTTCCGCGATACTCGCCGCCTTCCAATGCGCGTTTATCGAGAACGACAAAATTGAGCACGGCGACGCGATGGTTTTCTTCTACGCGGGGCATGGCGATCGCGTCAAGGCGCCTGTTGGATGGACAGCGAATGACGATATGATCGAGATGATCTGCCCGTTCGACCTAGAGACTCCAGACGATAACGGGGTCCCCATCCCTGGCATCCCAGACCGGACTTTCGATAGTCTCATGCGATACTTGGCCTCGGTGAAAGGAGACAACATTGTACGTGCATCTCCAGACCACTCCGTCGACAGACAGCCTGATCGACCCCGTGCATGATATAGCTTGCTATATTCGACTCCTGTCACTCAGGCGGCGTGGCCCGTAGCCGCAGGCACGGTACGCCTCGACAGTTGGGTACCAACGTACCCCGCTCCCCCATTCCTGCGACGCTGGATGAGGACATTCAATGGGCTGGTCGCCTGGATCCCCCAGGCACCGAGGGCACCAGTCGCGGAGCGAAGTCAGCTATATCATCAGGGTTTTCGTACTCTGCCATGCGTTCGCACGTCCTCCTCGCGGCCTGCCGAGCTAATGAAAAGGCTCTGGAAAATCGCGTCGCGATCAAAGAGAGAGGTGCCTCTAGTGGGCCTACGCACCGCGGGGCAAAAGCCGTGCCCGTCGCTTCGACCGGCGAGCCTACTGGTACGTCGAACAGAACGCCAACGCGTGGGATGTTCACCCTCCACCTGCTTGCGTATCTGCGTTGGGCACATGAGAAGGAGGAGCGTCTCGAACAACTCACCTACGCGCGTCTCATGGACTCCTTGTTGACCCCGGCATCAGCTTTTCGTGCAATTCCTCTGACGGCCCTGTCAGGGGCTTCATAAGCGCTCAGATCGCTTCAGATCACATCAGAACGGCTCATTCGGCCAGCCCTCAAGGTGTCGACTTTTTGCGAATTGTTGCTGTCAGATAGAATCATCAGACAGCGTCAGACACTCTCAGAGAGTCTCAGAGCAGTCCGAATCCGCGTCAGCATGTCAGATACGCCAGAGAATATATATAACACAAATATATTTGCTGTTCTTTGTATGACTCGTTGGGCCAATTAATCACTGTCTACTGTAGCTACTATTAACTGACGGTACGCTCGCGCGAGCTACTGTCCGGTCCATGCGCGTAGCGGCACACCATAAGCTCAAACTCACCCACTGTGCACTTGCTGGTCAGCGTGTACAGCTCGTCGCCCTTGCATCTCCTTGCGCTTGCGTCCGCCGGGCTCAACTTGCACCGTCCACCCGACTGCGAGGATGTGTGATCACTCCGCGCTCCTCGCAGTTGATGGGGCCCCGCTCACTCGACGAGTGAAATCTGGTGTGCGCGTTCAATGCGAAGACGGCTGAAAAGCTCGCCGCGCGACACGCGAAGAACAAGCCCACGCGCACGCTCAACGCGAGCCACTGCCTGCTCCCGCGGTCTCGCCGTGTTTGCGTGGACAAGCCTGGATACGCGCACACCAAGAATCCGAGCACGAGCTCTAGGGCTGTCACCCTTGCAGCCCAGACAGGCGCGCCGAGGCACCCGAAGGAGACGTGTCGCACAGCGAGGAGAAATGACCGCGGAGACTCGCGGGTGGAGCTACCAAGCGTCGGGGATGGGCTGAAAGCCCGTTTGACGTCTGGATACTCGGTGGCCTGGCTCTTTTTCGACGTGTGGTCCTGCTTAGCGGACTAGGTTACGCCGGGCTTGAGCGTGCGTGTCGGCGCGTGCCGCATTGTAACTGGGTGCGGTGAGTTCGTGCTGGCCATACCCGTGCGCAGCATGTTCAGATTTTCCGGTGCATGCTTACCGGGCTTTTGTTAGGGAGGCTGTGCCACTCATCTTCACCGCGCTCGTGCTTTCTCGTACATGGCCATCTCCCTCGCGTTAATCTCCGTCAGGTTGGGATATGTTTGTTTGGTTCGTCGGCGGGTCAAGTGGACAAGTGAGGTACACTCACTAAAGTTGCCGTCCCGCTGGCCACTCATTCTCCACAAGCCTCTGGCGGTACTCTCGGCGCGTCGCTGGAGCTCTGCTGAGCCACGCGATCGTGGGGCGCGCAGCGGGTTGATTCACGTGCCGACATCAATTGCGAACAGGCCCGAGCGTATGTTCTCGAGGTATGTATTAAGCGGAGGTAAGAGGGAGGGAGGACAGGGAGTAGGAGGCCGAAGGCAGACACAACGGAAGTTGGGTGGTGAGAGTTAGGTCGCGAAAACCGCCAAGTGGCAAGCGCCGGCACGTGTGGCGTGTCGTGGCAGAGGCGCCTCCTTAGCACTTCCGAGTCTCCTCCATGTCAACGTTCAGTGCACCTAAGTGCAACACTGGACGGCAAGATCTGCACCGCTGGTACGCCCCCCCCCCTTCCGCGGTTCACTTTATTCATGGGGTATGCGAACTAGCGCTCGCTCTTCACGTCGTTGAGGATGGCGGCTTCAGCAACGGCTTTGTGTACCAGAACATGCAGACCACACCGCACGGACACGTCGAACACGTTCGAGAGCACGTCCTGCTGGCGGGACGTAAAATCAGCAGACCGAACGAACGATCGACCAGACCACGGTCCAGGACTCTTCCTCCGGGCGGTGCGGCCTCAGCGCGCCGGCCTCAACACCCGCTCAAAGCAACGGAAAAGCCAGGGTACAACGGAAACGGGAGTGCGGTAAGCTAGTATAGGTGAGTCTGGATATTCACTTCGTACTGTTGTGTCTTTCACTCGCATTCGCACACTCGCCCGCTCGTTTCCCCTTTCCTACTCGCCTGTCAACCCACTCCGAGTCTCCTGTTCGCCCTTTCGCCCGCCCACGCTCTCAGCTCTTTATGCTGAAAATCATGCACGCATGCAATCACCTAGCATTCAGATAACCTCATCCGACTCTGCGCTTGTTGTGACTGTCGCCGCATGCTCGCTCGCAGTACACGCGCAGGCACCCCGACACGTAGCTCAAGGACCTCGTCCTGTACGTCACAAGCCAGACGCACTCACTTGGCTTCAAGGCGAGCCTCGTCCTCGGGCTCCAGCGCCACGTCTTGGACGTCAAGTTTGAGGACGAGTACGCGCTCCGGGGTGAGATGCTCCGCGCCACATTCGAGGAGGACGTTACGCGCGGGAAGCATACGTTCCCACTGAGTGAGCGGGTTTGCTGGTTTGGGTAGTGTTTGATCTGACTTTCGGGTTGGTAGTTGGCACGGTCGGGACGACCTCCTCGGGCATTATTGATCGTCTTGACGAGATCGGTGAATTCTGTGAGTGCATCAGCTCTATTGTATATGCGGCCACTTATCACCGTGCACAGTGAAGGGCTGTCCCAATATCTGGCTGCATGTCAATGCCGCCTGGGCAGGTGTGACCCTCGCATGCCTCGAGTATCGCGACGACTCATGCCTCAAGGACATCAACTTCACCTATGCAACATCGATAGGGACGAACCCCCACAAGGTACGCGCATATATGCGGCCCCAATGCATTACACGCCGCTCACCGAAGCAATAGCAGGGTCTCGTTAATCTCGACGCAGCGCTCCTATGGGTCAGAAGCGGTAAGGACCTAATGGATGGGCCCGACGTGATGCCTGACAGCGCCTTCCGCCCGGACGTGGACCAGCGCGTGCCAAATGTGTTCGTCGGACTGCCTGGTTGCACTCTGCGGCACGCCTCATAAGCTCGACATGGCCAAGATGTTGGAAGCCAGGCGCATGTGGCTCCAGACGTATGGTATGCATCGAGAGTAGGTGCAGGAGAGGATGCACAAGATGAGGTGTATGAACCTGATGAGACGACGCGCAAACGCACTCCATTTGTACACTGTATACACTGATTATAATGACTGTAGTGGTCTCTCAATATATTGCTTTTTTGGCCTTTTGTGAGGCATTCACTCTGGTTTGGGGGTAAATGTTGTCTGATGCTACTGTGCTATCTGACGCTGTCTGACATCATCTGAATGGATCTGACAAGTTGTGGTGCCTGAAGTGTCCTGACGCTTCTGAAGGCCGGCTCTCAGATGCACATACCGTCAGAAGTTGCACACTTTCCTGATGGGATGCCGCGAAGCTCTGTGGGGTGTCATTCGACGGGCAACACCCACTCTGCGAGGGAAAGAACCGGGACCGGCTGCTGTTCAGCACCACCGAGCTGGATGGGGAGGAGAGGTTGTTCAAAATGCGATGGAACAAAGGTGTGCTCTATGTCGTTGCTGGGGAAGTCAACGGTGTCTGCAAGGGGACGCGATTCGTGATACGGGCTTCCAGAGGCACACGCGGGAACCACGGCACCATACTCATTGCGGAACACGTCGACGTGACCAAGTGCTCTGTGAGACTCGTCAGCGAGTCCCTGCGCATCAAAGTCGATTCCTTGGAGGAGGAGAGGGCGTTGTTAGTGGCGTGGAACTCGGAGCCGATGAAAATTCACACCTCCCTACCTCTGCAGGTGCGGAGTCCATACAGACACACGAAGGTGATGGGAAGGGAGTACTACGACGTCTCACTTGAGGATGGCTCAAACGGTTGGGCCGTCGATCGTTTCGACCCGTTGACGTCCCGGTACGCGGAGCCGGAGATGTCAATTCCGAAGGGCGTGCAACCCGCCGAAATTTTGAACGCGCTGGCGCACTGGAACTTTCATCTCTATCGGCGTAGCGACTGTCTGGAAGACATTCGCCCGCAGGTACAACTTCATCGCCTGCAGGCCAGTTCAGGTCCACGAAGGATACGCCCGCTCCTGGAGCCGGCCGGTCTGAACTTACTTGAAGGCGCCAGGGCCGAGCGAATCCGGTCTCACCCTCTCTCGACATACAAGATCGCTGAAGAGGTCAAAGAAGTGGAGATCCACGACATGGAGCCGTACTATGGTCTGACCTTGGTCAACAATACCACCTATGACCTGTACCCCTACGTGTTCTACTTCGATCCGTGCACTCTAGCCATACAGGTAGGGAATCGTCACGACATGACATCCCGCAAGCAGTACTGACTCCGATGATTTGAAGGCTTGGTATCTGCCCCACGGAAGTCAAGGCAGCGGTCCTTTGACTCGAAAGGGGCCTGACGGTCAACCTGGTCGACTTCCTATCGGCTATGGTGACTCGGGGACTGACAGTATCAGATTTAGCCTCGATCCCAATGTCAAGAAAGAGGCTGGCTTCCTCAAGATCTTCGTATCCACGTCGTACGTTGATATGAGAAGTGTTCAGCAGGGCGACCTCACGAATGGAGCTGAACGCGGCGCTACGAAGGAGGAGGTATCGCTTGCCGGAGACGGTTGGCATTCCTCTGTGTATGTTCTGACTTGCTGCTAGTTCGAGTGGTCGCTCCTCGACTGTTGTGCATGATTTTGAGGTGTATCGACATATCTACTGTAGCTTCATTTGACACCTAATTGAGTTGTACTAGCTGTTTGCGATTGTCGGAAGGTTTCCCCTCGTCACTGTCCCCCACATTGCTCGAATTGGCGTCTTCGTCGTCCGCGTTGCTATCATCGGTGTCGTCATCATCGCCCGTGGTATATTCGTCGTGGAAGCCGGTGTCGCCGTAGTCCGAGGTCATGTCTCCGTCCGTGTAGTCCTCCGGCGTGCGAACGGGTGTGAACGACCAGATGACCTCGCGCAGCGCAGGCGGACGTGGCTCGGCCATGTCGTCCGCCTCCCGCCTCGAGACGAAGTCTGCGTCGGTGAGGTGCGGCGAGTCAGGGTGCGCGGTTTGTTTGGAATGCGACTGTCGACATAACAGGAGATGACTTCCCGAAGCATTTCAATTGGTAGGATTGTCGAGTGCATCGCGCTTGTATGGAGTCGTCAGCGGAAGGTCGGACGTTATGGTTCAGGGCATCACACCGCGGCGGGCAAACCACCGTTGCAATTGCCGTTGCGACTTGGTTGCCGCGGTTTCCAATTGGGTACGAGTCATGATCAGGCCGTGTTTGAGGCCAGACTAGTGGTTCTGTAGTCTCGCCGCAAGACCCTCTACGTGGAGGCGTGTGAGGGGTTTGTGTCGAACCTAGGTCACGGTGATACTGAAGCCTTGCAGTGAATGACAGAAGCGTCGAGTAGCTTAGTCAGCAGACCGTTATTCAGTAAGTATACACTTTTCGTTCCCACGCTTACACACCTGACAGTACATAAACGGATAGTGGTAACTTATGCACCCCTCAAAGTCTCCATTACTGGACGTGTCTCCGACACTGGGCATGCTGCCTGTAGAGCTCATACGTGAGATCATCTTCTGTTATGTCGACGACGCTACGCCCGAGAAGCCAACCGGCCTGGTCCACCCTCATCTCTCGCACGTCTGGTTCGAAGATAGATCAAAGGCGTATTCACAATCCTTCTCTTCGCTTAGCCTGGTGTCGAAGGTCTTTCGTGAGATTGCTTTGCAAGCGTGGTTTCAAACCTTCGCAGTGCGTAGACCTAAAGTACATCTGACGGGTTTGTCGACCATACCAGGAGTGGCGCAATGGACAAGGTACGGGCCAGATCATAATATGCAGGACATGCCGCTCATTTGCGTAGGGTAGTGCACTGGGTTAATCCAGCCAGTGTCAAGTTAGGGCTGTTGCTCGGGCACTTCTCTTCTAGGCGGGGTCTCATGGCGTTCATCCGTTTACGCAAGTTGCGAATCGACGCGTTTCCCTCTGATCACTCCCACATCCTCCTGGAGATGTTCGAGGAGCTACCGCTCACTGTGGTTGAGCTGGAGCTTCGGTACCTTGAGTGGCCGAGTCCGCAGCAGCTCGTTCCTGCAGCGACACTTCTGCCAAATCTACGCGTTCTGGACATGCATCAAGAACACGCGTGGTGCAGCCTCTGCAATACGTGCAATGTGTTGCGTCTCAAGGACGATCCAGTCTCTATCACGTATACCAATGGTGATGGTCTCCCTGTGCGTGCACCCGCCTCTGTTTGTTCCGTGTCTACATCGCCACTCACCCTGGTAATCCCTCAGAAACTGTACAATCGCTACCTGGCACCTTTATCACATCTGCGCACCGTGCGCTTAAGTGCTGCATATACTCTTGACCTGTCCGTCGGCGTCGGTTTGCAGGACCTGAAGACGCCATGGCGAGGCGAGTGTGGCGAGTGCACTTCGCTGCACCTCACCGACGAAAGTTTCGTGTCGGACTGGGAGGCCAAAAACAAGGAGGAGCCGCATCCGCCCTCCCTGTGTGAAGTCACCTGGACATTTGCGCTCGACCAGGAGGAAGAATCCTCAGACTCGGAGAGACCCAGAGATATTGAAAACGAATACGAGGACGACTTTTGGATGGAAGTGGACCACGATGACTCGGACAATGACAGTGGGGACAGTGGGGCCAGCGGCGATGAAAATTGAGGTCGATACCGTCTGGGTACAGTATCATAGGCAAGCACCGGCAGCCACACGTATGCATCAGACAGATGGTCTAACATCGCTCTAGTCGTCTAACACGTAACGCAGAATACGTGGACATTGATACACCAGCCGTACGCTTCGGCGAATAGTGTAGAGTTCTTCGCTCGCGCATATGCATCGCCCTCCTCGCCCTCTGTGGGACTGGCAGCCGGGATGTAGTTTCGCAACTCCAAAGGCACGCACCCCGGCATCTCTGGTAATAATATCCGTAACCTACTTCCTGCGCGTCGTGCAGTCTCGGCCCACGATCTCCTGCGCTATTCTAGGGGGATCTCGACGCCCTGCGATCGAGGTGCCTCTACTTCTGGTTTGGACACCGACGTTGACCGGGTCAGCGCAGCAACTCTCTGGAGATGGTGAGGGCATCGCGAGCCTTTATACCGACGACTCACGTATTGTCCTGACTCCAGAATAGTTTCGATGATCTTGCAGCCGGTACACCCAGTGGCACCGAGGATGAGCACCAGAGGCTTCTTCTCGATCATATGTGCTAGCGGTTGGATGTTCGGAATTGGGAGGTTAATTTTCCTAAGGATGGTGTTGATGGCATCATGACGGTGTTTGCGCTGCGAAGTTGATGATATACTGTATCATCTCGAAGAAGCCTTTACTCAGCAAGTGAACGCAACTATCGCTGTCAAGAGGTCGTTCGGCGCGTGCCCTCGTCGCGGGCCCCTCTCTTCCAATCCCTCTCACCATACTCAGCCCCAAGAGCTTGTTGATGTTGCTGTCCGAGCTGCCCAGACGACGCCAGCCCAATGACCGCAGCCTCTCCGCGATAACTTCATGGTCATTATGGTACTGTACATTCATACACCGCTGTCCAGCGCCCAGATTCCGCAAGCGTCATACAGCGTGTGAGCTCAAGACGAGCGAACGCCTCAATGCGTCGCCCCATAGAATTCCTTAGCAAAATCCGCAAACCGCGTCGGCACGATATCGGGATAGAGCTCCTGTGCGTCGAGGGCGCCCAGCTTCTTCGCGTTCGCCAGCGTGTTCTCCCCGAGGAAGTGGATGCTGACCATGTACTCAGAGAACGCCCACGTAGCGTGAGCGTAGGAGTCTCCGTCAGTCGTGAACTTCGCCTTGCTCTCGGCCGCACGCTGTATCAATGCGGCTCTGTCGAGCTATAACCGATGGCGTATCAGACATGAGGAAGAGGAAATAATGATCGTCTAGAGCGGCTTACCACGACACGCTTCGCACGGATGGCCTCTGCCTCTCCGCTTGCGGCCTCTGCTATCTCCCGCGACTCTCGAAGGGTCAACTCGTCTTCCCGGATGACGACATACTGGTTCGCCGTCCGTTTGTCGCCGATGATCCTCGCGACGTATGGTCCAATGTGATCGACATCCGTAAGTAACATCAGTTTGTCGTCTTCGGCGTAGTATTCGTCACCGAGCGGGCCGAGCGGTGCTGGCTTGGCGGATGAGCCAGGCACTGCAAGCTGCATCCACCACCCGATGTCTAGGAAGGTGTAGCTGGAGACGCCATTGGATGCGGCGCAGAGGTCCTTGAGGTAATCTCTGACATCGAGTTTCTGGAAGGCGTAACACTTTCGGTCAGCATACCATTCATGACGACGCAGCGGAGGGTGTCAAATGAACGCACCGCGTCGTGCAGACCTCTGACGCCCTTTGCACCGGGAGTGCCGACGTCGCATGGGATGATCCTCTTCACGCCTGCATCCACTGCCGCCTTCAGGATGGGCTTCTGTGCACTGATCGCCTCGGCGGATACAGTGCTCAGCAGCACCTCAACGCCCTCGAGGTACCCTGCCAACTTCGCTGGCGGGTCGGCTGCAAAATCGCCGGTGCGGATCTCCACGCCTTGCGATCGAAGTGCGTCTACCTCTGGTTTGGACGCCGAGGCTGCGCGCGTCAGCGCGGCAACATTCTGAATTGTCGCAACGAGTTAGAATCGCAAGACAAGGATGAGATACGAAGGACTGGAGACGCACGTATTGACCTGACTCCAGGAGACCTTTGATGACATTGCGCCCGGTACGCCCAGTGGCACCAAGGACGAGCACAAGGGGTTTGTTCGCACTCATGAAGGTCGATCTTGCTATGTGACAATAAAGGGGAGGTTGTGCTGCCTATGTGCAGGACGTTTGTGGCTTTATACTGGAGCCCATCGCTCTCAATCGCTGCCAATATGTGCACGATTGCCGGTAACTTCGGAGAAACAATTATTCAGCATATGCTGAATAATCGAAGTACAATGACGAAAGCGGTGGACGCGATTCACTTCCACTGCTGCAGGACCAATATGGACACAAATGTGGGGACCAGAGACATCGAGTCGAAGGGCCCATCATGAAACCGCGGTGAGAGGCCGCCCGTACTTAGCATAGTCATGATGAAGCATCCAAAGTCGCAATTGGCATCTAATAAGTAGATCATCTGGTTCTGACGAATCAGATCCGCAGCCGATCCAAGCATATTTTACTTACATCATGTTACATAAGTATTGGTAAGTTACTTATGTTCTGACTTGCTGTTAATTCGAGTGGTCGCTCCTCGACCGTTGCACATTATATTGAGGCGTATCAACATATATACTATAGCTTCATATGACACCTGAGTGAGTTGTACTGGCTGCTTGCAATTGTAGAAAGGTTTACCACGTCTGGGTTACTCAAGTTGAGCAGATCGCGTGAATTTGATTCATGTCGTAGCATGTCGTGGAGCTGAGTCGAGGTCAACTTTATCTGACGCGTGCGAAGTAATTGACAATGAAGGGATATGCGATACATTATACATAGTAGAGCTCGAGGAACACGTCCATCCTGGGCTTGGGACTCCCGCCGTGGTCTCTCAGGCGGTCTGCGTAACATAGTCACGAGACTGTGACAGTTGGTGTGCGTGATGAACTCAGGCGCGACGCGTCGCGTCGCATCCCACCATCCTTGCTTGCGACCACTTGCTCTGTTATTGGCGTCCCCAGCAGATCAGTGTGCAGACCACTCAGATTCATTGAACTACGCTAATCACACCACCACAATCACTCGGGCTGTTGTCATGGTCGCTATCCTACCTCCGGTCTACTCTCTCTCTGCGGAGTGTCCCGTCAAATGGACCGTTGCGCAAGAGCGTGCGCTGAACAGTGATGCGCAAGGATGCGGGAGTGGCCTTGGTACTACAGGTGCGGCTGCCTACGCAAGGAAAACATATCTGCGATTTCTTTGGCTCCCTGAGGTACGTGGTCCGTTCGATTGCACCTTTCATGTGTTCTGCGTGGAAAGACTGCTTGACCGGGGAGAGGTGTGCAACTCCGGGACCTTGAACGAGTGTCTAGATTATTCGTTGATGGGAGATATGGGCCCAGAGGATTGCGCGATAACATCCGAACGTACGAGCCGGAAGCCTCGTTGCTCGCTGGCGAGAAATTTGTCCTCATTGCAGGCGTGCCGATGAGTTCTGCCTTGTTTCCATCGCGTTGATCTTTGTCCGGGCTCATTGCATAGCGGGCGTGAGCAGAGGGGATGTCCGCGGTCAGGGTGCAGCCGTATGACAATCATGAACACACAGTATGCTGAATGCGTTTAGCCACTCCTCCACACATAGTTCGTATCATACTCCAGCGTTGTTCTAGGCATATATGCGCGTTCTTCCATTTCGCCATTGCTATGCGTGGACATCGCAGGCCAACATGACTCATCAGCGACCAGATCATCCGGCGAAGCAACCTCTACTTCACAAGGGCGTATGCATTCGTATTGGCACTTTCCTAGCCAAAACTCTTGTGTCGCCTATGGTTGCTGTTACTGTTGTCTCACTCGACCCTCCCTTATAGTCAATGATGCCTCTTCGGGCCCTCGTCCCGTCTCTCTGGCGGATCCAGTCGGACCCATCCTCATCCTCATCCTTCCGCAGCAACTCACATCCTCTGCATGAGCTCCTTCGCCCGCTCCTCCTCACGCCCCGGTCTGCGTCGCAGAAGTACCACACTCGTCTCAACCAAATGATCGAAGAGGAAACCAGCGCGGGAGACGACGAAGAGCAAATGGTGTGGCTCGCCTATCGAAACGCAAAGGGTGACGCGGAGCTAGTGGAGCAGACGCAAGACGCGAGCGGCACCGTGAGCATGTTCGATGCAGAGGAGGCGTGGAAGGACCGGTGGCTAGCGAAGATGGAACAGCGCGAGTACGTGTATTCATCGTCCTCCGTGTACCTATCTCGACGCTGATGGCGACGAAAGAGTTCAGATACAGATCATCCTCCATTTCTTTCTCCTCTCCCTCCCAGGTGCCCCGTCACAGCTCCCCGAAGAACCACAGCCCGAGCTCCCGGCGTATCTCTCGCCGTCCAAGAAGCGGAAGCGCAAACACAAGGTAGCCACGCCTCCGCCGCAGGGCCCTACCCTGGAGGAGTGCATCGAGCTCTTCATGGACAAGCTGTCGATGTGGCAGCTCATGTCCGCACTCGACGCGCAAGACGCACAACGGGACCGGGGAAACCCACACGCGAAGGGTAAGCAGAAAGCCGCAGACGAGCGGGACTGGATGCAGGCCTTCTGCGAGGACATTGTCGAGCCACGGTGAGTCTGCGTGTTATCCGCGTGGCGCGATGCGACGGAGCGCTGACGACACTGGCGCCCAGGTTCAAAACGAAGCTGCCCGATCTGTGCAAGCTTCTGCGCTCGAAGGTGTTCCAGGACTCGTCCTTCACGGACGACCCGGACGACCTACTGTCCTCTCCGCCCGTGTCCCCGCGCCCCGCCGCTAAGCGCCTCAAGACGTCCGCTGCCTCCTCCCAACACACTTCTTTCTCGCGCACGCAGCCACGCACGAAGGATGCACAGCCAGACCCGCGCGAGCTCCAGCGTGCACGCTCGCGCTCCCTGACAGTGACCCTCGAGCAGGAACGCGCGCGCTCGCGCTCGATAAGCACCGGCCCGGGGAACGCCCTCCGGAAGCGCGCCATCGTGCGCGAGGTGAGCATGACCACGGCGTTCAAGAGCAAGGCGCAGGCCAAAGCGCGGGAGAAAGAACAGGCGACTGCGAAGGCCAGGGTAGCAGCGCAGAAGGAGAAGGCGAAGACGCTTACTGACGCCGGTGCGGCGAAGGCGCTCGCACGCACGAAGAGTAGCGTTAAGGGCGTTACGCTTGTCGAGGCGACGCCGGTGAAGCCTAAGGAGCGTTCTGGCCGGGGGGCGTCAGAGACTGAGGAGCATGGTGAGATGGAGGCGGGCGAGGGCGCTGCGCCGTTACCGAGGTGCGAGCTCGGGAACATCGTGGAGGGCGACGAAGATGAGGATGAGTGGACGCTGCCAAGCTCGCCCGACATCTTGCTGCTTGGATCAGGCTCGGGCTCGGGCTCGCATCTCACGAATGCGAGTAGTCGTGTATCCGACGACGACGACGACGACGACGACGACGTACTCGGTTGGATGGCGAGGAATACCCACCTAGTAACGGACACACCCACTAAGCCGAAACGTACGAAACATTAGGGAGGTGTATTCTCACGATGCAATAGATTAAGGTGCCAGTCGCATCCCGGTCATCATCCATAGTGGTTATGAGTTACAACACAAATGAGTGCATGTTACGCGCATCCTGCGAGCGCCCGGTAAGGTGTTTTGCTAGAATCTGAAGTGCCCCGCGAAGACCTGGCCGCATCAACACAAAACAATGGCTGGCTCAGATATAATAAATACGGTCCTCAGCTGTCGCCATAGCTGTGGCGACTAGACACTATTGGCTGTAGCTCCCCAATGCGTTTTGTCCCGACCACAGATCGTCAGTGAGCTCTCTGACATCTGAGTAGATGTACCGTGCTTCGTCTGCGTTGGAAATTAGGAACTCTTCGAGCGGAAATAAGGATTACCATAGTACCTCAGTTCCTCCGTGAGATGCATTGGACCTCACATCTACCATATCGCCACAACTGATCTGCTGTGTTCCCTGTGCGCGACGACATGAGTGATGATGATGTCGTTGATCGTACAGACATACCATGCTACCACCTGCGGAGTCATTCGACAGACCGGCGAACGCCGGCATCGAGGGTTGCATGACATCTGGAGAGGCCGTTATGGCTCTGAGGCCACGGCGGGCATTGAGCGTCGCAAGGAGCGCATTCAGGGAAACTAAACACCACAGGTAAGTCACGTCCATTTGCAGATGCCTACATCACGTTTGGGCACTCACACTTAGTCAAGAGCAGATACAACGACACATAGGCAAAGGTATGAGGCCTCGTAGCATACTGTCCGCACTCAGCAGGCATATCAATTGGAGAAGCGGTGAGGTTCACCGTGATGAGGCATGCTAGTGTGCAGGCACTGAAGGCGCAAATCGTCAGCCGTCACTACTATCATGAGATCTGGACGTCCACTGACCTTGTTAATGCCCCTGTTTCGATGCTGTACGCAATAAGTAGCCGCATTGCATAGCTTGTCCGCGAACTATGGTATGTTCAGCCGAATTTGATGAGTGCTTGCCTTGGAGGCGCACCCTGCATTGTTCATTAAGTGCCGCGTCAGAATGACGCAAAGGGATCCCGCAATAAGCAGATCTCCGACTACAGCGCTCGAAAGCCCTGAATACAGGAGCGCCTGGGTGATCATGATCGGTTAAATGAAGATGAATCTCATCGAGATACTTACCGCAAATGTCTTGGACCGCCATGAATCGAAGCTGGATACGGAGCAGCTGAATGGAATGAGCGGAGATGATTGCCCCTGCATGGAACTGCTTCACCTCATGCCTGCAAAAGCTTGGGGTTTCGACGACTTATGAATCAACACTGTCGATGCTCCGTAGATGAGTGTCTCGCTTACTCCAGCTAAGTGCTAGAGAGTACGAGGGGCTGTGATAAGTAGGGATGGCAATGGCGTTAGATATAATCAAACGCACCAGTGATTGTTGCTCCACAGAGAAGCTATAGTCGGATGAGCTCGAGACTGCATCGACGCTGATGAGACTCACAAGGGAGACAGTAAGGGGCATGTTTCGGTTGCTCACTTAGATGGGCGAATACGTTACATGTGAACTTGTTATGATCATGCATCATACTCACACTTCCAGACCCGATGAGAGAATATACTGCAAGGGACATCCAGGTTGCTCGCTCTATAAGTATGCGACACATGATGGCAATGTACAAGCTCACCTTCGCACTATGAGGTCACTTGCTCCCTGTGTCATGATGATAATGCCTGAGTTCAGTTAGCAATGCAAGAGGCGGGACAGACCGTTAAGAATATGAGAACCTAGAGTTGATTTAGATCATGAAACTCCCGAAAATGCAGAACTTCGTAACGTACAGGGAAGGTCCTGTTAAGGTCCTGCAGCATTAGACGATTAAGCATAGCGCACACTTGCTACTGCATACCATATCAGTTTCTGCGCTGCTATCGGATTCGCAAAATCGGTAATTGCATAAGTGTAGGTGGTGACGGTGAACAGTATGAGCTGGAGTAAGTTGATGATCCTAGGACGCTTGAGTCTGATTCTGGGCAATACGTTTAATTGGTGAATCGTACCAGGAGAATGACAGCTGTTGGGAAACCTCGTCAGTGCAAAGATACCCGTATGTGTCTACGTAAGGGCTCACCAGAACGACCAAGATGACGCAGTCAGAACCGCGGTTATTCCAGTATGCATACGTCTGTACCGTCGTCACACCGACCAGCCTGACGGCGCCGAGGTCAGAAGTGACGTGATGTATGAGTCCTCGCGAACGTACACCGCATCCGCGATATTACCTAGAATTATACGTCGGACAGGCGACTATGCTTTATACAGAACAGGGACGCTCACCTAGAAGAAGCGCACCTAGGTTCGACGTCACTTCATCGCTCAGCGAGGACATGACGAGCTTGAGGTTGTAGAGTGGCTGGTCTGCGACTCGAGATGAAACAGTCTTGCGTACAATCTCAAGCACAGGCGTGCCTTAAATGCGCTGCTGCGACCGGCTCTGCATCTTGTGACGGGACCGACGACCAAGCTGCCAGTGATCGTGGTCTCATCAAGGTATGCTGGTCACTTAATTGACAGAACAGTCTGACAGGTCCTGGAGAAACCACTGTATCGTTCGTGAACTGCGGATGCACCGCCTTTTGTTGAAAAGATGCCTTAACTGCGATGATAGGTCAACGATGACTGAACAATGAGGAGAGCATCGACTTACCATTTGGCGACTCGTTGGCGGGCTACCTCATCGTGTTGGGGAGGTGGGGACGGTCAGCTACATAAGTCAGTGGCCGATACTTACTAGATGCTGTGACTATAAGCACTGTTTATGTTCGCTGAGCAAGCCCATCATGCGTCTAGACATCGTCGTGAGACCTCATCTTCACGGTCAGATGTTACTCACGACGGACGATGGTAGCCTCGCAGCTACGCACTTCTTGTGAGAGCCGACATGCAGAATTCAGAATTCATAACGCCGAACGAACTTCGCGCCATGACATTGCCAAATAAGCAATGTGACATATCTCTTGGTCGACATGATAAATATGACACTCACCTAGTACAGCCCACCGTCCCTGACTGCCGCCGATCGAAGTACGCAACGGGGCCACGGAGAGCGTCTTGCGGCGGTCAACCCACAGCGGCGGGAACAGCCACGCCGCTGGCTCGAATGAGGCAACAGACATCATAAACAGCAACTCGGCTCCGACGACCAAGTTGAGGACCACACCACACTGGTATCTAGGCAGAAGACAAGTCAGTGATCAATCGCAGAACAGACACAAGCTCTGCATGCATATGCTTCCTTCTCCTAGCACGCTGCGACAACGCACACACATCCAGCGCGTCCAGCGAGTCCAATAAAGGGGGTATATATTACGCATAATACACAACTCATCTGTCCGTCCGGCAACCGCGCTCACTGGCCCCTCCCGTGCCCGCCGCCCTGCACCGTCGTCGCTATCATCGGTTCGCTGCTGCTTGAGGTAGAATACCGCCAAACGAGAAAGATGAGCGCGAGGAAGAGGAGGAACGCGAACGCGATGAGGCCGTTGTAGCTGTACCAGTACAGCTCGAGCAGCTGCTCGATGTAGAGCCGCATCACCTTGCTTGTGAGCTTGCTCTCGCCCGCCGCGCGCAGCCCAAACGCGAAGGGCACCTCCGCGATCGCGTTCGAGTGGATCTGCGCCTTCACGAGGAGCTCCAGTGCGATCTTGAAGCCGCTCACGTTGAGGTTCTTCGCTTTCAGGAACTGCGGGAGGGTCAGTTGGTGTGTGCTGGGGAGGAAGTTCACGCACAGCTTCTTTTCGGATGCCGAAGAACCCGGACATGGGGTCGCTGGCGGTGGTGAGGGGGAGGGCGAGCATGCGCGCGCCGTTGGAGATGATGCGACGGTAGAGAGGCCAGCCCTCGTCTACGGCGCCGGCTCCGCCGCCATACCGTGTCCCGAGCACAAAGAGTTTCGTTTCAGACATGGAGGCGAGCATTTGCGGAACGTATTCTGGCGGGTGCTATGTGCGTGTCAGAAGAGTGACAAGATGGTTGAGTCCTGCATGCTGTGTGCTCAAACGAAGGTGAACTACTGCACTTGGCTGAGTCCTGTCTCGGACACCGGCGCATCCTCCGGGCAACCCCAGAGGCACAGGTCATATAGACTTCCCCGCGTTGGGTCTACACAGCGTACAGACCCTATATAGCACCAACTCACCTGCAGATCGGCATCCATACACAACATGTTATCCCCCTGCGCCTCCTGGAAGCCCCGCACGACCGCGCTACTGAGGCCACGCTCCGTTGTGCGGACGACGATGCGAACATTGTAGCCCTCCTGTTGGAGCGCCTGAACAACCTCCACGGAGCCGTCGCGCGAGTTGTCGTCGACGACAATGATCTCGACCTGGCCCACGGGCACGGGCGAGTCGATGCGGTTCAGCGCGGCGAAGATGCGCGTCACGAGCGGGCGCAGATTGCTCGCCTCTTTGTAGGCGGGGACGATGACCGAGTAGTCGATAGACCCAAGCATTTTCGGAGGTGGGGCGAGGAACGAGTGTGAAGACCTGGCGGCGGTCGAGAATGACACGGGTCTAGTGAGGTGGTGTCGGGAGACAAGGGAGCGTCGGGGCAAACAGACCGGGCTTGCGTGAATTATCAGGGCAAGTCTATTACAACAACGCAGCGCGACGACTGAACAGTATGTGTTGGTGAAGATCTTGACGAACTAGGTCGACGTGAAGGCAGCGTTCAGGCTTTCATGCGCGATGTAGCGTGGGCTTGACACGTTCGCACTATGATAAGTACCATACAGTGATACACTGTATGCTGGTAGCTTACTTAGTCAGATACCGTTATTCAGTAAATACACGTCTCGTTCCCACGCTTACACCCCTGACAGTAGACAGATACCATATAGTGGTAAGTCAGCTACTGTACTTCTCTCTCAACCCACCATCTCATCGCAACTTCGACATTCGTGCATGCCTCAGAGTCTCCATTACTGGACGTGTCTCCGACGCTGGCCATGCTGCCTGTAGAGCTCATACGTGAGATCGTCTTCTGTCATGTCGACGACGCTACGCCCGAGAAGCCAACCGACCTGGTACACCCCTATCTCTCGCGCAACCAGTGGTTCGACGATACATCAAAGGCATATTGGGATTCCGTCTCTTCGCTTAGCCTGGTGTCGAAGGTCTTTCGTGAGATCACTTTGGAGGTGTGGTTTCAAACTCTCGTAGTGCGTGAACCCAAAGTGCATCTGGCGGATTTGTCGACCATACCAGGGGTGGCGCAATGGACAAGGTACTGGGCAGATCACAATATGCAGGACATGCCGCTCATTTGCGTAGGGTAGTGCACTGGTTCAATCCATCCAGTGTCTCGGAAGGGTTGTCGCTCGGGCACTTCTCTTCTAGACGGAGTCTCATGGCGTTCGTCCGTTTACGCAAGTTGCGAATCGACGCGTTTCCCTCTGATCACTCCCACATCCTCCTGGAGATGTTCGAGGAGCTGCCGCTCACTGTGGTTGAGCTGGAGCTGCGGTACCTTGAGTCGCCGAGTCCGCAGCAGCTCGTTCCTGCAGCGACACTTCTGCCAAATCTACGCGTTCTGGACATGCATCAAGAACACGCGTGGTGCAGCCTCTGCAATACGTGCAATGTGTTGCGTCTCAAAGACGATCCAGTCTCTATCCCGTATACCAATGGTGATGGTCTCCCTGTGCGTGCACCCGCCTTTGTTCGTTCCGTGTCTACATCGCCACTCACCTTGTCAATTCCTCAGAAACTGTACAATCGCTACCTGGCACCTTTATCACATCTGCGCACCGTGCGCTTAAGTGCTGCATATACTCTTGACCTGTCCGTCGGCGTCGGTTTGCAAGACCTGAAGACGCCATGGCGAGGCGAGTGTGGCGAGTGCACTTCTCTGCACCTTACCGACGAAACTTTCGTGTCGGACTGGGAGGCCAAAAACAAGGAGGAACCGCATCCTCCCTCTTTGCGCGAAGTCACCTGGTCATTTGCGCTCGCCCAGGAGGAGGAATCCTCAGAGGAAGAATATGTGGACTATGTGGACAAAGTGACGCGCGTTCGACACCGGTTTTGGAAAGAAGTGGACCACAACTCGGACGATGACAGTGAATGGGACTACGATGGCAGAGAATGGGACTAGTGCGGCCAACGGCGATGAAAATTGAGGTCGACACCGCCTTGGAGTCCCCTTTGTGGGTACCGTAGGCAAGCATCGACAGTCGCATCGTATAAATCAGGCAGATGATCTAACACCGCTCTGTTTGTCTAGCACGTAACATAGAATACATGGACATTGATAGACCAGCCAGCACGCTTCGGCGAATAATGTAAAGTCCTTCGCTCGCGCATATGTATCGCCCTCCTCGCGCTCTGTGGGCCCGGTGGCCGAAACGTAGGTTCGCAACTCCAAAGGCACGCATACGGCACCTCTGGTAATCATACCTATAACCTACTTCCTGCGCGTCATGCAGTCTCGACCCACGATCTCCTGCGCTATTCCGGGGATACTAAGCGTATTCATAGTACGCGCAGCATCGCCCGCCAAAGTCGACCGCTATTCCTGTCTAGCTGCGGTGCTTCTCCCCGCCGCGAAGCCTTCTCCGCCCACATTGCATGCATCGCATAGCCGGATCCGGTTACGCTCATCTACAGCGACGCGTAGCGGAAGACGCGCTATTGAACCGTAATTTATCAGGGAAGTGCTCTGCGCACGCATGTGCGTGCGGGGTTGGTGCGGGGACATGGCTGGCGATGCCTGCGTGCTATCCTGGGATGCGAGGGCAGATGTGTATATAAGACGAAGGGAGCAGAGCAGCAACGCAACACAGCGCTACAGCCCTCGCACACACCCTCTCGCCCAAGTCAACCCCCTCATAACACTCTACGAGATGCCGTTCTACGACAGCAACAGCTCCCAGGACAGGTCCTACACCTCCGGTACGCCCCCTTCGGCGGTTCACTGTACTCTTGGGGTCTGCGAACTAACGCTCGCACTTCCCAGACAGCGTCGTTGAGGGTGGCGGCTTCGGCGGCGGCTTCGTCGATGACTCGTACCAGAACACGCAGACCACGGACACGTCGAACACGTTCGAGAGCACGCCCTGCGGGACGTTCGACCAGCAGACCGAACAGACGACCGACCAGACCACGGTCCAGGACTCGTCCTTCGGGCGCGGGTGGTAAATGCCACGTTGGCAGAGAAGCTTGGTGGAATATATGTATAAAAAGAAGGGAGCTCGTGAAGCGGTGTACGAGTAAACTCTGAAGGCGTTGGAATGCCACGGTAATGTTGTACGACTGGACACGGCTATGCCTCTTGACACGCGTAAATGAATGTATGACAGTTCTTGCACCGATTGGCCCAGTCTGGTATGCATCCTGACGTGAAGATGTCCATATCTTGAAGCAAACAAGAGTCGCGCATTTGTTGAGTGTAGCATACCACACCAGTCTTGCTTCACTTGCTGCATAAACCACGGAAGCCAGTGCGTCGTGCGGGCTGCTTCAATTTTTCCCCGGGTGGGCGCGGTACTCATCGAAGCGCAACTTGCGCAACCGCGTTCACGACGCAAGATTGTGTCGGGCAGGAGGGCCGTACGTGATGTGCACTTACGGCATGGTATATTGACTACTAGTCTAGTGAATTGTCCTACATGGATGCGCGATGTTAGTCAAAGCAGACAGGAATATCATCTGCATGCACAGTACCTCGTCCAAGAAGTCACGTCAGGGATGACCAACTGGTCCACGCCAATGAAGGGCTCACGAATGACCAGCTGAGGAAGGTCTTGGACGCGAGCGACACGGAGGCTTTACGCCATTGGGACGAGCACGCTGAACCCTGCGAGTTAGGGTGTACGGTTTTTTTTGTTAATGCGACTGTCGACATAGCAGAAGATGACTTCACGAAGGAGTTCAACTGATAGGATTGTCGAGTCCAGCGCGCTCAGATGGAGTCATCAGCAGAAGGGTCGGACGTTGTGGCTGAGGGCAACACAGCGGGCTACCGTTACAATTGTCGTTGCGACCTTGGTGGTTTCCAAGTACCAGTCATGATCAGGCCGTGTATGAGGCAGGTAGGTATGAGGCCGGACTGGTGCCGGTGAAGCTTGAGCTTGAGGAAGTTGAAGTTCATTGTAGCATGCTTACTGTTATCAATGAAGCTTTATGGACTCATCATTACTTTTTGCTTACCATTGTAATAGAGAGTCTGTAACACTAAATGCCTCGGATCAATGGGAGTGACACAAGTAGCGGCGTGACAATCACAAATCCCTGCGTCACCGTGACTGCGTTAACCAGCCGATCGCCCGGCGGCACTGGGCAGCAACCCGACCTCCAACGCGACCGCGTCCTCCACAAGCCTACAGCTAGCCTGACTTTACATAAGGATAGCAAAGGATGTCTCTGGTGAGCTACAGGCTGCGAGGGTCTTCTTGCGAGGCTTACGCTTGGCACTAGATCCATGCCCTAGTCGCTCGAGGCTCAACAATCCTCGCGGAGCACAAGAGCGGGGCGAGGGATTTCTCTCAAGGCATGTCGTTGGTTTCCACGCAAGAGATCTTCCCTTAACTGTCTAAATAGCAACACAAACCATCCTGTCGAAGATCCCCCCGAACAATAGCAAACTGACGTACGTCTGGGAGCAGTATCTCTTCCACTATGTATCGGAGGGCGGCTTTACGTATCTCGTCATGGCGGATGATTCGGCAGGGCGGTGAGTTGCACGTCTACCACTACGATACTGAAACCCTCATGTACGGCGACCCAGGCGGATGCCCTTTACGTTCCTCGCCGAGCTGCAACAACGATTCACCTCGCTTCCCTCCGCTTCCTCCTCCGACCTCTCCTCCGCACCCGCATATGCCCTACAAGGCAGTTTCGGCCCGACCATCGTCCAGCTCATGAACACGTACAACACCGCACCGCCCACAGACGAGCTCACACGTGCGCAGGCGGAGCTCGCGCAGGTGAAGGACATCATGGTGCAGAATGTCGAGCAGATCCTGTCGCGCGGCGAGCGCATCGAGCTGCTCGTCGACAAGACGGACAACATGGCGAGCCAGGCGACTGCCTTCCGGCGCGGCGCGCGGACCGTGCGCCGGCAGATGTGGTGGAAGAACAAGCGCGTCGTCGGCCTCAGTGTGCTCGTGGTCCTGGTACGTCGGACGATTCCGTCTCGGCCCTGGCGTGTTCGCTTATGTGCTGCTGTAGGTCCTTGTGTGGATCCTTGCTGCCCAGTTCTGCGGCGCCGGCCTGAACCAGTGTGGGTCCTCGTCCGACTGAGGACGCACGTTCGGTCGGGGTATTACTGTATGATCCGATATGTTTATTCCGGACTTCTACTTAGCTTATGACTCATGCAATCGACCAGGTGAAATACACCTTGGCTCGTATCCGGATCGATGTATCATAACCTGTACATATTTGCTCAGCTTAACTAGAATTGATACCGGTATTCCATCCGGTCAGCGATGGTGGCATCCCGGCGGTTGTCTGTGTCAGCCGTGCTAATGGCCAGAACGCGTTGTGGCGAATGATTCGGGTCGCATTAGTGAGTTCTTAACTGAGAACATTATCCAGGCAGCAGTTGCGATGTGCAACTCTCAGCGACAACTCAGCGATATACTATCCTGGGTTCATGAGTAACATCAAGCTAACATCTATGACTAGTGCCACGTCCGAGGTGAGGGTCGCCAGTCACAGTCACGCGGATGCGGGGTAGCATCACGGGTGACAGGAGTCACAGTCTATCCACGCCCACGTGGAGGTGCAGTACGTGCACCGACCGTAGAGACTCCCGCCAGCACACTCACTTCTTCCCTCCACGTCCTCCCCATGGTCTGTGTCGTTCTTGCTCCAAATATTTCAGTACTGAATGTGTTATCTCTTCTGCGCAGTCTGACTCCGATTCCGCTCGCCCGAATGGTGCTGGCAGGCCCACGAGCCCCAACGGTGCTGTAGCGAAGCCCCCTGGCGCACAAATGAGGTCCGTGCGCCCACAGCAGCGACTCTGACTCGGGAAAGACTAACGGATCTCCGCTTCCCTTCCATGCGTCCGCGTGCATGCGAACCAGGCGAAGAGCAGCAGGGAACACACAGGCAGCACGGCCGAACTCCACGCGCGCGGCGGGCGCGGGCGGGTCTTCAAACACCATGCTCAAGTTGTACACGGACGACTCACCGGGGCTGCGAGTGTGCGTGTACTCTCTTGTCTGCTGTGGAGCCTCTCGTCAACCCCCTTCCTGTCGCCTTCTCGTTCGCTCCCGTGTTCCGTGGCGATGGTCAGGCTGACAGGAGACTTCTACACACAGCGACCCCTTCATCGTCCTCGTGCTCTCCCTTTCCTTCATTGCCTCCATCTTCTTCCTGCACATCTCCGCGAAGATCATCCGTGCGTTCACAAAATAGGCCACTCGCCGCCCCCCTTTCCTAGCGTGGTTACACCCGGACTGGGAGGCTAGTCGGGCGACATTGGCTATGGGCATCTATGGGTGGGTGCGCCGGGTACGGCTGGGCGTGGCAGGTGCTACTATGGACATTGGGTGTACCAAAACCTATTATATTACTCGCCAGTCTGGTGCGCTGAGCTTATGCATTGCTACTTATTCCAGACCTGTCGTTCCTCCCGTATCGTGGACCTGGGACTCCCGACAAATTTTGGGTGTTCAGATTCAATGTGCACTGCTTGAAATGATTGGCCAACTAAGTCAGCGATGTTTCCCAACACAATGATACTCCGGCACATGATTCGTAATGCTAGGAAATAGCGACCATCAATTGCAGCGCCGTCGACAACGACCACCAAGCTGCACATAAAGTTACTACAAACAAGACGCATATGTCTTAAATGACAAGCCATCCATCGGGCGAATCGTCGAGAACGGCCAGGCGGATAAATAATAGTCAACCTGCGGGACGCATCCTCTCCTCGCGCTCAGCGCAACGACCACGTACGCTCTGCCCTCAGAACCAGCACTATAGTGTGTATCGGATACGATCCGGAGAGTCGGCCCAGCGTGGTTATGACACCCGCTGTGCGTGCGCCTCCTGCACGAGGAACGTCCTCGTCAGGTTCGACGCACTCGCGGGTATCTTCATCGTCTTCAAGCTGTCCGTCGACGTCGTGCGCACCTGGTGCGGGCGCATCCGCGTGGCTGAGACGGGGCTGCGCGTCGGGGACGGCGGCCGGGTCGATGAGGCATGCGACGTCGGGGACGGCGTGCGCGTCGAACCCGCGTACGGCACCGAGGGAGACGTCGGCGGCGCGTACGCGTACGCCGAGGCCTGTGCATAGGACGACGAAGACGCCGTGTGGATGCTCGCCGTGCGCGCGCGCTCGGCGGCCTTGGCGGCCTCGCTCGCCCAGCGGACCGTATTCGACCGCGTCGGCGGGGGCGGCGGAGGGATGACGGGCGCGGGGGAGCGCGAGTGGATGCTCTTGACCGTTGGGTCGTGCAGGACTTCGTGCAGCTGCGCGCGCCGGCGCACTTGCCGCTCCTCCTCGGACATCTCCTGACAGTCGACGTACCGCGCGGACGTCAGGTTCAGGCCGAATCCGCTGTCCCTGCTGTCCTGGGCCTCGCGCCGCTCGTGGATGGCCGTGTGGAGGTTGTGCATGCCTGGGGACGTTGAGCAGCCCGCCATGTGCACGTCGATGAGGCTCCGCGGGAGCGAGCGCGCCATCGGGTCCTCGTACCTGAGGCGCGACGAGCCGGCGCGGTGCAAGCCGTTCTTAATGGGGATCGCCTTCGCACTGCGGTTGCGCACGCCCTCGTCCTCGCTGTCGGGGATGTCGTCGCTGAGCGCACGGAAGGTCTCCGACGTGAGCGGCGGGATCGGCTGCGTCTGCGCGACGGGCGAGACGTGGAAGATGTTCTCCCTCCCGCCCATGTCGATCTTAAGCGAGTTGGTAGGCTCCGGCCGCTCGTCTGCCCTCTCCTGCACGATGACCATGTCCTCTTGCGGAGGAGAGGTCTGAGGGCTCGGGCGGCTGCTGATGTCGTAGCGGGGAGGCATCGGGAGAGGATTTTGGTGATTACGCTCGCACTCCCGGACCGCCTCAGCGAGTCGCTTGCACTCGTTCTGCAGCACCTCATGCTGTGGGAATCAACCAGATCCGTCAGTCCTGTGAGTTTGATGAAGAAGCATGTTAGACGTACTCTCCTACACGAATGAATTAGTGGGAATGTCGTCTCCAGGACAAACAAATCACGTACCCAGTCCAGTTGCGGTCGAGCTTCGTGAGTTGCTCCCGAAGTTCTACCTCGGCGTTCTTGAATTCCTGGCGGTCGTTATCACGTAACCGCTGGAGCTCCTGGCACTTTGCTTCCGCCATCTCTTCTTGTGCACAGAGCTGCCCTTTGAGGTCCTGGTTTGCATCTTGCTCGAGGTGCAGTTGCTCCCTGAGGTCTTCACACTCCTCCTGCAAGTTGATCAAACTCGCTTTACGCTCTGTGCATTTATGCTGCAGCTCAGCGTAACGACGGAGCAAAAAGTAAGCAGCTTCTAGATCAGCGTGCTGGAGACCAGTTCTCAGTGTCTCATGGTTGTACCCCGGAAAGCCTATCGCGTACCTCTTTGGGTGGCTGACCTTGGAGCCACTCATTGACGTCCTCAAGTGTATTCAGGACATCTACAGACGCGGCGCCATCAAGGACGATATGCGAGATCCTGCCTTGCAAGTGTCGAGCGTGCGCGGACGGTTCGTCCAGCTCGTAAGCAGCAGGCGGCGATGGGGAGGTAGGACGACTGCTGCCCTTATCGGTATGCAGTCTCCGTACATGTACGGGCTCGAAGTCCCTCCTACAAAGAGGGCAGATCTGTCGGGTCAAGAGCTGCAGGCACCTACGGGACGGAAGCACAGATGCGAACGGATCAGCCATGGACTGAAAGGCGTATCAGGTTATCGGTATCGTACCTCAAGCAGAATGTGTGCCCGCAATTGATGACATGGGGGACCTTGTTCTCAGAGTAGGACTCGAGGCAGACGTCGCAGGTCGAGGAGGAATCAAGGACCAGCATGATGGCCTACGGTGGAGGCCAGCGCGGTGGTAGCAAGCGGCATGCAGGAGAAGTGGCTGTCTCCGGGTAATAAGGTGGGAACAGGACACTCGCCTAGCCTATATCGCGTGCCGGCTAGGCCTTCGAAAGCCATTGCACGAAGGAAATGGCTTTCAGTAGACATCGTGCACACGAGGCATCGGAGATCGGGACTCTATCTCTTCGGAGTGCTGCAGGCAGGGCGTCTTGTTCCCGAGTTGATAGTCGACGAGACGCCGCGCGGGGAATGATGAGACCGGCCGAACGGTACTGTACGGACCTCTAGAAGCATGACCAGAGTGCAAGAAGCGCAAGAACGGACCATACCAATCTTCGTAGGCGCCCAGTTCAGCTGCCTCCCCGACAAACGCTCAACTGCAATAATGGGGGCAGGTTAGCTCCCAAAGCGTCCCAGATTGTTGCACACTGTCGAGGACTGCCGGAGAATGAAGACGGATCGAGTATAGGACGGGGAAACGGTTGATCGGCACCCGGAACGGCAGTCCTGCGCCTCGTGTTTGCAGCATGTCTGCGGGACGTCGACAGGTCCTGAGATGACGAAGCTTCCACTCACGAGTATAGGTACGCTCAGGAATCACGAGTGATAATGCGGCAATTACGTAGTCCTCCACGACTCCAGACGTCGTCACCAACGTATTCAGCTGGCCGCCATCAACTTGCATGGCTCACGTAGGGTGAAACATCGACAGACTAAAGCTCCAAGGAGCCATAGGGCAGAGGGGACAGTAGCGCGAACAAGCTCGCGCCTCCATCGTGGGTGTCGGTACTATTACTCTGTACCGCTTCGGGTGAAAAGAAAAGGGGGCGAACGCGGTTTGAGCCATTGGTTCGACCGGCCGAGGAAGGCGAGCTGTTTCCGGCTCAGCCGCAGGAACCTATAATACAAGGGGAACGGATGCATTGTCGGTTGGTTCACGGATAGATCGAAGGAAGCTCACCAGATCGACGGAGACTCTGACAGAAGTCTACGTCCCGACATATTCCACACATTTCGATGGGGCAGATGAGAGCCGAGGCAAGGTACATCCGCCGTTCGTTGTCATGTACAGATCTTCTGTGTGTACTAGTGGACGCGCCACAAAATGACATTATGCATGATGTACTGTTGACAAGGCTTGCCAGTTTCTTCCCCTGCCGGAGGATACCAATGTCATCCGGCAATACTTTGAAGACATCGCGCGCCGGGCCAATGAAAGAGTGCACGAGCGTAGGGGCCGCTTCAGTCGAAAGGCGTCCACGTTCATTCATATCGTGCGCACACCTTGTGGCAGGTGTCTTCTGCCGCGTACAATCGAGGCCATGCCTAGCGTACGGTGCGGCCGTGACTGCGGCACCAGCATAGACGCGGTCGTTCCCACAGGACAAGCAATCAGTACGCCGATGTCCGGATAACGAGCTTTAGTGTCGAGAATAATGAACTGCAGCACGGAGGTCGGATTGGCCTTCCAGAGCGCTTCCCCCCAATAGCCATGTCTGTATAAGTAACAACGTCAGTAAAAAATATCTCTAACGAATGTAATCGAAAGCACGACGAACCTCTGGCCCAACACCACGCGTTTGTGCCTCGGCCTGCCTTCCACGCGTCAGTCAACGTTGTGTCCGTAAGCCGACATGCAGTCGTATGAGTGGTGGTGGGGTGGTTAGTAGCTTGGATAGTCCAAATCCGGCATCGACGATCAGGATGAGTCCAGAAACGACTGTATTAACATGCTTCGCCCTCTGATAGGAAAATTGACTTGCGCTTCTCATCAAGCAAAATGAGCTATAGCGCGGGGAAAAGACATGGAACAGACATGGAATGCACTCATTACCGCGTTTGCAAAAGGTACATTCCTCGGGATTGAATTGACGGGCAAGAGCAATAACGCCCGCAGTATCTCTCCCCACAGTTCTACCCGCGTCTCAAAGGCGATGCAGACATGCCTGTTGGCGGAGGTAATAAGATTCGTTGTTCGACGGGCAATGCTCACCCTGGCATGCGGCTACTTCGAGTTCCCTTGCAGAAATACAGAACAAAGCCAGCGCTTCGCGTGTCTAAGATACGTGTGCTGTTGTTAGAGTGAGGAACACAGATTTCCAGAATCATCATTAGGCACTTTTCACTGGAGGATCGTCGAGACCGAGCATACCGAGTGACTTCGCTGCCGCGTGCAAGATGGCCGTTCTGTGAGAGTCTGAGACAGGCCGTGGACGGTGGCCGCGGCGTTGCCACAAGTTTGTCCTGAGACATATGCTGATGTAAGCGTCTGTCAGTGTCCACGATTGCTCATTTCGTCCCGACCCTTCCCGACCTCATCTTGCACGGCGGGCTGAGTACAAGTCGGCAGTTGTGTTCAATGGCCACGTACTTTGAGCAAAGACTACGAGGTATAATCACAAGCAGCTCAAATGCTGGCGACTCATCGAGCGGCTTGTAGCACGTGATCTGTGAGGGAGTGTCAAAGTCTATGGCACGTTTACGTACCCTTTCAAGTATACAGCATTATTCCCAGTCGCTTTGGATACAACGCTAGTCTACCAATTGTCCACTGGGTCTCTCTGAGTACCAGCACCATTTGAGACGGCAATTCTCATCTATTTCACAAGAGTTGCCATATTGGGGGTCTGAAGGGCATACGCCGCCTGCTCGCGTGGGTGGCAGGCGACCCTCGTCCTCGACCCTCATCTTTGCTCGAATCTACTGTTGATATAACCGCGTCGGTCCCGTCAGAAGGGGGAAGTTTGTGTCTAGGATCGTCGACGAGTCCTGGATGTTGATTGTCCACCCAAGTTCGACGTGCGACATCTGTCTGGATGGCTACAACTGGACGACTCCGGCAAATGCGCCTCACGCGATAGCCTGTGGCCATGTCTTCTGTCTGCGGTACGTGAAGCAGCTCAGAGACATTCGACTGTTGTTAAGAAAGTGTATCAGGTGTCTCCGGCTGTTGAGCCCAAGCACATGTCCTCTCTGCCGCAAAGCCTTCCAGCCTGATCGTATCAAAAAGCTCCATGTTGACCGTCTGGCGACAGGCAACGACGACGACGATCGGACACAGGCAGAAGAATTTGAGCTGATCCAGCATGTGGCCCTGTTCTTCGGTGAGAATACCCCGGATGAGGATGTCAATACCGTATTGGGCGAAGTCCACGATTGGCTTGCTCTTCAAGGAGACAACCCAAGCTCCGTGAGTCTTCTTCTCTTTAGGCCGGTGGCGTGGCGCTCCATGCGTTTCTCGATTGGTATGGGTTTCTGTATGTCTCTGAGTAACGATCGCGTCTTGTCATCGGGCGATCGTACGACCTATTCCATGCCACACCCGCGTACCTTGGAGGATGAGGACGCTGAGCTGGGTCACTACACGATACCCTGGTATGTTTATGGACTAATGCAGCGATAATGTTAGACCGTTCTTTCTCTGCTATGAACAGCTGCAGGGCGCCCGTCTTCTCCCTTTCATAGTTGTTCATGTGTGTTGATACAAGCATCCAACGTGACATCACCTTTATGGTCATATAGCATCGGGCATTGCGCTCTGCTGTTGCTGCGCTACATAAATACAAATCTCTTCAACAAGAGAGTCGCGTGGACAAGCAAGCAATCCGGGATCTCATGGAGCAGTACGACAGGAAGATGCGTATTAAGGACCAAGATATCAAGACCTCCCGTGCCATCGAAGAGAACTTGCTGGAGGAGATACATACGATAGACGACAAGTGGCGCAGGTGAGCAGTCTAGTGGTCTATGAGAAGGCGGTGACTTGACAAGTTTGCTCAGTCAGGTATGTCCGTCTATTGAGTCAGTCTGCGAGCAGCGCTGAATTGCTCGCAGGTAGAGCGCCTCGAAGCTGAGGCCGCCACTTTGCGGTCTACGCAGCCCAGAGCGCTATTTGGGTCTTCGGAGTCGTTGAATCTGTCGCGCGCAGACCGTTCACAGACTCCGAACGCGTCCTCTCCTACACAAGAAGCCTTCACGTCACAGGGGATCTCAACTCAACTGCAAGGACCGTCAGACATATCTAGATCTCAAAGCCAATCGTACCCTTACTTCCCGCCATCGGACATGTCACGAGCGCATAACGTATCAAACCCTTTTCCTGCTCCTCCCGACATGTCGAGAATGCGGAATCTATCCAATCCACTCCCCGAACCCCCAAGGCCCGTTTCCCCGGAGCGTCTTGCCTCACTGAGCCGCTCACCCGTCGTGGCTGGCAGCTCGGACAATCGCAGGACGGCGTCGAAGTCCAGCAGTAGGATCAGCATCGCTCAAACTATCTCCGATTCGCAGTCTTCATTCACTGGCCGGTCCCGCTTCGAAGACCCACACACACGGCGAGACCGAACCTTGCGTTCCCCCGTGCTGGTCCCTGGAGCGCCATCGATGCGGAAAGTAGTACCACCGCGTCCTGCACCACCGGAGACCCCCATGATTACTCCGGGACGGACGTGGAATCCCCTCCAGAGCCCTGCTCCTCGCGTACCTCCTCCGGAAGCTAGCCCTTCGAATGGCAGCGTTCATATGCGACAGGAGCACGATGAACAGGGCCGAACGGTATACTACCAGTACGGCTGGATACCTGACAGGGGGTATGCCTGGTTTCAGGTGCCGCATTCCTCACCCTCGCAGGCGTCTGTGCGTTCGAACGGTACTGCGGGTCCCTCGCATGCGGCCGCCGCTACGTCTACTACGTCGGGAACGAACGCTAGGGGACGCTCCATCTACGAACAGCCAATTATAGAGGACAACTCGAGACCAGAAGCCGGATCACCTAGTCCTCGCCCGCACCGTGATCGCGTACCATCCAGTCGATCCTCCCGCAGGCAAGCTTCGTCGACGGCTATCGAATCGGAACAGCCTGAGCCGGCCCCCGCGCAGCATTCTCAAACTAGTACCCGCTCCAGTGCAAGTCTCAGCGGTATGGCGCTGTTGAATGTGCCTCCGCTCTCTTCAGGCACCGTTTCGAGTGCTGCAGATCGTCAAGATATCATGAACATTCTCGGCGTGAACACGCCGCAAATGAACCACGCGCAGGTCTCGCCTGCTACGACATGGGGGACCGTCCACTCGTCGCAGGTCCCATCGCGCGCGTCCAACAACCCGTCGCACAACCCAAGCGTCAGCGACCTCGGGCTGGTGGGCCTGCCAGAGCCAGCCACGCTGGTCGGGTCGTCCGATGAGGGCTCGCAGTCAGATAGCTCCGTGGGAGACGACTCCGACTCCATCGATCGTGACGAGTTCATGACCCCGAGGAGCAGACCCTTATCATACGGTCGCTCGGTAGCTTCGCCGGAACATATCCAGCCAGCCCAAACCACACAAGGCATGGGCATCTTGCTCGATGCAGGCAGACAGCCCGCGAGTCAGATCATTGGAGGGCCGCAGGAACTACAGGTGGTGACGGAGTCGCTGATGCGGCTCGTTGACGAGGGTCAGGGCCAAGGCTCGCGTGGGCACTACCACCGCTCTGAGAGGTTCGCATCCACGCCCAATCCCCGAGACCCGCCCGAGGCGATCCTGGGTGCACGCACGGGTGTCCCACTCTACAGCTCGCGCCCCCAGTCAATCCGACCTGACGTCGCCAACGGTTTGTCTTCCCGGTCTCATAGCGGGTCAGCGCATCGCCTCGACCGGGAGTACATGAGTGACTCTGAGCACGCGCACAACCGTGCCGCTCATGCTCATCACCATTCACAGTCTCGCCACAGATCGAGCCGCCGACAGTCATCATTGTCTGGTGAAGCGGTCATCCCCCCTCCACCCGTCACGGCTCCTAGCACTTATCAGCGCCAACCATCTGCTCCCTCCCGCGTCTCTGAACGCGAGCCAAGGTCTGCTCATTTCGAATCGCCCGCGTATGCCAGTGCGCCCCGCGAACACCGGACCCACTCCTCGGCCCCAGCATCCGCAACAGACGCGAATGCCTCCCAGTATTCCCTGACCTCCCTCAGCGGATCCAACGGAGGGTTGCTGCTGTCCTTCACGCCCGTTGCTGGGGGCAGCTCGTCCGCGGTCAGCATCACAGGCCAGGAATCCGGCATTCGCGCGCCTGCACCCCGACCGATCAGCAGCCGACAGAGTAGCCTGCTGGGCGGGCCCTGGAACGCCAGGAGCGGGAGGTAACGAACACCCTCAACGACTCTCCACTTTCTCATGACTGCATCTGTCGTTGTATCTCGCTCTGCTTCGCATCTAATGATCTGCTCTCCTGAACGCGCTTCCCGTGTATGGATCTGTAAAGAAAGGAACGACCCTGGATATCGTCATGACTATACCTGTGTCCATGGTTTCTATGTGTAGCCCTAAGTATCGCCTGCCCCATCTAGTTACGACTCTCCGAGGATCTCATACTTATCTTACTCTGCGTTCATTCTGTAACCCATGACCACTGTCCTAGATTGTGCACCCGCGCGAGAACCCGAAGAATCTATATAATCTCGTACAGCATCAGACTCAGCATCTCAACACAGATGCGGACAGATGGGGAACCACGGAAGGATCATAAACCATGACAATCTGAGAACTCAGAAGCACGCCCCGAGCTGCCTCAGCTGGCGTAGAACCGCTGGAGGGCCCCGCGACTCGGACGACACGGCACTGTCCCGTCCTGGTGACGCAGCGTGCATCTCCAAATCAGCGAGGGAATCCGAAAGCGCATATGACGCCTCACTGCGGGCTTCGAGCAGCGGGCGAACGAACTTCCATGACGGAGGCACGCGATTTTGGCAGCCCTTCTGTGGGACGGCAGGTGTTACGCTTGGGGAAGGCCCTGCGGGCGATTGAGGACTTGGGCGACGCTTGATGAAGCGGTTGGCTGGTGGTTCCGGGGGTGATCCGTACAGCTCCAGCTGCTCGGGGGTTAGATCCGAGGAAGGGGACGAGTAGATGCCGCGGGCGAGTTTGAGCGCGGTGGTGAGGCGTTGAGCTCTGCGGGTTGGCCTGAGTGAACTGAGAGACATGAGAAAAACAATCGAGCTCACTGCCTGAGGCTCGCTCCAACCAGAGCATTATGCCACCTCGACAAAACCTTGGCCGTCACGTAAATCGACCCAGCCAGCACCAACCCATCCGTCACCGTACCGTGCTGGGCCAGCCAGACACCAACACGCTGCACTACCTCCAGCGCCATCCTAAGACTGTCATCCGAGTGATTGACAGCCCTGTCCACGGCCGCCAGTATCGGCGAATGCCCTATCATCCGGGCAAGCAGACTGCCAAGGAGGCCATACATAGCACCAGCCCCAACCATTCCGAAAATGGCTTTGTACTGCGTGTGCGTCTCTTCCTGACGCGGACTCGCGAGCGCACGCTTCGCCGTGGCGGCGAGTGCGTACGCCGGCAGGTGCGCCACGAACGCAGGGAAGAAGAGCAGGGAGCGCGGGTGGAGGACGGTCACGAGCAGCTGGCGGACCGCGAGCGAGATTGCGCGAGCACGCGAGGGCGGAGAGGCGAGGCGGATGTTTGGGAGAAGCGCGGTGAGGTCCCCGTGGGAGATGTTGCTGTAGTGCAGGAGGGCGTAGTAGGTGAGGAGTGCCTTGCGTGCTTGAGAGAGTGAGGGTGGAGGGTTTGGTGTGGAGAAGAGGTCAATCAGGCTGTAGGGACGGTGAGCATAGCGTTGGACACCTCTCAGGAGTCTTGGAAGTATGGAAGAAGACGTACGCCTGAGAGACATCCGGAAATTGTTGCATGGGAATATTCCGTTCGTCGTCCCATAGTATATCCCTAGCTATCCTCGCGACATACAGGGTGTCCCTGTAAATCAATTCAGCAAATCGCGGTGATTCGAGAGGAGGCACCGACCAGTCCGGAGCGTTGACGGTAAGCTCGACCATGCACCGCTCAATTTCCTCCGTAAGCTTTCGCACAGCGGCCCGTATATCTTCGTCCGTCTGTACATTCAGGTCGTGTGCAAACGATGCAACGTCTATGGGGGCACCCCACCTTGCACAACATCAGCAGACATAACGCACAACAGAGCGGCCCTACCTGACAGCCATCTATCCGAGTACAGCCCACACGTTCAGCACACCTATGCTGTCACACGACCCACGGCGCACTCACCCGACTCTGGTACCTTGCCTTCGCCGTGTGCACGATGCCCACTGGGACGACCAACACCCTCCCACCAACCCCACCGCGCCCCTCCCGCCAACGCAAGTACTCCAGCGCCGCCCACGCTGCCCCCTCCTTCACCTGCACGATCCGCGGCTCCGTATAGCTCGTGCCCTCCGGGAAAACGCCGACCGCGCCGCCCCTGCCTTCGTCCAGCGCGCGGAACGTCTCCCGAAAGAGCGCCTGGCGCGCCTCGTTCCCGCTTCCACTCGCCCTCGCAACTCCACCTCCACTCCCGCCTACACTTCCTATTTCACCGCCATTGTTTTCTGTGACGTGCGTAGATCCGTCGGCAGCGGCGCTGTTGGGGTTGCGCCGCACAGGTATGGTCCCGGAGCTCACCAGGATCGCGCGGGCGAGCGGGTTCTTGAAGAGCGAGGACTTGGCCCAGAAGCAGAGCCGTCGGCGGTGCGGGATCGTCACCGCTTTTCATCCGCATAAACCGGAAATCCACATGACTTAGTCGTCACTACAGTATTTTGCGAAGGCGGTGTGGACGTACCGAGGGTGGCGATATCGAGAATCTCATTATGGTGGCACGATACACTGGCGTGCGCATATACCGCGTCAGACGTCGCTATTCCAGACTAAAGTGATGCTTTCAAGGGACTTACACGATGAGCGGGCCATCCGCGGGTACATTGTGAGCTCCCTCGACATGGATGTCCGAGTAGAAGTCGAGGACGACGTCAGAAAGCGCCCGGAGTCCGCGATACACGAGTTTTAGTTCCATAGAGCAGGATTGTCCGAGCTGATATCATGAATTGTAGCAAGGTAGAAAGCACAGGTCAGGCAGAAAGCTGTATGGCTGACAGCCACGGCGGCGAACAGCAGCATCAAGGCGTGACACGCTCAATCAGGAAGGAATCCCGCCGGCCGTCGCGCACACTCACACGACCGACGTTCCACTCGCATAGCAAGAGCACAGTCAAATTCAGATTGCAATGGCGGTCATATCACATAGGAGCACACATGGACAGAGAACGATGATGCATCGACCACGGGGCAGGCGAACCTGATGCGTGTCGAGCGGCGACCATTGATCATTGACAGTATGCGAGATACATGACGAACGACCAGAGAGCTTTTGCGATCTTTCCAGATCAGAGACGGCGACCACGGCGACCACCCTGCACAGCAAGGAGAATTCCATGTCAGCATTCGCACCCGGAGGACGGCAAAGGGGAAACGCACCTTGCGCCTGGTCGAGTCGGTGGGGATGGGGGTGACGTCCTCGATACGGCCGATACCCATGCCAGCGCGGGCGAGCGCACGAAGGGCGCTCTGCGCACCAGGGCCGGGGGTCTTGGTACCCGTACCACCGGTCGCACGGAGCTTGACGTGGAGGGCGGTGATGCCGACCTCCTTGCAGCGCGTAGCCACGTCCTGCGCAGCCAACATGGCAGCGTAGGGCGACGACTCGTCACGGTCGGCCTTGACCTTCATGCCGCCTGAAAACTTCACTGTCAGATGCCGCCAGAGTCGCTGCATGTGGAGAGACGCACCGGTGACACGGGAGATGGTCTCCTTGCCGGAGAGATCGGTGACATGGACGAAGGTGTCGTTGAACGACGCGTAGATGTGTGCGACGCCGAAAACCAGCTCGCCCTCATTGACCTGGGGGCCGAGCGACACCTGGTTCTCTTCCTTGGGCGCCTTCGTCTTCTTGGGGGGCTGCAGACCGCATCCGCTCGTCAGCCATGCCATCCATCGGAAACGACGAGAGTTGCATATACGTCGCTCGAAGGGACGCCAACTCGGATGTCGTGGAGAGCGTACTCACCATCTTGAGGGGGTACGGAGGTGTCTTGAGGAGTGTGGGGGACGAGACGAACGGCGATCAACAGAACGAGATGGCGCGCAGACCGCTTTTGGTGTGACCGTGACCTCTCTGTCACAAACGTAGCGGGCTGTGTGACGAGTCGCGACGCGTGACTTGTACGCGACGCGTTACTGACTAAGGTCGGCCGGAAGGCCACAGTTCAAACGCGCCCGACTCGGCCATGGCTCGGTTCGGCCATATCCGTGTGTCACCGTTCACGCCTATGCCCGCGGCCACCGTGACTGTGCCCTCGCGCCAGCCACGGCCAGCCTCTCTCAGCGCCGCCGCCGCCTCCATCCAGCGCGCAAGCTCATAGGTGGCTTCACTCTGACCCCACGTCTTCACTGGTTTGATACTCCCGGTACTGGCTCGCTGCTCCCGGCTGGTTTGGGCCTTCGGCGCCGCGAGGCCACCTTCAAGCCACCCTCAAAGCTGCCCACCCGTCAGAGCAGCAGGCTGCCAAAACGGAGGCAGCATTTTTGCCCAAGCTCTACGCGTAAGTTGCTCCCCGTACACCTGCCTTCAACGTGTCCTCACCAGTGCGCCCTCAGTCTTCTATAATGCTCCGAAAATCACCACATGACTCGCTGGGACCCCGCCGGCGAGCACATCGTTGTCAAGCAGCCGTCGAGCACATCGTTGTCAAGCAGCCGTCAAGGTCGAGCTGGCGAGGATCGAGTCTCCACCATTGCGATCCCCTTGGACCTCACGGACGTGCAGCAGCCCGAGGGGAATGTCGTTGTGTGGTGGTCTGCCATGGCTTCTTTCTCAACCTCTACGACAAGGTTCGAAAAATCTTCTGTGCGTTTAGGGAGGTCGGCGGGGGTTGGCGGATAGAAGGGCAGGCTGAGAAGCCTGGGGTGGGACGTAGTTGATGGGTGTTATATATCGTCGCATTGTATCATGAAGGCAAACTCGGCGTTTGCATCGGACTCAGGATCCTTCTTGTCGCCATCCTTGCCCTTCTCGCACTCCATCTTCTCAAGCTCAAGGCTGGCAATATGTGCCGCGAGCTGCCGCTGTCGCTCTGTGCGTTGCGCGGGGTCAACATCGTCCACCCTCGGAAGCTCAACCAGGCGACCTGCGCCTGTAGGGGAAGCTGACCTGCGCTGACTCGGAGGAGGTTGCTCCGAGTTTTCTGGGGAGCGAAACCTAAACACATTTCCTCGCTACTGCATGACATCGGGCGTAAAGTCAATGACTCGGATGCGGTGCCATTAGATTCATTATGTGTGCGCGCCGGCATGATTGACTCTACTCTTGAACACCTGTTGACCCCTAATCGCCGTCACTGCCACCACCTTCCGTCACCAAGCCCATCTCCTTGCAGAGATAGTTGCATTCATGTTGCTCAATGAAAGCATCTATCCCTTCCTGACCGTGGTCACCTACACCAGAGTTTCTTCGGGTAGCATTGACATCAGTATCGTGCAACATCGTAAGAAAATTATGATAGATGAGAACGCACCCATCTGGAGTATGGGTCATGATATCAAAGATCACATCGGCCACTGTTCCCGTGTCTGTACCAGCAATTGTACCTGCGGTTGTGACAAGTCAGTGAATCTCATCAGCATTATGAGTTGATCCGACTGACGCACTTTGTAGATCAGCAGCAACGAGCTCGGAGTTTGAGTAACCGTAGATAAAATGGGCAAGCACGGACATGGTTGCCCCCTTTTGACCGGCAACAACTGGGTGTGACATGGTGCCGCTCCAGCGGCGAACGGAGGCTGCTCGACGAGGTTTAATAAGCCAGTAAGCACCGGCTTTGTCAGGTTCGCTGTCACTGTCGATGTCTGCTTGCGAGACGCCTGACGCGAGCGAAAAGCTGCCAAGATCATCAATGACCTCTTTGGCGAGGAGCGGACGAACAAAGCGGAAAGCTAATTCGTCAACAACAATAGAATCAGCAGACAATCAGAATAATGGCATGAGGAAGATACAGACACATGTCGACCTCGATGTCTCTCTGGCGAACCAGTTTGTAGAACTCGTCAAGGAACCACTGGCCTTGAATGGCGCGACACACCTCCTGATAGAGGTTCTGGTAGTTCTGTGATGGGGATACACGCCGGCCTGGGGCTCCGTCACCACCGATGTTAAAGAAACGCTTCGCAACGTATGTTGTGCCGTCCATAAACAGCTGCACGCGAGTAGAAGTAACTGTGAGCCAGTGCTGTGGGCTACAATCTAGAATCAATGCTTACCCGGTACACATGTTTAGTCTGTCCAGACATCATCTTGTCCACCTCAAGCTTCGCTACGACCGTCTTTTTCACTGCAGGCCATGTGATCTCGACGGAACCAGTAGCTGCATCTGTATGTACGTCAGCGAGAACAAGACTGATCGTCTCGGTGGTGTTGACATTTGCTGATGCGGAACTAGGTGCGCGAACGAAAGAAGATTTCGGGAATGGGTTCGAAGTGTCTGTAATGACAGCCCTCCAGCGAGTGAGATACCATAGCGACAGGTATAGAAGTACGACTCACTCCGAGGCTGTTTCCCAACAGGGGCGGACATGGCGTCAGTGTCGGCTTTGCGTTTAGTACTCTTCCTGAGGGATGTGGTGGTGTCGGTATCTTCAATACGATCAGTGTACTGAGAAATCATGATGATTAGCAGGGAGAATGTGTACGAAGAGATCTCAACGTTTACCGCATCCAGCTCGATCAACAACTCGAGTGTAAGAGTGTGTGAGTTTTTCGAGCCGCCAGGTACTTTACGCATCAGGAAATAACCCACCTGAGAATTACCGTAAACACTGCAGAATCATCAAGCTTTCGCGGTAATATTGAGATTTACCTCGTATCTCATAATACGCAGAAATAGCCATGTCCGGCCTCGTCGAGTCAGAATTACGAGGTAGTCTCTGCGTTTCTCAGGCAGTAGCTGGACATTACTTGGTGTTTCCGAGCATGATATCAGTACTATTCAGCCCTCCATTTTCTGTATTCACAGAATAGATCCATATGCACAGAGATCACGGGTAAGATAATGACATTGACGATTATGTACAGTATCTACAGTAATAGGTATATACATGCTGCATATCTTCCAACCATGACCCTCACAAATACCACGTCCACACGCCGCAAAGCCCTCACTATATGAGCTCTTCGTTGGCGTCGTGACCATGCAGCCCTCGTTCTGGTTCGTGGCCGTCGAGCAGTCAGTCGAGTCAATGAGCGTGCTCATCTGGAGCACGTTCGCCAAGTGCATACGCCCGTCGCCCGTGCGCAGTGCCATCCGGTCCATCGTCACCTGGTTCACACCCTCGAACGTGTCGATCTGCCCGCCCCGCATCAGTACTCATGCACACGTGTCGCAGATACGAGATGGTCAGCGCACCTCTCCGCCGCTCGGCCAGTTCACCGGCGTGGATGACCAGCAATTGCCGCCAAAGCCAAGGGCCTTGACGGGACATACCTGTGTTCGACCACAATGAGCTCGCCGCCATCCGTTGTTACCTGAACACTCCGCGCTGGCGACCAGTCCCTGTAGTCCCTAGATAGAACCACCTGTCAGCCACCTGCGAACACTGCTGTGGTCCCGCGCGAAGCACTCACCTGGGCCCTTCGGCAAGTGTCCAGGATAGTCAATAAGTATGTCTGATCTTACGTCTGATCTTACGACACCTTCGTATGGGTTGCAAAACCACGTCGGCACCGACGAAGTTGAGCTCGTGTTGTCGTCCCTCGGTGCCGACCCCGCGGTCATCCCTGGTGTGGCCAGGCCAGTCTGATACGACCGTCGCCTGACGCTCCCCGACGCACCCGGCCTGCTGAACGCCGCGGCCATCGCGCTCCCCGGCAGGGCGTACATGGACACACTGGCGGCGGAGGGCACGACCTCGAACGGGACGACGATGATAGAGGGCGTGCTGATCTGGCGGGTGAGCCTTGACGTGAACGCGATGGACTCAGAGTCGGAGTCCGTGCGGAACTGCCGGTTGCGCGCGCAGTAGAGGAGGAAGATCGCGAGCACGAGCAGGAGGAGGACCGCCGCAGCGGAGGAGACAGCGGTGATGACGATGGTGCAGGTGGAGAGACCCGAGCGGGAGAGCGAGCCTGCGGAGGCGGTGCCGGTGGACAAGGATGAAGACGAGGCAGAGGAGCTTGTGCTGGTAGTGGAGGTCGAGACAATGGAAGATGTCGATTGCGAGAGGATGGTGCTCTGAGCGAGGAGGAGGTTGCGCAGTAAGTGCGAAATGTGAGTGGGAAGGTTCAAAGCATGACGTGGCGCCCAGTCGCCGGATCCCTGGCAAAGAGTCATGTGACACAGCAACCCGCTGGCACGCAACTCAAGTCCCCGGCTCAGTAGCCTCTTTGCACCTCGACGTCGCCCCTCCGCCCACAACTTTCATCCGACGAATAACACACCCAGCCAAAATGGACACGGATGAATATAGGGGACGCCTCCGCGTGGCTGTACAACGACACCGTCGACAGGGAAGGTGCGTCTGCTCCGCCCGTGATAAGGACGGCGTGGCTGATCACTGGCACGATACACGCTTGCGCCCTAGCCCTACAGGTGAACACGCTGCAAGCGAACCACCTCCTCTCGCCCTCGCTCCCCCTTGCAGAGCGCATCGGGTGCGGGCTCATCCCGCTGGAAACGAAAACTGGTATGTACGCCCCCTCCCGCGCTCCCCTCAGTCACGCACCGGACGGACAGTGGTCGAGTTGGGCGCAGGGTGTGCATTGCTATTGCTCCTCACGTCCACCCTCGCCCGCCCGCCTTCCCTCGTCGTGCTCACGGGCTATCCCGACGCGCCGATCCTCGCCAACCTGCAGAACCTCGCGCGGAACGCGTCCCGCTTCTCACGGGGGTGCACCGTGCACAGCCGCGGGCATGAATGGGGCAAGGATCCCCGTCCACTCCTGTACGTCGACCCCACATTGGTGCCCCGGCGCGACTGACAGTGACAGGAAACTTTGAGATTTGGATCGTGGACGCGCCCACGGACTGGCAGATCCAACGCTCACACTCGCCTCCCTTGTATGTTACCTACGCGCCACCGACTCAACACAATTCAACCATATGCAAGCCCCCTCATTTCGAACCTTGGGCTACATGCGGGCGCGGTCAGCCGGGCTTATTCGCCTTGTGAGCGGACGCATAATTCGCAAGGCAACTCGGACACGCACCTCACAGCAAACGTGGATGCGTACGTGCTCTCTCTGTGCTAGTGACGGGCTCGGTGGTGGAGGTGGGTGAGTTGACTCGGATCATGTAGGCTACTTTTAGATAGACAGCCAAGAGATGCGCGCAATGTACAGTAGCTTATCGACGCAATCAATATATCTACTATTCAAACTTCACATGGTGGTGCCCAATACATGCATGCTACCCATGTATTAGTACTGACTCACGGCAGTGAATGGCGCCATTCCACGCTTTCGGCGAAATATCACTTGTCCACACTTGCACTGGTATTGGAACAGATTTACTTAAAAATTACTGACTCGTTCTCACGAGGTGTACACTGTGCCGAGAATTCTTGATACTAGTCTCGGAATGACGGGTGATTACTGACCTTCTGAGTATTCCCGAGAATATCGACCATTGCCCGGGAATTCTCAGGGGGGTATTTTCCTGATGCGAGTCTTCGGCACATAAATTTCTTTGTTAGCCCCAGTGGTATGCAGGCGGTAAAAGTCGGCCAATAGGAGGATATCGCTCCCCGGAATGGGGAGTTTGTTCCCTTCAAAACGCAGAAGAACTTCGTCGCTGATGGTCCAAGTCAATCAGCCAAAAGAGGATACATTAGCAAATTGATATAGACGCACCGCCGCAAGGCCTTGGGATACTTTCCGACCCAAGTCGTATTCCAGATTTCAAGAACTCTGGCAATAATGTCTAGCTCTTTGTGTGAGTACTGATACACACGGTCATGATCGTGATCTCCGTGTGATGCAGACCTTCAATCAGGAGATTGTCTTCGTAGGCAGCCATATGCATGCCAAGGCGTGTATCAAGCTTCTTGGACACGCGTGCCTGAAATGTGAGCCAAATGAGTCGAACCCCCATAGCCTGATTTTGGCTGTCCGGTGAAGCTGGCATACGCCCAGGGCGAGCAGCGTTGAGAGACTCTGTCGTTAGAGGAAATGCAGATGCCGAGCTAGCGGCCTGAGCGAGATGATCATTAGTCGAATGACCAGCTTGCGTGCGCGATGATGTTTGCATGCGGGCTTGAAATGCCTGACTACGGTGTAGTTGAGCTGCTTCAACGCTTTCATGTATGAGTCCCTTGTTCTGTGCACCGTGTTTCAACCAAACAGATGCCGTCAGAATACATCAATGCCAATGATACAAACACTTACCCGTTTGCACTGGCCACACAATTCGTTCTGAAGCCTCGCGGCTGTGGCGCCGCAATCGCTACATTGCGGCCAGTCCTAAAACATAGCATCAGACTACGTTGGCCAGTGAGACAGAAACCTCAGCTGGGTGATGTCACTGACACCTTTCCGCTTGAACTCGTCGGTCTCTTGGTCGAGCTTGTTCAGAAGCGCGCACTTCTGGCACGGGCCAGGTTCATCCTTCTTGGGGAAGTAGTTGCGACAAGATAAGTCGCTTTCATTGAGACTGATGCAGACATTAGGGTCCGAGTCAGATGTAGACATGGGGAATGCAACAAAGTCCGGCAAAGAGCATTGATGACGCAGGGAGCTTCAGACGTATTTATATGCTATGCAGGTGTGTTTCTAAGACTAGAGACTGGCTGCTGAAAATGTACATGGCCGTGGATGATCTCACGTACCAAGACGCCGTTGCAGGGGCGGGCTGAATGCAAAGTCGGATAATAACGTTTGGGTCAACCTGACACAGTCTGGACTCTGGAGTCGAAATATCCGAAATCGCAGATTCGTCACTTGGCTGTCGGTGGCCAGTCATGAACAGACCGTACTTGCCTCGTGCTTCCCATACAAGTGAGAGTCGCTCGAATTGTGAGACATGTCTTCTTTCCTTGATTGCCACCTACTTCTCTGTGCGGAGACCTCAACGTCTATCACTGCCTCCAGCTCCGAAATGCTTCTATTTGTCGGTACCGTTGAACCACCATTTACGAGCGTTCAGTGTGAGATACTCACCTTGGCAAGCCGACCAGATGGCGGCCCATTTGTGGAAATAATTGGATTGCACAAAGAGTGTATTCACAAAGATCACGGAAGCACTCACGAAAAGTACGGTACGTTATGTAGCGATATGGACATGACAGAGATGCTACGAGCTGGAGGGGAAGCAGCACGCTTGGGCCTTGTGCATGGCGGGAAGATAGACAAGTGGCTGGACAACAAATGTGTGTCCGCGCACTGGGCCTTGACCACGGCACGTCAGCCCAAAGGATTTGGTGGGCTTCTTCTGCGAACAGGTTGAGCGGCAGCACTGTATGATGGCTAGGGCGAAACACGTTGAATAGCGAAGTCCAAGTCATGCCGTCCGCCACGGTTGTTCCAGCGCGCACCGGCATAAGGCTCGGGGAGCGCGCATGGTCACCCGTCCATTGTTGCCTGAGCCGTAAGGGTCCACTGAGGGCAGGTGGGCGAGAGAGACCGTGCAAGAGACCGTGGGCACACGACTCGGAGAGACGGTGTGATACGGCAGGCACACGACTCGGAGAGACAGTGTGCGCACAAGAGACGGTGTGCGCACAAGAGACGGTGCACGCACAAGAGACGGTGCACACACATCAGTGCTGGCACCTGCAGCCCTGCACCTCACCGGTCACCACCTTCCCTCCCGAGTCGCAGGATTTGCTTGCAACTCGGAGCCAACAAACAAACACGCGCTCAGCTCCTCGCTCAAAGGATGGTTCGCAACCGGGGACTCGGAAGCATCAGCGCACCTAGCTAGCATTGCATCGCCTAAAGCTTAATGTACCAATAGCGCAGCTGGTGCGCAGAACGTCCATTGAGGAAGAGTGAGTGCCAAATTAGACGAACGCACACAAGACCAGAGAAGTAGTGTAGATGCACGAGTGACGCAGGCGAAGCAGAGAGGAGGTACGGCAAGCGGGGATCATGCCTCATTCTCGATGACCTCTTTCGCGTATTTCTTCTTCATGAAGCTCACTAGACCCAGTAAGGCATGGGGGATCTACACCTCGAATCAGCCACGAATCACACGCGGAAGCGCAACCAGTGCTAACCTTCTGGTGCAGCGTCTTCCGTACACCCTGGTCACTCACCACCTGGTTGCTGTTCTCCAGAATACTAACGCAACACGTCAGCACAGACCCACAGGCGGACACTGACCGGCTATTTACTTCTTCCCGTTCTCCAACCGCACAACCTCATTGCTCAGACACACGAGCTGCCAGATGATCGCCTTCATCGTGTCCGCCAGACGATACTTCTTGCCGGGTGGATGCGCATCCCGCACCGCCGCACCGCTCTGCGCCGCCGTCTCGTCGTCGTGCTTCGTCTGCGCGAAGAACGTCCGCTCGTCTTGCGCGAGCTCGGAGTCGTCGATGAGGGGTCGGGCGTGTCGTAGTACTCAGACCCACGGTTCTTCTTCTGCCCTGACAATGAGGCCGCGCGCAGCAGTACGTGGGAGAGGCGCACCTTTTTCCGCTTCTTCTTGAGCTCGTTGCCATCGCCCTCGTTGGCGTCCTCGCTGCTGCTCTCGTCGCTCGCGTTGTGCTTCGCGCGATGCGACGGCGGGGCGTCCCCCATACGAGCCTCCAGGGGCCGGGGCGGCTACTGGATGCGTATGCGCGAGGTCTCGCTCGCCTTCGTGTGGTCCATCGGCGCGAACGACCGGACCTTTGCATGGAGCACCAGCCTGGACTGGGTCCTTGTGCGGCTGGTCGCCGGCAGCTCCTTCGTGTTGAACATGGGCGCGGGCGCAGGCGTGGTCTCCCCCCTTCGCATCAGCCGGGCAGCAGGGAGGAGCACAGCAAGATCGTGCATCCTCGCAGCTGGTGGGAGGGGGTGTGCACAAGCGGTTGAGCCGGCCAGATGTTGGCGAGAGCGCAGAGCCACGCAGCGCATTCGAGAGGGGAGGCGGGAGAGGGCCCGCTGGAGCACTGACGAGTAGAGGTGCTGCAAATGAAGGGATGAGCGGGGTGGGCGGAACGGCGAAGCGCAGGAGCGACGGCGAGCGCGAGCACGCGGGAGGTGGGGGTTCGCGCCCGCGTTCGGACCGGGGAGCAGGCCCGCTGATCGAGGGCGGCTGCGCGTCGGACGTGGGGTAAAGGAGGGGCGCGCGAGCAGGCCCCGCCAGGTCGCGAGATGAAGGCGACTCGGCGGGGAGGTTGCGCGCTGGCCGGAGGGAGGAGCACGCGATGTGCACGCGAGAGAGGGGGAGTTGGGGAGGGGGGCGGGAGCGTTCGGCGGGCACGCGCGTGTCGTGCGAGAGGGGGCGCGCAGGTACCGGAGGCAGGAAGAGGAGTGGGAAGAGAGGGGAGCCGCGAAGGGTGAGATGATGGAATACTCACTGGCGCGGCCACACCCTCTTGCACATACGCCGATCCTACTTCTCCCTTCGCTGCGGATGCGCGAACGAGCCCCCCAGATGAAGAAGTCGGGGGAGCGTGTGCGGCCGGTGTGCGTTTCGCTGAGTACGCGGGTAGATGCGGGTTCGCGGGTCTGCGAGTGGGCGAGTGGGTGTGGCACACGTCGGACGCGCCGAGGGCTGTATGGTGGGCGGGAGACATGCGCGCGCGGTGGCGGCGGCATGAAGTGAGGGGGGTGGGGCCGCAATCGCGGTCAGCCAGGCGCGGACGTGCCCGTCGGGGCCTGCGCCATGTAAGCGCCCGTCGCGGGAAGCGGCGGCACCTCTTTCCTACAACGGCGTCGGACCTGCCGACCTCTCGCTACCTCTCGATGGCGTCGGAAATCGCGGCGGTGTGCACACCGTACGGGAACCAGCTGCGCGACGCCGGCATGGCCACGATGTCCACGTCGCCGCCCGCCGCCTTGGCGCTCTCGTTCTGGCTCCTCACGGGCAGCGCGCCCCTCGCGACTAGATCGTGACCGATCTGGACCGGTGGGCACGCTGGACGGATGAATAGCAAGCTTCGTGGCGGCGCGGTGGATTAACTGGCGCGCGAGGTGTTCATGGGCTGGGCGATTGTCATCGGGATATGTCCTCCCCGTGAACAAATCAGTGACAACCGGTTAACCAGCACTCGTGGTACTGTGGCCTCGTAATATCACCTATTAGACTGCTGAGCCAGCATAAGCAAATGTAACAGCGCGTCGTGGTCGGCCGGAAAATGGGTGAGAAGTAGAGCGCACCCCCCGTTCAGAATGTCTGTACTGTTACGAGGGGACGCGGTGAGGGGGCCCAGTGTCTGCGCGCCCCATTTATATGGCTTCCCATGTGCGTGCATGCGTTAAACAAACACGACGCGCGTTTTGCACGTGACCGTGCTTGAGATCACGCATTACAGATATGCGCGCTGAGCGTTGACCTCCACATCGCTCACAACGACCCATTACTAGGCAGACGATGCCGCGCTCATGATGGAGACAGCCACGTTCACGATCTATGCTCCTCCGCTCGGCATGAAGCAGGCACCGCCAGACCTGGCACGGACCTCCCGACTACTCCCTTCACCTCCCTGACTCTCAATTCCAACTCCCCGACTCTCCTCCACACTTGTGCCCACAAGCTCCTCGTCCCCCTCCATCTCCCAATTATCTGCCTTCTCCACCTTGCAACAACGTACTGATCCAGCGTCCCGCGCTCCACGATCCTGACCCGCTACGCGCCCTGCGTCTTGATGACCACGCGCTCGTCCAGCAGCCTCTGCACATTCTGTATCTCTCGCATCGGCCCTTATGCGTTACCCGCGCTCCGCGGCGGCAGCGCGGCGTTTGGCGGGTGGTTCATCGAGGCGGTGTGGCACGCAGCTGCGGCAGACGTCAAGGGAGCTTGCATGGGAGGTGCTTGGGCCTGGGGTGCGGGAAGGAAGGACGAGGAAGGAGGCGGCACATGGGGGCGGGATCGTCCTGCAGCGCATATTGGTTGTCGCGAGGCAGCGTCGGAACATCAGTCGATACACAGCACACGCAAAACCCCTGCAGGTGTGTGTCGCATGTGAGCAGAGCAAGGACTCACTGCCGCTCCAAGATATGCGACGCGGTCGGCATGCCGGGGAGGCTCAAATAGCTTGCCACGCTCGCCACACTCCCGAACCGCTCCCTGCTGCGCATCCGCTCCCACTCCTAGTACCGGAAGTCACCCTCCCGCTCGCGCTTGTGCTCGTGCACCTCCTTCGGCTTGCTTGACACCGACCCGCGCGACTCCAGCCCCGGCGGTGGTGCCCCAAACGAGAAGCCCTGCTCCAGCAGCGGACCCGGCGGCGGCGCGGGCACCCCACATGTCGAGCCCGCATACGGACCCAGCCTTCCCATCGCTGCGGGCGCGCTGTACTCCAGCATCATAGGACCCGGCGTGGCCACGAGTGGGTACGTGTCAGCACCCGCCGCGTACGATGCGCGCCAGAGGGCGCTATGGCTGGGCGAGTGTGCGAGGCTATGGAGCCTAGACACGGGACTGTGCGTCCGAGTCGAGCTCAAGCGGTGCGCGGCCATCTGTGCGCGGCTGTTCGCCGCGACCACAAGGGGCGCGTATGGGTGCGAGCCGAGGCGCATCGCGTGCGTGTCTGTGGCGGCGATGCTTGTGCGATGAGCGAGGATGTTGTACGGGACCGCCAGCGCGCTGTTGTAGGTGTTCCCGGCACTGTATGTGTTCGTCCTGAACGACTGGCCGAGCGGGTCAACCACGGCGGCGGGCAACGCAGCCTGGTTGAAAGGTAAGTTGGGGAGGGAGCCCCGGCGCAGCACGAGGATGTCGTGCACCGGCGAGGGCGGGTGACTGTGAGGGCGCGTTCTGGTATGGCGAATACTGACTCGCCTTGTTTGTTGTAATAGGATCCCTCCGCGGCGGTGGTGGCCAAGGTATTCGGAGGACACCCCGAAGGGAGAGGTGAACGCAACGTTGACCGTCGGCAGCGAGGGCACAGGGTCAGCGATGTCCTTGTCGGTGTCGTGTTCCGGGGGTGGTGATCCCCGGGGTCTCGGTGCTTCCCGACGCGGATGAGCTCTCGGATGTCTCAGAGTACCCCAACGTGCCGGTGTGCGGACAGCCTCCCTGCGCATCGCCCACTGGCTCCGAGTGTGCCTTTGGTGGAGGAGAGGGAGAGGAGCGTGGTGGGCAGCCGTATTGGATGTGTCGTTTGATGTGGCCGCCCCGCGGAGTGCCGCAACCTTCTTCGCCTCATTCTTCACTTTTGCACGACTAAGGGATCAGTCAGTCAGTTAGCACATGCAGATAGCACGCAAGCGCAGACGAAGGAACGCAGTGCGTACCGATATTTTGGAACCAAACCTGCAACAGATAGACACCAGCAATCAGACCTTCACCACCCGCGAGCACGACAACGCAGTACATACCTCAGGCTGGACCTCCGTTGGCGCCATGCCAAGCTGCCTGCTGAGAACCTTGTGCTGCGTCGCGCTCGGCTTCATCTCCTCCTTGAACATGCTCTCGAGAACCTTCAGCTGGTCGCGTGTTGTGCGCTTGCGGTGCTTCAACTCGTTCGGCGCGTACAGGTAGAACGAGCGCATGTCGACCCGCATGGGGTTCATATCGTCGCGGATCAGGTGCGACACGGACGTCGCGACTTGGTGCAGCGCAGGGGGCTGGGACAGGTGCGAGGAATGGAGATGGGGATGAGAATGTGTTTGTGCAGATGTTGTGGGTGCGTGGCGGCGGTCGGGGGCCGCCCAGAGCCAACGGATACGAGGAACACCCGCACTCTGTGTGCGCTACGGAACGGAAGTCAGCAGTAGGTATGCTAAAGAGGTAGGCTTACCTTCGCTCTCAAGCCTTCATGCTCGCTTTGTCTTCCCTTGCAAGCTTCCGCTTCCACTGCCTTCTCCTCCTCGCCGTCTAACTCGGTATCCTCGCATTGCGTGTTATTTCTGTGCTCATCGTGTTTGGGCTGTGGTCGGGAAACGTCGTCAGTCGGCGGTGGCTAGCTGGCTGCTGGCAAGCCGCAACAGGCACGGGGACCGTGCCACCGCACCCGGCGCACCGCCGCTTGTGGTTGTGGCCTACAAATGGGCGCCAAAGTGACATCTTGCACTCGCTGCTGGCGTTACGAACTCGGGCAATAGCCACTCTCATGCAGTCATCATGGCTCGGAATCCCTTACTCAAAGACAAGCCTTCAACCAGTAACAACCACTCTGGGAAGAACGGTCGCGACAACGGTGATTGTAAGTCTTCTCAATGTCCTCTGTATGATCCCACTCGTACTAGGCATGATCTTCCTACTTCTCTTGAATACCATGTCGCTGTTTCTGACTCAAGAATGCAGGGCCAGATGAAGAGATTTTGAAGGCTGCGCTCTATCGTTATTCGCAAGAACGTCTTCCACTCCCGCGTCGTATCAAGCGGTTGGGCCATGAATTACAACTGGATATTGGGTGAGCTGTGCAGCCTATACTTACTGTATGTCCGTGTGACTTGTCATTACTTGCTGACATGACATACAGTCTAACGCTGTTGAAGAATCTGAACAAGCATTTTGGAATTCCTTCGTCGCGGAAGGCTCCAAAAGGTGTGGCCGCAACACAGCTCGTTCTGAACGAGATGTCCGAGGATTCATCGGGACGGCGTGGCATTGGTGCTATGCAAACACACCTTGCAATTTCTGGCACACCGTTACCACGGCGAGTGATAGCCAGCTGTGTAGATTCTGTCAAATTTGCTTACTCCCAATCAGGAGTGTCATCCGAGAGGTTGTGCGAACAAATGACCCAGACGGTGCTGCGGCCCGCTATCCAGGGCGGAAGCCTCAAGCAATTCCGCGAGGAAGGCTAGTCGCGCTTGGGCCAATGTACGAAGTGCATTGTGACGGGCATGACAAGCTCGGCGCATTAGCGCTGCAAATGGGTGGTGTCGCACTGCCTATCTACGGTTACAAGGACAAGTGTTCAAGTGTATGTATCCAGCTCGTCATTATTCCGAACAATCGGAAGGCAGACGTTGTTGGACATACGTACTGTGACTGGGTCAGTGAGCTCGGATGTACGTGCTGCCTTTATACAGTCCTGCCCATTCTTGAGCTCACACATTACATTCGTACCAGGTATTCCGTTGCAACTCACGTTTGACAAAGGCTCCGAGACTGGCGAGCTCTATGCTATGCAGACAGCGTTCCGGTACGATGTGTTCCTCTATCACATGATTGCGACGTCGAGCTAATTACACGGCCATGCACTTCACTATAGTGAAGTGTATGCTCCAGAAATTGACACGACAACATATCCTCCATGCCACGCAATGAAGAGTGTCCATAATACCCCAATCGAGAGCTTCTGGCATGCATTTCGCCAGCATACTGGCCGCAACCTGTATGCTGCAATCGTACGAGGTAAGGAGGATGGCATTTTCCACGTCAATAACGAATTACATGAGTGAGTGCTCAAGCCATTGCATTTGCGTGCTCATTCACGATCGAATTCCTCTTCAGATGTCTCTTCTACTGGATATGGCCGCAAATTGTCCAACGGGAGCTAACCGACTTCCGCGACTATTGGAACATGCATAAGCTCCGGGTTCAACGTGACAAACTCATGCCATCAGGAACGACACCTACTGACCTCTGGATTGCACCGGAGGACTACGGACATGTGCGGATCAGTATACCTGTGCCCCGGGATGCTGTGGAAGCCATGCGTCGCGAACGGCTGCCCATATCCCGTGACGAAGCATTCAGTTGGGTTGACCACGAGTTTGCAACGTCTGCTGAGCAGGCCTACAGCTCACTTGGGTGCCCACGGCTCAACAAAGATACTGCTTGGGAGGTCTTCAGTCGTATGGAGCCAATGTTGAAGTACTAGTAGTGCGTACTGTAGGCTCAACCGTGCACACCGATCATGCTGTCTTTGTGTTATGCCTCGCTCAATCATAATATCATGCTCCATTGGGAAATTGCGCACTCTGTCTGACGGCAATTTCAGGCGATTCAGAAGTCGGGTCCGTCATACAGTAGCCCGTCAGATTACCCAGCTCGTCGGACAACTCAGCAAAGATGCAAGAAATGAAGTCAATCAACTGTATATATTTCGATTCCTACTGATTGATACTGACATACAAAAAAGTATTAGACAATATGAGTGCAAGCTCGTGCGAGCAGTCGCCCCGCCGCGGCAGGCCGATGCACATCCTGGTTCTGTTCGTTGGGCACTGCTGCGTGAGTGCTTGCTCGGCATGCTCGTCGATCTACGATACCTGTTGAGCTCGTCATCCCGTCACACTCACGCATTGCGGGCCCAATTTGCTGGTGCATCGGCCGTTCGTCAGATTATTGCTCGGCGGCCTGGATCCTTCTCGAATTAGGGTGCGACGCGCTCGCCCTCGACGGGCCTATGCACGTTGGATTGGGGTCTGCCGGGCCATTACTCTGTGCAGTCTTCCTTGGAGGGTTAGGCCACAATGTTCGGCGGCCTGGTTCTTCCTTGTGTTGGGGTATGGCATGCTCATACTCGAGGGGCCTATGCGTGTTGAGCTAGGGCCTAGAGTCAGCCCGCCTCCAAGCAACGCTCCCGCCCAACCTCGTCGCCTCCGTGCAAGAGAAGCCCCCCGAGTTGCTCAAGCACGCCCGCGCGACGTCCCTCTCCGCGCCCGACTTCGCCGCCCTGCGGAGCACGATCGCGGGCGAGCTCGCGCGCGTGCAGGGTTCGTCCGAGGAGCTCCTCCAGCGCGTGCAGGGTTCGTCCCAGGAGCTCCTCCAGCGCGTGCAGGGGCAGAGCGGCGAGCTCCTCCAGTGTGTCCAGGCCGGCGAACTCCTCCAGCGCGGCGAGGGCCTCTTCAAGCAGGTCCAGGGCGGCGGCGAGGTGTTCCTGCGCGAGGCGGGCGAGTTCCTACGGGAGGCCGTGCACGTTGTCCCGCCCGAGCCGGGCGAAGGCTCCGCAGGAGTGGTCTGGGACAGTACGGACGTGTGGATGATCCCGACGTACTCGCCCGCAGCGACGCCGACGGAGGGCGCAGGCAGTGAATGGAGGAAGGGCGGGCTAGTATGCTCTCGCGCACTGCGCTGGACCAGGCGAGCTCTTGCTCATCGCGCGGTTCTCCTCGTCATACCACGTCGCGCCGTACTTGGACTTGACTCATCGGTATACGGCACGCTGTCCCTCGTCGCGCCTGTATGGCATGGTGGCGCATGATGAGACGTATCCGAGTGCAGGCAATTCATGCTAACCATGCTAGCGGGCGGCATCTTGAGTGATCTGCGCCACGCTCGAGCTCGTCGCGCACACGCGCACCGGAGCTGTCTCCCTTGCATTCAACCAGGTTTGTAGGGTCGTCCTTGGTGAGGCTTCACTTGTCGGTATTATCTATTGATCCATATGACAAGCAGAGGCGTACTCACCAGTAGTGCTCACGCACTGCTAGCCCCTCGTGCGGCCCATCTCCTGCGTATCTTCAGACTTCAGTGACACTCTTGACGTGTCGCTAGATCTCGTTGCGGCTGCGCGCCGTGCTATCTTGGAGAGCGCGGTGGCGAATGGCACGCTGTACGCACGTACTGGAGGTCAGCGATGGGGACTCGGGGCGAGAGAGGGGGAGGCTGGACGCCGCTGGAGGAGGAGAAGGGAGCCAGCGCTAAGTCACGCGCGGGTGGCGCCGAGCCGCGCCACATTTGAACTGTGGCCTTCCGGCGTACCATATACTGACTCGCGTCTTCTTGAAGTTCTTCGCGGGCGCGGACCACATCTTTCTCATTTGTCTGGTCGCTTTGCTTCCGTCACAAGTTCGTAGCATTGCAAATCCTGCAATCCTGCTTACTGGATCATCCGTGTTCTGCAACCCCAATACTGAGACGTGTCCCTGCAACGCACGCTAGGACTCGACCAGAGACTTGTGATGCTCAAAATTTGCTCATGCTGCAATGAACGCTCCTGTACTGTGCGTCGCGAGGCCGAAAGATATAGGCTACTATTCAGCACTATGCCCGTGTCTCTGCTGTGCAGCTCTTTCTGAGCTCTGCTTGATATACCCAACCCAGCTTTGGTCCATGGCATACCCATTCTCACTCCTCTCGAGTTTTGGTAATGCTCTCCGCACAAAGAACCCCATGCTTACATCGGACATCCTCTTCGTGCTCTCTGCAGATCTGCTTGATCCGCAGTATCTCCTCATGGATCGCCTACTGCTACTAACTGCGCGCTAACGGGCCAGCATTGTGCTCATGCACTCCCATAACAGGCTATGCACCGTCTGTATACGCCCTTTGCTGTCTTACATGCCGCACCCTTGATGCACGGCCTCTCGCCTCCATCCAGTACCCAGCCAGATATGGTCCCTACAGCGATACAGCCAAGTCCAACGCACCAGGCGATAAGCGATGTTATCCAGGATCGGTCATCTGATTGACGGAAAGGCCCTCCACGCTCCAGCGCGGCCCTTATCCACCCCAAATCCATATAAAGGTCCTCCCGGGAGGGAGGGACGCTAGCTGCGCTCTCCTCGCAACCACCAACAGCACATCCACCTCTCCTCACACTCGCAGAGATGGCCCCGAACCCGCAGTGCTCCGCCCTCGCCGCCGCGAAGGACAAGAAGGGTTAGTACGCGCCGATCCTACTACTGAGTGTACGTATGCAAAGAACAGTGGCACTGACCGCGCCCCTATGCTCTGCAGGCCTGTCCTACTCCCAGATCGGCCAGCAGATTGGCCTCTCCGAGCAGCGCGTTATCGACAGTGCGTCTCCATTACTTAGCTTTGTAGTCCTCCCAAGTTGACCATCTTGCGCAGTCTGCACGGGCGCCGCAGTCCCCACCACCGGCGAGTTCAACTCCCTTGCGGGCGCCCTCGACATCAAGTCCGCGGTGAGTACCTTCCCTCTGCTCGTCTACACATGTTCTCCGTCCATGCTCTTCGCTCTTCATTACGACGACGAATCGCTCGCTGACGAATCGTCCGTAGCCCCCCTCCGACTCCGCGCACACCAGGGTCTGAGCGGCGATCGATCCGATTGCGCGAGTCTTGTACCTGTACAGTATCGCTGTATCTGGGTTCCGGTTCTAAGTGTATTTGTATTATCGCATCTGCTGCATTGCATCGATGGCATAAACAACACAATGTATCGCGTCGACGGTGTGCTTCGCAGTGGGATGAACCTGGATGAGACCTGGTTGCCTCACGTCTGAGTTATTGAAGGGCCCTGATTGGCCTACGCTCTCCACCATCGCGATCACGGCGTGCAAATCATTCGGTCCAACCATCGTCAGGCCCACCCGTAGAAATTGTTGAAGCAACTCGCCCGACACACTAGCTTCCGTGTTTTGTGCAAGCGGAGCGAGACTGGTTTAGGTGGTATGCTACACTCAACAAGTGCGCGACTCTTGTTCTTTCGCTTTAAGATATGGACATCTTCACGTCGGGATGCATAGGCCAATCGGTGCAAGAACTGTCATACATTCGAAATTTGCGAATGTCAAGAAGCATAGCCGTGTCCAGTCGTACAGTCCTACATTCCACCGCCTTCAGAGTTTACTCGTACACCGCTTCACGAGCTACCTTTCCAACAAGCTTCTAGTACCAAGCTTCTCTGCCAGCGAGGGATTTACCACCTGCCGCCGAAGGACGAGTCCTGGACCGTGGTCTGGTCGGTCGTCTGTTCGGTCTGCTGGTCGAACGTCCCGCAGGGCGTGCTTTCGAACGTGTTCGACGTGTCCGTGGTCTGCGTGTTCTGGTACGAGTCATCGACGAAGCCGCCGCCGAAGCCGCCACCCTCAACGACGTTGTCTGCGAAGTGTGAGTGTTAGTTCGCAGACCCCAACAGTATAGTGAACCGCCGAAGGGGGCGTACCGGAGGTGTAGGACGTGTCCTGGAAGCTGTTGCTGTCGTAGAAAGGCATGTCGTAAAGTGTTATGAGGAGGTTGGTTTGGGTGAAAGGAGGTATGCGAGAGCTGTAGCGTTGGATTGCGTTGCTGGTCTGCTCCCCTCACCATGCACCGTCTTATATACACCTCTGCCCACCGATCCTCGCATCCCAGGATAGCACGCAGGCGTCACCAGCAATTTCCCCGCACGCACATGCGTGCGCAGAGCACTTCCCTGATCACTTACAGTTCAATAGCGCGTCTTCCGCTACGCGTCGCTGTCGATGAGCGTTACCAGATCCGGCCATGCGATGCATGCAATGTGGGCGGAGAAGGCTTCGCGACGGGGAGAACCACCGCAGCTGAACAGGAATAGCCGTCGAATTTGACGAGCGATGCTGCGCGCACTATGAATACGCTTAGTGTCCCTAGAATAGCGCAGGAGATCGTGGGCCGAGACTGCATGACGCGCAGGAAGTAGTTTACGGGTATTGTTACCAAAAGTGCCGTGGTGCATGCCTTTGGAGTTGCGAACCTACATTCCGGCTGCCGGTCCCACAGAGAGCGAGGAGGGCGATGCATTTGCGCGAGCGAAGAACTACATTATTCGCCGACGCGTACGGCTGGTGTATCAATGTCCATGTACTCTGCGTTACGTGATAGACAACTAGAGCGGTGTTAGACCATCTGTTTGATGCGTACGATGCGACTGTCGGTGCTTGCCTATAATACTGTACCGAGACGGTGTCGACCTCAATCTTCATCGCTGCCGGACACACTGTTCCATCTACTGTCATCGCTGTCAACTTTCGAGACTTGGGCGAGCGCAAATGTCCAGGTGACTTCGCGTAGGGAGGGCGGATGCGGTTCCTCCTTGTTTTCGGCCTCCCAGTCCGTCACGAAAGCTTCGTCAGTGAGGTGCAGCGAAGTGCACTGGCCACACTCTCCTCGTCATGGCGTCTTCAAGTCCTGCAAACCGACGACGACGGACCAGCCAAGGACGTATGCAGCAATTAAGCGCACCGTGTGCAGATGTAATAAAGGCCAGGTAGCGATTGTACAATTTGTGAGGTGTTGACAGGGTGAGTGGCGCTATAACCAAGAAAAGCAGGTGCACGCACAGGGAGACCATCGCCATTGGTATACGTGATAGAAACTGAATCGTCCTTAAGACGCAATATTCTGCACGTATTGCAGAGGCTGCACCACGCGCTTTCTTGATGCATCTCCAGAACGCGTAGATTTGGCAGAAGTGTCGCTGCAGGAACGAGCTGCTGCGGACTCGGCCACGCAAGGTACCGCAGCTCCAGCTCGACAACAGTGAGCGGCAGCTCCTCGAGCATCTCCAGGAGTATGTAGGAGTGATCAGAGGGAAACGCGTCGATTCGCAACTTGCGTAAACGGACGAACGCCATGAGACTCCGCCTGACAGAGAAGAGCCCGAGCCACAGCCCTGTCTTGACACTGGGTGGATTACATAACCCAGTGCACTACCCTACGCGAATGAGCGGCATGTCCTGCATATTATGATCTGGCCCGTACTTACCTTGTCCATTGCGCCACTCCTGGTATGGTCGACAAACCCGTCAGATGTACTGTAGGTACACGCATCACGAAGGTTTGAAACCACGCCTGCAAAGTGATCTCACGAAAGACCTTCGACACCAGGCTAAGCGAAGAGAAGGAATGTGAATCCGCCTTTGATCTATTGTTGAACCGGACGTGCGAGAGATGGGGGTGGACCAGGCTGGTTGGCTTCTCGGGCGTAGCGTCGTCGACATAACAGAAGATGATCTCACGTATGAGCTCTACAGGCAGCATGGCAAGCGTCGGAGACACGTCCAGTGATGAAGACTTTGAGAGGTGCACGGTTGTTGAAGTTACGATGATGTAACCGCCACAAGCAAACAAACGTGCTAAGACGCGGCGACTGCCGGTGCGTACAATAGTGGGCATTATGATGCGCCACTTGCAACCCAGTAGTCATGTCAGGTAAGTATAGCCGTGGTCACTACAGAATCACCAGTCTGGCCTCATTGATTGGCGGCCTGATCATGACTGGTACTACTACTCGGAAACCGCGGCGTAACGAAGTCGCAACGGCAATTGCAACGGTGGTTTGCCCGCCGCGCTGTGATGCCCTGAACCATAACGTCCGACCTTCCGCTGACGACTCCATACAATGCACTCGACAATCCTACCAATTGAACTGCTCCGTGAAGTCATCTTATGCTATGTCGACACTCGCATCTAAAACAAACCGCGCACCCTAACTCGCAGGGCTCAGCGCGATCGTCCCAATGGCATCAAGCCTCCGTGGTATGCTGTCAGGCCGCTGTCGCTCGCGTCCAAGACCTTCCGTCAGCTCACCCTGGAAGCTTGGTTTCGGGTCTTCGTCATTCGTGACTTCTTGGACAAGTTGGTCATCCCGGACGTGGCGTCTTCGACGAGGTACTGTGGTGCAGATGCTATTCCTGTCTGCTTCGACTCACATCACGCATCCATGTAGGACAATTCACTGGACTAGTAAATACACCCTACCGCAAGTGTCCATGACATGCTACCCTCCTCCACAAGAGAACCTTACGTTGTTCACGCGGTTGCACAAGTTGCGCTTCGATGGGTACCGTGTGGACGATAGGTATACCGTTCTCGCGGAGCATTTCGGCGAAGTGCCGCCTACAGTGACCGAGCTCGAATTGTGCTACCTCCCGTACCCTGTGCCGGAGCAACTGCGTCCAATACAGCGCATGTTCCCGAGACTGGAGGTTTTAGTGCTGCATCAGGAACGTATCTTGTGCGGACTCTGTAATGCGTGTGCCCCGCTACATCTGAAGAAGGCACCGCCACCGTCCATAACGTACACGGACGGTCATGGTCTCTCGGTGCGTCCCACGTCTCGTGATACAGTATGATCCATGCCGGAGGCCTGATGCTGCCTATCATTTCGCTCCTCCAGAAGCAATACAACAGCGTCTTAGCCTGTTTGCCGCGTCTGCGCACCGTGCGTCTCAGTGGTGCGTACGTTCTGGGTGGGCGCGTCAGCCTGCAGAGCGTGCGGACTGCATGGCGAGGCGAATGCGGGGATTGCTGCAAGCACCACCTCACCGACGCAGACTTTGTCTCGAGGCGGGAGGCCGACGACATGGCAGAGCCACGTCCACCTGCGCTGCGCGAGGTCATCTGGTCGTTCACACCCTTTCGCACGCCGGAGGACTACACGGACGGAGACGTGACCTCGGACTCCAGCGACTACGGCGACACCGACTTCCACAACGCATATACCACGGGCGATGAGGACGACACCGATGATAGCAATGCAGACGACGAAGACGCCGATTCGAGCGATGTAGAAGACAGCAGTGACGATGGCAATATGGGAGACATCGATAAAGGTGATGCAGGAGAGTAGCGTCAGTGCATCGACAGTTCAGTATGTGGGACTCAGCAGGGCGAGTACTACACATCCTTCGTCCACTCATCTGCTATGTATACCCAGGAGTGGAGTATGCCATTTCGCGCCATGTACGCGTCAGCTGCGATGTTGTTCTACTCTCAGCGACCTTAAGGCACCAGTATTCGTCCGCTGCTAACTTGCATCGACAGTAGTTTCGCTTCCCAATAAACTGCGGCGCTCGGGGACCCTGCGCCAACATACACCGTCTCCTGGCGTCATAGTGGTCACTGGAGACCAACTGCAGATCGTGTACCGTGCGCACGGTGACTACAACGGGGCGCTCTCCGGACCGTCCCGGATGAAGTTTCCAGGTCTCTACCAACTCTACCATGAGAAGTCCTCGATAACCGGCGTCGTTGCAGTAAGTGGCCGCATACTTAGGAGCATTGCAGTTGTGAGTACACATATGGACACAACAGATGCACAGCGTGCTGATATATGACCGCAATGAATCGCAAGGATACAAGGACAGCGCTAGCGCTGGCAGTGGAGAGCAGCTGAGCGTCCATCTACCAGAGTTCGCATGCACGGTGGCTCAGTTGAAGGCACTGCATCTTACATCCTAACTTCGGCATCTGGCAATGAGATGAGCTAATAGGGTGGACTCGTCCTGCCTCCAGGTAAGCAGTATACGCCGAATCCCTTCCTAGCCTACAAGCGCTCCGGTGGTCACATCCGTCTCGTATCCCGAATACACGGTAGTACGGTGGCGCAAGGAGTTGGCACAGTTGCGGTTGATAGTAATGCAATGCACGGACACTCGACAACACTCGCGCCCTACTGGTAGTAGTAGGGTGGCCTTATACATATCTGAACAGGTTCTGCAGGCTGGTCCGAGATCCTTCCTGCCGTCGCGCTCCCCGTACTCTATGGGCCCCGCTTTTCAGTATTCCTTCGCCGCTACGGTTGGTGCGTCGTACGTAGGTGAGTACGCACCCATGTAACTCTGGCTATACTTGACGCGTATGCTGGTCAGGCACTATCCTCGCCTCGATGTGAGTTGGCTATCGCAGTCGTCATTAGCGAGCATTGGAGCTCACAGCAGCCAGACTGTACGGTATGACATCGATACAGACGCTCACGTTCTTCCGCTTCCATCGAAGGAATCGTCTCTGGATCCAAATCACTGTACGTCTGCTCTACTTTGTGGCCCTAGGTTTGGCTAAGCGATCACCGATGTTGTCGCAGGTCGCCTTCCTATGGTGCGCATATGTCTCGAAGCCGATGAGGCAGAATTTACAGTGTTCCTCACAACGACTGTTCAGGGTCCTAGACACGATCCACCTCGCTTTCATCGGACACGCAGTCTACACCTACGTCATCACCGACTTTGGCGATATGGATGCTATCGCACAACCTCTCTGGTATGTTTGTGATGCGCCTCGCGTTGGCAGCGTACTAAAAATCTACCTTCGATGCAAGGAGCATCACAGTGAGTATGTGTATTACATAGAATGATAGGATTTGACTGACTCGAGGGTAGGCGCATGTTCTGATCTCGGCGAGTTCTCTTTCATCGAATGAGACGTTGTGGTAATTGTGCCCTTCGTCACAGAACATCAGCGATCTCATAGTGAGAGGGTATGGGTATGGCTTCAGCTTGGGTACCATCCGCACTGATACTCTTCACTGTTCAGTGTTTTCTCGTATCGTATTTGGATCTGTAAGCATTTCCATCGTGCCAAATCTGACACGCGATGTTCACCGTGTCAGTGAGCGCGAATCACTGTTGGAGAACAGTTACAGTGGTGAGTTCAATGTACAGTCGGAGTAGATCGTATACTCACGGCGTTCGGTACACAGAGCCTAGCTTCCCTTGTGGTCTTCGGTGAGTAATTTAGTAGCCTACGAGTCGGTACGGCTTTATGACATCGTTTATGCAGTCAGTGGTTTCGGTAAGTCTCGTGGCGGAGCATCATCTACGTCAAACTAACTTCAGATCGCCCGCGGAAGCATTCTCAGTGTGGGGGTGAAACCGTCTTGAGCTTATATTTTTTCATGAAATGTGCTCATGATAATTCTAGGTTCCTCGTCAAAGGCTACGCATTCGAGCAACGAGAAATCTCTGTAAGTGTCTCAATGGTCACGCCTGTGACAACAAGCGGCGACGGTGCCCCAGCAGATCTTTCTCTACACAAACCTCTCGTCAAGCGTGGTCGCAGACATCTTAATTGCCACGTATATGTGGTGGATTCTCCGACAGAGCCGTACGGGCATAGCGAAGTTGGTATTCATTCCACTGACACGTGCAACTTCCATTGACGACGCGAATCCCTACAGTACCGACTATATCTTAGGCCGCTTGACAATCTACAGTATCAGCATCGGACTCCTGACATGGTAAGTCTCAACTCGCCCTGTGATGAGTGCCGCGACGCTTACACCAGGCTAGCTTCTGCACATTGCTGTGTATTATCCTCGTGAGTTTCGAGCTTTACTCCGGATTGACTCCATTGAATATTTTTATCCCGCAGTACGCGCTACTGCCTCCCTCGAGGAAGTTTGCTTTCGTCGCAGTATACTTCATCCTCCCGAAACGTACGTCATCCCTCTGCCTCTTGGTCTATTGCCGTGACGCGCGTGTATGCTGATTTCTCAACGTGCTATAATTGCCACAGTACTACTCAATTCCATGCTTGCCACGCTCAACGTCCGTCAGTGCACCAAGACGGCCGCGCCGAACGAGTTTACTGTGACCACTGCAACCCACCGCGAGCTCGGTACTCCCAATGGTCCATTTTCCACAGTGGTCGAAGTTCTGCACCGTCGCAGAGAGAGCCTGAGTCGGACTCATGTCGTGAGTTCGCCAGCGCCTGGAATATACATCCATGTCGATCATCATGTGCACAAGGACGCGGATTACCCTCACGGGGCTGAGGTGCGTTCCGTTTCGGGGGACGTATGAGCAGCGATACTCATCTGGCGGTTGAAACAGGTTGACCAGCAGGAGATGTCGACGGAGGGGCATCAGGTCTTATGGGCGGTCTGACCACTTGGACCTGTGTTGAACCACTTGGACCTGTGTTGAATAACTTGAATTGCCGCTGCGTCAATTGATAAAGCCAACGAATACAATTGCGTTCCGAGCACAATAATATACCATGTTTGGCTGCAGGAATCAATTTTCGGTTGATGGTGAGGCGTAGGCATTGTCCATAAACCGACAAACGGAATACAGCAGTCACGACAGGCAATGGCCAATATAACGGCGAGGAATAAGTTCAGGAAATACTCCCGACGTGGTCTCCTGTCACGGGGACAATTACTAGCCTTTTATGGTCAGGAACACGTAAGCTGGTCGGTCCGTTTTCCGCCCATATTCCGGCCCGTAATCGGGTTCCTCATTCCGCCCCGGAATATGTCCTGAACAGGCTCGTCTTTGTCATCATATCCTTCCCCAATTCTTGTCCGGAATAGTGTCCCTGTCCCGATCCGGTAAATGTCCTGAATATATGCGCAATAGTCTTCCTGTGCTTACCCTTTTCCGGCGCTGATCATACGCACAATAGTCTTCCTGTGCTTACCCTTTTCCGGCGCTGATCATACGCACAATAGTCTTCCTGTGCCAACCCTATTCCGGCGCCGACTAACCCAGGGATAAGTAGCATATCACGACCCCTCGTTGCAGTAGGCACGAGCTAGAGGTAGGGCTGGGCGCAGTACGTGAGTGTTCCCCGGGAAGGTCGAGGTGCAGTCCCACGGCACCATGGTCCATGGATCACTTCATGATCGTGTTGACCGCGCCCCATCAGGAAAAAAAAATTCTGCAAATTGCACACACCTAAAGTTATGTAGCCCATGTGGCCTATGTAGCTGTTATAGTCGGAGCAATTAGCCACATAGCAAGCTGTAGCACACTGTAGACACACACTTGTACAATGTATGGCTACTCAGTATTACTTCATACCTACAGCGTACATCATGGTGATTGCCATTGCCATTGTATACAGAGCACCACATGAACACGAACCGTGAATATAGCCCGCAAACTCATGTTGATACATGTCCAAACAAATTTGTCTTTTTATTTGAGGAACAGTCATTAAAAGCACATCGGAACCGTACGTGTACGTGACTAAGGGGGTGAATCGCACAGGTAGTACCCCGGGTGCGCGGGAGCCTACCCGTAGTATCCGTACCCGCTCGGCATGTACGGGTTGTTCGTAGGTCTCGCGGGCATCCGCGGGTGCGGGTATAGGCGACGGGTCGGGCAGGCGAGGAGGCGAGGGGATGGGCGTGCGAGTGCGCGAGCACTACACAGGTGCGCGGGCGATCGTGCGCGGGGGGATCGTGCGTGCGTGCGTGCATGCAATTGTGCTCAGAGGGATTGTGTGTGCGGGGCGTGCGTGCATGCGTGCGGGTGGGTGGGTGGCGGCGCCGTCGAGGGGCGCATCTCGTAGTCGTCGCCCGGCGTCCAGTCCCAGCTGGTCACCGCGGGGAAGCGGTCCCAGAGACATTCATTGTCGGCGGCGAGGTGCCACCAGAACTCGCGGGAGCTTGCGCAGCCCTTGAGGCCCACGAACCCAAGCGCGTCCTCCTTCTGGTGCATCACGATGTCGTCCTCTGCGTGGCCGGGCACGCGCAGCGGGTCGGGCTTGAGTGTCCAGGAGCCGTTGGCGTACGCGCGGGGCCTGCGCTTGAACGAAGGTGGGCGGAGAGACGTGCGAACTACTCACCTGCAGCATCTGCTCCCCAGCGGCCTGCCCTCTCTCAACCTCGCCCCCACTCATGACCGCTGCCGTTTGCTCGCGCTCGACCTTGCGCGTGCGTTGCATTCGTCGGCCGTGCTTGCATGCCGGGCATTTGCCCTGCATGTTCGTGGTCGATGTGTGCCTCGGTGTTGTTTCGCTCGCGTTTGTGACGCAAGCGCGCCAGTCGTAGCCGGCTGGTGTTCGCTCGGGTTCGTGGCCCAGTCTTGCGTTGGTTCTTCGCGTGTCGCGTCACTTGTCGACGATCCTGCTCCGCGTTGAGCGCAGGAGCGGCGGTGACATGCCGCGGATGTCTTTGCGTCGAGTGGGCCGTCCAGACTCCAGACGAAGTGCGCGCGGGAAGCAGTGAGCTGGCGTGCATCGGGTGAGGGCGTGTCGAAGTGGACGTTCAGCGAGCAGCCCAGGCAGCGCGAGCGGGCGGCCCATCGCAGTGTAGCGTTGCAGCGATGAGTCGGTTCGTCAGAGCGGATGGGACTTGTGCGCGCGCACAGACCAACGCGCTGCGCGCCTCGGCAAACTCCGAGGCGGGCGCTCTTGACTTGCGCGTCGCGTTGCGCAGCGACTTGTGCCACCTCTCTTCCTCTATCTCTTAGTCCGAGTCTCCCACTGGCAGCTAGTACCCGTCGTACTCGTCGCTCCCCTCCCCCGCCGCTGAACACTTCCTCCCTGCTCGCCGCTATGCTCGGCGCGTCCGCAAACTGCTGCCAGCTCATCATTTCCCCGCCGCCCTTCCACTCGACTTACATCGTCACACGACGCCCGTCGACATCGACTTGGAGCCCACACACACGCTTTCCACTCATCCAGTCTGTACCCAAGTACCCGTTCGCTCGCCTGGCAGGGCGATGCCGCCCTGCCTTGCCCTTCCCCAACAACGCTCGCCACGTCCGCCCCCGCTGACGTGGACGCAATGGACGTGAACTGGTGCCCCACCTGCGACCGGCACATCAACGCGGTACGTGACACGCCCTCCGCACTCATTTCCGTCCGCTTGCTGTGTGTCTTCTTAGGAGGGCTACGCCCCGTACCGCTCACGGGAGTGCCTCGCCCTTGCATCTCCGGGACAATGTCAGTGGGCAGACCCTCGAAGTGGATGCTGTGCACAGGTTCGCGCGGTTCATCGTACGTCCCCGTGCTCCATTTCGTGCGGGTAGATTGGCTGACGGGCGGTGGTGCATGTAGGAATGCGGCACGATCAACGAGTACAATTCGGCGGGATATGCGCCCAAGAACCTGATGCTCATCGTCGGAAGGAGATCCGTCTGAGCGGGTTCATCGTTGGAAGCCTTTACCATAAGGTCTGTGCCTGTCCTTCTCACCTCGTATCCTTCGCTGACTGCGCCCGCCTGTGTAGTATTGTGCGCAATTCTACAAGGAGATCCTGCCCTGGGTGGCCGTGGGCAAGATCATGTACAAGGAGGACTGCTCCGTCGGGCTCGACATGAGCAGAGTATAGCAGCGGTGAACCCTGCTCACGCTGCTTCTGCTGGGAGCATGTGTGCGTCAGTCACCTCGCGTCCCGCTGTCAAGTATTAGGGTATGATTGTGTGCTCTACGTCACCGTTGTGTACATTATGTATTACCTGTAGTATGAACCAAATATATTTCATGTAGTCAAAGCTTGAAGGCAACCTGGTTATGCTGAAATATGCCTAGCTATAGCTATCTAGTCAATGATTATGGTGTACTATGGCACATGGATGCAAGGCTATCAACTGCCATAGAGTTCAGGGGTGGTACTATGAAGTGCTATAGAGTGCTACAGATATGCAAGGGGGAGCTATCACATACAATAGAGAGGGGGGTATGCAATGGCGCTATGAGGTCTATGTAGCCTATATGGCTGCACATTGCAAACTACTTTTTTCCTGATGCCGTTGCGAGCCGTTGCTGAGAAGTAGCTACGACTCAACTACAGTATGTTCCGCAGCTCCGGCGCAGCGACCGACTCGGATGGAGCAACGCGTTCACTCGGAGCTCGGAGCTGCGTTGACTGTAGCAGTAAGTAGCCTGGAGTCCAGACTGCTCTTCTCCGTCGGGAGCTCTAGGAGTTAGTAGTCCTCGGGAGCAACGTGTTCGCTCGGAGTTGTCAGCCCCAACGCCGCTCGATCGACGTACGATAGCTACTTAGTACTTACAGCCTAGGCCGTCGTTCTCCGCCGGGAGCTCTACTCCACGTGCCAGCTCCGGCGCACAACTCTGTAGAGCTCGCTTGGAGCTCGTAGAGCTCCAGTAGCTCTGGAACTCCGGAGAGCTCTCCAGAGACTAGTCCTATCCCTCCTACCTGCTCCTCCTTTGTGGTAGCTCCTGTTCAATAACGTCAGATCCAGCCTTTCATATGAAGACAGCTAGTCGTATAAGCTACAGAGATGATGATCCTGTCGATACATTGCTAGTGTATAACCTCGGTCCTTGACGTAGTACTTCCGTGAACTAAGAGTCAGTGCCTTTCAAATTAAAATCATAATCTTCGTCGATGACCCGCAACGAGTCTAGAACGTGGGCCTTTAGAGAATTCAACCAACCCTCATCATAGCAGTTACGCCACATGCCCACAGGAGCGATCCCTTCTTCCGTCCGAGCATCCTGCTCAGTGCGGTGGCGGGGCGGATTTCCACTTGTGGCCCGCGCGCCGACGGGCATCGCCCAGTCCTCGCGATACATCGCGTCCAACGCTCGCAGGAAGGTCTTCAACTCAAGGCTTTGCCAGCGTGCGTCCACGATCCGATACGCGCCAGGATGCAGCTTGACCGGCCCGTCTGTCTCGTCACCGCTCATATGAATCGGCCGCAGCTTCTTGAAGAGAACAGCGTGCCTCGTCAGCTTGCGCTTTGCGATCGTCGCAATACGGCTATCCCGTAGCTAGCCCAAGTCGTAGTAAGCATAGACATGCTGAGACAGTACGTATGTACGCACGGTATGTCGACGACTGTTCATTGCATTCCTCTTCTTATACAACCGCACTTCTTCCTCTGTCGGCGCCTTCGCGTGGGTCTTGTACTGTTTCCGACGGTACTCCATATTTCTGTTGAACACAGCCCCAATGACCGGGGGCGCAAGCAGGGCTTCGGGCATAGGTTTGTCTTCGTAGTGATACTGGCCAGAAGCATGATTGGCGATGAAGCTGTCAATGAAAACCTTCTGTGCCTCCTTGTTGAAAATACATGACGGTGGTCGCACGAAGTCGACGCGGTAGCTCTGCACAGTGCAAATGATGTCGCCTTCATCGTTCATGTATGACTCATACTCTTCATCAGTGAGCGACGGGTTCTTGGCTATCATTTGCTCGACCGTCTTGATGTCAAGTAGAAGATCGAGGTGCATACGCACACAATTCTGCAAGTGTGTTAGGCTCAGCCACATCACGAAACACTCCTCTTACCTGGAGATGCGTGAAAGGACCTTTCAGCACGGGGTGTTTTGCAAACTTAGATAGAGACAGCAGCTGCCCGCGACGTTGTCGATGCGCGACAGGTCGACTCGGTTGGTGCTCATCGTCAGCTTGCTCATCTTCCGAGACGCCATCAATAACCGCTTCGACCTCGTCTTCGTCAGCGCGGTCTTGTCCACCTTTCGCCGTCTTCAGACTAGCCGCTAACGTTTCCAGGCGGCTATCAATACCGCCGATCGTTTTGTCAAGGGTTGATCTATAATCACTCAGGACGATGAGACTTTGAATCAACTGAGTGTAGGCAACGCACCGAAGTTTGCGATTCTCTTCGAGCAACGACCTGAGCAAGTTGGCCGTCTGTTCATGCTGCTGGAGTAAGAGCACCGCAAGTTGCGACGACATGCTGCTCGTCTGTATCATTATTGCATGAGCAATACCACCACGTTTAGGGTCAAGCAACTACTACGTACGGAGGTGTTGGGTAACTCTGATTCAGCGGTGGGGAAACTAGGAGTGGGAACTCGGTACGCTGTGTCTCTCGCGGGACGCGAACCCCCAGGTGATGAAGGGGGCTCGGTGCTACGATTGCCAAGCTCCTTGCCAAGGTCTGGCGGTGTGGAGGTACGTATGGGCTCTGGGCTGGGAGATGTTTGGGATCTGTCAATAGCCATTGGCGAAGCTTGGGTACCGGAATTTGGACTCTCCGCTTGTACAGCTTGACATTGCGTTAGCGGGCCTGGTGTTCGTTGAAGGATATAACTTCTCTTACCCTGCGGGGTGACCTGTCTGTCATCACGGCCCTTGCCCTCCGGGACAGATGGTCTGTCGTCGCGGCCCTTTCCCTTGCCACCCGGGACAGATGATCTGTTGTCGCGGCCCTTCCCCTTGCCATCCGGGACAACTGGAACGCCGTCACGGCCCTTCGTCTTGTCCTGCAGGGCCGCTGCCCTGTCGTCAGTCGCTGCCGGCGCTCCACGGCCCATGTTCACAGGCGAAGCAACGTTCCCAGTAGTGGGAGGTTCAGGTTGAGGATGTATGATCTGCGCGATGGTCATCCGGTGGGGCTGAGCAGGCTGTTGATTGACATGTAGAGAGGGTTCACGTTGAATAGCCTTGCTAGCAGTGGTCCCATGTGGTCGGGCAGGTTGTGCAATGACAGAGAATGAAGGTTGCTTTCCAATCAACTGCACTTGCTTGGGCGTGAGCGGAGGAGGGGTAGCACACTGAGAACAATCAGCAGAGAACATATCAGGTCACGCATTCCTCACGTACGTCTCTCATCTCAACATCGGCATCGACGTCTGCTTCGCTAGACGCAGGTATAGGTCGATATACCTGAGATGGCTCAGCGAGCAAGTTCTGTGACGATGGACGAGGCCCGCGATTGCTTCCCTCGATTGCTTGGGCCACAGCACTAGGTGATTGAGCAGGTGGCTGCTGAATGGATGCACGCGGAGTAGTGGGCGAGGCAGGAGCAGATGGATACTCGGTCGACGGTGTGTTCGCAAAGGAGCGAGTGACGGCGTATGAGGATTGAGTAGGGGTTCCCTCAGCGGAGTGCATGGAGATAGACCCATACACCGCCGACGAAGGGCCTGCCTGAGGTGCATGTTGAGCGAGCATACTATATGGTTGAGTGAGAGGACGCGGGGGGGCTGACGCGGTGGAAGGAAAGTGGAATGTGGCCGGGGGTGCTCGAAAATGAGGCGCATCGTGATCGAATGTGCTCCGAGTCTGCGGTTGAACAGGGGCATGCTGAGGAACGAAGGAGGAAGGTGGAGTGGGAGGACGCGGGGGGCCTGACGCGGTGGAAGGAAAGTGGAATGTGGCCGGGGGTGCTCGAAAGTGAGGTGCATCGTGATCGAATGCGCTCCGAGTCTGCGGTTGAACAGGGGCATGCTGAGGAACGAAGGAGGAAGGTGGAGCAGGGTTGGGGGCCGATGATGGGCCCGCCTGAGGTACAATACAAGGTGGTCGGACACACCATGCTGCGTGGTGGCAACCTGCGGAGGAAAGTCGTCTATGGAAGGTTGGTTGCTGAAGACGGTATACGACAGCGCACCCGCCTGAGGTGAGTGATGACCGCCAAACGTACCGCGTGCTTCAGCAGAAGGGCGAGGTGCAAACGGAGGAGCGTAGTATACACCAGCGTGATGAGGCTGCGGCTTATTGGGTGGAAGTGGAGGGGCCTGATACCCGGGCTGCGTTGTATACGGCTGCGGCTGATTGGGTGGAGGTGGAGGGCCCTGATACCCGTGTTGCATCGTATACGGCTGCCAAGTGCTCTGACCCTGCGGTGCCACATCCCGGGGAAGGCCAGAGGTCATGCTACGACTGGCTTCACGTCGACGAGCGACGTCTGATTCAGTCTCTCGCATATATGTCTGCAAACAAATGTCAGACTCCAAGCATACATGCCTGTACTATCGTGGCCAATGCACGCACCCTCTGTCTTTGTCCCTCCGCAAGTCGAAGAGGAGCCGCGCTCCTTTGCTGGAAAGCATTCAGGCGATGTGATATGAGTATAATTGTATAGAACTCACCAACTCCGCGTATCGAAGGGTCTTCCCGTCATTGACGAAGGTATGAAATCCCGTTCCGAGACCTCGTTTCCGCCCCAGCATGGTCGACGATCCGGAGCTGTCATTGATCGGTGCAGGCGCACCCGCAGGAGGGTTCGCATCGGGCTGGACAGCATAATGAGCGTGATTCGAATGAGCGTTTTGCTCCATTGCCGCTGTCCAGCAGCGCGAAGGGGGAGCAAGTCGGGGTACCGAGCAAACGAGTGGCTGCGACTCGGAGTACAGACGCGTCTTGACGCGACCCCGATCGAACTCTTTGTTCGATCTAGCGCCCAGGTCACGAGTGGCACAGGAAACGGTACGCGCGCAACGCGGGAATTGGAACTGATGTCCAGGCCGAGCACAGGGGAAGCGATTGTATATACATACACCGGGTAAATACAATGACCATCAAGAGCAAAGGGGTTGTTGAGTGAAGGAAACAAAACAACACTCAACATCGGGAAGACTACGAGTACATAGGCGACGCAAGAGGATACCTAACGGGTACGTGGTGTCATTTGCGGACAACGGGGGACAATATTCGTACTGTGTAAAGCACGTCGGTCAAAATGCGTCACACGGAGGAAGAGGTGACCACGTACCATGCGACGCAGACCCTGGACGAGCACGCTGGTCCACTACACGCTGCAGAGTAAAGAACTAGAGACATGAACGAACCAGCTCGAAAGTAACATACATGCTTACCTGCACATTACACGACGGTTCCGTGGATTCTCACTCGGTATAAGCACGTGGATGCTCCTCCCCAGCTGTCTTCAACCTCGAGTACGAATACAGCGAAGGACATCTGGGTGGTGCGAAACCTTTCGGATATGCCAAACGTTTGAATCGCGTCCTCGCCGTCCACGTCGTAAGTGAAGGACAAGAGAGGAGCATAGCGATGGTCGGTTGCGATATGGGGGCGCCGTCGACCGAGGGCTTCAAGGCCGGGATCATCACGCAGAAGATCCTCGAAAAGAGCAATGTTCGCCTTCCCGTCGACGATACCCCAGAGCGTCATATTGCGGGGCGCGGTGCCGATGTCTGAATTGATCTCCTTCGGAAGGTGCTCCACTGTGACGTGAGAGGGCTGGATGATCTTAGGGAGGACGACGCCTAGCTGAGCAGGGAGCGCACGGATATCCCAACACTGTCCCACTCGGACGTCTTCGTCGATCGCCACGCTTGGGCCATTACAGCTCCAGTGGAACATCGAAGTACAACCCGTTGTCAGCGCGGGAACGATGCGTCCACCTGCGGCTCTGAGAGCGAAGTCGTGCTGTCCCCTGCTAGCTATGGCGTGGGCTCTGATGCGCTCCGTGACAATGTCCTCGATAGCTCGTCTCAACGAAGGTGTGAGTGGCGTCTCTAGATGAGGGAGAGTGGAAAGCGCCGGTATGAGATGTTGAGTGTAGCGCATGAGTTCGATGTCTACTGTTCTTGAGAGCTGGAGCATAATTGCCAGGACGAGGAGACCAATGGCCAGAAGGAAGGAGATGAGAGGGGATATCGCTCGCACGCGAGGTGGGGGGTCGGCTGAGTATTCAACATTTTCTGACGATGGGGAGTTCTCCGACGCAAACCTGACTAGCTTCTGACCTGGAGAGTGTATATAGGTTACTATGCAGGTGAGAGCAACGCACACGCTCACTAGGAGGTTCGGCCGAAGCGGAGGGCCATATCCTTGAGTCCTCTCGATAAAGGAATCGGTTGGCATTGAACGGCGAGTCGGTATTGCGCATGCGTCTGATAAATCGCCGTCGTATGAGGCCAGTAAGTCTTGACTGCTGACTTGTTCACGAAATGAGGTCCAGCAGAGCGTAGGCGAAGGCTGCGAAGCTACGAAGCGTTAGGCGCCCCGGGAGCTCTCGAGCGCTCGTTTGTAAGTGGCGGAGCTCACTGCTCAGTCAGTCACGAGTAGCAACGCATAGGTTGTAACTTTTAGCTTACAGCGAACATCGTAGTGAATGGATCCCAAACGTAGAGCTTGGGTACGTTGACACATAAGTGCGTATATAACAACATAAATAACACTTGTGCGGGTCTACGCTCGCTATAGAACTAACATCCTCGTCCAAAATATAGAACCAACGTCCTCCGAGTCTCACGCGTTCCGAGACACTGACAGAGCAAGGTGAGTACTGCATACTGATAGAGCAAGGTCGAATGACTTACTCGCCAACTTTCTTTTATCTCCCCAAGACTGCCCAACCCACGATGGCACTTGCAACTTGGGCGTGAGCGTCAGGCATCGACCATCCTCGCGCACATATCCCACTTCAATGGGTTCCCAACGTTCTTCTTCGCTGCTATCGTCACAGACACGCAGCCAGATCTGAGCAATCTCAGCATAGATATGTAGGTATAAATCCCCTATCTCCAGCTCACAGCTCGGATGGAGCGGCGGCGGAGAGAGTATCGGGTCATCCGATTGAGTTTCAAACCAGGCTGTGAAAAGAGCTTGGTCTTGTTTGGCGGTTTCTCTGATAGCTCGCAGTCTCTTCTTGGGTTTGATCTGCATATACGTGAGTACTTATTGATTTCCCAGTAAGATGGTGATTACCAACTCTCCCCCTGCAACCACCGGTTTTGGAGGAGGCGGCCTTGAGATGGACCGTGTCCTCGACCGTGTCACACGCGTCGCCGTTATGGTTGAAGAGACGGGCTGTTTTGAGGTCGACCGCGGCCTCGAAGCCGATCGCGAGAGGCGAGTCGTAGTTGTAGTCCGAAGAGGTTGTGATGCCGCGGGTGTGGACAAGGAGGGACGAGGAGGAACGGAAGGAGGGGACAAGATAGGCGATGGCAGGCGAGGGGGAGACGATGGCGAGTGGCGGTGCAATGAAGAGCTACGGGCTGGAGCCTGTATCGTTGGTGATCGTCGACCTGAGCTCCGAGCATTCCGGTTAGGGTGCCCACTTGAAGACTGGATTGTAGAACGCAGTACGAAAGCGTCCCATGAATCAAGCACTGGGGCGTCCGCAGGTTCTTTTGCGGGGTCCTCAACCTTGACAAATCCACTGTAACAGGCGGCGAGATGAGAAGGAGAGTGATGGTACGTAGCTCCATAGTCGACTCACACTTCTTTGTGTAAAGTGGCGCTACCGTGCAAGTCAAAGGTTCTGAGAATGGTGGGTTCGGAACCACTGCCAGGCGGAACGCGTGCCGCGAATGGTAGCACAGTTGGCCCTCGAAGAGGAACCCGGGTCGAAGCAGAAAACGCATAGTTGGGTTTCAGTCGAGGGGATGGCGGCCTGTACCAGATAGCGCCCGCGTATATCACCAGTGCAATCGACAAGATAGTGCAGCAGTACGAGACAGTTCCGAGGTCTGCACTTGGGGAATCCATTACAGTGTAGAGATGGATGAGAGTGGGTGGAAGTGCGAGCGTTCGAACGTTCACGCGTTCACGACCCGCCGCAACGAGTCTTTGTTCGGGCATGCGAAACACGGATCAAGGACAAAGAACAATATATATAAGCACCGTGAATAGAAAGCACAAGATTGATACATGTGATAATCTCCTTGCCGTAACTACTACAGAACAACGGCATGGAAGAGCTCGACCGAGAACAAGATCGCAAAGATCGCAAATAGCAATGTAACAGACCACCAAACTATCGTGAAGACCTATTCGAGGAGTTTCAGCACGTCGCGCGTGGAGCTGACTGGTGTCTTACAATGTTCCTGCCAGCGGGTTTCCCCTGGGCGTCACCTAGTCGACGACGATCATCTGCGGCTCTTGTGATCAGTGCACTACAACACTATGTGATGCAACTGATACTCACAAAACTCTTGGGCCTTCCAAATGACGATCGGAGACGGCGAGCCGCGGTTGAAGACGCCCGTAGCAATAAAGAAGGTATCACTGTTGTCATCGTACCGACCCTGTAACGCGAACATGACTGCCCGTACAAATCATCAATCATCGTGCGCGAGGGCTTACTGCAACTGCCAACACGCGTACTGGACCTAGCACAATGGTCAGACAGCCAAAGCAACGCGCGATGCGAAGACGTACCATCGAACGATAGCTGCTGCTTTCGCCGAGAAAAGATATCCCATACATACATCTGGCCGTCTGACGTCCCTCCTACAACCGCATTCCCACCGTGAATGAAACCCACGGGTACCACATGTCCGGTGCTGACGTCTTGATTGAGGGGGAACATGGGTTCCAGTTCGGTTAACGACTTGACGGTAAATAACTCGAACCCGGTCTGCATATTGGAAACGGCGAGCATCTTCCCATCGGCGGTCAAATCAGCATCTGCACTTCGAGGATATATCTGTGAGGAGGGAACGGGGAATACAGACAGAGCGCTGAATACATACATCGCACCGGGGACCGAGA